TAATAGAAGCTTATAGTAGTAATATAGCTAGTAGCAGTGATATAGCCAGTAGTAGAGATAGTTAATTATATTACCTTTATATAATATCTATTTATAAAAGATTATAATTATTAAATAGATAATAATTAACCCTAACTATAAACTACTAGACTAGCTGTTAAAATACCAACCTTTAGATCCGTTAATCTATTAGATATTAGGAGGATATACTATAGACTTTAGAGATATCTATAGGTTCTATAAATAAGCTGTTCTCCCTATTTAGAGGAGGATATATATAGTTATTTACTATCTGGTTCTATAGTTATAGTATAAACTTATAGTTGGAAAACTGGTAATTGTATTGTCTGTCTCTCTTTTGAAAATAAAGTATGCTCTAACTTCCTAATATATAATGAAATATAATCTGGAAATAGAAAAACAAAGTTCCTCTTCCTCTAGATAGATATATCCCGGTTTATTTATAATAGGAATATACTTTAGATTATTATATAGGACTAGGATATAGATATATAGGAGAGAATCCGAATATTATTAAAAGTTTATATTTTCTATTTTACTTTTAAACTTTAAGAATAAGAGCTGTCTGGACAGAGGGAAGCTATAGCTATTATAGAGCGGTAAGGAAGTTTTACTAGACTATTAGTATAGCTAGGTTAATTTTAATACTAAAGTAAGAAAGGAATCTGGTATTTACTATACTTAAACCTCTATAAATTCAGCTAGAAAGACTAAATAGAGCTAGCCTTACCGCTAATAAGAAGGTTGGAAATTAAATAAAGAATCGGTTTTATTATAAAGAAACTAATACTATAAATAGTAATATAACTATAAATAGTAAAGAAGAAGATACTATTTTAATTTTATATATAGCTAATAGTATAATACTATCTTTTAATACTAAATATATTATTACTAAATACCCTTTTACTTAGCTACAACTCCTATTACACTCCTTATAGATCTATTATAACTTCTTCTTCTACTTTTTATTAACCTTCTCAAACTCCTTACAGTACTAACAGTACCGTATATCCTATTTAGAGAGAGTACTATCCCAATCCAGCACTATATACCGACTAGCTATATAGAATACTAGAGCTAAAGGCTGTTTTTCACTTTATAGTAACAGACCCTATATCTTTAGTATATAGCTAGGATAGTTGGTATTATCCTTAGAAATCCTATCTTAAAAATTTCTACCTTTCTTCTCTAACTAAATGGAATTGCTATATTACCTATTAAATATATCTAGTAAAGAAATATAATCTATAAATAGCTAAATAATATATATTAGCTTAATATCCTCTAGATATTCTAGGTTTATAACTAACTCTAAGGTTAACCGATAGTATAAAGATTTATACTTACTATAGGGTACCTTGTTCCTAGTAAGAAAAGATTAGTATAACTGTTTAGACAGACTAAGGATAGACCTAACCTATTACTTCCTAAAGGTTTATATAAATAAAGTCTAAACTTAGTTCCTCTAATAGATAATATAAAAGAGCTAGTACCTAAAAGAACTACTGTTATAAGCTTTAATATAGATAGACTATAGAGTAGCTATTATCTAGTTAATAGATAACCTAAAGTACTACTTTAATATATTATTAGGGAGGTAGAGTTTCTACTAAAGGTTAATATAGCTGTTACAATTTGAGCTAAACTCCTACTATATATATAGTATAGGGATATAGCCTAAGTATTTTAAAGGCCGAATTTATAAAAGGTTATACTAAAGAAGATACTTATAATTTAGAGATATTAGTTTAACCTTATCTATTAGATTAGTATTTACCGGTATATAAGGATCCTTAATATCCGGATACTAAACCTAAATATACTACTATAGAACGGTATTCTTAGAATTAAAGGTAACTATTAAATCGATAGGGCAGTTAGTTAAAGGCTTAAGAAGAGCCTAGGCCCAGTCTTATAGGCTATCCTAGGTAGATATAGCTATCTTACCGATAGTAAATATAAAAGTAGTTGCCCAACTATAAATTTAAAAGGAAAGAGGAATCTAAGAAGGGGACTGGTCTGGATAGAGGGTAGAAGGTAAGAGAAAAGATATTAGATAAGATTATAGGTTATAGTTAAGGAGTAGGAACTAAAAGTAGGAGAGGAAGGAAGAACTAATACCTCTCTTTATAAGAGAAACTTTTATAAAACTATACTTTAAGCTTTTAATTCTTTTTATAAGAGGTTCCTTCCTATAGAGGTTTTAAAGAGTAGAAAAGATTAGATAATAGCTATAAACTACTATTTTATAAAAGGGGTAGTTTTTATATCTTCTACTACCTCGATTTCTTCCCCCTAATATTATATATAATAACTATATAATATAAGCCTATTCCTTTCTTATTACCTACCCTAAATAATTATTATTACTCTCTAGTTAGATAACTAGTATTATAGCTATTAGCTATAATACTATATAAGAGTACTGTCTAGATAAGTAGGGAATCGCACCTAGTAGAGGGTTCAGATAAGCTACCCGATTTATATAGTAATAAATACTATTTTAAAGATAGCTTTAACCTTATAAATATAGGAGACTCCGATCTAATAAACTATAGGAGGTTCCTCTATACCTAGATAGCTAACTTTACCGCCTAAATATACCCTGGAGAGTTGGGACGAGAATTATTCCTATAGGACTGGTAAACTATAGACTACCCTATAGAAGTTATTATAAGGTGGCTAAACTAGATTACTACCTCTAACCTCTCTTTAAATAGAAAGATAATCCAGTTTCTTTTTTCTAGGTAGAAAGGCCCCTAGAGTAATATCAATACCCTATACTATAGTACCCTATTTTACAATATTATAGCTATACTCTTCGATATAGAAGGATATATCCTCGGGTAATACTAACTTAAGTTATATAATACCCTTAACCTACTATATCTCTCTCTCTATTCCTATAAAGAATAGGTTTTTATTTACCTAATCTATATAAGTAACATCGATACTATACTAGTTAAAACCCTCTATAATAATACTTTAAGGAACTAGGCTAAGTTTATAAAATAGTAGGTTTTCCTATACTACTGTTTTAGTAGATACTGGGCCCTAGCTATTTATAACTAGGTAGAGGGAATTACTTTTTACTTCGATTCTATAAAGGAATTAAACCAGTAAGTTAATAAGTAGTTCCTTTATATATATATCGGTACAATTCTAGTAGATACCCTAAACTATTAAAAAGAAAGTATCTAGTCTACTATAATCGTTCCGGTTACTATTTAGGCAGAGGTTTAGGAATATAGGTTCTAGGTTACTAAATATACTTATATTTTCTTCTAGGAGTCTTAGAGCTATCTACTTAACAGTACTAACAAGGTTAAGCTTAATAAGACCTAGTACTACTAGGGTAATATATTAGTAATCGCCTAAAAGTATATAATATACCTTTAGCTAAACCTTTACTATAATATATTAGAATATTAGAAAGACTATCCTCTAAAAATAAAGATAGTATTAATAAATAAACCCTTTAATACCAACCCCTTTATAATACCTTTATAACTAATAATATCTATACTAGTAGATCCTCTAATATAGGATCCGAAGATACCCTATACTAAACTAATAAATAATCTCGATTAACTAAAGGTTAGTCTCAGAAAATAATAATATACTCTACTTCCACTTATACTAATACTAGGCTTATAGTCTAATAACCTTTAAGGAAGATTACCGTTACTATCTGCCTAGAGTAATACTATAGCTCTAAAGGGAGAGGAGAGTTAAAATAAGTAAGAGACTAGTAATATAGGTAACCTGAGCGGTCTTTATATATTAACTGCTTTACTAGAATAATAACCTTAGCTGCTATTTAATTACTAAAGGTTATTGAGGATCTATATTACCTCTCTAACTAGAGCTAGCTAGAGAGGTTAGGTAATAGAGTTATATTCCTAAGAGATATATAAATATAAATATAATAGCTAGGAAGTATAGGAGGTATCTATAGCCTCTACTACCGATAAGTAGGCTTACTATAGGGAGTAGTATAAAAAGAAGAATAAAAAGGGGAAGTAAGGTCTAACCAGAGTAAGGGTAATATCTAGGATATAGCTACCTATTTACCGGTACCTAATAAGGATTATTATAGAGAAGAGGCTAGATATAGAGTAGGTAGTTAGTAGGTAGGTCCGGCCTTTATAAGTTATAAAGTTATAGTATATATTTAAAGATTATAACTACTAAATAGTTTTAGATACTAAATACTATTTATACCTTATTATTCTTAATATAAGCTCTATTTATTTAGGAAATACTAATAATAGCCCTATTAAGTTTAATAGTTAAGTTTAATAGTTAGGAAATAGTAACTATTACCAACTATATAATATAAGGCTAAGCCGGAATAAAAGAGGTTTAATCTACCTACTAGAAATAAACCTAATCTAGACTAACCTAGCTATATAATATAAAGCTAAGCTAGAATAGAAGAGGTTTAATCCACCTACTAAAAGCAAACCTAACCTAGACCAACCTAGCTATATAATATAAGGCTAAGCTAGAAGGGAAGAGGTTTAATCCACCTATTAAAAGTAAACCCAATCCGGACTAACCTAGCTATATAATATAAGGCTAAGCCAGAACGGAAGAGGTTTAGTCCACCTACTAGAAGTAAGCCTAATCTAGGCTAGCCCAGCTATATAATATAAGGCTAAACCAGAACAGAAGAGGTTTAGTCCACCTACTAGAAGCAAGCCCAACCCGGGCCAGCCCAGCCAACCAGCCGTACAATATAAGGCTGAGCCAAGATAAGGCTGACAAAACTGAACCAAAACGAACCAATGAAATATCAAACGAAGAATAGCCGAACCAATAAAAGCAGTGAAAAGGCCCAACCAATGAGAATGCTTGTTTATGCGCCTACCACGGGGGAGGGGGTGGAATCCGGAGACATAAGCTAGTTTTCTTCCGAAAACCATAATCCCTTATAGAACCCGCCTTATCCTCTTAACCCCCCCAGCGGTAAAATGAGTAGTGATAACGAGACGGAGCCGCCTGCGTGGGGTGCCCTCCCCGTCGAGCAGTACCTAATTGTAAGCCCCTATCTCACGCAAGCCCTTTATAACCCTCATCACCGTCTTCATCATAAACATCTAACCGTCACTAACCCTACCAGCGCAAATGGGACCCCTCGTCCGAGCTCAGCCCCGACGAGCAACGCGCCGCACTGGTGGCGGACTACATCAACGAAGATGTGCTGGACTCGGACCTATTGGCGTCGCCGCCGTCGCGCTTGCCCACGGAAACCGAGATCGCCGAGATCCTGGAACCGTGGCGGCCACAGAAGCTGCGCCGCATTGCCGCCGTCTACCTCGTCGAGAACAGCGCTATTTACACATGGTGCTTTCTCAGAACCTACTACGGCGGTGGCGCTGCTGACGACGCTAAACTCCGGGGCTGGCTGGACCTGGACGAATGCGAGAGCGCCGGTATCAACCCCGAGGACGAGTGGCACGCCGTGTTGGACGACCCGGGGCTGTTCGATGTGGGTGATGACTGGCAACAGGTGTACGCGGTGCTGCCCGAGCTGGCAGCGCGGGAGTCGGATCGCCGCTTCACCGACGAGCTTGTTGAGGAAGCTCGGGATTGGGCGACGTCGCACAAGCAGCCTGGCGAGGAGGTCGATGATGAGGAATATGGGGATTGCATCATGCGGCTCGCGACCATACGCTCGGCGTGGCTGCTTGTGTTGGACAAAGAGGCGTTTGAGACGGGGGAGCTGGGACTGATTCTGCGGGACGCGAAGGGAATCCCAGTCAAGGAGACGACCATCAAGCCCGAGAACCTGGATTATTATTATGTATTATCTGCTATCAAGGGTATGATAACCGAGACGGAATATTGGATCGGGGTTGAAGTGGGAGAGAAGTACCGGACCCACGGCGAGATCATGCGCCAGCTGTTGCCGAGGGTGAAGGGGGAGTAGTATACAGGAGGAAAGTCTGTGTTTCTGTACCCCGAGCCTTAAAAGGTTCACAACACCAAGGGCCGGTATCCCATTATTATGATATTGACCACAAGTATGCCTTTCCCGACACCCATGCCTGGTAGAACATAGGGTTCCACCATACGGTCCATTCTTGCCCACGCCCTAACCAGCTATCGACTGCAAACTGCTCTTGCGTGACCTCGACCACATATTCTTGAAATAGGGCAAGCTCATCCGCTTGTCCTTTGCCCTCAGCGACATCGGCAAAGAAAGCGAGACTCTGCGCAGCTTATCCCTCCATGGATGCATGCCCTCTGCGTCATAGTCCGACTTGAGGGGGCTGTCGCTGTCTCTTCTTTCGTCAGCACCGTTGACGCCGTTGGTGTTGTTATCATCGGCCACCCCCCGCTCGCAGCCGCCCTCGCTCTCCGTCCCTGCGGTGTAATCGCCTCCTGCCTCTCCGTTTTCGGGTTCTGCCCACTCCCTTCCCTCGCCAGCCTCCCCCTGTCCCAACTCAACCGGAGCCGACTTATCTACCGGCTGCACCCGACCCAAAGGCTCACAGTCTGCGTCGCCATTTTCTATCCCCATCCCCTCCTCCACCACCACCTCCCCATTCCCCATGTACTCTCCCTCCCCATTCCCCACTGCTTCTCCATCCTCCATCCCCATCCCCATCCCTTCACCCATCATCTCCCCATTCGTCCCCTCCACCAACCCCTCTTCTCCCAACCCATTCACCTCCCCATCCACCCCCGCCCCATCCACCACCACCCCTCTATCCTCCCAAATCCCCTCCTCAAAAACGACCTTCCCCGGCGCAAAACACGGCGACAGCGGACTCAGCACCGACACCGACACCGACACCGACACCGCCTCAGACCCGACCGAGCCCGAACCCGTCCCCGTCCCCGTCCCCGAGCCCCCCCTCTCACACGAAAAATAGTCGGTGGTGGCGGCGGTGGCGGGTGTGACGGGGGTCAGCTCCTCGTGGCAGGGGCTGAGGCAGGGGATTGCTTCGGTCCGGCCGACATGGATCGGGTTTGGGAGGGGGGTTGAGAGGGGGAAGGGGAAGGCTTGGGGGGTGATGGGGGGGTAGGTTGTCGTCGTGGGAGGGTAGGCTGTGGTGGTGGGGATGGGGATGGGGGAAGGGGGGTAGGTGGTTATAGGGGAGTAGGCGGCGACGGGGGAGTAGGCGGGTATGGAAGGGGAGTAGGCGGTGATGGGGGAGAAGGTGGTGACTGGTTGGGCGGTTGGTTGGCGCTGGTGGACGAGCAGCCAGCGGTCTCTGTTCTGCAGCTCGATATGGATCTCGCCGAGGCGGAGGAGGAGGAGCTGCTCTTGTTGTGTGCTTTCCGCGATCTTGGCTCGGACGAGCGAGGCTTCTTTCTTGCACCGTCTTGACTCCGGTGAGGGGGAGGCGGCCGCGGCTGTGAGGCGGGCTTCGACGGCCGCGTAACGGTGGAACAGCCGGGTTGCCCGTATCCCTTGCTTCTGTAGGTCGTGGAGGAGATAGGAGCGCTCGCGGTGAAGGTCTTCCAGCGGGCGGGGGGTCCAGTGCTTGGACTGCCTTCATATATGTGCTTGCTGGAGATGCGGGCTGGCAGAAGCTGGAAGGCCTAGGCTTTGCGGGCGGCATCGTGGTGCTGAGACGGAGAGGGGGCCTCAGTCGGGCTCCCTCGGTACTGCAGTCGTGGTGAGGGATGGTCTTGGGGGATACGGGCCTGCTTATTGCGTCGATCGAGGGCATGGTGTCCGGATGAAACATATACAATACTTCGGATAGATTGATAGGACAGGGCAGCTCGAGTCCCATCCGAACCCGTGAGCAATGCCTCATGCAGGTGCTTTAAAGTCTGCAGCTTTTCTGCAGGTCGCACATCCGTGGCGGCTGGACAAAGGGCCAAAAGAAGGATCGGGCGTCGGTATCCCTGCTTGCCCTTTGTTTGCCATCACGAACTAGCCATCGTTAGCCGTTGAAACCCCACCGTCAGCCACATGGTTAGCTCCCTGGGAGAGTGTATTCAAAAAACCGGCCTCAAACATTGGCGGCGTTTGCCGCGGGAGGAGGCTTGTTCATGAAGTGTGGCGTGGCGTTGGCGGCGTCGTTGAAAGAGGGGCGGCATTCCAGCGCGCCATTCCCGAGAGCTCGTTCTAGATCACAGTCTTTGGTTCCCTGCTTCGAGGCCAAAGCAATAGTGCGTAGGCGGGTTGCAGAAGGATCCCAGGGGCTTGCCGCTCCGGGCCCTTTCGGATGCCAGTGATATTCTTTTTCATCACAGCGTGGTTGGCCGCAGCGTAGTGTCTCTCGCTAGCATTGTCGCCTTTGTCGGCAGCATATTGTTTTGATATAGCCATCAGGAACTAAGCTGCATAAGCGCCATGTGGTGCTGCTCTATATGTTGGTTGTCGAGGCGGTCGGTCCTTGGAGACGTTGGTTACAGGGAACGTTGAGATCGTCGTGCGCTGTGTTTCGGGTCTGGTAGTTATGACGAGGTGGCGCACAATCAAACCGTTTTTAGCAGTCACATCTGCAGCAAAGCGAAAGTTATCATCCTAGGTGCGTGTGCATTGCTCGATGCTGTCCAGACATGCCCGGTCGACCACAGCTTGAATAGGAGACGGATATTCAGGCATTCATCCACCAGTCTGAGCTACCCCAACCAATCAACAAACCACAGGCCGATCGATGTGTTGTATGTAGATGACGGGCATATCCAGCTAGCCCATTATCCCGTGTGTGGGAGAAGCTCAAAGCAGGCTGCTAACAACGCCGTCATGGGCCTTCAGTCAAAGCAAGCACCGACGGGCCTCGGCCACCCACCAACGGCGCCAAGGTTGATATTGTGCGCATTGCCGACTTCTCTCAGCTTGGATCCAGTTCTCGCACAATGCCAGTCCGGTTTTGGACAGCAACTCGGGGAAGACGTTGTCTCGGGAGCGATGTCTGTTTCCGCGTCCGCGAGGCAAGCATTTCTCGCCCTCCAGCTGAGCCCCGAGCACCTCGGTTCTTAAACTTTTGAAATCAATTTTGTCATATGTTTGTGTTCGGGAAGCGTGGCGTTCGAGACCTAGACGTATTATCCGTGCCATCCTTTTCCCATTGCCGTGTCGGTCGAGGCATGCGACCCGTGAAACGTATTTGATACTAAATAATCTAGCAGTTAACAATGATGTTGCCGTTGGCCTGTCTACCTGGTCGTGTAAAAAGTGTTAAAGCTGTCAGCTGCAAAATCAGTCCTGCAATGTGTTTAGGAATGACTCTCCAGTCTCCCTTCCACTGAACAACATCGCTTCGCTAATACACAACGCCGTGGATATCATATCATATCCTCCTCTGCCGGAAACGCCGATGAACTAACTCAGTTGTAACCCGTCTTCTGCTTGCCTTGTTAGTCCTTACCACCACCACCCTGTGCTTTCCTCACAGCCGTCGTTTCCTGTCTAACCCCCAGTCTCATTAGTATTCTATCCCAAACAAGTCTCAACAGCCCAAAAACAAAGCATCCACTTTAAGGACTAATAATCCTTTTTTAACGCAAAAAAAAAGAGAAGAGGTGAAGACAAGGAAAAAAGAAGGTAAAAAAGAAGTACAATAAAACAAAACAAAAATACGTAAACTCACTCAATCTTGCCCACGCCCTTCAACCGCAAATACACATCTGTCCCCCACCCATGCAGACTCTGCACCGCGATCCCACCGCCAAAGTACTCGGCATACGCCCTGCTCAGCGGCAAGCCATACCCCAGCCCCGCGATGGAGCTGCTCCCATTGCTAGCAGCCGAAATAACGTTCAGGGCATCACCATAGCTGTTGGCGCCACCACCAAAAATGCTGTTGGCACTACTACTACTACTACTACTATTACTACCCCCGGGGACGTCGTCGTCCGACTCGCTGAAGGTGGTGAAGGAGTAGCTCCAGATGTGGGGCAGGATGTCGGAGCTGATGCCGCCGCCGCGGTCGCGGATGCGGATGGTCACGCCGGGGGCGTTATCGTCCAGCGGAGCAATGGCGTCGCGGCCGAAGGCGCCGCGGTCCTCGTGCGGCGGGGACAGGCGGACGTGGTCTTGGTCGTGGTGTTGGTTTTGGTCGTGGTGGCGGTGGTGGTGGTCGTGGTGGTAAGGGGGCGGCTTGACCGCGGGCGGCTCCGGGGCGATGGTGATGACGACGGGCTCGCGGCTCATGCCGTTCTCGACGGTCGCGCGGAACGCGTTCTTGAGCAGCTCCGTGACGATGTACTCGAGATGCATGGGCACGAAGGCGAAGGTGGTGTCGGGCTCGCCGTCGACCACCCACTGCGGGCGCACGCCGTAGTTGAGCTCGCAGATGTCGGCGACGAAGCCGCCGCACGAGTCGACGGTGGAGGCGGGCCGCAGGGCGGTGTCGATCACCCCGATGTAGCTGGGGTGTTCGGGGCACGGGGTCGGGCTCGCGGCTGGATCGAAGTGCGGTGTGCTGCTGAAATGCAGGGCGATGTGCTGCTCTGCGACGAGGCGCGTGCCGATACGGGCGCGCAGATGCTGGTCGAGGAAGCGGGTCACCTCGGAGGGTGATATGTACTTGCGACACTCGAGGAAGCCTCGGGCGAGGATGGGAATGGTATCGGTGTGCGTCTGCACTAATTCGGCCAGCACCTCGGTAAAGCGTATCTCATCCTCCAGATTGCTGATGGTGCGCCCCTGCCACGGCAGCAGAGTCGAGAGCGAGTGTTGGTAGTTGTTGTAGATTTTGCTAATGTTTGGATTGGAAACGACGATGTACGGGAGGTTGCGTAGCGCTTGTATGCGATGGGCTAGTCGTATCGGTAACAACGAAAGTGTGAAGCGGGCCGACGCCAACAGAGCCTCGGCGGAGAGGGGAGGGCGGCCGTGTCTGGGTACAGCACAGTTAGCTACTGCTAGTGGGGAAGTGGAAGAAGAAGGGATTGGGATTGTACTTCACTAGATCTGCAAGGCTCAGGGGATGTAACGGTTGCCTTGCTAAGTGAGGGACGACATCGTGATCGTAGCGACGCCGTTGTTCGCGATCACGTTGTGGATGGGATTGGGATTGGGTTTGTGGTTTGTGGTGGGCGACCGAGGCATTCTTCAGATTCTGTAGGGTTGAGGATGCTCTCCGGGGGCAATTGGATCCTAGAACGGCGCTGGGGCTAAACCGTAGCGGCCTCGAAATAATGCATCTCATATTGACATGTTTGCTTGCGCCGAGCGGTACGGAATAATCTGTACTCGTGTTGAATTGGGAATGACGAGAATCGCGGGGCAATCAAAAAACGATGATGTCGAGTGAGGTTAGGTTGAGTGAGTAGCTTGGATCGACAAGCTAGCGCTAGAACAAGAATATACCTCTATCGCTTATGCCCCTCCAGACCGGGTACGCAGTAACCTGTGGTGTTGATGGCAAAGTGTTGATGGCAGAAAGCTACGTGACTCTTGCTCGAGGCACATGTCAGCAGGTTGGGATGAGAGATCTCCACCGAGTCGGAGCCTATGACGACAGGGTTCAACTGTTTTGGGTCACCGCCTTGGCTACAAGTAATTGCTGGGAGTGGACTACCCAGGAACCCGACCATGCTGTAAAATGGACAAGTCTGTGAATTGAGAGACAGTGGCAAAAATACCAAGTAAGGGGGGGTCAATGCAATGCCCTCATAAGAGCGAGATTTATGGAAAGATGACAACGATGTTGGTGGTTGATCAAAGGGTAGCATAACTAGTCTGTTTAGCCAAGGTAAGACTGTCTCAACTCGGCACCTTGATGAGTGCCGAAGTCGCTCAGCTCAGCTCAGCAACACCACCCCGCCTGCCCCGCCATCATGCCCCGCACCGCCGTCCCCTGGCCAGCCTGAGCACCCCCTATTGGGTTGTGACCTGCTTGTCCTCCTCGACGTCCTGGACATGTTCGTGGCTCGCCATCGTCTGGACAGTGCCCTCAGGATAAGTGACCCTGCGCGTTATTGCGTCAGCAAATGGTGTTTTGTCGGTGGTAGGTAGGTAGTTCGGGCCTCTTACTGGAAACCCTTGATCAGGCTGTACTCGTGCCCGATCTCGCCGCCTTGGTCGCGGGCATGCTGCTTGGCCCTGTGCCGTATTAGTTACCACAGGAGTGCCTAACCAAAACATACAACACTCCAGAGTTGGGCAGGATGGACAGTGTTTCTTACGCTTTGACCTGGTCCTCAGTCGCCTCCGGCTTGCAGGTCACCTGTGTCACCCTGTCAGTATTTCCGGTGCTAACGTGTGGTGGATTTGCTGCGGGAGCAGGGAGCATATGTACAATGAATGAAGGCATGATTTCTGCTGGTTTATGTGGTTGCCGTTGTGGTTTTACTTGGTCGAATGGCTTGTGGGCTTCTTGGATGCGAGTGATGTGATTTGGGAGACTTGGAGAACGCGTAGATACTTCCCGAGAGTTGGGCGTTGACTGCTACTTATACCAATAACACGAATAGTTTCGCAGCTTCTTGTTTGGGCAGAGTTGGAGGCCCAGTTTGGCGTGACGCGGCGTGGGAGGGCCACAGAAAGAGGGGCATACGTCATGCGCCTGGCCATCAGCTCTCGCGTGATAAACCGGTATGGGCTTTCAAGTTGTCCCAACCCACTAAGCAGTTAACGTTACGCTTAGCTTCGGGATCCCCGCGTGTTGCGCCTCGAATCAAATTCGGGGCAACCCGGAAACACCATGCATTGGGCGACTTTGAGACGCCTCTATGACCATATTATTGACGTGTTCGTTTGGCTCTGTGTTGTTTGACCCACTTCTACGTTCAGTGTCATTACAAAGCGCAACTGAGTCAACAACTGGCCCCGGGGGACCTGGGTCGGGGAAAAGGAGACGGAAAAGGAGACGAAACCGAAGAAAGGGGGACGGCGTGCCTCATGCCTCACATGATCTCCACGTGACCTCGCGTGGTGGGGCTCTTCGTGTCCATCACATGTGGGGTCAACATGCCGATAGGCTTATCGCTTATCGCGCCCACCTGCCGCCCAAAAATTTCTGGAGCTTTGCGCGAGGAATTGGATCGAGGCGACAGGCTGCTGCGACACGACTCGGATTTGGTGCAGCGACAACTCGACGCCGCAGAAAAGGGGTCCCAACATGGACGGGCAAGCACACAAGCCTCACCGGGCTTCCAAGAAGTCCAAGGAAAAGAAGACACAACATCAAGGGGGTCAGTATCCAATCCTGCCATCCACTAATTCCATTCCAAACTAACAGCAGCAACGCGCGACTCTAGGCCAAAACCCAAAAGCCTTCTCTTTCTCCAACCCCGGCAAGCTCGCGAAACAAGCGGCGCGCTCCCACGATGTACGAATTCTTTGTTGGCTCATATTTAGAGACGTCGACACTGACACGACATCCCCCAGATCAAAGAGAAACGCCTCCATGTTCCCCTCGTTGACCGCCTACCCGATGACCCGCCCCCGCGACTCGTCACCATCGTCGGCCCTCCTGGCGTGGGAAAAACTACACTACTGTGGATACCCCCCCCCGATCCGTACACCTGGGAGACCTAGGTAGCTAACTGGTGAACAACAAACAGCAAATCCCTGATCCGCCGCTATGCGAAGGAGACCATCTCGGACCCGGTGGGGCCCATCACGGTCGTCACCTCCAAGAAGCAACGGTTGACCTTCATCGAATGCCCGAACGAGCTAGAAGCCATGGTCGATATTGCCAAGGTAGCCGACATTGTGCTGTTGATGATTGACGGGAACTTCGGTTTCGAGATGGAGACGATGGAGTTCCTCAACATACTCGCAGCCACTGGTATGCCGGGAAACGTCTTTGGCATTCTCACCCACCTTGACTTGTTCAGGAAACCACAGGCACTCAAGGATGCGAAGAAGAGGCTCAAGCACAGATTATGGAGCGAACTCTACCAGGGCGCCCACCTGTTCTACCTCTCCGGCGTCCTGAACGGCCGCTACCCCGACCGCGAAATCCACAATCTCTCCCGCTTCCTCTCCGTCATGAAGAACCCCCGACCGCTTGTGTGGAGGAACTCGCATCCCTACACCATTATCGACAATTACCGAGACATCACCCACCCCACCAAGATCGAGGAGGACGAGAGCTGCGACCGGTCCATCGAACTATCTGGCTACTTGCGCGGCACCAACTTCGCCGCCCAGGGGCAGAGGGTACACATTGCCGGCCTGGGTGATTTCACAATATCCGCTATGGAGGTATTACCGGACCCTTGTCCGACACCAGCCATGGACCAAGCACTCGCTAAACTCACCGGGAAAACGGGCAGGAGGCGCTTGGATGAGAAGGACAAGAAGTTGTGGGCCCCCATGGCAGACCGGAGCGGCATGAAAATTACTGGCGACCACATCGTCATCACCCGGGAGAAGGGCTTCGCCTTCGACAAGGATGATGAGGGTGTCGAGCGCGGCGAGGGCGAGCAGCTTATTGTTGATCTCCAGGCCGAAAGGAGGCTTCTCGGCTACACTGATAAGGGCGTAAAACTCTTCTCGACCGGGGAACAGATCGCCGAGGTTCCAGAAGAGGCTGACAGTGGGAGGAAAAGCCAAAGAACCGCTCGCTTCCTTGAGCGGGATGCCTCTGACGGGGAGGACGTGCCCGAGGATGAGGGGTTCGTCAGCGGCGAGGAGGAGGAGGAAGGGTCCGACGTTGAGGCCGAATTCGACGAGCAGAAACTAGGCAAGATGTTTCGGAAACAGACCGATAAGGACCAAGGGGATGACGTTGCCTTCGCCGATAGCGACTCTGATCTGGGCTCCTTGTCTGGTGAAGAGGGCCCCGACGGTGACGACGACGAAGATGAAAATGACGAGGATGAAGAGTTCGACTCTGACGAAGAAGGCGCGGCCGTCAAGTGGAAAGACAACATGATGGAGCGGGCAAAGATGCTCCACGGGAAGAGACGCCCTTATCGGGCAGTAGACCTTGCTAGGTTCATGTACGATACAACCCTGACGCCAAAGGAGGCGCTCCAAAAATGGAGGGGTGAAGGGGATGAGGAGGAGGAAGAGGATATCGAGCAGGATGACGACACTTTCTTCCGGAGGACAGGTAACGACGAAAAGGAGGATCTTGCCGAGGACCGGTCGATACCTCGGTTCGACTACGAGGACCTGGCTGCGAGATGGTCGAGCGAGGATGCCGTTGAAGCCCTTCGTAGCAGGTTTGCCACAGCCAATTTGGTCGACGAGGATGGTGGCGACGAAGAGTTGGATGAGGACGACGAGGATGGCTTTGGGGATGAGGACGAAGATGATGAGGGTGACGGCGCCTTTGAGGATCTCGAAACCGGAGAGTCGCATGGCGTCGAACAGGACGAAGAGAAGGGCGAAGAGGAGGCCGAGGAGAGCCTGGAGGCGGAGCGAGAAAAGAACGCCCGCCGCAAAGAAGAACTCAGGCTCCGATTCGAGGAGGAGGATCGTGAGGGCTTCAAGAACGATAAAGCCGTGTCGAGGAGGGAAGGTGGAGACCAAGATTTCGCCGAGGACGAGTGGTACGACGCGCAAAAGGCCTTGTTGCAGAAGCAGCAGGATATCAACAAAGCCGAGTTCGAGGAGCTCGACGAGAGTCAGCGGTTGGCAGTGGAGGGCCTGAAGGCCGGCAAGTACGCCAAGCTAGTCCTCGAGGGTGTCCCGGCCGAGTTCGTCAACCGGTTCCAAGCGCGATTGCCCATCGTTGTGGGTGGCTTGTCTCCCACCGAGGACAGGTTCGGGTTTGTCCAGGTTAGAATCAAGAGGCACAGGTGGCATAAGAAGATCCGTAAGTGTTGAAGAGAAGTTGGTCGGTCATGGCAACGCTAACACTTTTCACAGTCAAAACGGGCGACCCGTTAATCTTCTCGCTCGGTTGGCGGAGGTTCCAATCGCTCCCAATCTACTCCATCTCGGACTCCCGGACGCGGAACAGGATGCTCAAGTACACCCCTGAACACATGCACTGTTTCGGTACCTTCCACGGGCCCTTGATTGCGCCCAACACGGGCTTCGCCTGCTTCCAGTCCTTCTCATCCTCCAACCCGGGTTTCCGCATCGCGGCAACGGGTACGGTATTGAGCGTTGACGAATCCACCGAGATCGTCAAGAAGCTCAAGCTTGTACGTAAACCTCCCAATGAACTGCCGATATCGATGCTAACACGCCACAGACCGGCACACCATACAAGATCTTCAAGAACACGGCCTTCATCAAGGACATGTTCAGCTCTTCCCTCGAGATCGCCAAGTTCGAAGGCGCCGCCATCAAGACCGTCTCGGGCATCCGCGGCCAGATCAAGCGCGCCCTCGCCAAGCCAGACGGCCACTTCCGCGCCACCTTCGAAGACAAGATCCTCCTCAGCGACATCGTCTTCCTGCGGGCCTGGTACCCGATCAAGCCGCACCGCTTCTACAACCCCGCCACCAACCTGATCGGCTGGCAGAGCATGCGATCAACGGGAGAGATCCGGCGGGACCAGGACCTGGCCACCCCGCTGCTCAAGAACAGCCAGTACCGCAAGATCGAGCGGCAGACGCGGCACTTCAACCCGCTGCGCGTGCCCAAGGCCGTGGCCGCCAGCCTGCCCTTCAAGTCGCAGCTCGTGCGCACCAAGGCGCAGAAGAAGGAGACGTACCTGCAGAAGCGCGCCGTCGTGGCCGCGCCCGGCGGCGGCGAGGAGCGCCGCGCCCGCGACCTCATGCAGAAGCTCACCACCGTCCGCAAGGAGCAGGTCGCCAAGCGCAAGGCCAAGAAGGACGAGAAGCGCGAGGAGTACAAGAAGAAGATTGCTGATATTGAGGAGCGGTTGGAGAACAAGGAGCGCAGGGAGAACAAGGCGTACTGGGAGCGCGAGGGGCGGAAGCGCAAGCCTGGGGATTCCGGGGGTGGTGGGGGGAAGAGGAGGAAGTAGATAAATAGGGGATGAACGGGTGTGATTTGGGGGGGGGGGGATAGTATTGTGTACGGTAGAAATTTGATGTTGGTGTTGGCGTTCACATTCCTGTCATTCTTGTTCTTGCCATTGCTGCTGCTCGTGCCATCCGTTGTGATGCCACAGCAGAAGAGGTCTCGTCCCAAACCACGCCCATAATCCAGAGCAGAGTCCTTCTGCTACTATACACACACATATTTAACACGGCGGAACTCAACTACCACAACGAATCAGGAAAGGAAATGCTAATGATGCTAATGCTAGTGCTAATACCCATTATATACGACAAACAGACAACCCAGGAGATGACAGACGACAGAGCAACGACACGTAGCAGTTGCCCCAAAGGAAAACGCAAGTCTGAAGTTACTAGTAGTGGTAATAGTAGTAGTAGTATTAACCAAGTCCAAAAACCGAACAGACGTAACAAGAGACACAGAGAGAGAGACCAGACCGTAAAGGGCCCGATCGGATCGGATCCAATTCAATCCAAGCCATGGAAGCAAGGCAATCCAAACCCCAAACCAAAAAAAAGAAAAAAAGAAGACAATAGCAAAGAAACCCCGATCTATCCCACACCAACATCATTCTTCTTATTAACGGCCAGATCACATATTCGCCAACTCATTATCGATCTGCCTGTCCATAAACGTGCGCCTCTCGCCGGTGAGCTCCGTCTGCAGGCGCTGCTCGACCAGGGCGCGCACCTGCTTCTTGGTGACGGTGTCGAGGTCGACCTCGCGCAGGACGGCCTGGATGGCCTCGATGATGGACCCGTCATCGATGAGGCCTGCGGGGCCGGTCAGGCCCATGCCGCCCCCGAACGAGCCCGTGCTGAAGTCCGGGTGCAGGCCCAGCCTGCTCGGCGTGGCCGACGCCGTCGACATGCGGTTGTTGGCTCCCATGCCGCCGCCGGGGACGCCTAGCGCCGAGGGCGGGGTGCCGCTCATGCCGCGGAGGTTGGCCCCGCTGTTGCTGCGCGGGTAGTCGGCGTAGGGCGTGTGCGAGCGGCGCTGGTCGGCGCCCATCGACATCATGCTCTGCCGGTGGGCGAGGTTGGGGTTGTCCGTGTAGGGGCCTGCGCCCTGGAAGGTGCTGGTGCGGGTCATGGCGCCGGGCCCGTAGGGGGTGCCCGGGGTGCCCGGGGTCGGGGGCATGTACGCGCCCACGCCGCCGCGGCCGGGGAGCCCGGTAAGGACGGACGACTGGCGGACCGAGGAGTAGACCGACTTCATGTCGTCCATTTCATAGTTCTCGTCATACATGCCCACGGCGACTTCCATGCCCTGCTTCTCCGACTGGCCGCCGCGCCGGCCGGGGAGGTTGTTGACGAGGGCATAGTCATCCCAACGCTGGAGGGGCACGGCCCGCGGATCGAAGCCTTCGTCGTCGACGGCGACAACCTGCCTCTTGCCAGACTCGCCAATAACGACGCGCGTGTTACCCCACGAGAAGTTGTCCTGGTTCCAGAACGAGTAGATGGGCAAGATGAGCCAGTACACCGGGAAGGCGATGATGTAGATGATCATCCAACCAACGTGCTGCCACTGCCGCTTGAGGATGAAGATGAGAGCCTGGAGACCGTACACGACCGCCAACATGATGATGGAGATCAGGGGGAACGGCCCGGTGCGGGTGATAACCGTGTACAGAAGCCAGCCGAGGTAGACGCAGGTCGCCGGAAGAACGATGGTACCGAAGAGGTCGATAAACACCATGAAGCGCATGGAGAAGAAGCAGAAACCGCACATCTCGGGGAGGAACATCAGCTCGACCAGGTTGTGGATGGTAGAGTTGATCCAGCGACGACGCTGAGACAGCAGGACGCTCCATTTATCGGGTGCCGCGGTCTGGCAGTAGGCATCCGGGAGGAACTTGTACGACATGTAGGGGAAGTACCTGGTCATGAGGGTGGTCAAGTAACGATCCTCGCCGAGCGACAGCAGGTTCTTCTTGTGGAGCGTGTCAACATGGCAGGTGCTGTAGTCACGGAGAATGTCATCAGAGATAATCAGAGGCTTGCCCTTGTCGGCCGTCCGCAGTCGGTACATGGAGAAACTAGAACCGGTCAGTTAGATGGACTCAATGCCTAACGCAGGAAGGGATACATACCATCCCGGCAAACAGGTGACGCTGCCGAACAGCGACTCGAAGGCCTTCGCGAGATGATGCGAGATGTAGTACTCGTAGACCTGGATCATAGTCCACCACGAGCCCTCCTCGTTCTGCAAGCTCGTCTCACCACAGATGCCAGCAATCTTCGCATCGTTGGCACAGGCCGCAACGAGCCGGTTGAGCGAGTCCTCGCGGACGTTGGTATCGGCATCGACCATCAGAAGGTACTCGTACAGCTCGGGGTCCACACCGATGATGTTGTTGATTTGGTGGAACATCTCCAGCTCGAGGGGGTTCATGGGAGCGCGGTGATGGACACGGTTGAGGAAGCTCATGAGCAGGATCTGCGAGTCACGCTTGCCGCGGTTGCCAGGCTTGGTCTTCTCGCGCTCCGACTCCTTGCCCGTCTTGACGACAACGAGGTACGGGACAACATTGCCTTCGTACTCGTACAGACCGGAATAGACCTTGCCGTAGTTGAGCTGCTCGCCGCCGGTGCCGACCGATTTGAACGCCAGCGCGGGCGGGTCAACCTTGGGGTCTACGCCGAGGATATCCAAGACGATCTTGGGGGTAGGACGGTCGTTGCCGGCACCGACGATGACACCATCGCAAATGACGCAGATCAGCTTTCGCTTGTTGTCGTACTGCAGGGCAGTGAGGGAATCAAGGGCGTTCCGCAGCGAGTCTTCGCCTTCCGTGTACGCCGGCACCTGGCAGATAACGAACTTATCCTGTGGGGAGGGGCGTTTCTTGGAACCGAACTGAAGCGCCGAGACAAACTTGATGAGGATCACAGCGCAGAGGATGGCGGTAAAGACGATGAGAATCCACTTGTTGAACTGGCACCTGGCCGACTCGCGGTAATCCGTGATGCCCAGGTAAAACCGGTTGTTGAGGCAGTTGAAGGTGTTCTGGACCCGAGCGGATTCAGTCGAGTTCGAGTTCGCATCATCAAGTATCTTGGCGAATTTCTCGGTAAGGTCTTGGCCGGGGTTGTTCTTGATGGCGTCGACGACCTTGGAGTCCAGGAAGGCCCAGTTAGGGTGGTCGCGATGGACCTTTTGCGTTTTCATGTAGTCGGTCAAGTCAAAGACTTTGTTCTCCCAAAGGAACCACGGGCGCTGGTCCTCCTCTCCCTCTCTCTTAATCTGATTTGGGTCCCAGACGAGGTCGCCGGTGATGTACTCCTTCATACGCGGCAGGAACTTCTTGGAATACCAAGTCTTGTCCCCCATGGCGCCAGTGGGGTCCCTGGCATAGTAACCCGAGTCGTGGATAGCCAGCTGCCACTCCTGTGAGTCTGTGTTGTTGAGGTCGAGCCGAATCGTCTCATCCGTAACTAGTATAGGGCACGCCAGGGTGAGCGGTAGGATGAAGTAATTGTCCATATCCAAGCCACCCAGGGGCTCCATGACGTCGCGCGTGGTTTCGTAGGAGGGGGTGCCGTGCTGCAGCTTCCAGAACTTTGTGATGTCGTAGACCTTGCCGTGGACGCTGACCCAGAAATCGTCGGCGCCTTGATGGTTCTTGACTTCATTTCGTGACCAAGCCTTGTCGTAGTCGGGACAGAGCAGTTTCCCAAAGAAGATGATCCAGAAGACGATGAGACCGTTGAGAAGCACGATAAAGAAGCAGAGGACAACCTTTTCACGCCAGGCCATCCGTACGTCGGGCCGCTTCATGCGTCCGACATAGTGGAGCAGAGGTGACGGGATCCAGAATGTGAGTGCCCATACCAGGATAACCCACGCCCTTCTGCCAGCGGAGATGGGCTGCTCCTCGATCCTCTTGCCCGCGGCGAGGTCACTTTCGAGACCAATCAACTGGCCGTCGGCGTCGTAGTAGGCGTCTTGTTTGTGGGTGTCGCCCTTGCTACCAAGACCGTAGTCGCCAGCGGCGACGTTACGCATACCAGTCACGGCCGTGGGGGCAATCGAGGGAGCCATCGGGGGACGGGGTCCTCCCAGGGTCGCCTGGCTCATGTTCCTCTGGTGGACGAGCTGCTCGTGACTCCCATTAGAGGAAGGGTCCTGGAATGGCTGTGGGGGGAAGAAGCCGCTCCCGGTGGCGGAATAGCCGGTAGCGAGACCACCGGGAGGCATCATGTTAGGCATGCTCCCCAGCCTCTCAGCGTCGCCAGGCTTCATATCCATGACGCCCTCGGCTTCCCACCAGGCGCTCTCGCGCATCCACACGCGCTCGCGGCCGACCACCACCTCGCCGTTCGCCCAGCCGCGTTCGAGGATCCAGCTCTCGATACCATCGCGGCCATCCATGCACCCCAGCATCCGGTAGCGGGCGACGAACTCCTCGAGATCGAAATCGACGGTGTAATCCAGGCGCTTGTTCCGCCGGTTGGACCACTCGGGGAGGCGCCAGGCCCGGAGTTGCCTGGAAACGGTGCCTGCAGACCACGCCGAGTTGACGGAGGGCAGAGCCGCCAGGTTGGCTGGCGACTCGTCGGTCGGGTGAAGGCAGAGATGGTACCACGCCCGACTCGTGCTAAGAATGGCAGGCAAGTCGAGACGGCCGCCCCGACCGAGGCTGATGCCCTCGGCGGCGTCGGGAATGATCAACTGCTTCAGAAAGCCATCGTCCTCGGATGCGAGCGCGATCTTCTCAAGGACCTCCTCCCGCTTTTCGAGCATGTGTTGCCTCTCCCTACCAAGCGACCCAACCATGATGCCCAACTCGGGCCCTGCCTCGGCCACCGCGTTTTGCATCTCCCGTAGGACCGAGCTGCCGGCGGGGGCAACCTCGACGCCGTCCTGCTTCATCTCCGAGTTGATGCCCTGGTTGTCATCGAAGATACCCCGCATGGCGACGGCCTTCCCCAGGTTTGGGTCAGGAATCTCGAGGAGATGGAGGCAGACGGTATCCCCAGTGTCCTCGGTAGGGTTGGGTGCTCCACCGACCTGGCTACCGTCTGCTGACTCCTCTCCGTCCCTGATGCGGCCCATCTGGGCAGCGATGGCTTCGTTGGCCTTCTTGATGACCCAGTCTACCAATGCTTCGTAAAGGCCAGCGACAAACGTGGCACGGTCATCTGTCGTGCATTGCCTGGCGAGAACCTCGGGCTCCAAGCCGAGGAGACCACCGACATCCTCGCTGATCTCATCCAAAACGTCCTCGTCGACGTTGTAGTCGACTGTGTTGCCTAGCTTGAGCAGGCCGGCAAGCGTGGAGATGAAGTTGCGGTGGGCGGACCCCTTGATGCCAATCTCCTTCAAGGCGGACCGGAAGTCGTCGGCGGCGGCACCATCGTCGGCAGTGGGGAGGTAAGAAGGAGGATCGTAAGTTCCCGAGCGAGCCAGTAGATTATAGCTGGACGCGCCCTTGAGGCCAAGGAACTCCCGCTCGGCCGGGGTAGAGGCCGAGGTGAGCAGATAGTAAAACACGTCAAAGGCACGGTTGCCCGCCTCCGCAGGGATGCGGAGCAGACCCTTGTCTGTGTCAATTCCGCCCTGGGACAGGGCCACCGACGCGCCGACTATCTTCCCGGTGAGACTGAGGGTCAAGGTGACACCAAGAGCGATTTGTCGTGGTGTTGAGGGGTTGTACGGTGTCACGCATCGGAGGAAAGGCTCGATAGCCTGCAGGGACTGGAGGATCGAACTTGGGATGGATACCGGGAGGGTTGAGAGGGCGGGTCGGAGAAGAGACGGAGTAGATGTGTGGAGAGAACTGGCGATGGTTAGCAATGAGCCCAATGGCCTTTCCGCGTACTTGAGAGTACTCGAGAGGGGCAACTCACCCAAAGATGATGCAGCCATCTTCAGCACGGCGGCGGGCATGTTCCCAAGCCCTTGTTACTAGATCGGTGTCTATCGTGCCCCCAATGAGCCCGGTCGGCCCGGGTTGCGAGGCCGTGAGCCAGGTATTGACCACGAGACTCGTCCCCGCGTCAAGCTGGTATGGTTGAGAGGAGAGGTAGATGTTGTGAATCGAGTTCAACAACGTCGTCGTCGAGACCTGGGACTGCTGGCCACCCCTAGAGCCAGTCAGGCCTGGCTCCGAGGCCATCGAGTACATGGACATGCGGTTCGCCATGCTAGCGACGTGTGCGTTGCGGCGCCCCGAGAGGGACACGGCCGAGAACGGTTTCGTTCAACGGGCAACGCGGGATGTGCTCGGGTTTCCCCAAATTAGAGTGGTGATATCAACAGCAACCCAGTTTTCCGACTCGACACAGCTCTCAAGCCTGTTCGAACGCGCTGCAGCAACCAATGCGGGGAGTGAATATGGAGGGATACCGATGCTGAACTAGCGAGTGTTGTCGGATAACTACCCAACTCGTGCGTGGTGTGTGCGTGGTGTGCGTAGTATGCGTGGTGTGTACCTGGGGTTTTGGCGTGGGATGCGGGCTGGTCGCGGCGGCAACGGACGAAGGAACACTGAGCCCCCCGGTGCCCCTTTCTCAGGCAAGCAAGAATTAAGATAGTTACTGGCTGGAAAGGCGGTATTCCCAGGATTTAGGCCCACGATCGACCGAGGAAAGAGAAAAGCAAAAACCGAAAAACCGTCAGAGCGAGTGAGACGGATCGGAGAGCCAGCGAGGGAAGCAACGACCAAAAAAAGATAGGCACAAACGAGCGTGTGTGTTTGCAACCGCGGGCAACCTGGAAGCTTGCAACGAACGAGGCAGAGTGGTGCCCCAGGGGTGCTGCCGAGAAAAGATCCATTGCGGCGGTCGTCCGAGTCTAGCTACGGTGGACGAAATTAACCAACCGTGCAATCGCGCCAAGGAAGGTGTTGGCTGCCAGGGTGTGGGTCGGGATTTGCATGATGTGCCGCGAGAAATTCTGGGCATCCGGCCGGATTGGGCCTGGAATGGGCGTCGCTCAGTCAAGATGGCTCGAAAAATTCATGCTTTTTGGCACTGAGACCAACTTCTTGCAATTACTTGTATACACAAAGTTACGTGCATAATAAACATGGAGCTCGTCGCCCTTGCATACGAATACTGTGACGCATCCTATCCTAATTTCATAGTTACGATGTAATCCCAAGGTGACCAAAAAAGCGCTTTCCATCTGTCAGCACCACACGGTAGGTTATCAACACCGTCAACAAATCTCCCGAGACCACGCCGACGAGCTGTCGTTTTCTTTGCCGCCCATTACTCCCCGAGGATTGGTGTCGTTGCAAGCTGGTGGCGTTTGATGACTGGAGGATGGCATCTGAAGCAACGCGGCGGTGCAGGCCTAAAAAAAGGCCTTCGCGGCAGCTGCCGGACGGGCGAATACGAGGCCCTGGCACACACATGGGCATGATGAGATGGAGCTCCTGGCCCAGACAAATGCAAGTCTCCACACCAAGAACCAAAGAGCTCGCATGACCCAAAGTGTTGGTCACAGCGTTGGACCCAATTCTTCTTCGTATGGAACAACCTGGAGCTGCAGGTTCGTTCGGGGTGGGAGGCAAAACGGCAAAACACGAGCCGTTGAACAGTTCGTTAGCCACATAGCCAGGGAAGTTACTCGGTTCTTGGGGTCGTTGGCTCTGCAGCTGTACTTGTAAGGCTGTGTCCATCGTCTCGTTTCCTCGCTGTCTTCATTCAGTGCCCCCGGCCCAGGGGGTCAGGGTAACACAGACAACGAATGCACTCCCGCGTTTCCGCATTCTTAAACTCTTCTGATCGCCCTTTGAAAATACCTTTCAGGTCCGGACTAACTGTTGACTATTATCGCCATGCCAATTTTCAACCACACTTGGAAAGTCAACAGAAGACGGTGACCACACTTGGTAAGTCACGCAAGGCTCGTGTCTCGGAATGAGCAGCATGCCAAAAGTCGACCAAAAGCTCCCGATTGCAGTGCAGATCGGGCTCATTGTCCGATCAGAGCTCGGACCCGACGTCAAGTGGCATCATCCAAACTTGACTTGTTGGACTTGCGATGAAAGGCGTGTGGGGTGCGGGCGCCAACTCCTTCCCAATCCCCCAGCCCCCTGATTCAGACGCTGCCTGGTGTGAGCCGCAGGAAAGCATGACCTCAAACACAGGATGCCCGGCGCAGCGAGGTAACCACCGGCGGTGGGCTACCTAGGTATTGTGCAGAGCACTCGTCTTATATCGAAAAAATAAAGAGGAAACAAAAAAAAGAACACCGGGCCGCTTGGCAGGATTCGCCGGTGTTTGAGCGCAAAAGGAAACGTCCGAAGTATCCGTATTTGCTTCGTAGGAATCTGTAGTCCTGCGTGCCAGCTTTCGGGTTACGTGGGAAACACCATTGCTGTGTCGCCACCCGACCAATCGCGACCAATCGCGGAGATCTTCCATGGACGACTGAGGTGCCACTGCGCTACCCAGCAACGCTTTTTGTGTGGTCTGCAGAAACAGTACGACGCGCCCACTGCCCCTGGAATTCAACCCTCACACCGGCCCTGTGGTGAGAAGTTTCGGGCAACCTTCGCTCAGGCAGCACATTCCCACACTCACTTGCAAGACACAAGCAACAATGCCGAGCATGCGGTTATCGAGTGAACCAAGACACGGCGGCTGACGCCCAGCCCGGATCTCACGATGCAAGCCACCCATCCCCTGCGCTCCTGAAATGCGATCCCACCGCCAGTGGAGACGGAGAGCCGGCTGGTGCGGCGAACGCCTGATCCTGGTCAGTTGGGTTTAGCGATGCATCATCATCGAAATGCTCTGGAAGCTTTGCGAAGACGAGGGAGGGCTCCAGGGCTGTGGTGGGGAGCAGAGCCGAGGGCAGATTTTCGCGGTGTTTCCGTTGCGCAGAATCTGCATGACCCAAACCAGAGTCCAGCCCCGATTTTCAAAGAGGGTCGCATACGATGGAAGGTTGCGTTCCAGAGATCTTGTTTATTTTGAGCCACTTCCTGAACTGCGATCCAATGCCTTGCTCCGGCTTGGACCGCGCCCCTGCCAATCAAGTGGGGTCCGTTCGAGGATCGCGGGCCCAGTTCGTATGGAGAAGTTGCGCACCTGGTAGATAGCGCCTGCCGTAACAGGGATTTGTGCTCGGAAAAAAACAATCCACTCCCCCCTTTCCGGGCGTGGCCTGGCCCAGCAAGCCCCCCCCCTCCCCCCCGGCCAGCGCGTGCAAGCAAGCAGTGGTGTTGGAAATCGCTGGGCCAGGAGAGTGCATTCAGTTCCATCGCCCAGGCGACTCCCAATCCCCGCCGCCAAACATTTTGTCACACGCTTCGCTGCCTGTGTCCTTCGTTCAGACACTCGTTTTAGACGCTTTTTTGCACATCCCCCAGATAACTTTCGTTTTTTTTGGCATCTTGCTCCAACGATCAGTCTTATTTTAATTTTTTTATTAGCTCCCGAGACCGAAATTGCGCCAGTCAAGGCCCGTGCCGCCGTCGTCAACGGGTCCGGAAACACAGGCCGTGGCTTGCTCCGTCTGTTCCTTAGGGAGAATCTCCCCGTGTCGAAGGACACAAGACAAACACAGACAGTCCAAACACCAGAAATCCCCCCCTCGCTGTCTGGTGATACACCGTTGAAAACCATTGACACCCGGGCGTTGACAACGGCCACCTCTCGGCCGCGCTGTCCACCATGGCCCTCAACCTCCCGCCGCTAGGCGCGAACAACGGCGGAGGGGCCCATACCCAACCCTCGCTGCCCTCGCTGCCCGCTCATTCCCAGTCCGACACGCAGTTGACGGCGCATCTCGCCAGCCGTTTCCATGTCTCGATTCCGACCGCACGCCTCTCGTCCCACGCGCTCATCTGCACCAACACGTATACGAGCTCGACCAAGGGCGATGGCTCTAGGGATTCGTCCGCCCAGTCCGCGGCCGAGGACATGGCGGAGAGGGCCTTCCTCCGGATGGGACACCGCTTGGAAAACCAGGCCGTTCTCTTTCTGTATGGCAGCCCCTAGACTTCCAGGTTGGTGTGATGTCTATCACCGAGACTAACTGTTTGGCAGTGGTGAATCTGGCTCAGGGAAAACGACTGTGCGAGCTCACCTCATGACTTCGCTGCTCAACCGCTCCTCTACTCCTCTCTCGGCCAAGGTATCCCTTGCTGCGTACGTCTTCGACACGCTCACTACCACGAAAACAGCCACGACACCTACGGCCTCCAAGGCTGGTCTCTTCTACGAGCTCCAGTACGACACCGCGTCGTCGACAAACCCCGTCCTCCTCGGCGCCAAGCTGCTAGATCACCGACTGGAGCGCAGCAGGATAACGGATGTTCCCACGGGTGAACGTAACTTCCACGTGTTGTACTACTTGCTGTCAGGTACAAGTGCTGCCGAGAAATCCCACCTCGGGTTTGACGGCCCCGAGAAACGGTGGAAGTACCTGGGCCATCCTACACAGCTGAAGGTGGGCATCAACGATGCCGAAGGTTTCCAGCTCTTCAAGACGGCTCTGCGGAAACTCGAGTTCCCCCGTAGTGAGATTGCCGAAATCTGCCAAATCTTAGCCGGCATCTTGCACATTGGCCAGCTCGAATTTGAGACGACCTCCAGTACGACCGCAACAGGCGATGACAGCGGCGGCTTCTCCCATGAAGGCGCCCAAACAAGCACCACGGTGAAGAACAAGGATGTGCTCAGCATCATTGCCGCCTTCCTAGGTGTTGGTGCGGCCGAGCTCCAGGCGACACTGGGCTACAAGACCAAGATGATCCACAAGGAGAGGGTGACAGTCTTGCTCGACCCAGCTGGCGCGCGGGGGAACGCAAATGAGCTTGCCCGGACACTGTACTCGCTTCTCGTTGCCTACGTGATCGAGAGCATCAACCAGAGGCTGTGTGCTCCCGAGGACTCGATTGCCAACACCATTTCCGTCGTGGACTTCCCCGGTTTCCAGCAACAAACTTCGACCGGCTCAACCCTCGATCAGCTCCTGGCCAATGCCGCCACCGAGTCCCTCTACAACCTGACGCTGAAGAACTTCTTCGATCGCAAAGCCGACATGCTCGAGACCGAAGAGGTTGCCGTGCCCGCGACCAGCTACTTCGACAACTCGGATGCCGTCAAGGGCATGCTGAAGCCGGGCAACGGCCTGCTCAGCATCTTGGACGATCAGACTCGTCGCCACCGTACTGACATGCAGCTTCTCGAGAGCCTGCGTAAGCGCTTCGAGGGAAAGAACCCTGCCATTGGCGTTGGCGCAGCCACCGCGAAGCTGCCCGGCAGCAATTTCTTCACCGAGAACAACGCCGCTACCTTCACCGTCAAGCACTATGCCGGCGAGGTGGAGTACCCGGTCAAGGGGCTCGTCGAGGAAAATGGGGAGGTCATCTCGGGCGACCTGATGAACCTGATCAACGCGAGCAAGAGCACATTCGTCGCCCGTCTCTTTGGTCAGGAGGTTCTCAAGACCGTCGTTCACCCGCAAGAGCGGACAACGGTCATGCAGGCCTCTGTCAGCTCGCGGCCGATGCGCCAGCCCAGCGTCATGTCGAGGCGCGGGCGGCCCTCGGCTGCTCTCCAAGCCCGCCAGCAGCGGGCTATGGAGAAGGATGTGTCGGATCAGGGCAGCGATGCCGGCGACAACAAGACGGCTGGTGGTGTGCGCATCTCGGAACAGGGTGCGTCCGGCCAGTTCCTCTCGGCGCTCGACAGCGTCACGAGGTCCGTTACGGCACCGGGCACGAACTGTTACTTCGTCTTCTGTCTCAAGCCAAACGACAGACGCATCGCGAACCAGTTCGACAGCAAGTGCGTGCGGGCGCAGCTGCAGACCTTTGGCATTGCCGAGATCAGCCAGCGCCTGCGGTCCGCCGACTTCAGCTTGTTCCTTCCGTTTGGCGAGTTTCTGGGGCTCGCCGATGCCGAGACCGTCCTCGTGGGCAGCGAGCGCGAAAAGGTGGAGATGGTGGTCGAGGAAAAGAGATGGCCCAACAACGAGGTTGCTATCGGTGCCACGGGCGTCTTCCTCAGCGAGCGCTGTTGGATGGAAATCGCACAGCTGGGCGATAACCTCTCCCAGTCTGGTCGGTATGGGCTTCCCTCGGACGCAGGGGATGGCACGGGCACGCCCGCGGATCCCTTCGGCGTGTCCAAGGAACGCCTGCTCATGTCTGGCGGAGCCACGCCAACCAACTTCAACGGCGAGAAGAAGGGAGCCTACTTCAGCAGCAACGAAGTCGACGCCCGCTCGGAGGCCGGTGTGTCTGCGTTCGGAGCGGGCGATATGTTCCAGAACTTGGATACACGCCAGCAGATGGCCGAGCGTGGCAACGAGAAGGACATGCAGGAGGTCGAGGAGTACAAGGACAGCCCCAGCCGCAAGCGCTGGGTCTTCATCGTGTACATGCTGACCTTCTTTGTCCCCGAGTTCTTGATTCACAAGCTGGGGCGCATGGGTCGCAAGGATGTGCGGATGGCGTGGCGTGAAAAGCTGGCCATCAACATGATCATCTGGTTCAGTTGCTTGACCGCCGCCTTCTTCATCGTCGTCTTCCCGATGCTGCTCTGCCCGCGCCAGTACGTCTACAGTCCGGAGGAGATGTCCCATTACGACGGGAAGGACGGCCGCAGCGCCTACGCCTCGATCCGTGGGCAGATCTTTGACCTTGGCGCCTTCACGCCCCGCCACTACCCCAGGTACCTGTCGCAGAAGATGCTGACCCAGTACGGCGGCATGGACATCACCTCGCTCTTCCCCGTGCAGGTGTCGGCGCTCTGCCAGGGTCGGTACGGCCAGATCGACCCGGCCGTCCTGCTCGATTACAAGAATGACAACATCACCGGGTCCGCGGCTGTCATCAGCAGCCAAGACAGGAACGCAAAGTATCACGATTTCCGCCACTTCACCAACGACAGCCGGCCGGATTGGTTCTCGCAGAGGATGAAGATGCTGAGGGCCAACTACAAGGTCGGCAACATCGGCTACTCGGCCGAGTACGTGCGTACACTTAGCACGCAATCGCAGGTCGTCGCCATCCTCAACGGCCGCGTCTACGACATGACGAAATACACCCAGAACGGCCGGCGGCAGAAGAACCCGCCTTGGGAGGATCCCCCGTCAGACCCGAACGCGGTGAACTTCATGCATCCCCTCGTGGTCGACCTCTTCGAGGACAAATCCGGTGACGATATCACGAGCCTCTGGCAATCACTCGGCATCGACGCAGCCCAGAAGAAGGCGATGCAGCTCTGTCTCGACAACCTCTTCTACGTCGCCGACTTAGACACGCGTTCTTCCGTGCGGTGCCAATTTGCTGAATACTTGGTCCTGGCGATATCCATCCTTCTTGCTAGCGTCATCGCCTTCAAGTTTTTCGCTGCCCTTCAGTTTGGCACCAAAAACATGCCTGAGAACCTGGACAAGTTCGTCATGTGCCAGATTCCAGCCTACACAGAAGACGAGGAGTCCATTCGCCGTGCCGTTGACTCGGCAGCTCGCATGCAGTACGATGACAAGCGCAAACTTCTGGTCATCATTTGCGACGGTATGATTATCGGTCAGGGCAACGATCGCCCGACGCCGCGCATTGTGCTCGATATCTTGGGAGTGTCCGAGACCATTGATCCCGAACCGCTGAGCTTCGAATCGCTCGGTGAAGGTCAGAAGCAGCACAACATGGGCAAGGTCTACTCCGGTTTATACGAGGTGCAAGGACACATCGTGCCCTTCCTCGTCGTGGTCAAGGTCGGCAAGCCGTCCGAGGTCTCCCGCCCGGGCAACCGCGGCAAACGTGACTCCCAGATGATCCTGATGCGCTTCCTCAACCGCGTGCACTACAACCTCCCCATGAGCCCTCTCGAGCTCGAGATCTACCACCAGATCCGCAACATCATTGGCGTCAACCCGACCTTCTACGAATACCTCTTCCAGATCGACGCCGACACGGTTGTTGCTCCCGATTCGGCTACACGCATGGTCTCAGCCTTCCTCGACGATACCCGCCTGATCGCTGTATGCGGCGAGACAGCGCTGACCAACGCCAAGGCGTCGTTTGTTACCATGATTCAAGTGTACGAGTACTACATCTCGCATAACTTGTCCAAGGCCTTCGAGTCGCTCTTCGGTTCCGTCACCTGCTTGCCCGGTTGTTTCTCCATGTACCGTATCCGCGCCGCGGAGACCGGCAAGCCGCTGTTCGTCAGCCGCGAGATCGTTGAGGCGTACTCGACCATCCGCGTCGACACGCTCCACATGAAGAACCTGTTGCACCTGGGTGAAGATCGTTACCTGACGACGCTGCTGCTCAAGTTCCACAACAAGTACAAGACCAAGTATATCTTCCGCGCCCATGCTTGGACGGTCGCTCCGGACTCGTGGCAGGTGTTCCTCTCGCAGCGCCGCCGCTGGATCAACTCGACAGTGCACAACCTGATGGAACTCATCCCCTTGAACCAGCTGTGTGGTTTCTGCTGCTTCAGCATGCGCTTCATCGTCTTCGTCGATCTCCTTTCCACCATCGTCCAGCCCGTTACCATCGCCTACATCGTCTATCTCGTTGTCATGGTCGCACAGAGGGCCACCGTCGTCCCGATCACGGCGTTCGTTCTCCTGGGTGCTATCTACGGTCTGCAGGCCATCATCTTTATCCTGCGCCGCAAGTGGGAGATGATCGGCTGGATGATCCTGTACGTGCTCGCGGTGCCCGTCTTCAGCTTTGCCCTGCCGCTGTATTCGTTCTGGCACATGGACGACTTCAACTGGGGTAACACGCGTGTGGTGGCCGGCGAAAAGGGCCAGAAGATTGTCATCTCGGACGAGGGCAAGTTCGACCCGGCCAGCATCCCGCGCAAGAAGTGGGAGGAATACCAGGCCGAACTCTGGGAGGCCCAGACCCAGGCCGGTGGCCTGCATGACGATGCTCGCTCCGAGATGTCCGGTTACTCGTACGCCACCCGGCCCAACGTCCCCATGTCCGAGTACGGCGGCTACACCCCCAGCCGCCCAGGGTCCACCACGGGGTACCCGGGCATGCCGACCGCGCCCAGTCGCATGTCGCTGGCCGCGTCGGAGATGCTCGGCCACAACAGCATGGCGGGCAACCGGCAGAGCCAGTTCGGCGGGTCGCAGTTCCTGGGCCACTCGCAGTCGCAGCAGGAGCTGGAGATGGCGAACCTCGCCGGCCTGCCGAGCGACGACGCGCTCCTCGCCGAGATCAGGGAGATACTGCGCACCGCGGACCTCATGACCGTCACCAAGAAGGGTGTCAAGACGGAGCTGGAGAAGCGCTTCGGTGTGCCGCTTGACTCCAGGAGGGCTTATATTAATAGCGGTGAGTTCTTGTCCCTTTTTGATATTGCATTGGTGTGATTGATGACTGACTTTTTTGGGTTAATAGCAACCGAAGCGATTCTCTCGGGACAACTGTAGTAGGCAGCATGCATGGCTTTGGTGTTTTTTGTTTTCCTCTTGGGCTTTGGGTTTCTTTGTGTCCTTTTTTTTTTTTTTGGCTTTCCGGTCTGGTTCCGGCAGCACTCCTCGATCCGACGGACTACCTACTGAGTACTAGCTTGGTTTTTTTGACTTTTTGACTAATATAATGCTTGCATTGTTCTGCTGGAGGGTGTTGAGCTCACGCTGTGGGAGGGTCGTTAAAAGAGAATCAATGTGTTTTCGGGTTTCCTTTTTGGCTTGCTGTGACGGCTACACTTCAGATGATGAGCTGTTGAAGTTGCTGAGTCTGGTTTTGTGTCTCCGTCCTGTTTTGCCACCTGTCTGCGTGTTTGTCTGTTGAGGTGAAATGGGGGCATTGGGAATAGTTTTGGGTATTTTATTCTCTTGGGGTAATTTATCTATATAGACTATAATGATGTGATATGAAACCTTGTTGGAATTATATACAACTGTCCGGGGGAAGTGAGAATCGGGAATGGGGACGTCATAAGTTTAGAGATGGATATGTTATGTTAGCAGAGATTCTCTATTGTTCCTTCACTTTACCCGACTTCATCTAGTTCCTTCTCTCACTTTTTTCTCTTCTAACCACCTGCCACCGTTGGCCGCATTTTACTCATGATTTATGTCAAACCTTCAAATAAAGGGCAAAATAACGGGGTCAAACAAGTCCTACTTTCTCGCTACTGAATAACATTCGTGTCTATTCCCAAACCTCCACTCCCAGCTAGTACAAGACCTTCCTCGCCTAGGGAGAAGCCAAAACAAAATAGACAAGCCAAGGAACCAAAGAGGAGATAACAAAACAAACCAAAAATAATGCTAACGAGACTCGAATAGAAGAGCAAAAGTATATGACAAGGGTGAGATTCGAACTCACGCCCCTTTCGAGACCACGGATTCTGATTAAGGGTTGAACACCTTAACGTGGCGCCTTAGACCGCTCGGCCACCTTGCCGTTTGTTTTGATGCTGTTCCGGATCGGAATTTCGCTGCTTGAGCGAGGAGGGCGTGGGGTTTCGCGCGCAACCAATTCTACCCCTATTTTAGAACGTAACCGCAGTTTACCGTGACTTTTTAGAGCTCAATTGCATTAACGGAGAGCATACCCAATTGTATTTCAAGCCTTTACCATTTCGATATTTGTAGCTACCCCCTTTCTCATAACCTCACCAATCTCAAAAAGAACCCCCCCCCCCCCCCCCCCCCCCCCCCCCAAACCCTTCCCAACACCATCTATCTTTCCTCGCCCACCTATTTCTGCGCAGCAGCAGCACCCACAGCGGCCACCTCCTCCCCCAGCGGCAGGACGTCCGGCACGGGCCCCAGCGGGGTGATGGACAGCGGGTTGATCTGGGTGTGGGAGCGCGTGTAGTGGTTCTTGATGTGCAGGAAGTTGGTCGTGTCGCGGAAGGCCGCGTGCGTCCAGTACAGCTGGCGCATCCAGCGGTGCAGCGCCGGGTAGCCCGAGCGTATGTCCAGGATGTTGCACTTGAAGTGTTGGACGTAGACGGGCTGCGGTGTGTTAGTGAGTTGGTTGGGTTTTGGGGGGGAAGAGAAAGGGAGGGAGGGGGGGGGGGGTGGTTTGCTTACGTCGAACCGGATGATGGTCACGAACCTGTTGACGGAGAGATATTTATCAATGCTGCCGTTCAACTTGGATATGAACCAGGGGATACACTTACAGCCGGATGTCGACCTCGGTCAGGGTCTGGCCGAACCAGTAGGGCCCCTCGGCCGCGGTCTTCTGGAGGTGCGTCTCGGCGCGGTCCAGGGCCTCAAACAGGGCGACTACGTTGCGCTCGTACGCCTCCTGGGTCGTGGCGAAGCCCGACTTGTACACGCCGTTGTTGATCTTGTCGTACTGCCACTCGTGCGCCTCGTCGATCTGCGCGCGGAGGGCCTCCGGGTAGAACTCGATCTGGCGGTACTTTTCGTCGATGAGGCCGTTAAACTATCCCGGCTCTGTCAATAATGTGACGTTCGTAGGAGAGTGGAGAGGATCCATGTTAGTATGACTGACCTCGGTTCCCAACATACGCAGGATCTCGCTGCTCTCGTTGTTGACAATGGTCTTGGTCTTGGTGTCATACAGCACGGGCACGGTGAAGCGGCCCTCGTATGACGGATTCACCTGGAAGTAGAGGTCTCGCAGGTGGGTGAAGCCCTCATGGCCGGAGACGGGGTCGGGGATGACGTTCTCCCCGGCCGCGTCGGTATCCTCAGGGGTTGGGAAGCGCCAGCCTAGAATCATGCCTTAGTGGCATGCTCATCAGAAATAGGTGAGTGATGGGAAGAGCTCACCCTTAGGCCCCATGTGCCAATGCACCACCGAAAAGGAAATAACATCCTCCAGCCCCTTGAGCTTGCGCGCAATGAGGGTGCGGTTGGCCTATCACCCATCCCATGCATGTCAGCCCCTTGACCCCTCCCCCCAAAAAGAAAACGAGGGCAACGAAGTGTGACGGAAGTACTCACCCACGGACAGGCGTAGCTCACGTACAAGTGATACCTGCCCTTTTCCGGCGGGAACTGCGCACCGGGCTCGCTCGAGATCCAGTTGCGGAACGAGCTCTGCTGGCGCTTGAACTCGCCTGATGGATCGCTGGGCACGACCCAGTCGGTGATCTTGCCGCCGGCATTGGCACTGGGGGTGTCCTTGGTTGCCTGGAGAGCGAGTTAGTGAGTGTCGGATTTATCTGGAGCATCAGATTAAAAAAAGATGAGGTTGTGACGCAAACTTACCATGGCTGCAATGTGTCTGATTCCTTGTGCTTGGCTTGTGAATAAATATCGAGTTGCTAGTCCCGGTATGGACCTGGTTGCTCGTGGCGATGTAAAGTTACGAGACTGGCAATAAACTCCTGGGACAAAAAGTGATGATGGTTTCCCAAAAAGTGGCGAGAAGCTCCCGACAAGTGGGCGAGTACCACTTCTTAAGTTCATGGGGAGAGAGGGGTTTACAGGTTGATGGAGTTGGTCACTGCATTCGGCCTGCCGGTGCTTTAAAAGCCATGTGTAAGTGGGTGGTAATAATACCCTGCTTGGTACGAGGTTCCAAGTAGGTATGTACTGTGCACTTACAACAACGGCTGCTTAGACTTGCATTATTCAGGACGGACACATCAGACGAACGTTTGTAATCCCCACTGTCTTTCGTCAGTTGGTTTATCTTTCAAGGGACTGGTTATATCCACAGCACTAGCTTTTTAAGGGGACTGACAAATAGTGACGTAATCCCCAAGGCCTTTGACGCCGAAGCTCTCCACCCTCTGGTGCATGCATGGTGATGAGTAAGGGACAATAGGGGTTACCAGCCAAGGCGAAGTTGTACCCGTTGCTGTTGGCCACACGTAAAAGTGAGGAAGCAGGGAAGGTAACGAAGAGGGGTAACTATGCTTGTAACAAACACAAGGTCTATTTTCTGCTAGGGCCAAACGTGCAAGTCTCCGTACTCGCAATCTACAGTCCCATCCTATCCATCACGTCCCATCCCCTGCCTAACATTTACCGAATTTTGGCCTTGATGTACGGCACCTCGACATCCTCGCCGTCCGCATCCTCTGTGACCACCTCAAAGATGAGCTCCTTCTGGTGCGAGGGGATTGGTTTCTTCGTAACCGACTCGACCAGCTCGCTCAGCTTCATGTTGAACTTGTCCTTCTGCTTGGCTGCCGGGAAGAAGGCCGCAAACAGCAGGCTGACCCCGGAGCTCAGCATGGCAACGGTGAGACCGCGCTTCTCGAAATCGTCGATCAGCTCCCGGAGCGTGATGTTGCCGACCTCAAAACGGTCCCAGATCTTGTCCAGCGTCACCTTGCCGTTGGGGCCCTTGTACTCAACCTTGGGGCTGGCAATCGGCTCGCTGAAGCCAAAGAACGGCAGCGCCAGGTTGATGAAGCCATTCTTGTACTGCTCGGTGTCCGTCTTGCCGTCAATGATCTTGTACAGCTCCAGGACCACCAGGCCGGTGACCAGCGCCGTTGTCGTCGCAATGGCCGGGATGATCTTGCCGGCAATGAACTTGGTCTTGTGGCGGTCCGCCTGTTCAATCTTGTAGTTCTCAGCCCGCAGGTTGCTGGCAGCCGTGATGAAGTCGATGTGATAGTTCGTGTCGTCGTCCTTCTCAAACTCCACCGGCGTCAGTTGGAAACCGGCCAGCGTCTTTGGCTCCGGGAGGTCATTCATGAGCTTTTGTAGCTCAGCCTCGTCGTCGAAAGCACCGGCGTTCGGGTCCTGGTCTGTATCAGCCACAACATTCATATCAATTCGAAAACTCATGCATTACTTACCGCTTCCTTGTCATCAGCCTGGATCTTAACGTTGGAGTCTGGTGAAAAGTCCGGAACAATCATCGAATCCAAGGCTTGGATGTAGTCCTGCCTGGTCTTGCCCTTGACGTTGATGTTGTAGTTGAAAGCGTGCAGGTTGGTCGCCGCCTCAACAAACGAGAAGTGCGTCTTGTTCTCGGGGTCGAACTTGAGCGGGTCTGGCGCGCGCTTGGGGCCCGACCAGAACGGGGTACCAGTCGACGAGACCGAGTCCTTCGGGAAGTTGTAAAGGAGCTGCTGGATCGCATTGTTGTACTGCTTCTCAAACAACATGCGGGCCCACTGAACACAGTCCTCGAACGTGAGGGCGCGCTCGTTTTTCAAGAAGTCCAACAGCATTTGCAATGTGCCTTTCTGGTTGCCCCCAAGCGCCGCCGTCGTCTCCAGGTAGTTGGGCTGGGTGAGGTAGAGGTTCGCCGTCTCGGCCGGCGCCACGAATGAGCTATCAAACAGCTCTCGCGACCAGGCGATGGTGTGCTCAATCCTGTTGGGGAAACTCCGGAGTGTGCACATAGGGAATGATTGCTCCGGCGGGTCCTGGGATGACGAGTATGACTCGGTCAACAATGGGAGGACGACTTGAGTGTTGCCCTTGGTCCCCAAAGTGCCACTCTCCAAAAGAGGCTTGTGGAAGAACACGCATCTCCTATCAATATATGTCCTCGCCTCCACATTGTCCAGAGCGTTGGTCACGCCATCCAGGGCGTGCCAAAACTCCTCGTTGAAGATGCTCTCCGTATCGGGCCCGACACGCTCCTTCAGAGTGATGATGCGGCCCTCGAGATCGGGATTCATCACCTGCGCCGCCTTCGCAGCGCACTCGCTCTTCATCTGGCCCACGTCCTTGGGCCGGAACAGGAATTGCCGATTCAGGTTGCTCTTCTCGATCGAGTCCATATCGGTCACCGTGATTTGACCGTTAGGGCCAGTCCCTAGACCGATCATCGCCCAGTTCTTGAGCATCTCACAGCCGATCGCTCCGGCGCCAACTAGGAACTGCTTCATGTTTGCAATCTTCTCCTGGAACTCACGACCGAACACTGCGATTTGACCATCGTAGCGGGAGCCGGAGGGCTTGCACAACTCCTCCGAACGAGCAACCCCCGTGGGGAGAGACTCGAGGGAGTCAACGTACATAAACTGCTTTACCGGGCTAAACTTGCCCGATACAGCTTTTAGCGCCTCCTGAGCAGTGAGGCCACCGAAGAATGCGGCCATCGGACTGAGATCACCCGTTGCCTGGTAGCTGAGTTCCTTCAGCAACTTCTCGTCAAACTCCACCTCAATGCCTTCGGCCTGAGCAAACTTCTTGGCGGAATTGACGATGACGAGCGCATCTTCCTCGTTCATCGGCCTGGGGAGACGGCCGTGGGTCTGAGCGAAAGCGTGCAGCATTTGGATGCCGATGTGGAGTTGCTGAGGCCGGTCGAACTTGGCAAAATCGGAGATGACGAATTCGGGGTCCTTCATGGCGGCGCTGATGCCCTTGAAGTCGATGAACTTGGGCATCTTGACTTGCTGGTACAAGCCACCCCGCTTGTAGTGGCCGAGGCCAGACACGTCGCCGATCGAGAAGGTATAAGGCCCCTTGACCGTAACCTTCCGCGGTTCGCAGCCGTTTAGAGCTTCCATGCCTTCGACCTCGGAGAATGTCACGTAATCCCCATCTTCAAGCCCGTGCCGGGTTTCGTCCAGGGCGGATACCAGGCCCGTCTCATCGATACCAGCAACGATGCCGTTCAGGGGGTTTTCGCCGGTCGCGTCGATAACGGTGAAGTTCTTGCCAAAGTCGCAGAACACGGACCCAAAGAGACCGAAGGTGTCGGCTACAATGAAGTAGATGCCCTTCTCGTGACAGTAGTCGCCAACAGTCTGTTGGATGTGTTGGGGTGTGTTTGTGAGGACGACGACTTGATATTGGTCGAACTGCGCAAGGTTCTCGCCGAGGCTGCACAGGAAAGCCAGTTAGCACATGCCGCACTCGAGCTAGTGTTGGCAAGACCACACGTTACATACCTCGGAGACTCGTGAATACGCACGGGTGTGTACGCGTTGAGCTCGGCAACCCGGGGGGCGGTGGTCTGATCGCGGGGTTTGCCGACGTCCTCGGCCCGGAGGAAGAACTGGGAGGAGAGGTCCGCGATGGCGACCGGCGCCGGGTCGTGGAGGGTGAGGCTCTTGACGCCGGCAAGGGCGATATTCTTGGCGATCTCGACGCCGAGACCCTTGAGGCCGACGATGAGCACATTCGAAGCGCTCATCCGCTTCATAGCCTCATGACCGAGCACATAGAGTTGCCGGCTGTAGAGGGATTCGTCGATGTCGTTCGACCCCACGACCGACTCGTCCACCTGCATCCTGGTGACGAGGTCGACCTCACCGGGCTTCTTCTTGTCCTGGTAATCCATCGTTAGAGCGTTTGTCGACCACAGCTATGGTTTGTCAAATCCCCCTTAAAAGGATGCGTCACGCTAGAGTTGCCACGGTGGATGCTGGATGCTGGATCTGACCCCCCTGGCCTGAGTATGTCCTCCGTGACGCAGCCGCTCTGGGTTCGACGATCGAGGGGTTGTTCGGACCGGGAAAGTGTAGAGAGTGCAACTCACAGTCATGGTTCGTTTGAGGGAAATCGGTAAATCCCCGTCGGATACTTTGCGCTTCCCCAGTTTGGCGAGATTGTTTTGGTATGGGGCGTAAATGGGAAGTAGAGGTTTTGGTCCTTCTTGGTGATCGAGGGTTGATATGGTGTGGTGGAAGGCGCGAGAAGAGTGTTGGATGTGAAGTGCAAGGCACTCGCAGGCAACTCAGCCCCGCCGGAGGTGGCCTGCGGGAGTGACGGCAAGGTGGGGTAATGGAGCTAATCAGGGTTCTATAGAGACGGTGACTAACCTGATACGGTCGGTTGATTAATCGTGGATTAGAAATGTCATTTTTGTCCCCCTTGATTTAATAAGCTAGGTGGTTGCTTCCTGCCATTCAAGGCGCTTGTTTTGATCTTATGAACTTGAGCAGGACGCTGCACCTTAAGGGAGCTCCAGTCCAAGCAACAATATTTGCAAGATGGCGGCATGTATGTATCTAATGTGTTTCTTTTTTTATTTATTGTAATCCCATATTTCCGCCTGTGTTGCAATTAAAATAACTAGAAACCTTCGGCGCCCCATCGCTGTGACGGTCCTATATGGATTAAGGCAGACCCCAGGTTGCGATGTCCGAACACTTGTCTCGTTGCTAGTGAAAAGGTTGAAGTTCGATTCCTAGGTAGGTATACCTCTTTCCCCTATTCTTGTTTTGTTCTATTGCGCTATCGAAGGCTAGATCGAGTGGGAATAAGCTTGCGCGTGTATCAAGCTCTTGCTAAAAAGAAGAAGAACAGAGGATATCAACGAAATACGTTTTCCCAATAAACGCCTAGCCATGTGTGCAGCATTTTTTCCCCACCAGAAATCCGAAACAGGGCCGGAACAGATCATTGAACCGCTTTCAGATGTACGTCACTATCGACACATGTCAGACGAGATTTCGAGGAAGCCACATCAGTGGCCACTTACAAAATCAGATCAGCATTCGGTGGAATATGGCCGTGGAAGCCCCTGAGATTCTGTTAGCTCCAAGGCCCCTGATACATTATACAAAAGTTCCGTCTAAATGGGTGTACTTGCTTCTCCCCATAACCATAATCACTATCGATAAATGATGCGTTAGCCAATCCCTCTTCCATATAGTAGCAACCTGCACCACCGACGAGTCGAGCAACTCACCTGGTAATGTCAAGGGTTGCGCGCTCGCCGACCCTCATGTCCAAGACTGCCTCGTCCCATCCTAGACGCGTAGTGTAAGCCGGCTTTCTGTCCGAAAAAAAAGGGGCATGTTTTATGAAGGGTGGGTGTGTGGACTGATCCTACCCGTGATGAGCCTCCCGATCCCAATCTCCGTCACAAAGTCGGCGCCACCAACAGACGTGTCAAACCTATGAGAGTTGTGTGTTAGCAGACAAACTCGGCACTACAGGAGATGACCACTCACATTTTTCCCCTATTGCTTGGTTGACTTGTGTCCTTTAGCCAACCAGTGTACTCGATCGTGACTGTCTGGCCCTTGACGGGCTGTGGGCCGTCTCCCGTGACGTGCGTTGTTCGTGTTACGCCCATTGAAACCGAGTATCTGTGATGGGTGACAACGATGATGCTGCCGGGTGCCTGAATTTGGCACTAGTTCCCTGCCTTGGTGTGGGGTTTGTAGAATCGTTTTGCTTGCCTCCTCAAGCCGAGTGTGGCAAAGTAGACGAGGAGTACCAAGGCAAGACGGCGGGCGCCGACGGAAGCAAGTGAAGAGTTTGTGGAGGAAGGGACTGAAGAGGGCTGGCTTCGGCTAGGTACTGCTGTTATGACTCGAGAGAAAAGGAGCGAGCTGGCATGGCACGACGAGGCATTTGTATTTGGAGGACTAGAGGAGACGGGTGTCAAGCGGCCGTAGGTATTTATTACTCGGTAACAACTTGGGCAGTTCCCAGTGCAGTGCGTTTGAGCAGGAAATTCTCAACCTCTCCCCCGGGCGTGATTCCACCGAGCCATCGTCATGTTCGGAAAAGGTACTTGTACTTGTCCTCGGGCCACGCGGCTCACGCGACCAAGGGTACTCGAGACAAACAAACTTGAGGCGGGACAAGACAACTTGGAAATGCTTGCCCATGCAGATCGCCAGCCCATGACCGGTCAGTCATGGCCCGCTCCGGAGCTAAACCCGGCTGCAAATTTTGGTCAATTTTAGTCTGGGGTGCTGATGCAGGCCGGGTACCTTCCTTCGTAGCACTTGGGTTGGCTCCGTGGAGGAGGATTGGTGTTGGCGGAAGGAGCCATGGGGTTTGTTCTGGTCGTGGTCGGCGACTGCCTGCACGAACAACAGCGCCGGTCCCGGTTGGCTGCGTGGTTCCGCAGAGAGAGATCTTAGCGCGGGGTTTTCCGTGGGGTTCATTCGATTTGAAGACCCCCTGGCTCTTTCCCTCCATCTTCACCCACTCTCACACCTCCTCGCTCCCCCCCTCACGCGCGAATCGGCCACTGCATCTTGCAGCTTGCCAACACGATCACCGTTCCCGCCACCAATTACCTGCCGTGGATCGCAGCTGTGTGCCGAAAAGGTTGCATGCACTAGCCTCTGCGCCCATGATGCGGCCGCAGCCATCGCAGGCCGCTTGTCCACGATGACGAAGACGAGACACTGTTCAACAAGCAGAGTTCCATCCATCCTCCGCTCAGGTCCCCGAACCGTTGCTGGCCCGTTCCATTCTTTGCTTTTGGCCTTTCGTCAACCCGCCCCGCCCTGTGCTCCCATCACATGCGTCTCTGGGGGCCGTGTTGATGCATTGCGGACCCGGAAAGAAAGCGGGGGGAGAGGAGGGAGAGACCAGGAGTGTGTTGGAATGAAGTCTCGTTCTCACACAATCGGTGAACCCCCCTGATTCACTGTTGGCCCGCCGTCGGAGATGTGCCCGAATCCGAAGTACCTTGCCGGCCCGGGTGCGGGCCGTATCTGGCATTTGACAACTCCGATCCGTGCTAGTGTATGCGTGTGCGAGATTCCCATCTATGTCGACGCACTGTGTCCGTACCAACGTTGTACGCGGAGAGGGCAAACACCCGGCTACCAACCAGCATGGCAGCGAAGACGGGCCGCTTCTGGCGCTCGTCAAACGACGAGGCAGCAGGAAGGTTGGGCGCAGACAAGGTGGCGCGCGACCCAAGAGCGGGTGCCATGGCGGCTTGGCCAGCCGGGCTCTTATCATGTATGGACGTAGGGCCAACGAACCCGCATGCATAGTCCGTTTGTCACTCGCAGCTCGCCAAACCAGACCTGTTTCGCACATTGCCAGATCTGCATCTCCTGGTGCCGAAGCCGACTGGCTTCTCCTCGTTGGCTCAGCCCCGCTGGACCCCGTCCGTCTCGTCCAAAGATGGCATTTTCTGCCCGTGTTCCTGGCACCGTCAGAAGCCGCGCGGTCCCGCCAGCTTGGTCACTCCCTACGGTTACTCCTAGCTCCCTCCGGCCATCAAGTCTACCCGATTAGGGAGCCGAACCGAGGAGCACCGGCGGGCCACCAAGAAGCGGACCAGAGGTCTGCCGTGGACGCTGACACGAGACCAGAGACATGACAGGCCGAAATCTGCCGTCCTCCCCTTCGCTGGGAAGAACCCAGTCCCGGCCGCAGGTCAAGGGTTCAGCGCGGGCGATGGCATACAATGTCTCGATCTGCACAACCGATGATTTGCAGTGTCTTACCCAGCCCACAAGAAGTACCGAATCTCATCCCAGATATCTCGACCATGACTGGTCTCGGGCTGGCGCAGGACGGCACGTTGAACCAAATATCCCACGGTCCTGGCATTTTCGGACTGCCTGCGTAGGGTAGAGGAGCCTAGCACTGCGCCTTTTTCTGCCCGAGCATCTCATCACCTCCCCTCGTGTGTAGACACGACACTCCACCTGGGTGGTGATTCCGCATCAAGTCCGCCAACGCTTGTCTCGGGGTTTCTAATCGCCGGGCCAGCGAGCCCGGTGCCCTCCTCACCGACACCCCCTTGACTTCTATCTGTTCCAAAGTAGCTTTGATCTTGTCTTCGGACTTCTCGTCGATCATGGTCGATGCTAGTACGAGATAAAACCCCGCCCGCGCAAGATCAGTTGTGAATAAGTAGCGGTAAGCAACAAAAGGCCGGCACATCGTTTCGGGCGCTTGCGGCATCGAGATCGAGTGTAAGGCGTGACCAGGAGACACGTGGAGGGTCCCGAATGGGCAAATCCTGCGTCCCACGGAACCGGCAGGCCGCTGCGGAGACCAAGATCCTGCCGGTTTGATCGATGCCGGTGGCCGGGGCGGATCGGGTTGCCGGAGTTGGTCTCAAGTTGGACAACCCCCATCGATTGTACTAACAAAACCCAACTTCCTGACTTCCTCCTAGCGCGGCCTGGGAAAGTGGATGCGGGAGGCACGCACATGCATCTGCCGTCACAATAGTGCCCAAGGGCTGCCCGATGACTTTCGGCCGATTTGAAACTGGCGGAGAACCCACCGGAGGATCAAGAATATTCAAATTCCATGGAGAACAGCAGTCAGCTCCATCCACACTTGCACGGCTCGCTCGCCTCCGGTTCACGAATCGTTGGTGTTCAACCTTTTTGAGGGTCTAGTGGGGGTCAAAAAAGGCAACTAAAAGATTGCCGGCCTGCAGTTCTTCGCACGAGATCGACGGTCTTGCCGACGATGCCTTAAAAAAGCAACCGAGGAGTTCCGGGGCCGAGACCGATGGGAAGCAACCCCACCACGGGGAGACTAGATCAGCCGTCGTTGCCGCTTTTAGTTCCGAGAGCCGGCCGGCCCATCCCGGAAGCCGGGATAGGCGCCGGCCTGCCTGGGTCGATGTTGATTCACCCGACAAGTATCACACTCAGTCACCTGCCGATATCTCCCACGCCATGACAGCCACAGCCCAAGAGAGAGAGTAAAGGGCCGATACCTCGATCGTGCTTTATGAGGTAAATTAAGCCCCCCGCCGGCTTTCCTGCCAAACAAAGAAGCCGAGAATAGAAGCAGAGTCCTATCTCCATACATACAGACACATCGGGGCGGCCACAGAATAAAGAAACGAAAACGTGGGAGGCAGGCATCCCGAAGATCAAACCGTTCGAGCCGGCCCCCCCCCTCCTTCACATTCACTCCCTCACCCGCACCTAAGATGCCACTCGCTTCGTGCCGAGGGGGCCACCATCTCAGGCCGACCCGCGCCGCGGCCCCTTGCAGGTGGTTCGTTACATCTCTTGAAGCTGGCTGGGAGTCATCATCCCGCATTCGCCATATCAGACTTGGCTTTTTTAGCCCGCGCGTGAGAATGAGGAAATGCCTGGGTTGGGTTGAAACGAAGCACGGCAACACCACTGCACAGAACCATTTGGGCTTGGGACACCCCCCCACCGCACCGTGGCCGCGCCGAGCGCGGTATAATAGGTAATGAGCTACGTAATGAGCGTAGCGAACGAAGGAATCTACTTCGTAACAACTACAGGTTTACCAAACCGTCATGCCGTGCCGGATAATCGGTACCCAAAGCTGGGAGCGCCAACAAGCTGAAACATCCGTCTTTAGCTCGTTCGTGGGGTGGGGAAAGGGTGTTCGACGTTAGGGTTACAGTTTACAGGTGACAGGTGACGGCGGTTGACGGTGAGGCTGAAGTTGGGGGGGCGGGTGCCGACTGTGCCGTGCTCGTTGTTCCAGATCTTGCCTTTGTGGGTGCACGGGGCACTGTCGGGCTGTTGCTGAAGGTTAACTCGTTAGTGTGTGGTGGATGGTGGAGGGTGGAGGGTGGAGTTGTGCCTGTCCCGAAGTTGGGTTGTTGTTGGGTTTGGGGGGTGAGCCGAGATCGAGAGTGTGGTTGTCAATTTGGTTGGTTGGAGGTGGTGAGTTGAGATATAACCAAGATTGGGAATGCAGCGAACTTGCATCTTCGATATTGAAAGGCAATCAATCATTTTGGATATTCTCTCAGTTAACCTACGTTGACAAATTTTCGGCCCAGCCGGTCTTGTTAGGCAGAGGCCGTCGCCTGTTGGTGACGGTTCCTGCAGCTGCGCTTCACCTCAACGGCGGGTTGCTCCCTACCTAACCCCCGGATGGAAGCTGAGGGTGGAGAGGTACGAAGTACGAATACAGATCCGTAATTGCTAAATAAAACTTGCCTTTGTCTGCCTTCTGTCGAAAAACGGATGATCTGCCTCGTCACTGACTGTTGGCACAACCTGTGGGCGGGGAGCTGGATCTCGTGCCTCACGGCGCAGAGTGTTGGTGGGTTTTGTCGAAGTCAGTTGGCGATGGAACCCAGACTCTAGTTTGCGGCGGCCAACCATCCTGCTTCCCCCGCATGCGCACTCAGCTCACCTAGCGTACTGCGTACCTCGTTCACAGTCTGGCGCGCGTGATCTCACCAGAAGCGAAAGACGACTGATGGAAGCAAAGGAACCGGCATTTCGCGGTCGGCGGGAGTGGCACAGAGGGCTGTCAACGGGCTCGCCCTGGTTCCTGAAGAGCTGAGCGGGACCTGAAATCCTGTCAGATGCAGGCTTGTGGCGGGTATTTGAGGTTGCGGTTCTGGAATGGATGATGAGTCGTTTTTCCAGCACCGTGCTGCCCCTCGTTACGAGCCAGTTTATTCCTTGTCTTGTAAGGCTGGAAAGGTGAGACCTGACTGGTGGGGTGGTTGGTCTTTATTTGGCTCGACGATCGCGCAAATCTCGAATGACGACACCCGGGGATCGTCGATGGGCGATGGGCGATGGGCACTCGGGCAACAAACTCGGTACCTGGCTCGCCTGGGCGCGAGTTACCGATGTTGGTGGAGGCTGAGCTGCGGAAGAAGGAACAATCCGTTGCTGCGAGCGCCGCATCGAGCCTCAACGGCACAGTGGGAGGTTGCTTCTGAGTGAGACACAACTGGCTCGCGCCATTGCAGATTTGTTGGAGTCAAGATTCCAGGCTCTTCAAGGCAGCAGTCACAGGTGGGCGGCGGCTATCGGTCTGGAACCCTGGCACCCTGAGCTCCATCGCCAGTTGTGCCCTGAACCGGCGGAATGTCAGCACGCTTGAAAGCTGCGCCGTCAATTCTGGATGCGTGTTGGAAGCGAACACCGGTTTGCACGTGTTTGGGCTGACCTGGTGGTCTGGGGAAATTGAGCTCGCAGAGGTGCCGTTCCGTTTCGTTGGCACGCCGTTTCGAAACGAGAGGTCTCTTCTCATCAGTCTCGGTTGTCTTTGCCGGTGGAAGCAACCAGATTGGATTACCCGACCCAGCGACTAATATCTGGGTCGCGTATGCGGCCATCGACTATAGTTTGTGTGCAATATCCAATACCGCTTGATTAACCGCATTTCGGTGGACCACCGGAACCACCGTTCAGATGTTTGACGCCCTCCATCCCCTTTTCTCCACGCGTTCCGCATCCTCGAGGCGATCGGAACTCCATTCGCGCAGCCCGAGCCCAGTCCGGATTAGGCGATGGGGAGGTGACATTCTCGCTGGCGCCGTGCGGACACCCACCACTCTCTCCAGCAGTAACTGCACGGTACGTACGTGCCCAGGAGGCGGGGACAACAGTCCAGCGAGCATTTGCTGCGAACCTACACAGTAGAAGTAGGGGGCAATAAACTACAAGTAGTGGAACGGCGAGGTCGTCGCGGAGTCAGGCTTGTCCAGCATCGGAATATCGCCGCTGCTGCACGACAAACCGCTGCAGCTTGCAGCTTGCGCGTGGCCCGTCGGCGGAAATTCGACTTGGGGTTTGTCGCTCGGTGTTCTTGGCGATTCGGGATGGGAGCCAAAGCACGGCAGTCCACCGTCGGTGTTGCATTGGTTCGGAAAATGGTGATCAGCGGGTTTCTGCCCTGCAAGAGACAGATGGAAGGGATGTCCCAGCACGTGTTTTTACTCAAGTCTTGCAGAATTCATCAAATTCATCATTGCGCTTCAATGCTTCCCGGCGCCGAAAGAAGGCGGCTGTCTTTGGGATGGAAGCAATTGCGCGCGCGCCATGCAGGCTTTGAGATTGATCTTTTTGCCGTGATGCAGGGATCCGCCGCATGGCGTAACTGAGCAATATCACTTCGAGTGGGGTCGCCCACTCAACACGAACCAACCAGATGAGGCTGGTAATTCTTGGCGCGGTTGGAGTGGGTCCCTCTTGAAGACTGTTTCTCGAGACTGAAAGGTCGAAGTACCTGCATCGCCGGCCAACGTCAGCCAGAAACACCGCAGAGACATTCCCGCCAGAAGTACCTCATACCTTTTCACTCCATTTTCAGGTCCGGGCCACGCGCCGCCACCATGCCGTCCCTCGCAGCTGCCCCCTTTGGACGCCAACGGACTTTTGCATGGCGGGATGGTTATGGTGCCTGGCAGCCCGGCAAGCCCTTGCTGCGTCCCCAGTTCATCGCGTCTCCCACTTTTTTTGTCGCCAACTTGAACTTCCCGTCGCCAACTTCCGAGCAGGGCCCTGCCCATCCAAGCACCCCGTTGCCCGTCGGCTCCGTGATTGTTCTGCGTGAGGTGAGAGAGATCCTGCGCCCAGTGCCGGGCATAGCCAGTTACCTCGTTACCTTAGTTCAAAACGCAGTGTTGTTCCAAGACCTGCTCGTATTCAGTTTTCTCGCGGCGAGAACTCCAGGTCTGGTCATTGTCGCCGTTGCTGCCGAGCCAGGCTCCGTTTCAGCCCGTTAGGTTTAAGGTACCCGCCCGCGCATTGTTAGCCCACGGGTACCTGGATCCCTAGCCCTCCCCCACCCCACCCCCCAGACCCAACCAGCCGCCCAGCGCAGTGCCCCGGCCAGTGTAATCTTCCCCGTTGCTACCCTCACTGCTCGCTCTGCATTCTGGTCTCGCACCCTTGCAGCGCTCCGCCCCAAAGTCCTTCCCTTCCTCCAATCCCCCTCTCCAGCCCCTTGTTGTTTCTTCCGCTTCGCTTTGGGGCGTCTTTTCTTGGTTGCGTCCGTTCCGTTCTCTCAAGCCAAACCTTCCCTTTCCTTTCTGCTTCACTCTCGACATCCCACTTCCGGTGACCTTCCCCGACGACGTCGTCCCTTCAGACCAGCCCCGCGACTCGCCGACCGACCAGCGCATAACCGTCGTCATCCGACCTTTTTTGCGACCTGGAAAAAGGACCCTCCCGGAAGACCGACCGTGATTCCCGCCCGATGCCCACCTTGTCATGACCCGTGAACGCGAGCTCCCGATACCACGCAGGTGAAGCACCGTTAATACCGGAAACCCCCCAAGTTTGACGATTTTTCGTCAAGTCACTCTTTTATACGCAATTCGTCGTTTTTGCTTTATTTAGAGGGGCTCATCCCGAGTTTCCTCGAATCGCCAATTGTGAGTCCAACTGATAGGGGACGGAGAAAGGGGGGGGGGGTGTACGGGGACTCGGGGAGGCATTGGGGGCCCCGTTTGAGGCGCATCGACTCTCGGTGCAACGAGCAAAAAGCGAGACCCGTGCCGGCTGTGCCTATGGCGCCGGCGAAGCTCCTGTTGTGTTCTGTTCGCCCATGCGGATCCTCGATGCCCCCCTGCCTCTGGCGTCACGCTCGGAATAATGTTGGCTGACCCGATGGCCGATAACTAGAACCACACTCGTTCAATATCTTTGTCAAGTACACTCATTACGACTTCCCTGACAAGTGAGTGCCGCATCGCTGCACCGACGCCGTTGGCGGCGCTGACATGCCATCTGCGCTCACAGAACCCTCCACTCCTTTCGCGAGGTACCCTCGCTTCTTAACTCACTCACCAAACTTCGGAGCGCATGACCGAGACGCCATAGCGAGGTAGAATGAGAACATCTTCAGTGTTGGCCGCCGCCTTGGTGGCGGTCTCGTCGGTGGTGGCTAGTCAGGAGGCAGGGAAGTCAAAGTTCTATTTCCCCCGCCATGTCAAGCGGCAGGTCACCAACGCGACAACAACGTCGCATGAAAGTGTGCCGCCATCCACCTCGTTAGACACGACCAAGAGGCAGTCCAACTCGGAATCGGACTCGTCGAGCGACTCGGGGGTTACAACCGTTGTGGTTCCCGTCACGGTCATTGTCTCGCCGCCTTTCCCAAGTCCCACTTCGGAGTCGTCCTCCACCACGGGAAGCGCATCCAGCAGCATATCCTCGAGCGAAAGCACATCCGATCGCAGTACTAGCGAGCCATCGGACAGCAGCTCCGCCAGCGACAGCTCGTCTAGTAGTTTCTCATCGTCCAGGGGCCCCGCTCGCACCACCTCGACAAGCGACAGCTCGTCTGAGGAGACCTCTACGGAGAGCTCATCGGAGGAGGCTTCCTCTACGGAGAGCTCATCTGAGGAGACTTCCTCTACGGAGACAGCGTCCGGCAGCACCAGCTCACCCGCCGACGACTCATCGAGCGAAACTTCGACCACCGAGCCCGAGCGGCCTTCCTCGACCGTGCTGCTGCCGGTTCCCGGCAATAGTACGAGCAGCACTCTGGACGACGAGCCCACATCCTCCAGCAGCACAACGGACGCCGAGGAAACAACGGCATCCGAGGAGCCCCCGGTCCCAACGACAAGCACATCCGGAATTCTGATAGCTCCAACTGGAATCGTGACCAACTCCAGCAGTTCTGAGCCTGGCAACCCGCTCAGCTCTATCATTGGCGGTATCGGCTCGGCCATTTCTAGCGTTTTTGACCCGTCGCCAAATGCCACCACCACCACCTCTGTCCTTGGTCCCACTGACGGTATCACTGGTCCCGGCACAGGTGTTTCAACAACTGGGCCAGCGACTGTGACCGAGCCACCCGTGTCAGAGACCGAGCCGCCTGTGTCGGACACCACGACCATCAGCGAACCGGTATTGCCTCCAGTTACAAACGCGACCGTCTCGTCGACTGAAAGCACGACCACACCAGGCCTGCCCAACTCGTCGACTGACATCCCAGGTACCGGCACCAACACAACGTCGGCTTTCACGCCGCCGCCAGCGCCTACCACATCGGGCGGCTTTTCTGGCAACGGTACCATTCCGACCGGCAACAGCACGACGCCGCCGGAGACGTCGCTCCCGCCGACTACGATTACCAGTGAATCAAGCACACCCATCACCACCACCACCACCACCAAGGAATCTGGCGTTACGAGCATTCCGGGGATCACCACAGCCGAACCCACGGAACCGTATATCCCGTCGACGATTATTGTGGACCCCAGTTCGACCACGGCCTCAGGATTAGTACCGACCGCGTCGGCGAGCGGTATTCCGACCCAATACCCCTCGGCAATCGCACCTAACAGGCCTCCGATTGAGCAGCCTGATGATACGAGAGACATCCAAATTGGATTCCACGAGGGATATAATTATCCGTTTGTCGTTCAGGAAAACAAGGCTGCGGCCCAAATTTTCAAGTTCCTTCCTCAGGCTCTGAGCGAAGCGGGCGAGTTCGACCTCAGCAAGGCCCAAGTTAAGCGCCTGGTCCCGATGGATACGGGGAATTCGCTAGGCTACATCACAACGTGCGCGATCGTGTCGTATCCAAAGAGACTGGTGGACAAACTGGCTATCGACATCAAGCACCCGAACTCGCTTCTGTACAACAATGACAACCAGCTCATCTACAACCTCACGCAGCAGATCAACCCGGCGATCCCCATCGAAATAGGCCAGTTCCCCGACGGCGTGACGGGCCCCACGGGTGACTCTGCGGGCGGCAACCCCGACGGCGACAGCGGCGGCTCCAACAATGACCCCTTTGGCGGTAGCGGCAACTCTGAAGGCCAGAGCAGTGCGCAGCGGGGCACGACGGCAGGCATTGTCAGCGGTGCGGTTGCCGTGGCTGCCGCATACGGCGTGGTCATGTTTGTTGTGGCGCGGCGGTACAAGCGTAAGAAGCAGTCGCACCGGCGCGCGAGCTCTATCAGCAACCCGTCCGAGATGAGCGAGGCCGGCCGCGGCGGCGGCAGCCCCCCGCTCATGGGCGGTGCCCTGCTGAGCCGTGACTTCACGAGCAGCTACGGCGCCATGCCGGCGGGCGGGCGAGACAGCCACGGCAGCGGCGGGAGCGGTGCGGGCAACTCGGGGCGGACACAGTTCATCTCGGCGCCCGTCGCGGCCGGAAACTCGCTCGGCTGGAACTGATGTGTCCTCCCCACAACCCCCCGCCTGTGCTACCCAGCACCCGATGATGACCTAATCTGACTCCGATTTTGCCATGGCCATGTCTTTCTGTCTATTTCTACGTCGTCTCTCGAACCACATTCCAACTCAACCACCCCCGACATACCTCGCCATCGAAATGACGCGAAAACACGCCAACCGTTCTTATGCTTCGATACCCCTCGGCCGGCGGTTGCGGCTTGCCTGTCTGGTGTCAACCAAGCGAGTCTTGCCGCACCCCCGAGTCTTTGTTTTTCCTGCTTCAAAAACCTCATCGACCCCTCAACCACCAACCACCTTATCTATAGACAGACGACACGCACGCACGGCGGAACCTCGGCCATCGCAAAAATCTTTTTTTACTTTTTTTGTCTATCTACTTCTTGGCGGACCATGTTTTAACCACTTTTTAAACCCTTCTTGGAGATGATACCCTGACCGGACGGGACCGTGGGTTCTGGCCCTGGCCTCCTCCCCTCCCTGTTTCCCCTTTTTTGTGTATACAGCTTTTTTGGAGTCGGGATGGCGGAAGGGAAAATGCCAGGGCTGGGCGGCATCCCGGTCGGGGAATTTAGTTACAATTTTTTTTTCTTGAACCTTTACACATTACCTTACGTTATTGCCGGCTCTTTCGATCTTCCTTGTCCTGTCATGTGTGTTTCGGACTCGGATGGGGTCTGGAATGCGGGGCGGTCAGACTGCGCGCGCGCTTGTGACTGTTTTAGTCTGGGCTGCGTGACTGTCTATTCGGTCTGGGCAAAGGAGGTTGGTGTCTGGTATTACCTAATTTATTTGTCCTTTATTTTTATTTCCTTATGTTTTTGTGTTTTCCTTTATTTGTGGTCTATTGTTGTCTTGTGATCCGGTGGTGCGGATCGGGATGAGCGATGAAGGGAGGACGCGAGTGTCTTGGGAGGGAGTTGTGGCTAGGGAGGTGATGGAGGGAGGGGCGGATGGAGGTGGCCTTGCCTGGGATGGGTTTTGTGTTGGGTGGCAGGGTGTTGGATGGAAACAAAAAATGGCTTTCAGAGGATCTGTGAGCGTGGTGGTGATTGTTGTAGGGGAACGCGGGCTCTGAGACAGACAAGGGGTGGTTGGGGAGGTGTTGTGATGAGCCCTGTGTTGAATTCTGCGCCCTGATGGTTGCGGCTGCGTGTTTTTGTCCAAGGTTGAGCAGATCCGGCAAGATGAATGAAGCTGACATGTCCGCTGTCGCGTCACTGTGCTCTCACATGTGCTTGGGTGTGTACGGTGTATTGATGCTTGTGTCAGTCATGCTGAAGGCCCACGAGTCTTACTCCTGAACCACCTGAGCTTTTCAACGTGACGGTTTAGACGAAATAGGCTACTGATCTTCCACTGTGCAAGTGGGATGCTGGCCACTCAGGCTTGTGCCCTGCCGTGCCTGCATTACTCGTGCCTCGAGAACGCGGGGTTCCCTGGTCCCGTGTTGTGCAGTCATAGGACGGGAAGGAGCAGAACAGTGCGCTGATGGCGCAACTGGACTGTGAGCTGCTTTGGGTGCCTGAAGAGCTGAACTCATCGTTATTTCCCGAACTTTACAACTCAAGGAACAACCTCCTCCCGGGTTCGACCTCGAGTCCTTAACATCGTAACTCGCCCACGGCTGAGATAAAATGGCGGCATCATCCGTGGCCATGTCTTAGATTCTCGGATCACCAATTCGATATCCTGATTGATCACTGAGGTCCACCGCGCACCAACGTTGACCGCCTATGACGAACCATATCATATCAGGGTCCATCCGCGCACACAATGCCGTCGTCAGGTTCGACTAGGCTGATGCAAGGGGCGGCGCGAGGAGGGAACCACGGCCGTGGTGAAGGCGGCGTCGAATGGCCGGCATCCCCGTCCTCCTCTTCTTCCGGGGCGGTAACTGGGGCGGGACCACGAGGAGGCAAGCGGCTGACTCCTGAAACTGGGTCGGAGGACGAGTATGAAGATGAAGATGGCGAGGAAAAGGATGGAGATGAAGGAGATGAGCTTCGGGATGGGATGAAAGGGGAGCTGGACGAGGAGGAAGGGAAGCCGTCGGAAGAACAACCGCTACGAGGACGGCGACGACGGCAACTGTATACCGCCGAGGAGGAGAAGGCTGTCGTGCGCAAGTTTGACCGGAAGTTGGTGGTGTTTGTCGCTCTGCTGTATCTGCTGAGCTTTCTGGACCGGTCGAGTAGGTTTGCCCGTTCCCGCCTCCTTACGATCCACCTCATGCTCACGAATTCTAGACATTGGTAACGCCCGTGTTGCCGGGATGGACGAGGATCTACAGTCGGTGCCACCCCGCGAGGGCTGGTACGAGTGGGCACTTGGCGCCTTTTACATCGCCTACATCGTCTTCGAGTGGATGGCGCTTCTTTGGCGGGTCATACCGGCGCACATCTACGTGGCCGCGCTGGTCATGTCGTGGGGCGTGACGGCCTCGCTGCAAGCCGTGGCTGTCAATTACCCCATGCTCATCTGCTTGCGGGTTCTCCTAGGCATTGGAGAGGCGGGCTTTACGGGCGTGCCATTCTACCTGTCCTTCTTTTTCAAGCGGCACGAACTGGCGTTTAGGACCGCCATTTTCGTATCAGGTAAGCCTATGCACCAGCACTCCCTCGACTAGCCGCACCGCTTACTTAATTACAATACACAGCCGCTCCTCTAGCGACGTCCTTCGCTGCCTCCCTAGCTTGGGTGATCGTCAAGCTCGCCGAGTACAGCCCCATCGCCCCGTGGCGCCTGCTCTTCCTTATTGAAGGCTTCCCTTCTGTCCTCGTTGCGGGCATCGCGTGGCGCATCATCCCCGACTCGCCGCAAACAGCCCCCTACCTCACGCGGCGCGAAAAGAAGGTCGCCCGCCTACGCCTCCAACCCTCCAGCAGCAGCAGCAGCACCACCACCACCTCCTCCACCCCCCTCCGTGACACCCTCGCCGTGCTGACCGACCCGGCCGCGTGGCTCACAGCGCTCATCTTCCTGCTCACCAACATGGCCTACTCCTCCCTGCCCGTCTTCCTCCCCACCATCCTCACCGCCATGGGCCACACGCCCCTCCAAGCCCAGGCCCTCTCCGCGCCCCCTTACCTAGCCGCCTTCGCCATCGTGCTCGCCACGGCCTGGGCCTCGGACGCGATGCGCGCGCGGTCCCCGCTCCTCATCACGCACGCGCTCGCGTCCGCGGCCGGGTACGCCGTGCTCGCGCTGGCCGACAGCCCGCTGCTGCGGCTCGACCCGGGCAGCACCATGCGCTACCTGGCCGTGTACCCGGCGGCGGTGGGGTTTTTTAACGTGGTGGTGCTGACCATCGCGTGGAGCATCAACAACCAGCGCGGCACGGCGCGCCAGGGGGCTGGGTTCGCTTTGCTGCAGGCTGTTGGGCAGTGCGGCCCGCTTGTTGGGACGCGTCTGTACCCGGACGCGGACGCCCCCTACTACACGCGCGGCATGACTGTTTGTGCGGTGGCTATGTGTGGGGTGGCGCTGCTGGCGGTCGGGTTGCGGGCTTGGTTGGGGAGGGTGAATCGGCGGTGGGATCGGGAGGAGGGGGTTGGTAGTGGTGAGGAGGGTGTTGGGGGGGAAGGGGAGGCGCTGGTTGGGGGTGGAGAGGCGGGTTCTTCGGGGAGGGAGAAGGGGTTTCGGTATATGTTGTGATTTGGACTGGATGCGGGCGGATAAGGATGAGAGAGCCGGGGATAGATAGGGGTGGATTATAAGCGGGATATTGGGATGCTTGCTTCGGCTTCACTTTTTGGATATAGGGATACAGGTGGGACAGGTGATTGGGCTGACGGTTTTGGATTTGGATTATTTTGTTATATGCTGTTTAATTTCCCGCACCGAGGTCAACAACCTCTTATTCTTTTCGGTGCGCAGTTATAGACACCCGCTTGGGTTGATGGGCACTCGCTTCGTCGGGTTCATAAACCTTCCACAATGTTCTTTCTTGGTGAACTCGCGGCGGGATGACTAGCCCCGTCGAAAATGAGACGATCCACGCGAAACCCGGAGTCCCCTCCCCCTTTACCCTGATGCCTGTCACGAGCGGACCAAGTAGGATCTCCTGAGCTCTCCTGCGTAGGCAGGGGCTATCTCAGCCCAAATACAGGCGCTACGGTGGTGGGATGCGCGGTTTGCAACGTTTGCAACTCGGCCTCTCTCGGTGCCAGAACCCAGTACATCGGGCTAGCCCAGCTCGCGCTTCCCGAATTGCCGCGGGTGGTGGTGGCCTGAAGCTCTCTCTACGCCCCCGTTCGGACGCAAGGCCGGGGGGGGGGGGGGGGGGGGGGGGGGGTGGTTATTTCGAGCGGAGCTACAACAGCAAAAAAAAAAGACAGCACGCAGCGCCATCTCTCCACGCCTCACGGCGCAGCCATCTTCATCTTGACCATGGCCATCTCGGTGCTCTTAGCCCACGCGCCGTCGGGCTTCTGGCGGTAGCACATGAGCTTGCCCTCGTCGCCGACGCTGCCGAGGATCTGGCCGTCGTCGTCGAACCCCACGCGCCACACGGGGGTGCGGTGGCAGTCGAGGCGCGAGATCTCGGTCACGACGTGCCTGATCTGCCCGGGGGGCTGGCCCGTCGCCCGCCGCTCCACCGTGCCCCGGCTCTGGTCCAGCCCCGCCCGTATCCCCGACGACGACATCAGCGACGCCCGCGACACGCTCGCGTCCTCCCCGCCGTCCACCCGCCGCCGCGCGCCGTGCTTCTTGACCCGCCCCGCGGCCCACCTCCCGCGGGCCCCGTCCTGCTCCTCGTCATCCGAGTGCGGCTCCTCGCCCGCGGGGGGGCGCAGGGCATCCAGACGGAAGACCCGCACCCAGCCGTCCTGGCACGCGGTGGCGACGATGTCATAGCCCCTGATGTTCCCGGGGGCCCAGGCGACGTCGCGGACCAGGCCGCGGTGCAGGCCCGTGGCGACCTCGGCGGCCAAGTAAAAGCCCTTCCAGGCGGCGGCGACGCCGAGGGAGGAGCGGATGGTGTCGCGGGTGCGGTAGACGCGCACGCGGTCCATGACGGCCACCACCAGCCCCAGCGCGTCCGCCGGCACGCCCGCGCCCAGCGCCGCGTAGCACACCTCCGGGTTCGGGTCGAACCGCACCTTGAAGGAGGTCTCCTCGCCGCGCGTCGTCACCGGCCGCGCTTTTGCGCCCGCGCCCGCGCCCGCGCCGTCGTCGGTTGCCGTTGTGGTTGTCGCTCCCGGGATGGTCGAGAGCTCGTCGAGCAGGGTGAACGCGGCGAGGTTCTCGACCCGGTCGTTCTCGTACACGGTCAGGCCGCCGTCGGCGGAGAGCAGGGCTAGGTAGGTGGTGCGGCTGTCGTCGAGGTGCTTGAGGGAGAAGGAGCGGTAGGGGGAGCGGGCGTTGCGGGTTTCGAAGGCGGGCTTGGCGGCGGCGACGGTCGTCCCTGACCCGGCGGAGGCGGTAGTGGTGTTGTCTGCGTATGTGGAGGAGGACGGAGGGGGTGCTGGGGGGGCGGGGCTGCCGAAGCCGGTTGCTGGTGGTGGGTTCGCGTGGAGGTGTGGGGAGCGCGAGGGGATGGTGATGAGGGGCCCGTTACGGGTGGATTCGGCGAAGCGGCGGCCGGGGGCGGCGGAGGGATCCTCGGCCCAGAGCTTGAAGCGGCCCTCGATGCCGAGCGAGGCGAGGAGGTTGGGGTAGATGGTTGTCGGGAGCCATTGAAGCTGGTGGAGGGGGAGGGGGCAGTGTTAGTGCGGGGCCGGGATACATGGAAGAACCGGGCAGTAAAAGAGGTGCGCGCAATAATACCTCTAATATCTCGCTTGCGTGGGCACCCCAAGTATCGCACAACCGCCAGGAGCCATCCTTGTGGCGGTTGAAGACGCGGATCTTGCCATCGACAGACCCCGTCGCGCATCGGTCCCCGTGGCCATTGAAGGCGACAGCCTGCACGAGGTCCTGGTGACCGTGCTTGATGATGGTCTCGAAGCTCGGGCGGTCGTCGGCTGTTGGCGGGTCTGCCAGAAACGCAGCCGCTTTCGACATTGCAGTGGTGGGTGGAGGTTGTGATTTCGGGGTTGTGTTGATGCGCAGCACAGTGTTTGGAGGTTCCAGATTGTGGATGGTGGGTTTGAACCCCGGATTAGAGGGGCCGTTACAGGGGGTGAGCAACACTGACGTCGGCATTTACTGGTGGAAAGAGCCGGGGCGAGTCCCGCTCGCTCTTGGCTCGATCAACAACCGAGCACCAAACACCAAGAAATTATCCACCATCAATCTTGCAATTGGCGCGCATCCCGGGGCTCAGGCTTCGTGTAAGTGGATCTTGAGGCTAACCAGGTTCATGGAATTCTGCCGAGATGTCTGGGCAAGTTGGGGTTCCCATGGGGAAGAACGGGGGTTTGACCTGTTCGGCACCCGATGAGGAACCACGAGGCACTAGGAGACAACTCGGTGACGCGGTTAAGCCCCGATCCAAGAACATCACCGAAGCTGGGGCGGAGACGCAGGTACGGATTACCCAATACCTGTAGCCGCTCCAATCGCTGCCGCTGTGGTTGCCGGTCACCGAGAAGCTCCTAAAGCTGGGACATTCACCACGGCAGATTCCGTTAACCGTCGATACCGAGGTGAAGCTCGGAGGTCGTAGTCAGATGTCATATAACCAGCTCACTCGAGCCTGTCGTGACGTGAAAATGTGAGTCTCGAGGTAGGCTAGGTCAACTAAAGCATACAAACCACCAAGATGAAGTGGACCACGCTCGTCGTATCTCTCCTCCCGCTGGTGTCGGCTGCTCCCAAGAAGCAGGAGATACCCGAGACGTTTTCAGAGCGCGTCATCTTCACGCCTCCCGACGACTACACCGACCCGCGCGTGCTATACGCCCGGACAGCTCAATTCGAGGATGGCACCCTGCTGGCGACGTGGGAGAACTACAGCCCCGAGCCTCCCCCGGTGTACTTCCCCATCTTCCGCTCCACCGACGGCGGCTACAGCTGGAAGGAGATCTCGCGTGTTCAGGACACAGCCAACGGACTAGGTAAATCTCACCCTTACGAAAAACACCTCCCCGTGGCGATCAAAAGCTAACACATACCCCCAGGTCTCCGCTACCAACCATTCCTATACATCCTCCCCGAGCCCATGGGCGGCTTCCCCAAGGACACCGTCCTCCTCGCCGGCAGCTCCATCCCCACGGACCTCTCCACCACCCAAATCGACCTCTACGCCTCCACCAACCGCGGCAAGACCTGGGAATTCGTCTCCCACATCGCCGCGGGCGGCGAAGCCATCCCCAACAACGACAAGACCCCCGTGTGGGAGCCCTTCCTCCTGCAGCACGGCGCCTCGCTCATCTGCTTCTACTCGGACCAGCGCCAGAACACGACCTACGGCCAAAAGATGGTGCACCAGACCACCACCGACCTGCGCGCGTGGGGCCCCGTCGTCGACGACGTCACCTCGCCCATCTACCCGGAGCGGCCGGGGATGCCGACGGTCGCGCGGCTGCCCAACGGGCAGTTCATCATGACGTACGAGCACGGCGGCGCCGCGGTGCTGCCGACCTACCAGTTCCCCGTGCACTACAAGCTGGCGGCCGACCCGGAGGCGTTCGGCGCGGCCGAGGGGGTGCCGCTGCGCACGACCGAGGGCGGCCAGATCCCGACGGGGTCGCCGTATGTGGTGTGGAGCGCGGCGGGCGGGGTGAATGGGACGATTATTGCCGGCGCGCATAGCTCGGGGGACGTGTTTGTTAATACGGACTTGGCGGCGCCCGGGTCGCTGTGGCGCCGGGTAGCTACGCCCGCGGATAATGCGTATACGCGCCACTTGAGGGTGTTGAATGGGGATGGGCCGCCGAGGTTGTTGATTATGGGCGCGGGCCAGCTGCCGCCGAGTACGACGAACCGGGTGATGGTGACGGTGATGGAGATTGGTGATTGGTAGGGTGTGTAGGGTAGAGGTTGATGTATTGATATGACCGGCCGAGATAGAAGGAATTGTAAGCCTGGTCTCGAAATTGGCCATAGGAACGATAGAGGAACCCCTGATATTGAAATCTATCTACAACCCAACCCCTCTATCTATCTAAGATTCTAGAAACAACACTAGTGTATGCTCCAATTATCCTCCAAAAACACCCAGCCCGCCAGCGAATGCCTCACAAACAACCCCAACACGCCAGCCGCCACCTGCGCGGCCGTAATCTCCGCCGCCAGACGGTCCTCCCTGAGCGGGCCTCTCCACACCAACCACAGATTCAACAGCGTGAAATTGCTCGTCTCCACAAACTGCCCCTCGCCATCCAACACAACCCTCAACAACCGCAGCTTTCCCAGCAGACGCAACGCCCAGGCTATCGGGGCGCGCGGCTGGCGGGCCTCGGACCAGGGGGTGACGCTGGGCTCGAGCAGGCCGGAGCGGGCGTTGAAGCGCGGGAGGCGGTGGCGGGGGCAGGGGACGAGGCCGAAGAGCTGCGGGGCCGAGTAGACAAAGTTGAAGATCTGCGGGAGCAGCAGCAGGATCAGCGTCTTGGAGAAGTGGCCGAGGATGCTGACGACGACGAAGACCATGCCGGCGAAGTAGCAGTACGTGTCGCCGACGAAGACCCGCGCCGGGTACCAGTTGTGGTAGAGCAGCGCGCACGAGACGCCCAGGAAGGGGAGTAGGAAGGAGAGCGAGAAGAGGTGCGAGTCCAGGGCCGGGTGCGGGTAGGGGGTGAGCAGGTAGAGCGCGTCGTTGAAGGCGAGCAGCGCGGCGATGACGATGGACTGGGTCACTTCGATGCCGTTGATGCCGGCCAGGATGTTGATGCTGTTGGGGGAGAAGATGGCGATGGCGGCCATGTAGACGTAGTAGAGGGCGCCGAGCTCGACGAGCTGGCCGAGGTAAGGCTGGAGGTGGATCGGCACGACAATGGAGGTCACGCCGAAGTCGACGCGGTAGACGACGAGGAGGGGGATTGCGGCAAAGGCGGGGATGAAGAACTTGTGGCGCCAGCGGATATCGAAGAGGTCGTCGGCCAGGCCGAGGGAGGCGATGGTGTGTAGTGATACGATGGCTGAGAGGTAGGACGAAAGCTGCAAGCTGGCTGTTAGTGACAGCCCTGGATTTTGATATCTTGGTGAACATAAGAGTAGCGCACCTTGCTATGCGGGAACCGGTGCAAGAACCGGCCCTCCTGCACATGTTCGACCTGCAGCACTACATCCCTATTCCCGCCTCCACTCGTCGCCGCTACTACATCCTTGTAGAAGGCAAAGGGCACGAATATGATCATAGCAAACAGATAGACGGAGGCGCACACGGCGCCCATGCACTCGGGGATCTCTCGGCGGTTGTGTTTGCTCAGGTCGACGCCCTTGAAACCGGCCTTGATGAAGGTCGGGCCGAGCCAGCGGATGAGGGCAAAGGTAGCGCTGAAGGCTAGCCCGCTGAGGGCCAGCGATACGATGAGGGGCTTGTCATCGCCCTGGAAGACGTTGCAGAGGATAGCGACGCAGGCGGCCGAGAGGGTGAGGAGACTGAGCGACTCGGTGCGGGACAGCGACGACGACGATGTCATGGTGGGCTGGCGATCATGGCGAGTGGGGTTGAGAATGTGTGTGTGCGGCGAATGCCGCTAACTAATCTGTACCCCACGCGTTGCGGGAGGTGTTGGTGTTTTTCTTTCTTTTTTTCTTTACAGGTTATCGTCGAATTGTTGCTGCTTCATCAGTTCTTGACAGATTTCCGGATGACGAAATGTCAAGACCCGCTGCAAGGGTCCTGGCCTGGACCCGCTCGTCTGCTGTGCCGTTTCGATGCGACGGAATGACCCGATTGGATGGTAATTCAGGGGTCAAACCCCCCTGAAAGCAGAAACGAGAAACTCGAAACAGGCGCTGAGAACGGCTGATTCAGGTGTCGTTTGCAAGGCGGGGCCGCCCTCGTCACGACGACAAAGTACCTACCTAACTACCTTGGTACATAGGATGCCTCAGTTGCTTGCATTTAAAACTGCAGAGAACTTGAAAGCTACAAAAAGAGATGTGCAACAAACTTCAACAATAAGACCAGCTTATGCCCTCCTTCGCTTTCCGTTGTCAAGCTCACCCACCGTATCTTCTTCCCATGCAGGACTGGGGGACCGGGTTCCAAAATGGGGTTGATGGCATTCCGCCAGGAGTGCTCCAGCGGGCCGTACATAGGTACATCGCCTATCGCCTACCGCTACATTATTGATCCCATGATTCCATCATCCCTACATCGTCCTAGCCCTTGGGTGTCATTGCTCGCCGCGTCCATCACAGCGATCGCCTGTGCGATGCGGTCGAGGGATTCACCACTGGGCACAGGCTGCTGCCCCGTGCCGTCCTCCCCCACGCCGTCTTCCCCCGCGCCGTCCTCCCCTGCTGGAGGCTGCGCGCTGGCGAGTTCGATCAGCCTCGATCGCCAGAACTCCCATCGCTCAGGGCCCAGCGGGGGAACGCCCTCGCACAGCGGGCCGGGTGCGATCGAGGCCCGCGACTGCTCGCTCAGGGGTTCCGTGGAACCCATCTCTCTGCGCACGAGCTGGCCGCATCGCGTCAGCCACTCAGTCGCAACCCAGAGCCTGCACTCGAAGACATCTGGGTCCTGTGGCAGCGGCGTCTCCAGGGCCGCCCTTATCACCCAATAGGGCAGCACGATCCAGCGCGGAAGGTCGTCGCTCAAGAGCTGGGACGCAAAGGAGTTGAAGCTTTTCCACGCTTCCAGGTCCTCGGGATCGTAGTCGTCGTCGTCCGGGTCTGTGGGATCTTTGCAGGTATTTGATCAGATTCGTGTCCCATCGACTGCGCTCAGTCCCGATCCTTCAGAGGTACCAGTAAGGTAGCTAACTTACCCGCCCATTTGTCGAAGAGGTACTCGCTCAGATGAGGCAAGTCGGCCCACTGTAGCGTGCAGCCCTAGACGGGACCCGAGTGTTAGCCTCTGCCGATTCGAAAGAGTTTCACGGCAGGGGAGAGAGAGTATTCGCTCACCTCAAGTTCGACCACCGGCCCGCCCGGAGACCGCAATCCCTTGACGGCGGCGACGAGTGCAGCGTGCCATGGATGTCCGACGGGCACCATCATCACCGCTTCCAGGAGGACCATCCAGAGATTCCAGAGCAATGTAGAGGCAGTATTTTGCGACTCGCTCGAGATGAAGAATTGCCGCAGGTCGTCGGCCAGCTTGGCCGCCGCCGTCGCAGGATCGCCGCTCGAGTTCAAAGCTGCATCCAAGATGCGGAGAACATCTACTTGACACTGGGGAATATCGGGATCCTCCAAGACCCCAAGATCAATATTTGCCGCCATAACGCAACGAGAGGTTGTGAGTAGGTTATTGCTCGATTCAATGCCTGGGGGTGAAAAGACACGACTGTAGTAGGCATTGGGATAAGGAGAACGGGGGAAGGCGAGCTCCCCAAAAAGGTTAACCACCAGGCCCAAATTCACGTTTTCATCCTCCGTAGGACAATGACAGCTCTTGATCTTCTTTGTTGTTCAAAGGATGCGGTTTCTTGCTCTCATAGCTACCAGTTCCGGACCCCCCCGAGCAGCCACGGAACTCCCATTTATACCTGGGCAAAACAATTACCCAGTCCGCCTGACTGAGCAGAAAAAATAAAACTCAAAAAGTGACTCGGATACCGGGAGTCGAACCCGGGGCTGTTGAGAGAGCAGTCACTCCTGAGAAGTGAGAGTCAACGATGTTACCGCTACACCATACCCGATTGAATCGTGTGTGGTTCCGATTTGTTGCAACAGAGACCGGAACACCGAGCATGCATACCTCCAGCTCCGACTGCCCCTCGTTTTCCATTTCCTAGGTTGTTTCGAAGACTCCAAATCAGCCCTGACGACAACCCCACCTTACTCTGCTGCCGGGTATCCGAGATGTTTCTTATTTACGACAATAAAAGAGGGAGGTCGTCAGAGTAGACTTCGTATCCCGAAAAAACCAAGCATCTCACCCACCTTCCCCGACCGACAATGATCCCAGCCGAGTGAGGGACAGCCGGCTTGGCACGGGTTTTTATTGTGCTGCCTAGCAAGTCTGATCTTATCTGAGATGGTCTGGGGAGGACACGGTCCAATGGCGGCATCTTCTGACGCCAGAAGGGGGGTCTTGTCAGAACCCAATCCGTGTTCTCTCGCTTGAGGTTGCGATTCTAGAACCAGGGTGGAAGGGACAGAAGTCCCTGGAAGGGGGACCGGCAGGGTAGTCTATACAACAAGCTCAAGTCAAGGCCGGAGATCGGCGTTGAGGTATTTCTCTAGTAAAGAGGGGGTTCTGGGGTATCATCGTGCACTTTGTAAACCGGTATTTGTCATACTAGCTATGGAGTTTGTGCGTCTCTACGGGTCTGCTTTGGAGGTTGACGATTAAGGCAAAGTTTCCAAGTTGGATGTAGAAGAATTAACCTCGAGCGAGGACTCTCCCGTAAATCTCATTGGTTGGCTTGCCCCTGGAAGAGCCACTCGAAGTCAACAGTGGGGTGATGAATCGGCTACGCCGTCCAGGTCAAACACAACCAAAACCAAAGTAAGAAACCGTTATTCAGCACCGTACTAGGTGAGACGGACGGGCCAGGTCGAAAGAACCAAAGAAAAGAAACCCACGTCCGAAGTGCAAGAACGACCTACGAGGACATCAGGCAGCGACATTTTGACACACTAAAATTAGCGGAGCAGTTCCCCGAGCCGGGCTACGCTTAGTAACTGCATTGAGAAGGCAGCCCTTTCTTGCACCTGCACTTGCAGCCGATTCGCCGAGTTTTGCAGTGTTTGGTCGGTAGAGCGCCTGCAAGAAAGAGCAAGTGCGTGCATCGAAGGCACGCATCAAGGGCATGCATCGAGTATCCTTCCCTTTCTAGACTCGTTTTTCTCTGTGCGGCGGGGGCGAGTCTCCCCTGGTCGGTCAATGGCCGGGCACCTACTAGGTTCAGTCAACTGACACACAGAACTGCTCGGCACAACTGGCACAACTGACACGCAACACGCCATGGCCTTACCGGCGGTTGCCCCTTGGCCCTTCATTAAGGTGATGACGAGCTGATGGGGTTGAATGGAGCCCGTGTGGCCCAGGCGGTGAACACTTACATGATGGGCGGATGAAAATAGTCGGGGGCCGGAGGGGGGGTGGCCAACCCGCCCTACCGCCCTACCGCCCTACAGCCCTCCCGGAAAGGGACATGGACCCTATCTTGATGCAGCCGGGGATCGTGTTGTCCACATCTGCAGACTTCAATATGAATGTGCGAGCCAGAATAAAATCTGTCCACACGTCCCTCGCCCTCACCAACCAGTCGTACCGTTATACGAACGAGCACTTGACCCTGACTGCCGATCCCCTTGTGGTTGTCATCCCGAACCGTCGACGACACCATGTCGCAACCCTCCTCCTCTAACCGCTCGAGCCTCGAGCCGAGCAGCAACCCGTCCAGCCCATCACCGTCGCCTGCTGGGACGCCACTAGACCCGCCGAGGAAACGCACGAGAGCTAGCAAGCCCAAGGTACGAACTGGCTGCATCACATGGTAAGCTTTGGCATCTCCCCTTCCCGTGTTGGTGACACTAGCCACTAACGCTGTGTTCCCAGCAAGTGAGTACTAGTCACTGCGAAGAGCGGAACGGTGGCAAGGTCGGATCCACTAACCACTGGTCCTTAGAATCCGGCGAGTGAAATGTGATGAGGGGAAGCCCGCTTGTCTCCGATGCACCTCGACCGGCCGGACGTGCGATGGCTATGACAAAGCCGCTCTCGCCCGGTACCGCTCGCCAGATCCGAACCAGACGGCGGAGCGAGCCAGAGCCGAGTTTGTCAGGGCGTGCGAGTGGAACGAGACCCTCCGGTCCATGCGACGTATCGAGGCCGATATCGATGGGACCGAGACCGAGAAACGCTTGTTCGCTCGCTTCCGGGCTGCCACTGCCGACGGGGTTGCCGCAAATCTCTGTAACTTCGCAGCCTTCTGGCGGAGGTTGAATCCATCGACCGGGTGCCAGGACGACGCCGTCAAGCATGCCGTAGTAGCCTTGGCCGCCGCCTACCAGCTCTTTCAACACCCAGACGAGCCTGTCATCGATGGCTTCGCACGTGGAGACCTCGAAGTCTTCACCATCCAACAGTACAGCCGATCCATCGAGCGGTTGCAGAACCATGCTGGCTCTTCGAGCCCGGAGAGCCTCCGCTTGACACTCGTCTGCTGCTTGGCCTTTATCTCCCTCGAGACCCTGCGTGGAAACCACGAGGTAGCCGTTACCCACCTCACCAACGGCCTGCGTATCCTCCAATCCCTCCCCGATTCCACCTTCGACTGTCTCGCCGATGGCTCCATGTTTGCCTGGCCATCGAGCCGGGACTCGCTCCACATGTCCGATATCGTCCAGCTCTTCGCCCGGTTCGAGCTCTCGGCGTGCTTCTTCACCCACGGCATCCAACCTGTCATCTCGGGGCGCGGGTACCTCACCCGCCGCTTCGACGACGGCTCCACCTACAACCTCTTCCACGACGTCCCGCACGCCCACATGGCCATGTCCTGCTTCCAACACGACGTCGTAGCCCGCCTGCACGAGATCACCGCGGCTGCAGCCTCCGGGGACGAGACCTCCGCCATCTTCTGGTCCGACCCAGCCCAGCAACGCACCCAAGCCTGCCTCCTGGCCCGCAGCGCCCGCCTCGGCGCCCTCATAGTCGACTTCTTCTCCCCCCTCCGCTTCGGCATGCCCGACCCCACCAGCCCCGAGCTCGCCAGCCTATACCTCACCCTCCTCCACTTCCGCTCCGCCCAGTTCCTCATCGCCAAAACCGCCGGCGGCATCTTCACCCCCACCCTCGACCCCTTCCTCCAACCCTTCCACCACCACCACAACCACCACAACCACAACCAAACAACCCCCTACCCCCAACCACACCCACAACCACAATCACAAGCCACAAACCCAGACCCCACCCTCCTCCCCACAATCCTCCACCTCGCCTCCCGCCTCTCCCAAACCACACCCACCACCCCCTCCCCGCCCCCAACCCCAACCGACGTCCACACCCACCTCCTCGGCCCGCTCTACCTGGTCGCCACCCATACCCCAGACCCGGATACCCGTGCCGCGGCGGGTGCGCTGCTGGCTGATGCGTTGCAGAGGGGGGGGCTTGCTGGGGCTGAGGTGGGGGAAGGGCGTGGTAGGGGAAGGGGAAGGGGAAGGGAGGTAGATTTGGGGGTGGGGGTGGGGTTGGGGTTGGTGGCGGTGGAGAGGGCGCAGAGGGTGTTGAGTGCCGTGGGGAGGGTTGTGGCGAGGGAGAGGGAGAGGGGGGGGATGATGGGTGATGGGAGCGGTGGTGGTGGTATTGGTGGGGGTGGTATTGGTGGTGTTATTGGTGGTGGTGGTTTGTTGTCGTCGTCGGTTGATGTGCCGAGGGCGTTGGCGGGGGCGGGGGGGATTCCGGCGCTTTGGGATGGGTTGGTTGCTGCTGGTGCTGGTGCGGGTGCTGCTTCCTTGTAACTGTGTGAGTGATTGTGAGTGAGTGGGGGTGGGGTTCGTGGATGTATGTAAATGGTCTGCTAGTTTGGGTGGGTTTGCTGGATTTTATAGCATTAAGGGCTGGTACCGCATTGCATGGGATAGGATAGGATGGGGTCGGATAGGATGCATAGTATGGGATAGGATGGGATACATAGTATGTGATGAGATGGGATGGGATGAATGCATAGGATGGATGGACGGTTCCGGAGGGTAGATTGCATGCATGGCGCGGGAGACAATGAAAGGCTACGATAGACGATGGTTGTAGAAATTTAAGAAAGTGTTTTTCATGTTTGCCTACGCAAATCTGGATTTCGCAATTGCTCGGTCTTCTTGAAACGGGTGGCCAGGCCGCTATGATATATGGTTTGTAGGCAACACGATGACAGGGGGCCGGCGGATATCTGAGGGGGTGGCTTGGTGGGTTGACTTGGGCGCGCGGCGTTTCGCTTCATCTGGACTTACACAGCCCCATCCCACCACTCCATCCATCCACAACCTATGGAGAGTTATACATACCCGCCGGATCCTAAGAACCAGCAAGTACCTCTCCTGTAAGTTAGGTACCTAGTTACACTCAACTGTTTATGGCAAAACGCCGCGTTCGATTGTATTCCTAATCGGCTCCTCAGGCTAGTTCAAAGCCAGACCAGCTCGTCTCATCTGAGGTAGGCGGTGCAATCATGTCCATCAATAACTACCGCAATACTAAGGGGTATTCCGCTCGCTCTTCACTTAAAACACATCCGTCATGAGCAACAACGACACAGCGCGCTAACGGACAACCAAGATGACCAAAAAGAAAGAAAAAGAAATTATCGACGCAACCCCACCCACCCGTGCCATTCTTTGTCTCGTTGTCGTCCTTTTTTACGCCTTCTTCCCACGGGCTATTATCCCGCCATATAAAACACCCCCCTTATATCAGGAGAGATTACCTCCCAGTTGGTGGTACTCACAGACGGCCAGTAACAACCTCCTTCCTGAAGATGACCGCCTCATCCGACACCTCGCAGAACGCAATCCCCTCAAAGACGGCGATCTTCTGCCCCGCGGACTCGTCACTTTCCTCGTCCGAAGACTCATCCTCCAGTCCCACCAGCTCCGAGGCAATCAGCGCGGGCACATCCAGCTCCACGCCCGACGTCGAATCCAACAGGGCGTTGACCGAGACCGACGATATCAGGGTCGGAATCGAGGTCAGAGCCTTCTGCTTCCCCTTGCCCTTCTTGTCATCCTTCTTCCCGCCTCCATTCTCTTCTTCGGTAGTGGTCTTCTTCTTCGGCTCTGGGAAGCGCACAAGCTTATCGACCCGGTCATCCTCGTCGATCGAAACCAGCTTAAGCTTCAGATCCGGGTAGTGCGAGACCATGTCGATGAGGAAGCGCTTGGTCTCTCGCATCACCCACATGCACGTGTCGTCGTTGCGTAGGTGAATGACGTGCAGGACGCGGAGAGTGGTCAGACCCGGCAAGTGTTGCATGAGGCAGTGCTGTTCGTGCAGCGCAAGTCAGTAAACAGAGGTAGGGATGAAGAAGCCGGGATGTTTTTTTTGGGGGGGGGGGGGGGGGGCATACCATGGCTCTTATGCTCATGCTGCAGGCCAGTTCCTCGAGGTTCTTCCCTTGCCTGCACAACAGCAAAACGGTCTTCTCGTCGACGTCCCAGGTCGTGTCGGCCATATTCTTGATCATCAAGCGCCGTAGCTTGGGCATGTGCTTCTTGAGGACCAGTCGCCGGATCTGGTCCATGGAGGCTTGAGTCCTAGGTGCAAAGCTCTCGGGCTTGGCCTTGGTATCCCGCTCAAGCAAAAAGAGATCGTGCAGCTCCTCCAGCGTCGACAGGAATGCCAGAAAGATGTGTGAGACGTTGTCGGTGGAGATCTTGCGCAATGGCAGCGGCGCCTCCTTGTTCTCCCTGTCCAGCAGAGCCCAGATGGGTGCTTGGATCCCGACGTTGAGCAACGTCAAGTGGCGGAGGGCGCGCAGGTCAACCGCTTTAGATAGGACCGACGCCCTGACAGGGATGAGGTAGATGCTAAGGGATTCAAGGGCAACGCCTCGCGTCTGCCGAATGTAGTCCCGTATGTTGCGAGCTTGCTCGATACGCGAGTCCTTCTCACCAGGCGGTAGCGCCTCGGCGCTTTCTATCGCGATCTGGCACGCGCTGATCTCCTTCTGCATGTCGCGCACGCTCCGGGTAAGCCCCAGTAATTGCGACTCAGCCTCGCCAAGGTGGTTTATGTCGGTGGACGACTTATTGGATCGCCATCGTCGAATCTCCTTGCCCAGCGTGTTCGCCTGGGACTCGAACATTTCAAGTTCTTCAGCCAGAGCCTTGTAGTCGGCTTTTCGTGACTCTAACGTAGCCATCACCTTCGCATATTCCTCCACCTTGGTCTCGACGAGGGCCGCTGCGGTGGACGGGGGGACCTCCGTTGGCGTGGTTGCTTCTTCATCCGCTTGGATATCAGCAGCTGAGGGCTCTTCATGGTCCATCACGAGCTGTTCTTCCGGCTCTTCAATATCGATATCGTCGGGGTCCGCGTCTTTTTTGTCCTCTTTCGATTCGCCAAAAAGGCTCACCGCTGGGGCATTTGCTTCTGCAGCCTCTTCTGCCGATGTCTCGCCAGTGTTGTTATCGGGAGTCTCGGTGGTGCCGGACGAAGAGGATCCGGTTCCGCTCGGGTTCTCGTCCTGCTTTTCTCTCCGCGACTTGGCCTCGTCCATGTATTTCCGAGCCGCGGCACCGAACATGTCAATTGTTTCCGGCGAAGCCACGAAATCGCTCGTTCCATTCAGTTCCCCCAGAACTTTTGGTGCGACTGACTTGATAAAGTCAACCACCTCCTGTTCGGTCTTGACTTTGCCCTTCTTCTTCTTATCGGAATCAACAACAATCGCCTGAAGCTTTTCAGCTGGTGTGGACTCAACGTCGAAGATCCTGCCGAGGATAGAGTCCTGTGTCTTTCTCTCCTCCTGTGCGCGGAAGGCCTTGGCTGGTCCGCTCATTTCTTCGTTTTGCGCGTGCGACTGTGCCGGTATAGGCATCAGTTCGTCTTCCTGATCCGAGTCTTCAGGCTCGGGATCGACCGTAGGTTTCCGAGCCGACGAAGCAAGTTTCTCCGAGAAGGATAGCTCAAGCTTCGTGAGGGTTCCGGCGGAATTGCGCAGGCACGCCTGGAGTTCCGATACGATGTCGAGGGTGTCTATGTCGAGAACAGAAAGGCTCTTGAGGTCCCTAAATCCAGATAAGGTTGGGGGTTCCTTGCCCGCCGACGCCTTCTTCGGAGTCCTAGCACGGGGAGGCTTGGGCAAGGGGGGCGGAAGCATGGTTGAAGCGGGCACATAGAAGCCTTGGGGAGGCGGGGGAATTAGCCCCTGGAAAGCTGGCCCCGGGGGAGGGAGGGAAGCCAAGGGTGCGGTGTGGGCTGGCCCCGGCGAGGAGGTCGACTGGGACGGGTTGAAGGGAAGAGGCGGAGGCGTCTCATATTGCGAAGGCCCTGCTTGGAGCCTTATGTGGACGTGCGACAAAGACGCGATTTGGTGCAACTCCTTATAGACCGGACGGCTGAGCTCAACTCGGATATTCCACCTGGGGAGGGGTGTCAGCTACTGGCACGGGAGAGAAACCTCGCAGCGTATCGGCGCGCGTGACCATAGGCACGAGTGTGTGAGAATGTCTGTGGGCGCGGCGAGGCGCAAACTGTTCAAATGCGAAGGACTCACGTAAAGTACTCTAGCGCCCGGGCCTTGCGCAATGTCAAGAGGAGAAGGGTGTTCATAAACTTGCCGCAGCTCAAGTTGGCGGAATATGGGCGATAGGCTCCCTCAGCCTTGTCGCCCATGTAAAGGGTGTCAAACGTCAGACTCCTCAGACACTGGGCATAGTTGTAGTCGCTCGTGACGAAGGTGTCGAACCCGCCGGCAAGAGGATCGACGGGAGTGTCAAACTGAGGATCCTCCTCGTCCGGGAACACGATCTCGAAGTCTCGATATAGCTGGGCGGCAGCAAGGTCGCGGAAGTGCTTCGACACCAAGGCGACGCAGATTAGAACGCGCCTTGGGCAATGGCTGATGATCTCCCTCTGAACTTCGTGCGGTAAGGCCATGAAATTGTAGGGGCGAGGTGTTGATGGGCTTGCAAGCGGCTCTTGCGTCGCCGGGGAGGCCATGGAAGCCATGGCGCGGCGGGGGGTGGTCGGGTCAGGGTGGGGAAACGAGAGGTCGGTACGAGGACGATGCAAAGTGGGATGCGGATAGTTGGGGTTGCGCAAAAGAGACGAAGGTGGGAGAACCCGAGCAGGCCAGTATAAGGCACCTAGAAGTCGACTTTGAGTGAGGCAAAGTAAAGTAACCTAAAGATAGTCCCGCATGGAGGTGCTACAACTTTGGCTCCTGCGCGGGGCGGGGCTATCCTTGGCCACTTCTGAGTTAATAGGTAAGGTAACTCGCTCCCTGGACCTGAGTTTTGAAATTCAATGCCTTGGCCGGTAAATTGCGTTTCACGCTCAGGCTCTGAACAACGGCCGAGGCTCTCGGATGATGCTTGTCAGATTGTTGGCATGGTGCAGACCTAAAAGAGATGGGATGAAGCAGGAGGCCTTTGCAATGGAAGTTGATGAATGCGGAGGAATCTCAGGGTCGATGTGCATGGATATGGCGGGCAGCGGGACGATGTCTGGGCAAGGACCGGGGTAGCTTAGCGCCCAGTTTGACCGGGAGTGGGGCGGCGATTGGGGAAACAGCCCTGAGTGTGGGGCGGGTTTGCACGGTTTGCTACAGGGGTTTGTGGCAAAGGGGAGCGCGAACCTCGCGGGCAAATCGACCAAACCCCCGGCCCAACTGCAGGAACGAAAGGCGAAAGTTGTCCAGGAGCCCAAAGAATGGATGCAAGTGCTCAAGCTTTCGAAAAACGTGTCTAGACTTTATATAGGTAATTTAGGTATACCTTCTTTTACGGCTAGTTATGCTCGACTTCGTTTTGATTTACACTCTGTTTAACTATTCTTTTCTTTTGTTAGTTTTCTCTGCTTAGTTGAGTTAGGTACCTCTGTTTTCAACTTTCATTCGAGCCCTTGCTGCTTGAACGTTTCAGGTGTTCGAGTCCCATGTTTCTTGCAGAGGGTTGACATTTTTGGCCTGTCCTTCGTAGGCTCCAACCGCCCCCGCTTGAGCCTTCATTCATCCTTCGTCTGGGTTTAAGAACCGACTGTGGCCGATTCGAGCCAATTAACAAGCTGAAAATCAAGCCGTTTCTTGATCACCATCCAAGCCTCCCTCCTGCCTGCCACAGCAGCCCTGAAGCGGCGCAGTCGAATTTCAGTCCTTTTTTAACGTCGCTCCATCCGACAAAACCACAAGCGACGAGTCATCCGTTTCAACAATTGCAAAAAATGGCTGATACAGAGGCGCCGCAGTTCACTACGCTCGCTGAGCGCATTGCTGCTCTCAACCAGCAAAAGAATTTCCAGGCACCCTCACCCGCTGCTGGCAAACGACCCCCACCCCCGCCACCCCCCGTCCGCTCCTTGACCGAAGGCGTGCCTAGGACTACTTCCGACACTGTTTCGGCCGAGAAGAGCCCTTCGATCCCCGCCCGGCCTGTCCGGGCTGCCACGGAGAAGCTCCCGCCGCCTCTTCCACGTCGGACCACCGGGCAAGAGAATGGCGACCCCCCACAACCCCCCTCGAACCGTCCCGGACCCCCTCCGCTGCCAACGCGGAACTCGCAGCTGGCGACCCCACCAAGCCTACCCTCGCGCCGGCCCTCTACCCAGACACTTTCTGTTAGGAGGAACTCAAACTCTTCCGATATATCTCAGCTATCCGCCGTGTCGAGTCTGTCACTAAGCCAAAGCAAGTCTGCTACTTCCAATGGAGGACCCGAGACGCAGACACGGAGAAGGCTACCGCCGCCTCTTGAACAAGCCAATCTTCCGCCGCTACCCCCTAAAGCAAAGCCGAAGGAGGCGGAGAATAGCACGCCCTCTCTCCCACCCAGACGCATTGCCGACCCGCCCCAGCCTTCCCAGCCTCCTCGCCTGCCCTCAAGGCCAAACAACTCGCCAGCCGTTGTTCTCCCCGAGCAGTCATCACCCGCCCTTCCAGCCCGGCGCATGGCACCTCCACCGTCCAGCTTCCGCCCCAAGTCAGCCCTTGAGAGCGGTTTCGGTTCCGGCGCGCGCAACCCGTCCCCTCCTTCAGTACCACCCCCTATTCCGCTCAGCTCCCGGCCGACCGTCGCCCAGATCGACGCTGTAGCGAGCCGGACAGCCCCAGCAGCAACACCCCCTCCCAACCCGTCACCCCAATCCTGTCTCATCTGCCGCGACTTCTCCGGCCCGGACACGCTGGCCGCCCAGCACCCCACCGCCTCCATCCCGCGCGGAGCTGGTGCCGTCGACCCCATCGAGCATCTGGCGTACACGCTCTGTGCGCCCTTCTCCTCGCCGACAGACAAGGCGCGAGCCATCTTCGCGTGGATGCACCACAACATTGTCTACGACGTTCACGGCTTCTTCAACAACTGCATCCCGCGCGGGCTGACCCCGACCGAGACCATTTTCTCAGGCAAGGCCGTGTGCGAGGGGTACGCACGCGTATACGAAGCCATCGCCGTGCGGGCTGGGCTAGGGTGCGTGGTCGTGACGGGGCACGGCAAGGGCTTCGGGTTTACCCCCGTCAAGGCCGGACAGCCGCTGCCGCCGCGCAAGCCAACGGGCCACGCATGGAATGCCGTGCGCATCGACGGCGGCGCCTGGAAGCTGATCGACCCGTGCTGGGGCGCTGGCGCGCTCTGCAAAGGCGAGTACTCGCAGCGCTTCGCCGCCGAGTGCTTCACCATGAGCAACGAGAAGTTTGGCACCCGCCACTTCCCCGCCGACGAGAGGCACTGGTACCGCGAGGACGGCCGCGCGCCGTCGTGGGAGGAGTACATATTGGGCCCCCTCGGCGACGAGCCGGCCGAGTGGATGGGCGACGCGACCCGGGAAGGGCTGGAACAGGCCAACTTTGCGCCGATGCAGCGGCGCATCAACGTGAGCAACGGCGGGATGGTGCGGTTCCAGTTTGCCAAGGTGTGCGAGCACTGGCGGCCGGAGAAGAACGGCAAGGGCAAGCAGGTGCTGTTTGGGCTGAAGCTCAATGGCCAGAATGGGATGAAGGATCACATTGTTCCGATGGAGCACGACGGGTTTTGGCACTACCTGGACGTGGATGCGCGAGACCTCGGTGCGCCGGGGCAAACGCTCTCGATGGTTGCGTTTACAATGATAGACGGGCAGAGCGCGAGGGGGCTGACCAAGGAGGAGTGGCTACAGAAGAAGGGACGGTGTGGGTATAGCTATGCGTATATGGTGCGATGGGAGTTGGTATGATGGTTCTGCATGGATTCAATGATGGTTACGAACGGATTAGTACCTTTCTCATGATATATACGCCTACTCCACAACGGCGACTCATATCGCCTCTAGACTAATATCATCCCTCAACACCCCAACATGCACCACAAACCCCGTGTTCGCCCTGAGCCCCTCCACCAGCATCTCATCCGGCACGCGCCACGTATGGAACGACCTGGCAAACCTGACCGCCCACGCCTCGAACACGAGCGGATCCCGCAGCTGCTGCCCAACCACGCACACGCACGCCTCCTCCCCCTCCGGTCCCCCCTCCGCAGCAGCCTCCTCCGCCCCCACCCGCCGGAGCTTGCACAGGTCCACGCAGGTCGCCACGAACGGCTCGACCAGCGCCTCGTTGTAGATGCAGTCGCACGCCACCACCACCTCAAACCCCCCTCGCCGCGCCCCTTCCCCCTCCCTCTCCCCCGTTTCGGCGGCAGCAGCACCCGCCAGCGCCGCCGTCACCGCGTCGGTCTCCCAGTCTAGTGGCCTGAACAAAACCCCCGCTTCCCGCGCCCGGGAGATGTTGCCTGCCGTTCCGGCTGGGGAGCCCCGTCGGGAGGTGTGTGGCGGGGAGGCGCGGTGGGATTTGGAGGTCGGGCGGGAGCGGCGGGCGGTTTTGGACCCGGACGTAGTCCCGGACCCCGAGGCTGAGGGGGGGAAGGAGGGGGAGGTTGACTGTTGGGAGGTTGACTGCTGGGAGGAGGCGGCGGCGGCGGCGGCGCGCCAGTTGGCGGCGACGTTCTGCTCGACCAGCTTGGCGACGTAGGGCTGGTCGGTCAGCACGTAGCGGGCGACGCGCGGGCCTAGGAGCAGGGCGACGAGACCGGATATGCCGCACCCTAGTTCGAGGATGCGTGATGAGGGGGTTAGGAGGTCGTGGGTCCAGAGGGGGTTGTGCGGGGAGGCGAGCCAGGTGGCGAAGAGGGGGGTTATTTTCCAGATGACTTTTGAGGGGGGGAGGGTGTGTTAATGGATGGGCGTGTGTTTTGTTGGGCGGTGAACCTTCATCCGGGTTGGTTAGGGGTGATTGTTGGGTTTCACGTACCGGCTCCTGTTGTGCCGCCGGCGCGGTTGGACGAGAGGACGCCCGGAGACTGGGTGATGACCAGGTCTCGTCCTGCGACGCTGAGCTCTACCGTTGTGGCTCTCGAATCGATGAAACCGAGGTTCTGTGAGGGCAGGTCCTGTGAAAACAACTCGAATGTCTCTAAAACGACGGCGAGGCCGTGTTAACGAATGCCCCCCAAAAGGCAACGGGAACATCCCCCCTCCCTGAAGTTCTTGGGGCAAGTCCTTGCATAGGTAGTTCTCTAGTTACACATCGGTTGCATATTTTTTGTTGTTTTCCCACCTTCTTCAGCATCCTGCATCGGCGTGCCGAGCGACTGCAAGAAACGCTGCAGCTTCTTCATCGTTGGTTGCCCCTTGTTTACTGTCCAATAATGGCGAGTCGTGTCGTTTTAGAAAACGGCAGAAGGTCTCGGCCAAGAAAATCATCATCTTGGAAAAATGTGGAGGCGAGAGACAATTATTAGCTCGGCGTTGGCAGGTCTGGGCCTGGCCCCGGGCACCCGACCTCCATGTTAGAGTTCTTATCCGCATCTCCATGCGCGCCGCAGGGGCTTGATGCCAACCGCATGCAACGCAATAATGTTCGAGGTGCCAACGACGTTGCGTCGGTACCAAACACCATTTCCATTGCATCCTTCATCTTGCTTTCCCCCATGGCACCTGGAAACGACGGTCATAACGGACAATCCGGAAAACCTTCGAGGAGTGCTTGACCCCAAAAAGGTCCATCCCTTCTCTGACAACCTCAAGTGGAGAGACCGATGGGAGTGAATGCGGGGAAGACATCAAGCTTGCAGGGGATGGTCTGCGACAGCCGCAGGCCACCAGTGAATGGATGCTCATCGCCGTCCCCTGCGATTGGACGGAGACGCCAAGGGGCGCGATCTGTCAGGGCTGAAAGCGCCTTCGTCGGATATGTCTTCCAGGTTCACATCAGCTTTGGAGTCACGCGTCCTACCTGCTACCACTGCCTGCCAAGTTGATCTATTGCTCGGGACTGTGTCATTCGTTTGCATGATGCGGATGGAGGTAGGTCCTTGTTGAGTTTGTTGTCCGGCGGGGGTTCCGACGAGCACAAACGGGAGTGCCAGATTGCTTGATAGACCAGGCATCTCCGTGGGTTGCGAGTACAGACCCTGCCGGTCCTCCATACCTACCTACCTTACTGTAAGGCAGGGAGGTATCATCAAGCGCATCGTCGATAAACCAGAGGCCTGCTCAAGGCTACCTAGCTCGGAGCGGCGCGTTTTAATGGAGGACGCCGGTTGCTCAGGCCTTCAGGGTATCCATCGTTGCCTGCGTCGTGACTGCCCAAGCGTGACCAGTGCCACTTCTCTTGGAAGGTCTCAAAGTGGAACGCCCAGCCTGCCAGGACGCGGCCTAGCCCCAGCCCGGCTAAGCTTGTGGGGCGCATGGAGCCACCGAGCTTTCCCCAAACGGAGCATGCAGGAGCTTCTGCTTTGTTCGGGTCAAGTTCTTGCCAAAACCCCTTGCCTCCCATCCCTTCGATCCCGAGCCGATCTTGATCTTTTGCACTTTCTCAGTCCTTGTTTTTATCGCAATATACCCAATCCCCATCCCTTGCAAACTCAGTCGCTGGACCTTCGACAGAGTGACGCGTGCACCACCACCCAAGCACGACTACGCTTCCTGACTGGGATATCCTGTTGCCGAGTGACAGAGTCGCAGCGGGGCTTTTCCGATCTCCGAGCTCTTTTTGTTCGTCCCGAGTTTCGACGATCCAGAAAAAAGAAACATCCTACCGCGACAAGCTCCCCGATTACCTCTCTCGACTTCCACCCCGTCCACAATGGCTAAGCCGACACATTTGATCCCGCGGATGTCCGCGAAGGGCCCCTTCTCGGTCGAGGTACCCGGCCAGCAGCCCGTCGAGGGCGAGACCCTCGTTCGTAGACACCCTCTTGCCGTAGACGGCCTCATCAAAACCCCTAATGCCGAGATCACGACCGTCCACGAACTAGTCCGCGCGAGTGTCGCCAAGTTTGGTAATGCCAAGTGCATGGGCTCGCGCAAGTTGGTGCGCACGCACCAGGACAAGAAAATGATCAAGAAAGTCGTCAACGGCGAGGAGCGCGAGGTCGAGAAATCGTGGACCTTCTTCGAGATGAGCCCCTACGAGTACATCAGCTACACCGACTACGAGCGCCTCACCCACCAGCTCGGCGCCGGTCTGCGCAAGTTGGGCCTCGTCAAGGACGACCGCGTGCACGTCTACGCCGCCACCAGCCAGAACTGGCTGGCCATGGCTCACGGCGCCGCCTCGCAGAGCATGCCCATCGTGACGGCTTACGACACGCTGGGCGAGGAGGGTCTGCGCTACTCTATGGTGGCGACCAAGGCTAAGGCCATCTTTTTGGATCCCCATCTTCTGCCTACCCTCACAAACGTCCTGGCCGTCGCTACCGCCGTTCAGACCGTCGTCTGGAACGACCAGCACCAGCTCAACCAAGAACACGCCGACAAGCTCAAGGCCTCGTACCCGCACATCAACATCCTCAGCTTCGACGAGCTCCGGAAAATGGGCGAGGAGAACCCCGTCGATGTGGTTGCGCCAACGCCCGACGACCTCTGCTGCATCATGTACACGTCTGGCTCCACCGGCACCCCCAAGGGTGTCCCGGTGAAGCATTCCGCAGTTATTGCGGCTGGTGAGTCTCCTTGCGTTGAATTGACAATCGCCAAGACAGAGAGCTGACCCAGTGAATCTGCAGTTGCGGGCGCTAGCGTGGTCGTTGAGCAGTTTATTGGACCTGGCGACGGCCTCCTGACATACCTGCCGCTGGCGCATATTCTCGAGTTCGTCTTTGAGCACGCTGCCATTTACTGGGGCGCCACACTGGGTTATGGTAACCCCAAGACTCTCTCGGACGCATCGGTGCGCAACTGCAACGGCGACATTCGGGAGTTCAAGCCTACTATTCTCATCGGCGTGCCCGCCGTCTGGGAGACGGTCAAGAAGGGCATCATCGCCAAGGTTAACGCCGGCAGCGCCGTCGTGCGGGGTCTCTTTTGGGGAGCGCTGGCTCTCAAAGAGACGTTGATGGCCTCAGGGCTGCCCGGCAGCGGTGTTCTGGATGCTGTCGTCTTCAAGAAGATCAAGGAGGCCACGGGCGGGCGTATGAAGCTGTGCCTGAGCGCTGGCGGCCCCGTGTCCAAGGAGACCCAGAAGTTCCTCAGCATGTCCATCTGCCCCATGATTATCGGCTACGGCCTGACCGAGACGACGGCCATGGGCACCCTGCAAAACCCGCTCGAGTGGACCTCGCAGTCGATCGGTGCCATGACGGCCTCGATCGAGGCCAAGCTGGTCGACTTTGCCGACGCTGGCTACTTCGCTACCAACAAGCCGAACCCGCAGGGCGAGATCTGGCTCCGCGGCCCCACAGTACTGTCGGGCTACTACGAGAACGACAAGGAGACGGCCGAGGCCCTTACCGAAGACGGCTGGTTCAAGACGGGCGACATTGGCGAGTGGGACAGGAACGGCCACCTCAAGATCATCGACCGCAAGAAGAACCTCGTCAAGACGCTCAACGGCGAGTACATCGCCCTCGAGAAGCTCGAAGCCACCTACCGGTCGGCTCCCGTCGTCGCCAACATCTGCGTTTACGCCGACATCTCGCAGGCCAAGCCCATCGCCATCATCATTCCGGCCGAGCCTGCGCTCAAGAAACTGGCCGCCTCGATCGGTGTCGAGGGTGAGGGCCTCGAGGTGCTGGTCCACAACAAGAAGGTGCAGAGCGCTGTGCTGAGGGAGCTTCAAACCGCCGGCCGTGCTGGCGGTCTCTCCGGCATTGAGATCGTCGAGGGCGTCGTCGTGGTTGACGACGAGTGGACACCGCAGAACGTAAGCACCATCCCCATCCTCCCTCACAATGAACAGCCGACTAACTTGCGATCCAGTCCCTTGTCACGGCTGCCCAGAAGCTCAACCGCAGGGGTATCCTCGACAAGTACAGGAAGGAGGTAACGGAGGCGTATGGTTCCTCGAGCTAGGCGTTCGTGGAGAAGTACGGCAGTTATGGCAACGGAGATGGTAAGATTGGACAGCGTGTTTTGTGACTACTACTTGTGATATACACTTCCTTTGGTCTGGTTCTTGGTTGTCCGTTTTTGTCATGTTTTGATATGACGTAACGCGCTGCCCGATGGTGCTTGGCTGGGTCTGGCTTGGTCTGGTTTTAGCTACCGTAATGTTTTGTTCCTTCAGCGCATTCACTCTCAACAATATCCCGCGGAGAAATTAGATACAGCTATTTCGTTGTCTTGAGATCTCAAGGTGCCAGTGACAGTTCAGCGTTTGAGATAGCCGATGCAACTGTGTACAAGTAAATCACCGACCGGCAAAGACAGGGGTCAACCTCACCGCACGCTTTCATTTTTCTCACACCGGGGCCGTTGCAGACACAATAATCACATTGCAACATGAACGGTCTGGGGCCAAAAGTTGAAAATAAACGTAGAAAAAAAAGGGTTGTTAAAACAGACAGACACACAAACGAGTTACAGAGACCTCTTGCAGCCGAACCACGGCGCCAAGTGACTGCGCCTCCGTCCCCGTTTCACAAAAAATCTCTCAAGTGTCGACCGGCGCCGCGGTCATACATACACCCTGACCTGGCCTGGGGGCGGAGAGGGTTGTGCCGCCCACCTCTTGTTGCTGTCGAAGAGCCTGGTGGTGGCTGGGTTTCCCACCGAGGGTAGGTGGGCAGATAGGAGGTAGGTAGAGAAAGCCGCCTGGTGGGGAAAAAAGAAGCGCGGCTCTCTTCTCTTGCCAGCTGTAGCAGGCGATACCAGATATGCTGACCCCGGGGTTCGTTTCGCCATTTCCTTCCGTTCATACCCGGGTAACAGTCCCCTCCCCTCCCCACCCTCCACTGAGATCGCCACCACCGGCAACGGGCACGCGCCGGGGTCACACAAGTCCGTCGTAGAGCGAGAGGGCCGAGACGATGGTGGCGTCGCGCTGGCTGCCCTCCTTGAACTCCTGCATGTCGAGGCTGCCGTTCTCGTCCTTGTCCATCATGCGGAAGATCTTGCGCACCCGCTTCTCCGGCGTGTCCTCGTCCTCGGGCAGCTTGACCATCGAGCCGACCTGATCGCGCACGTGACAAGTCGTGGTTAGTTGTTTGATGTTCTGTGGTGGTGGTAGGGAAGGAGAGAGGAGGGGGGACCCACCATCTTGTAGATCGCCTCGACAATCTTGAGCATCTCTTCGTAGCTGATCTTTCCGTCGCCGTCAATGTCGTACAGCTGGAACGCCCAATCGAGCTTGTCCTCCATCTTGCCGCGGCTGGTGACGCTCAGCGCGCAGATAAACTCCTTAAAGTCGATGGTGCCTGACTTGTCCGTGTCGAACACGTTAAAGACGTAGTCGGCAAAGGTGGACGGATCGCCGAAGGGGAAGAACTGAGCGTAGATCTTTTGGAACTCGCTCTTGGTGAGCATGCCCGACGGGCAGTCCTTGAGGAAGCCTGTTGTGCGTGCCCGAGTCAGGTCAGTATTTCTGTGCTCTCCGCCAGTTTGGGTGCGATCGCGCGCTGCTGGATAACCCACCTCTATACCATTGCTGCAACTCTTTCTTGTCAAAATTGGTAGACCGTTGCAGCTCCTTCAGCTGGTCATCCGGGAGCTTCTTCGACTGTCTGCGAGCGGGCGGGAGTGTGTCAGCAACGCACTCCAGACAACGATCCCAAGGTGCTGGTCTCCCAGGTCTTCCTCCCAAGAGAGCGAGCGAGCGCTGAGCGGGTGCCACGGAAAGGGAACGGGCCTCAACGCCGGCTTTCACAAACGCCGACCACCGCCTCCCTCCCAGGTCACGCAGCTCAACACCCAAGGTCCGCCAGAACCCAGCGACCCCGAATTCGACTGCCCACTCACAGATTGCCCATTTCCGAAAGCCAGTTGGGTGATTGTTGCCGCCGTGGCCAGTTGTCCTGACGCTGGCAGCGCCGTGAGGGGTTGAGGGGTGCGTTGCGACAAGGATTGGTGCTCAATTAATGGCTCGATTGGGCGGTTCCGCAGATCGCTCGAGCTTGTTCTTGAGTTATGTAAGGTACTCTCGGTTAGATGCGTGTCTTGCTGCAGATAAGAATAGCTCCCAAAGAGAAAAAGGGAGACGGTAGAGAGTTCGGCGAGATCTGTTGGCTAGAGCGTGGATTTTGCAGGAGGAAGATGTGCTTTTTGGGACTCGGGCGGTTCACTGGCGGGATGGTGACAGAGCAACAATGCGAGGCGGGCAGGGCAAAGTCCAGGCGCGGCGGGATGGGACCGCAGCGGGAGTTTGAGACGGCCTGTGACGATTGCGGGCGCAACTGAGCGATCCCCACTCGTTGGACCTCGCAGATGGAACCCCGGGCGGGGCGGCTCGCACGGCCCTGTTTGCACTGTCCCGCGGGGGCCGGGGGGGCTTGTTGCCCGAACCTGGGAGGAGATCGCACAGGAGGCCTTCACAGATTCTTTTTGCCCGGCGTCAGGTCGCTTCCATCTACCGTTCTACGAGATGTGGGCATGCGTAGATAGGTATGGAGAATACACTCAAAAAGTCGGAAACGAGGCAGAATTCGAGACTACCGACCTAGTAGTTACTATTTGTTTTCCGGTCCAACCCCCGGAGTCTCCCGACAACAACTCATCAACCACCACAGTCCACAGTACACAGTAGGTAACGAGATCCCGACGCTGCGGCTCACAAGGCTAGCTTTGGGGTCGAGTGGCACTGGGTGACTGGGCAATGAGGGGCTCAAATTCAGGGACAATCCAAGCAAAGAGCGGTTCTGGACATCTGGGAAGTGGGCCCGCATCTTCGAGAAGGGACTTGGAAGTTTTGCCGCCTCTCGTCCCACCCGTCGAGCCGTCCGGCAAGAGGCCTCACCATCCACAGCCTCGAAGTTGTGCATCATGAGACCAGTCTGCCAGTCCGCAGTTCTCATTCTCGGCCTCCCGTGCCCACCATAAACTCACACCAACACCCACACCTTCCATTGAGGGAGGGAACCGGCTGGCTGGACAGAAATCCCAAGACGGGAACTTCGGCCGAGCACGCACATCTCCAACTGCACAGTGACACAATGCAGCAGCACAGGGGAAAATGTAGCGCGGGAATTGTCGCCAATCATTTTCTTCCCGCCTGCCTGATGTTGTCGAGAGACTCCGGACCTCAACACCAAAAAAACGAGAACGAGGGGTCCTCTCTCGCAACCCCCGCTCTCCATCGTGGCTGTGCAACGCGCCAAGAGGTCAAAAATTCAATGCAGTCCGCCAATCAGTCGCCATCCGGATCCAAATCGTGCAACGGCCTCCTCGGAGCAGCACTCGCGTGGCGATGACTGCGAGGGGCGAGGTGACACAACTGATAGTGAGTGAATGCAAGCGGTCACTGAAGCAACTGTGACAGGCCGTAAGTAAATATTTACCGGACAGCACTGGCAATAAGGAGAAATTTAACCAAGAAAATATGCTTCCATTCCGATGTATCGTCCGTAAGGGAAAGAAAGTGCTACCTAGTTACCAGTGGTCTGTACAGTACATGTATATGCGTGCCCCAAACAGACCCTTCCTCGCCATGCTTCCATCCTACCATGCCATCATCATATGGACCTTAGCGCTACCCGAAACCAGTAGAAAAAGGGGGGATCGAGAAACAAACAAAAAAGATAACCCAGGGAATGACGACGGGCTCCAGGCGCCGAAAACAACCGAAAGCAAAGAAAGAGAGCCAGCCCACTTTTCCATTCCCGCCCCCCAGACCGCCAATCCATAACCCCCGCCTCCAACCCACACCGCTCGCCGTCATACAAGGGGACAGATCCCCGCGCCCCATCACCCGACGACAGCCTTCATGCTCAAGCTCTCCAGGAAGCCACCGAGATCCTCCTTCTTCACCTCCACCACGCAGTGCTCGAAGCTGTCGATGCGCACCCGCGCGTTCGTCTCGCCCACCACGTCCTGGAACGCCGTGCCGAACCGGTTCAACCCGTACCCCCTCTCGCGCGAGCCGTCCTCCCCATCCTCCTCCGCATCGCTCTCCTCCTCCTCATCCTCCTCACTGTCCTCCTCACTCTCCGTATCCTCCTCCTCCTCCTCCCCCCCATCATCCCCCCCACCCGCACCCCCACTCCCATTAGCCTCCTCCCTCAACCTCTTCCTCGCCGCCCTCTTCTCCTCCCTCACGCGCTCCCTCACCCGCCGCGCCTCCTCCCGCGCCTTCCCCCGCTCCTCCTTCTCCAGCGCCCTCTTCTTGGCCGCCTCGCGGTCGCCAAAGGCCGAGTCGGGCCCACCCCCACCCCCAGTCCCAACAACGACATAGACGCCGCGCTGCTCGTCGAGGCTGGCGACGACGAGCGGGGTGCCGCGGCCGCCGTGGGCGAGGCGGCCTCCGGAGGCGTCGCGCTCCTGCTCGGCGAGGGCCTCGCCGATCCACAGGGCGAGTTTCGTCAGCGCGCCCGGGTGGTTGAAGAGCGCGGCGTCCGGGGCGGCGTCCTTGACCACGCACATGCGGAACGCGCGCAGGTGCGAGATTTGCTTCTTTTTGAGGACGGTTGTGCCCGTGGTGAAGATGGCGCGGTGGAGGAAGAGCGCGGTGGGCAGGCCGGCCTTGAGGGACTCGATGTCCTCGAGCGCGTCGTAGGCTTCCCAGAAGCGGGGGAGCCACTCCTCGCTGGCGGCGGGGCCCGCGGTGGAGGGGAGGAGGTCCTGGGAGGGGTTGGCGGTGGAGGAAGGGTCGGAGGAGGAGGGGGACGCGATGGTGTTCTTGCCGACTTCGAGGAGCGCGCCGATGACGACGCCCACGTCTTGCGCGCTGAGGGTCGCGCGCCAGCCCCAGCTGCGCACGAAGCCCCAGCCGTCTTTGGCGCCGCCTCGGTCTTTGGCGTCCGTGTCGATGGTCGGCACGAGCTCGTCCAGGTTGTACAGGGAGGCGTACTTGAGGAGCTTGGTGCGCAGCTCCCGCTTGAGCATCATGTCCATGTGCGCGTAGCTCTGCTTGCACTGGACCAGGCTGACGCCCATCTTGGCGAGGAGCTTGTGCAGCCGCTTGAGGCCCGTTTCGCTCCACGTTTTTAGGCGGGAGAAGAGGTAAGGGGAGTGCAGCATGCTGTCGTAGAGACTCCAGTGCCTAATGAGTAGAAATTTGGGTTCTGGCGATAGGCGGATGCTCGTGTCCTCGGGGCTGCGTGCTGTAGTCGGGATGATGCCCGTATTTTCGGGCAGGACCCGGCCGTTGCCAATCTCGGGAGGGTTCAACCGTCGTACTTCATCTCGCAAGAGCTGCCGTATCCTCGCGCCGCGCATTCCCATCCAGCCGGTGGCGGGGCGTGCCGCGTCAGCACTGCGAACGGGCACCGCAATGCCCGCCGAGGAGCGCCCATAGAGCTCCATGGACGAGACACCGACGATGGCCATCCACAGAAGGTCATTGTCTTCGCGGCCGAGCTCAGAGGCAAGTGAGTACATCATGGAAGAGACGGGCTCCGAATATGAGGCACCCAACCGGTAGTAGTCCCTCAGAATGCTCTCGTTTTTGCGCCGTAGACGTAAAAGCTTCCGCCTCATCGTCCGCGCTGATGGTGCCCTTAGCGGCTGAGCAGGCGTCGGGGGTTCCAATCCGTCGCTTGAAAAGATGGCGTCGTCTCTGAGTGATATCAGGCCGCGCTGAGCCGGGCGCCGAGGCGAGTCTGGAATCGGGGTAGACTGGGTAAGGTTAGCCAACAATGATAAAAAGAAACACCCGAACGCAACGCACCGAGTTACTCCTCCTCCTCTGCTTCGGGCGATCATCCTCCTCTTCACTATCCTCGTCGAGGAAGTCCCACGACTTCCGCTTCTGCCCTGCCCGTGATGTCTCAACTACCGGCGCCGCCTCCTCCTCAACGTCGCTCTCCTCGTCGTCATCGCTATCCCCCAAATCCTCGCCATTATCCTCGATCTCAGGCATATCCACAAGCGCAAGATACGCCTCCTTCTCCTTTGCCAAATCATCCTCAATATCCCCATCATCAAACACCACAATCCCCCCCTTGCCCGGCCGATACGCCCGGTCGATACAACCCGCCCTGACACCAACCGGCGCCCTCGCCGCAAACGTCGTAGCCTCCTCGGTCTCGGGCTCGAGCGGAAACCCACCAAACACATTCCCCAAGTTCCACGGCCGGTGCGCATCCACCACCCAGACCTCCACCCCCCCAAAACTCGTCCCATCCCCCTCCCCACCACTATCACCCTCCTCCCCCTCCAGCCCCAACACGGCCCCTAGATCCGCCATACCCCCGACACCAAGACACACAACCACCCCGCCGGCGCCGCCGCGGGACTCGGCCATGGGGCTGACCAGGTCGCGGCCGACGCGCTCGAGGTCGGCGTAGCCGGCGACGGGCTGGATCTTGTGCGGGATGTAGTCGTGCTTGAACAGGCGCGTCAGGATGCGGCAGGCGCACAGCGCGTCGGGTTCCAGGGCGACGAGGATGAGCACGGGCGGGGAGAGTGGGTGGCGCGTGTTCTGCAGGTGCAGGTACAGCTTGGAGAGCAGCGCCCGCGGGAGGTACATGGTTGTGGCGGGTTTGGGTCTGTGGATGGGCGGGTGTGGGTGTGGTTTGGTTGGTGGTGGTTTGGTGGTTTGATTAGGATAAGGTGTTGAGGGCGGGCATTGGAGGCGGTTGAGGGTCGGGTTTGGGCGTGGATTGTGTTGGTTAGGTTGCTGGTGAGGTTGTTGGGAGGGAGGTACCAAGTCAGCGTGGGAGCTGTCGAGCGTACAGATTAGGGACGCGGTCTGTTCGTGATTTTCGAGTTTAATTGGAATTGGGAAGGACAGCTAGGTAGGTGGTCATGGACGGGACCAAGAGTGTAAACAGCTCTGGTTGAAATGTCCAGTGTCGATCCTAGGGCACAAAATACACGGATTCGGTCGGGTCTGGTGTCTAGCAAAACAGTCGAGTTGGTGTTTGTGGAATCGAGTCTTCCACTCCCAGTTAAGACAATGCACGCACGCACCACTGCAAGACGCGCTTCGAACGACGCGACGTGGGGAGCAATACACCGTTGGATGGCACGTATCTTACTGTGCCGCTGCACTGTGCGGGTACCTCAACACCTCAAATTGATCGCGCGATGGATTGATGGATGGGCTGGGTCTGCACAGACCAGTCGCTGGATTGCTTGAGATTGCCCATCGAGTCTGCCTGCGAGCCTGCCCCGCTGTTGCTCGCATTCCATGGATCCGCCCTTTCCACAACCAGCACTCCACGGCGGCGCAGACGATTCTGCCCCTCATTTGTCTGCCGGCTGCCTGACCGCTCCTTTTCCGCGGTTGACACTGTATCTGATTCAGTTTCCTGCAAATGTTCCGCCCACCTGCCCGTTCTGACACAGACGAGGCAGCATCTTCTGCACGATCCGAGTCGGTTGCGGTGCCACCCCGACGGGACAGGACACGGGTAGGCACTCTACACCGTATGGTATGATGTTTCGAGGAAACATGGAACCCCTCCTTAGGTTGCCAACCTGCCGGTCTTCCAGTCTACCCTCCCCTCCATTGTCCGGTATTGTTATTGCACATTGTATCATCCAAGCGCGGCAGTAGCATCAGAGCAGCAACACCGCACCACCAGCAGCGGGGCTTTACCCGATCTCGGGCTCATTTTGTTGCCCCTCTCCCCCGGGAGGTGCACCTAGTGTTGCATCCAGTCTTCAAGGTCGACTTCTTCTCTTCTGGCTCCAGTGCCCGATCATGATCGGCCCCCTCGCTTGCAGAGTGCGGTGAGTTGTGATGCTACTGGTCACCCGGCACATTTGTTGTGCCTTGGCGGGCCAGTTACCGACGCTCTGGTTACTGGTAACGCCGCCCCGAGCTGTTGGTCGCGCTCAAGTTGCCTCCACGTCCCGGCGCTGTGGTTGAGCTCCCCCTCTCCGAACGGCCCCCGCAGGGGGGGTGTCGGGCGTTGGGCAGCGGTTCGTCTGCCGTGGACCTGCACCCATCCGCCGAGCTGGGTCGACCAGGCCTGTACCGTGGGGCAGGGTCGCCAGCAGAGGGGTCCGGATGCGGTCATGGCGTGCTCTTTGATGCAGCCATGCTGCACCAGATGCCACCATCTCCCGCGTTACAGCAGGTGGCCGTCCTTGATTGGCTCTCTCCCCGAGACGGCCGGCTGGATATCCACCGCTCCACCCTCCAAGGCTCCATGGAAGCAGCCCCATCGAGCTCGCAAGGTGCATCTGGCGAGTCGTCTCGCCTCCGCGTTTCCCTGTCTTCTCCGCCCTTGCGTGTGGCCCGGACGAGATATTTAGCTCGTTCTCTAGTTTCTGGGTGGTTGCCCTTTTCCCGCTCGCCTGCCATGACTGGTACGCTTGACCGAGCTCGACGGAGTTCGTCCGCCTCACGGGATCTGCTTCGTCTCCAGCCGGCCCACGTACATATAGTTGAATGCTACGCCCTTGCTGCCAGTTGTCCACAGGAAAGCCAGCAGTCTTTGCTCTTTGCCCGCCACCCGCATCACAACAAGTGGTCACCTGTGCTAACAAACAGTACACTTACCTCCCTGACTTGGCCTGGCATTGTCCCCCCCGCGCCCTAACCTCCTTTCCCCCACCCCCTTTTCCCTCGTATATTACCGCCGCCCGGCAGTCTGAGTGCACTGTAAGGCATATATCCTCTCCGACGAAGGCTCCGTGGAGATGTTCTTGGCCGGCACCTGCCGTCTCACAACAACTATCACAGTCCAACACCAACGGGGCGCTAGCCTGAGGTACCCCTTCAGGGGTTATTCGTCCGTGGATGCAAGGGGAGACGGGCAGCTCTCCGCCCGGGATGGAGGAAGACGGCATCATCGAACCGCTCAGGGACGATGACCTGCCCGAGGCAGCCCGTGAAGTGACGTCCGACTACGATCCCAGCGAGGAGGAAACTACCTTTGGCTCTCTCACCTCGAGCGTCGGCGACCATGTGTGGGAGTATGGGAGGTATGTCGGTGGACTTCTGCTGTCGTGATCCTACCATGTCGGCGCTAAACTAGACGTAGGCGGTACCACGCTTACCGGTATGGGAGGTACCCCATCCCGAACGATGAAGAAGAGTACAAACGAGAATCGCTACGACACACGATGCTGAAGGAGCTGCTGAACGGCAAGATGTATTTGGCACCGGTCGGAGACAACCCCCAAAAGATCATCGACCTAGGCACGGGGTTTGGGGAGTGGGCCATCGAAGGTACGTGGTCGAGACAGGATAACAAAACGGAAACTGACACACAAGTCAGTCGGTGAAACGTTCCCCAGTGCCAGAGTAACGGGAGTGGATCTCTCTCCCATCCAACCGCACTGGATCCCGCCCAATGTCGACTTCATCGTCGACGACATTGAGGATGAGTGGATCCATGCGAGTGACTACGACTTTGCCCACTTCCGCTTCGTCAACAGCCTACTCAGGGACAACAAGGAAACCCTACGCAAAGTTCTAGAGTAAGCTTTGTACATACCTCCGGACACTCTGGGGACAAGTTGCTAACCCCATGGCTCAAGAAATCTCAAACCAGGTGGCTGGGTCGAGGTCGAGGATATCATGCCACGATTAGCCTCCGACGATAACACCGTTTCACCCGAACATCCCCTGATCAGATTCTACTCGATCCTCGGACCGGCGTTGGTAGAAAATTACGGATTCGACATCTACATTTTAAACAACTTACCCAGTCTGCTGGAGGAGTTGGGCTTCGTCAACGTGCAGAGGAAGGTGTTTCACATGCCCGTGGGCGAGTGGGCGCGAGACTCCCACCTGCGGCTCCTCGGCGGCTATTTCCGCGAGGTCGTTGTCGATTTCGTGGGGGCCATGGCCTCACGGCCGCTCGTCGAAGCCGGGGTCGACAAAGAAGAGATCGCGGACCTCGTCAGAGATATCACGGAGGCGGCCAGCAACAGACGCATCCACGGCTATCTGCCGATCCACTTCGTCTGGGCCCAAAAGCCGCCAGCCTGAACACCACACACGGCCAGATATTGCTATCCTCCCCGAAGCAACCAGCCAGTCCCGGGGCGTCCCACCACACGATGAAGAATAACACCCCGAACCCAGCAAGCCCATGCAACGCAACCTGCACGCGAGTCAGCCAGCCATCCATCCATCCGATATCCCCAACCCAGCCGGCCACTCACCACAGCTCCCGAGACCGACCGACCGACCAAAGTTCCCAAGGAGAGAGAAGAGAGACCCCGACCCGTCACCGAACGCTCCCCAATTTGCCGAGCGAGAGAACCCGACCGGGCAGCTGCACGACGCCGTTCCCGGCTTCTTTTTTTTTGGCCCTCTTTGACCGAACCGACCCCTCATCGTGCCGGCCCCAGGCGTGGCGTTGCAGTGCATGCTGCGTTCGATGCGGGTCTGGCCCGCCCGTGCGGCCGCCCCCCCTTTTCCCCCTCTCCCCGCCCGCCCTCATGGGCGTCCCCATGGGCGTTTGGGTGTTCATATGGTATGCATGCCGGGGAGAGAGGAAGGGAGTCCCGCTGTGGGTGGTGGGTGTGGTTGATGGCTGGTTTGGTTGTGCCGTGCCGTGTTTGCCGGGGTTTGGGCGGTGGTGCTGTCCGGATTCTATGGGGGGTGGTGGGCGTGGGTGGTTGGGTTTGGGGATATGGGAGGTGTGGATTTGTGCCGGTGGAAGGGAAGGGAGTAAAGAACCATGTGCGTTTCCCTTGTCGGCTTTGATAGGGCGATTCGGATGCCGAGATCGTTGACGTCGGGTTCCCGAGAGACTGGCTGTTCAGTGAGGTACTTGTAAAACTTGTTAACGGGAACGGTCAAGGCTTCCTGTGGAAGGGATGCGAGGCTGCCTACCTATTCGTACCTAGGTATATAGGTATCTGATCGAACAAGCTATCCCATCCCCATTTGCGTTAGGTACCTAGTCGTACCTCGGGCTCTCACCAACCCGCACACGTGCACCTATCCATCTTCTACACAGCAGATACATACAGTACAACCCTGGTTTGTTTGTTAGCGCGCCCCATTCGGCAGGGGTCCCGGTTCAAAAGTTGAAAACCCCTACCCTGACAGCCCAACAACGGTTTAAAATGGAGGAAACTGTGATAAATAGAATCTTTTATGAAGACAATTCTAGTCAGGACCTTTTTTCTGTTGAAGAAGGCGCCGTTTTGCCGTTGAGTTGGAGATTTTGGCATGGACCCCGGTCTTGAAGTCACGCGCTAACGAACAAACCAGGGGTGGACTGTACATGTACATACATTACCAGTTGGCTTGCCTCCGTGACAAACAAACCCCTAGCTTGTTTAAAGGCTTGATAACTACCTAACCGTACCAATTACCAAAATAGTAGTTTCAAGTTTTCCGGTCGTTTATCTACCTGCTGTGTATTCCCGTAATTGGTGAGAAAATGGGAGAAATGGTCGGCAGCGGGGAGGCAAACAGGGAGAACCCAGGAACGTCATTAACAGAAGGTGTGGCGCTGGGACGGCCCGTTGAGGATCGCTACACAGGGGAAGCGACCCGCATCTTTTCCCCAATCACCTAACAAGATTCCACCACAACTCCCTACCGGCGATTGCTACGCTCCATTTTGACGACTTCCATCTCACGCGATATTCTCAAGTGTCATCTCCATCCACCTAATTTTATCTAGGAGTGAGTCTAGAACTTATCGCTCCTTGCCAAGTTAACTCCCCCGAAACGATACTGACAAGCGGACAGGACTAACTACCGACCTCCCTAACCTACCTTGCCTTTACCTCTTTCATTTCCCACTCGTCGGACATCTCAAATGGATATTCCTAGCCCCCATGACCGACTGGAAGCCCATTGCTTGGCTGCAGCAAAGCAGATCGTTCCCGAGTGCGCTGCTATCTTAAGGGGCGATGTCATCTGCGGGGGCGTGACAGACTGCGGCGATCCTCTTGTTCAGCTCCTCCAGCGACAAGCATCACAACTACTCACGTTCGCCGAGTGCCGATGGGGTGAGGATTTGGACGTAGAGGTGCCGAAAGCTGTGTGTGGAAAGGCACTGCTACTTAAACGGTTGAACGACCTCATATCCTCGGCATACCGTAAGTCTTATGCCTACACCTTCAAGGACCTGCCAGCGTGCTGGCACCAGCTGTACACGGACGCAAGTATCCTGAAGTTTAGCGTACTGTACATATCGTGGGCCCCCGCGAGACTCTGGGGCAAATGGCCGTATGACAGAAACAGGGCAGAGAAACAGTTGGATGACATGATCCAGACGCTCGATCGCGCAATCATACTTGCTGGCGCAGCTGGGGAGAAACGGGGCAGGGTGTGGATCGACAGAGCGTTGGCTCTCCTCGAGGAGGTCTGGCAGGTGTCGTCGCCCCTAAACAACACCCTCACCGCGACTTCCGCGGACGAGAGGCCACAGAAGAAACCCAAAACATCAAATCCCTGGGGCGAAGCGCCCTCTTTCTCGTCCCACGAACCCTTCACTCCCGAGGTCACCCACCCAGTCCGTCGCGTCCACGACATCCCTCTCGAGGACTTCCAAACCTACCTTGACACCCGCGAAGCCGACGCTCTCGGTCCACTTCCGCTGGTCATCACCGGCCTAATCTCCGACTGGCCGGCGCTGACCACGCATCCCTGGCGCAAGCCCAGCTACCTCCTCTCGCGCACCTTTGACGGCCGCCGCCTCGTCCCTATCGAGGTCGGGCGAAGCTACGTCGACCCCGACTGGGGGCAGGAGATCCTCCCGTTCGGCGCCTTCCTCAAACAGCACATCACCGACCCCGACGACCCGCAAACCACCACCACCACCGCGCGGAAAACAGGCTACCTCGCGCAGCACCCGCTGCTCACGCACCTCCCCGCCCTCCGCCAGGACATCCTCCTGCCCGACCTCGTCTACACCACCCCGCCACCCCACCCCATCCCCCCCCCTCCAAAAGCACAAGCACAAGCACAAGCACCAGCCCAACCCCACCTCCACCCGCCACCCCTCGCCGCAACCCCCCCGGACGAGGACGAGGACGCACCAGAGCTCACCCCCGACCTCCTCCTCACGGACCAAGAACCGAAGCTCAACGCCTGGTTCGGGCCCCCGGGCACCATCACCCCCTTGCACACGGACCCGCACCACAACCTGCTCGCCCAGGTGGTCGGGCGCAAGTACGTGCGCCTGTACGCGCCGTGGGCGGGGGGCGGGGCGGTGGCGGCGCAGGCGCGGGGCCGGGAGGGCGGGGTGGACATGGGGAATACGAGTAGGGTGGACGTGGGTGTTTTGGAGGGGTGGGATGATGGTGCGGTGGGGGGTGATGGCCTGGTGGGGGATGATGATGACGCGGTGTGGGATGGGGGTTGGGGTGGTGAATCGGGGGGTGATGGAGGAGGAGGAGGAGGAGAAGAAGAAGGAGGAGAAAAAGGGAGGAGTGGTGGTGGGAAGGACGGTGGTGAGAAGGATGGTGGTAAGAAGGATGGTGGTAAGATGCATGGTGCTAAAAGGCATCGTGTTACGATGCATTGTGCTAAAATGCATGGTGCGAAGAAGGATGGCGCTGAGAAGGACAGCGCTGGGAAGCATGGTGCTAAGAATAAGGATGGCGCTGACAAGCATGGTACTGAGAAGCATGGCGCTGAGAAGGACGGTGCTAACACGTCTAGTAAAAGGACCCACGTATGGCCGAACCACGCGTGGGGGAGTAACCCCGTCAAGGTCGAGTATGTGGACTGTATCCTCAACGAGGGCGACGTGCTGTACATACCCGTCGGGTGGTGGCACTACGTGAGGGGGCTCAGTGTGAGCTTCAGCGTGAGCTTCTGGTGGAATTAGACACAGACGATGACCGTTACGCTGTGCTGGGCTGGACAGGGTAGATCGATAGATAGATGTTGAATAGCAATGCACTTTTAATATTCGACCAGCTAATAAGCCTCCGCCATGCATCATCATTCTCTGCAAAAGGGGCAAGAGATCGAACCAGGCCCCAACCAAACCCGCCGCAGCCTATCCCGGCAGCCAACTCAACGCAAAATTGGGACGTCATCGTCCTAGGTATCATAGCACATCCTCCCTCCTTCTCTACAACAGGCTCACCACTCCAACGGCTCCGTCTTCACATCTCCCCTGTTCGTCTTGGGCACGGGCGCCGCCTTGACGGCCAGCTTCCCTCCCGCGCCCTTGCGCTTCAGGTAGCCCGACCCGTCCAGCCATGGCGTCTCGCGCGTCATCTTGCCCTCAAACTCGGCAATCTTGTCCTCCATCTGCATGGTCAAACCAATGTCATCGAGCCCGTTCACCAGACAGTGCTTCCTGAACTCCTCGACTTCGAACGAGCACAGTGTATTTCCGTCAGCGTCCTTGATGAGCTGGTTCGGCAGGTCGATCTCGACCTCCCGCCCGGCCACGGCCTCGGCGTGGACCTTCTCCAGGTCCTCCTTGTTCTTGATCGGGATCGGTAGCATGCCGTTCTTGAACGAGTTGTTGAAGAAGATGTCGGCAAACGACGGGGCGATGACGCTCTTGACGCCGAAGTCGTTGAGGGCCCAGGGGGCGTGCTCGCGCGAGGAGCCGCAACCGAAGTTGGCGCCTGTGCAGACGATGATCTTGGCGCCGCGGTAGGGCTCGCGGTTGAGGACGAAGGCCGGGTTCTCGACGCCCGGCTCGAGATAGCGCAACTCGTAGAAGAGGGCGGTGCCGAGGCCCGTGCGCTTGATGGTCTTGAGGAACTGCTTGGGGATGATGGCGTCCGTGTCGATGTTGGCTTTCTCCATCGGTGCCGCGATGCCCTTGAGGACGGTAAATTTCGGGAGGCCGGCGGCGGCGGCGGCGTTGGCACTGTTGTGGGTGACGGTGGTGTTTACTTGCGGAGACGAGTCTTGGGGCTGGTCGGCCAGGGCCTCCTTTTCTGTGTCGTCGGTTTCGATGCGCTCGTCGGGGTGGGCCTTTCCGGAGGCGGAAGGGCCGGAGAAGGTGGTGGATTCCGGGACGACGGCGGCCTCGATGTGCGGGCTGCCGTTGAACTGTGAGATCTTCCGGACGTCGGCGAGTTTGCCGGCGATGCCCGCAGCGGCAGCCATGACGGGGGACATGAGGTGAGTCCGGCCCTGGGCACCCTGCCGGCCCTCGAAGTTCCGGTTGCTAGTGCTGGCGCACCTCTCCTTGGGCGAAAGGATATCGGGGTTCATGCCTAGGCACATACTGCATCCGGCCTCCCGCCACTCGAACCCGGCCTCAACAAAGATCTTGTCGAGCCCCTCCGCCTCGGCTTGGTCCTTGACTAGACCAGACCCCGGCACGACCAAGGCGCGCTTGATGTTGGAGGCAATCTTCTTGCCCTTCACAACGAGCGCGGCGGCCCGAAGATCCTCGATTCTCGAGTTGGTGCAAGAGCCGATAAAGACCTTGTCAACTTCGACTTCCTGCATCGGGGTTCCGGGGACCAAGCCCATGTACTCGAGCATCCGGCGGCCGGCAGCCTTCTTGGCATCGGTTGCGAAGGTCTCCGGGTCGGGCACAACACCGGTAATGGGGACGACATCTTCGGGGCTGGTACCCCAGGTGACGGTCGGGATAATGTCCTTGGCGTCAATGAAGACGTCAATATCGTACTTGGCATCGGGGTCGGAACGCAGCGACTTCCAGTAAGCCGTGGCCCTATCCCACTCCTCGCTACCGTACTTGGGGGCCAGCGGCTTCCCCTTGAGGTACTCGAATGTGACCTCGTCGGGGGCAACCATACCAGCCCTCGCACCACCCTCGATAGACATGTTGCAGATGGACATGCGGGCCTCTATGCTGAGGGAGCGGATGACGGAGCCGCAGAACTCGATGACAGCACCGTTGCCGCCGGCGGTGCCAATCTTGCCAATGGCGTGGAGGACTACGTCCTTGGAGCTAACGCCGGGGGCCAGCTCGCCGTCGACTTGTATCCTCATGTTTTTGCTGCGCTTGGTGATTAAGCATTGTGTAGCGAGGACGTGCTCCACCTCGCTGGTGCCGATGCCAAAAGCCAGAGCGCCGAAGGCGCCATGGGTCGACGTGTGGCTGTCACCGCAGACCACGGTTGTGCCGGGGAGAGTGAAGCCCTGCTCGGGGCCGATAACGTGGACAATACCCTGCCTCTTGTCACTGAGACCAAAGTATGTGATGCCAAACTTTTTGACGTTCTCCTCGAGGGTTACGCATTGTGTCCGGGAGTCGTCTTCCTGAATGAAGCTCGCAATATCCTTGAGTGCTTTCCTGGAGGTGGTGGGGACATTCTAGAGGGTGGTGAGTCGAGTTTCAGTTTCAACGTTTGGATACATGACATGTGCTTACATGGTCGGTTGTGGCGAGAGTGCAGTCCGGTCTCCTAACCTTTCGGCCGGCGACCTCGAGACCCTCGAATGCTTGCTGCAGAGAGGCGGGGAGGTTAGTGGAGGAGCTACTATTTAGGATAACGACGGGACCTAGATAAGATAGCGGGGACGCACTGGTGATGTGACCTCGTGGACCAAGTGGCGGTCGATATAGAGAAGAATAGTGCCGTCGAGTCTCTCGTCGACGATGTGGGCCTGAAAGACCTTGTCGTAGAGCGTCTGCGGTGTGCTCTCGGCGGCCGGCATTTTGGCTGTGCAACACAAACACTTCGCTGCGGAACAAGGCCAATTGGGGATTTTCAACACGCGGCAGTGAAAGGCGGGAAGGAGGTACTCGGGTAGTTAGTTGGTAAGACAACGACCGGGAAGGAGGGGTCGATGGATGTCTTTTTTGATTTATTTTAGACACTTCTTCCACGCAGTTGAGGCTGTGGCAAAGAACACGGAGGTTTCGGGGGTGTTGAGATACGGAAAAAGAGGCAGCGAGTCCACTCGCCGTCTGATAATGCGGTATACCACTTCCACTTATAAAACTTTCAGCGATGACGGCGACCTCCAACACCCCAACCCGGCGATGTTGGAGACCGCCGATATTCGGAGTGCTGCACTGCGCTCCGGTTCGCGGAATGCGGGGTGGCCACTGCAATTGCTAAAATACGGTCACTCATTGGCTGCGGTGAACCGGCAGGGCAGGCCATTGCGGGGCCGAAGCCACGGCGAGACCCCGCTGTGGGCAGTTGGTTCAAAGAAAGCGCCGCTTGCACCCGAAAAGCAATTTTGACAACACACGTGCACTACTCGAACAAGTCCCGAATTCTTGTCCGATTGAAGGATTTATTGCCATGTTTTCTATCTGGTTCCGAGTCGACCTCGGACTCATCCGATCTGGGGTCCAGATCGGCCATCGTTGACGGCAACCTCCCGATACAGTCAATTCTCGAAGCTCGCTGATAGGCAGGTGCGCCAACAAGATCCCGGTCAACACAGATCCATCAAATAGATTCTGGCGCTCTGGCTCGTCGACGTCCCCACGAAAACGTAACGGCATCGTCTTCCGATTCGATCAAGCCGTCCGAAAGATAAACAGGAAACTAATTGTACGGCGGGAACGCACCAACAAAAAGACACATGAGTGTTTACCGAGCAGCCGTCCCAGCTTTTCTTCATGCCCGAACATGCACAGTATATCGTACATACATGTACATACATAAGGCAGATGCCCGCCTGTACATGTCCATACACATGAAAAGCTGCCCTGTCTCCAGTTGATTCAACGCAGGGCTGCCTGCCGAACCCCACCCACCTGCTGATATGGACCGCCGCTTTCGACAAGTTGCAGGGCCAGCCCGCCCAGACTTCCCCAATCGAGATCGTCCCCGGAACACGGAATTCACGCCGTTCGCTGGCCCGGTCCCCCAATGGTCTCTCCAACATGCATGTTCCGTCCGGTCTCACCTGCGTGTCCCACTCCCCCGGCTTTACCATTGCCTGGCACTGGATTATTCTCTCCGGCTTTCGCTGTCCTGCTATCCACCGCCTGGCCCACGTCGCCGATCTTATCGTACCATGAAGCAGCGAGAAAGAGAAAGGAACCATGCAGGACCGTGAAGCGGTCACGGTGCCGAGGAACGACGGAAATCTTGGTCTTCAGCTGCTTCCGGCACCCAAAGAGGCAGCCATATATGCAGCTTTATCAACCGTGTCCAACCACGTCCGTTCGGATCACCATTTCCCGGGCCGACTGCAGGACACCCAGAGCTCGTCAGCCGGGGGCGCCATTACGGCAGTCTATCCTTTTCGGTTCCCCGGGCTTATTTGGGTATGGAGAAAGCTGTTTGTCGTTGACTCCCTCTCTGATTTGGCATTATCTAAGCTATACCGTGTTTTTGCCCCAGAGCAGTGTCGTATCCGAGTGGAAAGCCCTCAGTCATGCAACCCTGCCACCACTCGGAGCACCTCTCCAAGCCTGCCCAACAACCTCACAACCCAAATAATACCCCTGACGGCCCATACCCCGCCGGACGCCGCCAAAAATAAAAACACCACGGCGAGCACGCACACCACCGCGTCTCCCCGAGTCGCCTGGGCTTTATCAATCCGTTTCCTGAGCTGAGAGTCCCCGTCAAACACGGGACTCACCACGTGCCAGTACGCTTCCACTACTTTTGCCAACATCACCATGGCACTCCGCGCCCAGCGACTGACCTCAACGTTGTTCATATCTGCTTTAGTTGTCTTTCCCTTCTCCTTTTCCTTCTCCTTCTCCTTCTTCTTCGCTTTCTCCTTCGCCTCCTGCTCGTTTTCCCCTTTTTCCTTTTCGTTCTTTTCCTCCTTCCCCTTGTCTTGGCTCCCTTGACCCTTCCCCTGCCCCGACCCGGTCTCCGCTCCCGCCCCGGGCTTGGCCGCGGCCTTGGCTCTCGTTCCCGCCGCCTGTACCCGTGTCCGGTGGGGCTGGTGGGAGCCGGGGTCCGGCGCCGATACCGGCATCCGTGTCCGCACCCATCCCGAACCTCCCCGGTGATGCGCAAAGGCTGTCCGCGCTGCGCCACGGGCGATTGTCTCGTCTGCGGCTTGGTTTTGCGATGCTATTGTCCCTGGAGATGGAGACTGGGCTGTGAGGGACGTGGACGTGCGTGTGGACGTGGGTAACGACCTGCGGGTGTCGACTTCGTCTTGGGGACCGGGGTTGCCTAGGGACTTGCGCATTGTTTTGCGCATCGCCCAGTCCGGTGGCTCCGGCTGCGGTGACCGGTTTTCGGTTTCCGCCGCGGGTTGACTCTGCTTTACCGAGTGTGTCTCCCCCTGGACGGGGGCTGTTCTCCCTCGGTCGGTTGACAGTAACGTAGTATCGCTGTCTACTCCTGGTTCGCGAAGCGGATGGGGGATAGGATTTCCCCCCAGCGGGATGACTCCCATCCCCTTTCGGACTGACATCGATGACCCCGTCTGCAGACCCGCGCTGTTGGGATTCGGCCAGACGCTCAGTTGCATCTCGCCTGGGGAAGCCAGCCGGTTTGAATAAGTGATCTTGGGCATCCCGGTCGACGATAGGGGCGATGTTGACTGTGAGAGTACTCTGGGCATCAGAACCCGCCGACTCGGAGGAGCTTCGTGCCACCCGTCGAGCGTCGCGTCGAAGGGACGGGCGACGATGCGGTGGCGAGGCTGATTGCGTCCGAAGCCAGTAGTGGTGATGGTGCGTGTGCAGACAGATTGGAGTCCCTGGCCCAGACCACGACCTCCCTCCACTAAACGCGCCTTCGACATTATGTCGCTTTGGCGGAGGCTGTTCAGACCGCAGAGTTGGCTGCTTGCCCATGGCTCTGCCATATTCGGGTCGTCCAACTCCAACACCCGGCCGGTGGGTGTCCGTCGGCCTCGGCAGTCTTCCGAGAGCCGGTGAAGGTCCATGGGGATGACTGTGAGGTTTCCTAGTTCCCATTCCAGTTGATAGTCCATTAGGTGACTTGTATCGTGCAGCAGAGACTGGGGACCCTCCTGGCGAGAGACGAGCCGTGAGAGACAAAACCGTAGCATCACTCTTTTCAACACACACAGGCCCTTTCCCATGTCTCCCACCACTCCGAGTATCGTTTCTTCGGGCCTCGCCAGCACCATCTGCATCTTGCCTTCCACGTTCCCACAGCGGCGGCGGCGGTGGCCGTTCACCCCCTTCGCCACCGCCGCCATGGCTAAAAAAGGCTGTTGTCTCTGCGGATGACCACCGGCTCCCTCGCCCTGCACCGACGACTTCCCGCTCCCCTGCGGCGACTGCAAGATCGGGCTCAGCTTTGGCTCGGCTACCGAACTCCACCCACCGGCCTCCGGCCGCCACTTCACACCCCCCTGCATCAACACTCGCAGAGTATCCTTTCTCTGCTCTGCCCGACTCAACCTCTCCGCCTCCCTCTGCATCCGCCTCCCCACCCTCTCTTCCCTATCTGTCCCCCTCCACGAACCAGGCGCCAACCGTCTTTCATCACCACTACCGCCGCCAGCACCCGGCGCCCACTGACGCCCCCCGGTTTGTGCCCCAGCCACAACCGCCAAAGCGGAGCTAGCCGTCGTTGGCGACGACGACGACGTCACGATCGCGTCGTCCGAGCTGGTCGGCGGAGTGATCAGGTCCGGTTCACCCGTGTATGGGTTCACGCCCGTGACCCCCAAAAAGTCGCCGCTCGATATCAGTGTGTGTCGTTGCTGGCGCAGGGCACGCTTTGCTAAGAAGAGGTTGCGTGTGGAAGGGGTGGGCGTAGGCGTGTAGCTGTGGGGATAGGGCAGGGTTGAGTTTGTGTTTGGGTGGAGAGAGTTGTGGTTTTGGGCTGTTGCGGCGTGGGAGCGTGGATGGGTACCTGGAGGGGTTGGATTGGGAGGCCGATGCGGTGGAAGGCGCATGGGGAGGCGATCCTCGCTAGGGGCTGGGGTCGAGGTGTGAGGTGGGTTGGCGTTCGCCTGGAAAAGGGGTTGAGTGGCCATCACCCTCCTCCCTCTGGCCCCAACGCTGTTTGCTCTCCGCGGCGGCGTGATCGCCGTGTTCCAGCGACTCGCGGGGATTGTGTCCGGGCCGTGGCGGCCCAGGGAGCTTGACCGGTCCGTTCGGCAGCTTGCGGTCGGCCTGGGCGATGTGGGCTCTGCCGACTGATGTTCCTGACTACTGCCTAGCGGAAGCCGAGTGCCACCACGCTCGGGGCGCTGGCTTGGCCTTAGCTTGGAGAAGAACTCGGTCACGGATTTCGAAAGGTTCTTTGGCTTGACGGCATCGGGGGGCGTGGGGGGTTTGTTTACTCGACGTGTTGGTGAGTCCCTGGTGTCCCCTGGATTTCGGTGTTGCCGCCGTGGTGACACGGAGTTAGTTTCTGGTCGAGTATTCCTCATGGGGAGCGATCCCATGTGCTCGCCCATCTTGGTCTTTGCTACGAGAATTGGACTAAGGACGAGCTGTCTGTTGATCGTGGAGAAGCCAAATAACCGGTCAAGTAAGGAGTTGCTCTTGGGCAACGCGAGTACAAGCAAGCGCTCGCGAGCACCTGCTCGACACATACCTAAACGGCACGCATCCCGTCCCTTGGAAGGAACTGCATGAGGCGCCGAGGGACTTCCCAACCTGTTTCCCCTTCGAATCTGAACATGACAGGACCCTGACGAGGCAAGTGGCCACCGACGGAGATCTCCTGAGGAAGGAGTTGCTTGCTCGGTAAACCGCCGTAGGGCATTTTACTCTTCCGACCTCAGTGGCAGACAGATCTCACACTCTGAACCCCGGCAGACAAGACTCAGCGCAGATAGGGCAGCCACAACCCGCAACCGGATCCTTTCATCCTCTACCGTACCTGCGTCAACACCCAGGCCTGGTGTCACCTCCCCCCCTTCCTACAGGCCCCACAACACCGCGACCCCACCCGTAGGTCCCATTGATAATGCCTGGCACCTACCCGAAGTCCCACACGCTCTCCCCGGCTCCCCCAAGTCCCGCTCGGAGGGACCCAAAAGAAAGCGAACCGCGTCAGTGGTTTAGTGGTAAAATCCATCGTTGCCATCGATGGGCCCCGCGTTCGATTCGCGGCTGACGCATTGTTTTGCTCCTGCGTTCTCCGTTTCCTTCCTTTTGTTGTCTCTGTTTCCGTGTCGTTTTTGTTTCTCGGTATCTCATTTCTGTGTTTGTCTCTCGGAACTTCGTGCCTTAGCTTCAGCCCCTTCTAGGGAGAGCACACATCGGGAATCTTGAAGGAGACAAAGGGCCAAAAACTGGGAAATATACTCGGGTATCCACACGCACCCGTTGCTAGGACTGAACAAATTATGATGCCCTTGAGAGCAGAACAAAATAACCATGTATTCCCCGCCGCCCCTATGACGCCAAAACCCCAAAAATGCTGAGTATAAAAAAAAACAGTATGCATCCCCAAATGACCGTTGCCGGCCGTCCAACCTCCCTTGTCTCTTCCCTCTTATTTATTATGATACAGACGGGGCATCTCGTCGCCTCGCGAACAGCAATCCCCTCAAAGCCTCCTCGAAGGAAACCTCTCCTGCGCCCACCGCCCGGCCCTCGCCCTAGCCAGCTTCTCAGGCGAATGCGCTAGGCTGCTCTGGCCCAGCTCCAACTGCCCCTGCCCCTGCTCCCCCGCTGCGGCCATGGGGCGCCTGTGCTCCTTGAACGGGCTGCTCTGGCGGATCATGCGGTCGGCGAGGTCGCGCTGCTCGAGCGCGGCCATCTCGCGGTTGTTGCGCGGCGAGTTGAAGGCGGCGCCGACGTCGTTGAGGCTGGTCGCCTTCTTGAGGGGCGAGTTCATGTGCGTGTATACGCCGAGGCTGCCGCCGTAGCCGGAGTTGGGCGGTAGGTTGTAGTTTGTGCCGGTGGTTGTGCCGGTTGAGGTGGTAGTGGTTTTGGAGGCCGCGGACGGAGTTGAGGGGGGGCCGCCTCCTGCGCCCGTCGAGGTGGTGGGCGGGAGACTCCTCCGGACGGCCGAGTGTCGTTGCTGCTGTACCTGAGCGGCGAAGGACGGGGGCACTGAGGCCCTGGGTTTGGCGGAGGGGGTGAATGGGTTGGCTGGCATGGTGGACCTCAGCTGTGGGGACATGGTGGTCCTCGCCTGGGAGGGCTTCCCGGCGTCAGGGTCGACATATCTGCTGTAGTTTGGGTTTGGGTGCGTCTGGAACGACCGCTGAATCATCGTTGCGGGGGTGCCGACGGCGATTTCCTCCTCGTCGATCTTCCCGTCGTTAATCGACACCTGCGTCGAAACTTCACGGACGGTTGGATGGAGTCGCGGGTGAACGTATTTGACGTCGTATTCGTGCATCACCTCCTTCTGGATGATGGCTGTGTCCGTGCTTTGCTGGGAGAAGCGCGAGTGCATGAGCAGCAATTGCGCCGAGAAGATGACCTGTAGGAGGAAGCATTTGAAGACCGTGACGCTAGGCCGCGGATCGAGCATCGGCAGCGGGAGGAAGAGCATGTGAATGAGGACGTGTCCTGGGCTGAAGAGGCAGAACATCCGCAGCGTCGCCGGATACGGATCCCACACCTTTATCTCCCATACATCGCGAGTCTTGTCCGGGTGTGCTCGCTGCTCGGCCGTTTCGGGCCTCAAGACCCCCTGGAGGAGTCGCAATGGGGTCGAGGAGGCAGGCGACGAATCGACGCGAACGCGTTGCGCCGAGGGCGTGCTTGGTCCTGCTCCTTCAACATTCTTCTCAAAAAGCCGGTAGTGGCGGGATCGCGTCATCGCGTAGAAGGCATTTAGGGCGGATATGGAAACCAACGTCCATTGAAGGAAGTTAGCCTAACGGAACGGCGCGCGTGTTAGCAGATATCCCAGACCAATGCGCAACGAGCGTGGCGGACCTACCACGAGAGTGAACCAGCCATTAGCGGGCGCGTCGCCAAACACGTCATCAACGGCCTCGCGTGCCGTACCGGCGTTTGCTCTGGCGACTAGGAATATGAAGTTGGCCATAAGCCCGAATCGGGTGCCGAATGTTTTGGAATCCCAGTTGAAGGTTTGTATTTCCTCGGATAACCAGAGGTAGAAATCCATGGGGTTAAGCATGGCACGAAGCCTCTCAGTGAGCGGCTGGCGCCTCACGAGACGTTGCGGTCGAGGAGGCATGGCTGTCGCGCGCAATCTGTTTCCCCTAACGAGGTGGGCAAGTTCGTGATGCGCTTTGCGATTTCTTTGTTTGGTTTGGACCCGGGTTTTCCGCCTTATTTCGCAAGAAAGCGGTCGAGGATGAGATCAAGGAGTCGTTTGTTGATCGACTCAACCGCCACGCTGAAGCAGGAGATTCATTTGCGGCAGCGCAGCTGGGCGATACACGTTGCCGATGAGAGTTGCTTGAAAGGTGCAAAAACTCGAGTTGCTTGTTTACGCCGTCAAAGAATTTGGTCCCAGCAACAGCTCCACTCGCCTGGGCTGCTTGAACATTGGCGGGCTGGAAACGGAAGTCATTGGTGCCGGAACAGGGGTCGGTCGGGAGCGGCAAGGAGGCAGCGGGGGTCGCAACCTGGGAGGTGGGCGAGTGGGTCCACGGCCGACTGTTGGTCCCAGCAGCTCCGAGCGGCGTCACTTCAGCGGCTCAGCACGGAACGGGGAAACCTGGAGTGCTGCACCACAACGGAAACCTCCACCAACACTTCTTGTGACGGAAGAACCACGATTTACTCGGGATTCACTACGTTGATTTGAAACTCTCGAGCCACTCCCCGTTTCTTAACCACCAATTGCTTCGCTTCGTAGCCGAGATGGCATCGCAAGCAGACTTCCGCGACAGGCAGTTCCTGGCTGTGATCGGAGACGAGGCAAGCAGCTTCTACGACACGACCAACGTTGGGGATGCTTCGCTAACCGTTGCGTTGGATAACAGGATTCTGTGACTGGACTACTTCTAGCCGGCATTGGCGTACGTCCTAACTACCTCAACACCTCCGCAGCCGTTCGCTCCCACCCGACTGACTCCCTCGCTCGATAGCATGTTACCGCGCCGCCAGACAACCAGAAGAACTTCCTGGTGGTAGACGCCAAGACGGACAACGCTTCAATCGAGGCGGCCTTCGAGCGGTTTACAACGGAGAGGAAGGACATTGGGATAGTTTTGATCAATCAACATGTCAGTCATGCCCGCGCCTGGGCCCTATGCTGGGCTACCGACCGAACAGTTTGCTAAACAAGTGCGCCGCAGATTGCCGATAGGATAAGGAACCGAGTCGATACCTACACCCAAGCTTTCCCGACCATTCTCGAGATCCCAAGCAAAGACCACCCCTACGACCCGGAGAAGGACAGCGTCTTGCGCAGAGTCCGCCGGTTGTTTGGTGAATAAACAGGCTTATGTTGAATAGAGTGGGGAGCTTAGAGAGTGAACGGCCAGCCAGTCACGCGTGTGAAGCGAACGATAGTTAACCAATGCAATATCCATCCTGCATTCCATTATGCCAGCCTCTGGACTCCGTGTGTCTTCAGTATGCTATGAAAGAGATGCAGAACAGATTAAGCCAATGGGACTCCTGATTGACAAGCACAAACAAACACATGAACCAGTCGCGATCCTAGACATCGCCATATGTACGCATACCAAATACCATATCCATTGTCGAACCCGATCACTACTCCCATGTAAAACAACCAATGCGATACTTTAGAGATCGACCATCCCGCCCAGCGACTTGCCCCCAAAGGTCACGGTAGCGGTCAAGCAAGTGATATGCACGTCGTCGTCGTTGTAGACGTCAGCCAGGACGGTGTACTTGCCCTGTATTTGTTGTTAGCGACCTTACTTCCCATACCGCTTAACATCATGGGGATTCGCACCGGAGGGATCTGGCTGGGCAGGTCGACCGTCTTGGTGATAGAAAGCTTTCCCGGCTCGATGGGGCACTCGAGGTCCACATTACCGAGCTGCTCGCACAGGTCGGCCGTCGTGCTGATCAGGCGAATGTAGCCATATTTGACCTCGAGCTTCACATAAGCGCCTTTGAGGATCGTTTCATTCACCGTGCCGCTAGCTTCGATGTTGAGGGTGGTGCCCCTGTAACGACGAATCCCAGTTAGTCTCTGGCCAGCCGAACCATCACCACACCACACCAACTCGAAGTGACATACGCTGCAGGCGGGTTCGGGGACAAGGTGACCTCGTCGATGGTAATGAGATCCTCATCACGGTCGGCATTGCAGAATTGGAGCGGGTTCTCGCCCGGGACCTTGAGATTGTCGTCGCGCTTGACGAGGCTCTGGCCTCCGCTGCGGAAAACGTTCCGGGCGCTGGCAGTCGCAGCGAGGGCGAGGACGATTGGGGAGAGCCTCATGTCGACGGCTTATCGGTGGGTTCGTTGGGAAGGTGGTGATGGATCCGCTACTCCACGGTGGGGCCTCACAAAGACAACCACAACAGACTTTCTGCTTCTTGGAGAAAAGAGGCGGGTTCAATGTTGATGAATTCGAAGAGTGAAGGAGTTGTTAGTGATGGCCGACAGCACGATGATGGCGAACACCGACAGCGGATCGAAGCGCAAGGCGGCAACGCTGACTGGTTGGCCCACCAGGCACTGGCAGTGGCTGGTAGTCCCCAACCACACGTCATGGGGAGGCAGCACAGTCCTCCAGCTGATTTGCTGGGGCCGGGCTGCGCTTGGCTTGATCCGACTTATCATGTGAACTCAAGTGGGCCTGCTTGTTGGACCCGGCCAACCATGACTGCTGAGACCAGAGCCGAAACAAGGGTCCAAGTTAAACAGGACGCGGCTCCGGGGTCTGGGGTTCTGGGGTTTCTTTCATTGTCTTTCTTGCCCAACGATCAAGCGATGCGGAAAAGCCGACGAGTCAAAATCGAATCCGTTTTCTTGAAATATTTTCTCAGGAGGACTCGGGACGGGCAACTCGGGACGCCATCGGTTTCGGGAATTGCCTCCAACTTCCGGACAGTCGAAATCCGTGCCTGTCTGGTCTCCGGCAACCCACCTTACCTAGTACCTAACGCCAAACGGGGAGTGAAAGCGTCGAGGCGACTCTCGCACGAACCCAGACACGCCCAGAGCTCAGCGAAGTGACGTCAAACCTCGCAATGTTGGGACTACTCGCTACAAGTAAAAGCATCGCTTTCGGCTATCTCGTCCTTCGAATCGCATTCTAGTCTGACTACCTTACCTATTGGCCTAATCACTTTGGGAGTGCCGCCCTCCTCCTGGTTCGTTGTTTCGAGAGCCGGGACTCTCGCTTCTCAACGGACTTCGATCCGACGCAGTCAGACTGGAGTTTCAGCGAGTCGCCAGTCAAAAAGTAGCTGATATTGGCACTGTGCACCCGCAGAGCCCCCGCCTTCCTGCCTCCGACTTCTGAGTTTTCTTCTTGCTGCGGGCTGCCGAAGAAACCGCAGCCATCCACCTCGGTTCAAGAGTAGCAGTTCTCTCTTTTCATTCCAAAATCCAGTTTCCATTCTCACTGGCTTTCTCTGCCCAATCATCCCACCACTATTCTCCCTCGACAAGTTTTGCGCCCTGCCTTTTTCTTTCACCTCGCACAAACATAATGTTTCCATCATCTATTATTCGACCCACTTTCGTTTCCCGTTTGGGTCGAATGTACTCTTGACGATGTCGTCTCTGGTTTGTATTTCTTCACATCGTACCTTTGATGGTATTGTGTCCAGGGCGTGCAAGATATCGACTGCTGACGGTCAATCCGCGGGAATATCTTCAAGCTGGCTCGGCCGCCTCACGCTCCGCTTCTTTTTGGTGTTAAATCCGGGCAGGCTGCGCGGTTCGCCCCAACCGACCTCCGTACAATCTCACCCGCCGCCGACCAATCGCGAATGAGCTTCGAGACCACCGTTGCCCACCGCCCTTGCTCCCCTGCTCCGTTCTGAGCCTAGTGCCTCAGGCTGCACTGCATCCAACCTGCCTCCACAGTGGAACATCCTGGGCTGGGTACGACTTTCCAAGGCCGCCCGCCGCGCCCCAGCGAGCAGCAGTTCCCGGCTGCTCATCAATTTTCTCTCCCTGGCGCTTGCACTGCCAGTGGAAGCTCGCTGGGACAAAGGGAAGTCGCGGCGCAAATGTGAGCCCACCCGCCTTCTGGTTCCCTTTCCCCCCCAAGACCGAGAGCCACCATGTTTTGCAGTACAAAGCTGTCTCTGATTGGCCGGTGCTTGCGCATTCCCCGTTTTCTCTCTGAGCAGCATCCCGGGCAGTCCCAAGTCGCAGCAGCCCGTCCTTCCGCTCTCTCTCTCTGTCGCATGGGGGGGCTGCACTGAGAATGCTGCCATGCGCTGCGCTGCACCCGTCTAGTCGACTACCCATGTGGGCCCCCCTCTCTCTTGCACTTTCCACTCTGGCCCTCCTCTCCTTCAAACTCTGCCTTTCTTTATCCAATCCCCAATTTTTCGCGTCACCCATTCGTCCCTCGCCGTCGACATTTCCGGTGTTCAAGACTGGATTCCAATCCTGCACTCGGCGACTCGATTCCGTCGATTCGAGTTCCTTTGTGCTCGAGGCGCATCAACCGTATCCGTCTCGTCCATTGTGTATCCCCCGTCTCGAGCCCGCCGCCACGGTCGCCACACTCGACCACAAGACAGTAGCACTTTCTACTTGCCTGCTTGCACTCGACACCTAACGAGCCGGACACGATTGTTAAAAAAACAAACCCAGGCAGTCCGTCATCGCTCTTTCGCCGGCCCCACCTTCATCGCGACACCGCACAACAACGCAACTGTCACACGCCGACCGAGCCGACGAACCGACTGACACGAGCAACATTGCTGCGGCCGGGTGCGCCGACGCAAGTAGCACAATTCGACCGACCCGCGGATGACACTCTTGCTGTCTCTGCCGGTTCTTCCAACACACACAGTTCGATCTCAATCGCGTCGAGACGCGCGACAAGCATGCCCTTCCAACCGGAGAGATAAACCATTCAGACAATCCCTCCGCCTTTTGGCCGTCGCGAGGCTTTTCAAAGAGTATGACAGACAAGTTACCACCGCTGTCGACGCCGATCGCGCTTCCGAGTCAGCCCGCCTTCTCCCTTCCGAGTGCCGTCTCGACTCGAGATGTCCCTCGAAAGCAAGAGACGGTGGAGGAGGAGCCATACACGATCAAGTGTATCTGCGACTTCGCTGACGATGACGGAAATACCATCTACTGCGAGACGTGCGACACATGGCAGCACATCGAATGCTACTACCCTGACAACATCGAGGATGCCCTCAGCCCGAATTTTGCACACTCCTGCGCCGAGTGCCAACCACGATCTCTAGATCGCCAACAGGCGATCGCCCGCCAGAGGGCAAGGGCCGTTGTGCCGGTCGTGGAAGCGGCGGCTGACAAGAAACCAAAACGGCCGCCGTCGAAGAGCCACAAGAAGAAGCCAAAACCGACAGAACTCCAGATCAATGGTTCCCACCATGGGTCGCTTGAGAACCCGAAGCACAACAGTCCTCAGGACAGCCCGCATCCCGCGAAGAAGGCCAAGAGCTCGCACAAATCGAGCCAGTCAATCAGTTCACAAGCTCCGAAGCGGAGCCCTTCCCACGGGAACGCGAAAGCGACCCACAGCCACCCCTTGAGCCCCGCGACAACTCCACCCGATCTCCCAGACGACTTCGAACTTCACAACTACTCGTCAGGATTCTTGTCCCTGTATAACGACCAGGCTTTTCAGATCGTTAACACGAACTCCTTTGCCGGTCTACAGATCTCGAATACCATGTCGGCCTGGCTGCGCGACCAGGAAAAGATGAAGATCGAGACCGGCTGTTCCTACAACGACGTCTTCCAGAAGCTCCCTTCTAATATGGATTCGATAAAGGTCACACCCGACATCGAGAAAAACAAGAAGATCATCGGGCCCAATACCGTCGTCCAGTGGCCGTGTCTCAAGGCACCTTCGACAATCGAGAAGGATGTCCCACTCATGGAAGTCAATGGCCAAATTGGCTTCCAAGCCGTCTACTGTGCCGACCCCGAAAACCGCTGGGCCGAATTGACCGTGCCGCTCCCATTCGTTTTGTTCCACCCATCACTCCCGCTGTACATCGACACCCGGAGGGAAGGATCCGAGGCTCGGTTCGTTCGACGAAGCTGCAGGCCGAACGCAGTCATCGAAACATACTTGTCGGCGGGAAGTGAATACCGCTTCTGGCTGGTGAGCGACCGGCAGATTGAGGCGAAAGAACAGGTCACGATTCCCTGGAATCCCGGGTTCCCGGCAGCGGAGAAGGCCCGCGTCCTCCAAATGCTCGGACTCGGCGACGACATGACAGGGGCGCACACGGAACAAATAGTCACCGAGACTGACTATCAAAAATACGCCGGTTGGGTCCATCTCATACTCTCTGAGCACGGAGGATGCGCGTGCAATCTCGGCCCGGAGTGTGCGTTTGCGCGCTTCCACAGGAATTACCTCGCCACGGCCCAGTCGCGTCCAAACCCGCCAAAATCCAAGAAGCGCAAACCTAAAGCACAGCACGCTATCTCTCCCACAAGTACGGGCCATGCAACCAACAGCCGGGCCGCGAGCGAGGGCCATCCAGAAGATGTTGCCGAAAATGGCCGGCGGTCCGTGTCCAGTTCCTCGCGGAGCAAGCCGCCCAGTCGAGATATGACACCAGCAGCGCGTCAGGGCTCGTTCGATACGCTGGGGATATTGACCGAGCCAACGGACCGCGATAAAAGGAAAGTGGCCATGGTGGAAGACTCTTTCCGCAGAATGGAGCAGCAGCAGCAGCACCACCAACACCAGCAGCAACCACATCGCAAGAGGAAACGTGTGTCCGATGGGACTGGCTCCTCTCAGACAAAGACGTCGAAGCCGAGGTCCGCAACACATACGCCCAATCTCCCTAGCGGGTTCCCGGAGCGTAGCTACGTTGATGCCGGAACGGGAACCACGAGGAGCAAATCTGGTTCGCCCAGCGGCGTTAGCCCCACCCACATTCACATTAGCCATGCCGGCAACAACCTCCCTTCTAGGAATGCGTCAGCCCCTGTTCGCTCTCGTCCGACGTCGGCCGTGCCGCGTCCACAATATTGCGATGCCGCGGTGCAAACAGACTTCCCTGACGCCAGCGACACGGCGACTCCGAAACGGCGGGTGGGGTCTTGCTTGAGGAAACGAATGCTCGAGAACTGGCACCATGTCCGGCTGGAGGAGGAAGAGCGCGCCAAACGCCTCGCCGTGGAGCGGCCGTCATCTGCCATGAGTGTAGAAAGCTATGGCGACCGGGATATCCTCCTCTCATCACCAGCCTCGGCCAAAGAAGCTGAAAAGGTGCCGGATAGTGATGTTTCGACAGGCGGGCTGAAAGACCACCCAATGCCGGATGCTCGACCGTTGTCCCCGATGCATACGACCCCCGGGACGCAAGCGACGCAAGCACCGACAATCAGCCCCGTCAGCAACAAGTCGCCTGACCTCCGAGTAGAGCCGCCCCCCGTCCCAGTTTTCCAAAGTCCTAGTTCGGCTCCCTCGCCAGCATCAACGCCTGTCTCCGCCGGGCCCGGAGCGGCCCAATCGCCGTCCTCGGCCACCGGTTTTGCGAGTCCGTTTCCTCCGCCGCCGATCAATAGTGCATTGGCAACCCCAAGTCCGGTCAGGAAGAAGCTCACGCTGAGCGACTACAAGAGCAGGATGAGCAGATCCGCTGGCGCCTTTCGACCGTTAACAGGGACGCCACTGTCGAAACCACTGTCAAGCACCGACGAACCCAAGTCGGCTACGAGCGCGGATAGCGGTGTGCACGCCAGCTCACCAATGCCAGACAAGCCGGCCGAGACAGCAGCAGCGACGGCCGAGACGACAACAGGGGCGGCGACATGAATGACGCGCGGCGCATGTCAGACAGACTATATATATACAGGACTAGCGCTATCCAGCACACGGGTTCCTGGCTCGACATCGTCTCAACAGCTCGGCTAGCTGCAGTATAAGCCACGGCGACGGATACGGTCTTCTTTTCTCATCTCTTCTCTCTTTCCAAAAGGACGGGCGGCGATATCATTTTAATTCGAATCGGGATGGGGTCGGCGTTGATGGTGGCGTGGACGGAAATGACGTAAAGGCAGGTCGGGAACGGGAAACGGGGTAGCGAAATGGCGGGAATCTTTTGCTACGGCAGGCGCGGATTTAAGTTATCATTAGGTTTGGCTTTGGTCGGGCTCGGGGTTGGGAGTTTTCTTTCGAGGCCGGGGTTGGGTGGCGGGAGTGCGCGGGTGTTTCTGCTCGGTGGATTTATCCTTGGCTTTTGATTGCTCGTCAGGTCGATGTGGGACTATGAGGTGTGTTGATGAATTGTGCGGGCACGACGGTTCCCAGCCAGATGCTCGTTTTCTTTCTCTCTGCCGGTCATTCGAAGAGTTTGCCTTCCTCCACGCTTTGTTCTGATGGATGCTTCAGGGGCTGGACTACGACAGACAGACAGACAGACACAGACGGGCTCCCTTTTGGAGTCCATTTCTCTTGGGGAAGAGGCAGAAAAGACATAGCCCCAACCAGGGCGCTTTTATTCCTCCCGCTACACGCCTATGATGAAGATCCACTTGACCAATTCGAGTTTTCGAGTCTTACGTACCTTTATTATCTATTAACGCTCGACGCAGATAGTATCATCACTCATTAAGAAGAAGCCCGCCAGGGGAACGGTCAAGCATCCACAGCAACCTTACCTCTCTCTATCTCCCAGCCATTGGTCGCACCCAACCCTCAAATGTTTCCAGTGCCAGGACAGGCGCGTGCCGGCACACCACGACGGTCGTGTTCTGCGGCTGGCGACATGGCGCCGATACTGGCGGCCAGCAAACCCGGCATACCGACGGCCGACTGCATGGTCGACTTGGAAGGCCTTCGCTGCCGACCTTCGTCCTCCCTCCGGATAGGACGGATTCCAATGGCGTCGCTCAATGCGGCAATCCTCCCGCCGCGCACCCGCCTGAGGAATGCTAGGTCATTTCTGACGGTGAACATGGCGCTGCCGAAATCGCCACTGGTGGTGACGGCGGCATCATCATAATCACCACTACCGGCTTCTTCATCTGTCTTTTGTGTCTTTCGCCATCCCGGGACCGACAGCCTCGGCATCCTCGGCACCAGCCGCACACAGGCGCGAAGCCAGCTGTCCGGGACCAGGCGGATGAGAATGCCGACGGGGATGGAAAGGAAACCGAGCACGAGAGAAATGGCCCATTGCACGCCGTTCAGCCGGACAACGCCAAACGCGGTGCTACCGACAAAGATAATCAGCACCTGGCCGGCAACCATGATGGACATCATGAGCATGAACAGATGGTTCCGGTGCAGGCCCTCGAAGATGTTGAGCTTGTTGTCGATCCGCCGGCTGTTGACCAACTTGAAGATCTGCATAAACACGAACGTGTTGAACACCAAGGTCGCCAGCTGCGCCTGCGGGTAGTCGAGGAACGACGGCCCCGCAAAGTGCAGCGTCAGGCATGCGGCGAGCTGGTAGACCGACTGGCCCAGGATCATCTTCCACATGGTCAGTGTAATCAACGGCGCCTTTCTGGGTTCCGGCGTCCGGTCCAGCAGACTGCTGTTGGGCGGGTCCGTGGCCAGCGCGAGGGCGGCAAACGTGTCCATGATCAGGTTGACCCAGAGCAGCTGGATCGCGTTGAGCACGGAGCGCTCATCGCTGCTAGCCACGGCCGAGACGAAGGTCAGCGCGACGGCCGTGATGTTGACCGTGATCTGGAACTGCAGAAACTTCTTGACCGCGTCGTTGATCGCCCGCCCCCACGCCAACGCCTTGACAATCGACGAGAAATCGTCGTCCATCAGAATGATATCCGACGCCTCCTTGGCCACCTCGGTGCCCATCACCCCCATCGAGAAGCCCACATCCGCCTCCTTCAGCGCCGGTGCATCGTTCGTCCCGTCCCCCGTAACAGCCACCACCCCGCCCACCGCCCGCAGCGCCCCCACCAGCGCCCTCTTATCCTCCGGGCTCGACCGCGCCATCACGCACAGCTCCTGCGCCACCACCCGCTGCTCCTCCTCCCCCAGCCGCCGGAACGCGGGGCCCTCTACTACCGCATTACCACCACCACCATTACCACCACCACCATCACCACCCTCCTCCCCCCCCTCAGAAGAAGGAGAAGAAGAAGTAAGAATGCCGCACTCGCGCGCAATGGCCCTTGCCGTCTCCACCTTGTCCCCCGTCACCATCTTGACGGCCACCGACGCTCGGCGGCAGTCACGCACAGCGGCGGGCACGTTGGGGCGGACGGGGTCTTGGATGGCGAGGACGGCGAGCCAGGTTAGGTTTTGGAAGGGGTTGTCTGGTTCTGAGGCGGTGGTGTCTGGGGTGGTGTTGAAGGTAGTGGTGGTGGTGGTGTCGGGTTCTGAGGTATTGGGGTGTGAGGTGTCGGGGGGTGGTGGCCAGGTGTCGAGGTCGCGGTAGGCGAGGGCGAGGGTGCGGAGGGAGCGGGAGGCGTAGTGGGATATGGTGGATGAGATGGCGGCTTTGTCTTGGGGTTGGAGCGGGGAGGTGGACAGAAGCTGGGTTGGGTCGGTGATGGTGGTGCTGCACTGCTCGAGGACCAGCTCGGGCGCGCCTTTGACGAGGAGGCGGTATCTCTTCCCGGCTGGGAGCTGGATCACGGTGCCCATGCATTTGCGCCGCGAGTTGAAGGGGTATGCTTGGATGAGGGGGGTACTGGGCGCGCTCGGTGGCTAGGGGGCCGAGGGCGAAGCTCTGGCGTGCCCAGTCGAGGAGCGCGGTTTCGGTTTTGGTGCCGATGAAGATGGGCTGCCCGTTTTCTTCGCCTTCGAAGGCGGTGGTGTTGATGGCGATGGAGTCTTTGGTGAGGTCGCGGAATTCGGGGTGAAGGGGGGCGTTCTTCTCCCCTGTGTCGTCCGTGTTGGGTATTTCGTTGCCATCTAGGTGGGATCTCCTTACCCTGTGAGGTGAAAAGCCCCCATCACCACCAAACGCAACGCCTCCCGTACCCAGACTTCCCCCGACAACGGTCATGACATTCTGGGTTAATGTCCCTGTCTTGTCGGAGCAGATGACCGTCGCATTGCCCATGGTCTCACACGACTGCAGATGCCGCACGAGGTTGTTTTCTCTGCTCATCTTCTTGCTAGCGAAGGCGAGCGAGAGTGTCACGGCCAATGGCAAACCCTCAGGCACGGCGACCACGATGATGGTGATGGCCGTGATGAGGATTCTGAGGAAGTTCTGGCCCTTCTCCTCGCCGCTGGCTTTATTATCGGGAAGCCTGGCAAGGAACTCGATGAACAGCACAGTGAAGAGCAGCAATCCCGCCGCGCTGCCTAGCTTCGCGATATAACCTGGATCCCAAGCATCAACATCGCACACAAGAGAGTGCGGACACGGGGACATACCTACCTGCGAGGATATTCAGCCGCGCCTGCAACGGCGTCATGCCGGGGTCGTTACGCAGAGCCATCATGGTCCTCCCCATGCTAGAGCGTGGCCCAACGGCTGTCACCAGGAACTTCCCAACCCCGTCCAGCACCCTAGCCCCTGATAACAGAAACGGATCCATCCTCTTCACATGGGCATGGGCATGGGAGGCATCATCATCCGGATGCAGCATCGCCCGCAAGACCGCCTCAGCAGGCATCTTCTTAACAACATCCGACTCGCCCGTCGCCGACGACTCATCACAACTCACATTATGCCCCTCCACCAACACCCCATCCACCGGCACCACATCCCCCTGCTCCAGCACCATCACATCCCCGACCAGCACCTCATACACCGACACCCTCGCCGCCCGGCCCGACCGCACCACCGTCACCGCCCGGTCCTGCTTCTTCCGATTCAACCTGCGAAACTGCCTCTCCTTCTGCCAGTCATTCAGGGCGCCGACGACCACGACCACCAGGATCGCCACGATAATCGCCACCCCCTCGATCCACTCCACCCGCGCACCCCCCGCGGCGCCTTCCTCCTCGTGCCCGTCAAAGGTCTGGTACAGCCCCAGCGCGAACGACACGGCGGCCGCGACGCTGAGCAGGATCAGCACGCGGTCCTGCAGCGCGATCCACGCCAGCGCGAGGAAGGATTGGGATTTGCGGTCGGGGAGGCGGTTGGAGCCGAAGACGCGCCGTCGGTCGGTGAAGGGTTGGTTGGAGTGCTGGTTGGAGGAGGGGGAGGCGGCGGCGGTGGCTTTGCTGAGGAGGGGTTTTGGTGTGGCGGGGGTGAGGGGGGTGGGCGTGGTGGGTGTAGGTGTTTCTACGGAGCCATCATCGTGTATCCTCGTCTCGTCGGTGCTGAGACCGGCGCGGGTGTCGGTCCTGAGGCCGCGTTCGAGACCGCGTAGGCCGCCTAGTGCTTGGAGGGTGGTGATGGCGTCTGGTTCGAGAAGCTTCGAGAGCTGGGCTGGAGTGAGGGAGAAAGGGCTATCCTCGGTGTTGACATCGCCGTTTTCCTCGGGGTCTGGGGGGGTTGAGTCTACTTGGGGCGACGGCCCCGGCGGCAATTTGGTATCTGCAGAGAAGGGGATGGTTTAGTTGCAGCTTTTAAGGAGGTTCGTTTTGAGTAAAAACGGAGTTCTCACCGGGCTTGCTGCTGGCCACGGCGGTGTCGATACTGACAGTACGGGCGTCTGGCGGTGACGGAGAGTTCAGACGGTTTTCATGATCCATTGTGCTACTTGTGCAGGAGTGCGAGAGCAGTGTACTGTGTACAGGTGTGGACGATAATAAACACAAGGCACAGCAACGCGAATATATATCAGACGACTAACAGATCAAAGGCATGCCGCGATGACCCTTGATCGCAACTACAGTGACGTGGTGCGGGTGAGCTATAAGTCTTGGCCGACGTCTCCCTGACGGCATCATAGGACGGCCAGTGGCGAAGAGTTCAGGTGAACCCCCCTTTGTTTCTAGGTTCGAAGCACATAACTGTCGACACAGCCTCGCAAATAGGTCATTGTTTCCAACATAGCCACACTCCGAATCTTAGTCACTCCTGTGAAGACTTGAATTGCAGAATCTCAAAATATACACTCACCTGCTATGAATAACGTCCACCCGGAGCCCCCTGAAAATGGGAACCGTGCAACACCAGCATGGGTCGGATTCGTCGTCTTTGGGGTTCTCGTAGCGATCATGGTTGGTTTCTTCAGCCTCGTTATAATGCATGTTGGCCAAAGTTGTCATCTTGTTGGGTTTAATACTTCTAACACTCACTCGCCCCTCAGCCGTCAGACCATCATCAGGAGAAGGGTAGCTGCCGATAGGATACATTTCGACCCCGAGTCCCACCGCCAGGGCATTAGAGAAAACATCATCCAACTAGCCGCCTACCCTCCGCCCGGGTATTCGGCCGAAGCGCGCCAGACTTACAAAGATCTGCGGGCCGATTTCGACAAGGCAAGGGTCAGACCAAACCCATGCAGCCAGTCCGCTGAATGGCAAGTTGCCCCTGACGTCGTCCTTTCTGTCTCTTCACTCTCTTGTGCTTCTCTTCTCAAGTATGCATCGGGCTGATACGCAGCTACCTCGCTACACTCAACACAGCGTCATTTGCCTAGAGCGTTTCGAGGACAAGAGCTTGGTTCTCGCCCTCCCGTGCCATCATCTGTTTCACCCCGGGTGCATCACAAGCTGGCTCCTGGATCACAATACCTGTCCAATATGCAAGGCACACTACGTGCCACACAGCGTTCTCCCTAGCATGCCTCTTGCGGCCTTCAGAAGATGGGACTGGAGATATTAGACTTCTCAAAAAATTGGAAACATGAAGGAGGTACCAAGAATTCATACACATAATGTTAGTCAATATCAAACGATTTCACCACGTCTCATGCGGCGTCTCTGAGGAGCCTCCTAGACGGCCAGGACTTGTTTGATTTTGTGACGGGCTACTGGCCGAAAGCCTAGCTGACCACAGGATGATCGGCCCGGAGAAGGTTTACTATTATTTGGTTCGTCTTATAGGCTAATTATAAACGATGTCCCTTCTAGACCGAGACTGTTAGGAACTCTAGTCGATAATCAATCTACCCGTCATAGAAGACTGCTCCACAGCCCTTCACCACCCTCTAGCGCAATATGTGAACAGATTACCATATGACCACTGACACACACACCTCGGATGATACGACACTCAGCACTGATGCCACCGAGTGTCCGCACCGCCATCCGCCCGGCTCCCGAGCAGGAACATGCCAAGAAAGACGCCGCTCAGTACCGAGACGAAGTAGCCCGTGTTCATCGTCATGACCGCGATCATCCTATACTCTCTGTCAGTCAGGCACCTCTCTCGGCTCCCCCCTATAGCTAGGGAAACCACCATCCCCGTGATGACTCACAAAAAATACCCCAAGCAAACCAGCACCACTTCACACACCGCCCTCCACAACCGCACCCCCAACGCCGCGCCACTCCACCACCGCCTCCCCCCTCCCACGACACCACCGCCCTCCAACCCCCCCAACCCCATCCCAGCCCCCAGCTCATCTACCTCACCACCCCCCTTCCCCTCCCCCGCCAACAACATCCGCCCCCCACCATCCTGCTGCCGATGACCTCGCCTCGATCCACGCCCCACCCCCACCACCGCGGTATCAAGGGCAGGCCGAACAGCCACAAGGACGCGTGTGACAGCCGCGAGGGCGACCAAGAACACACATGTCGCCGCGTAGCCTGCTGCGCTGTGCGGTGTCCACCAGTCCCAGAAGAGGGGCGTTGTGGGGGAGTGGGAGAAGGTCATTGGCATTGACATGGTGGACGTGCCCATCCGCATGCTGCTGTTGCTGCCGCTGTCGTAATTGCTGCTGGTTGGGTTGGTTGTGGGGGGTGGCATGTTCATCGTTATGGTGGTGGTGGGTTTGTCGGGTTCGTGGTTATGCGGTGTGGCCTGTCTGGTCTGCTCGGTGCGTCGTGGGCTCGTAAGAGGGATGGATAGGTGCCTCGGATATAAGAAGACGAGGTAATTTGGGTGGTGTTGAAGAAAGGGAGTGAGGGAGATCCATTATCCAAACACCAACAGACGTAACCCGGTCCCCGGGAACCTTGTTGGAGGCGGTGGTGGCTGGAGAGCAGGTTTGAGCAGGATAGTGATCCAGTCAGCCCCGGTTGTTTGTTGTCACGTCACCCAGGCCCAACACACGACCTCCCTCAGCCATAACTCCTCTCCACTTGTTGATTCGGATTATTGTCCCGAATAGGTGCTGGGGGTTGGCTGCATAATAACACGCTCAAATCTGCTACGTTGCTCATGATCTAGACGATCGGTGGGGAGCTTGACAACTCAACCCACCTATCACGATTTCCATACCGTCAGGAGCATTATTTTCTCGCCGTTTTTGTGGATTTCAACGCAGAAATCAAACAGAAACCGTAAAAGAGCGTATTCTCGGAGCAAAGAGAGAGGGGGGGGGAGGGGGGGGGGGTTAATCACTACCATATATAAACAACGGTGTAGGTCCGCATTCATCACCACAACAGGGGTCGCGAGTTCAACGAACCCACCAGTAGATTCCCTGGTAGTCGGAGCTTGCTGAATGGATAACCTGGAACTACCGCACTATGGGAAACACCAGATTGCCGGGTAGGGTACCAGCAGTTGCTTGATCTTGACGGCGGCACTCGGCAGCTTCCAATGGAAAGAGGTTCCCGAAGAAGGGATGGCGGAACGACACGGAGCGAGAATTCGCTGGCCTGATCCGTGGGTTCCCAAAGTCCGAACCTGGTGATGGGTGGTTAGTATGAGCAAGTTTCCATTGGCCCCAAGTGCCGGCAATGGAAGGGATGCCAGGTTCATCCATCTGGGATTGGGGTCGACAAGCTCCGTCTTGAACATTATTTGAATCTTGGCAGTCCCTCTTCTTCTTGCTATTCGGCGGTTCTCCATGTCAGCCCCTATTTAGCTTTCTCCAGAATCCCAGACATCATGGGGGTTGTTAGCCTTGTCATCTTCTGGGTGAGCACACTCGTGCCCTTCGTCCACGGTAGCTATGTCCAGACACAAGCCCTCACCGGCTACGGCTATTATCCATACGACCCCCTGTGTGCAGCGGCATGCCTCCGGTCTCTCCAAGGCTACATGCTGGGATGTACCGATATGAGCGGCGGCGGCGACGGCATGATGATGGGTATGATATCGACACCCCCGGAGTGCTACGGGGAGGACACGCCTTACCTGACCTCGGTGGCCTATTGCATGAGCACCAAATGCCAACGGGACATCAAGTTCTCGCAGCTACAATTGTTTTGGGAGGAGCAGATCACCGGTCACCTCGATATCCCCCCTAAATGGACCTACGAGCAGGCTCTCGCCCATGCCGACCCCTTGCCGCCTCTGTATCAGCTCACTAGCAATGACACTAGTCTCAATACTACCTCCATAGTCAATCCCGTGATATATCTTGCGCAGCGGAATGCTCTTTCCGCTGTCTACCGAGAATCGGCCCTGGAGTCGACATACAGGTACGGCTATCAGAACATGGTAATCGGACCTCTTACTGAACTAGAGAAACAGCATTGCTCTTGTTGTCTTCGCAGTTGGCCTCCCTATCGTCCTCACATGCCTGAGCTACTTCCCTTTCGTGCCCACCATTCTAGACAGGCTCAGGCCTTACCTCATCTGGCCGAGCACTGTTGGTAATTACCACGTCCAACCCCTGCCCTACTTGCTGGGCAATGCCCCGACAGTCGGCCAAGGTATCTACATCGGCCTCTTCATCGTCGTCAATGTCATCTTCTCCGCAATCGAGTACGAGTCTCGACGGCCCAATGCTTGGTTCGAAACCCAGTGGCGGGAGGTTATGGCCTATATCCTCTACCGCTTCGGCGCCTTTGCCTTTGCCCTACTCCCCGTCGTCATCCTGTTCTCGTCGAGGAACAACGTCCTCCTCTGGCTGACCGACTGGTCTCACTCCACCTACCTCCTGCTTCACCGCTGGGTCGGCCGCCTGTTCACCCTCTACGCCGTGCTCCACTCCATCCTCGGCCTGATGGTCTACGCAGATTATCAGAACACGGTGTGGTGGATCTGGGGCGCCGTTGCCACCATAACCTCCGTCCTCCTCGCGGTTGGCAGCGGCCTTTACGTGCGCAAAGCACACTACGAGCTCTTCCTGATCTCGCACGTCCTGCTGACCGTCTTCACCATCGCCGGATGCTGGTACCACCTCATCGGCTGGTACAACTCAATGGGCATGAACTGGCCGGAACACCACGCCGGCGGTTTCGAGGTCTGGCTCTACTTCACCTGCGCGCTGTGGTTCTTCGACCGCCTCGCCCGCGTCTTCCGCATCCTGCGGCTGGGCATTCGCCACGCCCGCGTCACCGACCTCTGCGACGGCATCGTGCGCGTCGACATCCCGGGGGTGCATATAGACGCGCAGCCGGGCACGCACGTCTACGTCTACTTCCCCACGGTGCGCCCCCTCCGGCCGTGGGAGAACCACCCCTTCTCCGCCATCCCCACCGCCATGCTCGAACACTGCTTCCCCCCCAACCTTCAAGCCTCACTCCCTCCAAACGACCCCCAGCACCGACAACGACAACAACGACACCCCCGACCTGGAAGCCCAAAAGCCCACCATCACCACCACCCCCTCCAAACCCACCACCCCCCTCAAACCCACCCCCACTCCCAAAACAACACTAACCCTCCTCATCCTCAAATCCACCGGCCTAACCGCCCACCTCCACCCGCACCCCTCCCTCCCCACCCTCCTCGACGGCCCCTACCACAGCAGCACACCCCCCCTCCACCCTAACCACCACCACCACCCTCCGTCACTGCGACCGCGTCCTGCTCATCGCCGGCGGCATCGGCATCACTCAGCCTGCTGCCCTGGCTCTGGCTCCACCACCACAGCAACAACAACGCCCATGGGCATGGTAAGATTAAGCTTGCGTGGAGTGTGCGTGCTGCGCAGGCTGGGTTGGTGGATGCGCTGAGGGGGGTGGTGGATGGGGTAAGGGAGAGGGAGGTGAGGGTGGGGGGACGGTTGGATGTGCGGAGGTTGGTGGCGAGTGAAATAGGAATTGAAGTAGAGGTGGGGAAGGAGGGGGGTGGGGATGGGGTTGAGGTTGAGGGTGGGGGGAGGCGGCGGGTTGGGGTGGTGGTGTCCGGGCCCCGGGGGTTGTGCGATGCGGTGCGGGCGGCGGTGGTGGAGACGGGGCGGCGGGCGGCCGGGCGGGTGGTGTTTGAGTTGGTGGTGGATGCTTATTCGTGGTGAGTGAGGGAGGGACGGGTTCTGGTATACACCGTGACTCCGGGAGGGGGCGGGCCAAGGTCCGACGGGGCAACTAACGGGTGGAAGTCGGTATGGCGGTGCCGGATTAAGGTCCGGAGGTGCTGTAGTGTACGTGTAAACACCCGGGCCGTCGTTGCTTGGCTTGCCTGGCCCGCCCCTACTTTCTACAAACCGCGAAAGATCTTGTGTCCCATATCATCCGCAGAAATAGCCGCGTTATTGAGCACACTCTCACCCGACGGGCCAGCCCCAGCCCCCATTCCGTTCCCTACCCATAACGCCCAACCACGTCAGTTATACAAACCATAACCCCGAAACATTACATACGCCCCGAGCCCGAGTAAGCGAAGAGAGTCCCGGTTAGCGAGGACGCGAGACGGACGCTCCAAACCCCCGAACGCCGACCTCCCGTCACCAGCCAAGTGACAAGTGACACAAGGACTCAGACACTGCCGTGCAGCCATGGCGCCGACAAGAAGCGGTGTAACCCGCGCCACCGTTCCCTCGCAGGCGGCGAACACACAGGCCCGAGAAAACATACCCGAAGTGCCGAGGCTCGTATCCCACCGCCTCGCTCTCGCCAAAAAGTGACAGAAACACTGGTGGTGGCTTGGGGAAAAAGGGTTGAGAAGACAAGAATGTCTCGGGGGCACATCATTCTCGTCTCTTCGCGGCTCGGCACGGTAATAACGGCGCCATTCATTTAGGTTAAGCACCCGCTCATGATTATGGTTGGAAATTTGAAAAGTGTGACTGTGGTATCGGTAGCCTACCAGGAAAGACGGAAACAACATGGTATCGATCATATATATAAGAGATGAGACCCAGAGGAGACAACGGGAAAGCCTCGAGGAGAGAGAACTCGCGCACTGCTCCGGGGAGACGATATATGCCCACGCCACAAAACGCCTGACTCCCGAAAGCCAAACCGATCGCCTGGAACCGATCAACACCGCCGGATCCAACCAGCCAACGCGCCGAGCCTGTCCACCTCGCCTAGTCAGCCGCAGCGCCGCCCATCAGTCCAACTCATCCGCTGCCGGATCCTTTTCGTCCGTATATTCATCACAATATCCATCTTGGTCGCAGTTCTGTGACCCGGCTCGATCTGGAGGCGCGCAATGCCGAATGGCGAGGGCACAGCCCCCTTTCGTGCACCCGCAGCAGGGCCCAAATGTGTTCGTCTGCCTACACCCCAGTGCCCTGGACGTAGTAGCCGTTCGTGGGGTTGAACCCACTTAGGGAGGTGAGTTGGACCAAGTACTCCCAGTCCATCCCGCCGGCCTCGGGGTCTTGTATTTCCGGCGGGTTGCCATACACGGGCGCCATGTCGTTGTACCCCGAGTACATCATCGACTCGTCGATCATCATGGGGTTGCCCACGCCGACACCAGGTATCGGCTGTGGCGGCGGGGCTTGGGACATCGGCTTGCCGGGGTACATCCCCGCGGACGGCATGCCCGCCGGAGGCATGTTCATGTCTCCGACGGGCGCCATTCCTGGGGCGTTTCCGGGCCCGGGTGGCATCATAGGCTGCACGGGGACCTGCTGCCCGCCTGGCATGCCCATATTCGTTCCATTACGTGCCGGGGGCATCGGGGCCGGCCGTTTGGTTTTGGCCAAGGTGGCCCTTAGCAATGTGATTACTTTGGGCGTGGTAAGGGAACGGCCCAGTTGCAGCTCTGCCGCCTCGCGAGCATCCCAGGCCTTGACAAAGTAGCGACCAAAGGCGATGTGCAAGGGGTTGCGGTTGAGGCGCCGCAAGAGTCCGCGCCGGTCGTGGTTCTCGACCATGACGTTCCAAGCGCGCTCGCAGAGTTCGCCTGTGGTCCTATGCCGCAGCTCCGAGACTAAACAAAGGTAGGCCGGTAAGGGGAAGTGAGCGTACGTATACCACCGGAAGCCCTGGAGCATATCCGAACTCTGGATGATGTTATCGTACTCCACCATACGAAGGGCTTCCATAAAGTAACTGTCTCGCTCGCTTTGGTCCACGTTGTCGGTGTTGGCCGTCCGACAGAGGAAGTCGATGATACGCAGTTTGCACAGCGCTTGCCGTGTCATGAGAAGTGTGAAGTAGTGCAGCGGAATCTTGGGGTCACACTGCTTGAGGTATAAGTTCTCCACATATGCGCAGAAATTCGCAAGGTTATCAGGTAGGCTCTGGTTAGCCACGTGTGACACGATGTCGGGTGACGAAGGGGATGGGCTGAAATGCACCATCGGCTTGTGTAGCGGCCGCCCTCCAGGGGTCGTGATAGCCCGCCGCACATTATCGGGCGACGCGGCAACGGTGAGCTCTATCCGGGTAAGGCAGAAAACCATTTCGGTAGGCCCGCTGTAGGGACCAGGTTGGTCCTTGGCGTGGACGTTGAGGTCTGCGTCGTTGATGTTGAGTGGCAGTCTCGTGTCTCCGGCACAAGAAGTCAAAGCCGTCACCGTTGATCCGGTGATTTCCGCGATGCGCTTGTCGAAGACGACGATTTGCCACCATAGCCGTCTCCTCTGCTCGGCTTCAAACGGCGACATGTCGGACTGAGACCCATCCCGGTGAAGGCCTAGGCGGGTGGCATTCCTAAACGCCATACCGAGAAGGCAAAACATGGATCGGGGGTCGACATACGGGCGAGCGCATAGCTAAGAATGGGTTAGTGAACTACTCGCTAGCCGAGGAGCGAGAGAGTTACCAAGTAGAGGAATAACGCCTGCAGCACCATCAAATCGGGGGATCGCATGAAGCCCGCGTTGACAAGCGCCTGCTGGGTGGCGTTGTGGTATTTTCCCAAGAGAATGACCTTGTCTTCGCCGAACGTGCTCTGGACCTCGTCCTCGTTCAGAGAAGTGATGGCGGCGAAGTAGATGGCAAATATGAGAGCCTCGAGCGGCTTTGGGATCTTGGCCGGATTGGCGCTCGCGCTGATGATTTGCGCCTGTAACGTAGGTGTGTGGGTGATCTTGAGGAGCGGGTTGACGTTGCTGATGTATATTTGCCAAAGCTGGAACATCTGGATGGCGCTGGGGTGAACGTTGGTCACACTGGCGAGCGAGCCGCCAACCACGAAGGGGAAACCATCACTGTTCTCGAACATGGTATCATAGGCATTGTGTATTGTCGGGCCTTCGTAATCCTCGTCTGAAGAATCATCATCCGCTCCTCGGTACTGTAGACCGGTCAGAGAAAGCAATGGGTTAAGGGGGTTTCATCGCCATCAATGGGGTGACCCAAGACGAGAAGCGTGATAGGGAAAGGGAAGAAAGAAGGGTGGTCGTTAACGTAGGGGCACACCGGAACGACGGGGACGAAGAGAAGCTAGGCACGAGAGAAGTGTATTCCGGCCGTTGGAGACTGCGACTTACATCGTGCACTATGGGAGCCCATTTTTGTCTGATGAGAAGGGTTAGCTGATATGAAAGGGAGCGGCGCCTGCAGGCGAAGCAGCAACAGTGGCGACAGTAAAGACGAAAACTAACCTGTCATGGCCTTGATCCGGCGAGACATGGTCGGCAGAGCTCGATGGGGAGGTTTTGAGCCCGATAAGATCATGCTCAAGGTCGGCAACATCGTCCCCGTGATCCGAAGGCTTGAGTTCATGGGCGATGGGTTCGAAGTTGACACCGTGCTGAGATAGCAGAGACTCGTATTTCCGGAGGCGATCGATGAGATCCCGCTCATGCGGTTTCTTCTTCCTACGCCGGGGTGGCTGCGGCGGGACCACGCGACACTCGACATGAGCTTTGACGCAGTTGGCACACGGCTTTTGTTTATCACAGCGGACCTTTCGCTGCTGACAGAGGACGCAAGAGTGACCGCGTGTCAGCTTCATCGCCGCCGGTTCGGGCGCGGGGCCCCGCGGGGGCGATGGCGGCGGCGGAGGATCGGGAAGAGGCTGTCCGGAGGCCATGATATATGGGGCGTACGGTTATGTAGGGCTAAGTATACGTGTGTGTCGGTTGGCCGTCTGCCGGATAGGCGAGCACGCCGCTCGGGTCCGAGAGACCCAGCGATCCAGCGATCCAGCCCACCGGGCTCGCAGATTGTGGGATCTGCCGCTTTCCCTCCTCAACTCGGGAGATGACCCGACCCGAGCGATGCTTTCAGTCCCAACTCCACACCCAGTAATGTTGTTTGGAACACCGCAAGACCAGCTGGGTAAGCAAGGTAAGACCCGGCGATCGCTACAAGGCCCGGGAAACCTGAGCTGCGATAATGCACCGACAACAACACCAGCGCAACGAACGACAAACCACGCTACGAAGACGGGTGTGCGCGTGACAGCTGCCAGAGGTTCCGGAATTGATTGACTCGCCGTCCACGAGTGGCGTTCGGGTTTCTGTGGGATAAAGGATTCGACGGATGCGGGTCTCAGAAGCGTGGCCCCCTTCGTCCAGATCTGGTGGGAAATGCGCGACCGCGGAGACAGCAGTCGCAGAAAAGAGTAAGTAGGCGCAGTAGCGCGGCAGCAGAAGGCGACACAAGAGACGTCGGCGGCGAAGGTGAAGAGGAAGACGGGAGTCACGAGCAACCAACAAAAAAGGGCGATAATATTTGGCGCACGCTGTTCTCTCAATGACTGGCACTGGATGCAAACATTGCCGTCGACCCTTCCCAGCAGAAACCAGCAAGAACATCCGGGCACGCCGGGGCACTCAAGCGCGCTCTCCATCCCCCTCTCCTCTCTCCCCCCGAAAACTTGCGGTCTCAGTGCGGTACAATGCCTTGTTTGGCTGGCCTTGAAGTGGGGTTTGCAAAAGGTCTGGACATGCCCTCCCAGCTGCAGACGGCCCGGCGGCGGCGATTGTGTGCTGATGCCAAGCTCACCAAGGCGGGGGAGATCTCGGGACCGAGGGAGAGAAACAAACCTAACCTTGCACCTCATGGACAAAAAAAGCCGAACTCCAAGTGCAGATGTCGGCAATGGAAACTTCGAGTCTTCGGCTGGAGGAATATAACGAAAGTCATCCTGAAGCCCAAAGAAACTCTATTTACTCCATTTCCTTTTCTTTTACCCTCTTTCTTTTTATTTGACTTAATTTTCTCAATATCTTTTCATTTGTTCTTTTTGCTTGATTTCTTGCTTGATTTCTTGCTTTCCTTTCGAGTTCAGCTTTTTTTGGCCAGAGGGTGCCTTGTTTAGGGCGGTCAACTGGGATTGGAGGGCTCAACACAAAAAGAGAAGGCGCTCGGACCAGGTTCCGCTGAGTGTGGCAGGGACAGCCCCGGGGCCCGACCCGTTTTCTGTATCGTATCGTAATGGATGTTAATTCCGACTTACACGATTGAGCAGGGGGGTGCCGGACCCAGATGGGGAAACCGCAACATGGCGATGCCCAATTCCATCCAATATCTCGCGCAGAGAGACACACATTCGCGGGAATGAGAGCAAAAATAAGAAGCAGCGCTGAGACCAGGAGCCCGGAGCACCCAATTTTACACAGTCCGGATAGATTGCCCGCGCCTGGTTCCATGTTAGATCCCACGGGCTATCTTTGGCTGAGAGTCGGTCGGGGCCATCGTGTGCCGAAGGTCGCAGCTTCCATACCTTATAACACAGGACGCCGGAGGTTTCGCAAAAATGATTCATAATGTTCCCTGTTTCCTATAGCTCGCCAGCTGTCACTGTGTTTTCATCCTGCATGCCAAAAAAAGCCATCACGCCCTTTCGCCATCGCATGGGGGGCGTATGCGCATCCTATTCTGTTACCTACGTCTATTCGAACTCACATTTAATATCATAACCCACTGTCAATTTCTGCTCCCCGTTTCTCTCCCTTCTTCGGTTTCGGTCTCTCACTCTACCACCAGTCGCTTCAGACCTCTAACCCACCACCTACTGCGGGCGACCTTCGTTACCCCGAACCTTGCCTTCATGGCTGCCGACTCTCGATCCCTGAGGCCTGTCGGTAGCAACCGAACGGCCCATATTGCGTATACAGCGAGACAACTTGAGGCAGGAAATATCGAAAAACGCACATCCTCCCAACCCCGGCCGGGGGGCACCGAAGACGAACTGTTGTTCCAACCGCGGAGCGTCCGCTTCTGGCTGACGCTGCTGTGTAACTTCCTCGCGCTCTTTCTCGTTGCCCTCGACCGAACAATCATTGCCACGGCAGTCCCACGCATCTCGGACGAATTCCAGGCCTTGGGGGATATCGGCTGGTATGGCTCTGCATACATGTTGACGACAGCCTGCGCCCAGCTGCTTTTCGGCCGCATCTACAAATTCTACGATATGAAGTGGTACGTCGCTACCGCGCGCACGCCGTTGTGTATGCAACCAATATTGCTGCTGACACTACCCACACCTCGCAGGTCTTTTATTTCCAGCGTCGTCGTCTTCGAGATCGGATCCGCGATATGTGGAGCGGCTCCCAATTCGACCGCCTTCATCGCCGGCCGTGCCATCGCCGGTCTTGGCTCGGCCGGCATCTTCTCCGGTTGCCTCCTAATCATGATCCCCATGATCCCGTTGCACCGCCGCCCGCTTTTTCAGTCCATGTTCGGTATGGTTTTCGGCCTCGCCTCCGTTATGGGACCCTTGATAGGTGGCGGGTTCACAGGCAAAGTCACCTGGCGATGGTGTTTTTATATCAACCTCCCGATCGGCGCCGCGACCCTAATCTTCATGGCCTTTTGTTGGAACCCGCCAAAGGAGGAACATAAACCGGCCACGTTCGTCGTTCACGTCAAACGGTTGGATCCCCTGGGCATGATTTTCTTCCTACCCGGAGTCGTCTGCCTCTTCATCGCATTCCAATGGGGTGGCTCGACGTACGCCTGGAGCGAGTGGCGCATCATCCTGCTGCTCGTTGTATCCACAGCCTGCACGTCGGCGTTTATTGCTGTTCAGATCTTGAAGCCCGACACCGCCTCCATACCCCCAAAGATCATCATGCAGCGGAGCGTTGCATTCGGCACCGGCTACACCTTCTTCCTGGCAGGGTCTATGTTGATGTTGGTGTACTACGTACCAGTCTGGTGTGAGTCTTAACTTCACAGAACCGGAGCTGAGACGCTCTGGTGTGCTGACTTGGTTCTAGTCCAAACCGTCAAGCAAGTCGATCCCGTGCAATCGGGCATCGACACACTCCCTCTTGTACTGAGCCTAGTCGTCTCAAGCGTTTTATCCGGCGGCATCACGCAGAGGATGGGCTACTATGTCCCGTCGATGCTGGTCGCCCCCGCAATCATGTCGGTTGGCGAGGGTCTCCTGAGCACGCTCCACCGTAACAGCCCGAGTTCACACTGGATTGCCTTCCAGTTTCTCTCCGGTTTTGGTCTAGGGTTTGGGATGCAGACGGCCGGCCTTGCCATCCAAACCGTCCTACCAAAAGAGGACGTTAGCACAGGCATCGCGATCAACTTCTTTGTCCAGCAACTTGGCGGGGCCGTCTTTACGTCCGTAGGGCAAACTATCCTGACAAACATGCTGGTTTCACGACTTTCCGCGCTCCCGGGATTGAACCCCAAGCTCATAGTGACCGAGGGCGCGACAAAACTGTCCAAGTTGGTCCGGCCGGAAGATGTTCACATGGTCGTCGAAGCCTACAGCGACGCCTGCCGGACCATCTTCTTGGCGTCTATGGGTCTGGCATTCGCAGCCTTATTTTGCGCATGTGGCATGGAATGGAAAAGCATGAAGAAGGGCAGGAACAAGTCCAATATACCTGCGCCGCCTCCCCCTCCAACGCCCCCCGCCTTGCTGGGGCCGTCCTCCTCCGGAGCAAGTATTTCTGACGGCCCGAACTGGCCTCTCCCCGGAAAGCCATTCTTTGTTGAGGACGCCAAGGGTCGTGAGAAGCCTGGATCGCCACGACGCAGCACGACCAAGCCAAAATCACGAGATGGTCGGAGGGATGACAAACGGAGAGACGACAAGTGGAGAGATGACAAGCGGGGAGACGCCAAACGCCAGGCCGTGTCCGAGGCTAGGAAACAGGGCGTTTTGACGAAGCCGGCTCCGAGCCATAGGCCGAGCTCCAGCCATAGACGAAACCCAGGCACGGATATCAGTAAGGAGGATATGCTGGCGATAGCACTCCGCGACTGGTCTGAATTCGCGAAGGCGCATGGAGTGAGGGATGAAAGACAGAAACATGATGCTGCGTAAACGTTCGCGGATGGTTCGAAACAAGGCATTATAAGTGTGGCGGGGGAGTCTTACAAGCGTATTGTGCATTCGGGATATCAACCTGATGCCTTTCATGGCGGGTTTTCTTGTTCCATCCGGCTCGGCGTTGGCGGCGTTGCAGTGTGTCATTGACGGAATTGTGTCATTGAAGGAATATATCGGCGCATAATTGGGAAGGGAAAGTCCGAAAGCGTTCTCGGTCACTTTGATATAGAGACATATGTTAGTTGTTGTGTGGCATCACTTTATTTGCGCCCCTTGAACAAACAGCGCAGTATTGGCTACTTCGCCCCGAGTCTCTCTCCATCAATGATCAAGAATGCGAACTGCCTCCCAGCTCAGCATCGATGATTCACGCAGCGTTTAGAAATGAGTCTCTATAGCAAAGCTGAGGTGTGCGGAGTGGTCTTGATTCCGATTCCCAGGGCGTTCTACTACATGTTTACAGATACAATACACAGACAGCCATCTCTCTCCCTATACCAACCTCTCCTCCCAGCCGTAACCTGCCGCACTCCATCAATCAGTACATCGGTACATCAGTAAGGTACATTAACCCAAGACATGCCCTCCTTTCAAAACACCGCCTGATGCAAAATGAACCAACCAACCCCGCCTCTAGTAGTAGTAGTAATCGTAGTAGCAGCCTTGTCTTTTTGGTGTATAAATTAGGAACACCTCATTTCACGGACTGGCCTCGTGGCCATCGGCCGTGGTGCGTGTTGCGCGTTGTTGTCATTGGTTGTACATGTAACTTGGGGGCAAGTTACATAACTCTGGTCGTTATCTTTTCCCATCCCTTCTTTTTTGTTTCTCATCTCACGCAACCAGCCGGGGCCGGAGCCAAGTTATTTTTTGGTCTTGTCGTCGCCGGGCTTCTTGGTATCTTCGCTGCCTTCGGGCCGCTGCTGGTGGGCTGGGTGGTTGGTGAGGTTGTGCCAGAGCGACTTGAGGAAGCCTTCGTTCTTGTGGGCTTCGGGGTCGTTTTCGTCGTAACTGAACAGGAGGTTAGAACGGGTTGGAGCAGTGGGGGGGGGCAGCGTGAGCGGGTAAGGGAAGGTATTCGAGGGGGGTGGGAAAACTCACTTCTTGTGTAGGTTCATGATCCGCTTCGCAGACTTGTCGCCCATCTCGTCTGCTAGCATCTCGACGAGCGCCCGCTGGTTGGTTGAGAGGTACTTGGGCATTGCGACGCGGAACTCGACCTTGAGATCGCCCTTCCCGCCGCGCCGGGCGTTGAGCTTCGGCATGCCCTTGCCCGCGAGCGTCATCTTGTCGCCCGTGCTAGTGCCGGTGGTGACACGGACCCTGGCGTCGCCATCGAGCGTCGGGATGGTGACCTCACCACCGAGGATGGCGGTGGGCAGCGGGATGGTCGCCGTGTAGAGGATGTCGGAGCCCTGCCGGCTGAACTGCGGGTCGCGCGCCACCTTGACAAAGACGTACATGTCGCCGTTGGTGGCGCGGACGTTCTCGCCCGCCCGGCCCGTGGGGGGCGCGTCGCCCGCCCCGCTCACGCGCAGCCGCATGCCGTCCTCGATGCCGCCGGGGATGTCGACCGTGATGGTTTTGCGCTCGCGGACTACGCCGTCGCCCTGGCACGAGCGGCACTCGGAACCCCGCGGGACCGACGAGCCGGTACCGTTGCAGGTCGAGCAAGAGCTGGCCATCTGAAAGCCGCCCGAAACGAAGTGCACCCGGGTGCCTGTCCCGTTGCAAGACCCGCACTGGGACCGCTTGGCGTTCTGCTTCAACCCGCTGCCGCTGCACGTCTTACACGTCACTAGCGGTAAAGTTGTTATGTTCTTGCTTGTTCCCTTGGCCGCCTCCATGAAGGACACTGTGACCTGCACCTCCACATCTTCGCCCTCCAGGATCTCCGTCTGGAAGCCACCACGACCGCCACGCCCGCCAAAGCCCGCACCGCCAAACCCGGCACCGCCGGTGAACGCGGAGAATATGTCGTCAAAATTGACGTTAGCGCCGAAGCCGCCCGCGCCGCTGAACCCGCTGAAGGGGTGGCCGCCTCCGAACGGATGGCCGGCGCCAGGGCTGGGGCCGCCACCACTCGGGTCGAACCCCGCAGCACCAAACTGGTCGAATTGTTCTTTCTTCTTAGGGTCGGACAAGATTTCGTAGGCGGACTGGATCTCGGCGAACTTGTCTTTGGCAGTTGCATCCTTGTTCGTGTCCGGGTGGTATTTCTTCGCTAGGCCATAGTAGGCCTTCTTGATGTCGGACGGTGACGCGTTCTTGCCGACGCCTAGGGCGCCATACGGATCCCGCGGAGTGGCGAGTAACCGGCGGGTAGTGTGGAAATAGACCTGTTGTTCAGTGTGAGCGGCTGTTGGAAAGGTCGGAAGTGGTATTTGGAGACCAACCCTGGGTCGGGAGATGGGCGGCTGGCTCCGTGGCTTCGGAGATGGGCGACCGGAAGCCCTGGATACGACCGAGTAGGCGACGGCAGGGGCCGACCGGCTGGCGCATCCCTTGAGCCTTTGGTGACGGCATATTTGCGATGGTGAGAGGTGCCGCGCCGGAAGGGCCGCTTTGGGAAGAATACTCGCGCTCATCTCGTTCTACTTATGCGAATTTCTGCAATTGGCATACCCGCGACAACCTCCGGGATAAGTCGCTGTTGCACCTCGCAGTGTAAAATTTGTGTTGTTGATCTCGAAGTTGTCTCTGCTTCCTCATCAACTCCTCGCAACAACTTTTTCTGGGCCCAATCACGTATCGTTAAAGATCGGAGAGATGCCGGGCTTGGCAGCCTGAGGCACATCCACCGCTGTTCGAGAAACCACCACCACCCTCTGTGGGGCGCGTTTGTGGATAACTCGCGCTGAGGTACCACTTTAGCGAGGTTACCACCTCCAAAACCAACCGAAGTCCATACATACCATGTTCTCGACCTTCCTTTTTTCTGCAACTTCCTGCTTTTGAGAGAAAGACAGTACTAATAGTTACACATACTTCCTTATTCTCATTTTCTTTTGGCCCATCCCCCTCCAGCCGAGGGAGGCCAGTGTACTGAGCCGGTACCTGATCGTTAAAGCCACACTCCCTCACGCTCTGCGGGTCCCACCTCTTGGCAACGCGCGAACTCGTCGTTAATTGCAGAGTTCGCGTGCGCTCGGCTTTTCGCGGATGATTGAGCTCTCGCAGTGTCTCACCAGATTTTGATTGAGAAACACACATAAAAGTTCCAGACATGTGTTGCGAGAATGGTAGTCAATTCCAAAGAAGAAAAAAACGCTGTCAACTCCACCACCTTATTTAGGCGATGGTTTGACGTACTGTGTACATACAACTATGCACGGGTATATTCCTAATCATGATTCCGATATCCATGCTGCAAGGCGCGCTCGCTGTTGTGGCTGCAATGCGTGGGACCAAAAGAGTGCTGTTTCCCTCCGTCCTTTGTGTGGGTCCTGGTCTAGGTCAAGTAGATTCATCGCTCTGCGACTGGATGTATGTATTCGCGTCGTTGTGGTTTGCTTTTCGTCACCCCTTGGCTCCGCACTTTATGGAGAAATTCGACGATGATGTCGTTCTCTTGCACGCCCAGGCCGTTGAAGTGCTTCCGCACTACATTGGTCAACTGGTCCTTGTTTTGTCTTCGGAGTTCTTTGCGTTGTGCGATCGTCGGCGAGTAGAGCCCAATGCTCCCCGGTTGGGTCAGTACCCATTCGTGGTGGTCGCTGACGAAAGTGGTTGGCGTCTTGAGACGGTATGCTCGGCGGTAGGCGTGGAGGACTTCTCTCTCGAAAGCGGGCCATTGTAGCTATAGAAGGCAACAAAAATGCATTAGAGAGTGCACTCAAATGAAGAGGAACAAAACCAGGGACTGAAAGTGGAGGGACCACCTACACCTGGAGGGCTGGCCTCTTGTGCGTTGGCTGCCGCGTCGGGGGCAGCAGCGACAGCAGTTGCCGTAGAGCTGGCGTTTGTCACCTCGCGCAGGTTGGAACCCGCACTGCTGGCAACCCGCCGCATCTTGGATCCGCCGCCGCTTCCATTCTTTTCTTTGGCGGTCGGAGTGTCGATCTTGGAATCGTCCTGACCGCCCCGGGCGGCTTTTGAGGGGGGCATCGCGAAAAAGGCTAGGAAAAGAAGGGACTGTTTGTGCCGAATGATGCGTCGAGGGGAGTTCTAGTGGTGTTTACTGGTCGTAACTCGATTTGGTTACATCCTACGGAACAGGACTCGGAAATCTACGGCGGCAAGGTGCTGTGGGAGGAGTGGGCATTGCGTGAGAGGGGTCTCTGGCTGGAGACGGAAAGAGATTGCAGCCCTGCGTTGCAAGGCACAGGGCAACAAGCGCGGGCTTCCCCAGGCTCTGACGACACAGGGTACTTTTTGAGCCCTGGTTGGTGGATGGTGTGGTGTGGCTGAGGCGCGGCTGTCGGCGTCTCGTGCCACAAGAACCGGCTCGTTGGGTCCGGGGTCCCGTCCCCTGCTGTGGATGGAAGCTTGCGCCATGCCGCTCGACGCCAATTAAGCTGGCATTTCTCGGGTCGGTAACATCGTCGTCTCGTCATTCGTGATTTTGTTGCCTTGTGCTTTGAAGGGAGGAAAGCGCTTCATGTCCTCGTTTTGCCATTTTTGGATTTTCCTTTTTCATTTTTTTTTCTCAACTGGGCTGTTTGGTAAGTGAACCGAGAAAGCAACGCAGAGGGTATTGAGGATGTGTGGGGGAGGGGATGTGGGTTCATCCGGAATTGTCGGTCTTCCGTTCCATACCACGGAGTTTTTCGCCTCCTCTGAAGTGATGAAGGACAGTGTCGGAGCTCCTGTTCAATTGAGCTTGTCTGGAGATTTCTGACCGCCACTCGTTGAGTTGAGACTGATGGACAGCAAAGACAAAGGCCGATTACGAATAGAGGAAAGAAAACAACGACGAGCATGCTGCAGCCTTTGCAGTTCATGCTTTTCCCAGGACGGCTCGTTCCTTGTGTGGCACCACCTCAGACGCTGGAGTGAGCCCTTTTCTGTCATGGAGGGCACCCACCTCCCCGGTTCAGACGCAGAGGAGCTCACGTTTTGGTCGACGTGCAGATGGCAGACCGCCACGAAGGACACCGGTGGCTGCACACTGAACCCTGGGCCCCGGTCAGGTGAGGTCGGTGGTTGGCACTCCAGCTCTTCAGAAGGCTTCGTCCGCTTGTGAGGCTGGAGGACGAGACCCTCGCCGACACCCCACGCCCAACGGCAGTGCAAAAGCTCCGCGTCGATCTCCCACGCCAACCCCACATCGGCGGCCTTGCTTCAACGACAGGAGCTGATGTCTTGGCCTACCACGAGATGCTGAGCGAATTCGGGATTCGGGAATGAGGCCTGGTAAGACAGACCCGAAGATCTTTCCCGGACCAGTGTCAGCCAGGGCGTTTGCCAGGTCCTCGGGTTCGTCTGACAACGCCCGCGAATCCAGTGGCAATGCCAATTTTGTCTGAATCTTCACGCTGGTGTCAAGGTTGGGGGTTACGCAGGGGTGGTTCTGTGAGCATTCGGTGTGGAGGACGGCGGATCAGTCTCGTGTTGATTGGTGCCGCCAGGGCGTCGCATCTGCCTGCCCATCCATCGTCCTTGTTGATCGATCGAAACTAGGATTATGAGGGAGTGTACTTCGTACATACATAGTTACATGTTCGGCCCAGGGGGTCTCGGTCAAGTTGCTGGGCACCCGGGCTAGCCGTGTTGGAAGTTCGGTCTCTGGGTTGCGAAACCAGTTAATCCGGTCCGGGAGAGACGGTTTTTGTCCTTAGGCAGGTTCCGAGAAAACGCGACTGCAAAAAAGGGTGATAAAGCTTCGATCACAAGCTGAATTTCGATCATCGGGCCAGCCGATTGGGCAGCAAGACTACCGAACGTTTGATGAGGTTTTGGCTTTAATAACGATGGCGAAGGAAAAGCGGGGAGGACAAGCCAGCTTCGACACAGCCGACCAATTACACGGAACTTCTCCAACCCCACACCTTCTTCAACGAACCGATTCACATGCAGGGATCCCATGCCACGCACCAGCCAAAGGAACAAATCCCACGCCGCGCTCGACGATCGAGGCTACTTCAACACGAATGCCAGGGCACCACAAACGCCACAAACAGTAGTGAGTCCGCAGCAAAGCGGCCACGCCAGCTTCCAGTAACCACCGCTGTTTCCCCCGGTTTATTCTCAAGATCCTCGTGCTTGTGCACCAACTCCAGACTCCGCCGCCCCGAGGGAGGAGGAGGGCACGAGGGGGCGGAGAAGCGGGGTCAGCTTACCACGAGAAAAGGAAAAAGGGGGAAAGCCGTTCTCTCTGCAGCATCATGAGACGCAAAAACGGTGGGCCGGAAATGAGAAGTTGATCGCGGCAAGAGGGACACCGGTCTTCGTAGAACGGGTTGTGTCGCTGCCAACATGCTCTACCAAGCAAGAAGACTCTTGCTTGTGTTGGATGTTGCCCATTATCCGGCTCCCACGAGTCAACGCCCCAGGCGTGTCTGGAGGCGGGTTCCAACGAAGCCGCGCCGCATCCGAGATCTGGCCAAGATGCGAAAATAGTGGGGACCATCAAGGAACCTTTCCCACCGCGCAAGAATAGAGAGATCGGTGGAGGTCGTTGAAGAGAGCTTATGCGGTGCTCTCAGTTGCGCGAAGGAGAAACTCGGCGATCGCCAATGCGCCTCGGCAGTTCCCTTCGATGTGCGGGCGTCTGGGCCCATCGACAGCTTCCGGGATGCTCAAACGATGGAGCATCTGACGCCTGCGGGAACGGTTGCAAGGACCCTGCTCGCTCCTCTCCTTGCCAGTTGGAACCCCGCTCCCCGGAGCCGGGTAGCCGGCCGCAAGATACCAGATCTCTTCTTGAGGGGAATTCGATGGAGAATCGATCCGACATGTAACGTTAGAAGCTCGGTTGATATTGACCAACACGGGGACGCCCCTTAATGCACCTCTTCTGCAGTAGCGAAGCGCAACCACAGGTGGCAGGAGCAGGTACAGACAGGCAACGGACGACAGACACATGAGCTCAAAACCGCATGGGTTGGAGCACCCCCGCCCCTGGTTTTGACCTTGCCTCAATTGGGCCACGCCAACACGGCGTCCTGTGGCCGTCACCATTCTCACTGTCACTTGCAGGGAATAATAAGACCCCCACACTCCCGCTGCTCATCTCTCACTCCCGCTCTCCCACGACACCGTCTCTGACCCACGGGAGCCAAGGTCGGACAGAACGTCAACGACAGGGACTCCGCAGCCGCCAGGTCGCGTGAAGGTATTCCATCCTCGGGCAAGCCCAATCTTGACCTGTGCGCCTAGCCCACCATCCCGCGCGCAACCCCCCTCGCCGTCTCCCTCCCCGAAGCTCATGAACATTAAGTAGGAGGGGCTCCAAGACCGCAACAGTCCCCGAGTGCGTCTCCGCCAACAGGTATGCATTGCATTCTCCTTCCTTCAACGCCCCCCTTGCGGTGCCATTGGTGCCACATTTCGATTTTTCCCCAGGCACGCAGCCGTTCCAATCCGGATCCGAGTTTCGAAACACAAAATTACCCCGGGATTGGAGGCTCGGGGCGGCCCATCGCGGAGTCGACCTGGACTGTGCGCAGATGTCCGTGGAGCTCTGGGTTGACAGCCGAATCTGGACACGGGCTGCCGAGAGCGACTCGACGCGCAGTACCGGAGAGCCCTGCAGCAAGTCTCCAAGCCTCGAAGCGATGGGGGTGGCAACGCGAATGCTAGGTCGGGCCCGGCCGAGTTACCGGTTCGAGCTTGGGAGGTTGTTGCCTGCCAGTGCCTGCAACTGCCTGACAGACTGACTCGGAACTTGGAAGGACCCTTCCGTCCCTTGACAGGTTGGCTGGCGAGGCAGGAACCGACAAGTTTTTTTTTATCCCTCGCCCTCCCTGCCTGGTCCGCCCGGCCCTGCCCCATCGCAGTTCAGTTGAGCTCCACCCGAGCGCTTGGTCCACCAGCTTGCGTGCAGCTTGCTTGGCACACACCCCCTCCCCACCGCCGTCCACCGCGCCGTACCCCGGCCTTCCATCCATCTCCCCCCCGCTCGGTTGTCCAGGCCCTTTTCAGTCCAATGCGCGCCGGGCTATTAGCGTACCGCATTCCGTCCATTTTCCCGCGAGGAGTTCGCTTCGCATTGCTTCCTGTTCCTTTTGCTGATTTTCTCCAGACCAGGTACCGCGTAACTCCAGGTTTCTTTTTTCTCCTGAGCTGGCCAATCTGCAAGCCAGGCATCTTCCGTCGCAAGCTTTTATTCGGGAGGCGCCAGGCCCCTACGCCACTGATTTTGGTCACTTTCATCATCGGCTCCCAGCAAGTTGCGATTGAGTCTCTTCTACCGGCCATGATACCTTGAACCCACCCGGAATTGGTCTGGCGAGGTCGCGAACGAGCCCGATACGAGTTTTGTCTCCCGGTACGGTCTGAAGTAGACGCAAGACGACCCATCCCCACCCCCGGTTTTTGTATTCGCGATACTATTACGTCCCTCAACCCGCCTCACCAACAGCGCGGGACACGTTTAAACACCGGGACAAGCCTACCTTTTTCATATATCCCTACTCTCGGCTCATCCCGATTCGCCGACACCCTGCACCGGGGAATTTCAGTGCAGAGAGGCACAGCGTAACCCACAGGCCTTCCAGAGGACTTCGGTCACTGCCCGGTGTCACTTGACTGTGCGACCAGGAAGTGCCGGTGATTGCCGATGGGGTAATTGGTGGGAGCATGGCTTCGGTTCTCACTTCTCATCCGAGTGAAATCACAGCCCCCGGGCCTGCCTCTCGACCCACCCAAACCATGCCGCCGCTAACGGGGCCGCGGTCTCCGGACAATCTCAAACATGAGTCCGAGCACGAGCGGGGTCGCCGGCGCAGCGGATCCGACGACAAGGACGTAGAGGGGCTTGAATTGGATGATGCTGATGATAGGGATGGCGACGATGGAGCGCACTCCTCCAACTCGGAAGGCCCCGCGCGCAAGCGGAGGCGGAGCCGCAAGGGACTGGACAAGAAATTTGAGTGTCCCGAGAAAGGCTGCGGAAAGAGCTACTCCAGGGCCGAGCACCTGTATGTTCCGTTCCTGCAAGCGACTGACCGTGCTCGAGAGTGCTGACACAGTGCAAGTTACCGCCATCAGTTGAACCACAACCCGAAGCAAGTCTACAAGTGCGGGATTGGCGACTGCCAGAGGACCTTTGTCCGACTGGACTTGTGTAACCGGCACAAGGATCGCCACACAGCCAAGGGCTCGGCCTTGAGCCGCAAGGACTCGATGATGAGCCAGGCATCCCCCGTGACGGACAACAGACAACCCTTCCCCCCGACCGGTTCCGCCTCTCCGGAAGTCAACCGACCGGGGACCGCTTACAACAAGGGCCGATCCTTGTCTATCCAGTATCACTCCCCGAAGGACGCCATGGGGAGCCCATACACTCCGATGACGAACACGCCTCCCACAAGCTACGCGAACGGAGCGCCAAACGGTGTCGATTACATGCATCACGACCCGACTTACGGGCACATGACCCAACGACCAGCCCACCATTCGCCCCAAGATCCGCGACGGCCATCGATCCAAACCAACGTCGGTCCTTACGGGGTGCTATCCCCCATCTCCACGCAACCCGGCTATCACAGCCAGCCTCATAACACGCCCCAGTCTGCCAACGCAATGCCCTATGTCCCACCACAAAACTTCCCCCCTTTCAGCCTCCCGCCGTCGGATTTTGCTACGTCATCGGCAGGGGCGGTCGCCCGCGACGACCAACAAGCATACGCCCCGTCAACGTCCGGCGAATACTCGGACCAGCCGCCTCAGGCGACCGGGGAAATGATGCTTCTAGATCAAATGGGCATGCAACAGACCATGCCGGTATTCGGGAGCGATAACATTCTTAATAAATCACCCTATGTCGCGATTCCCGAGGACTTTGTGGCGTATTTGTTCAATACTCACGGCGAAGCAAGCTCGCCCATGACGGGGGTTCCGATGCAGGGATACAAGTGAGTCCGGTGACAGATCTCTACAGCGCTTATTCTTTGCTGACGGTGCTGCAGCTACGGGGAGTTTTCGAACCAGTACAATGTGCCCTACTATAACGACCCGAACCAGCTAGGCTATTTCCCTGCCTCCACTGGGCCGCAGCAGGTCATGTCCGTGACGAATCTCCTGGACCAGAACCTCCCCGAATCGGTCATTTCAGAGGAGAAGACGGCCGAGATCTTCGAGTTCATCAAGGAGAGGTTCCACGAAAACGGCCATGCACCTGTTGAGCGACAGCGCGAGACCATTATCGAGGGTGACCGCAACGACGACACTCACATGCTTAGTCGCAAGATGATGCAGGCTTATATCGGGTCGTACTGGTTGCACTTCAGTGATCAGGTGCCGATCCTACACAAGCCTACCTTCTCGCCCGATAAGACGCCGAACCTGCTGCTAATCGCCATGATGACCATCGGTGCCGCGTGCTTAGACAAGGCCCACGGGCAGAAGGTTACAAAAGCCGGCGCTCAGCTTTCCAACTTCTTGGCGTGGCACCTTAGGTGGGAAATGTTCCAGGACCCGAACTGCAGGCCGCCGGCGAAGTTGTGGGTGTTCCAGACGCTCTTGCTGCTGGAGTTGTACGAGAAGATGTACTCGACCAGAGAGCTACACGAACGGGCCCACATCCACCACGCGACGACGATTACGCTGATGCGCCGCGGGAGGGCGCTGATCGGCAAATCGGCCTTGGACTCGCCGCCCAACCCCCGGGACGACAAGACCAACGGGTCCCGGCAGTCGTCGACGTCAGGGGTCGCTCATACGCCCGAGGAGTGGTGGAACCACTGGATCACCAACGAGTCGACTCGGCGCGCGGCCTTCGCGGCGTTCGTCATTGACTCGATCCACGCAACCATGTTTGGCCACTCGACCGTCATGGTTGCCCACGAGATGCGGCTTCCTTTGCCCTGCGACGACAAGCTGTGGAAAGCCACCAGCGGGCCCGAGGTGGCAAGGATTGATGCCAACCTGAATTCGGTGGGCAACAAAGCCATATCGTTCCTCGAGGGGCTGAAGCGGACGCTGAGTAGCCAGGAGGTGCAGACCAACTCGTTCGGGCGCACGATTCTCATGGCCGGTCTTCTTAGCGTAAGCTGGCACATGAACCAGCGGGACCTCCAGGTCAACTCGTTGGGAGGTGGAGTATCGCAGGCGCTTGGCGGGCGCGACAAGTGGCGGGGGACGCTGACGAGAGCGTTTGACTCGTGGAAGAGCGACTTTGACAAGACGCTGTTCCGACGCGGCGACTCCTCGTCGGATCCCTACAACTACGACGCGTCGAACCGCAACGAGGCCAACGTCGTGTTTGAGAGCCGGATCGTGCTGCATCACCTGGCGCACATGGCGATGCACGTCGATATCGTGGATTGCCAGATCTTTGCGCGGGCAAAGAGGCTACTCGGTCGGGCGATCGGGCCCCAGGACCTCAACAGCGCGCAGCGGCGCATGAAGGACATCTGGGCGCCGTCCGCCAAGGCCCGCGACGCGACGTACTACGCCCTCAAGTTCCTACAGTCGGTCATGCTTCCGGATACGGTGGGCACGCCAGGGTCGTCCAACGGCGGCTTCCCCCAGGAGCCATACTCGGCGAGGGACGACGTGCTCCTCAACCGGCCGTGGGTGCTCTACTTCGCGGCGCTAGTAGTGTGGTGTTACGGGTTTGCGCTCGAGGGCGCCAGCCCGACCATCCCGATGCCGGCGACGCAGCAGGACAAGGTCCGGCTCATGCGCGACTATCTCGCCAAGTACGGCAACGTGTCGTCGCCCGAGGAGCTCAAGTCGATGAAGGGCATCAGCCACAACACACCGGTGCTGATGGTGCTCAAGGACGCGTTTGGCGACTCGCGGTGGGAGTTGTTGCACGAGGGTGCCACGCTTATGAATAACTGCATCAATCTTAACGCGGGACAGGGCGTTGTCTAAGCTTTCGAATCCGCAGGTCGTCTTTATGTAGAGACGGACTGCGGTTGTGCAATATTGGAAATTAAGCCAAGGGTCGGCGGGATTTGTTGACGTTATTTACAATTACATCTTTCTCTGTATGGGCAGGCAGCTATGATACGAAGTTTGGGGGATATTTGACACAAAAAGATGATATACCTGGGAGGAGGGACTCTGGAGGCATGAAGGAGCAGGAGCAACATTTGGGGGGTGGATGGCATTCTTCATTTCAAGCGAGCATGGCTCGGCAACCTTATTTTGTTTTGATTTCCTTTACCTATACCCCCTTTTCTGTACTTCAAGTATAAAGGAATGATACCTTTGCGATGCATGCGGAGATGTCGTCATTTTGATCTCTTGACAATTGGTGAGACCGAGGTCGGCTTCAGGCTTCGGGCCCGCTTTTCCCGGGCTTGTGATAAAGGAGCGGCAGCTTTTGGTAGGAGAGGACTTATTTTATCCGTTTGTATGTACATAACATACAGGGACTCTCTCCAAAAACAGCAGCATCCCTATTCCAACTCATCGGCAAACCCGGATCACAACCTGGGAAACTTGCATGGCCGGCTGTATGACAGTTAAGGGGTTCGAGTCTAATTCTTTGTCCATCATCCCCTTAAACCAATGAAACAAGACCCTCCCTCCATTAATTAAGCTTTCCTCGACCCTGACTGCCGCGGGGTTTCACGCTATCGCCGCTCTTTCCGAGCCGTGGGGTTACCTATCGGACTTGGATACTTTGACCATGCATTTCATTCATTCATCATCCATTGCTGCTTGAGATTTTATCGAGACTTACCAATTGCCCACTTTCGTCTCATTCAATCGTAAAAATGGCGGCCACTCTGGTACATCTCCCATCGGAGATCCTACACAACATTCTCAGCTATGTCGATCCGGAAGACCTGGCCTGGCTTCCTCTCACATGCCGCTCCCTCAACAACTTCATCAAGGGCAATAACCCCCTTTGCCGGGCCATCTACCTGCGCATCTTAGTATGCTAGCCCGTCCTCACACTCACACCCCCTCCCCAATACTCTACTCAACTAACCCTCCCAGGACGAACCCCCAGTAAGGGACCTCGACTTCGAGCAAGAGCTCCACGACATCGTCAAGCTCAAGAAACTTTGCCTGTCCCAGCAGTCCACCACCAGCAACCGCCCCAACCAACACCCCCAAACCCACCTCCCCTTCGTCCACCGCACCGTCACCCGCCTCCTCAACCACGCCATCACCGTCCCCACCACCAACCCCACCAAGAACAGCAACAACAACAACAACAACAACAACAACGACGATAGCACAACCACAACTACCACAACCACCAACAGTCCCAACAGCAGCAGCAGCACCACCACCAAAAATGCTACTAATAACACCACCACCCGCACGCGCGAGTCCCGCGGCCGCACCTTCCCGGAATCAGAGAACGTGCGCTTCCTCGCGACGCTCTTTGAGGCAAGGCCAGCCGCCCGGCGCAAGTTCATGGCGCGTTCGTTCTTGTATGAGCGGGCGCATGTGCTGGGGGTGAGCGGGTTTGGCGGCGGTGGTGGTGCGGAGGTAGAACAGGGACAGGGAGGGGGGTCTAGGTTGGCGGGGGGTGGGAGTGGGGGTGGGAGTGGGAGTGATAGGGGTGCGTTGTATGGATGGCGCATGCCCCGTGAACCCCGCGAGGCGTGTCAGATGAGCGCGAAGCTGCATTGTCTGTACGGTTGGGGCCTGGGCTTCGAGGGCGGCGGGCGCCCCGGCGCGACCGAGGACGCATCCTGGGGCCAGGCGCTCACCTTCGCGCGCCAACGGGGCGGTGTCTACCCGCTTGCGTGCTCCAAGGTGTATGACCTGAGGGAGTATACGAGGGGGACGAAGTGGGGGCCTTTTCTGGACCTCGGCGGGGGGGAGGATGCGGAGGTGAGGGTCGATTGGGAGAAGGTGGAGGCTATTATGGTGGTGCTGGGGGCGAATATCAGGTGCAAGGGCGTGGAGCGGTTCCCCATCTTTTGGCAGTTCTGGGGGAAGCCGTTTGCCGGGAGCTGGAAGGGGAGTTATATCCCCTGGTCGCGGGACAGGGAGAAGGGGGAGGAGGGCGAGGTGAAGGAGCTCGACCAGCTGGACCCCTACGGGGTTGCGGGGAGCTGGTTGCGGGCTGTCAGTTTTCTGGGTAAGTCCCCCCGCCCTTCCGTCCGCCGGTCGATGGCACCAGTTCGGTACTCACGCGATCCAGACTTTAGCGATTTCTTCCACTTCAACTTCCCCACCTTCGACGAGCTACCGCCCGACGTGCCGCGCCCGCCCATCAACGTCGGCCAGGCGACCCGGCTCATCCTGATGCGCATCCGCGTGGCCAAGGTCGAGCCGCCCGGGCCCGGCGACCACCCGGACCACCCGGTCACGCACTTCGCCGGCTTCTCGCGCGCGGTGGAGGGGTCGTGGGAGGCCGACGCCGACGCCGCCATCCGCGGCACCGTGCGCGTGACCCCCGAGGGCGAGGTCCGCTGGACGTCGTACTCGGTCTTCCACGGCGAGGAGAGGTGGAAGAGCGAGGGCGTCCAGATCGGCGGCATCAGGTCGGCGCGCGGCGTGGTAGGGACCTGGTTTGACAAGTATGTTTCCTGCCGCGCGAAAAAATCAATTAGGGGCTTTGGGTTGCTAATGGTGGCTCGATTCTGTTCTAGGGACTTCAACCCCCAGGGGCCCTGCGGGCCGACGGCGTTTTGGAAGATCTCGGACCGCGAGGAGACAAGCGACGAGCCGCAGGTTTTGTTGGAGGATCTCTATCCGATTAGTACATGATTGTGAGTTTCCCGTGTTGGTGGCAGAGGATGCTAATGGGTCGATGCGCAGTCGCTGCCGATCCGGAAGAGAAGGCCATGGACGAGGACGAGACTGCGCAGGTTGAGTTCGACCTGGAAGCTGGAGTAGGGGAACCCTTCTGGCCGGACGGTGCCGAGGATGACCTGGAGGACGAGATGGAGGGGCTATACTTTTTCGATCCCCAGGATATCTTTGACGAGTTTGATGTGCTGGATGAGGATCCGGATGAGGAGGGTTATGGACTCGATGGCGATGACGATGACGACGATGACGACGAGGACTTAATTGCTACGCTCGCGCATGGCTAGTGGTTTGCGGGCGGGCATGGTTAAAGCGAGACTCTAGACCTAACTGTGCGCTACGAATTCGAATACAACATTTGCAATAGCCAGAATTATGCGCTCAGGGGTATCCACGAGTCACTGTGCAACCTTCCACGACACCCGGGCTCCTAGCATCTCTCTCTTCACCACCCCACCAACCAACCTCGACGTCCCATCGCATACCCTATTCCCCCAAATCCAGAAACCCCCCCACCCCTCAACAACAACAACAACAACGACGACGACGACGACGATAACCACCCACCCAACAACCCAATCACCACCTTAAACCTTAGCCACCCCCGGATCGGTATTGACCTTGCCGTGCTCGCACGTCGCCAGCACGGCGCCGTCGTCGGCCCGCCGCATCGTCCCGCGCAGGCTGCACAGCCGCTGCCCGACCTGCACCAGCTCGCACTCGACCAGCACCGTGCTGCCGGCGGGCGCGGGGCGCAGGTAGGTCGTGTTGAGGGTGCGGCTTACGCCGAGGTAGGACCTGCTCTCTCTGTTAGTTTGGTTTATTTTGGGGGGAAGGGGGGGGTTAAAGGGGTGGGGTTCTAAGGGGGTAGGTAGGGGAGAGGAGGGGGGGGGGGGGCGTACCAGAAGCCGGGGCGGGCGACGACGGCGAGGACTGTTGAGGTGCAGAAGTCGAAGAGGCTCGCTGTGCAGCCGCCGTCTGTGTGTGTGGGGGAGGATGTTAGTGTCGGACGATCACATGGGAGTATTTCTATTCTCTCTCTCTTTCTCTCTGTGAGGGTCAATGCCAGATGGACCTACGCAGGTTGTTAAGCCGGTTGCAGTGTACCGGCTGCACGGTGAAAGAAAAGGTCACCGAGGGATGGGGTCCGTCAGCGGAGACGGAGTGAACCGTCAGATGGGGGAAGAGGGACTTTGTCCATTCCTGATGCCAGAAAATGAGGTTGTTAGTTGAATGTCATCTCAGAACAAGAAAAGGGGTAGCCGAAACCTGCCTGGTCGTCTGCGTTGTCGACTGTTGCGGCGAATTGAGAGATCAGCTCACGGATCCGTTCCTCGCCGGTGAGATCGAGGTAGGTGTTCGCATGTTTTTCTTGCTTGGCTCGAGGGTTCGACATGGTTGCGGTGGTTGTGTCGTGTAAGAGAGTTGGGGAGAGATGTATGGAATTGGATAATAAAAGGTGTGATATGGCCCGGATGCTTATATCCGACCTTGACTCCCAAAGGATTCGGATTGCAAACCTGGAATGTTACCAAACTCTCTCTCGGTACAAGAAATCTGTCAGATAAAATTGGGGATAAGTCTTCCCTGCATAAGAATCCCAACTTCAAGGTTCTCTCTCTCACTCATCAACCACAACTTCAGGCACACCAACCCAGGTTATAGGGGACCAGGGGCTACCCGCTGTGGGGCCAAACCCCGCCGAGGCCGTTCCCCAAATTCCGGGGCCATGTGCCTCGGCATTGGCATTGTAATCCCTGCTTGATTAGCCGTCGCCCCCATGTCGCGATTGTTATCGCATCTTCACCTGTCAGCCCGTGCTTTCAACATTCAACAACCCAAACTCAACACCTCGATCCAACATCCCGAACCCTCACCATCACCATCACAAATGCGACAATAACGCCCCTCCACCAACCCGAACCTCCACCCAAACCCAAAAACAAACACAAAAAATGGAGTTCATCCCCGCCCTCCAATCCCGCCTCGACGAGCAAAAGCCCTCCCTCTTCGAACTCCTCTCCGAACAGCAGCTCTCCGCCCTCCTCCCCCCCACCCTCCGCTACCTCCTCACCCTCCTCACCCACCGCTACCCGCGCCAGCTCCTCCACGTCCTCAACCGCTTCGACGAGATCTACGCGCTCGGCGCGCTGCTGGTCGAGCGCCACTACCTGCGCACGCGCGCCGGCGCCTTCACCGAGCACTTCTACGGGCTCAAGCGCGAGCGCGCCCTCGCCGCCGAGCTCCCGCGCGCGTCCGCCGCCGCCCCCGGCGCCGTGCGCGATGCCCTGCGTCTGAGCCGCGGCGATGTGTGGCGGAATCTGTTGGTGGTTGTGGGGATTCCGTATCTGAAGCGGAAGTTGGACGAGGCGTACGAGGTGGATGCCCCCCGCGCGTTGCTGGGGGCCGCGTATAACCAGCGGCCGGCGGCCGGGGCGGGCTGGAGGGAGAGGGTGGTGTTTTGGTGGCGGTGGTTCTTGCGCAGGGTGTACCCCGGCGTGAACGCGGCGTATTATATGGCGATGTTGGCGTTTAATTTGGCGTATTTGTTTGACAACTCCAAGTACCACAGCCCGTTCCTGTGGATGATTGGGACGCGGGTGCGGCGGATGAACGGGGCGGATTATCGGGCGATTGAGGCGCTTGAGGAGAAGATGGTCAAGAGAGGAGGGGCCACGACGATCAGGGCGAGGATGCTGGGCGGGCTGTCGATGGTGCTGCCGACGAGTATCTTCGCGCTCAAGTTTTTGGAGTGGTGGTATGCGTCCGACTTTGCCAAGCAGTTGTCGCGGAAGGCGGCCGAGAGCCTGGATCTGCCACCGCCCGTTGTGACGGGGTTGCCGGAGAAGAAGGCACAGCCGAAGGAGGAGAAGGACGCGGAAAAGGAGGAGGAAGAGGATATTGACGAGGAGGAGAAGGAGAGGCGGGCGATCGAGAAGGCGCCCATTGCGGCGTCGTCACTCCGGCCCATCTACACGGTCCCTGCGCCAGAGGACTCGGACCATTGCCCCATCTGCGAGGGCGAGATCACCACCGCCGCGGCCTGCCAGACGGGTATTGTGTACTGCTTCGCCTGCATCCACAAGTGGCTTACCGGCACGCACGCGCGGCAAGAGAAGTTCATGGCCGAGAGGGCGGGCAAGTGGGAGAGCGGCGAGGGGAGATGTGCCGTCACCGGGAGGCGGGTCCTGGGCGGAACCGAGGGGCTGAGGCGGATCATGGTGTAAAGTTTGTAAACTGTAATGATGACTGTATCAAAAGCAAGGAGCCGGGATAATGTTTTGTGATTATTAGATCTAGGTCGCGTGGTATGCCATGTGCTATCCGAAACGTGTATAATACAAGAAGCCAAATCCTACAAGTTCTTTTCCCCCCATTCTATTCTTCTATAAGCTGCACGCACTCGCCCTGTGGCCAACACTTCTACAAATCCACCACCGTCACTGGATTGCGCAGCTTCCCGCTATTCCCGTACATGAGCGACACGTTGGCCATCAGCCCGCCATTGTTGGTCCCTGGCCCAAGCATGATCCACTTCCACAGGATGCTGGCGACGCCGTACCATAGCACGTTAAAGGCGTCGACCCAACGGGCGCTCGGCACCATGTCGTAGAATGGTCCGCTCTCGGGCCGCGACATGAGCGACTCGTAGGCCCGTTGGCACTCGTCGTAGTAGACGGCCTCCTTGCCGTAGCCGTAGTGCGCGTGGCCAAAGATGTGCAGCTTCGGCTTCACGCGCCAAACTTCGTTGAGCAGACCGTCGCAGCCGAGGCCGAGGTCGAGGTGGTGGCGCTAGCGATGTCAGTCACCCTCATGAACCTCCCAAGCAAAGGGGCCTACTCACCGGCGGCGTATGCGTGACCAGCACGTCCGTCTCGTCCGGCACCCTCCCCTTCCACGGATGCTTGTCCTTTTCATACTGTAACCTACTCACCCCATCAGCAAGCCCCTTCCTCCCTCAGCCCCGGAAACAAACACAACAAAAGAAACGAAAAGCACTCACGCAAACCCCTCCCCACACCACGGCACCGCCCCCCAGCCGTACACATTCAACCGCCTCCCCCCTTCAAACGCCAACTCCACCCCCCGATCACACAGATACTCCACCCCCGTCCAATCCACCCCCTCCCCCTCCCCCTTCCCAGCAGCAGCACCACCACCACTCCCACCACCACCACCCATCTCCTTCCTCACCCCCTCATCCAACCACCCATCATGATTCCCCCCCACCACCACCTTCCACCCATGCGGCAGCCCCCTCAACCAGTCCACCTGCCTCTGGATCTCCGCCGGCGTGCCATCCACGGTCAGATCCCCCGCATGGACCAGCAAATCCCCCGGCGGCACCGCATACCCGGGGATCAGGTTGTGGGTGTCGGACAGGCACACGACGCGGATGGGCCGCCGGCCGCGCGGCGGGTGGAAGGGGTGGCCGCGGAGGGGGAGGAGGAGGTGCCGGTAGATGAGGCGCGTTAGCCATTGTAGGGGGGAGGCCAGCAGGTGGTCGAGGGCGGTGGGGCGTTCCCAGGGGGAGGGGCGGCGGAGGTGGAGGAGGATGAGGAGGTTGTTGAGGTGGTGGAGCATGGTTGTGGTTGGTTTTTCTTTTCTTGTTATTTTTTTTTGGGGGGGGGGGGGGGGGGGGGGGGGATTGTGGTGTGGCGAGGTGGGTGGATGTGAGTGAGGCAAGTGAGCTGAAAAGAGGTTTGAGACCCAAATGGTGGTGCTGGTGGGTTGCTGAGTCTACCTGTTGTGGTTTCAAATCCAATTAATTAGAAGCAAATCCGGCGTTACACGGCCGGTCGTGGTGGGACGGTGTCATGGCTTTTAAAATGATGGAATGCGAGATGTTGATGTGGACGTCAGAAGGCGCAGATCACCAACCAAAGCCAAGCAAGAAGGTTGAGAGGCCATTCAACCCTAACCCTTTGAATGCCCGTCGGCAGCCAGGTTCAAGTTCAGCGGTTAGGGTGGTACGAAGTGGGAGGACCGTCGAGATATCTTCACGCCAAAGGGATAACAATAACAAACCACCAGATGATAGTTGAAACTTGAAAATTTAGGACTAGGTACTTAAAATTATTACTCAGGTATCTCGCTCATCACTCGTCTATCCTTTTTTGGTACAACCCTGCAAATCCAATCCAAACTCCAACCACAACCCGAATGCATCAGGTATCTCAAGGAACAGACAAAAGAAAAAAAACGAAAAGAAAAAAAAACAATCTATCACTCATCCCAACTCAATCCCCAATCCAACCCTCAATCCACCCTCCTCCTCCACCCCGCCTCCCCATACTCGGGCAACCCCCCGCGATCCGCAACCTGCCCATCCCGCCCCGCCGCCAACATCCAACTCCCCCTCTCCCCCCCTTCAAACCCCTCCCCCTCCGGCGGCGCAAGCAGCACCCGCGGCCTCAGATGCTCATCCGCCGCCGCCTCCTCAAAACTCGGCGGCCCACCCGCACCCTCCTCACCCTCCTCAACCTCCCCGCTTTCCCCCACCACTGCTGCGGGCCCCGAAGAAGGAGATTGCGATTGCGACTGCGACTGCGATCCGACAGCCACCTGCAGCGGCACGACGAGCGACAGCGAGTTCGACGCCCCCTTGCTGGCGAGCGCGACGGTCAGCTGGACGGTGTAGACGCGGCTGGCGATGCAGGAGTGGAAGGTCGGGACGAGGGTCTTCTTGTCGGTGGGCAGGGAGAGCGGGATGGCAAGGGTTGCTGTGTGTTGTTGCGGTTGCTGTTGGTTTTGGGACTGTTGATGGGGTTGGGATGGGTTGGCGTGCTGCTGCTTGGGGGAGAGGAGGTGCTGGTGGGCGAGGTCGCTGCTGCTGCTGTTGCTGGAGTGCAGGCTGCTGCCGTAGCCCGAGTCGCGGCGGGCGAGGGGGGCGGGGGTTGGTTGTTGGGAGCTGGAGGTCCATGCGGGTTGCTCGGCGAGGGTGACGGGCGGGAGAGCGGTGGAGGTGAAGAACTGGCCGCGGCGGTCGGTGAGGTAGGGCGCGTTCCACTCGCCGAGGTTGGGGAAGGAGGCGATGGTGCCCGAGGAGTAGTAGGTGTGCGCCGTCACCTTGGCTGTGACACCCGTGATGGTCGGCGGCAGCGCGCGCGGGGACGCCGCGTCGAAAGCCAGCCGGATGTGCGCCATCGGGTGCGACATGACGCGGCGCCCGTCCGCTGAGAGCACCGCCGCCCCCGGCTGGATGGCCTCCGCTGTGATTCGGCCAAGCTTGGTGGCGAGGATGTTCTTGCGGAGAGTCTTGGCTTTGGACATGCGGTAGAGGCGGTCCTTGGCGGTGATGTTGAGTGGCGGGTCTTCCGGGCTCGCGGGGAGGACCCGGAGGGGCTGATTCGCTTCCATGATGCGGGTCTTGTGGTCGCCGTCGTGGCGCAGAACGCGCGCCGTGATCTTGTACTCGACCTGGGCCATGAGTGGCGCCATGTCATCGCGCTCCCAGCCACCAAGGCTAGGCGGGAGCCGCACGTGGTGGTCTTGCATGGCGTCCGAGAGGCGAGCGTGGTTGCACGCGTTGATGGTGAGCTGGCTCGGGATCACAAAGTTGAAGGGGACAGTGTAAGTCTGGCCGGTCTCGAGCACCCTCGGCACGGGGTAAGTGGACTCGGGAATCGGCATGACCATCTTGAGGAACGTGTGGGTGACTTCTTGCGGCGCCGACAGGCCCTCGAACAAGGTCTTGGTGTAGCCGAGCAGGAGGATCTGGATTGAGTCGAAGCTGACATCGCGCTTGGTTGTGATGGTCAGGTCGCCGGTCACGGGCGAGAGAGAAGTGTAGACCTTGGAGCTGTAGTGGTCCTTCAGGTTCACGTTGATGTCCGACTTGGGGTACGCCATCCGCTTAGCGTGGCTCGGAGCCATGCTGGGTGAGACCATGCTCGCGGCGGAGGAGGTTAACCAAGTACCCATTGCGGCTGGTGTACTGCGAGAGAGAAGAGAGAAAGATGGAGTTCGGGACAAGAGAATAGACCCCAGTGGGACAGTAAGTTGGCGGCAGACCGGCCGGAGATAACGTTATGGCTGTTGGCCCGGTGTGTGCTGTGGTTGGTGTAACAAGAGGGGGCAGGTCCAGTGTAAGTGCTGCTGTCCAACGGCGTAGTAGGCACCTTGAGACAAGTACAGGTGTCAGGGTATCTGATGCTTGGTATGAGACAATGGAACCAAGTCTAGACGAGGGGTACCATTTCTCTTTATAAGAGGCCGTACGTTGACTCGACAGTGGGAAGAAAACAAATTCAGCCCTGTGACTGACATGGAACTTCCATCAAGTTGAACTGACTAACTTGACTCATTACAAAGCATCCGCTTTCTCTTTCTCTCCTCCCAGCAGCATCCCGCCCACCACCGCCAACTAAGCGTCATGGTTGAGCGTCCAGTGATCGACTGGCGCCCTTCTTTTTCCCGACATGGCTCGCCGTGCCTCACCCGGGCCGGGGACTCGCTCTGATTGGCGAATGCACCAATAGCGTGCGTGGTTCAAAGGGCGGCATGTGGCCCCGCAGCGCTTCCCTGGCTGCACTAGCTGCACATCCGGCAACCCAAATGGGGGTCCTCAAGGTGCGCCCAGGCATCAAGCACACCGTCTCGACCCGTCCAACTTGGAAAGTGGGGTTGACGTGGCTGTCGGTTGGCTCCTTCCGTCGATTGTCACGATCCCGTCTCAACAGCTCCTACCACATCGTCGTCAGCCAAGTGAGATAAACTGACGCGGTGGCACACCGCACAAGACGATGAGTAGATTGCATGCATATATTTCCCGCTCGAGCTTTACGTTGCCAGATTTTTGGGTAGTTGTCGTCACAAAAACAAAAGCAGAAAGCAGCGCTGTCTCTTTCCTTCCCATGACGGTTGATGATTCAATCTGGGCTCCACTGTCTGTACCCAGCACGCAACGCCTGAGCCGTTCCTGGGGGCTTGGCACCCTTGTCGCCTTGTCTGGGGAAAGGCGTGAAAGGCCCCTGTCCGGTTATCGGATGACAAACTCCCAAACCCGTTCAGGCTCAACCTCGAATCCCGCTCCCAACGCTGGTTTGCATTGATGAAGGCTGTCCGGATACGGCATAGTTGGTGTGATGGTCGGCTCTCAAGAGCCGCCTTTCAGCGGGTGCCAATGCCGTCAAGCTGCCCGGGTCCGGTGTCGGACGGCGAGACCCGAGACGCGTTGTCTCGTCCGCTCCTCGCGCTTTCACGGCCGGCCGCCCAATTGGATCCATCAGTCAGCCCAGCCCGGACCATTCCCCACACCCTCTCCGCATCCATCTGCTGCTTCTTTCAAGGCGAGCAGAGACAGCCGTTGACGATATCGATATTTGGCAGTAAACCCGAGACGAACGACCCGCCTGGAAGATGGGCTCACGATCTAACCACCAGTGACAGCTCCCATAAGAACCTCGTGGAACAAGCGCACGGAGCCATCCTTCCCGTTTCAACACCCGAGCCGAACCACATCGTCGAACATCAGGCCAGTCCTCGCTAACAGCCACCTTTGGAGGCTTAGTGCCGACCTCGCGGCGTGGATTCTCGGCTCCATCGTATCGTCCCACGGGTCAGCTTCTTGGAGTCATCGGGCAAGCAAGCTGGAAGCTGTGCACCCACACCTCCACACGAGATGCGGACTCCTTGGTAGCGGGCCCCGCACCACCTGCCAAGGCATGGATCCACGTTGCGTGCCGCGTATTTTTTTTTTTCGACATTTCTCAACCCGGGGACTTGGGACCGTCCCTCGAATTGCACACGCAGCATTCCGCGTCATAGCGCAGACCGTTGAGAGAGATGGTGTGCGTACTGGTAATGATCGACCTCGACGAGCGTTTGTCAGCCGTGGGGGGAAGCACGAGAGCTGTGTTGTTAGGATTTGGAGGTTGCAAGTTTGCGACCGGGGTTTGCGCCTTTCTGTCGACATGTCTCGTCGTTTCAAACAACCTTAAAAGATCCCTGCACTGAGTCAGGCATGCTTGGCCGCTAAGTTAACCGATCTCTGAGGCCCCACACGTTGCGGGCGAGGGCTCATGGGTCTGTGCTGCTGCTTTGTCATGAGCCATCTTAATAATCCACCTGAGCAGCTGTTTGAGCTGTCCCAACTTTGAGTCGGGTCATCACTCAAGCCCGTGTCAATATCGAGATTTTCCAGGTTCCACCGCAGAAACGAGCGCTGCGGCTGTGAAATGACCCGCAGTTGACATACACGAGGAGACTAGTCATCGTTCATACATAGAATGAAAAAGATCCCATAATTAAACGGTTATTTGTATCCAACCCGCTTGGATGCGACCTCGGCGACAATGCCGACGCTGGCCGTCTATGACTCTACATATTCTAACATGACGTGACTCGACGATTTTTTGAAGTCAACTCTATCGGCAAGCGAACAGCTCGTTCGCCCGAAGATATCGTGAACTCCGAAACAACTGTCCCACTAATTCCTCAGTCGTGCCACGAGATGTATAGCATGATGCCCGCCCCAGCCAGGATCGCCGCAAACTGCACCAGCGTCTTGCGCAGCTCGGCCGCCTTGTTAGGGCCCGTCTCGAGCAGCTCGGGGATGACAGCCACCGTTCCGACGTAGAGGAACGTGCCCGCGGTGAAGGGCAGCAGCATGTCGCCCCAGGTAAGGCTGGTGCCCCAGAGGCCGCCACGCATGCTCATCTCCGCTCCGTCGCCGCCGCTGCCGCCGCCGCCGCCAAACTCCTGCACCGCAATGCCGATGAGCGTGCCAAGCAGGGCGCCAATGGCCGTGACGAACTGCGCGCCCATGGCCTGGCGCTTGGTGAAGCCCGACTGGACGAGCAGTGCAAAGTCGCCCACCTCGTGCGGGATCTCGTGGAAGAAGACGGCGACGGTGGTCGTGGCGCCGATGGTGGGGGACGCGTAGAAGGACGCCGACATGGCCAGGCCGTCGGTGATGTTGTGCGTGAAGTCGGCGCTGCAAGCCCAGTTAGCATCATCACCCCATCCACACAACACACCCTTCATAAAACCCCCACGTACATCATGTTCAACAACCCGCCCAGCTTAACCGACGGGTTAACCTCCTTCTTCTCCACGACTACCACCTCCTCCTCCTTGCCACTCCCCTCCTTCTTCCCCTTCCTCAACCTCGCCCCCTCCTTCTCCCCAACCGCACTCGACCTCCCCTCCCCCCCACGCACATCCGCATGCCCATGCCCATGCCCATGATCATGCCCGCCCTCCCCCCCAGTAGCAATCCTCAACCCCTTATCCATGCCCACGAACACCAAAAACCCCACCAGCACGGCAACCCCCAACAACAGATTCCGGTTCGGCTCCACCAGCACGAGGCGCACGCGGTTGGGCTCGTCCTCGCCGAGGAAGATCTCGGGCAGCAGGTGGAAGAGGGTGTCGCCGAGCAGGCCGCCGACGGCGAAGGCGACCATGACGGAGAGCGAGGCCGGGTCGATGTTGGTGGGGCATAATGCGAGCAAGAAGTTGGGTGGGCCCGAGATGTAGAGGGTTGCGAGGAGGGCGTTGATGGCCGGGTGGGAGGAGGGGAACAGCGCGGTGAAGAGCCGTGCTGTGAAGGACGGGGGGTGCGCGGCGTGCGCGGTGGCTTTGAGCGTGGAGAGGTGGTTGATGATGGGGCATTCCTGTTGTTTTTGGGGTGGTTAGGTCCAGGTTTACGGGAATGGTAAGTGGAATGGAGGGGAGGTGCCACTAACTTGAAGTTGGGCGTCCAGGTCAGCGAGGGAGAGGGTTTCGGGGGAGGGCGTCACGGTTTTGTCGGAGGTGGTGTTGGCCCACGCTGCGAGGACAAAGCCCGCGAGGAGCACGAGGGCTGCGGCGCGGGTGCGCCGGAGCTGGAGGAGGGCCATTGCGACGGGTTGCGCGGGGCAATTGAGGTGTCGCGGGATGTGGGCAACGGCGTCGGGACGGGATGATGAAGGAAAAAGGGGTCGCGTGTGGGAAGTGGATCAAAGGCCAGCTGGTCGAAATTGGCAGGAGGGTAATCTTGCCAAGCCCGGAGCCCATAGGGCTGAGCCTGGGATCTGGGGCATGATCGGATGGGGAAGTCGAAAGGTCGATCCCGCCTGTCAATATTTGGGCATTGTCGTTGTCTCGAATCTCTCGGTGTTTGTTTTCCATGTATCAGATTCAATTGGGCTCAATGGTGGTGTTTGCCGGGTATTTGTGGTTCTCGGTGACAGTTCCAGGTACTCGGAACCGGGATGGTGGGCCATTAATTAACGTTAATTAACAGATCAGATAACAGAGATGCTACCTGTATCCCGGCAAAAAACCCCGTGCTCATGGTTCCAAACACCACACACCGGGGGAGCGGATGGAAGGTAGCATATCTGTCGGCATGTAGAAAAATCAGGTATGGACGGGACGCATTCACTACACGAGCTTGACATCGAGATACGAAGCTTATTCGCATTTCAAACAGGGACACAACTCCCTGACCACGCATCCCAAGTTATGACCAGTCTCCCAATAGTCGTTGATCAACTCGTTGATCAGAATATTTCACCGAGTATGGTAAGTCATTTAACTCCTAAGCCTGTCCGTTTGAATACCCTGCCAACCGAACCAGTTATTTATCGAAGGCGACATCAACGCCGCAGCCCTGCCAGAAGCCTGCCCAGTGATCTCGCTCACTCAGCATCGCACGCCTCATCGTCCCCATCTGTCCCCTTAGCCTCACCACATGAAAGATCAAAAAGCGGCTTTCCCAGACCCTCCCCAACGATCCCAAAGCTCGGCTCCGGCGTCCCCTTCCCCGCATCGCGCAGCGTATACCACCACACATCCACCTTCCCAAACAACCCACAACCCACGTCCCTCCAAAACCTCCTCGCATTCTCCGCCGACGGCACCGCCTCATTCACCGTCTTCCCACTCACCGGAAACCCCGTCTCCGTCACCCACACGGGCTTCCTCCTCCCCTCCCCACCCTTCCCACCCTTCCCACCCACCGCAACCCCCACCGTGCTCTCCATCGCCTGCCCAAACAACAGCCTCCCCTCCTCCACCCCATTCACCACCCCCCCCTCCCAATAGCTATACGCATCCATCCCCACGAAATCCACCGCCTCCACCACCCGCCGATTCCCCGGCATCACCCACTCCGACCACGTATCCACATGCCCGACGGGCACACCCCCCAGCGGCGTCCCCCTCACCGCCTCCCGCACCTGGTTGATATACCCCACAAGCACATCCGCACCTAGGCCCGCCGCGCTAGGGTCGTGCGCCCGCCCCGTGGGCGACGCCCGGTACAGGTCCTCGCTGCCGACGGCGATGCCGACGACGAGGTCGGTGAAGGCGGGCCCGTGCGTGGCGATGGCGGTTTGGAGGGCGGCGAGTTCGTTGGTCACGGCGCTGGCGCCGGCGGAGCACCAGATCCCCAGGAGGAGGGTCGTGTTGGTGGCGATGGCGGCGGGGATGGCGCTGATGGGGGCGGTGGCGGTGCCCCATTGCTGGTAAGGGGGGTTGGGTGTTAGCTTGGGGGGAGTGGGTGGTTAAGGCTGGGGGGGGGGGGGGTAGAAGAGAGGAGGGGGTGGCTGGCTTACGATCATGGTGTAGAGGCGCGCGCTGTTGAAGCCGGTTGCTGGCGCGCCTTCGAGGTTCTGGGCGGTTTTGAACTCGGCTTCGAAATCGGATTGCATCTTGGGGGAGTTGTCGGTGAAGAAGGCGCCGTAGTTGAAGCCTTGGTGGAAGGCCCGGGCGGAGGAGACGGCGGCGGTTAGAACCGCTAGGCTTAGAGTAATTCGCATTGTGGACGGCGTGGATTATCAAAGAATGGGTTCGAAGAAGGGGAGTATCTCCAGAAAGCACCGAGGCAGTTAAGAAACCCGGGAGACTCCGGGAAGAGATAGGTCTAGGTGGAGGGCCGCAGGGTACAAAAGGGGGAGGCAGTGGTTTTATATAAGAAGATACCCGGGGGAGTAGCCCTGGTCACCACGACCACGCTTGGATCCCGCGGCCAACGGGCATCAAATATTGCAAAGGGGCCCAGGGAAGTGTGATCATATGATTCAAATCTACGTAAAAGCTGTGTGATAGGCATGCTAGATGGGAAGCATGGGTGGTGACCCATGGCCAAGGAAACAACAAGCTGGTGTACCAAGTCGGTTCGATTTCGGATTCAAAGGTAGTCGTGAGAGTCGACCTTGATGTCTGATAAGTAACATGACCTGCCAACCTGCTGTGGCCATGTGGTTGTAGAAAGGGAGATCGTGGTTGTGATTACAATGACATAGTAATTGAAAGGATAACGGAGCCATGTGACTCGCCCCTTGCGACACTATAGGATGAGATGGAATCAACCGCGATGTTGATAACGAGGCCCTAGTGAGCATACATCGTCTTTTTGAACGACCCCTAGATCTACACCAAGGCTTAAGAGGCATCACTTAACCCTGTCTATTACCAATCAGTCCAAATGGCAAAGGATCTCGGACGGTTCATGACAATATATAACCAGTTCCTAAGCTTCGAAAGACTCCCCCGCCACAGAATTATATTTCGTGGGTTGACCCTAAATACATGAGGGTGCCTAGCAAGCCGTGAGGCCTGTTAAGAAGTTTACCACTTGCTAACCCCATGTGGCCATCACTAGACGGTACTTAGGCATGACGAGACGCAAATTTCTGTTGCTCTAGTTCGGTTACATATCAATTTGTATATGGCGGTGTGTTGCTTGAGGAGAACGATCAGAGTGATGTTGCCATCATGTTGGGCGAACCGGTGATAATGAGTTCTAACTCAAGAGAGGCGGCGATATAAGGATGTAATATTTATCCCGGTCAACGACCTTACTGATGGTCATTGTTAATGATTGAGAGGAAGCACAATGTGTATCATGGTAAACCAAAGCAATGCTACTTTTAATCGATTGCGATAATGAGACAGTTCTCGCCTCTGGAAAGTGAAAGTGTCTTCCTGTGCCCCAAAGGCCATATGCTTATGGCTACTTCAATGTTGCAATAACTCGACGCCACAGGAAGTCGGACTTGGACCCGGAAGAACCCCTCCGTGTATACATAACGTGGCAAGGCTGGAGATATCCGAGACATTGGGCTTGGATGAGTGAGACACTGGATGTGCATGATACATGAAACGTCGCCCCCCGCCCCACAAGCACGCGAGCATAAGCCCCGCATCGAAGACAGCGTGAAGTCATGAACCTTCGATATCCGCTTCCATATTTCTGGAACTTCGCCCCTTTCCAAATTCAACAACCAAGCTTTCGGATCCCAAACGCGCATGGCACCGGGGATCCCTCCCCCTTCCACGCCCTCAACTCGACTCTTGGCGATCAATCCTCCCTTCCCAACCTCCCCACCATCGCCCACAACCACATCCACATCCACAACCACCACCCCCAAAAACAAACCACCAAAAATGCCCCCCACCCGCGCCCCCTGGCGCGCCGCCTTCCTCGAGCACCTCAGCCGGACCCCCACCCCAACCTTCACGCTCGCAACCCTCGCCACAGCCACAACCGTAGCCGGAGCCCCCGCCGCCCCGCGCGCACGCACCTGTGTCTTCCGCGGGCTGTGGGCGTCCGGCCTGCCTCCCAACCCACACAACAACAACCCGGCACCGCTCAACCCTCCGGGGGTGTACGAATCCGACCTGCCCGTGTTCACGACCGACGCGCGGTCGGGGAAGGTCGGCGAGCTGGGGGTCGGCGAGCTGGGTGTCGGAGAGGGGGCGGTGATGATGATGACCGGGGGCGGGGGCGCCGTGGAGGCCGTGTTCTGGGTGGATCATCCGGAGGCGCGTACGCAGTGGCGGGTGAGGGGCCGGGCGTGGGTTCTGGCGGGGGATGCGGATGGGGATGGGGAGGGGGCGAGGGTGGTGAGGGGGGTTTTGGAGGGGAGGATGAGGAGGGTGGATGGTGAGAGGGGAGGAGCGGGGTGGAGCTTTGCGAGGGAGGTGACGGCGCATTTTGGGAATCTGAGTCCCCTCATGAGGGGCTCGTTCAGGGCGCCGCCGCCGGGGGTGCCGCTGGCAGCGTATCCCGCGGGAAAGGGGGATGAGTTGGGGCAGAGGGTGGATGATGTGGAGGATGAGGCCGCGAGGAGGAACTTCAGGGTTGTGGTGATCGTGCCGGAGGAGGTGGATCAGGTGGATTTGAGGGATGAGCTGCGGGCAAGGAGATGGCTGTATGTGTATCGGGGCGTGGACGGCGTGTCAAAGCTGCCTGGTGGGGAGGTCATTGGGGAGTGGGAGAAGGTTGAGGTCTGGCCGTGAGCGAGCAAGAGTGGCTAGCTAGCGGGTTGGGTTGAGGGTGAAAGCCCCCCCCCCCCCCCCCCCGGCTATCAGATAAGAATATGAGCAGGCGTGATCCTTCAACATGAGACACCGATCTGTCAAGTGTCTGGCGGCCCACGTTTTGGTTTAAACGGTGGGTTGCCGTTTGCCCCTTTCGAGTTCAAGGTTCACGTTCTTATCAATTCCCACGAGCTGAGCAAGGGTCAACCTTCCTTATGTTGCCTCGGTAGGGAGTTCCCGTTCGAACGTAACATGGCCTTGGGTTGGTTTGAGTCGACCGCATGCAGCACAATTCTCGCCATGCGCAGTAATTGTTGACTACATCAGCTCACCGAAGAGAAGGTGAGGGAGCAAGGGTCGAGGCCGTTCGCAGCCGAGTCCATCGCCCAACGGCCGCTTGTGAAGCAAGGTGGGTCCAGCCAAGGTCAAGGAAGGTAATTAATTATTCGTAATTGCCTGACGTTTCCGAACGTCACGAAAGAGATCGCCGGTTTTCTGGCTCGCTGGAGATGATGGTTTCGAGGATCCAACTTGCACCCGAGCTTGCTGTTGCATTCAAGGACCTCTCACAATTCGGTTCAGCATGGCGGCGAGAAATGTGATTTTCAATGTCAGATGCAAAATGTTGAAACAAGGTGGGAACTGTGGCTTGTGCTTCAAAGAGAGCACAGACGCTGAAATTGCAGGCATTCGTTGACAAGCACGCAAGCCGACAGAAGAGGAAGGCGCAATGACCTTTTGCTGAGTTTTTCGAGGCAATCCCGGGGTTTTCCTTTCTTTTCCTCTTCATGGTTCCATCCAACCTGTGCACTCCCAGGAAACGCCAAGATATCGAGACCCGGCTGCCCGGTGCCAGGCTCGCTTCCAATGACACCTGAAAGGTGCCACTCGGCCAGACGAGCGAGCCAGAGAGCCCGCCGCCGCCGTTAATCTGGGGTAGCCCGTCATCAGTATCGCCCCCCCACGCGGATGGCGGCTCGAAGCACGCGATGGTGGCACGGTGGGTTGGATTGATGAAGCAACAGACCCATGGATTGACAGGAAGATCTACTCATTGGACGATCCATTCAATCACCACCTACCATCCTCGGGGCATCGCCCGGTTATCTTTGGCTCACTCAAACCAGATTGCCAGACCAGGACGCTCGGGTGCGTTTTACCCCGCGTTACACCCACGAGGGTTGCTTCTCCAAGAGGCAGGTCTCTGCTCGGTCAACCGGGCGTGCTTTGTGTAAGCATGTGTTGTTGACTATCGCTCCTGTGGAAGCCAAGCCGTTCGTCCCCTCACGGGCTCACCCTGCCCCGAGGCACGCGCGCCCCCGAGTTTCGAAAGTTTTGACAACGGACGAAAAACAACGCAGCCATAACCCTTGTTAGGCGCCGAAATGAGAACATGCCCGTTGCAAGTGCCGGCTCCACCTCGCAACAACCCACAAAAATATCGGGTTTTGTCGTGGTCGAGTCTCTCGCAAGGTGCTCCTGCCTCGTGGCCCCGTGTGAGGATCAACACAGGAGCAACTCACCGCTTAGTGTCGTGTTCACCATGAACTGCCGTGCCCGCCAAACGGGGCTGACATGAGCAGCAACCCCGCGGTTGTGGTGCCTCGAAGGTGCGCAACCGAGCTCCGCCATCGCCCAGCAGTGGAGTGGACGAGATGATAAGCCGACGCAGAAGGCGGGACACGGTCATGCGCAACTGCATCTGCATCAACAGACCAAGGTTCCAGCCAAAACGAGTTTGCAGCGGTAAGATAAGTCAGCCACTTACACCGCCGCCGCCCGGTACATTGCCAACTCAACCATGCTGACGGGGGTACTGTGTACAAGGACGTTCCTTCGCTGCTTGGTGACGTTGGGTTGGTTTGCGGGACGCGGGATGCGGCGGCATCCCAGAAAGTTACACGCATATCACAAGAGACCCGCCTCTCAGGATTTGCGATTTACACTAGCGAAACTGGGTGGCCCACACCCGTTGGCCCTGGGATCCCATGCGCTCGGCAGGATGGTCAAGAAGAGCCCATGCAGCGTTTTACGGCTGCGGCAGGCAGCCTTCGCCGCAGCCCACCCGGCCGTCCGCCGTCACCCTGAAGCCTTGCGTGCATATTATTAGTCTAGACCCTCCCGACTCCACGAGCGGGCTCTTCTTGTTGCCCTGACCTGCCCTATTCTTGCTCTCGCTCTGCGTCTCACGTCTTTTTCGTCCGGCCCAAAAAAGTTTCCGAAATCACGCCCCAACCCCTCGACGCTTGCTCCCCCACGAACCGTGACCGGATACAAGCTCTGTCACAATCACATTGTGTATGCGCCAACCCGCTCGGCCCCGTTATTCCCGACAGCCGAGCACACAAAAAGCAACACCACCAATCCGACGTCATTGTGCCTGCAGCGCCGTTGCCTTACCCGAGACTCTGGGACGACCGAGGACAAGATCAGAAGAACCATCTGACGAGGCGTTTGGAGATACCGGATTTGGACAGGGGGAACACAACCCAACCCCCCTCGTCCCGCCTGGGAAGATGACGAACGTGGCGTGCCCAGGGCGTTGACGCTTCCATGGCTCTGTACTCGGAACCGCCGCCGTTACGACCCTTCGGCGAGGTCAAGCCGACGTTGCTGGTGTGCTGGTGGATCACCAGCTTCTGCGCTGTAATCATCGCCCTGAGGGTCATTGGGCGGTTCATCCGGTCTGAGAAATTGTTTAGCGAGGACAAGACCGCTGCCCTGGCGCTCGTGCCACTGTTTCTACGAATGGGCTGCGTTCATGTTATCCTGATTTATGGCACCAATAATGCTCGCCTGGAAGGGGCTGGTCTTTCGGACGACGAACTCCACAATAGGTCCATCGCCAGTGGTTTGGTTCTCCTGAGCAGGGTATTCTACGCCGCTACGTATGTGTGACGTCTTCACTCCCTCAACTGCCTACTTGGTTTTGATGAACTTTCAGCTAACAGTTGTGTGTGCCTGCTTGCAGACTTTGGATCCTCAAGTATGCTATCCTCGAATTTTTCAGGAGGCTCAACATCACTTGGAGACGGACGTATGATTTGGCGCTGATGTTCATTCGCGGCCTCCTCATCACAACCTTCATCGCCGTTGTGATCAGTGACCTGGCCGAATGCCAGCCCTTCGACCACTACTGGCGGGTGCTCCCTGACCCGGGGGGCCAATGCCGTCAGGGGTACGCACAACTCCTCACCATGGCTGTCTGCAACGTCGTGACGGACTTGTCCCTGGTCATGTTTCCCGTCCCTGTCATTCTTAGTAGCTCAATGAGCGCGAAGCGCAAGTTTCAGCTCGTACTACTCTTCTCCCTCAGTATCGCCCCGGTCATCGTCACCATCTACCGGGTGCCGCAAATCATCAACGAGCAAGGAAGCCAGCAAACCCGCTCCCTCTACGCTTCCATCGAACTGCTCTTCGCAACCGCCGCAGCCAACACCCTCGTGCTGGGATCTTTCGTCCGAGACAGGGGCGTCAAAAAGCGGAGGTTCAAATACGACTCCATCGCCGCGGGTTCCGTCGACCATTCATCCGCCTCCGAATCCCGACGGCCGACCGCGCTCCGACACTGGGGCAGCGACGAGGACCTCGTGCGGGACCTGGGCCTCGGCGTGACGCCCGAGCTGCGCGACATGCACCCGTCGCCGACCGAGAACCGCCAGTACATCCCCGCGCCGCGCGCCAACACGAACCCGGACATGGACGCCTGGCGCTTCCCGGGCTACGACGGACCGAGCCTGCCCCGCACGAGCGAGGACCCCGCCGGCGACAAGTCGACGCGCAGCGACTCGACCGCCACCCACCGCCGCGTCTCCTTCTTCGACTACGGCGGCCTGCTCGACGACCAGCCGCCGCCGACGGCGTCCACGGCGACGAAACCCCTGCGAGCGAGCTCGTCCCTGTCCGGCAGCGACCAGTCCGGCTCGCCGACGAGGAGGCCCGACCCGGTTGTCCCGGCGAGCGGGAACGGTTTCCGCAGGGGCTCGGCCGCGCTGCTGCAGGATCTGGGCGGGTTTCTGGCGCCGCCGGGCTCGAAGAGTGCGTCGAGGTCCAAGCCGAGGGCTAGGAGTGGTAGCAATCTATCGCCGATCAAGCAGGCGAAGAAGGAGGAATCGAGATCCCCGACACCACCACCACCATCGCCACCGCCGCCGCCGCCACCGCAGGATGGGGAAGGCAGAGGGGAGCCGCAGCTGATGGATGTGGGTGGGTTGTTGGCGTCGGGACGTGGGGCTTGATCTGGCCGACATAGAAGGGGGGGATCGACATGATTTATATTGATTTTGGGACGGGGTCGGGGATACTTTGAACCTAATCAAGAGGCGTTTACTGGGTGCCGGATAGAGAATGGGATCGGCTCGGCTGGGCTGGGATGCGGTTAGACGGGAAGGCGTTGGGGATTTTGCTTAACACGACACAAAGGGTGTGGGGGTAGGGACACCTTGGGGGTGGTATATTTTGCACATACTTCGGTTGGTACTGTCGTGTACTGTACCTACGGGTGCGGACACGAATTGGACCTGGCTATCGCGGGCTTTTGCTGGGAAGGTGGATGCGTGGGAGCGCGGCCGCTACGGTTGGCGCGTGTGCTGGGTGGACATCTTTTTTTCACTCTGGTTGCTTTCACATGCGATATACCCCCGGCAGCAATGCCGTTCTGCTCCGGCTTATGAAGTTATACCAGATGTAGCTACATCATGACGTACTCGGTAAAGATAATATTTATCACACACAGAGATCATGTATGGCCTTGTGCTCACATTATACTAAGACGTCGTTGTTGTGCCCTGTCCTCCTCGAAGCTCGGAATCTGGTCAGCTCTGCGCCGGGCGAGCATTATTCCACCAGACCCCCCGGTGTTTGCGAGATCGCCTATTTTGACATATCGTTCCGTCGGAATGACCCTCGAGTTTCTCGGTCCAGACATGGGCTTATCCCATACAACATCTATTGTAGCCAAGACCGAGCCGCTGCTGACTCCCCTCAAAGAAAAGGGGTAAAAGAAATCCGGTCGCAGGGGCATTGTGTAGCGATGACGTCCCTTATGACAAGCCTCTTGATGAAGAGGTAAGAGAACACGCCCACAGTCACTGGCTAAAGGCGGACTAGGTGATTATGATCACCCAGTGGAGGACGAGCACAAAGGGGGCTGTACAATGAGGGCGGCGGGCTGGAGACAGCCCCCGCCCGGCCTGTATTGCCATCTACCGCATGCTATCGGACATTATCCATTGTCGAAATGGCCACTCGACTCGACGTACATGAGGCAGTAAACGACGCCATGTTGCGTCCCTCCAGCCGAGATTGGCGAGAGACTCCAATCATGCTGATGCCCCTACAAACCCCTCCCCAAACGCCGCGAAAACGCGAGAAAATGCAAAGCCCAACCAGCCTAATCGAAACGCAAACGCCCTCTTTTGGTTAATTTTGGGGCGGCCAATAACCGGAGGGTTTGATGCACCTCCCGTGCAATGTCCCTGCCGCTGTGATTGACACCCCGCGGTCTATCTATCTGTCACCCCACCACCTCGAATTCCCGCCTCATACGCAAAGCCGATAACTGGCGTATCGCCCCGCGGTCTCACTAGTCCGTATGATCTTGACGACCTGCCCCTTCTTGAGCCCGAGGTAGCGGGCGATGGGGTCCTTGGACAGGATGCGCGGGAGCTGTGTCTCCTTGAGGCGGTAGCGCTTCAGCAGGGCGATCTTCTCCTCGCGGCTGAGCAGGACGTGCTTGGGCACGAGCTCGTGGTGGGTGATGTTGACGAGGAGGTCCTCCTCGAGGAAGCACTCGATGAGCGTGTACTGCGAGGTGACGGTCATGACCTTGCGGGCCTGGGCGGACAGGGCGACGGCGGTCACGAGGATGCCGGCCTTGAAGTTGTTGCCGTCGCAGTGCTCGACGAACTTCTTCATGACGTTGATGCCGATCGACGCCTTTTCCGGGCAGAACTCGATCCAGATGGTGCCGCACTCCGGGGCCGGGTCGGGGTTGGAGGGGGTTGGTGGCGGGGTGAATTTCTTGATCATCGACTCGGAGGGGCGGGCGGAGAACTGCATTTTCGAGCGGCTAATGAGAGGGGCGTAAGGGTAAGCGATTGCTGAAGGAAAATAAATTCAGTTTATGGCGGCAACGGGACTTACTTGGGGCTGCCGTCGTCATTTGTGTACTCTAAGCGGAAGCGGTCGAGCGAGATCTTGACCTCGTCTTCGGCCAGTTCGTAACCCTGCAGCAGGAAATAATTAGCATGACGACACCCGACAAGTTGAACAAGTTCGCGGCCTCAGCATTGCGTACCCTATCCTGTACCATCTCGTGGATTGTCCTCCATGAGCGCCATAGGCGCGTAACCTCCTTCGCGTGGACGCTGGCGCTGCTCTCTTCCTCCATGGTTCGTGATGTTGGAAAATTCGATGCGGAGCGGTTTATAATTGGGGAAGAGTTCGGTAGAAAGCACTGTGGCCGGTGGAGATGATTATAGGTATGTACCTAGGTTCGCGGGGGTCGATGTTGCGATGACAACACAGTGATGCTTGAAAGAAGCGGCGCGACGACGCTCAAAAAAATGCGGCTTTGATGCCGCATGGCTGCAGACGGGTCCGGCAACGATCCATTATTAAATATACAAGGGCGTGGAACTAACAATTTGCATAAATGCATTTTCCCTCGTTACCGTTGTAATTAAAGAATTCCGCACTGTACCAGTGCTCTCAGTCCCGACCCAGGGGTACCAAGGTTACCGAAGTGGTTATTGAAGGTGAGGGGCAGAACACAATGAGATAAAAATTGGATTACTTCCACAAGTTCGAGAACAGGAGATACTAGGCGCAAACTGCAAGGCGAAATAACAGATGCCATACGATGGGATCGAGAGGGTGCTGGGAAATGCACTGTGCAGAAGGATGTAGCTATCCGTCTCTAAATAATCGTCCCAAGTCTTACATTTGGTAAATACATGAACAGGGGCCTAGGTGCATGAGAAAGGCCACGGGGGCCAGAATCACCGAAATTTTGGTGATCGTTCGTCAAGAGGAACGAAAGGCGAAATATTCCCTATCCGGAGGGCACTTCCTGGCTTGCTTGTCTTCGCTCGCCTGTTTTCCTCCTCGAACTATTCTACGACTATACGTTTCCAATTATCTTTTATTTCCTCGATTCCTCTCCGAAATGACTACCGAGGCCACTTCCCTGGCTCCGGCCACCACCACCGAGACCATCACCAAGGTTTCCAGGCCAGATGAGGAGGCCTACAAGAAGGAGTTGGCAAAGCTCCAGAAAGAGCATGATGACGCTCTTAGCCGATTCGTATGTCTAGCCCACCTGCCTTTACCTCTCATCGCCTTTCTTCTTTTTCCTCCTCGGTCTCTTTCACCAATTGGCCCGAAACTGACTTTGTGCGTCTCTGCTACAGAATGCTGCCAAGGCTAAACTCGACAGCGCCCTGCCCAAGCAAGGGCAAGAGAGCCCCTTGATCACACGGAAGAAGGCATTGCTGGCCCAGGCCGACGAAATCCGCACGAAGCAGGGCTTTGGAAAGACGGCCCGGTCCGGAAAGATGGACCAAATAAAGTCCCTCGACGAGCAGCTCCGTCGCCGGATCACCGAGCAGAACGCGGCCCGTTCCAAGGTAGCGTTTAAGAGCGTGGGGGAGATAGATGCCAAGATCCAGGAGCTCGAGCGGGACGTCGAGAGCGGCAAGATGAAGCTGGTCGACGAGAAGAAGGCCCTGGCCGAGGTTAGCAACCTGCGGAAACTCCGCAAGAACTTCTCGACCTTCGACAACGATCAAAAGGCCATCGATGATCTCAAGGCCAAGATCAAGGAGATCAAGGACAGCATGGAGAACCCGGAAGCCAAGGCACTTAGCGAGGAGTATGGCAAGGTCCAAGCAGAGCTGACCTCCATTAAGACCGAGTTGGATTCGGTCTTTGGCAACCTGACTTCTCTGCGCAACGAGAAGTCCGAACTCCACGGCGCGCAGCAGGCCACCTGGACCGCGCTCAAGAAGCTCAAGGATGACTACCACACCCAGCGCAAGGCCGCCATGAAGTGGGAGCGCGAGGTGAGGGAAAAGCGCAGGGAGCGCGAGCAGGGAGAGCGCGACCGGATCGCGAAGGAGCGCAAGATGGCTCGGGCCCAGGAGATGCTGGCCGAGGCCAGCGACCCAGCTTTCGCCGAGCAGATCCGCCGCGCCGACAACCTGGTGCGCTTCTTCGACCCGTCGCACGCCGTCGAAGAGAAGGCGCCCCTCCTCGCCGACAAGGGCCTTGGCGCGTCCGCCCAGCGCAAGGTCGACGCCTCCGGCTTCGAGGGCATGAAGCTCGTGCGCAAGGAGGACCGGGAGGAGGACTACCTCCCCGCCGCCAAGAAGGGCAAGAAGGGTAAGAAGAGCCAAGCCTCTGAGACGCCCGCCTCGAAGTTCAGCTGCCCTCCGTCAGTGATCGAGGACTGCACCTTCGTGGGCGTCAACCCGCCCATGAGCGCCGCCGAAGTGCCCGAGGTCATCGAGAAGGTCAAGGGCAAGATTGCGCAGTGGAAGGCGGACCAGCCGGTTCAGACACAAAAGGTACGCTGACGATATTGCTCTACGCTTTTCACGCCCGTATCACTAACCCCCGTGTAGAACATCGACAAGGCCAAGAAGGAAATCGAGCGCCTCGAAGCCGAGGAGGCGGCCGCCAACTCGGGCTCCAACACCCCCGGCAAGCAGGCGGACGGCCAGAAGGGCGACGCCGACCAGACCGTCGCCGAGGCCGCCGAGAAGGTCGCCGAGGTCTCGCTCACCGAGGCGAGCGAGGCGCCCAAGGAGGTCGAGGCCACCGCTTAGACCCCAGAGCGGCAGGTGAACACCGGCGGGCCACGCAGCGCGTCGGCGGGCTTCTCGCCAACAACCACACGCCCTTTGCGGGGTGGCGATTGGGTTCGCGTGTGAGCGGGCGGGGCTATATCCACCGGCTTTTTATAGCATCCGTTCTTAATGTTATTGCTCCTCTTTTCTTCCAACGGGGATTCCTCATTATTCACCTCGCTTTCTCGAGGGATGGGGATTTAGACGGTGGCCGTTCTGTTGTTGTCTTGCTCGGTTTTCGTCGTCTCGACATCGCCCGGCTCTTCTTGTATCTACCTTGTGGGGTCTGACGGCGAGGACTGGACGGAAAACGGTGGGAATCTGGGGGATTGGGCGTATATATCTCCAATACCACCCTTTCATCCCAAAAATTGCCCCCACGGCGTTGTGTGACATGCACCCCCCGCACCTCATTATCCAAGACACGCCGCCGCTGCCGCCGAGCAAGCTGTTGCCGGCCGGCCCGATGTGTTGGCCTCGCCCAACATCACGCCCGACACCTGGCTCGACGTACCACCTCCTAAACCCGTGTTATCCGCCACAAATACTTGTTCGAGGCTCCTACGCTGAAGCAGGTTTTATTCATCCCCACCGACTCATCCTGTTCTTCATGTTCCAACCTGTTTGTCTGCCACCCCCCAAGACTACGCATGTAAGCCCTGGTATATACACACCCACCACTGGAAGCCAACGTGTTTACAGTAGGTAGGGAAAACACACCAACACCAGACCCCACAAACGCCAACCCGCGGCCCGCACGTGGAGAGAGAAGCCAAAGCTCGTGTCCTATCCATATATTTCGTGATCCCTTTGTTGTTGTTTGTCCGCCTCGTGACCCCGCCTGCTGTTGTTTGTTGTTTTGTTGTTTTGTTGTCTCCCGGCATCGCATCCGTTGGCACTCCGCGCTGGCACTCCGCGCTCGCATGCCATGTCTCGGGGTCACGTTGGGCATCCGCACCTCGCCTGGCTTGGGCCGGGCCCGCGGGGCCCTTCGCTTCGCGTCCGGAGCGTCGGGCATCTGCCACGGATCCGGTTGCTGGTTCGGGGGGAGGGGGGGAAGTGTTGTGTTGTGTTGCCTCCGTCCGCCCGGGGTGGTCTCTTTATCTCGGGCCCCCCCAGGGAGGAGGGTTGGCTGGACCAACATGGCATGGCAGAACAGGGCATGACACGTGCGGACTCTAGTTGGGCTAGGTATTTACTTTGGGTGTGTTGAAGCCACATGGTGCTGACTCAAGTCGACGGCGGGTGGGTGTCTCTTTTGCATACCTCTTTTCAAGGGGCATGCCAAGTGCTTCTCTCCATGCCGGTACCCAGCACAGTCTATAATTTCCTAGGCCATCACCGTCTCTAAAAAAGACGGACCCCGGGAGATATCTAAGGTGTGTACTCGGGAAGTTCAAGTAACAGGGACCCGGACAAAAGAAAACTAAACCGGAAAGCTAAGTTGTGAAGAAGGCTAGATGAGGAAGAAATCTTGAAGAAGAAAACTAGATGAGAAGAAACCTCGATTAGGAAGAAGACTGAACCTAGAGAAAAAGGGACGAACTTGAGAAAGAGAAAACTAGAAGAAAACTAAACCTATAAAAGAAAACGAACCTGGGAAAGAGACAGCGAGATCGAGTAAACAAAATTGATCAAATAAGAGAAATATAAACCGGGAAAAGGAGAACGAAATCGAGGAAAAATAGCTGTAGAATAAACGTTGAATATTCTTCATAACTGGAGGTTTCTTAGCACTTTGACATGCGGAAGGGCTTGGGTATCTTGTTGCAAGAACCTTCTGAATGCGGCAGGCGGCAGTCAACCAACTGCTTCAGACCAACCACCAACCACCAAAGCGGGGTATAAGACACTGCGCAGCCTCGTCCCCAGGCATTGCTCCTTGCCATTGTTCCTTGCCGCTGCAGAACCCCTACGAGTGCGTACTTACGAGGTATGATCTAATCTAGGTACTCTTTAAGGCGCTTCCCAAGTTCTGACGATATAAATAGACTAAACCCCACCCACAATGACGACCCTCGAAGACAGACTGAAGGAGCTCCTCGAGATCGAAGCCAAGATCGAGCTGATAACGGCGTACAAGGAGAAGGAGAAGGCGGTCGAAGAGAAGAAGGAGACGATCACCAAGCTGAAGGACGAGCTGAAGACGCAAAATGCTCTCGTCGCGACGGTCGACTCAGATCTCCTAGAGTTGATGTCGGCAAGCGCTTCGCGATCGAAGAAGAGAAGAGAGAAGGGTGAAACCACAGACATCAGCGAATCGGTCACGAAGGCTTGGGAAAGGATTGAGGAGATCAACAAAGAGATTCCGGAGGCGGAAGAGGAGCTTGAATTGTGGCAAGCAGAGCTTGAGAAACTGCAAGGGGACCTCGATAATGTGTCTCTGGATTCACTTGAGCAGCTCCAGGAGGACAAGCAGCGTCTAGAGAGGCATTAAGTACCTCCTGAATCATCGATGGGCGGCTCGCCGGGTTTCCGGCTAGGTTCCTCGCCACCGCTGGCCGGGAGCATGCCCGTTCTCACCAGATGATCAGCGTATCGTTTTGAGGCCCTTAGTCGTTTTTGGACGTCAATAGAGAATTTCCCATCTTTACCATCGCACTCGTAGAACCCTTTGACTTCCTCCTCATAAGGAGTTTTGTAAAACTTGGGGAAGACGCCGCGATAGTATGCGTTGACGAAGCAACTGTGATGTTCGAAAATGACGGCTAAAGGCAAGTCGATCCGGTGCGGGAGCTTCCGGTCCCATTCGGAAGCAAGCTGGCGGCAAGGCTCAGACGTGCTCGCTAGAAGGACGTCGCGAAACCAGCGGTATTCGACTTGGAATTCCACCCCTGATGCCTTGTACGGGGGGACTCCGGCAATCCATGTGGGCGGGAGGAAGAACTGGCGAGGCACCGTGCTCGCCCATTCCCAGTCGATGATGCCTTGAATCTGCAGGTCCTCGTCAACTATGATATTAGTCGGGCGAAGGTCGCTGTGGGTCAGCACGAAGGGAGGCCGATCCTCGACAACGCTAGCCAGTCTGTTCTTCAAGTCCTCCAGCGCAAATACCTCGAGCTCTGCCACCTCTCGACATAGCTTTTCTGCCGGGAGCTTATGAGTCTCATCTAGGAGATGGTATTGGTAGAAGGCGTAGTCGATGGCGGAAGCGAACTTGGCCGGCTGGATGGTTAACCCAGGGTTTTCGCGTTGCAGCTCGTTTAGTTGTATGGAGAGCAACGGGCCGACATGTGGGTTCGTTCCCCCGTCTGGGTCTGGCATCAAGGAGCCCGCGTAGGGGAATTCTTGCTGGCGTAGTTGGGCGAAGATTTCGACAAGTTGCGAGTAGAAGTATTCTCTCCGTGGCAGACCGCCTAACCTGAAAGCGACGACATCCAGCGGCTGGCCGGTGATATAACTCTGGATAATGTAGCCATGTCCAGTGGGGTTATTCTCGTCGACGGCCCCACCGCGGCCGAAGGCGTGGATATGGGGTACGGGTATCGTGGTCTTGGCTTCGAGGTAGCTACCGCTTGATTAGAGCCAGTTGGAGAAGGCGAGGTCAAGTATGAAGCGGAACTCACCGGATCGTAGCAACTTCGCTCTGAATTTTGTCCCAGACATTGGAGATGCACGGCGCCAATGGGATCCTTACAACCCACTTGGTTCCGTCCTCAAACTCGACAAAGTAACAGACGTTGTAGCTCCCATGCGCATGCTCTCGAAATACCCGGCAGGCTTTGGACGAATTGTGGTGCGAAGCTAACTTGCAGACATCATTTATGTCGATTGAGGCAATGAAGGCCTGAAGCCCTTCTTCACATTGCTCGTCGGTTGGCGGGAAAATTTCCATGGGTTAATGGAAGAGGGCAGGCAGCCTCTCGGGGTCAAGGGAAGCCACGATGGAGGGAGAGATAAGGGAGACAAGGGGGGTTGCACTGTTGCGTCGAGTTGATGGCCACCTATTCTCCAACCCTAACCCGCACTCCGATTGCTCAAAGCGCAACCAACTGCCCGGTTAGAATACAGTGCGACATGCGGCGGTGTCACCAAAGTCGAGGGGCGTCACGGGTGGTTGGGACAGAGGCGAGATTTTTACATCTCAATTTCCCTATATATCGTATCCTCCCTTCCTCCGCTCCATTACGTATGTACACAAGCAAGCGCCTTCTGCCCCAGGCGAAAGGGTATATCCGTTCAACAACCACCGATGCCAGACGGATCCCTTCGGACCCCACAGCCAGCTTGACGCTGAAGCCGCCATCGTGGCCGTTCGTTGTCTCGAAAACCTCCCCTTCTCCCAGAGCACCGTGCCGACCGCCCCAAATGGAAGGTATACCATAAAAGAGATGCCAACCTCCGGCCGTCGATTACCCGTGCCGTCTTTTTTCTTTTTCGAAATCCAATCTCATGCTGTTCAATCCATCTCCCGTCTGCGTGCGCCACCAAACGGCTGACCATCTCTGGTCGTCCATATCGTCCATACGTGTGAGGTGGATATCCCCCGGGAGCGCACAGATACACCGCCAACGCCGGGCAAGTGAAAGGAGAAGAGGATAGAAGCGTATCGAAAAACCCGTGCCGTGATCCGGTTCCTAAACATAAGAAAAATGGTCATGTGAAGCAGTCCTGTCCGGTCCGGATGTGGAATAATCCCCGAGGCCTTTTGTACACACTCATGCCTCGCCGTCCAAGAGAAACAAAGGCAAATAAAACTCCGAGATGCCATCCCAAAAAAAAACGCAGCCGAGGCTATGCAGGTCGTGTCGTGGAACGTAACCATAAGAAACCCCAAGACATCATGCTCTCGTAGACTCATCAGCGTATCGAAGGAGATGGTGGAGGCGATAATGATTACGCAAATGGCGTGGTTGTAAAGCGAGCGAAACCTCCCCCTCACACCGCCTCAACGAGTGTTAAAAGTTAACATCCTTTAGTAAGGCTGCGGATAGTATGGAGCCGGTGGCGGCGGCGGCGGTGGCGGCGGTCCCCGGTAAGACTGTCTCCGCTCTCGCGGCGCCGGTGTCCTCCTCTCGCGCAGGGGCTCGAGCGGTGGTGGTGTCCGTCCCCGAGCAGCCATGGGTAGGTCTCTTTCATGGGCGGTGAGGCTGGGTCCGCTGGCCACGGTGGTGGCGGCGGCACCAACACGCCGCGCCCCCTTGCGAGGCCCGCCGTTGAGGGCACTGAGAGGCGGGTCCTTGACGGCTTGCTCGTTGTCGTCGGGCAGGGTCAGTTCAACAAGGCTGTAAAAGTACTCGAGCACTTCCGGGTAGCGTTGTACCGAGGCTTGCCAATCTTCGTCGATGCCTCGCTTCAGCTGCGCTTGGGCGGCGGCAAGCTCGTTAGGGTGCGGCTGGGAATGGTAATAATGGTATGCGTGGGCGGAGAGGCGTTCAAGATGCTGGGCGTGGGCCGCCTTGCGTCGCTCTGTGAGAAGTCGGAAGTACTCAAGGATATAGTCCTGCGCATGAGCTCGGACCCACGATCTGAGAGCAAAGTCAGCGTCTGCGTCCATCTTCAAAAAAAAGGAGGCCGAGGTAAGAGGAGATAACCCACCGGATGTCATTGTATATCGACTGCATCATGCGGCTCTCGGCCTGCCTGACGGCGACCTCGAGGCCCTTGGCCTCGCACTCGCAGGCGAGCGCGGCCGGAGCGTGGCAGATGGCGCAGTCCGGGTCCATCCTGACCTGCCCTTTCCGGGATTTGGAGTTATAGTCTCTGGGATACATCGTCTTAGCGCTTTGTGTTTGTTTGAAACGTGCGGAAGGTATCGGGTTATGTGGAGAGGGGAAGGGAAGAAACAACACCAAGTCTTAACCTAGTGATACAGAAAAGAGGCTGACATGCGTAGAGTGGCCATGGTCTAGGTCTAGGTCATGGCCGGTAGATTCCAGGGTCCAGCCCAGAATAAGAGGAGAACGGCGAGGCAGCGGGAGAGGAGGGGCGGGAGGAGAAGCAAGATGATGTGGGAGGACGGAGAGCCAGATGATAGGGAACACGCAACCCGGCGCACTGGGTAGCAAGAGGACGGGAAGAGGGCGTGGATGGGCTGATGAACTGACCTGGGCTAAAGAGCACGCAAGAAGGGACGGCAGTCGAGCGGCGGCAACAAGAGTAGGTAGGGCGTCGACACAGGTAAAGGGGGAGGGGGACAAGGCCGAGTTGCTGCAGTTCGTGCGTCGTGTGCTGGACGGCCGTGGACGAAGAAAGCCAGAAGCCGCAGCAGGACGAGACACCACGTTTCCCGGGACAGCAGGAGAGGGAGAAAGGAAACAGAGTAGTTGCAGGAGACGGTGTCGAGTCAGGAGCGATCTGGGGACAGCGAGAGGCTCTCTTTGGCGGAGAGAGGCCGAGGGGTGCAGGAGGACCAGCAGGACCAGCAGGACCAGCAGGACGAAGGCAGGACGAAGCAGGAGGTCGCAGGGCGTCGCAGGAGGAGGTGTCGATGGAGTTGGGCGGTGGTCCAACAAAGGCCGGGGGCACTCGCACAAACCAAGGCGGGCTTAACCACGTTTAGACTGGGGACGGTGTCGTGGCTCGAATGCGGGCCTTTGGCAGCATTGGTCTGCAGCGTGCAGCGGCCCAATGTTGGCTCAGCCAGTCCCAAGACGCGCTGATTTCGGCGGGGCCCAATTAACCCTCGACTGGGTCTCGAGTTGTTGTTCGCAACCGTGTCGTCCGGGGGTGGGGAAGGGATGGACGGGGGGGGACGTCTGATTGCAGTTGCAGAGTGCAGAGTGCAGGTGGACGGGGATGATTCGTTCTCCTTTGCGTTTGGGAGTGAGAGGGAGAGAGAGAGAAGCAGCGATTGTCGCGGCGGCGGGGTGACAGCGGATGAGCAGCAGAGAAGAAGAAAGCAGCACCACCTTGAATGCGGATCCCCGGCCAGAAGAGGAGGTCGGGTGGTGGAGACGGCTGAGGTGAAGAGGGGATCACGAGAGGACGAGGCGGGGGTAGGGAGGTATTGAGATAGTGAGGGAGGATCAGAAAGGGAGAGAAAGAGGGACGAGATGGATGCCTTTTACTTTAAAGTCAAAGTAATCTGAAAGCGGATGACAATACGGAACCAATTGGCAGCAGAACCTAATACCGGTCGGTCTCTTCGGCGGCTTCCTCGTTTGTCGCCCAGCTGGTGTGTGGGTTTTGATGGGTTTGGTGGGTTTGGTGGGTTGGGCACCCGGGGGCGGCTCACCACTTTTCGGCTGCTGACCGCATGTTTGGGCAAGTTTGGCCACGGAGAGGGCCAGCCCCCGAGCGGCAGCAAGACGGAGAAGCACGAATTGCGGGCCAGCCAGCGTGACGCGGGAAAGCACCTGCATGAACAGCGCAACCTGAATCCTTGCCTCCTACGTTGCCGGGAGGCAGAGGCGGGTAGATGATGGGGGTTTTGCGGGGGAGCGATCGCATATGCGCAGAATCAGATAAGTGAAGGGCAGCCGTTGGGTTGAATTCGGTGCAAGTGAGATGAACTTCACCATGGCGAAAAAAAGATGGGACGGATCGGTCGACCGATCGCGGGGCTCCTTCCCTCCCGAAGCTTCTTCGGCTTCGAGCGGGCCGGAAGACCAGACTGTGTTGGTGCCTCACTCCCATGGGGTGGGGCTAACTGGGTAAGCACGTAAGGTCTGCGAGCGAGCACTAACTCTTCCTAGCCTTATCGTTTATCAAACGAGCACCCCCTGTTCAAATTTACGCAGCACGCCGCACGCCGCACGCCGCCGGCTCAACGCCATCTTTTGAAACCCTCTGCGATTCTTGAGCGAGGGGAGACGCGCCGCTACCACTAACGGTGCACATACCGCCCAGCATGGCCTGTCGCTGTCCGCGTAGCCCGCGGCTGTTCCTACCCTTCCTCTACCCGTCGTTATTTCCTCCCAATGGCATCTCCCGGTCGAGCCTTGCCGCAGCCATCCGTGGCACGAGACGGAGCAGCTCCGAGGCCTCGGGGCCGACCGACCCGACCGCAACCGCGACCCGGCTAAACCCTACCCCGGACGACTACTCCATGTCCAATTTTGCCGACAAGGCGAAACTGAACCTCTACGCCGGCCCTGGCGGCCACGGCTGCATCTCCTTCCTGCGCGAAGCATACATGGACGATGGGCCGGCCAACGGCGGCGATGGCGGGCACGGCGGCAACATCTACATCCAGGCTGTCCACGGCGAGACCTCTTTACACAAGCTATCCCGGAGGAAGATCGTGCGCGCGGGCAAGGGGAAGAGCGGCATGGGTGGCGCCAGGGGGGGACGACGAGGAGACGACGTGGTCATCGCGGTTCCCGTTGGGACAGTGGTGAGGGAGTTGAGTCGGGACGACCCAGAGGCCGAAAACCGCTTCCTGGCCCAGCGAGACAAGAAAAGAGTCGGAAGGGATGTGCTCCCGGTGGAGGAAGGGCCGGATGGAGAGCCAGTGGATGACCCGTCGCGCAGCAAGTGGATGCTCTACCCCGGTATGTCCTCCTCCGACATGAGGCGGGTTCAGCTGCCGCCACTACCGAACCGGGAGCGCCTGCTTCAACAACCCAAAGAGCCAATACAGCTGGACTTGTCTCGACCCACACCGCGCCCGATCCTGCTTGCAGTGGGCGGAATCGGCGGGTTGGGGAACCCTCACTTCGTCACCAAAGGCACGCCGAAGCCCATGTTTGCCACCCGGGGAGAGGGCGCCGTGTCGATGGAGATTGAGCTGGAACTCAAACTCCTAGCAGACGTCGGCCTGGTGGGCTTGCCAAACGCCGGCAAGAGCACGCTCCTCCGTTCCATCAGCAACAGCCGCACCCGCGTGGGCAACTGGGCGTTCACCACCCTCCAGCCCAACATCGGCACCGTCGTGCTCGACAACAACAAGGGCCGCCCGATGCTCACGAGCTTCCGCAAGGTCTCGGACAACACCTCCCCCCTCCGCGACGACCCCTTCCACCTCTCAGCCGAGCCCCAGCCGGAAGTCGAGCGGCGCACCCGCTTCACCATCGCCGACATCCCGGGCCTGATCGAGGGGGCGCACCTCGACAAGGGCCTGGGCATCGCCTTCCTCCGGCACGTCGAGCGGGCGGGCGTGCTGGCCTTCGTGCTCGACCTCGGCGCGGGCGACGCCGTGGCGGCGCTCAAGGCGCTCTGGAACGAGGTCGGCCTGTACGCCCAGATGCGCGAGGAGGAGGAGCGCGAGCGCAAGCGCCTCGCCGCCGTCGACTGGAGCGCTGCGGCTGGCACCGACGCTGAGGATAGTACCTTCTGGCCGAGCACCATGGCGGACGATTATAATATCCCCGCTGTGAACGCGGGCGGGCTGCATATCGCTGGGAAGCCGTGGTTTGTGGTGGCGACCAAGGGGGATCTGCCAGACACGCAGGAGAATTTCAGGAAGCTGAGGGAGTACCTGGCGGCCATCGGCCGCGGGGAGGAGCCGCATCCGAGTGGGGTCGAGGGCGCGTGGACGCGCGACTGCGCGGCTATTCCGGTCAGCGCGATCAAGGGGCAGGGGGTGGACCGCGTGGTGCACTGGGCGGTTGGCTTGCTGGATGGCTGAGCCGTGTTTGGGAGTTGTACCCGCGCGCCCCCAGGGTCACCGCCGGGTGATACACCCACTTGACAGGGTTGGTTTGGTACCATGCCTGGAATGAAGTGACTCTCATGCCACGTGGGAGAGATGAGAAAGATGAGGGGTGGCAGTCCAGCATTTTCGTGTATAATATACATGTAATCAAAGGATTTTGTCCAGCTCTGACTTCCACGGCGGGGTCCATTTTACGAGTCTCCGTTCACGCCCCTTAGTTCTCTCCCCAGTAAAACCAGGGCCGAGTCTCGGCCAATACTGTCTCGGCTGTGGGATGATTCGGGGGAGGCAAACATTGGCAGAGGTAAAGTCTAGACTGTATCAGGGTCGGTCAATTGCTCGTTGTACTTAGGTTGATTCCCTTCCACATCTTCAACTTCCACTCGCCCAACCTTCACCCTCCGAAATTTCTTTCAAACATGCAGCTTTCCTCTACTTCTCGACATGGATGACAGTATAGAGCTCACTCGGGCTTTTCCCTAAAGGGGACGAGCCGGCATACATCCGTGTGGATGTCTAAGGGGATGCTAGATGGTGATACGTTGGAGAAGGAGAAGTTGTCTATTAAAATCTATCTATAATTGAGCGAGCACACATGTTTATTTGGTGCTAGCCCGTTGGAGGGCACCGAGGGAGAGTGGCCCGGTTACAATACCAGCCAAGATATCCGGCCTCCGCTGTCGGGGTCCCCCTGACGCCCGAAGCCGTGATTCTCTTAGTGGGAATCAACTGGAATGTCCTCGACGTAGCTCTCCAGTCTTCTGAGTGCCTCCTGTCGCAAGTCATTGGCCTCTTGCTCGGATCCCTTCTTGAGAAGTAGGGCCTCCAATAAGGTCAAGTCATGTATCACGATCGGATTACGAGCATCCTGTCCGTACTCCCGCAGGGCAACCACTCCACGCAATCGCTCGATGGCGATGTCGATGTCCCCTCCCATCTCTACGTCGACCTCCACAAGAACTTTTGTTGAGAATGCTAAGACTTTGGCAAAAAGGCGCAAAGCATGACTGCTTGCCCTCACCTTGGTCTTGCCGATTGTCATGCCGTCTATTCCCTCGGCAATCCTGCTCTTAACGAGCCCCTGGATAATGCGAACCTTCATATTTGGGTTGAGCCCGTCTGCCATGTATCTGGCACGGAGAGCAGCAGCGGTGCTATCGCGGATGCGGTCGTACTCGGGCGGTTCATTGTATGTGTCACTCTCTGCCTGACCAGCAGGCTCAACGGAGGAATCCATGCAAGGGTTGGCGTCTTGCAAAGCTGCGGCTACAACGGGTACCTTGTCGGCAAGAAGAGGAAACCACTGATCGACGGCGCGTAGCTTTCCCTCTGGCAACGCACACGGTGTCGGGTCCCACATCAGACGATAGTAGAGAAGCAGGAGCCGCGCGTCGAAGTTATCGAGAACGATGCCGGCGTTGAGGAGCCATCCGCGTTGTACAATCTCTCGCAATGCGACCAGAGACGCCGCTCCCGTCTCGGCGCTCCAATGCCGCGCGAGTTGCATCAAAGAGCCTAGAATCAAAGCCGCCGGATGATTCTTGCATGCATGGTGCGTGCTTGCAAGGCCAACAAGGTGGACCAGCAGCATGTGGAAAAGCTTGCCTTGCCCCATGACAAGGATGGCGTGCATGATATCCAGCAGATTCCAGATGAAGGAAGGGCCTTCGATGAGCATCATATCCTCAACCTGTACGAAGGCCTTCCGGGCCAATCGACCAGCGAGAACGCCTTGGCCATCCCGCAGAAGCCTGGCCACGAGCCGGAGGGCGTAACTGGCTCTCTCGGGTTCGTACTGAATGGCAGGCCTTCCGCTATTAGGTGGGGGATAGATTGGCCCCTGTCTCCAGACGCCGTCGGACGCGAGACACTGCTTGAAGTCGGCTGACTGGAAGAATGTCGACGTCCACAGGTTGATGCCGGCGAGAAGGGTCATTGTGCAGGCGTCGACGGTGGTAATAGCCGGTGTCCCGGGCGGGCTGGTGAGCTCCGTTGCAGGTTTGCCCGGCCGCGAGTGATTGGCGTTCTTACGGAATCCCCATTTCGCGAAGCGTTTCTTGTACATCTGGGGGCTGTCGCCTTCTCGGTCAGAGTCGAGGAAGTCCAGATGGCCAACATGGACCCATGGGCATGATGCCGCTGCGCCTACGGTGACCTACCTGGCTTTGAATTGGTATTTCTCCTCCATGACGGCCCGGACGTGACGGAGCTTCCGCCCCTCACGCAGGTACAACCTCTCAATGTGAGGGTAGACGGCGGCCCATTCGACCTCGGTATGCTGCTTTGAAACACATGATGGGCCAGCCTCTGCGGCGGCCGAGGCGAAAGCCGGTCGGAGTTGGCGAGCTGTCCGCCGCGGTGATGGGATCATGTCTGTGTCGTAGCGCGGGATCGTTGTGAAGGAATTGCAGGGAACTTTTCCCGTCCTTCAGAATGGTTGTGGTGGAGAGAGAAATCAAGTGATAGTCCAACGGGGTATTTTCCGTCCGTTTCAATGAAGGAATCGCCAACCGTTTACGGTTCTGTTGACTTCAGCCCAGCTCGGCTTCACGCCCGACCAATCAGACGTGTTCAAAAAGTCTCCCGCAGCTCTCTTACACGGCATTCCGTTGGATCGGGACCCCTGCGCTTTCGGCATCATCCACAACCAGCCGGGTTCCCCATGTGAACAGTAGCGGCCGGGGAGTATGATGGCCGAAACCCGAGGCAATATTCCTTCATGATGCTTCATCTACCAATGGCATCGGTCTGACAGGTTCCCGCGAAGTTGACCGGCATCTCTTGCGTCTAGGACCGTCGGACGACTTCGCCACGTCCAACCTCAACAGCTGGTGAAAACAAATATATATATATGTAGATATATAGGCCGTTCCAGAGTGTGTCCGTCGATAAATCCAAAAGACACCACACTTCACCACTGCGGTTTTTGATCCTCACTCTCTCACTTATCTTCCCCTTATACGTCTGCTCAGGTGGGAAGTGTCTCCGTCCACCGTCCGTCAACCGGAATAAATGTCTGCTCAACTCCAGGACACGGCTGCCTGGGAAGCGAGTTGGCCGGGCATCTTAACCAAACAAATCCTCCACCGCGTCCCCCGTATCCCATCGCGTACTACCCTCCAAGGCAAGACAGCCCTTGTCACGGGTGGCAGCTCTGGCCTCGGCTTCGAGTGCGGCCGCCAGCTCCTCCAATGCAGGCTGAGCCACCTCGTCATCACGACCCGATCGCAGACGCGAGGCGATGCCGCAGCGGCCAAACTGCGCAGCGAGTTTCCCGGTGCCAAGGTCGATGTCTGGCTACTGGACATGGCGTCCGAGTCGTATAACTCGGTGCTGGAATTCGTTTCGCGCTGTCGCAGTGAGCTGGACCTCCCCAACTTTCATATTGCTATCCTCAATGCCGGGCTAGGCAAACAGGCCTTTGAGCGATGCGATGGTGAGGGTGGCCGCGAGGTCACTCTACAGGTCAACTACCTCGCAACCGTTCTCCTCGCCATCCACCTCATCCCTTTGCTCAAGGTCCCGCCCCAATCTCCAGCCTCTGCAGCCTCTCCTACCACAGACCCGGCCCGACTGACTATGGTCACCTCTGGGACCATTTTCTGGGCCAATACGGATGAGAGACTCGACGAGGGCATCTTCGACGCTATGGATTCTGCCCAAGACTTCGATGGAATGGAACAATACAAGAAGACGAAGTTGATGCTCACCATGTTCGTCTCCAAACTGGCCGAGATTGTCAGCGAGGAGGACGTCATTGTCAACGTTGTCAACCCCAGCGCCGTTCGAGGAACGGCCCTCATGCGGGAGGCCAGCGCCTTCAAGCGCATGGCCATCTACCTTTACTGCATGGCCGTGGGGCGCAACGTCGTCGACGGGGCAAGACAGTATCTCCACGCGTCGCTCGTCTTCGGACCGGAGAGTCATGGCTCCTTTGGAGATTGGCAGATCAGACCGTAAGTCAAAACCTGCCAGATCGAGTACTATGACGCTAACCATGAGTCCTTCCGGCACAGATACCCCCCTTACATGTACACAGAAGCCGGAAAGAAGTTTACCAACAGGTTGTGGAACGAAACACGACGGGAGCTTCGAGACAAGGGTGTTGAGGCAATCTTGATGTCGATCGATCAGACGTCTTGAGGAATGATTCATCAGGTTATCGCTTCATGGATCGGCCGAGGAGTGTGCCGAGAGGAATTGGGCTTGCTCGTTCATGTACAAAGAGGCGGTAAAACACAACATGTGGCGCCTTGATGGCAGCGAGTGCAACTGGGGGACGTTTCTTGAGGCCGCCAACCTGGACGGGGTCCAGATTCCCCTACAATATCTCACTTGAATTTTCAACGTCACGCTCTGCCCAAGAAGCCGTCCGGCTGGGGCCTTGGCTGGGTCATGCCACGGTCGATGTGCGAGATCCAGTTAGTCGGACCGAGTCACAATGCCAAAGTCGGAAACACTTGAAAGTGTGACCTGTACGTCGTGTTTTATTTTAGCTGGCTCAGAGCCCGGTTGACGAGACTAGCGAAGGCTGGGTCGGGGTTTTCGGTGCCGAGGGCAAGCTGGCAGACATCGTTTTGGATGACAAAGGGGATGGATATTGGAAAAAGCGGCTTCATGTTCCAACACCTGCAGGGGTCGGGTTCGTATAGGTTCATATCAAACGAGGGCAACTCCATCGACGGCGTGACAGACAACCAACCTTTTTACTAAACGTGAAATAAAAATACAAGGAGACACATTTTTACAGTAACATTCCAGGGAGACAATTATTTCCATTTCCACCACTTAATTCTACCATAGCTTGTTGCATCGGCTTTAACCTTCAAACCTTTTCACACATTTTCCCACACAAGGTCGGAGAGAAAGTGGGATATGCACAAAGTGTTCACTGTTTCAATTTCAGCTGGCTCAGAACCCGGTTAGCGGGATCAGCAAAGGACAACAGCCGCTGTTGGATGTGCTGGCGCGCCGATCATGTGCTTCTAGGGCAGATGATAAGTTGATATCTCGGCGTGCTAGGCATGGTATGGTATAGCTTGATTTGCATTGTCTCAGCGGTCGGATCATCTCAGCGCTGACCCTGGACAGAGTGTTGATGTAAATTCTACATAAGCTGGCCACATAGCCGCCCGTTGCTCGTTTTCAGTCCTCTTCTGCATCCTCAACAACTCACACCGGTCCAACCAGAACATCAAAACCCGCCTCACCCCCTCTCCACCCACTCAGTCTCTCGCGGCCATGCATCTTTCATCTGCTCTCCTGTCGGCCACGGCGCTTCTTGCGCATGCAGTGTCTGGGTTTTACCTAGTGGCTGCGGTTTAGGAGCCCCCCGTGCTCGGTTTTGCCAGCGTCCGGAACAACACCGCCGGATTTTACTTGCCTGCTGGCCCTCAGCCTGTGGACATCATCATTGGTCCCGGAAGGGATATCATAAGCGAGTTCATGTTACAATACGCCGGCACTGGTTATGAGTGGATTATGAGGTCAACAAAGGACACCTTCATCGGCGTACGCCTGCCCCCTCCCCCCTCCGGCCTTCCCCTTCTTATGATATAGCACTGCATCTGACGTTATGCTAATGTATTTGGGGGCTAGCCTGGCGATATTAAGGCGCCGTTTAGGCTGGGTGATAGCGGGTTCGTCTACGAAGGGGGGGGAGCCGGGCAGTGGTACCTTTGTGGTCCTCCTGGCTCCCAGGACATTGTTCTGACCATCCTCCACCGGCCCCCTAGCCCTAGCCGCGGGTTGTGCGTCCCGACCTCGCTCTTCCCTTCCGGGAGGCGGTAATTGGGGTGTAGTCTGAGATAATCTGTCAACATTGCGCTCTTGTGATGGATGGATGGTTTTGGGGAAACAATAGGGACATCGATCATCATGTATAGTTGGGTAGCTCGGCACAGCACCTGTATGTACACATTGTGAACTCCTGCGCTTGGAACCCTAGTTGTGTGGTAGTGTGGTGAACATGTCCATTGTAGCATTGTGGGGGATGGCTGTAATTGAGTGAGAGGAAAAGAATGGAGACTTGCCGAGGACGAAGTCGGTTCGTTGATAAGGTTTCTGCGGCGGCACTCGGCGGTTGTCCAGACAGATTACGAGCAGGCGTGTAAGAGGTATTGGCCGTAATTTCAGTGCCAGTGCTCGCAGCCACGGACGAGCTTGGGCCAACCTTCCAAGATCCCTGCAACGTCAGCCCACTTGCGCGCAACGCCAGCTTGAATTGAGGCAACCGTGGACGCTTTTAACAACCTCGCGCGCAAAACGACGACGACTGAATTAACCCGCAACTCCACCAACCTCCGACCCTTGTTTTCACAGCGCGACAATTTTACAACGCCCAGCCTCCCAGGTCCGACCCAACCACACGCCACCATGGCCGCACCAAGTCGCCGCGACTACCAAAACGTCCCCGCCGTCGACCTCGACGACGACGACGACGACGACCTGATCGACCCCGATGACGGTACCCCCCCCCCCCCCCCTTCTGCTCTATCCCACTCAATCATGCTCCTAACTGACCAACCAACCCCCGCTCCATCACAGCCGACCTCAACACCTTCGACGACCCCCTCAACCAACGCACCACCGGCGGCACCAGCCACACCACCACCAACACCACCACCGCCCCCCCGCTCACAGGCAGCATCGGCTCCACCACCTCGCGCCAACAAGCCAGCAGCTGGACCTCGCGCATCCCCGGCGAGGACCGCACGAGCGCCTCCTCGGCGACCGCCTCCACCATCGACGAGTCCGTGTGGGCGACGCTGCGCCGCGACCTGCTCGCCGTCTGGCGCAAGCTGCTCGAGGTGCTGTACCCGCGGCACCTGTTTGCGGCGTGGGGCGGGCCGGACTCGCTGCGCGGGGCGTACGCGTCGCTGCGCAGTGGGGGGTTTGCCGGGGCTAGGGAGGAGTTGGCGGGGCTTGCGGGCAGGGTGATGGATGCGGAGAGTTTGTTGGGGACGGGGAGTGGTGGGAATGTAGGGAATGCGGGGGGGGAGTTGGTGGGGGCTGGTGGTGGGTTGAGGGATTGGGATCTGTGGGGGCCGTTGGTGTTTTGCTTGCTGTTGAGCACGCTGCTGTGTCTGCAGAGTCGCGAGCAGCAGCGGGAGGTGGTGTTTAGTGGTGTGTTTGCTATGGTGTGGGTGGGCATGGCGGTTGTGACGGTGCAGATCAAGTTGTTGGGGGGGAATATGTGGGTTTTTTTTTCCCTCTTCCTTTTCGAGTTGGGTACTGACTTTCGGCAGCTCCTTCGCGCAGAGCATCTGCGTCATCGGCTACACGCTGTTCCCGCTCGTCATCGCGGCGCTGCTGTCGGCGCTGAAGCTGCACTGGATTGCGCGCATCCCGGTCTATCTCGTCCTGGTGGCCTGGTCGATGGCCGCGGGCGTCAGCATCCTCGGCGGGAGCGGCGTGGTCAAGAACAGGGTCGGGCTGGCCGTCTATCCGCTCTTCGTCTTCTACCTTGGCTTGGGGTGCCTCTGCTTTATCAGCTAAGGCTGCGTGGTTGGAGTTGAGTCTTCTCGGCGTGGGATGGAGGGTCAGGTTTCGTGCTGGCGTGTACTTGTAGAATATCCATCACGGCTGTAAAAGTTACCCGGGTGCCGGAGGTGTTGAACTTTTGCGGGACAGAATACGCAGTCATCTTTGGCGTCGAACTATTATCATCGCATCGAGTTGAGTGGTACCCAAGACAGCTCCAAGCTCAAATTGGATTGTATTATGGTCTCAACGGGGAAGGGCCTAATGCCCCGAACCACCGAGGCAGAAGCCTAACCTTTTACTCTCGTGTACTTGCCCCCAAATCCCGCCGTAAATGTATCAATATGCCGCTTCTAAAAACACGCCCATGGAACAACAGAAAACCAACCCCCCCTCCCAAAACTCAGTGATGCTCACCACCCCCCTCGGCCGCCGCGATGGTGTGCGGGTTCGGGTAGTACAGCGCGGCTACAGCAATAGCAATGTACACGAGCACGCACAGGGAGCCCTCGAGGTAGTTGCTCTTCTGGTCGCGCAGGAAGTTGCCGACGGTGAGGATGGCCAGCAGCAGGACGACGACGTCAAAGACCTCAAAGTTGAGCCCCATGGGCTTGTCCAGCCCCCAGCCGACGATGACGACCAGCGGGGCGTTGAACAGCGCCGTCTGCAGCGTGGCGCCCAGCACGTGCGACAGCGCAAAGTTCATCTGGTTGTCGTACGCCTCGTCGATGGCCGTCAGGTGCTCCGCCGCCTTCTCGACCAGCGGTATGAGGATCAGGCCGACGAAGGCGTCCGACACGTGGTGCTCCTCGACGAGCGAGTGGATCTGGTCGACCAGCGCGATGGCGATGACGGTGACGAGCGCGATCGACACGGCTAGTGCGATGCAGCACTCGGTGAAGGTCAGCCGGTGGTGCATGCGCTCGAGGTGCTTGTCGGCGTCGCGCTCCTCGTCGGCCACGAAGATGGCGTCGTAGATGCCGTGGTGGGTCCGCGCCTGGAAGAAGATGTAGATGAGGTAGGCGACCATGAGGAGGACGGCGGTGCTGCGCGAGATCTCGATGGTCTTGCTCATGAGCTCCTCCTGCGCGATCTTGCCGCTGAGACTGTGCTCGAAGACGGTGGGGATGGCCAGCCCGAAACCGCTGATACCTTGTTAGTTATTCATTGGACCTATGAGTATGGGATGGGGTGTAAACTCACGCCGTCAGAAGCAACCCGCTGCCGGCCTCGCTCACGGCCTCGCTAAAGTGCGTCTCCTCCCGCTTCAGGCCGCCCGCGACGAAGCATAGTCCGAGACACAACAGCATGGTGGCCAGCACGGAACCCAGGATCGCCGCCTGGATCACTTGGATGTAGTCGATGCCGTCAGATTCCGGCCGTGTGATCAGCACGATGAACATGATGATCTCAACCAAGCTCCCCAACCTGTTTCCAGTCAGCACTCCATACATACAATTTCCTCCGTCTCTAACCCCATCCCCCCAGAACGCAACGGACGAACTCACGTAGTCTCAATAATAACCCCCATCACATGCGGAAACTTGCGACTCAACTCCTGCCCGGCAAACCCAATCAAATTCGCGCACGGCACCATCGCCAGATAGCTCAAGATAAAAATCACCAGATGGTTATCCGGCATGGCGTAGCGCACCGCGATGGCCGCGGGCACGACGGGCCACAAGACATTGACGATGCGCGAGGCCCAGCTGGCGGAGCGGAAGACGTTGCGCAGGAAGAGCAGCGGGTGCAGGCCCGAGCGGCCGGCGTCGCCCGACGGGCGCACCATGAAGACGCGCTGGATGCGCTCCACCGGCGTCAGCTCGCGCGTCAGGCCCACGTCGCCGCTGTGCAGCGGCAGCGGCGGCGAGAGCAGCCCATTCTGCGTCGAGGGTGTGGTTGGTGTGGTTTGCTGGCTCGCCTTCTTCTCGCCTCCTCCCCCCCCTCCTCCTCCTCCTCCTCCTCCTCCCCCTTCCCCCGGGGTTTGGGAGGGGGGTGATGTTGGCGCCGGGACCAGTGTTGATGAACGGGAAGGTTCGAGTGGTGGTTGAGTCTGGGGCGGTGGTGGTGGTGAGGCTGTCGCCATTTCGCAATGGTGATCTTGTGATGAAATGGGCTTGGTGTTTGGTCTGATGTCGTGCGCAAAGAGATGGGACAGTACTTCGGGTTAAAAGGAACTATTGCATGTACAGTTACGAAGGAGGTCGTGTTACTTGAAACTCGACTCGTCGTGCCGAGGACGGGAATCCCACTCCTAAGTAACCCGAGCCCGCCAGGGTGGTCTGGGGTAACTCCAGCTCAGGAACCAACCGTCAAGGGGGTCTCGGCAGGCAGTTCCGTGGAGAAAATGGACCATGGCGCGCATGGCGTCCATGGCGTTCCTTATTCGCGCCTCCTCGAGCCACCTGGCGTGCGTTGCTTGGCTCCTGTTTCAGGAGTTTTTTATGGACCACGACGGGTGAGAGACGGCGCGACGCCACCCCCATCGACAGACAACAGTATTACATACAAACCGCGCCGCTGTTGGTCGAATGCGCCTCTGCTGTACTGAAGATCGAGTTGTTGGCCCCAGCTCTCGATCAGCCGCTGACGTGCAGCAAGGTCAGACTTCCAACAGTCTCAACACCAGGGGACAAACCAGCCGGCCAGTCCGTTGTCGTGGCAATTTTTTTAAGCTTTTAATTTGGGGGTCATGGTCCCCGGTTCCCTGTCTAGCTGCTGCTCGGAGCTGAGACCAGGGGTTTAGTGCAGATCAACCCAGATTATGCACTGCGTTCGCCAATGGCGTGGGCTCGGCAAAGCTTAGCTCTGATGGCCTTTTTCCGGCCTTCTCGTGAAGATGGAGAAAACATACGATGTTGACAAAATTATGTTGGTCATTTCCGGTTCACCAAACGGGCCCAGGACCGCGCCGTTCCGAGGCTAGCGGGGACTCACGGCACTCGGCGGCGAGTACTCCACCGGCCAAGGTCAGCTTCGGGCTCGGCAGGGCTCGGCGGAAGCCTAAATAAAAGAATAATCAACAGCCGGCCCCACCTGGTTGGTCTTCTTCATCACCGGCCGTCGGCATCTTCGCCGGCGCCGGCGTCGTCAACCTCCAACCCCCGCCCGTCCCTCGGCAGCACCGCCTCCGCCAGCACCACGGTCTCGAGCCCAGCCGGCGCGCCCTCCTCGGGGCCCATGGGCAGGGCATCCACATCGATCTCCTCGTCCAGCAGGGCCTTGAGCACGACCTCGCAGCCGGCCTTGCTCATGACCTCGTTCATCTCGCCGCACGCGGGGGACGCGCAGCACTCGGGGCAGCCGGCGTCGCAGGCGCAGGGGCAAGCCTCCACGCGGGCGCGCGCCTGCCGCAGCAGCAGGTCGACGAACTCGAAGGCCTTGGTGTTGATCCCCGACCCGCCGGCGCCGCCCTTGGCGTCGTAGAGGGTCAGGCGGGCGGGCCGCTTGCGCTGCGTCTCGGGCTTGCGGGCGAACTCCTTGCGGCCGCTCTTGCACTCGGTGCGCACGTCGCCCGGGGTGCTGACGACGAAGTTGGGGATGAGGCTCGCGAGCGCGTGCTGGGCCGCGTGGATGGCCGCCGCCGCGTTGAGCCGCCGCGCCGCGAGTATGTCGAGCGCCCGCTTGGGCACGTCCAGCCACATGCCCTTGCTGTGCCGGACCACCGGCGGGTTGTCGACGTCGACTGCGTCTAGGATGCGGTTGTTGCGCCGCGCGTCTACTTTGAAGTATCCGAAGACTACCTGCCGGATCCGGATCGTCCCGTAGTAGGCCCGCGACCGCGACCCCGTGATCCGCTTGACCGCCTCCGTCTCCACCGGGTCGACGTCGGTGTAGTCGCGCTGCGACGTCAGCCAGTCGACTTTGACCCGCTCCACCCGCGCCATGTGCTTGTCCGGGTTGAAGTCGCGGACCAGGTAGGTGTTGCCTTGGTGCAGAAAGATGGCGCCGTCGTAGATGGTGAAGGTCGCGCGCGAGGCTTCGAGCTCCTCGAGGACGACGTTGCGGTTGTTGGTGGTGTCGATGATGGCGAAGTGGTCTTCTTCCGTGTCGCGGATCGACACGAACTTGGAGGGGAGCGGCCGGAAGCGGGGGTGGCAGTGGTAGAAGCCGGTCTCGTCCTGGATCAAGCGCTCCTTGCAGAGCTGAGGGAGGTCGTTCCCAAAGTAGGCGGCGTCTTCGACTGGTCGTATGGGCATCTCGTAGGCTGCGCATTGGATGTGGCCCTCCTTGACGAGCATGTTGTCCAGGTCCACCTGCAGCTCGCAGTTCGGCTTGGTAAAGAGCTCGTCTGGGTTCTGCATGTAGTGCTGGTCTGTGGCAAAGCCGTCGCCGACGAGGATGGAGAGTGAGTCCTTGTTTCTTCGACCGGCTCTCCCGCTCTGCTGTCTAAGGTTGGCGATAGTGTACGGGAACCCCCAGGTAAGCACGCAGTCCAGGGTGCCGATATCAACCCCGAGTTCCAAGGCAGTTGTGGCAACGATGCCGAGGAGCTTCCCTTCGAACATCTCGCTCTCGATTTGCCGGCGGTCCTGGGCCGTGTATCCCCCACGGTAGCCCATGACCCGCCCGACGACCTCGCTCCGTCCGAGGGTTACTAACTCCTGTTTGACGGCACTGACCAGCTTCTCGCACTGCTCTCGAATCCTGCAGAAAGCTATGACCCTGACGCCGCGGAGGATCAACTCGCAGAACAGTCGAGAGCACTCGAGCATGGCGTTTCCGCGCCCGCTCGCTGGGTCGCCGGGGTCTTTGTACGGGGTGTTCCAGCAGAGGAACTCTTTCCGTCCTGCAGGCGTCATGTCAGCTTGTTGTCTAGGTACTTTAGTGCAGTTATGGACTCACCGGACGGAGACCCGTCAAAGTCGACTAGCCGCACATCCTGGATACCAAACATCTTCTTGAAGTGCTCCTCCGGGTTTCCGACCGTTGCCGAGCATGAAATGAACTTGACATGTCTGTTCCCCAGCGCTGCGCATGTCCGACGCAGCCGCCTCATGACAAAGGCGACGTGGGACCCCATCAGACCGTTGTAGTAGTGTAGCTCGTCAACTGCCGCTGTTAGCCTGCCGTTTTGGACTTTACGGCGTGGAAGCCCTACCGACGACATATTTCAAATTCTTTAGAAAAGTTCGCCACTGGTCCTCCTTGGGCAAGATCGTAATATGCAGCATATCCGGGTTTGTGAAGATAATCCTCGCCTCGTCGCGGATGGTATTCCTCTCGCTCATGGGCGTGTCTCCGTCAAAAGTTTCGACCAGTACGTCCTCCATCCCCGGCATGAAGCCTATCATCTCTTTTAAACTCCGCCTCTGGTCCTGAGCTAGCGCTTTTGTCGGAAATATGTACATCGCTCTGGTGTTCTGGTCCTGTTCTAGAGCGTGCAGTACGGGGAGCTGATAGATCAGTGATTTGCCTGAGCTTGTCGACGTCGCGACGACAACGTTGTACCCGTCGTGTAGCGCGTTGATAGCCTCGGCCTGGTGGGCAAAGAACTGTGTGATACCCTTGGTGTTGTACAAGGCGTTAACCAGGTCCTGACTGAGCAGGAAATTCAGCTCCCCGTAGACCGCTTCCTGTGCTTCGAACACCCTGTGCCCATCCGGCACGACCTGGCCGGTGTACCACGGGCTGTCCTTGATCTCCTGGACAATTTCGGGTATGCTCTTCCTCTCGTGGGGTATGCTCGCCGGGAGCGTGCTGGTCAGCTTCCCCGTCTCCTGAGCCTCAACCTCGGCCATCTTGGGAATATACGCCTCTCTCGCATCCTTCAGCACCATCTCCGGATCCAACCCTTCCGCAGTGCACCGCTCAACAAACTCATTAACAGCCTGCACAAACTTGGCATTCCGCCGCTCAATCAAGCGCATCATCTGCGCCTGGCCAAAGACGGGCATCCGCATGCTGTCCTCTCGGCCGCGCCCTTTAGAGCCCTTCGGCTCGGTCTTCAACTCGGCATCCACAAACTCAAACACCAGCACCTGCTCCTCCTGACCCGACGCAGCGCCACCACCGCCGTCCTGAACAAGGTACTCCCTTTCCCGCTCGGCCTCGGCGGCGCCCATGGAGAGGGCCAGCTCGGCTTCACCGACGTACTCGAACCTGATACCACCCCCGTTCCCTGCCCCCTGCTGACCAACACCCCCCCTTCCCCTCCCCCCATCCTCACCACCATCCCCACTCCCACTCCCACCTTCATTGCCACCTCCATAATCACCACCCCCTTCTCCACCACCCCTTCCATTCCCACTCCCAACCACCAAAACCCCCCTCCGCAACGCCACAACACCCGCAACATCCTCGACAGCCAACCCGCAACGCGTGTGTCCCTCGACGGCCGGGCGCAGCGTCTCTAGCGTGGGCGCGACCTGGCGGCGGGCCGAGACGAATGTCGACACCAGGTTCAGGGCGCGGTGGGTCTTTTCGAGGTGGGTAAGGTAGGGCGGCCAGGAGGGGTTTGGGGATGGGGTTGATTTTGGTTTTGGTTTCGGTTTCGGTTTTGGTTTGGGGTTGGTGGATCGTTTTTCGGGCGCTTTTTGGTTTTCGGTCGGGTTGGGTTTGGGTTTGGGGTTGGGTTTGGGTTTGGGTTCCTTGGAGGCTAATGTGTTCGCTGTCGCTGTGTCTGTATCGCTGCCCGCTTCAAGAGGTGGCGGTGGTGTGCTCTGCGGTGGGCATCGACTCGGCTGGGCTTCATCGGTTGTGCGCCCGCGCTTGCGCTTGCCGAGGCTCGCCCCCGTGGTAATTGCATCGTTGGTTAAGGGCATGGTGTTTCCCTGCGTAGGTTGATTGCACGATGGGGGATTCGCATTGGGAGTTGGGGAGGGGATTCTCTTCGATGAATGATGGAAGAAGACGCGATTGGGCGCGTTAAGTGGTTCGCGAAAGGGGCGGGAACGCACGTGGTGCCTGGACCATGAACAAACGGTTTGCCCCACTGTATCAGACATGCTAACTTCGACAAGTGCTTTATTCGACACGATTGCGTTAATAAGGATACAGCTGTTTCCGTCGCCCGCCGCCTGTCTGGTGCTGCCCCGTCTAGTGCCCCAAGATAAAGCGCACTCTGGCATCCCAGTGCTACCTAGGACAGGCGACGGGCCATCCAACCGTTGTAAGTAGTTTATAGGTACAGAAAAAACCGACAAAACCTGACAGACACCTCCCATGAAGAACCCACTATCCGTAGGTTGGTAACGTAGTTCTTTTGGGCCCCTTCTCGCAAAGAACGCCCCCGCCAGGCCAGTCGAAGGTAACGTCCCAATGCCACCAACACCCTCCTTTTACCTAAAATGCATGCTAACCACCTTCCCCCCGATGGCCCCCCTCACCAACAAATTGTAATCAGGTCAGGCTCTCTTGCGTGCCCAAACAAAGGGAAGGGAATAAGGACTGCGGTTATCCTGTCGAGAAAGTACGTCGTAGTCGGCCGCCAGGGCCGTGCCTATACATCGGCAAGCTGTTTCTTCAACATCTCCACCATTTGTGAGAATGCCGTGGCATTGACCTCGCTCAGCTATGCATTGTTAGTAGAGGGTTCTGTATGAAGAACGAAACTTTGTGTGTGTGTGTGTGTTGTGTGTTTTTACGTACCTTCATTTGCACTTGGCGCGCCACGCCCCCTTCAAATGCGGTAAACCCCACCGTCGACGTCTTGAGCCGGTTGGTAACCTGGAACTTCATGGCCGGCAAAAGGACGGTATTCAGAATGACACGTAGGGTGTGGTCCTGCCGCATGAGGAGGCGGACGTGCTTTAGCTGGTCGTCGTCTTCGTCTGCTAGAACAGAGGCGTCGAAGGAGGTCGGGTCGGGCACCCCATTATCGTCCAGGTCGACAGTCGACTTGGGTACGTTGATCTTGAGCATACCCCCGCCACGCTCTTTCCACCCGACATCCTTCTCCATGAGGTACATCTTCGCCCGCACAGAGAAAAGAGTCACCTCCTGGCTCTCGCCGTCGTCAACCACGACTAGAAGAGTTGGTTAGTAAAGGCGGGACATACGAGGGAGGGGCGAGCACGCTTACTCTTCTGCAACTTGGGCTTCTTCTTGTCCTCAACCCCCTTGGATGCCTCCCTGCTCCTCTCCTCCTCTTTACCCTCATCGTCGGACGAGGCATCGCCCTTAGCGTCCTCGTCTCCGTTGCTCTCCTCCTCCGACTTGTCCTCAGCGTCGCTGTCTGGCGCGCCGAATGGCTTTGCCGGCTTGTCGCTCTTAAGAACCTCGCCGGGTTTGCCAAAGTTGATGCGCGGCCCTGACAGGGCACTGCCGCCGAAAGAACTCGCAAAGGGGCTCGACTTGAACATCGACGCACCGCCGGTGCCCTGCCCATTTAACCCGGCGAATGGAGACGAAGCGGCAGCTCCGCCGAAGCTAAGTTTCGGTGGTGCTGAGGGGGCGGCTGGCTTGGAGCCGCCGAGAACACCGCCTAGGGAGGAGGAGCCTGACGATGAGCCGAACAAGCTGGGCTTCCCCGATCCACCAAAGCTACCGAACGGCGAGGTTGACGAGGCCGCCAGTTTTGCAAAGCCGGAGCTGGCAAACGCTGAAGTTGATGTTTGCTTGGGCCGCGTTGTCTCGGATGTGGCGGGCGAGTCTCGTGCTTCTAGTTGCTCCATGCTCGACCTCGGTGATGCGCTGGCAGAGAGAGGCTCCTGGTTTGTGTTACCACCGAGGGCCACCGCGGGGTTGAACGGGTTGCTTACCACTTCTTCCTTTCCGCCCTGCACCGCGGATGCACTTGCTTGGCGGTCCCGTGGTCGCTTCTTCTCGGGCTCGGACCGGTTCGTCCTGTTCTGCACCATTGTTGGACTGGCAGCCTTGTCGGGCGTTCCTCCAAGCGGAGCCTCGGCGACATCCTTGTTCTCGTCGACCTCATCGTGGGCTCGTTTTTTCTTGGGCGAGGAAATCTGCGCTCTCAAAATGTCGTCGTTCGACGCACTTAGGCTGATGGGCGGTGTGATCCGCCGGGACTTGGATTTGGGCGCTTCGTCTTCCGAGGCACTCTTGTCGTCCTGCGAGAGCTGCACGGCCTCGCGCCCCCGCTTCTCGGAAATCGTGGTCTGCTTTAGCTCACGCCGTGCGGCGGTGGTCTCGGCGTCCTCCTTTGCGGCGGCGGCGGGTTCGGCATGATCCGAAATGTCGCTTGTGTTGTGCGGGTCGTCGGCCATGATGTCAACAAGTCGATCGGTTGGTTCGTGGGGGGCAGCCAGACGGCAGACGGCAGACGGCAGGTTTAAACGAGAACGTCGGTCCTCTTGTTTGCCCGTTTCACTTCTCGGAAGCTCGTTTTCGCTGCGTCGGTTCGGGGCTAAGGTCGGGTGGTGCGGGCAAAAGTCGGTTTCTGCGATAACTCGAAGCAAAGAGGCGCTGGCGGGTTTAATTAGCTACCACGAAAATTGCGGAGTTTTGGCACCGTCAAAGCCCGTTGTCGTGCTTGGGTCGGGGATGGGGAACCAAGCCAATGGATCGGCGGAGATGAACGAGACGCTGAGAAAGAGCTGTCAAAGGGATTGGCTCAGGAGGCTCCACCCGCTTGATGACGGACCCAGGTACCGCTGGTAAGGCCTGGAACAAGCTGATAGCGGGGTTTGGGTGCCAATTTGGGTGTTTCATGCCCGTAAGAACCAATCACGGCACAACGCATGTTCGTCCTCTTCGTCTTCTTTCGAGCGACGCTCTGCGATTGGGGGCGAGCTGCGATGAGTTGTGCGTTATCTCTGCCTGTATCCTCCGCCTGTTGGTCCTATTGTTTGCCTCGAAGTTCTCATGCTTTCAGGAACGAGACAAAGAAAACGGGGCTGCCGACTCCCGGTCCTTTCTATAGCCACGCCGCAAGTAGCCATCTCCAGCTCCCGAAGGACGGATACCTAGGTATGTATTTCAGGCTACCAGGGCGACGGGAATCACATGCAGCTCCGCACCTAGGTATGTAACAACGTTGCTCTTGTTGAAATTCCGGTTCAAGACGCGCGATACTCTGTCCGGCCTCGTTGCCTTTCCTCCGCCGCAGCAACCATATTCTCGACTAGCTCCACCGCCGACCTGAAGGACGCAATCTCGTCCCCAAGAGTGAGTTGCTCTTCGTCCCCTTCCTCATTATCATTATCCTCGAAAATCTCGGCATCCTCAGCCACAAACGGCACATATTCGCCCTGGTATCCCTCCTCATCAAACCCCGCCTTCTCGTCCCAGTACCCCTCCTCCTCCTCGCAGGGCTCCCCTTGCTTCCCGTCGAAGCGTTCCTCCCCCTTTTCTGCCGACCCCCAATCCACTGCTTCTTCATCCCCCAACCTGATCCTCCCTTCTCGCGCTCGCCACGGCTGCCACCAGCTGCCCGTAGCCTTGCCGAGGGCATCACGACATAGAGATCCGCACCACAAAACCACAAAGCAGAGTAACATCAGACCGGCGCCGATGGCGATGTGCCGTATGGTGAACACGGCAAGAATGGAGAACAGGAGCTTGTGGATGAGGAGATCGAGGCCCTTTACAACCTCGTCTCGAGGTTCAAGGTCGGGGTAGCTATCGGCAGCATCCTCTTGGCGGCGGTGGCGGCGCTGCTGTCCCGGGAGGTATTCGTCGTCGTCGCCGCCATCGCCATCGCCACCGTTGCGGCGCAATGCCTCGACGGCATACCCGGCCTTGCGCATCACTGCGCGGAAGACACATGTCGGGCCGTCGCAGTCTACGAGCGCAGAGCGGTCTGTCGGCCCCACGCGAGCGGCCAACCGGACCGCCCTTGTGTCAACCTCCTTTGTGAGGCTGGCTAGCTGGGCACGGAGGGCCTGCAGCTCGGCGAGCTCGAGCTCGAGCCTGGACTCCAAGCTGTCCTCGCCGTTATCCTTTCTGGGGATCGGTACCTCCTGGCTGGCGGGTGTCCGCGCGCCTGGTACGGTGAGGGATGGGGGAGGTGATGTCAAGGCAGAGGCTGAAGCGCCGGCACCCGGAGCTGTTGCGATGTCAGCAGACTGGACAAGCGAGTCCGGAGCTGCGGCAAGTATCTTACCTTCTAAGAGTGGATTTGGCAGGCCATTCGTGAATGTGGGTACGTTCAACAGCAGGAGCAGCCCGGTGGCGGTAAAGTGTGAGCGCATGGTTGACTCGCTGTGCTCTAGGCAGCGGTATAGCAAAGATCAAACTAATTGGCGCCTTGGAGATGGCGCCTTGGAGACGGCCACGCGGCGAGTAGGTAAGTGAGGTGGTGACGCAAGTAAACAACACTATCGCCACACTCGTCTAGTCTCAAATTAGAAGAGAAGTAACCGGCCTCCTCGTTCGATATACTAGAGAGGTTCAAAACTAGACGGCAGAACTTAGCAAAGAACTGAGGTGGGAGAAAAGGAAGGAAAGGAAGGGGGACAACTGCCCCTCAGATCTTCGGAATTGACTGCATTGAACACATCTACGTACCGAGCTGAGCTATCGGATGGCGCAAGCCTCTCGCAGCACATCCCCAAATGCCCCTTTCCTCGCCCAGTTCAACATCCACACCCCGCAAAGCGCTGCGCAATCCTGCCCGATTCGGACAGGACAGCAAGGCGAGAGCGGGAGCCGACCAATCAGCACGTGTACGGGTTGAGGAGCTGACGAGTCCCTCAGCGTCCTGACCGAACGGGGGCACCCTCTGCCCAGAAAAGCCGAACTCCAAAGAAAGGAAACAAAAAGAATTAAATGAAATAAATAGGGGAGAACGAATCGAATAATAAAACATCGCTCAACACGGCCGCATCAACGACCACATTTTTCCAACAACCACGACTTCGATTCTAAGCTAAACTACGACAGTGGTGGGAAGGCGGAGTCCCACTGGTCGGATGTCATAGCGGCAGGCCTGACGTTGCTGTTATGCCCATCGGTCTTGGGGTCCTCGATGGGCATCCGACATATCGGGCACGTGTTGTGTTCCTTGAGCCAGAGAACAACGCACTCGCCGTGATACCAGTGGCTACACGGGAGCACCAACACTTCATCGCCCTTCTTGATATCATCGATGCAAATGGTGCACTCGGCCTTTCCCTCTCTGCCGAGCATCGCCTCATCCACCCGTTTCTTTTCGAGTTTTGCGATGGCGGCCTGTGTTGCGGGAGGGGCGGCATTGGTCTGGGGTGAAGCCTCCATGAGCTGGGTGACGATGCGGTCCAGCGCCTCCTGCGTAAATACTGCGTCGCCATGTACCGCCGAGGCGGGGTTGTGCAACGTGCTCAGGAGCTGGTGGAGTCCGTGCAACAAGTTGAAGGCCGGGTCTGCCGCATCGTCCGGAGCTGGTGCTCCCCAAGGGTTGCCAAAGACCTGGTCGAATAATCTAAGCGGTTCATTAGCGTCAGTAACACGATTGTCGATGATGGTGACCGCGCGTATCGCTCGCCCGCCGGGATGAAGGTGGCCTCTCGTAGGGATGACATACGTGCTCACGGTGACCGGCGGCCGATCGGGATCGTCTCCCGCTGTGGCTCTACTTGGGAAAGAGCCGCCTCCGCTTGTGACTCTACTTGTGACAGAGCCGCCTCCGCCTGTGGCTCTACTTGGGATGGTGCTAACACTCGCGCGGAAGGACACCCGGCCCGCCCGTACAGTAGTATGCCCGGGCCGCACCCTGGTAGCTGGCTGGGACGCACTCCCATCTCCCGGGAACAGGTCGCCGGATCCGGGACCCCCGTGCACCACTCTCCCGGCCCCCAAGTCGTTCATTAGCATGTCAGCGAAACGCCTAAAGACGGCGTCGCCGTCGTTGACGTGGCCACCGTCGTTTTGGGCGCCGAAACGCGGCGCGGGGCGAACTCCAAAGGGAAATTGCCCAAAGGGAGATTGCCGTTCGTTCACTTGTTGCTCCATATTCCCGTTGGTCTCGGGAATGGAGGCAGCGGTAAACCCTCCAGAATAGGGTAACCCTGTCTCATGTACACTATCCTGCGTACTGTTGTGGTTTTCAATCTGGTTCGGCAAGTTAGTCGGGGTGGGCTGCAACGGGAATCGCGGGGCAACAGCCACTTACAATCTCGGTGAATGAGCTCTGGCATCGGGGACACTCCAAAGAGTCCTCGGAGCCACGCCATTCGTTTCGACATTCGTGGCAGAATAGCCTCTGGAGGCTGCCGTCGCGGTCGCGGGAGTTCCTGGACTCCATGGCGGGTTGTTCGGGTGGCGGATTCCGGGTAGTTTGCTGGCGAGTAGCGCCAAGCGCGCCAGTGATGGTAGCAAACACACGAGTGATGGTGGTAAGTACGCCGGTGATGACGGCAAGGGCGAGTCGGCCTCGCTGTTGCGGGTTGTGTTCAGAACTAGGCGGCATCGAATATTATCGCTTTCAACATTCGGAAATGTCGAAAAGTACTTTCGGTAGGTGTGTGCCTGAAGGCGAACCTGATGGATGGAAGTTCAGGTAAGTGAGGTAAGTGGGTCGCCCTTGTGGAAATCCATGCGTCACCGAACGCTGGGGTCGTAGGCGGACGGGCCTTAAGAAGTTGCGAGCACCGTTTGTCTGATAAGTTGTTCCCGCTAATTACGCACACTGATAGCACCATAGGCGGGAGGTGGGTACATACCGCACGTGCAGCTCGCCGTCGGACTTGCCAACCACCGCACCAACCAAGTGCCAGAGTATTCACAGAAAATTGTGGCGATGGAAAGACATGGACGATATAAGAAATTGATGGAAACTAGTAAAAGGTGACATGCCACAGCTCATCTCTTGGCTGGACCGATGATCATCTCCACAGAAGTAAGCCACTGTGCCCGCCTTGCGCAGGCGCTCCTCGTCGGGCCTCCTACCTACATCGACTGCGGATGTACACTATATTGGTGATCCGCGTATGCACCAACCACGCACCAAAGCACCCAAGGTCATTGGACGTGTTAGGCACTCAAAGTATGTACCTGGTTTCATTTACGGCTTTGACCACGCTAAGGGAGGACCAAGGACGGGTGTGATGAAACTCAACTGTTATTTTGTAAGTAACTGCCAAGTGGAAGATCCCCGATGGTCCAACAAGCCAAAACGGGCCCTCTCCCCCTCCAGGGTGACCTCGTCACACACGTGCGGCCCCAGGGCATAAACACCATACAGTCTTTGTGCGCGGCGAGCGAGACCCAACATTGTGGCAGGGCTGACTCGGACAGCATGCACATGTATTTACAGCACCTGCAGCTCGCGCCCAGAATGCCCAACCTTCTCTCACCCCCTCATCCGCAGCAGGCTATCGGGGTGAGAAGTCAGCCTCGATTTACTGGCGCGAATAAGCGGTCCCCTTCCTCTTACTCCCCTAAGTCGTCCCTCCCAACTCCCAAACAGGGTGCGGGGTAAAGTCGGAAGCTGAATGTGTCACGAAGTTTGCGTACGGTGCCCAACGGATGGGCGTCCTGGTCGTTATTATGTTGCATAGTGGTGTCGTGCTCATGCTGTCGCTTGCTAAAGAAATACAAGCCCCGCCGATAAAGGTCATGATGCCGCCATCTTCCCGTATAAATACAATACCCGCCCCGATACACCGGAATATGCTCTTTCTAACCCACCCGCCCAGTGAAGGAGCGGGCTTCACCTCTTCCGCCCCAGATTCCGGAGCAGCACGCCGCCGACGATGCCGGCCACAACTGCAACACCGCTGACGATGGCCACGCCCATGAGCCCTTCCTTTGCCACCTTCTCGTCAATCAGCGACTGCAGGTTCAGCGCTTGCAGGTTCCCAGGCTCCTTAGATAGCAGGATGTCATTGTACTTTCGCGCGTCGCCGTAGTTGCCCAACTTGTAGTTACCCAGCCCGAGGTAGTAGAGGCATTCGCGGCGTCGCTCGGTGGATACCCGGAAGATTTCGGCGAGCAACATCACGCCGAGTTGCTGCTCTTGGCGGGTGCTAGACTTGACGAGTCCCTAAATTTTCAAGTCGTAAGTTGTGTGCAGCAAGACGTGTAGGAAATGAATGTTTACCCAGGCGTAGTTGAACTTTGTCTGGAGGCCCACCATGTCCCCTTCCCGCTCGTACTGCGTCCGAAGTACTGCCAGCTCGGCGGGGTTGAGAGGCCTGTATCCTTACGTCAATACTAATGCCCTAGGACTAACCGCAAAATCCAGGGACATATTCTCACGTCTCCGCGTCGATCGCGTCTGGAAGCATGTTGGGTAAGCTTTCCTGAAGTTGGGTAAGGTAGGCGGCCGTGCGAGCACTCACAAGGAAGTTGTGCCATGATGAGGCGAAAGGTCTGGGCCTTTGACAGTGCTAGGATAACGTGCTCAAAAGAAGCTCTGAATGACGCGACCTGCGATTTTACCAATGCGCAGCGGCTGCAAAAGACGTAGGAATGACACTGTTCCGAGGTAATTATGGCTGCAGCAGCTCAGGTGGTGGTTCTTTGCTTCTTGAAGCTCGGGCCGCTTCCAAAGTTTCCAGAATGTCCGTGGCCCACCGATGACGAAAGCTGTGCCACCCACCAAAGCGATAAGATAAGGCAGGCCGGTCAGCCCTGTCGCCTGGGAGATGGTCTTGGCGCCAAGCCCTTCAAAACAACCGCGGCTTTGGAATTCAAGATCAGAAAACACCACGAAGCAGACGATCATTTCACGTCAACAGCCAATATTTCCTGATACAACCCCCTTTCAATTCATCAGGCAACACGAAACCCACATCAAGCCACAAACCAGCAAACCACCGCCAAAATGCTGCTCGAAGAAGACCCCTCCACCGTACGCCCCACCCCCTGAACACCCCCCCCCCCCTCTCTCTCCCCTCCAAAAACAAACAACCCACTAACCCCAACCCCCCACCCGGGGGCAACAGCTCATCCGCCACACCATCTCCAACTTCAACATCGCGCCGGACAAGACCGCCGTGTCACGGGTATCGGAATCCCTCTCCACGCTGCAGCAGGCGCGGGAGCTGCGGGTGCGCGAGGCGGAGGCGGCGCTGCGGCGGCTGGGCCGGTCGCTGGGCACGCTGTCGTCGCAGCACGCCGAGCTGACGGCCTCGCACTCGTCCACCCAGCACGCGTCCGAGATCGCCCGCCTCGACACCCAAAAGTTCCGCGTCGCCAAGGCCGCCTCCGACCTCGAGATGGAGACTGAGCGTTTGCAGGCCCAGCTGGCGGATCTTAATGCGCGTCTGCAGGAGTTGGAGTTGCAGGGGGTGGATGGGGGTGGGGTTGGGGTTGGGGAGGGGGGGAATGGTGCTGGTGCTGGTGCTGGTGGTGCTGGTGGTGCTGGTGGTGCCGGGAGTGGTGGGGCGCTGGAGGACGAGCTGCTGCTGCGGTTGAAGGTCTATCGGAGTTTGGGGATTGAGATCGAGAGGGATAGTAAGGATGGGGAGTTCAACCGGGTGGTGGTGCGGAATGATCGGAAGGGGGATGTGCATGTGGTGAATATCGATAGGAAGTTCTCGAGGTTTTTCTACGCCAACTATTTCTGGCAGAGTTTGTAAGCGGTTGGGATTCGGAAGGTACTCATGGACGGCGTTTCGGAGTTGGTTTGGGATTGGGGGAGATACCAGGGAAACTCAGCGTATATAAAATGGACATGGTTTACTGACGCCTGACGCGAGGGACCTCGGTTAAGCTCACGATTGATATCATGGGCATCAGCTCTATTGGCCTCGGCTGCTGGATTGTTGCCCGTGCCCGACATCTAGGTTGACTGGCTACCAGTTAGATTCGCCTATTCCATTTGGAAGTCGTCATCCGGTCCAGTGAGGGTGCTCGGGGCTCGTCTTGCTAGGCCCATGCGCATCGTCACGTCGCTTTGCTGACGTGCGGACCTTGTCCTGCCTTTGCCAACTGCTTGCTCTGCAAAGCGATCGCCACCTCTTCCATTCTTTCATCGTTCGATTCACTCGATCGACGACTTCCATTTACCCCGTCGTTGTCGTTTAACCGCAACCATGGGAAAGGAACCGTTCTCCCAGACAACGATGGGCCGTATTGGCCTGCTCGTCAAATGGTTTGTGCTGTTGATGATCACCAGCATCATTTGCCCCATGGTTTGTATGGCCTCGATCTCAACCACGGCCGCATTGCTGTACCTCAGCGTCCGCGGTGTTTACCTCTTCTTCGAGGGAATGTTCTTGATCATCTACCACTTCACATTGAGAAAACCGAGCAGCTCCGACGTCGGGAGCCCGGAGTTCCAGCAGACCATGGCCAAGTACGAGATGTTCTGGATGACGGACACTCCGTCTCCCTCCCCACCGCAGAGCGATTGCGGATCGGACGACCCGGAACTTGACTGCTCTACGCTCCCCTCTACCATCGCCTATTTGGAGGACGCCAACATCCTCCCCCGCCGTCGCTGGAGCACAACCGCGGCCCCGGAGCCTCACCCGCTCACGATGCGCGACTCAAGCACCAGCCCCGATCGAAGGGACCTCACTAGACGACGAATTGACATTGACACGCTGCGGTTGGCCATGCGGTCGACCAACGACGAGCGGGAAAGGACTCGTCATATCAGGAATTCCGATGTGCCCAGAGGTTTGACTCTGCCAGAGCGGCGGAGACGCAGATTGGACCTGCAACGGGAAACCATTGACCGTTGGTGTTTGAGGCACCAGTTGCGTCAGCTACACTAGGTAGCATGGCGGGATGGGACCACGGCAGTGGGAGAATGTATGTAGCTTGATGAGATATGGGAGGACGGCTCCGCTAGGTAGGATGCTAGTGCAACCGAGACGAAGGGTCGAGGTATGTACCGAGCTTCCATATTCTATCTAGGTACCTAGCGAAGCATTCCCATTTTCATGTTGAACAAACCGTCGTAATGTGATCTCTCAGTCTCTTGATGTTCCTCCTCCAAACGGTCCATGGCTCCAGGCTAGGATATCCCGATGAGAGGTTGCCACTCTCCAGCCAGAAAAAGCCCAACTCCAAAGGAAGATACAGGTAATACTGTGCAAGAAGTAAGCGAAAGATTTGAATGAAAGAAATCGAGAAAGCGCGGCTTCCCGGGGCTTCCTAATGGCTTTCATTTCGTTCCTGCAGTTGAGGTTTGCTCAACATCTACGCTTAGAGGCCGGCTTCCTTTGCACATCGGGTGGTTGCATCATATATTTGATCCCTCCATTGGATGCTGCTCACCTCTGTCCAACCCACAACAGTGTATTGTTAGGTAGCTTTACGGGTGCTGTCTGGAAGCTTCCATCACCCCATCAAGGTGACAATTGGCGTCCACGATCATCAAAAACAACCGTGTCCGTCCGTCTCACGCTCAGAAAAATTGACACACTGCTTGGTCCACAGCACCTCGGTATGTACCTGGGGTGCTGGGCTTTGAGGGCCCCTGCAACTCAGCGGAGACCCCTAACAGAAAGATCGACGCCAAGATTTCCGCGGGGTTCTTGCGGGGAAGGAAGCTCTTGGAAATACATACCTCAGTTACCACTGACACGAAAGAGCTTGAGGGCAGCCATTCTCCTCGCTTCGCATTTTTTATTATTTATTGAGCGAATCTCGCTCGCGGCCAAGACGTGGTGAGCTTGTCAGAGTTACAGCTATGTCGAACTAGGTAGCCGGGCATTACCTCAAACGACCCCTTTAGGTACATAGCAAGCTTGCCTGGCTGCCCTGGCTACAAACACAACCATCCGCACGCGATCAAGCTCCCCCAGCGCCAGATCAAGCCTCACTGGAGTTGGGTTATTATGTGCAATCCCAACGACGACCAATCCGCTTCGGCAGCTCCCGAACAGAATGACGTCCACCCGGATGACTTCCCATGGCACATTGGCGTCTGTGACGCCCATTGCCACCCAACCGACACCATGTCCTCAATCGCTAGCATAGGCAGCATGCGTGCCCGCGCTCTAACCATCATGGCCACACGCTCGCAGGACCAAGACCTCGTCGCTTCGTCCGCGGCGAAAAATCCCATCCGAGACCGCTCAGTGCTTGGTTCGCCGGCGAAACAAGACACCCCCGACAAGATCGTCCCCGCATTCGGCTGGCACCCCTGGTTCTCCCACCAACTCTACGACGACACCGAGGCCAGCACACCCGGCCCATCCTCCTCCCCCGAGACGGCCGAGCAGCACAAAACCGAGCACTACCGCGCCGTACTCTCCCCCCAACCCGACGATGCCTTCATCGCCTCCCTCCCAGACCCCATACCGCTCAGCACCTTCATCGCCGACACCCGACAGCGCGTGCTCGACGCAGGCACCGCGCTCGTTGGCGAGGTCGGGCTGGACAAGGCATTTCGACTGCCGTGGCCGTGGGGGAAAAGGGACGCGGCAGGGACAGCCGCCGAGCATACCGCCGAGGCCGACGCCGACGCCAACGCCCCGCCCAGCCGCGACGAGACGCTGACGCCCGGCGGGCGCGAGGGCCGCACGCTGAGCCCACACCACGTGAAGATGGCGCAACAGATGCGGGTGCTCCGGGCGCAGCTCCGCCTGGCGGGCGAGTTGGGCGTGGCGGTCAGCATCCACGGCGTGCAGGCGCACGGGGTGCTGTTCGACGCGCTGGCGGCGCTGTGGAAGGGCCACGAGCGGGAGGTGGTGTCGCGGAAGAAGCAGAAGATGGTTGCGACGGGGGCCGAGGACTTTTCGTCGTCGAGCGAGGACGAGGGGGAGGAGGGGTGGGGTGATGATGGTGGTAATGATGTCCCGTCGCGGCCGAAGGTCAAGGAGAAGAAGGCTTACAAGCCCAAGCCATTCCCGCCGAGGGTGTGTCTGCATTCGTTTAGTGGCTCGCCGCAGATGATGCAGCAGTACCTCAACCCGGCCATCCCCGTGGAGACCTTCTTCTCCTTTTCGACCGCCATCAACCTATCGACTGCGGGAGGGGAGAGCAGGTTTGCGGATGTTGTCCGGGCGTGTCCCGACGACCGGTTGCTTGTGGAGAGCGACCTGCATTGTGCGGGCCAGGAGATGGACCGGGTGCTCGAGGACATCTCGAGAAGAGTTTGTGCGATCAAGGGCTGGCCTTTGGAGGAGGGCCTGGCGAGGATACGGAGGAACTATGAAGAATTCATATTTGGCTGAACTGCGCTATCAGAGGTTGGGAAACAATGCCCCGCACCCAGCGCAAGATAAATAAAGTTAATCCCCCCTTCATCCCTCTGCAACTTACTCTACTCGGACGAGTCGGATATATTGCTGGCAGGTTTTCATCGCCAACTCACCTCACCCCAGATTAAACCACAGAGTGCAATGGGAGCGGAGGCCCAGCCGATGAAACGAAATCCAGTACGGATCAAATATCCGCCGCTGAGAGAGGTTGAAGACGTTGATTTGGAAACGCGATCGCGTATTTGCTGACGATCAGTGCGTAATCAGGTAATCACGTAATCACAGGCTGGTACGAATCGTTGAAGCAAAGTGGGGTTTGTTGTTCGGAGCAGCTCGGCGTTTACCACCCAAACTTGGGCACCCTGGTGGTTGGAGTTGCTCATCAGAGGCTGCCACCTTCCTTGTCTGTCATCGGGGGCAGAATGGATGCCCCTCAATTGGCGAATTGGTGCTTCCACTTGAAGGAAGATCCGGGGTTATTCTTATCCCCGCCTTTCCAATGGGCTCATCCCATCACCTCCCAGTCTCTCAACTCCCATTCCCGATTGTTTCCAATCCCTCACTATTTCCAGCCCTGCCCAGCCGCTTGTGTTTCCTCCGCGGAACAGATTACACAGTACTTTGGTTCGAAAACGCGGACGGCGAAGACACGCGCCGCATCTGCGCGTTATTCCCGGCAGCGGGTGCTGCGCCTCGCTCCTGTGTCTGTCTGTCTCTCTTATCGACGGGCAGCTTCAGTGATTCCTCGGACTCCATCCCGCGGCTGGCGCCGTCCGCCCACGGTCCGAGAATCTGGGGATTGACTGGGACTGGGACTCGAGGAATCAGAATCCCACCCCTCTCGCCCATCACATCGCAGCCTCGGTCTTCTCAACTGTGAGCCGGGGCTTATCCTCCAGGCCATCGCCGTTTGCCTGCCCCCTTGGCACTCCTGCAGTTCGCGAATGGAGAGACCGCCGCAAACACGAGCCCTGGGCCAGCCGCCCGTCCTCTCGGTCTTTACAGCTCAGACGCCGAGCTCGGGTATCGCATCCACCATTTACGTGTCGCCCGAAGCCACTCCTCAGCATCAGTTGCGGCAGCAGCAGCACACACTCGTGCACTCAGATGGCGGCGGCGCACCACTCCGTCGTGGCCCCAAGAGGGCGGCGCGTGGAGAAATCGGGGTTGCTGACGAGTCACCGGCAATATGGGGCTCGGCCTCAAGCACCCCGGTCAACACCGACCGAGCCGGCACTAACGGCCACGGACCGAGTCCCGGTCTTGGCGTGTCCCCCGACGATGATCGAGACAGCAGCAGCGCCTCCCCTTCGGCGACGGCGACGACAGACCAGCCGAGGAAAAAGCAGAAACGAAACAAGCCGACCTTGTCTTGCTTTGAATGTGTCGAGCGGAAGACCAAGGTATGCAACTTTTCAGTCTTGAAAGTTTACCACCGAGATGCCGAGAAAAAGAAGGCCCACTTACACGTGCAACAACAACACATTTATCTTGCAATTCCGTCGTGTTCGGTCTCATGCAATATGTTGTGTCACTTAACAATTTCTTTGCGATGTTTACTACATCCCAAACTGACGTTGTGTTCAGTGTGACCGAGGAAGACCACACTGCCTTGCTTGTAAGCCCCCCCCCGCCTCCCTACTGGTAGGGAGTCATGACTGACCACAACGCAGGTATTAAACGTCAGACAAACTGTGAATATGCTCATGTGGCCAATCTTCTCGAGTAAGTAATCTACCGCACCACAACGATGTGTGACTTATGCCTGTGCAGAGAAACCACTCGGAGTGCAACAAATGGCCGCCGGATGACCAGACCGCCTAAGAAGCGCTCAGACAGTGTCAACCATGTCATGCCCAACGCAGCTGACCGCGGCTTGAATGTTGGCCGTATAAAGGCCTTGGGCTCGGTGGCTACCTCCACCGGCCTACTGTCCAACGTCCCCTATTCTTCTCCGGGGTCGTCAAATGTTTTTGGCATCGGGTCTGAGCACCCCTTTGCCAACTACTGGACCTGCGAGGGTGGACTACCAGAGGTCATTTCTGTTCTGCCTGACAAGTTGCAGGCTGATATTCTCCTCAACCGCTATTTCGAGTGCGTTGACCCGGTGTACCCCATGCTTCACCGGCAGACCTTTTACGCCGATTATGAGCACTTTTGGTCCCTGTCCCGGCCCGACAAAGATCGTGCCGATGCCGCCTTTGTCGCGCTGATCTTCGTGATGCTGGCTTTGGGCACACAATTTGTGACATCGACATCGCCGAAGGAGAGAAAGCAGACGGCCGAGTTTTACGCCTCGGCGAGTAATCAAGCGTTGCGAATGTGCTCGTACCTGAGCACCGCATCCATCAAGTCCATCCAAGCCATGGTCCTCATTACGTATTTTCTTATTAATGACAACCACGCCTCGGATGGCTGGGCCTTTGCCGGAATACTAATCCGGCAGGCCTATGCCATGGGCCTACACCGTGACCCCAACATCGGTGCGTGCTCCCTGAACCTGATCATCCACATACACCGTCGAATCCTCTAACCCCTCCCCAGTGGTCCCCGACGCGCCCCCCTTCGAAAAGCAACAGCGCCGCAAAGTCTGGCAGGCCGTCCTCCTCCAGGACACCTTCTTGACGGTTCTCCTCTCCCTCCCGCCGAGCGCCACCCACACCGACGTCAGCGTCGACGACCTCGTCGAGGACGACTCGTCCATCGCGTCGGACGACCCCACCGACACGGCCTACATCCGCGGGTCGTGGACGCTGGCCAACCTCGTGCAGGAGACCATCTGCTCGCCGCGGTCGCTCGACGTGCCCATCTGCACGACGGCGCGGCACAAGTCCAAGCTGATCGGCGACTTCCGCGCCGTCTACCGCTCCTTCCCGGACGTCTTCCGCTCCTGGGACCCGGAGGCGCTCGCCCAGCTCGCGCAGAGCAACAAGCGGGTCGTGCGCCAGACCCTCTTCCTCAGCAGCAACTACTTCCACAACCTCATGCTCGTCCACGCCTCGGAGAGCCAGGACGTGCCCGTCAACGCCCGCGGCACCCTCGAGGCCGCCCACGACGCCATCACCGCCTTCTTCGTGCTGTTCGCCCTCTTCGAGGCCGAGGCCCGCGTCTGGTGGGTCTTTAACCACCGCGCCTTCCTCGAGGCCCTGTGCATCGGGAACGTCCTGCGCGAGGTCGCCCGCGAGCCGGGCGGCGAGGAGAGCATGGCCAAGGATCCGTTGTTTGTGAGGGCGAGGAGCGATATCCGTGAGTTTTTCTCCTTTTTTGGCGTTTTTATTTTTATCCGTTGCTCCTCATACATCCCATCTCGTGTGTGGTGTAGTTGTGGTATTTTCTTTTGAATCCATGCATGCACACCCTCCACCCTTTCCCTAGTGGGTTGGTACAAAACAAGGCGGGTGCTAACGTAGCGATTTTGTTCCAGATCGCATGATACAAATCATGCAGGCCATGAGCGAAGGCGACCACGGGTCGAACACCGCCAGGACGAGAATCCAGGTCCTGAGCGAGTTCTTGCTCTAAGAGAGGGAGGAGGGCAAGGTACCAATAAGAGACAGGAGGGGCCGGGGAGGGCCTCTTGGAGAGGGGTCTGGGAATTCTGAGGGATAGGTCTTGACGATGGTGGGTTGGAAGTCCGGGGACGAACTTGATGATTGGGTGACTAATATCGTGTCTCTTGCCCATTTGGAGGGCAAGGGGATGAGCATTGATTGATTTGAGTGTTTGTGGTTCGGGTTCGGCGTCGATACCATGCTGCTGCTGCTATGTAGAAAGAGTGCTTCGAAAAAGAACGATATGTTTATGGTTACGCTACGCGGCTTGTTTTGTGACCTCATTTTTGTTGCACCGAATGGCTTGGGTGATGTTGGGGCAGCATTACGCACTGCTGAGTAAATAAACAAAAGTTCAATCATACGCATCACGGAAGGTAGAACCTTGTCCAAACCCGGATCAAGTCTATTTTTTTCCTTTTTGCAGCCCAAAAAATAGATCGTAATACATACAAAAAGTCCCACGCTGGCTATCGCGAGCCAGGACAGTACCCGAACACACGCCCCACCCCGCGGGAAAGACGCACCAACTAAGCTGTTGGTTCTTCCGCAGCAGCAGCCTCCGCAGCCTGGGCCTCGGCGACCTCAGGAGCGGGCGCATCCGCCACCTCGACATCCGCTACACCAGCGGCCTCCTCAGCCTCCCCGGCAGCGGCGGCGTCCTTCATCTCGGCGTCCTTCTCACCCTCCTTGGCCTCGGCACCCTCGACCTTCTTCTGGTCGCGCTGGATGCCCATGTTGATGAGCGGGGTGGTGTCGTTGTAGATGCGCAGCAGCATGGCGCTGCGGTCTTCCTTGGGCAGCATCAGGTTCAGGCTCTGGAAGCTCTTCCACAGGGGCAGGGCCATGCTCTCGGCGAAGTCCTCGTCGCCGCCCTCGGGCTGGACGCGCAGGACGCAGCAGCCGAGGGCGAGGTCGCGGACGCGCTCGCCGATCTCGTCCATGCGGCGCCAGTCGTCGCCGGCGATCTTGGGGAACATCTCGACCAGCAGCTTCTTGAGCGTCTCCTTCTTGGTGAGCACCACGACGCGCTCCGGGCCGACGTAGCCGTGCAGGATGGGGATGCCCTCGGACTGAATGCGCCAGCGGCAGACGTCGGCCGACGGCGCGTCCTGCTTGACGTACATCTTGACGCCGCCGTGCACGAACTTGACGCCGCGCCCCTCGTTGAGCACGAGGATGTCGCGCACCAGAGCTGAGGTGTAGTAGATGGCCTTGGCCGGCTCGCCGAGCGCGTTGCGCACCATGTACCGGTCTGACGGAAAGCGTGGCGAGATGGAGTAGAACTCGGCCACGTTCTTAATAACGTCGTGGTCGGGGGAGAGGAATTTGAAGGGTTCTTCGTAGGGGCCATCCGGCCTGCGCTTGGGCTCCGGGAGGGGCTCCTGGGCGGTAGGGGTTGCGGCTGTAGCCGCGGGGGTTGCTACGGTGGGAGTTGCGGATGTTGAGTCTGTTGGCTGCGGGACCGGGGTGGCTTCTTCGTTGGCGGTGTCGCCGTTGGCCGGGGTTTCGAGGGTCTCGGGCTTGGTCTCGGTTTCAACTTCCGCCTGAACTTCTGTTCCGGCCTCTGCTGGCTCGACTGCAGCTGGCTGCTCCTTAGAAGGCTCCTCGGACAACCTCAGCTTTTTAACACCGGCCTCCTCCTCTTTGTCCTCCTCATCCAGCGGCCTCTTGGTAGTATTCGCCTTGCCGTTGGCCTTGGCATTTTGAGGGGGCTGCTTCCTGTTCTCCTCCGGCTTCGCCTTGAACTCGACCTTCTTGTGGAGGGCAGTGATGAAGAAGCCACCAGTGTCCTGCTGATGAGCATACACCCGCATGCACCGGTCCAGGGGGAGATCGGCACAGTCGCTACTCGCAGAGGGCGGGAACATGCTCTCGACGAGACGACCCGGGGTAATGCCATCCTCGGTGGACTTTACGTACTCTTCGACCTCCTCCCACGAGTTCCATAGGCGAGCCGACTTGTCCATAATCTGCCACTTCCGCAGACCCGGCTTCCGCTTGAGTAGGGGGAGTTGGTCGCTGCAGTCAAGGATCTCGATCTTCTCAGGTCCGCCGCACCGCTCGATGGCGGCAGCCACAACGGACTCGTTCTCGACAGGGTTCATGCTGCAGGTCGAGTAGACAACGCGACCTCCGGGCTTGAGCATCTGTAAAGCACGCACTAGAATCCTGACCTGTGTGAGATGTAGACCCAAGGCATTACCGGGAGTCCAGTCCTTCCACAGATTGACGTTTTTGCGGAGGGTGCCGTCGCCGGAGCAAGGGACGTCGGCCAAGATGCGGTCGAATTTAAGGTAGTTGGGTTTGGAGGGGTTCTCGGGGTTCGGTATCCTGAGGGAGGGGTACATGGTGGCGTCGTGGTTGGTGACGATCATATTAGGCGAGGACAGGCGCTTCAGTTGATGGATAAGCATGTGACTCCGCTTATAGTCGGCGTCGTTAGCGATGAGCATGCCGGTGGCTCTGCCATCATCGCTGGGGTCGGCTTCTAGGCGTGTCGTCTCGTCCTCCTCCTGAACATCCTCGCCCTTGGCCTCGTCACCAGAGATGCTCCGAATGACCTGGCGAATGCGAGCCTCCTCGCCACGGTGGATCATCTCTAGAAGCTGAGCGGCCTTGCTGCCAGGTGCAGCGCAAAGATCGAGGACGGCCATTCCTGGCTTAACGTCCATGAGCAGAGGCGGGATCATGCTCACCACCTCCTGTCTGCTAATGTTCCCCACGCTGGTCTCGGAGACGAGGAACTTCTGGAAAGCGGCGAAGGGAGGGAACTTGCGGATGACGTTCTTCGGGGTAGTCATGGACCAAGCGAGTCCGTCGGGGTACCAGGGAACGGCGGTCGGGGGGGCGACGGTGACACCATCGTGAGTGATGCTAGTAATCTCGGGAATGTATCTCGTCTGGAGTAGGCGCTTGACGGCGAGGGCGTGGCCTTTCGAGCCGCAGAACCGGAAACTGTTGGGTAGCTCCCTCTTGAGCGCAGCCCAGAACTCGGACCTCTCTTCCTCGGGCAGGTCGACTAGGGAGTTGTAGTACTGCTCGAGTCGCTTGTTCTCCTTGGGCACTTCGGGATATGTTTGGTAGGGACGATGACCTCCACGATTGTCTCGACCACCGCCACGGCCACCACGACCGCCGCGGCCGCCGCCTCGGTGTCCCTTTGATTGAATAAAATGTCAGCAGAGATGTCAAATCAAGGTACGGGTTTCTGTGTGGTTGTGCATACTCTCTTTCCGCGACCCATGTTTGTGAGTGTGAAAAACGATGCGACGAGAGAAGGGCCGCTGTTGTAGACGGCCGTAATGCGCTCCAATCGCATCGAATTGACTTACGACAGTGGAGGAAGAAAAAAAAAAGGCGGCAGGAGGCCAGAAGCTGCCAAATGTGGGGGCGGGGAAGCTATCTTATCTCGGTGGAGACGGGAACGAGGCCGGAGCCAGGGAGCCAAGCAGGCACGAGGGCGTTCATTTTTAAAGTTAGTTAACAGTCCACGGTCCTGGTCTTTCCTCGTGAGAGAACAACCTGGAAGGAGTGCAAGCGCTAGACGATACATCTCGCAAGCGGACGGCGTCACAACCTAGGCACATAAATACTATACTAGACAGCGAACCACACAAGATGATGGTTGTATTACACGCACAAGTCCTCGGAAACACCAAGACATGTCATATCTATCTACCTAGGGTGTCATTCGAACTTGGGCGAGTGGAGAGCGTGACATTCAGTCTGTGGTGGGGATGTTGGTCGTAAATTACCCCCTCTAGGCTGGCGGTTGCAAGATAAATATCCCAGCGGTCGTAGCCGCCGTAATAAAGGTGCCACGTATTGTGCTCTCCTTCCCCTTTATAGACGAAGTTGCCATCCTCGATGGCAAATGGGCGTGTAATGTCGTCCGACTAGCCCCGGATACATTGGTTAATAGAACACCAGATGTGTGTACCATGTGGAAAGGGAAGAAACTTACGCCGATAGAGAGGCGCTCCGTCGAAACCAACCTATACGAGCTTGTACGGTATAGAGGCGATCCAAGGCCTTGGTATTGGAACATGTAGCCGCTCTTTCCAATGTCCTTGTCGGTGTCTATTTTGATGTCTGCGAGAGGACCGCCCGAGAGCTCTGGTGACAGAAACCCGACTCCGTTACTGCGGCCGCCGCTCACCCGGGCGTCGCCAGGGGCGTTCGGTGAGTTGAGGTAGAAACCAGAGGCCGCCTGCGCAAAGAGCGCCGTGGCTGATAGGAAAGCAGAAAGCTGCATGGTCGAAAGAGGCCGGGTGGATTTTGGCTTCCGGGTTGAACCAGTGGAAGTTGAGGTGGTGGAAGAAAATTGAGGAACGAGGAACGGGCAACTGGCCAGTTGTTATATAACTAGCTGAGGTTCAGACATCTCTCTCCCTCTTGTTTGGCTTTCAGGTCGTCCCCGTCGCCGAGACACAATCGACCGAGACTCGACTGCAGTATGCCTGTCGTCCATCCCTGAAGCAGAGGATCGGCATACCATCACATCCAAACCGATCATTAGTCTATGCTGATCCCGTGAACCTTCAGCTGAAGTTGGAGCCCGTGCCGGTTCATGCAAAACGCGGTGAAATTCGTGCCCGGTCTTTCTTGCCAGCACACAATATCCTTGGTTTTACTCGGCCACCGGCGGAGAGCTCCATGCTGACTGCCTTCCCTCTCCTCTTCAGGGCTCGTAGCGAATCTGCCATTAATAATGATACTTCCAATAAGGTATTCCGTAGATATCCAGATGACCCCAACCAACCAAGTTTTTTCTCAGACCCGCCTGCTCCGCCCAGTACCTTGCCAGCCAAAAGACCCCAAACCCAAGATGTAAATGCAACTCTCACCTACGACTGGCGCAGGAACCTTCCATCCCCCCCACTCCCCCATCATGACATCCCCCAACGGCCAGACCCGGGAGCAGTCACGGAGGGCGCGCCATGAACTCGCAACTCACTCCCAAAAGTACCTCTCCCTCGCCCTCGCCCCCGCCGTCTTAGACGATTCTCCCCCTGCGCCTGCAGGCCCCCCACCACCACCACCACCGCTTCCGCCCACCCCCCTCGACGGCGGCCCACCCGCTCCCCCATAGGCAGTAGGTATACACCCCCTACCCGCGGCAGCCGCCTCCCCAGCAGCAGCAGCAGCATGCCAGATCTCCTCCCTGAAATTGCACCGCCGCGCGGCGGCCTCCGACGCCGACGCGGGCGCGTACGCCTGCTGCTGGTGCCGCGCGTGGTCCTGCAGGGCGTCGTACGAGAACGCCGGGCGGAGAGGTGGGCGCCGGTGGTGATAGCCCCCCGCCGCCGCCCCTTCATACCCCCGCGCGCTACCGCTACCGCTACCGCTTCTCCTACCGCCGCCGCCGCTGCCGTATGGGTACGGTGACGCGGCCCATCCTGCTTGTCGGCTGTTGCTGGAGTCATACATGTTTTCGTCGAGCGAGGCGTGGCGGGTGCGGTAGCCGTGGATGGACGAGGGCTCCGACGCGTACAGGCCGTTGCCGCTGCCGCGGCCGAAGGCGGGGTTGGTGGTGAGGGGTTCTTTGGGGGCGTCGTTTCGGTCGGCGGACATGTCCTCGGAGGAGGGGTAGGTGCTGCGGCGGGAACCGGATTCCCATGTGGGGAGACCGTCAACGGGCGCTTGGCCGCCGCTGTTTATCCTGGGCCGGCCCCCCTGGCCGTAGTTTTCTGCGAGCGTCGGGTTGATGCCGGTTACGGCCCACGCAAAGACGGCCACGTCACGTATGGAGCGCATTAATTCTATGACTGGAAATTAGTATGGACTCTCCCGATGGGAGATGGGGAGGGGGGAAAGACATACGGTCAATAGGTGGCCCGCCCGCCGCCTTGACGCATTCCCGTAACGGCATGTATTGTGGTAGAAGTGGGGGGCGAAATGTGTAAAGTAGGTCCGGGGAGATATAAGGTTCGATCGGCTGCTGTCCCCACGGGGCTGCGAAGAGGCCGTTCTCGAAGTTTAAGGCGGCCGGTGCCACCGGCGGTTGTGGGTCGGGGATGGGCGGCCGTGCTCGCCGCAGCACAACGACGAGCCCATCTGATGTGCACGAAACGACAGCCTCCAGCTCAAATGTCTGAGGTGACTGGCGATGAGATCTCCCACGGGCATCGTTCCCAGCGCCGTCTTCCCCACCCCGAGTCCGGAGATTAGACCCGTCGTCAATGTCCATGCAACCATTCCTCAGGCCTTCGTCTTTGACGTCAACTTCACTCGCGCTGGGGCTACTCCTGTCGTCTGCTCCATCCTCCGTTTCATCAACTCCCTCCTCGTTGAGTGGGTCATTAGGGTCGATCCGCGGGTCCTTGTACCAGAAGCGGAGGTAGGCAATCGACTCGTTTGCCTTAGCGCTCTCCAAGCATCTTTCAGCCTCGTCGAGACAATTCGGCTGGATACATTCGTAGAACGGCTTCTCGAGAAGCTCATCGGAGCGTATCCCCAGAATTTGGGCGACGGCGTCTGTTGCGTACATGATGGTTAAGTTTCTCGTAAAGCGGTTGAGGATTAGGGCAGCCCGCGGTTCCCGCTCCATCGGGGGCATTTTGAATTTAGGCGACAGATGCTCGAGCATGTGGTATCGGGGGTCTCGCGGGGAGCTAGAAAATATCCGCCTGATTTGTGGTGCATCCCTCGCTCTCCCTGAAGACGTATGTTAGCAGTGGGCAAGGGGCTTGGCAAGTGAGTTTGGTGCATACTCTCGCTCCTTTCCCCCCTGAAGTATATACTTGTCGAGGCGACCAAGACATTGTGAACAACCGTAAAGCAACACTCGCAGCTCATCCACTGCCCATTCTTCGCAACGATGCGGGCATAGTGCAAGACGGCCGCCTTATCTAGCAGCACGCCTCGGCTGTGAACAGAACGAGCAAACGGGACCTCCTCGGGATGGAAATACTCAAAGGCGGACTTGCCCCGGACCTCATCAGGCTGGTAGCCCAGAATGTCGAGAATCGAGTCGGAGGCGAAGAGGATGTTGGCATCGGGGGTGAGGTCTGGGGGGCACTAGAGTCAGCCCGGGCCGGGGAACGAACGCGGTCTGATTTGACCTACTGTGGATGGTCATGAACGTCTGGTCTCGGGGGTCCATGGGGGGCTGAATATGGCGGGCCGCTCCAACGAGCTGGCCTGGCGTGCAAGAGTGTGGTTACAAGATGCTCTCCATGCGTCGACAGAAGAAGGGGAGTAGTATCGGGCAAGGGAGGCTAGTCTCGAAAGGAGGCGCCGAGCCAAACACAAAACAGGGCGTCGCGCAGTGTAAGTGCAAGTTGCCAGTGTCCCAGGGGTTGGCGGCACGGGACAACAAATCAGGCGCGGTTCCTGGATTCCTGTGACCGGGAGCAACGAGACCGAGGGGCTACAGAGCGTGCGGCAGCGAAGAGTTGGGCACACTGCGGTATCGCCTGTGCGTGAACGGATGTCCTCGACCGCCGTGTCTGGGGGTTGCCAACTGAGGTTGCGTAGGACAGAGATCCCGCCGTCACCTGGGAAGCGGATATATCCAGTCCCACCTGTTCCACCGCCGGCTGGTTCTGGGGCTAGCGGGGAGGAGAGGGGAGCACGTTTGCCGAGCGCGCTGAGGGAACCCTGGAAAGCGGCCAGATGCAGCACACGCTGCGGAGAAGTTGCCGACTGCTCGGAGCGAGAGACCGAATCGCAACCGAAAGCACCCGCAAGGTCGCACTGCTGGCAATGGCTTCGGTTCTGTGCAGCCAGGCAAAGCACCAGAGATCAGGGTCGCGGCGACAGTTGTGACGGGGAGAGTGCGAAAGGGGGAGGAGGGATTGCCGGCGGTTTGAAATTGCGAGGTAACGGCCGATTGTTGTCGGTGCTGCGGAGACCCAGACGCCGTGCAGGAGGTTTTTTTTTTTTTTTGTCTTGTCGCGTTTGTCGACAGTTCCAATGGGCAGGTAGGTAGTAGGTCTTGTTCTCACGGCCCTTCTTTGGGGGTCAAGTGGGCGACAAATCGGCGGGCTGGACAGGTATCGTTGGTTCCAATAACCGGAGAGGAAGAGCGCGCCAAATTGTGGGAGTGGGCGAGAGAGTGGGTATTCCGTGTGTGTGGCTGCTCAAACAAACTGGAAACGATGAGAGACACTGGCTGGGAAGAATCCGAACTCCAAGACTGAGACGGCAACTAACGGAACCGCACCACACAACACTTTGCGGGAATGCGGTAGTTATTGAGTGTCTGGAAAGCTGCGGGCGGGATGCGACGCAGCGCGGAGTGGTAAACTGGCGATCCCCAGGACTCGAGGTCGAAGTGAAGAGAGCATGGAGGGGCCCTGCAAGGTACGGGCGGGACCTTAAACTTTGCACTGGCGTGCCGGAGGATTTCGAGACGGAAACATGGCGCGGATGGCGCGAGCTTCCGTCGACTCCACGCCCTCGAGAGGGAAATGGAACCTGGGAGCATCCTCTTTGGGCGGGATGCAATCCCGCCGGCAGAAGCGCAATTTTTGCTCCCCACCCCGGCAGCAGCAGGTGCCGGCGCGGAAGTCTAGCCCTGTTGGGAAGAACCAGAAAGGCCAGGGCCTGGGTTGTTGTGGTTGTGGAGAGCATCTTGGCGAGCGGGATGGTACCCCAATTGTCCAAGAATTCTCGGGTTGCACAACTCCGTCTTTGAATGGATGGCAGATCGAGAAAATCACCAATCACGAAGGAGCTGAACTCGACGATTTGACATTGACAAACTGTAAGTTTAGACAAATTTCAATAAACATCTGCGTCTTCGGATAACTCCATTTTTGAAGTCGGCAGGACCGAAGGACGAGTGCCCATTGAACCGTCAAGGTGTCTGCCAATCTAGGCAGGTCATCCACGACCTGGATGAAGAATGCACGAACTCCCTACCCGGCGGGTGACGGGAGCTCGCTGCGGCCTAGCTTTTTCGGGTAAATAACACAAATTCATTCCCCCGTGAACATCAAGCTGGAACCCCAGAGACAAACTTGATCCTGGCGAACTTCCACAGACATGACGTCGAAAATGCATAAAAAAGCAAAAGGCCGCCAAGACGAAAGACGCCCGACTTCACCGGGGGTATCAGTACATACTGAGCAGACCGTAAATATCCCATCTCTCTCACTGGCTTTTTTCTTGCCGAGACAGTACGTGCGTATCTTCCATGTTCTGTGGTTGCGCGGCCTTGGCAACCGTTCTTGCTTGCCCTCTTGTGAGACAGACCTGGATGGACAGAAAACTGACGGGTTTCCCTTGTGCTCCTCACACTCGGGAATCGCACACGGTGTTTGATGTACAAACACACACTCACCCCCGCACGTGCCCAGGCGCCCCGTAAACCATTTTGCTGCCCGATCTCTGGGCTCCTCGACGGTCGTCACCATCGAAATTCCCAATTCCCGCCCGTCTGCATGATCGTCAGGGCCGGGATGACTGCAACCCCCCAGCGAGGATCACGGCCCCACTGCCCGTCGCAACCCGAGGGACGGGAACGGATGAACCACGGGCGCCACTCGGCCCAGCCGGACGTGGCTTCACCGCAATTCCCCGTGACACGGAGACGTTGCCCGGTGGCGGCTAGGTATGGAGTGTTGTGTATGTAGATTTTAGGTCACCCGGTGGAGTACGTCTAGGTGAAGAGGCCAAAAGCGGCGTTCCATGGGTGTTTTGTTCGATGCTCTCCGTCCCTCTCCTGTCTCAGAAGACAGCAACTCAAATTCTCGAAAACTCCTTGGCGTGGGGTTGCGGGTACTCTTGGCGGGAGAGCGGGTGGGCCCCGAAGGTTTTCGGGGTGCTGGGATGGCGGCTTTCCCCGTCTGGGCTGTTTTTCGGTGCGACCATTGGAGGATTTGCGGATTAGTCAACAAGTCGAGATTTGCTCTTGCTTTCCGTCTGTTCCCCTTCATGCACGCTTCCATCCCGATTCGCTGGTGCTCTTCATCCCCCCAGGGGCCGGGCACGGCTGGAATGATGGGAAATCATGGAATCACGCCTTCCTGGTCCGGAGCATCACGGGCAAATCTCGACAATCCCTTCGCTTCGCGAAATCCGTCTTCGTCATCGCAGCTCGGCGCCAGCCATGTGACGTTCAGCCGAGCTGGAACCCCAGCGTATGTGCGTATCCACGGCATCCCGGGGAGATGCAAGCGATGAGAAAGTCTACGCGAGGCCGATACTCCAAAGTTCTCGGATCCAGGATTGCGTCTAATATTTGCAAGGCTTCCTCTTGGCATTTGGAAAGGAGATGAGAGTCGAGCTGGACTCACCACGGTTACCTCTGCTCTTCATTACATTTTCCGTTGCAGCATCTCCCGATAATAAAACTCCGGATTGTGTTGTTGGCGAGATAGGACTTCATTCCAAATAACTACCTAGGTACCTACCTAGTCAAGTTACACGCCGGAGGGACTTTGCACAGCTTCGACTCAACAACTCGGCAGCTACAATGAACCTGTTGTGCTTGAACTGCACCACAGTTAGTAAAGTAAAGCTGCCAGTCCCGAATAAGCGGCGTACAAGTCTGAAATCAAACGTTGCCGTGATGAAGCACATGTTTGGCGGGTGTCAACAGAGCTTCTGCAAGTATCTGGCCCGAACTATAGCATCAGAGCCTATTATGATACTGGCTGAATGCTTCATGAAGAGGAGGGATGGCTGTCCAGTTAGGTAGCGCCTTTCAGCGGCCGGTCTCACAACACTCATGCCCAGCAGTTTTAACATTCAATAACTATCATGCTGCTTCAGACCCAGCAAGTGCAAATATGATAGGAGTAGTCCCGGGGTTGTGACGAAGTCGATGATGCGTGGGCTATGACTGCACTTTCCATTGTATGGGAGGACTAACTAGGTACCTAGGTGGTAGTCGACGTTGTACATAGTATGTGCTGCACTACCCCTGCCATGGACGTCTGAGTCCTCAAGGCGACTCGGCTCGCGTCTATTAGGTCCAACCCGGCGGATAGAAGAGCATAGCTTGCGATTGTGATCATTGGACTCAACAAATACAGACTGAGCCCCGTCTCAATGACCACTTGCTTCATTGTCCTGCTAAAATAGGTCTGTACAATACGCGGTGACACCTCTTCTTTAACATTACGGTGAGTACACAATTTGAAACCGTAGGAGTCTCTATCCCCTCATGCCAGGCAGTAGTTATGGGCATCCGTCCATTCGACCATTGCCTTTTCCATCTGTTTATTGGCTCCATAAGTCGCAGTGTTCGCCCTCCAGGTCCTTTTTCATCTCCTAGACGGCTCCGATACTTTGAAGCCCTTCGTGGTCTAAATTAGCGGCGAGTGGAGCCGGGAAGACAACCCAGCCATCAGACGAAGTTGCGAAGGGAGCTTTGGTCGGAGGTCGCGTCGCGTGACGCGCATCTTTAATTGAACTTGTTGGCCCACTTTAATTCTGGAAGGAAGAACGAAACACCAAACAAACTGAACATAATATTGGCATTGGCATTCCGCAGCTACGAGCTCAGATTAAGTATCCTCTATTTCATCTACAAGCTTGTGCGATATCCCAGCACTCCCGTCCAATTTTACTCAATTTTCCGGTACGCACGGCGGGTCACCCAACCCCGATCAAGAACACCCCCCAAGCCGCACCCTCCACCGAAACGTCCCTCTGGCCCCACACCAACGGACCCGGCCTGGAACGCCTTTCTACAGCCTGCCAAAGTTGAAATAAATCAGATTGCCATATGTCGAAGATGGCCCCGGCCGACTCAGCCGAGTGGGAACTCCCCAGGCTACGTGCATCCTTCCTCTTCCAGGTACTTCCCCTTCACCATAGCCCCTCACCGCCCCCTATCAGACTTCGCGACACTCACGCTGCTGGTAGGACGACTATAAATACCTCTCCGCAAATGATCAAGCAGCAAGTCAGGGTGTGTATGCATTGGGCTCTACTATCGTCCGCCACGGGCGTAGCTGACCTGACTTAGACCTGGCCGAGTTCTTTGACGTTAAGTTCTACCCATACAACCCGCCAGGCGCTCCTCCGGTTTTCGCTGTGACTAGTAAGAAGCATGTAAGATGGCACCAGACGTGGGGAAATTCGGCACAAAACTAATCAGGGGCTGAAAAAAGGCCGTAGTGTGCCGGTTGACGCAAACAGACAAGGACACCCAGCCTTGCGAGATCATACAGCTTATCAGGGACGACGGTGTGAGTTAGAATCACTCTCGCCACATGTATTATGATCATGTCATCTCACTGTGTTAGGACGACGCCAACTGCGCGAGCTGCTGGTCAAGGGATCCCGCCACTGAGGAACCGCTGCTCTGTATTGCCGGCACCAACTCCAACATCAAAATCTACAACGTAAAGCAGGGAAAGTTGGTCAAGGTAAGTCCACGATCCGAAATCCCAACCCCTGGGACAGAATGGCTAACTGCGAGCAGACCTTGGTCGGCCACGGAGGCGTAAGTCGATGAGAACTGTGAGGCTTCAAGATCCCAGGCTCACCGACATAGGGCATCAACGATCTCGCAACCTCGCCAGCCGATCCGCTTATCGTCGCCTCGGCCTCGGACGACACCACCATCAGGATATGGAGCCTCGCAGCAGCCCACGAGAAGCAACCCTGTGTCTGTATCCTAGGCGGTGAGAGTCACTCATACGACTTGCTTAGTGTGGTACGTGTCGCCGTAAAAGAAAAAGAATTCTTCATTGTTGCTTAACCTTTCCCAGGCTTTCCATGACAACGGCCGCTATCTCTTGTCTACTGGCCATGACCAAGTCATCAATCTGGTAGGACCATATACCCCACCAACTTCTATTAAGTCCCGGACTGACACCCTGTAGTGGGCGCTTCCGGAATTCCCAGCCGAACACCTCGACGTCCCCTTTGTGTTCCAATATCCCCATTTCTCATCTTCCGAAATCCACCACAACCTCGTCGACTGGTAAGCTTGCGCTCTGCCCTCCTCTCAGCCAAACCCTTCCTAAGCCTAACCCCCCCAATAACAGCGTGGCCTTCCACGGCGACCTGATTCTCTCGCGGGCCTGCCACGAGGACTCGATCGTGCTCTGGCAGATCGAGGGCTTCTCGTCGGCGGACCCGATCCCGGGCCCGCTGGACGCGCCGACGCCGACCGACATGGCCAAGCAGACGCGGTCCTACTTCACGCCGACGCTGTCGCAGGACCGCCGCGCCATGTTCACGCGCCTGGCCCAGTTCCACACCCCGGACTGCGGCGTCCAGTTCTTCATGCGCTTCCGCATCTTCCACGCCCCCGGCCGCCACCCCATCCTCGCCTTCGCCAACGCCCGCTCCCGCACCTTCTTCTGGGACTTTGCCCGCTTCGCCTCCTACAGCCGCTACATGGCCGACCTGCGCGACGCCCAGAAGGCCGGCAAGCCCCTGCTGCCCGCTACCGCGGCCGCGGCCGGCGGCGGGGAGGCGCCTGCGGTCCAGAAGCCCGCGTGGCTGATGGTCAAGCGCGGGAAGAAGGGCGCTGCTGCCAACGCGGTGGCCCAGGCCGCGGCGGGCGATGGGACGCCGAGTCTGAGGTCCTTCGTGATGGGCGGTGGCGGCGGTGGCGGCGGTGGCGGCGGCGGCGGTAGTGCCGGCGCGGGGGACAAGGAGTCGATGGTCTCGGCGAGCCCGGACCCGGAGAGCGTCGTCACCGGCCTGGGGCACAGCAAGGAGACGCTCCAGGCCTGGGCCGAGATGTATGACCTGTCGAACCCCGTCGGCTATGTCAAGGCCCATCGGACCCTGCAGATCGACGGCGGGTTTGTGGGCAGGCAGGTGGGCTGGAGCCCTGAGGGGGAGTGGTGCGTGGTGGTGGGCAATGGGAACAGGGCGCTGATCTACCAGCGGTGGGCCAAGGAGAAGGGGGTGGCCACGACGGTGGCTTGAGTGTGATTTAGTTTGTAGCTGCGCGGTTTTGATGGTACTTGGGTTGTATTGCCTATCCAGCGGTGGTGTCTTTTGCACCTGTCTAAACTTGCATCGACGAAAACATGGGCAACACCGACCGGTCCGCGTCCTCTAGGTCGTCTTCGTCATCCGAGTCCAGAGTCGCCAGAAGCCGTTCATCATGGTCTCTTAGCCCTCCGGTCGACTTGATCTGGCTCAATAGCCCTTTTGCTTTCACGCGCTGGTCAGCCCGCGCTCTCCTGCCCTCTCTATCCTCGGAGGAAGACCGCGGTGCAGGCCTCATGAACAAGTCCCCGATATACAACGCCACCATGGCTCTGAGCCTGAGTAGCTCGTGGTCTCGTGAGAAAGGGATCGTTTCCATGACCGTGTCCATGCGCTGTGCGATGTCGGTCATGCGCCGCAGTGCCTCGAGCCGGACGTCGTTTTCCTTCTCGCGCAGTTTCAACTCCCGGCGGCTGAGGCCTCGTAGATGGGGTTCGGTTTCAAACTGCTCACCCCCCAGCTCTCCTTCTCCCATCCCCTCGAGTCCGTACTCTATCGGTTCATCCACATCCATGCTACCCTCCTCCTCCCAGCTGTCGCCCCGCTGCAGCTTCGCCAGCCCCCTCTTGTTCGCAGCATGCGCCGCCTCCATCTCGGCACTGAACAGCGCTACCTGGAAATCCAGCACATTATGAGCGCTGCCGGCATGCTGCTTGCTGTACGGGTACTGCTGGATGAGGTACTCGTAGTACGCCTTGAGCCGGGCCAACCTCTCCACCTTTACCTCCTCATCCTCCACATTCCCATCCCCATCCCCCTCCCCTTCCACCACCTGCCCCCAATCCCCCTCCCCATCCCCATCCTCATCCCCATCCCCTTCACCCTGATCACTCTCCCTTCCACCAACCCCCCTCCTAACCCTGCTAACCCTCCCACCCCTCCCACCCCCCCCAACCTCCCCCTCCCTCACCAGCACCTCCGCCCCCATCTCCCAAAACCGCTCCCTTCTCAAATCCACCCTCCGCCCGTACACCCGCGCCCGCACCAGCAGCCCAAACGCCCGCCTCGCCCTCGCCACATCCCCCTCGGCCAGACACCGCCGCACCACGGCCGCCAGACACCCCAGGCGCGCCCGGTACGCGCGCGCCCCGCGATCTGTTGTTGCTGTGGAAGTGTCGTTGCCGTGCTTCCCCCTACGGCTACGGGTGCGACTGCGGCGGTTGCCGCTGCTGGTGGTGGTGGTGGGCTCGGATTCGGGGTCAGTGGTCTCGGCATCGGTGGTGCGCCAGCCGCCTTCGGTGGCGGTCGCGTCGTCGTCGGCGTCGCTGGCTGGGGTGGAGCGGAAGGCTGCTGCTGCTGCTGCGGTGGGGTCGTCGTCGTCGTCGTCGTCGTCGCTGCTGGCGGCGGTGGTGGTGGTGGTGGTGGGGAGTTGCTTGCGGGCGGGGCGGGAGGTGCCGCGGTGCGGGAAGCCCGGGTGGGCTCTGGAGGGGAGGGGCTTGTCGGCGGGGTAGCCGGCGAGGACGAATTGTCGGAGGGTGTCGGGGGAGTGGGAGAGGGGGTTGATGACCGCCTCTGAGGGCGCGCGTTTGCGCTTGCGGTGGGGGGTGCTGGTTGGGGGGCTGTTCATGGCTTTTGTTCTTTTTTGGTGAGAGGGGTGGTTTGGATGTTTGGGGTCGGTAGTTTAGAAGCGCGGTTGGTATGCTGGTGTTGTGTTGAGTCGACGGTTGATGGTTGAGATGAACGGTTCTGAGCTGTTGTATAAACTCACATGTGGCGCAAATGGGCACTGAGATAATTTCAAACCGTCACTGGTCCCTAAATATCACATAACTTCGCTGATGGCAAAAGTTTAGATTTTCTGGGTTTGTTGTGACTTTGACAAGATTTTCAGTCTCTCTTACGAGAGGGTTGGTGGGTGATGAGGAGTTACAGGTTTGCCCAGCTGCTGAATCGGGATTTTGATGCGGAACTGCAAACAGCAACCACACCACGACCCAACATAGGATCATTATCCACTCAAAATAACCAGTTCCTTTGAGCGATGAAAATCACAGGGAAGTAAGCAAATTCAAAATCGCTTGCATTTACATCTTTCTGCTAAACAAGGTATTTCCTTCTTGACATCTCCCTCTTCCACTTAGGACTTAATCGGCCCCAACTTGAGTGCCATATTTTAGAACGAGAAACCACTTGCTAGGATGACATATCTGCGCTGGGTCTATTCATATACATTTCTGATGTGGTGGTACGCCCTACGCCTTGCGCTCAAAGTAGACCCATTGGCCCTCGGCCGGTTGCTCCTCGAGAGGTTCCCAGCTAGCTAGATGTTAGTAAATGTAAAATAAACAAGAGGAAGCATAGGGCGCCGCTTACACCTTGGACTCGACCATGGTGTCCACCAATTTGAGCTCGCCCTCAGCGACCTGAATGACCTCCTCGATCAAGCCAGCGCCGATCTTAGTCTCGAGCTCCGAGACTCTACATCGAACGGATCAGTATCTGTCACTCGCTCACGGAGTCTTGAAAACCCACTGGTCGGCCGTAAATTGCGGCTCCGGCTCCCACTCGACCTCCCCCTCAACATCCGCAATATCCCTCCTCTCGAAGATATGCCTCAAATCCTCCCTCTCCTCGGCCGTCCTGCTGCCCTCGAGCTCCGGGCCCTCATCCTGCTCGCCGTCCCACTCCTCGTACCGCATATCCTGCTTCTGGGGGATCTGGTGCACGACAAAAGCCTGGCCGCCGCGCTCGAGCTTGATGGCCTTCTCGCCGCTCACGCCGTCCTTCCTCGAGACGGCGAACTGGTCGGGGTGCTCGCTGACCAGCTTCTGCGCCCTCTCGGCCCACTCCTCGTATCCGGGGGGCACGACGCCCTCGACGAGGGCCATGCGGTGTTTGGTGACGGCCTCGACGGACTGGCGGTAGACCGAGTGGTCGGGCACGGCCTTGAGCTTGTCGAGGGTCGAAGTGTAGAGGTAGAGGAGGGTCGAGCGCGGGGAGGCGTGCGTGGTGAGGCCCGTTAGGCCCGTCGGGTTGCCCGGTTCGAGGTACCGCGCGGCCGGCCGAACGGCGGCCAGGAGGCGGAAAGTCGCGCGCATCTTGGTGGGATGATCGGGCGGCGTCCCAATTGATGTGGTGGTGGTTATTGCTGCCGCGGAGCGGGGATTCTCTCGGGAGCGCTGCTGCTGCTTCAGACGTCAGAGCTTCTTGCTGCTGGTCGCCAATCGGGCGCTCCAATTGGGATCCTGGAAGAGGTGTACCACGTGACTCGTAAGGTAACTTACGATGTTACAACAATACGCTTCCGTTCTGTGACCGTAAATATGAAGGGTTACACAACACAACACTTCTCCTAACATTTCCAAAAGTTGCGAGGACCTCGGAGATACAAGGGCAGATTGTATCATTCTATACAAGCTTACGGAGATAGTTTGTTTCTAACGTAGCAGCCGGTTTTGACCTCATCCGAGAATGCCCGTCATGTTTGAGCATCTCCGGGGCAAGAACATCTCTCACACCACTTCGTTTCTCGCATGATGGCTTCCACGACGAATTAACTGCCACTGGCATTGAGTATTGTTTTCATGTTTTCATGAGGCTCCTCATCATAATTCATCATTTTCTTCAAATACAAAGCTTAAGAATTTTACAAACAGTCGCTCTCCACTAAAAGAAAAGTAAATCGCCCTCGTCCCACCCCATCCCCAACAATGCCTCCCTCGCCGCCTTCTCCATCCCCTCCGGCCCGCAAATCAACACCATCGTATCCTTCTCCCCCGTCGGCCTCCCCACCTCACGCTCCAACAACCCCTTATCCACCCGCCCCCTCAACCCCGTCCACCCCTCCCCAGGCCGGCTCAGCGTATGCACAAGCCGACACCGTTCCCCCCCTTCCCGCTCCAACCCCGCCAACTCCTCCCTCAGCAAAATATCCCCCTCCTCCCGATTCCCATCCAGCACCACACAGCTTGTCTCATCCTCCCCATCCCTCACCACCGCCCGAAGCACCGCAAAGATAGGCGTCACCCCCGACCCGCCACAAACCATCACAAACCGCCGCACCGTCCTCTCCTTCCCATTCACACTACACCGCCCGCGACCCAGATACTCAAACTTGCCCACGGGGCCCTTAAAATCAACCGCATGCCCCACCGGCAGCGCATCCAGACCCTGCGTCATCAGCCCACCCTTGCGCGCGGGCGTGTCGCGGTAGATCTTGACGAGCACGCGCAGGGTGCCCGTCTCGGTGCCCTCGGACAGGGGCGTGTAGGCGCGGATGACGGCCTCGCGCGTGGCCGGGTCGCGCAGGCGGATGAGCAGGTGCTGGCCGACGGGGAGGCCGACGGTTTGGGTGGGGACGGGGAGGGTGAAGTGGAAGATCTTGGTGTCCGGGGACACGGTGGTTTTGGAGGCGAGCAGGGCGCGGCGCCAGGTTTTGGGGGTGAGGAAGACGGTGTCGGTGGTGGTGGTGGGTGTGGTGGGGGTGGGTGAGGAGAGGGTGAGGGGGGCGGCGCCGATGTGGTAGGCGGGCATCATCGCTTTGGCGTTTTCGCTGTCTTTTTTTAGGGGGGAGGGTGTTAGTAGGGGTTTGGATGGTAGGTGTGGTTTGGGCGAGACACTTACGAATGGCGAGGAACTCCTCGCTTACGTCTTGCCCTGCGGCGTTGGTGATGGAGGCAGCGCCACCGGGGTGCTCTTCGAGGAACTTGGTGCCGTCGTAGACTTGGCCGTTGACAACGAACCATGGTTTGTCCTCGCCAGAGTGTTCTTGGAGCTCCTCGGCGGTGATCTTGCGGGTGATTTTCTCGTCGACCATGCTGATCTCCTTGGCGGGCGCCTCTGTCGATAGCGCTTCGTCCTCGCCGGTCATCTTCTCCCCCCAGAACCCGTTGGAGAGGTTGCCGCCTCCTTTCTTGACTCGTTCCATCCACCCTCCCGGCATCAGCGCCGGCTGGGCGGGATGCTCGAATCTCAAACCATGCGCCTCCTTGTGGATGACGACCCGGTACCACGGGTTGTTCATCATACCCAATACGCTCCAGTACATATCCCGCGGCTGCACCATCATGGAGTCATCCATGCCCCGAATCATCACATCACCCGCCTCTTGCAGCCGCGAGAGAGGCACGTCCAGCTCCCAAAAACACCAACAAAAGGAGCTCTCCCGCCACGCCATGTCCAGTCTCCCACCAAACAGCACCTCTCCCTCCGGCGCAAGCCGGTACAAGTCTTCGGGGTACGACATGGTCGCCAGCATCCACGTCCTGCCCTGATCCAACGTCACCTCCATCCGGCTCACCCTCTTCCCACCCCCCGCATACGCATACCCCTTCAGCTTGTACGTCCCCTCACTACCCGGCGGCACCGCCACCCTCTCGTCATGCGCCGGATAGCAGATGGCGCTGTTGGTATTCAAGTCATAGATCGCATACCTCTCATCCTTCCACGTCTCCGGCAGATTCGCGCTGTCCTCGGGGCTGATCATCATAGGCAGCACCCTGTTGTCATAGATATGATACCAGTTATCACTCGGCCGGTCCGTAACAATGATCCTCTTCAACCACTTCACACTGCGGCCGCCAATCTGCCCCGGAATGACCACGCGCAGCGGCTTGCCGTGGTCGGGGTGGAGCGGCTCGCCGTTCATGCGGTGGGCGAGCAGCATGCCGCGGTCGGGGTCGGCGGCCCAGGCGAGCTTGACCGAGGTGCCGTAGTGGCCGTTGGGCAGGCGGTCGGCGCCCTCGAAGCAGACGTAGCGGGCGCCGCGCGTCGGCGCCGCGCGCGCGAGCAGCGACGCCAGCGTCACCCCCGTCCACAGCGCCGTCGACAGGCCCGCCGCGCCCCACGAGAAGCCCTTGGTCTTGCGCACCAGGTTCTGCTCCTTGCGCCGGTTGCCCGCGCATACGAGTGTGATGGGGTACGTGACTTGTTCGTATGTCTGCATGAGGTCGCGCAGCGTGAGCGTGGCTGGGTGGGCTACCAGGCCCTCGATGCTGAATTCCCAGTCGAGGACGCCGGCGTCCTCGACGACTGGCACCGCGCCATGGTTGCGCACGTAGTGCAGGTCTTTGCTGGTGAGGAAGCCTTCGTCGTAGAGGTCGCTCAGGGGGGCTTCGACGTTGAATGGGTGGACGCCGGTTAGCCTGATGAGTCTGGGGTCCCTTTCCACGTGGTTGTCGGGGGTTTTGAGGTCTTCGGGTAGGACTTTGTTTTCTCTTGTTGTTGGAGGGAGTGGGTAGAGCGGCGCGGATCTTCCAATGCCGTTTGAGGGCAACACAAAGCCTAGCTTTTGGTACTCGTCGTAGTCTTGCAGCGGAGGGGTTGGGGGAATATGTGGATGGAGGGCAAGGGGAGAGGAGTGGAGAGAAGGGGTTGGTGGGAGTGCCACTTCCATAGTGTCTGTAATAATGGGGCGTAACTAGACAAAAGACGGAATAATAAACACCACCCAGGCTAAGCTGTAAAACGATGTGTGGCCGCTGAGAAGGGTTGAGAAGGAGAGATAACGGTGGCTATGAAATACTACGAAGGTGATGTGAGAGTGGAACACCTTGAAGTCAGCATGTCCCATCCCACAACTCCCACGTTTTATTCCCGTCCCGAATAGAACATCATCCCGAAGGAGTGCTTGTTTCTCCGTGGCCTTGTCGGAGTTGCACGATAACGATGACCGGCAGTGGCTTGATGGGGAAACTCCTACGAAGTATAAACAGGGTCTTGGACCGCGGGTCGTGGGCTGTGGGCAGTTCAGGTTTGTGTGGACCCGGGTAGCCTCCCTCCGGCCGCCGCTCAGAATATCTGGCGTGAGACCTTACCGCAGTGAGAATATCCGAGAGAGGGTATCACAGCGACGGTCGGTGTGCGGTATGGTATGGATGCCCATGCTGACAATAGACACCACCCGAGGAGACCGGAAATCATCGCACAACAACGCATGATCGCCTCTCTTCCGCGGACATGCTTCGATCGGTGCCAGTAAAGGAGCAGACGGATTGCGCACTCTTATCAGCTGTTTGGGCCACGATATGGCAGTCTGCAAATCAGACGTCCTGATAAGGCGGCCCACTTCAAGATTAGAACGGAGATGCTTGACCAGGACTTTCTGCGAGTCGCGACAACCACGACGTCGCAAACCCGGTGTCGCCGAACATATATCTGCAGCTTTGGAACCACCCCATATCCCTTCTCTTTTGGATGGAGAGGTTTTGCGGAGGGCAATTCTGTGCCATGATTACCCCCACACCACGAGCGATTTCTGTTTTTCTTTCTCCGGTTCGAGATGTTGGTGTGTGGTTGCTCGTTATCAGGAGCCCTGCGGCTGTTTGGCGTGGGACGACAGGGGGGTCTCACGAGGCCCAGGCCTTTATCTGCCAGGGGTCGAGCTTGGCTCGGGGGCTCGGGGCCAAGACACCGCTGCGGGTCCAATCCTTGATCCGAATCGCCGGCTGCGCAGCTGCCGAGTCGCCGTGGCCGGCATCTGCCAAGACCCGTGCTCCGGCGAGCGACTTTCACGGATTCCACGTCGCCTCCAGTCTTGGTGGTAGGTAGTTACCTAGGTATGTAAGTTAGTAAATGTAACATCCATTTGCGGCGGATTTACCTATGAATAGATCTAGGGTGGCTATGTACTTCAAAATATCCGACGATTACCTTTGTTTCGATTCGTAAGGTGCATGCACGCATCACCGCGACAACGATACAATCAGCGCGCTTTCACGGCATATTGCCGATTAACTCGAGAATCCGAATGGCACGAGAGGAAGCTCGATCGATCCAAGCGGTTAGTAAGTGAGAGAAGTTGCTGCATCATAGGTAGTTTAAGTACCTACCTATACCGCCGACGGCACCGAGAGGTACATACCTTTGTTCCTGAGCATTTTCTCAAGTTTGCAACTAAGCTGAAACTGCTCGCCGAGAAGACTAAGCACTCCGGGAAGGGCAAATTCCTGCGTTTTCGAATACCCTACCTAGGTATTTATGCGGCTGGGCGTCGCAAACAACTCACAAGCTATGGGTTTGGAAAACGGAAAGAACCTTGCCACTGATTGCCTGAGCTTCCATCCAATGGATGTGGGGTTGGATCCCGTCGCGGGGCTGCTTCCGCCCGCGGGGCTGTCGCTCCAGGCCAAGGGGCGCTAAGACGCGCCTAATGACCCAATCCTAGGGCGCTGATGCGGGAATCCACCAAAACCGCAAGCACTATCAATTCCGTCACCGAACCTTCAACTTTCAACCGCACAGGGTTCTTCCAACCTAGCATTCGACAGCGCGATCTCTTGGACCTTGCACACTCTCTTGGAGACTCTCCTTTACCACGGGTGCCTCTAGAGGCTGCTTCTGCAAATCACGTCACCGATGCCTCCCATTGCTGATGGGGATTGTCGTTTCCGGTTCCTTAACCCTTAGCATCTCGAACTTCGAATGCGCCACCACTGCCAACACTATCCGAATTGCACACCACCAAGATAACGGCCCGCCATGGATCGTGCTAGGAGGCGTACGTGCCCCAAAGTGCGCCATCGCTTGTGACGAGATGGCTAATGTCTCACAGACGAGTTGCGCGAGCTGAACGAGCGGGCTTGGAATGGGGAGAAGGGTGAGGATATCCAGACGTTCATTCTCGAATCGCTCGTCGCCGTGGGCTAATGCCATCTTTGGCTAGATCTTTTCCCCGTCGGCAACTCGCTCGACTCAACCATGAAGAAAAACACTGCTTTCATTAAGCGCCTGCGTACCGCCATCTCCCCCGCGACCCTGAACACGTTCCTCCAAGAAATCAAGACCGTCAGCCTGTCGAAATATCTTTCCGAGATTGTCTCGGCTTGCCACGAGGGTTTATGCAAGCTCAGGTCCCCGGGCGAGATTGAAGCCGGCGTGGAAATTGTCAGCGCTCTGCACCAGCGCTTTGGACCCGACGAGTTTACATCGTACCTGGGATGGTTCCTCGGGAGGTCGATGGCGACACCCGATAAAAGCGTTCTGAAAACGCTTACCCCGGAAGCAAGAGACAAGGAGGAGAAGGATCGATTGGTTCGACAGCGGGTCCTCCTCCGGGTCGTGACCGAGCTCTGGCTGGTTGATGTCCTGCGCACCCTGGACGACATCAAGCGCCCGGATGATGCCACGAATGGAGGTGCTGGAAAGCAGACCGAAGTGAAGTCCCGTGCCTCCGCCAAAGGAGGTGCTGCCGAACCATTCCCCCTTGAAGTTCTGAAGGATCTTCTTGGTCATGACCGGGAACATGCCAACCTGCCGCTACTAGTCGTCTTCGTCAGGGCGTTCAGCTGGGATGTCCTCGGCGTCAGGGCTGCCGGCTCCGAGGGCCGCAAAACTGTTGAGGAAGATGGCGTGACCAAGGCCGGAGAAGCGGCTGATGACCAAGAAGGCGAGCCCGAACCGACGTCTGAAGATCCTCCTTTCACCCCGCCCGAACTACAGGAACGCTTCAGGAACATCTTGAAACGCTACTTCGAAGACGTCAAGGGCCACCTTGTCCGGGACCAAAAGGCCATTTACAACCAGTCCCGCAAGAATGCCGAAGCCTACGTCAAGTCGGGCGAAGTGTTTGAAGACCGCCAGGCGAATTTTGAGAAGCAAGTCAAGGCTCAGGAGCGTCTTGTAGCCAACGCACATGTCATCGCGGATGCCATTAGCGCCGAGATGCCAGATCTGAAGGACAGCGACGATCCTTCAGGTGGCGCGAATGGCTCTATTGGCATTGTCAAAGCTGGTGAATACCTACGCGGTCAAGGAGACGGTTCCGGAATCTGGGAGGATGAAGAGGAGCGCCGCTTCTACGAAAACCTCGTTGACCTACGGGGCAAGGTTCCCGGCATTCTCCTGGAGGAAGTCAAAAAGAAGAAGGCCGATGCGGACGAGCAGGTTGGCAAGAAGGTTGACCCGGCGGAAGTCGCTGAAGCCCCGAAGCCGGCCGACACCGCCGCCGACGATCAGTCAGTGGCGATTGCAAACAAGACCATCGGAGCTCAAGTCGATGCTCTGCTTACCAGATTGCCGGACCTCACGACCAAAGATGCCATTGACCAGACAGCCATCGACTTTTGTTATCTCAACTCGAAGGCTTCGAGAAACCGGCTTGTAAAGGCATTGACAGACGTCCCGAAGGGCCGCGGTGATCTTCTCCCGTGTTGGGCGAGACTCGTTGCCACTCTCGGCCAGTACATGACAGACATCCCTAAGGGACTCGTGGACTACCTGGATGCCGAGTTCCGCAGTCTGCAACGGCGCAAGGAAAAGGAATTTCTGGGTCAAGTCAGGCTCAGCAACATTCGCTACCTGGCTGAACTGACCAAGTTCGGCATTGTCCCCGAGCACGTTGTCTTCCATTGCCTCAAGGTCAGCCTAGATGATTTCTCTCGCATGAACATCGAGATCATCTGCAACCTGCTGGAGAACTGTGGCCGCTACCTGCTGCGGAACCCCGAGACTTCGCCCCGCATGTCGGCGTTCTTGGAAACGTTACAACGGAAGAAGTCTGTGCAGCACATCGGACCGGCCGAGAGAATGCTTATCGAGAACGCCGTGTACTACGTCGACCCACCTCAGCGTCCGGCAATCGAGCAAAAGGAGAGAACGCCCATGGAGCTCTTCATCCGCAAGCTTGCTTACGCGGACCTGACCAAGCGGAACTACAGCAAAGTCCTCAGGCAGATTCGCCGGCTCCACTGGGAAGAGAAAGAGGTATACAGCTACTAAACCCCCCCTACCCCACAGCTTGGACGTCGTGGTCTAACCTAGACAGGTTGTCTCTGTGCTTCACAAGGTGTTCTCGAAGCCTGGAAAAGTCAAGTTTGGCAACATCCATCTGCTTGCCATCCTGTTGAGCGCCGTCAACAGGTACCATCCCGATTTCGTGATCGGCATCATCGACTCCGTAATCGAGTCCATCGCGTTTGGTCTTGAGCAAAATGACTTCAAATTCAACCAGCGCCGTGTTGCTGAAGTCAAGTACCTGGGCGAGCTGTACAACTACAGGATGCTCGAGCATCCCGTGATCTTCGATGTCATGTACAAGATCATGACCTTCGGTCACGGTACCTAGTAACCCCCCGTTTCAGCATATGCCAACTGGCTAATCATAGTCTCTAGGTGGGCCGCCAATGCCTGGGCGTATCAACCCGTTCGATCAGCCTGACGACTACTTCCGCATTCGCCTCATCTCCACAGTTCTCGAGACGTGTGGGATGTTTTTCAACAAGGGTGCTGCCGGGAAGAAGCTCGACTACTTCCTCTCCTTCTTCCAGTATTACATCCACGCCAAGAACCCTTTGCCCATGGATATCGAGTTCCTAGTCCAGGACATTTTCGCTTTGTGCAGACCTCAGTGGAAGCTAGCTTCTAACATAGAGGAAGCCGCGGAAGTGTTCCGTCTAGCGATGGTCCAGGACCAGAAGACTTCGGGACTTGACAGGGCCGTGGAGCAGGATGATGAAACAAGCGGAGGTTCCAGTGATGACGAGCATGTGGGGGACCAGGATGATGATGACGAGTCGGGCTCAGAGGACGGAGAGGTAGAGGCCGAGGCAAGCCCCCGTTCCCAATCTGAATCTGAAAGCAGCCGCGCTAACCGGGTTCGAATTGCACAGGACGCTGAGCAGGACCCATCCTACAATACAAGCGACTCTGAGGAAGAAGCCATCGTTGTCACTCGCGAGGAAGAAGAGATCGATCCCGAAGATGAAGCTGATTTCGACCGCGAGTATGCGAAGATCATGGCCGAAAGCGCCGAGACGCGCAAGTTCCAGCCGAAGCAACAAGTTGATATCCCTCTCCCCATCCGAGCCAAGGCTCGAGAAGCCACGGGCGGCAGCGAGACTGCCGAAAGCGGGCCCGGCACCCCGGGCGGAACAATGGCCTTCTCGCTACTTACGAAGAGGGGAAATCGCCAACAGGTGAGCTTGGACTTGTTGTGTTATGCTTCTGTGGTGGCTAAACGTGATAGACACGAACGGTTGAATTGCCCTCGGACTCTAACTTTGCCGTGGCCATGATCAACCAGCGGCAGGTAGCGAAGGAGGAGCAACAGCGCATCAAAAACCTGGTGCTGAACTATGATCTTCGGGAAAACGAAGAACAGGACGGTGAAGAGCACACGAACTCCCACAAGTCAAACATCAATATTCATCACATTTCAGCAGGACACGAGAAACCACCAGCGCATCACCACCACAACCGGCTCGATCCTCGGTTGGGCAAGGAGCGCGGACAACGGGTCCGCAAGCTCCAACTTAGCGACGTTGACTGGTATGATAACCCCGAAAACAAACCCTTTCAAGAGCGAGGGCAAGTGCCCTATGCTGCCCAGGGGCGTCCCAACGGATCGAACCAAAGCTACCGGCGACGCAACATATGCCAACCACCCGTCCGCCATGTGGCTGTGAAGCAAGAGCATGACTAGCACTTCATCGCATGCATTTTGCTTCAGGCAGACGTCAAGAGACGAGCTCGCGTAGATCGCAGCAGCAGAACAAGCACATCGATTAGCAAAAAGATTTCTAACAAAGCCGCATTGGTCGGCACGTTCTAGGACTTGATACCGAGAAACCGGCGATCCTTCCGATCTTATGGTTTACGCCAGGGTAACGAACCCGAGATCTTCGTTACCAGATGAGCAGTTACTATACCGGCAGTGTAACTCTGCCTGGAATGGCCTATTCGGGCGGCCTGCGGTGCAGAGTCGTTTGACTGGAAGGCTCCAGCCCGCTGTGATTTTCTCACCGACCAGATCTAGCCGGCCGTATTGATGGCGAACTCTCCCGGCCATACAGCGGGCCGGCAGCGTTGCCGATGGTGGGTGAATCATCCAACACGAGCCGGACGGGATTCTTGATCGACGAAGATCAAGCGGACTATATATAGACAACTGCCCCTCCCCGGCTGGTCCACTTGTCCCGCCGCCGATCGCGCGTCAAGATTCATCGGGTAGAGGAGCCGCAGCCAGCTATGTCTGGGATCTTCGCGGAGAAAAGGGGGCTTGTTGCGTCTCCACACCAAGCGCGGCCTGTCAGGGCTGGCAGAGAATAGTCGCTACGAAGGGCAGACGGCAAGACAGAGATAGCTTGCGATACACAACAGATTGCAAATTTTCATACGATTTTTTTATTCACTCTACGGTTTCGTGTTCGGCGGGCTAGGATCGACACGACTGATGCGGTGTGACGATAGGGGACGGTTCGCCCTCCTCGTGACGTTTGTCGCGAGCCAACCAACCATCAAACACCACCTACAAAACTCCAACGGCGGAGCGACGGTGTTGCACGTGTGCGCAAGGTACGATATGCCTTGCCGCTTCTTCTCTCTCTCTCTTCCCCCGAAAGGAGAGATCCCGCTGAGCCGCCGTGGTTATTGCCAGTGCTGATATTATATTCCCGCAAACCCGCGAGTGCTGACGCACGCAGTCCTACGGCGGGATTGCATCTCGCTTCGCTGCAACTAATTCCCCGAGTGTCTTGCTGGGTAGGTGAGCGAGTTTCGTCTTTTTTCCACTACCACTACCACACTGCAAAGTACATACAAGAGGTATACCTACCATCGGCAGCTGCTGCGGCTACTACTCTGGCGTGGTACCGTGCAGCTGTGGTAAGTCCGGTGCCTGAGCCAGGGGGGGTTGAGACCCCACCCGGGAGATCTCCCGCCCCTGTCTCTCTGGTGGGCTGGCTGGCGCACGACTTCCTTGCGAGCGAGCGAGTGAACCTCTTCTGGTCTGGTCTCGATCCGATCGAGAGCTTGCTTTGCTTTGCTTTGCTCTGCGCCGAGTGGTCCGCTCGGGAGTCGGGATGCCGGCCGGGGGGGGGGGGTTGGGTGGGTGTGTGTGTGTGCCGCCGCCCCCACACTCCCGCCCCTCCAGCTCATGCGTGGCGGGCTCGGCAGATCTTGTTTCTTCGTCTGTTTTGTTTTGGGGTTTGGTTTCGGTTTTGGCGTGTTGTGTTCGGTGTTTGATGTACATCTGTGAGAGGTGTACATACCGTGTAGATCCGGGGGATGGATGGGTTGGTTGATTCGTCTTCTTGCTCCGGTGCGATGAAAGCTGTCACTGGATCCATGGATTTCGCTTTCGGTTCGAGTGGCAGGCCAGAGTGCCGTCGCTTCAGTGACACTCAGCTGCCTCTGCAGCACGACACTGGGGAGCCCGTTTGGATTCAGCTCGTGGGCTGGTTAATTTGCTGCCGTGAGGCGTCGTGGGGGAAAGTCGCCTCGACTTGACATTCTAGACCTTTGCTCGACCATTCTGAGCTCGGATCGGGGATTTGCCTCCCTTTTCTCAGTTCGATGAGAGCAGTCTGAGGGCCTCTTCCCCTGGTGCAGGCTAGCAAGTGCTTGTCGTGTCTTCAAGTTACACATGTTATTGGTTTTCCCGGGAAATATGCCGGGACAATTATGCGCTGTTTGTGTTTCAACCCATTCCCTCGGGAAACAGACAAACGGCGACCACACAGCATCTGGGTATCTGGATTCACACGCAGCTGAGAGCCCCAGATTTACACAAGGCGTTCAAGTAGACGAATAGCCATGTTTCGATGACTCGCATCTGGCCGATCTCTTCTCTCGGTCTTTCTCGCGGCGGTCTGATACTATGCGTTCCCCATCCAGGCCCAGAACCCAGGACAAAGGCGGTCCAGGTGGCTACACAACATGAGCCTGGACATAAAATGCTACTTCGGTCATTGCGCGCGAGTCTGGCGAAAGAGAGCCCCAGCGTGGAGGCGAGATGAGCTGTGGTGAGAAGCGTGTTGCCTTGCGAAGAAGCAACCGGCTAAAGTGTGTTCATTTGCAGATATTATATTGATGTCTCTGCCGTCTGGCCCACTGGGCCTGCACCCCATACATCGGCTGGCCGACCGGATGCTGCAGATTCTTTCAACAAAAGGTTGGATGATCGGCGGTGTCGTGGCCCTGTAGCCATTGGTCTGGGTCTAGGTTGGGGTCAGGTGTGGTTGCGGAATAGTACAGGTCATTATCCTACCGGCTGCCTTACTTCCAGCTTCCCCGGTTACTCCCTCCCACCGACCTGCTGCCCTTGTCTTCCTCTTCCACCTCATGCTTGCTGGGCAGAGCATCTCCGGTCGCACAGCACAGCCTGGGCGCGAGTTCGCCGGTTTCCTGGAATCGAAAATACGGCCCTTGCCGGACCATTTTTCGGATACGAAGGGGTCGGCCTGCCCGCGACCCAGGGGCTGGAAATCGGCTGGCCGACGGCGCTGCAGGTAGCCGTTCGCTTGTGCACCTTTCCGCCGACCGCTCCTTTACGGAGACCCGCGCGCCAGACACATCACATTTGCAGACAGGGTTCCTCTGCGTATGGTCTGCGGCTTGGCTTCTCGTTGCCGTTCATTCTTTATTATCGCCGTTCTTCCCGGGCCGCCGCCGTTTGACGGGGTCGATACTTTCGTTTGAGACGCTCACTTATCCGACCACTACTCCAGAATGGCGGGGGATGTTGAAGAATTATGGCCGGTCAGCGATGTGAGTGGCTTAGCCTGTGCCGTGGACGACAAAATGAGGAGTTGACTCTTATGTGTAGATTGTTTACACCTCCATCGTGGGGGTGGTTATGCTGGCCGCCCTACTCGAGTGGTTCCTATGGATAGCCGCCTTTCTTTATTGCTTATGGAAGGTGTTTGTCAAAGCCGAACACTGGACAGTCCGGGTACTGGCAGTGGGTGTAGGCGTTGCGTTTACACTGCTCAGGTCTGTACCAACCCCAGGTCTCGGCTATGGCTCACAACTGACGTGTCGCAGAGCCATCTTCCTGCCAATTATGGTGGTGACGCTGCCACTCCCTAGTGTCATTGCCCGTGTCTGGCCTGAGTTTATGGTTTCGTTCCTCCAATGGTTTGCCTTCTGGAGCTTCGCCGGTCTCTTAACCATTCCCTGGTTGTTCTGCGTCTACCAGATTGTCACGCACCAACTCGGTCGGACCAAGCGGATCAAGCAGGTTCTCGACGAGGTATCCGCCCCGAAGGTCGTCATTGTCATGCCTTGCTACAAAGAGGAGCCCGACGTACTCGTGGCCGCCGTCAACTCGGTCGTTGACTGCGACTACCCGCCTTCTTGCATTCACGTCTTCCTCTCATTCGACGGTGACCAGGAAGACGAATTGTACCTCAACACCATCGAGAAACTGGGAGTGCCCCTGACGCTCGAGTCATACCCCAAGAGTATCGATGTGACCTACAAAGCGGCCCGGATCACTGTCTCGAGGTTTCCCCACGGCGGAAAGAGACATTGCCAGAAGATGACCTTCAAGCTCATCGACAAAGTCTACCAAGAGTACTTGCGGAGGAACGACAACCTGTTCATTCTCTTCATCGATTCGGACTGCATCCTAGATAAAGTTTGCCTGCAAAACTTCGTGTACGACATGGAGCTGAGTCCGGGCAACAGGCGAGACATGTTGGCCATGACTGGAGTTATCACGTCGACAACCAGAAAGCACAGCGTCATCACGCTCCTCCAGGACATGGAGTACATCCACGGTCAACTCTTTGAACGAACGGTTGAATCCGGGTGCGGCTCCGTCACCTGCCTGCCCGGCGCCCTGACGATGCTCCGGTTCTCGGCCTTCCGGCGCATGGCGAAGTACTACTTCGCCGACAAAGCCGAGCAATGCGAGGACCTCTTCGACTTTGCCAAGAGCCATCTGGGCGAGGACCGGTGGCTGACCCATCTGTTCATGATCGGCGCGAAGAAGCGGTATCAGATCCAGATGTGCACGTCGGCCTTTTGCAAGACCGAGGCCGTCCAGACGATGGCTTCACTCATCAAGCAGCGCCGCCGGTGGTTTCTGGGATTCATCACCAACGAAGTCTGCATGTTGACCGACTGGAGGCTGTGGAAGCGGTACCCGATTCTCGTGCTTGTCCGGTTCATGCAGAACACCATCCGGACTACAGCCCTGCTCTTTTTCATCATGGTCATAGCACTGATGTCGACTTCCAAGGGGATCAACGATCTCCCCGTCGGCTTCATCGCCATTTCGTTGGGGCTGAACTGGATGCTCATGATCTACTTCGGCGCCAAGCTCCGCCGCTTCAAGATCTGGCTCTACCCCGTCATGTTCGTGCTCAACCCCTTCTTCAACTGGTACTACATGGTATACGGCATCTTCACGGCGGGCCAGCGCACCTGGGGCGGCCCACGTGCGGACGCCGCGACCGCTGACTCGCAGACCACCGCGCAAGAAGCCATCGAGAAAGCCGAGGAGGCCGGCGATGACCTCAACATCGTTCCAGAATCCTTCATCCCCGCGGCGCAAGAACGCGCAGAGCTAGACCTCGCCGTGGGCGAAGACGAAGACGACGGCCAGGACAAGGAGGGCACCACCAAAAAGAAGAAGAAGAGCAAAAAGGGCAGGAGAAAGCCCACCGCCACCACCGCCGGCAGCGGCAACAGCACCGGCGTGCTCCTCCTCCCACCAGACAAAGTCGACGGGCGCTTCGCCGCACCAGAACGAACCCCATCCGGGTGGTACCAACACCCCGACGACTCCGTCTTCACCCTCCCCTCCCCCTCCACCCCCTTCACCGGCACCTCCCCCATCACCGACGCAAACACCAAATTCAACCGCGCCATCCCCCTACACACCACCCGCAACCACCACCACGGTCACCCCCCCCACCCCCACCCCCATCACACCACCTCCCCCAACGCCAACACCAACGGCCAAAACCAGCGCGACTCCTTCGACAGCGCCTTCTCATCCCACATCGCCGGCAACCTGTCCACGTCCATGTCGGTCTACATGCCGCGCCGCGTCGAGAGCATCATGGGCGACGAGGACCGCCGCAAGTACGAGCTGGCCCAGGCCAGCCACATCAGCAGCATGCTGGCGCGCAGCGGGGAAGGGTCGCGCGTCTGGCGTGGCGTGCAGCACTCCGGGTCGCAGCATGGGCAGCAGCAGCAGGGGGGGTATGTGGTCGGGGTGGTGGGGGATGAGAATGGGGGTGGTGGGGGGGAGTGGGAGTGGCACGCCGACGAGGGCGTCGACGCCGGCGCCGGGGGTTGGTGTTGGTGGTGGTGCTGTGGGGGAGGAGGTGAGGAGGCCGGTGGGGGGTGGGAGGGTGGGGAGTTATGAGAGTGCCGAGTCGGGGGTGGAGAGTGTGCAGCAGCAGCAGCAGCAACAACAGCAGCAGCAGCAGCAGCAACAACAACAACAACAGCAGCAGCAGCAAGGGGCCGGGGTTGATCTGTTGAGTGGGAGTGTTGCTGGTGCCGGGGGCAGGCAGCCCCTCGTTCCGCCGCCGCCTCCGGCTCAGGCTACGGGGACGAGGTCCGGGAGGAGTCCGCTGGGGAGGGCGAGCTGGACGCGCCCCGTTACGAGGGATGAGGTTGAGGCGGAGATTGAGGACTCTCACGGTCACGGGCAGGGAGAGGGGAGTTGGTCCTCGTCGTTGAGGGATGGGCAGGGGAGAGGGGGAAGGTAGCCGTGGATGAAAAGGGGGCGTGATGATGATGCTAAAGAGTTGATTTAATGGCAAACGGTTACAATTTTGTGCATTTTGTTGAGAGAGGGACGGTGGCTATCATTCATATTCATTGTTGTTTAGAGTAGGCAAATACCACATCGTACACGTATGTACGGCTCGATCCTAGTATTTTATTCCTTTTCTTAGTTTGACATTCCTGTTGATATCGAGAAGTAAACAAAGACTTGCAGGAACCGAGGTTGTGCAAATACCAAATATACGCTTTTATCATTACGCCACCTGGAACTAGTGAATATTCTGTTCCCGTCTGTGTATCAAATCTGCAATGCTGACAACAGCAACACCCCCCTGCCGAGCCTTGGGTGACCCGCGAAAGAAGCTTTCCATGACTGCACTGTGGAAGTCCTGAGTCGTACAGAAGTCCTAGGGTGCCTTTTGGCCGGCAATCATTACGTATTGGAGTCCAAATCCCGTGGGTCCTCGGGGCTGGGCATGACAAAAAGGAACGGAAATGGTGCAATTGGGCACGGCATCTAAAAAACCAGATGCTTTCGTTGGTCCGGATGCTCCGAGAAAAGCGGTTTTGTTGATTATGTTGGGCATCCATGCTGGGTATATTTGAGTAACGTGAGTAATTCTGCCGAGGTGGCCATGTTGATTGACAAACTACCCAAGATTGAAAGACTTGGTAGTTGAAAATAGCACCACGAAGCGTTGTTTCCTCGTTCCATGAACTCGGCCTTGAATGGATGGTAACAGGAAACTCAGGTAATGGCGGGGCACTCGCAGTTCAAAAAAAAATAAATGCGGAGGGGCTGTGCTTGGCGGCGTGTCAGCGGTGTGGTCGTTGGCGGCAAAGCACTCGAGGTGGGGTGATACGGACACTCCCTGGCGTGTTACAAATGATAAGCTTATCGGCGCGATGTTGGCGCCTGCCCCTCGGCTTGGCAAGAACGGGCGTGAAGGCAACGAGAAGACAACACCGCGATAAATTCCCGACAAAACAACCCAAAACAAAGTAGAAGACGAAAATAAAAGAAACTACTGATGAATGTTTGGGTATCCCTCGTCATCCCGAGTTCTATCTTCGGATTATTTGCGGAAATAAACACAACAGTCCCTTTGGAGTGGTTCCGAGTCTCTCCTGCCGTCCGAGGCCAATCTCGAAGCTTCTCCCAGGTTCTGGCTTGTCTTGGCTTAAGTGTCGACACCCTGGCGCGGGGCTAAATCGCGCCCCATAAGGCCCCATGGAGGGGAAACCCGCCTTCGAAGCACAGCAGAGTCGGGCACCTAGGTCTGATTTTTTTCTGTTTTGCCTGCCAACTGCACTTCTAGCGATACTGGATTCCCTTTTCTGCACCATATACGCCGACTCTCAGACCCTGCAGCCGCGCAGACCAACACCCCAAGTCACATACATCGACACTTAACTCAGCTGGTGAGCGCCTCTCCTCCATCGACTTTGCGACTCGCCCTCTACTTGCGTTCCTCGATCGATTTGTTTACAAAATACCCGGTTCTGCTAGTGCCCCTCACTTTCCGCCCAACATGAGTGTCGTCGGTAAGTATCTTTGCGATTCACCATTGTTGCCGGAAAGATAAAATGCTGACTGCCATGTGCGCCCCAGGTGTCGATTTCGGTTCTCTCAACACCGTCGTCGCCGTCGCGAGGAATCGGGGTGTCGATGTGGTACGTCGGATTCCCCGCTGCTGCCTCTATCATACTCTATAATACCTTATCGGCCTATGCGCTTGATATACACACCGATGTTGGCAGAAGCATTCAAGAGAGAGGCATACATCCTAACTATGTCGCCCTGCAGATCACCAATGAAGTCTCCAACCGGGCAACGCCGTAAGCATCACTGACCCTCCCCCTCAAAACCCAACCTCATGGCCGGCGCCTAACCGAGCATAGGTCCCTCGTCGGCTTCGGGCCCAAGTCTCGCTACCTCGGCGAGTCCGCAAAGACACAAGAGATCTCCAACCTCAAAAACACCGTCGGGAGCCTAAAGCGCCTTATCGGACGCTCGCTCAAGGATCCCGATGTCCAGATCGAGCAGAAGTACGTCTCGGCGCAGTTGGTTGAGATCAATGGCCAGGTCGGCGCCGAGGTTCAGTACCTCGGCCAGAAGGAGCAGTTCACTGCGACACAAATGGCCGCCATGTTCTTCAGCAAGATCAGGCAGACTACCGCCGCCGAGATCAAGCTCCCCGTGTCGGAACTCGTCATGAGCGTGCCCACATGGTTCACCGACGCCCAACGCCGCGCCATCATCGATGCCGCCGAGATCGCTGGCCTCAAGCTGCTCCGCCTCATCAACGACACAACCGCCGCCGCGCTCGGCTACGGCATCACCAAGCTGGACTTGCCCGCTGCCGATGAGAAGCCCCGCCGTGTCGCCTTCGTCGACGTCGGCTACAGCGACTACAGCTGTTCCATCGTTGAGTTCAAGAAGGGAGAGCTCGCTGTCAAGGCCAACGCCTACGACCGCCACCTCGGCGGCCGCGATTTCGACCGCGCCCTTGTCGAGCACCTGCAGAAGGAATTCCTCGGCAAGTACAAGATCGACATCTTCAACAACCCCAAGGCCCTGACCCGCGTCTACGCCGCCGCCGAGAAGCTAAAGAAGGTGCTGTCGGCCAACCAGCAGGCGCCTCTGAATATCGAGTCGCTCATGAACGACATTGATGTCCGTGCCATGATTACGCGGCAGGAATTCGAGGCCATGACCGAGCCCCTGATCAACCGCATCGATGTCATTCTGGAGCAGGCCCTCGCCGAGGCCAAGCTCAACAAGGAGGACATCGACATCATCGAGGTCGTTGGCGGTGGTAGCCGTGTGCCGGCCATCAAGGAGCGCATCCAGGGTTTCTTCAACAAGACCCTCTCCTTTACCCTGAACCAGGACGAGGCCATTGCCCGCGGCTGTGCCTTCAGCTGCGCCATCCTGTCCCCCATCTTCAAAGTCCGCGATTTCGCCATCCAGGACATCATCAACTACCCGATCGAGTTCGCCTGGGAGAAGGATGCCGACATTCCCGACGAGGACACCAGTCTCACTGTCTTTAACAAGGGCAATGTGATGCCCTCCACCAAGATCCTCACCTTCTACCGCAAGCAGGCCTTCGACCTGGAAGCTAGGTACGCCAAGCCCGAGGGTCTTCCCGGGAAGGCCTCTCCTTTCATCGGACGCTTCTCCGTCAAGGGAGTGAAGGCGACCGGCGGCCCAGAGGACTTCATGATCTGCAAGCTCAAGGCCCGCGTCAACATCCACGGCGTCCTGAATGTCGAGAGCGGCTACTACGTCGAGGACCAGGAGGTGGAGGAGGAGGTCAAGGAGGATGGTGATAAGAAGGACGGCGATGTGAGTATTCTTATGCAGTCTGGAAACGAGCCCTCATCGGTGGCTTCTGAGCAGATGGACGCCGGCGCACCGGAGGAGACCAAGAGGGAGCCGAAACGTCGCAAGACCAGGGCGCCTATGTCTGGCGAATCCGGGGCCGTGGCGATTGGTGAAGATACAAGGAACGAAGAGCTGACAACTGATTCATCGTACAAGGCCATGGACACCGACGCCAAAGACGAGAAGCCCAAGACCCGGAAGGTCAAGAAGCAAGTCCGCAAGGGCGAGCTGCCCATCGTCAGCGCTACCCACTCCCTCGAGGTCACCACCAAGAACGCCGTCTCGGAGAGGGAAGCCGCCATGGTCATGGAGGACAAGCTAGTCGCCGACACCGAGGAGAAGAAGAACGAGCTCGAGACGTACATTTACGACCTCCGTAACAAGCTGGACGACCAGTACGCCGACTTCGCCAGTGACGAGGAGAAGGAGAAGATCCGCGAGAAGCTCATGGCATCCGAGGTACGCCTGGGCGACAAACCCCCTACATCTACTTGACAAGACCGCGGCTAACAGCAGTGATAGGACTGGCTCTACGACGAGGGTGACGACACCACCAAGGCCGTCTACGTCGCCAAGATGGACGAGATCCGCGCTCTGGCCGGCCCCGTCGTCCAGCGCCACTTCGACAAGGTCGAGGCCGACCGCCAGGCGCTAATGGCCAGGCTGGAGGCCGAGCGGGCGAAGAAGGCCGCCGAGGCGGAAGCCCGCAAGGCTGCCGACGGCGACAAGTCGCAACAAGACGGCGCCAAGGACGAGGAGATGACGGATGCTGACGCACCCAAGCCCGAGGTGGAGGAGGCCGGTGACCCGTAAAGGAAAGATAATATCTCCTAAAAAGATCTTCGCTTTAACCACTTTCGTCTTCTTTTCTTTTTTTTCTCTTCTCCCGGATGCGAATGTGAGGTGGCGCCTAAAAGCCCTTCACGGGGCGGTCTTTTGATAGATGGGTCACATAGGAATACGAAGCGAAAGCATGTATTGGGCGTCTATGACGAGTTCTGTATGAGAGGTTGAGAGAGACATGATGTGGAAACGGGGACTGAGATGAACAGATGCATAACGAAAGACAGAGCTTACGACAGAAACGCTTAGGTTTATAGTGAGAGAAGGGCTGGTAGAGTAGTTTCTTTCCACCGCAAGCTTCAGGCGGGGGAGTTAATTCAACCAAGACTGACGACCACTTCACCCCCTGTGCATTCTTTCTCTACCGCTTCGTTGTCCTGTATTAAAGTAGATAGAAAATGCGAGCCAACACGGCAAAGACATAGCTGTATTGATGCAATGCATGGGGCCTAAGATGGTACAGCAATAAGAGTGAGGTAAACTTTAGCACCACATACCTATCCTCCACAACAGACAAAAAAGTCTGGAAACAAATTCCCCTGCTTTTTGTTCCTCCTTTTTGTCCCCTCCCCTCCCCCTACTTACCTACCTACCTATCATCAACCAACCAACCAACCACGCCTCGACGACTAGGTAACTAACTACCCCTCCCCTACCAACAACCCTACACCCTCCACCCCAACCCAACCCAGCTTACGGGATATCGAACATGGGCTTGAGCTTGATGATGAGCTGCCACTCGTCGTTGGTGACGTCGGCGCGGTAGAACTGCTTGAGGCAGTCGATGCTAGCGCGCGAGATCTGCGAGTAGAGCATGTCCTTCTCCTCGAGGTGGCGGCCGTAGGTCGGCTGGTGGCCGCCCATCTCGATCTTGACCGCCACCGACGGCTGGCCCTTCTTGCACACGGGCACCTGCTTGTGCTCACGCTCGATGGAGGTGCTGTTGTTTGGGGGAAAGGGGTTAGCAATGTTGTATTGGAGGTTGGGGGGGGTGAGGGGTTATGTTAGGAGGGTGGGGGACGTACACTCTGCCGAGGTTGATGATTTCCTTGAGGCCTGTTGTGGGGTTCGGCTTGATGACGGAAATGGGCGTGTTGAGCCTGAGGGAGCCCTCGATGACGTCGACACCGATGACGATAGGGCTGGTCTTGTTGAACACGGCCACGGGACTGAGCACACAGGGGAAGACGGCCAGCATCTTGGACTCCTCCTTCTTCTTTTCGTTCTGCTCGTTGATGTGCTTCGTGAAGGCGTCGAAGAGGTGGTAGATGATGTCCGCGGTGAAGATCTTGATGCCCTGTTCCTCGGCGTACGCCTGCGCTTCCTTGTCGACCTTGACATCGAAGCAGAGCATGACCGCAAAGTCAGGGGCCTTCTCTAACATGGTACCGCACTGCATGACGTCGCGTTTGAAGACCGGCCCAATGCCGACGTTGGCGACGGGAATCTTGCAGCTCTTAAGGAAGTCCAGCAGGGCTTCGAGAGAACCGAGCGTCGACGCCTGTACACTGACACCACGGCCGGACTTCTCGACTCGACTGAATAGGCTGGCGAGATCGGACTCAACCTCGTCCTCGAGATCTGACTCGTCGTCATCAGGACCGAGGACGAGCAGCCGGGAACCGGCGATGGCACCCTCGAGCCCCGGGGCGCTGATCTTGACACCCAACGCGGCCTTGACCTCCTTGTTGTGCACGTACTGCGACTTGAGACGGAGTTCCTTGAGCGGTGCAGGGGTGAGCAGCGCCCTGATGTTCGTCTTGATGACGCCTTCTGTACCGCAGAGGATGATGCGGTCACCTTCCCGAAGGATACCGTTTGACAGGATGACATCGATGGTCATGCCGAAACCCTCGATAGCCTTGACTTCGAGGACGGTGGCCTGCACTTCGGACAGATACATGAGCGAACCCACCATCCTCTCTTGGGTGAGGTGAATGATGAGCTTGAGCATGTCGGGGATACCCTCGCCGGTATGGGCGGAGGTGGGCACCAACGACACAAACTTAGCCATCGACTTGTTCTCGTAGAACAGCTCCGAGTTGAAACCCTGCTCGGCAAAAGCCAGCTTGGTCTGCTCAAGGCGGTTCTTGAACTCGTTCTGTACAGCCTTGTTCTGCAGCGCCAACGACTCCTGGAAGCCGTTGTTATCGATCTTCTTCCAGCCGTAAAGACGATCGATCTTGTTGAGGGCAACAATGAAGGGTGTCTTGCGCTCACGCAGCATTCTCATCGACTCGAGTGTTTGCGGCTCGAGACCGTGCATGATATCGACGACCAGGATGGCGATGTTGCAGAGCGAAGAACCACGAGACCGCAGGTTAGAGAAAGACTCGTGCCCGGGGGTATCGATAACCAGGAGACCGGGCACCTTGAAATCGAACTTGCCATCGGCGTTGACAACGGCCGTCTTCTGCTTGATGGCCTCGACGGGGAAATAAGTGGCACCAATCTGCTGAGTGATACCTCCGGCTTCGCCTTCTTGGACGTTGGTCTGGCGAATCTTGTCAAGCAGCTTTGTCTTGCCGGTATCGACGTGCCCAAGAATGACGCAGATGGGCGAGCGCAGGTTGTCCTTTGACCGCGCAGCCAGGGCGGCCTGGTGAGCCTTCTCGCGGCGTTCGGCCCGCTTCCTTCTTCCTCTGGGCTTCTGCAAGCCGGGCTTGAGTCTCCCTCTCGTCTTCCTCGGAATCCTCGTCGGATTCCTCCTCTGACTCCTCTTCCGACTCGTCTGTGGGCTTTGGTCGAGAGGGCAAAGCCTTTGCCTTAGTGCCAGCTTCGGCTTTCTCGGCTTCGTCCTCGGTATCGGCATCCCAGCTGTCTTTGACGTCCTCCTTCTCCGACTCGGCAGCTGCCTCCCAGTCCTCGTCCACGCTCTCCTCGGCGGCGGCTTCGGCCTTAGCGGCAGCCTCGGCCTCGGCAGCTTCCCGCTCGAGGCGAGCCTTCTCCTCAGCCTCCTTAGCGGCGGCCTCGGCCTGCAACCTCGCACGCTCAGCGGCCTCTTCCAGGATTTTGTCTTCGTCAACCTGCACGGCAATTAGTTAGCATCCACAAACTCAGAACACAACCAGATAACGTGAAGTACGTACCTTCGTCCGCCCGCCACGCTTCCTCGCATCCGCCTTCTTCTTTTCCTTCTCTTTCTCCTTCTCCTTCTCCTCCTCGCCCTCCTCGAGGCCGCCAACCTTGATGCCGGCCGCAATCATCTGCTGCAGCTTGCGCTCGTTGCGGGCCTTCTCCTCCTTCTGGGCCTTGGTCATGTACTTGCCCTCGCGCTTGAGCTGATCGATGCGCTCCTTCTCCTTCTGCTTCTTGCGCGCCCTCTCCTCCTCCCTCCGCTTCATCTCCTCGGCATCGCGCCGCGACTCCTCCTCTATCCTGGCCTTTTCTTCAGCACGCAGGCGTTCTGCTTCCTCTTGCTGGCGTCGGAGCTCCTCCTGCTGCTTCTGGAGGGCTAGTAGGTGGGGAGGGAGCTTCTTCTTCTTGCCACCCGTCTCGGCGGCGGGAGCGGCGGCGGGAGCCTCGGCCTTCTTCTCCTCGACGGCGGCCTTCGCGGGCTCGGCCTTCGCTGGGCCAGTGGCCTTCTTCTTGGCAGCCTGTCACGGGGGTATTAGCTTGGGTCCAGTGTGTGACCGGGCGATTTGTGCATATCCTACCTGCTCCTTCTTCCGCTGCTTCTCCCTCTCCTTCTTCAGCTTCTCCTTCTCCGCCTTGGTCAACACCCTCCCTGACCCGTCTCCCTCCTCATCATTCGCGGCCGCCTTCTGATTCTGCTGCTTTCCCTTGCCGCCCTTGCCCTTCTTGTCCGGCAGCGCAAACTCGTCCTCGAGGTTCGCCTCCTCGGCCTGCTTGGCGGAGAGGTCCGGCAGGGTGAGGGTCTCGGGTAGTGCGTCGGCGGTAGCGGCATTGTCGTCATCGGCAGTTTCGTCGACGAAGCCCTTCTTCTTGCGCTTCTCCCTGTTCTTGCGAATCAGGTTCATGAGACCACCACCACCGGCGGAAGCCTCGTCGTCTTCGGCGGGGGCGTCGGCGGCGGGGGTTTCAGTGGCGTTGGCTGGGGCGATGCTCTCGCCGAGCTCGGCCTCCCAGTCGTCGCCGCCCTTCTTGTTGCCTCCTTTCTTCTTGGGCGCCATTTTGACTCGCTATTGTTTCAAGGTTCGAGTCGTTTCTGGCGGAGGAATCTTGTTTATCTCCGGCTGGATGCCCGCGATCTTTTCAGGTCGTCTAATCCCGTCAAAGGAATGTTAAATATGGAACACCTGGTTCACGACACGAAAAGAAGTGACCGTAGGAAATTTCGGCCAGCAAAGTGTGTGAGGTCACCTCGTCCGATGGGTTCGGAGTTCGTGGAGGAGAGAACTGGCGTGAGTGGCTCTCAGCAAAAAAAGTTGTACGGTAGGGGGGGGGGGGGGGGGGGGTGAGGTCGAGGTCAGCAACCCTTGGCTCGTGGTAGGGCTTGCGGGTCACTGTGGGCTGGCCGGTTCCAAGCAGTGCGGGGCAGCCTGGGACGATAAGCGGCCTTATCAGTGTGGTGGTCATCCACGAACACCATCAACTCCTCCTGTCAACAGTCTCGAGATGGAATACTTCACAAATTGTGGATTCCACTTGCGCCAGCTTAGGCGATACATAATATGGGGGAAGTCTCCGCAAACATTTTGATCAAAGGTATCGGACCCTTTTGTCGGATACTCATCTACTTGACCAATGTTGTCTTCACTGTAACCGAGGGGCAAATGTTGGAGGAGGGGGTTGATGAATGGATGAGCGGCACAAGACAAAACAACCTTAACGGCCGAGCAGCGGGGTTTTGTGGCCACAAGCTTGAATTAATTAATTTTGTGCCTCAAACAAGAACTCGAAGCAGAAAGTCGAGCCACTCAGTGTAGCAATGGGACCCGGGTGCTTATACATGCATACCTACCTACCGACATTCATGTACCCTCACTGTCACTTGATATGGTGAAGGCATATGCATGTTTCTGAAATCACCAAATAAACATATCACCCCCCCCATTTAACGCCCATTTCCCCTTTCCCCTTTCCTTGATGTCCTCAGATCGCAGGCGACAAGTAGTACTCCAGGACATCGTATGCAAGCCGAAAGTACTTCGCATGGTCCCCCGTCACGGCAAACCCCTCCGTATGCTGCCCACCATCCAGCGCTCTCAGGAGCTCCTTGAACCTCGCAATATGCTTCTCCTTAACCACCAGTAGCTCCAGCACCCTCCTCTCCAGACAACGGCCCAGGATATCCCCGTCCACATGCATCTCCAAGCCGTGCCCGGGGCGCGGCTCCGGACCCGCATCCCCGGAACCAACAGCATCCTCGTCATCCTCATCCTCACGCAGACGCGCCACGCCCGCAGCAAAGGGACACATCATGGGCCTCGCCACGGCCAAGTTCTGCACGAAGCGCAGCAGGCGCCAGGCGTCGACGGCCAGGAGGGTGAACTGGTGCAGAGACCCGTCGAGCGCGACGCCGAGGATCTGCGCGTCGTCGACGGTGGCGGGGAGGCGGCCGAAGCGGGGCCGGCCCGCGGCGAGCTGGGCCCAGACGGGCCGGGTGCGGCCGCGGCGCAGGCGGCGGACCGACGACAGCAGCTCGGCCTCGAGCACGACCTCGCACTCCCGGTCGCGCGTCTGCCACGACACCCACAGGCCCGCGACGCCGCGCTCCCGGTCCGAGACGAGGTGGATGCCGCCCGCGGCGTCGTCGGTCTGCGGCCCCGCGATCTCGATGGAGTCGAAGGCGAGCCGCCGCCAGGGGTCGGCGTAGCAGAGCCGGGTGTTGTCCGCGTTCGTGTCGAGGTTGTCGAGGACGACGAGCGAGTCGTGGTAGGTCAGGGCCATGAGCTTGCCGTTGGAGATGCGCAGGCTCGTGGCTGCCGAGCTCAGCGTGAAGGACTTGACCGGCCGGAGCTTCTTGTCTTGGTGGTCTAGCACCTCCCAGTAAACCGTTCGGCCGGCACAGTAGATGAGGCCTTCGTCGTAGCCGACGACGGCATATATCGGCTCCTTGACTTCCTTCCTGAACCGCGTCCAGTAGCGGTACGTCGTGGGGCCACCGTCTCGTGGCACCTCTTTTTCGGTAGTGATCACGATGAGGCGGCCGCTTGTGGTGGCGACGATGATGAAGTTCCAGACGTGACCGTCCCTTCTGTAATTCCATTCCGCGAGAGCCGTAATCCGGTCATCTTTCTTCCCTAGACCGGCGATGCATGGTTGCGGTACCTTCTTTTGATCGGTGGGTTTGCCGATATCTTCTCCTGTGTCGGGATTGATGAACATCAAAGTCGGGCCGTTCTTGCTGTCGACCGCAACAACAAGACATTGCATGTAGTGGCAGTACATCACTCTGTTGGGCATCCCTCCTCCAACGGGGATGCTCCGATGGACCGGCCCGGGTTCCTCATGCATCTCTGTGAGCAAGAGTCTCGAGCCGGATATCATGAGAACCGGAGTAATGCCAGACTCGGATGGCATGTCCACAGCTGTGGCATATTGAATCGGCAGCGCGCCGGCCTCGAGTTTGCTGGCATCTACCGGCCAAACGCGGAAATTCGCCTTGAGATCGCCGCCGTCGCTACTATAGGGGCAGGAGATAGATTGACGGAAGCGAATAGAGACGAGGCTGTTATCGCAACAAACAAATACGGTAGGATGGCGTGCATCATCCCGATATCTGCAACTGATGATCGCGGGTGTCGTGCCGAACTTCTCAGACTGGATGGATACAGGGTCCGCAGTGTTCTTTACCGTTATCACATTTCCGCTCCGAGTACCGAGAAAAACAGTATCCCTGACCGAGATGATGCTTTCGATTCCTTCAACCAAGCGCCCTTGGCTGAGTTCAACATTCGATTCACTGTCTGACACGTCTGCGCGCGGTTAGCAATCTACGAAGCACGTTCGGAGAGGGTAGAGTGCGAGGGGTGGGAACCAAACTGGGCTTACACTCGGTGAGGTCGATCATGTGGAGGCCGTTGAAGGGCTCGTGCAGTGAAACCCAAGCCAGAGATGTCTGTGAGCCCGTCCATATGCCAGCCAGGATGGTGAGATTAGCGCCTATAGCAAGGCAGGTGACATCGCCGTTTACGTCGATCGTCCGGACGTGTGTAAGTTCGAGGTTGTCGGAGTCAACTTTGAACGCATGGATCTTAAACTGAGTGTCGGCATATGCTGAGAGAACAACACAGTCGTCAAGGACACAGGCGTCGACGACTTGATAATTCGAAAGCCCCGGGAGAGATTCACAGGGCGACGAAACACTATCCCCAAGTCAGAATAGAACCATGAACTTGGCCATGCTGCTATCTCGCGCTGGGAGTGCATACCTTCGATGTTGGTTCACCAAAACTACGGTCTGATGAGTGACCTGTACCGTCAGCTCCGCGTGGCTCACTAGAGTCAGCGTGCTCGACGATAGGTCATACGGTATAGCCCCCTCAACGGGGGCTGTAGCGCTAGAGAAGTCTTTGGACAACAGCAGGGCTGCAGTGGAGTCGGGCATGGAAATCAGTAATAAGTAGCCTTCGAAAGAGGCTGAGTCGGAGATGGGGAGAAACCAAGCCTGTTTCATCCCGGGCCCGTATTCGAGATCGAGCCCGATATTGGCTTTCAGACCGTAACGGTATTCTGTGATAGACCCCTGGCTCCCGCCCTCGCAGGTCGCAAAAAGGCGGTCCGGTTTTCGGTGTTTGGCTTGTTGCCACGGTATCATAACCTTCCCCGGGTGAGATTCAGGGTGCCACCCCGTGAAGTCGTCAGTGGTTGTGAAGTCAACGACCGGTGACCAATTTGGCAGGTGCCCGAGAAGCTCTGCAGGTTGCCGTGGGGGAAGCTGGGCGGGAGCTGTTAGGACGATTCACATCGCATCAAAATGTTGGGATATTCGTACCTTCCAGTAGCCCCCTGGGCCTGAGTGGCTCCCAAGAACAAGCACATCAGTACTATGGTCAAAGAGGCACGCAAAGGCGTCTGATATATTGCAAGGAAACGGGTCCAAGGCGTGGCTGGTGAGGGCGTTATCTTGATCGGCTTCTAAGAGAAGGACCACGCCGTCCTCTCGGGCGAGATAGACGCAATCGCGGTTCTTGCTGTAAGACCAGAGGCGGAAAGGCCTGGCCCACGCCGTCCACAGGGGGTGCTGGCGCCCGCGATAATTTGCAGTTGGAGGGCGCGCTGCTATCGCGATAGTCTCGAACATGGGCGGCCCATGTAAACATTCGGTGCACAAGGCAATTCCGTCGGCGGATATGGCGAGGAACGCGGACTGAACCGTCAGAGGGATCAGCATTAGCGGCACCTGGAACTCGACAGGCATCCGATGGCCTTGTTTCTCTTCGGCAAACACCTTGTTCAAGTCGTCACCGAGTTCCCACTCATAGATGACCGTCGTCGACACTATCCTCGATTTACGGCGTTTAACGAGCACGAGCAAGAGTATGATGTGGCGGTCATCCCCCGGCCGCGGATATAGGAACGTCATCTTGTGTATCACGCCGGGTATGCTGCGAAGGCGGATGGACTTGATCATGCGCAGGGGCTCGCCGCGGAGGTACGACTCGTTCAGCTCCGCATGCGGCGTGAGCTCTGAAACGACGAATTGGTCCGTAGGGCTAGCCATGGCCATGTAGCGCGAGCTCGGATCGACGGCCATATTGAATCCCATAAGCTTTCTCATGTGCTTGCGGCCCCCGCAGCTTATGCCAACAAACTTTGGCCTCCCGTCAGGGCCTGGCTGGACAAACATGAAGACATTATCCCCGGTCTCTAGGGCAACCACCAGGAACTGAGGCGGTAGTTGGTTGCCAGGTGCTGGCAGCCTTTGTGAAGAAAAGCTAAATGGGTCATTTGCAGGATTGTCCTCGGTCTTGATTGCGTGTCGGCTGGAAGGGTTGTCGTCGAGCTCGGGGATGATAGCGGAACCGACGACACAGGCATTCCGAATACGGCATCCAAAATCACTCTTCCGGATAATATCCTTCAAGCGCCCGTCTTTTCCAAGCTCGCAGATCTGAATGAAATGGTCCTATGGAGTGTTAACGTCGAGTCCCGCCGACCGAGCAGAACTGAGGGAGCGGGGGAAAGACATACTCCAACGAAAGCGATATCATTATGATCGGGGGACCGTAGCATAACTGGCAAGATCGAGTTTGCCAGTCCACTCTCGACCAATGTTTTCGTAAGTAGGCCGCATTGGGGTGGTTTCGGGGGTCTCGGGAAATCCGGCCTCACTGAGCCCTTGGATCCTCCATTTTGCGAGTTGAGAACGGCTTGCAGATCAACGGTCTCGGTTACCCATTCTCCGTTTCGAAAGACGTTGGTTTGAAAGGCCATGGGAAACCGTGTTATAGTATGCTATTGATGAATCGGAATAGTGGTTGGAGTTGGTGAGATGAAGGAAGAGATGGGAAGAGGGTGTATGTAGTCTGGTTTGTTGGGGAGAAAGAGAAGAAATTAAAATAATCCGGATCGGTTGCAAGCCACCTGCGCCTATGTTATGTCGCTCTTCTTCCTTTCAACCCCAAGTCAATCACCATCTCGATCGTGAGGGTGAGTGAGCTGGTGGTTTGCCACTGGAAGTTCCCGATCGGGCGGTGGCCTGGGTTTGCCTCGAGGCTGCTCGAGCGCACTCCTGCCTCGTTTTGGACCCAGCTCGGATGGTGTCGGCCCACAGGATACAGCTGGACAGTAAGTTGTCTTTTTAGAGCAGCAGAAACAGTTCTTCCGTGCATCTCACTCCCACCTTGGCCCCGTATATTTTGTTGTGTTTGTTGCTTGGGAGAGCGTCTATCCAAGCCAAAAAGAGGCGGGGCAGCCCTACCTCTTTCGGGACGGGCGCAGGAGCAACTTGCTGTGTAGGTACCAAACCTTGAGCTTTCAGCAGCCCCGATGCCTATTTCGGACGGCACCACAGGCGTCAACCGCTATGCTGGTCTCTTTGGCGCCCTCCATTGCTAGGCTTTTCCGTACTGACTTCGTTATCTTCGTCGGTAGCATCGAAACTAACTCATCAATGCTTCAGCCGTTTCTCACGCCCTTGTGTGTCGAGTCCACGAAACAAAGAAACCCCAGATTCAAGCCTCATCGCGTTCAAGCCGTATCGTACTCTTGGCATTTCCGACGGGGCGGATCTTGTATTGACCAATAACTAAGCTCGGTCCCGACCTGGCATCGAAGTGCTGGGGTGAAATAATCGTAACCCTGACATCAGACACTTTATGAGGGCTTGATCTGTACAGGTTGCTTCAGATGATTAAAAACAGAAAGAGGGGAAAGAGGGGAGATGATCGCGGCATTTTCGGGTCAACCAACTCATCGCTCGCTTTCTCAGTCTTGTCTTTCTCGTGCTTCTTGCTCCCCTTTGGCATTGTATTCCATCGCCAGGATCCTTATCAAACAAGGGTTTCCCGAATGGGAGAAAGCCAAGGAGATGTCACAGCTTGAAAGGCGACATGTAATCTGTAACTTACACGACAGGACATCAATCAATGCACGCCTTTAATCTGCGCCAGACACGCGTTCCTGAATCGAACAGGCCAATGTTTCATCTCCGTTCTACAAACCACGGCTCTTTCACGAGAAACACGTCAGGCTCTGCTTTCTACATGTATCCAGACTTATCCACCTTGACAAAATCTTGAAGCGGGCCCGCGAACCGAGACACGCGGCAGGAAAGGACAGGACAGAAATATTACACCAAAACGATCCCGGAAGGGAACGTTTGCAGATTTGAGATGTCATATATTTATTCTTAAGACCAATATCTGTCAACGTCCCAAAGGAGCAAATATCAGATCTCACGGCAAGCACATCTGGGTAGAGAATGGAGGAATCCACCAAGTCGCCGAGTCTCGACGAGAAGGCCGCCAAACACAAGTATGCAACTCACGCCATCGATGAAAAGAAAAAAGCCATCCTCGAAGCATGCAGTCAAAGGGACCTAGACGCTCTGAGAGCGCTTGCGCTGTCACCTGGGGGCTTCTTGGCCGATAGCATCCGCCAGCAGGCATGTAAGTGTCCTCACTCCCTTAGTAGCCTTATCAGCTCTCACTCAGTCCCATCATAATTCCGCTTTACAAGTTTACACTTTGCTCACTCCCACATAGGGCCGATACTCCTCGGACTCCCCTCCGAACACGCCAAAACAGAATCCGGTGCCAATGGGACAGCTTCGACCTCCACATGGGAATCCCTCCCGCGCCATCGAGACGAGGACCAAGTCCAACTGGATGTCAACCGCGCCTTCATCTACTACCCAGAGCGTATGCCCCTCTCTACTCCGCCGGGGGGAACACCCTTTTCCCTAAGACACACCAAACTAACACCACCACCTCTCTTTCCCCCCCAGACCAAACCGACGCCCAACTCGCCCACGCCAAAACCCTTCTCTCCTCCCTCATCGTCTCCGTCCTCCGCACCCACCCCTACCTCTGCTACTTCCAAGGCTACCACGACATCGCCCAAGTCCTCCTCCTCACCCTCCCCCCCAAACTCCACCAACCCAGCCTAACCCACCTCTCGCTCTTCCACATCCGCGATTTCATGCTGCCCTCCCTCGGCCCGGCCATCGCCCAGCTCCGGCTCATCCCCGACATCCTGCGGCTCGCCGACCCCCCGCTCTGGCGCCACCTCTCGGGGACGGAGCCCTTCTTCGCCCTGTCCGGCACGCTGACCATGTACGCGCACGACGTGACGACGCAGGGCGAGATCGCGCGCCTGTTCGACGCGCTGCTGGCCGCCGCCGCCACGCCGGGCCCGGTCTTTTCGGTATACCTGTTCGCCGCCATCGTGCGCGCCCGCCGCGCCGAGCTCTTCGACACGCCCCCCGACGAGCCCGAGATGCTGCACAGCATCCTCTCGAAGCTGCCCGTGCCGCTCGACTTGGAGGGCTTGATTGCCCAGGCGGTGAGACTGCAGGCCGAGTTTCCGCCCGAGCGGTTGCCGGCGTGGAGGAAGGGGGTGTCGAGGTGGAGTGTGCTCAAGACGGGGCGGCCCCGGGGTGGAGGGGGTGGGGAGGGTTTGGTGGCAGAGCAGGGACGGGTGTGGTTTGAGAGGCAGGTGAGGGAGTTGAGGTGGCAGGAGGCGAAGGGCCGGGCGGGGAAGTGGGTGTGGAGGCATCGCCGGCCGGCGGGGATGGTCGGGGTCGCGGTGCTGGTGGGAGTGCTGGCGGTGCTGTTGCGGAGGGGGCCGTTGCCCGGTCCGGTGGTGTCCGGGCTGGGGTGGGTGTCGGGGTGGTTGGCGAGGTGGTGGCGGTAGCTGGTGTTGCGTTGTAATCTATTTTTTTCTTAGAAGGTCATACATGGTAGAACTGGCACTAGGGCAAGTAGTCATGGGTAGGGGTCGGCGTGTATAAAACTAGGACTGACTACATTTAACACCGAGCATCCATCAGGATGGGTCGCTCGCCGTGACACGTCAACATGGCTTTTACTCTATCTTTCCACCTGGACCCTAGCCTCCAAAAACCAAAAGAAACGGCGACATAATCAGACCAACGCCTGGGCTAACCCTGCCTCAACAACCTATCCAGCCTCCTGAAAGCTCGTCTTCAACGCCTCAAAATGCTCCTGCTCCCCGTCCGCCAGCTTCCCGCTGACATCGCTAATGATTGTCAGAACCAAGCTATAATTATTATACAAAAACCGCTCCCGCTTCCGCTTGTCCGTTCCAAACGACGCCTGGCTCGCCTTGGTCAGAAACGCCTCGACGTCATTGCGCAGCCGGCGCAGGCTCGCCACGACCGGCTCATCATCTCCCCCGGCGTCCGCGCTCAGCGCCAACACCCCGTGCAGCAGCTGGCCGAACCGCTGCGTGACTACATGCGGCGCGGCAGACGCCGTCTTCACGGTCGCCGCCGACGGCGCGCGCGTCGGCAGAGCGGCCGTCAGCGCCCGCACCGACTCGCAGTGGGCGTCCATGATGCCCTGCAGGCGGGGCCACAGGGTCATGGAGGTGCCGTTGATGTAGCCGTCGGCGGCGGGAACGCGGCGGCGCTGCAGCTCGAAGGCGGAGTGCTGGTTGAGGCGCACGCACAGCAGCACGCCGAGCCCGTCGTACGTGTCGGCGACGAGCTGCCGGGTGAGGGCCTGGCCCAGGGCGAAGGCCGGGTCGAAGATGTAGTTGAAGTGCCGCGAGATGGCGGCGAAGGAGAGGGACGGGCTGAAGAAGGCCGCCAGAAAGGTGTACTCGGCTGTGGCGTTGTCGATGAGGGCGATGTTGAAGTGCCGGAAGGGGACTTCCAGATAATGGGTCGATTGGTCTTCTTCGGCGAGATAGGAGGATATGGCGAGTTGGTTCGTGGTTTTTAGGACCTCTATTCTCCTGCCCAGATTGAATGCGTCGTGTGGTGCACCAGCGATCTTCGACCCTGAGAGGACAGTGGTCCTTCTTGACGTGTCCTCGTGGCCAAGCACGTCGTTCTTGTCGAGGATGTGAAGCTTGAGCTTCTCCAGCGCTTTTTGGTAACGTGTGAACTGGTTCAGGTAGTACCAGCGCATGGTGTTGAGATAGGCCTGGCAAATCTCCCCCGCGAGGACGGGTTGGTGCCGGTGGAGAAAGGTAAAGAGATCCTTGAACTTGAGGAAATTCTGTTGTTGAATTATCTGAGCATTGATATTGGGCGACCTTAGGGCCTTGATTTGGGCCACGAGGAAATCCCGTATTCGCTCGACGGCCTAGTCAGGTTAGCATCGCGGCCCGAGGGGGTGCAGGAGCAACAGTACCTTGAGGACTAGCTTCTCTAGCAATGGCCCTACATCAGCTAGGGCCTTGCTTGGTGTCTGCTGAGCGCTCTTCTTCTGAGCCGTTGCTCTCTTATCTAGATCGGCTAGGATCTTGACCCAGGCCTCGTCGATGTGGCCTTCCGAGATCTTGGACACGAACGTGGGTGACACGCTCAACTCCTCCACGACCGGGGCCAACGCCTTCTCCACGGCCTTCCTATTCTCTAATCTTACATTCAAGGCCGTCGACCGGGCCTGTAGACTCTCAATATCGGCGGACACGGCAGCCAGGTCGTTGCGGAAGCTGGTCAGGTTGGATTCGACCGAGCTCAGGATGTCGTCACATGCTCGAATGGATCGATGGAGATCTTCAAACTTGGCCTTGTCTCGCCCAACTATATTGAATCTATGAGTACAGGAAGAGAAAGCCGCACTGACTCGGGGCGACCTACAGTCTTCTACAGTCTGCGATCTGTCGGTGTCAGCGGCCGCCCGACCGCCGCCCCCCTCGGCGAGGTCGCGCAGGGAGAGGCCACCAAAATCAAAATCCAACTCCAAATCATCCTCTGTGATCCGCCCGCCCCGGTCTTCTTCTAGGAAAGGGGTATTATTATCGGGGAGAGGACCAAGGATGCTGGCGAGTATCGTCTCCGGGTCGGGTGCGTTGTCCGCCGTCGTGGACTGTTTCAGGGTCGAGCCATTGCTCCGCTTTGACGCGCCAAGTAGCGAGGACGAAGAATCGTTCGAGGCCAGTGACAACGAAGACCCCCTCGGCGAGAGTCCCGGTCTCTGCGACGTGAGATAGGGGCCCCGCGCACTCGATGTCCGGCGAGGTAGCGGCGACTGGGTGCGGCTCTGGCTGTTGGGCGGCGACGGGGTATTTCCGGGGTGCGGCCCAGCAAACCGGTCAAGCCACATGATGCATCACCACTCTCCTGCGGTTTTCGTGGTGGTTTCTCTGTCCCACTTGCTCTCGTTCGTGGACTAGACTCGGGTATTTTGTCGCCGATGTTGTTCTTCGGAGCTGACCGAGAAGCTGCACGCGCAACGCAAGCACCTCCCTAAGCAGCTCCACTGTGGGGCCGGGAAGGCTGCGACAGCCCAGCGAGAACCTCCTTCTATTGGTCCGAGCTGAATCTCTCTCGAGCGCTCGCCGCAACCGCCTTCCCCCGTGCCCCCCACCCTTCAGCCTGTTCGAGGCGTTTGGCACCAGCTCTTCAGAAGCTCGCGCGACCGGTCGGCCCTCGCAGACCTATTTGCAGTAAATCCAAACAGGCGCCGTCTCCTCGAGGACAGGGACAAGAAACTGGGGCTAGATAACGTTTTCCACATCTCGTATACATACATTTCACATTGTGTGAAGCCATTGATAGGTATCTCGACAAGCGCAGACTCAGGATCGAGTTCAGAGCGCGCCCAGCACCAAGTGAAGTGCCCGAGGAGTGAGGTGGTCCCGTATTGCGGACAAACTGAAGCGCCCCAATAACACGAACTACCTTACAAAGGAACCAGTATCTTAACACTCAGGTCCTAGGCAGGTTAATACTCCTTGCACAATGGAGGATCGTTAAAAGCATACTTTGTAGGTAGACAACCTGGACCTACCTACATACCTACGTATATAGGTAGGTACCTTTGCCATGCACTCCAATACGGGTCGAGATACACATGTCGGGTGCTCGTGTGACCACGACCGACTTGGGAGTACCTAGGTCCTTACCAGACCTCAACCGGCCACCCGAGAATGGACGTTTGCCAAAATCTGGGCGTATGTACTCTACTAATGAAGTCTTGTTTCCAAACGCATGTTCGGGCAGAAAGATGAAGAAACAAAAAAAGACTTACATGGGACCAGAGGTTGGCGGCCCCAGCCGTTTGTGGCGGCGGCTCAGGCCCGCAGTCGGTCGGTGCATCTTGTGGGGTGCAAATCTTGAAAAATGAATCAGTTGTGATAGGGCCATTCTGATTGGCGGGGGGCTGCAAAAGGTGCTGGCGGGGTTCTGCGACAAGCCCACGAGCCCACCAAGCACAAGACCCACCCTAAATTCGAATTAACCTAACAAGGCGATGCTCATGGCGGGGAAACGTTGCCCATTTTTCTTCGCTTCGGCTGTCATTCAAAACCGCAAATTTCCTCCCGCCATCCCCTCTCCGGTCAACGCTTTCCACTCTCTCTTCCCCTCGACCATTCGACATCTTCTTGGGCGTCGTATCTCCGTTTTTTTTTCCTTCCGACTGACCAGTATCCTTTCCGAATTTCTTTCAAGATGGCGGAAGAGGTGAGTTGCGTTTGCTCGCTTGCATGTTGCTCGCTTGGGCGACGAAAGAAAATCACCCCGCACCGTCGAGCCCCGCGGTGCCCCCCGAGACAGCGTACATTAGGCACCACATTTGTCATGGCGTTCGGCGGGCTGCCATGATGCGCGCTTTGGCACCATCAAAACCCAATTACGAGGCTGGTGCTAATTGATGGTTTATAGGACCATGCCTTCGACCAGGATGCCGCCGGTGAATCCGGTGCCTCCAAGACCTTCCCCATGCAGTGCTCTGCCCTACGGAAGAACGGTCACGTTGTGATTAAGGGCCGCCCCTGCAAGATTGTCGACATGTCGACCTCAAAGACTGGCAAGCACGGTCACGCTAAGGTCCATCTTGTCGCCATCGACATTTTTACTGGCAAGAAGCTCGAGGATCTCTCCCCCTCGACCCACAACATGGACGTTCCCCACGTCAAACGCAACGAATACCAGCTGGTAAGCACGCATGGAATGAATAAGGTATCTTTTCGAGATGTGGGTGCTGACCCGACGCCAAGGTGAACATCGACGACGGCTTCCTCAACCTGATGGACTCGGACAACAACGCCAAGGATGATGTCAAGGTGCCCGATAACGACTTGGGTAAACAGATTCAGGAGGGTTTCGATGAGGGGAAGGACCTCCGTAGGTTTTGACCCGAGCGGAAGACTAGGAACCGAACAAACTAACACCGTCACGCCAGTTATCACCATCCAGGCCGCCATGGGCGAGGAGGCCGCTATTTCCGTCAAGGAAGGCGCCAAATAAAGGGCTGTACCCTGAATGGGAGGAAAGAGGAGAAGGGACCGGGGGGATGGAGTGACCCGATTCCGCCTCGGCGGTAGCAATATGATATATGTTCTCGCTAAGCTTTCTTTAGCCGACTGAGATATATCGGTTGATGTCTTTGGGCTGTTCTGGGAATTATCGTGTCGTCTGGTTGCCTGGGAGTCTACCACGGCACCCTGTGCCCATCACAAGACGACAGTCTTGTGCCATTGTATGGTATGGAACTAACGTCTTCTTGCTTGGGCGCAGCGCCTTTTCGTGCTGAGACAATCCTGGCGAATCCCAGATGTAGCCTTGTGGCTGCAAGGACATCGCCTGAATAGAATCAAACACACCCTGGCTCACCACCATGCCGATGACCGATGAACCATATGAACCATATGAACCATAGCTATTTTGAGTAAACTTTATATGATTGCCGACTGGGAAAGGATGCTAGAAAAGAGCAAAGAGCCGTGGCGAGCAACGTAAAAAGTGAAATTTTATCACCAACTCCGTAACTAGTTGATACTGCAACCTTTATTTTCGGGCCCAACAACGGCTAAATGCAATAGAGGCGTGTTAACGGCGGACTCTAAGGGCGCATCTAAGTACCTAGGTAGTTTGGTTAAAGGGGGTATCGAAATCGTGGGTGCTGTCGAAATGCTCGAGCGTCATGCATAGCAAATCATTTTCCACCTAACAAACACGCAACTACCTGGTAGGTAGGTACCTTGGTAGTTACGAAACACTGCGGAAGTCAGACTCAGCGATTTTACACGCCATGGCTCCGCGCCGTCATCACCGCTTCCCGCGCGGCGAGACCTGCTCCGAATGCCCCGCCAGACGGTGGTATCTCGAAAATGGACGGCGATACTGCGAGAATGGCCATCAGGTCGAGGTCAGTTCTACCCTCCCCTACACTTCACCACACACACATTCCCACCTCCTTCCCTCTTTCACCCCTCCCCCCAGCCAAGATCACAAACCAACAAGAGAAAGAAAACAAAAAGAAAAAGTACTAAAACGCACCAACCGCCCGGAAACAGGGCTACGTCCAATTCGACATCGACGAGGACGACAACTTTGGCAAGTCGGGCCGCGTCGCCCGCAAGAAGAAGGACGCCCGCCGCGCCGACCGCAAGCACCTCACGGGCAACCCGGCCCGCGAGCTCTTCCTCGAGTGCCTGCAGCTGCTGCTGCGCAAGCAGGTCCTCTGGCTTGTCCGCCGCAAGGGCTTCCACCCGGACCTCGAGGCCGTCGTGCGCGACCTCTGGCACCTGAGGGTGCGGGCGTTTCCTGGGATCCAGCGGGATCGGGATGCGAGGGGTGGGGATGGGGCTGCTTCTACTACTGCTGCTGGGAAGGGGGAGAGTGGGGAGTCGGGGTTGGTGATGTTTAGTTCGCAGGAGGAGGAGATGAAGGGAGGGGGGGATGGGCGGGGCGATGGGGAGGGCGGTGAGGGGTTGGGGTGGACCAGGAAGAGGGAGAACTGGGCCGGTGAGGTTTGGGCGCTTCCTGGGGCGATGGATACGCTCGCCTTGGTGTATCTGGGGTGTGTGTTGCGCCAGGAACCGGTGAGGATCGGGGATGTGTTTCGGTGGGCGAAGAACGGGCAGATACCGTTTCTAAGTGCCGTAAGTATGCTACGTGAGGGCTTGCTTGTTGCGCCGCTACTGACTTTGGTGATAGGTCGACTACGTGCCAAAAGAGTGGCGGGATAGGTTGCCGGGATGGGCCCATCACTCACTTCTAACGAGATATGCCAAGTTCCATGGCGGCGAGCTGCACCGGGCCATCATGAATTTGATGATGGGATACAAGGAGAACCACGGGCTGGAGTTTCCCGCGGTACCAGCGCCGCCTTTGCTATTTCTCTACATCAGGGATTTGGCCCTCCCTCGTGCGTTTTGTCTGTCTCCAGATACTGAAACGCGGAAGCTAATTATGACTACAGCTGAGGTTCATCCTTTTGCGCAAAAGGCTTACCGTCTCCTTGACATGAGTCTCGCCTTTCCAACGAGACGCCCCACGCCCAAACGATATAGACTGCTCGACATGCCAGAGGTTTTATTAGTGGCGTCTCTTGTCGTGGCGACAAAACACCAGTACCCCCTCGATGGCATCGAGCGGTTTCCTCGCGACTCCAGTGACCCACTCTGTCTCCAAATGGACTGGACTATCTGGGAGTCCGAGTTCGCGAAGAAGCCGGAGAAGAAACCTGGGATATTGCAGTACGAGCATATGGATCCACAAGAGGTCTGGTCGATGGACAAGGGCGATATGGATGAGCTGTTGAACTGGTTTCAAGAGACACAAATATTTGAAAAGCCTCCGGCTGGTGAGTCTGATTGATAACACTCGGTGTGTGCCGTAGCTAACTGTCCGCAGACGAAACGGAAGTCGACCGTCTCTTCCCGCTCCAAGACATCCCACCACTGCCTGCCATTCCCGAGTTGTCCCAGGAGGAAATCGAGGAAAGAGTTAAGAGAGTTCTTAGCTCCATGAAGAGCGTTAGCCCGATATCAGATCCCCAAGGTATGGACTCGAGCACCAAACGATTAGGCTCTGGTTACACTTGTTACAAGGATGTCGACGAGCTTAAGGGGACAACCAAACGATTCTACGAGGTGATGGCCGAAGTTGCTGGGTTGCCAGTACGAGACCTGCTTCGGGCAGTTTACAGTCTTGAGCAGATGCTCTTGACCTGGCAGAAGGAGGAGAAGCGCCGCCTCAAGGAGAATGATGGTATGTAGTCCTCGTCGGGCTTGATGCAGGATTGTACTCTACGCCATCTAAGGCGACACGTGCGGAGGATAATTAGATACCCAAATAAATATTATGACAAATAAATCGTGACTTTGAAGTGCAAGCAACTAGGGGCGGGAATCTCATCGTTGGGGTTGTGATCGATGGTGTTGTCAGGGTTCGGGTTACAGTTCGAGCTACAGTGCGCCGTTAGTCAAAGCACAGTGGCCATATTGCTGCCTCGCAATTCCGGCCACAAACCCTAGTCCCCCAGTCGCACGCCGATTCTAACCCCCACCAAAATTTACAGCTTCCTGGAACTTTCCCGTCATCCTCACCAGCAAGTCCACGGAAATCGGTCAAGAGTAAGCCACGCCCACGCCATCGCACAGCGATATTGACAGGATGCTGATATTGTATTTCCACCAACAGTGCAGATCTTCGTGAAGACCCTCACGGGTAAGACCATCACCCTCGAGGTCGAGTCCTCGGACACCATCGACAATGTCAAGTCGAAGATCCAAGACAAGGAGGGCATCCCCCCCGACCAGCAGCGCCTGATCTTCGCCGGCAAGCAGCTCGAGGATGGCCGCACTCTCTCTGACTACAACATTCAGAAGGTCAGTCCATGCGCACGACGAAATTCGATTTGGGAGCCGCGGAAGACGGAACGGAACGGAACTAGGGAAGAAGCGTGTTTTAAGAGGAGGAATCATATCATGGGGGGGAGATGTTGATTCCGCGGCGCCGAAATCGAAATGAGCGTCGAGAGGAGGCGTTTTCACATTAAACTGAGCTGACACCCGGCCACAGGAGTCGACTCTCCACCTCGTCCTCCGCCTCCGCGGTGGTATCATTGAGCCCTCGCTCAAGGCTCTTGCCTCCAAGTTCAACTGCGACAAGATGATCTGCCGCAAGTGCTACGTAAGGAAGCACCCTCGCGCTGCAGCGGTTTCCGGCAGCTAACATGACTCAGGCCCGTCTCCCGCCTCGTGCGACCAACTGCCGCAAGCGCAAGTGCGGCCACACCAACCAGCTCCGCCCCAAGAAGAAGCTCAAATAGACGGTTACTCTTTTCGGTCACGGTCGTCTGGCGTCTTTGGTTTTCTCGGCATTGCATGGTTCTGCAAGGGTTGGCAGGGGGTACACGGCACATTCTGGCTGTACATTCCGGATGACCATAGCTCAAGACTCCTGACCATCTAAATTCATCTGCATGACTGTTCATGAGCGGCTGGTCGCGATGTAAACTGCAACCGAGTGACATGAGATGGTTTCATCCCACATTGACTACGGAAATGATCACGTGATGCTGAGCCCTGCATAACCAGAGGGGTGTCGATATCGCCTGCAGGTCCTCAAGTGGGTCCAACATCCATCCAGACAGACCACGCAACAGCTGTCATAAGCGCAGCGCAGCTTCAGGGTCGAGACACCTTGACGACTTGCTCGATACCTCGACCACAACCCATGTCGCTTTAACCCACACCCAATCACTCGCCGCGCGCGTATTAGAAAGACGAACACAAGATGTCAAGATCAGGCTACGACGCCGTCGTCGACGTCGACGATGAAGTCAGTCCCCCCCATTCTGGATCCCCCAGCGCCCCTCCACAACCATCCCCCAGATCACAGCAACTAACCCCGCCATAAACAACAGGGCGACCTCGGCCACACCGACCTGCAAGAAGACCTCGAATTCCACAACTCCAACTTCTCCGAGTCCAGCCCAGCCCTCGGCACCGGCTCGGCGCGCGGCGGTGGCGGCGGCGGGCACAAGTCGCCGTCGCTGCCGCTGCCCGCGACGGCCAACACGTCGTCGTCGTCCTCCTCCCAGCCCGGCGGCAAGCGCTTCCTGTGGACCATGTCCTTCTACGCGCAGTTCTTCGACGTCGACACCTCGTCCGTGCTGCACCGCTGCTGGGCGGCGCTGTACCCGCGCGCCAACTTCCTGGACGTGTTGGACGGGAACCCGGACCTGTACGGGCCGTTCTGGATCGCGACGACCGTGGTGTTGATTCTGTTCCTGGGCGGGACGATCAGCGATTACTCGGCGAGGGAGGGCAGGGGCGAGTTTGCGTATGACTTTGGGTTGTTGAGTGGTGAGTGTTGGCCCGGTCAGTTGTTATGGAATGATCGCTAATGAATGCGATGTGATGTTCAGGTGCTGCCGGGTTGATATACGGCTACACGTTCGTCATCCCCGTCATCCTGTACCTCGCGCTGCGGTACTTTGGGTCCGAGAGCGCCAACCTGCTCGAGTGCTGGGCGCTATACGGGTACTCGAACCTGACCTGGATTCCCGTGGCGCTGATCAGCTGGTCACCAATTGCGATCCTGAACTGGGTGTTTGTCGGCGTCGGGTTCGGCGTGTCGGTGGCATTCCTGCTCCGGAACTTGTACCCCGTGCTGAGCGCGACCGACCGCCAGACCAGCAAGGTGCTGCTGATTCTGGTCGTAGCGCTGCACTTCGGGCTGGCAATTGCTATCAAGGTGCTGTTCTTTGCGCATGGTAGCCCGGCGCTGAAAGACGGTGGTGACGGTGGTGAGAAGACGGATCCGGCGCCGGAGAGGATGTTTTAGATTGAGGTGGTTGGAGGGGGGGACGAGGGGGTGGGTTTATGTACGTTTGGTGTGGTAGCATGCGATTGCCTTTGGCAGGTATCAGGCGTTCAGGGCAGGCATTCTTCAATGCAATGTACAATCAACCCTTGCACGTATCCTACAGCATATGCTCCTTTTCACTTTTCAAACCCCCCATCATCCCGATACCCATATGTACGTACGTACCACCTACCAAGCTCCCTCCCATCCATCCATACCCTACCCACCCACCCCTTCAAAGCGAGCCTTTCACCGCTCCACCTCCCCGCCCTTCCCAAACCAATCCAGCCAACTCCCGGGATACTCGCCGACCTTCTCCCAGCCGGCGTCGCGCGCCAGGCCCGCCGCGGCCCGGCTGCGCACGCCGGCCTGGCAGTAGAAGACGACCTCGGCGTCGCGCGCGGGCCGCGGGTGCCCGAACCGGTCCTCGAACTCCTCCTCCGTGATGTGGAAGCTGTCCGCCGCCGTCGACACGGGCACGTTGATCGCGCCGGGGATCCGGCCGGTGTTTTGGAGTTCGTGCGGTTCGCGGACGTCTGTTGTATGGGGGGGTTAGTGGGGTTGGTTGGAAGCGGGGTTGGGGAACTGAATTGGGTGGGGGGGGGGGGGACGGTACCGATTATGGTGATGGAGGGGTGAGGGGCGGTGGTGAGTTTCTGGAGCTGTGTCGGGGAGTTTGGGTTAGCTGAGTGCCTGGCTACCTAGTTGCTTGCTGGGTCTTTGGATGGAGGGAAGTTTGTCGATGGATAGGTGGACATACAGCTTCAAAGTCCCAGATCTTGGATGGCGGAGCGCCGGAGTCGGTGGAGTAAGGCCTTGTAATCGCTGACTTGGTGCTCGACCTGTTGCAAAATGCCGGTGGCGACGGTCGCTGGACGGAAAGTTGCTGGGACGGGGTGTAGCTGTGATAGCTGTGATATTGCCGCGACGCAAGATGCGCCGGAGCTCGGAGCTGCGCTGGCGTCGCGGTCCTTGCTGAAGGGACGGCGGCCCTCGCGAGGCTTACAACTGTGCGTCTGGATGCCATGATTGTCTGCTGCCGGATCGGTATTTGTGGACGCCGATATTAGCGGAGGTGGCGGAAGGCAGATGGGGTTCATAAAGCTCGGCTAAGCTGCCCGAGAACCGAGCAAGCTGCAAGCTGACGGAGCCGGGAGTCGGAGGTTGCCCCACAGGAATGCCCGCCGGGACCTGCATGCGCCCGGCTTACCTATCAGTGGCCTTGTATTCAACAGTCGACGTCACCGCAAACACTTCCAATATTACCGTATATGTATGTCCAATCATCGGGGGGTGCTGACTGCGTCCAGTAAGACGCCACCGCAGGCGAGACGGAAGCCCACGACCTGCACAACAATCCTTCTCATCTCACCTATCCCAACATCTTCCCTTCTCTCTCATCTCAGCAAGCTTTCTCATCATCGTTTCATTACGGACCATACGGGTCTAGGTATGTACAGACTAAAGATTACAATGGTAATAGGTCGTTGGCCGACCGTGGCCATTCCCAAACCCCCCAACCCCCCTTAGCTGGTGGACCATAACACATCCAAGCCAGCCGTATATCATTACCCTTCATTGATGCCATGGTAGACGGTAGACCGTCGGGACCTCGTGTGGCCCCATCAATGACTGGCTCCCTCCCAATTAATTAACGTCTATACCACAATGCAACGCCGCGCGAGCGCATGCTCTTCTAAACCACTCCCATCCCATCCTAACCTCTACCACTTCCTGTTCTCGAACGTCAAGGGGCAGTCGTCCTACTTCCGTCAGCAAACCGAACATGACTCAAGAATTCGTCTGAGGTACTCACCATAGGGAAGATGGTCGCAAACACCTTGATCTCCTCAGACTTGGGCGTCGCGTGGTGCTTCCAGTCGAGCAGGAGCGACGCCTTTCCGATCATGAGGACAAGGTTGAGCTGGGCGTACTGCTGCCCGAGGCAGTAGTGGGGCCCGGTGCCGAAGACGAGGTAGTTCTTCATACCCTTGACCTCGGCGTCACCGGTGAAGTACCGCTCGGGGTCGAACTCGTCGGGCCTCTCATAGACCTCGGGGTCGCGCAGGGCCATGTACGTGGTGGGGATAACCATGGAGCCTAAAAGTCATGTTAGCATCGGTGGCTTTTCCGCATATATTAGGGGGTAGGGGTTGCTCACCCTTGGGAGCGGTGTAGGTCTCGCTAATGGGGAACGCCTTCTTGACGACGTAGGGAACCATGAGGACGGGCGGGCGGTAGCGCAGCAGCTCACGAACGACGGCGCGGGTGTAGGTCATGGACTCAAGCTGATCCATGTCGACAGCGGCGTTGATGTCCCCGTTGCGGGCCTTCAGGTTCTCCTCGCGCACGCGATCAAGCACATCCGGGCGCTGAGCCATGATCTGGAAAAGCCAGGTGGCGGCGCTGCTCGTGGCGTCCTGGGAGGCAAAGAGGAAGGTGAAGACGGTCTGGGAGATCTCATAATCGGTGAAGTCGCGGAGAATGTGCGTCGGCTTCTCGACACCCTCGGTGTCGCCCTTCGCCTGCGCGTCACGCCACCTCTGAGACTGGATCATCTGGATAATCCAGGCATCCATGATGCAGTTGGGCTCGCCACCGGCAGCCATGCGGGCCTTGCTCTTCGCAGCGCACCTGGCGAACTCGGCCAGCACCATGTCGGCCGCCTTCTTTCCGTACCACGTCTTGGTGTAGGGGAGAATGATGGGGAAGTTGACGAGCTCGAGGGCGGCCGTGATGAGGTAGTAGTCGTCGGCGATCTTCTTGACGGCCTCGTCCGAGATGTAGTGGCCGACGAAGGTGCGGCAGGAGACAGCCGTGATGACCTCGCGGAAGTGCGTCATGAAGGGAACGGGCTCACCGCCGGCCTCCTTGGTGGTGGCGACGAACTCCTTGAAGTACCGGTTGTACACCTCCTCTTGACCGGGGAGGTAGATCTCGAGAGCGCGGCGAGTGAAGAGGCCGTTAAGACCCTTGCGGAACTCAACGTGCGCCTTGCCGTCGAGGAACACCCAGTTGTCGGCGCCGAGCAGCTTGTGGGCGACGTCGACGACGCAGGGCTTGACGAAAGCGGGCGAGTTGAAGACTTTCCGGGCCATGTCACGGGTGGACGCGATAACGACGAACCTAGCCGGACGTGTTAGTACCAATGGTGCGATTATTCGATCTCGGATAGGTCGGCCTACTTGTGGAAGACGGAGACGCAGCTGAGGGGACCGCTGAGCCACTTCCCGTAGTACTCCTCGAACTTGGGGTTCACGGACTGGAGGAAAGGCCCAATGAAGGGCATCTTCCATGATGGGCCGGCGATCGACCCCTTATTCAAGATGTAACGGACTAAGGAGTATTGGTGTCAGCTGAGGTGGTCAAACCCGGGCGGGTTGGGTCAGGCGCAAACATACACTGGTCGTAGACGACGAGAGTCGCGAGGATTGTCGCGAGAATGGTCCACGTGCTGGCGTTGGAGACATAGTCGATGACATATTCGAGCTGGGGAGCCACGCTGGCGGCGCCAAACTTGATGGTCGCCAAAGGCGAGGTTGTCGCGTTGGCGGCCATTGCGCGTGCCGTCGCCGTCACCGTCGCTATCGTTGTCGCTGCGGGTAAAGTGTGACAGTTACCAGAGCTTCAGGGAACGAGCGCAGTTGGTGAACTTTGAAGGTAAAACTGAGGGATTGGAAATGCGCAAGCGGCAACTGGGTGTGGAGGAAGAAAAGGGAAAACGACGGACTGCAGAGTTCACCCGGGGACCCGCGAGGGAAAAGTGAAGATGTCGACCGCGCGCGGGACAAGACACTGCTTCGTAGGGATTGGAGAGATTTGAAGCTTTGAACCCCTGTTCAGGTACTGCAAGATGTGGAGCCCCAAATCTTCCCTGCAGAAATTCGATGAGATGGGATGTCTCCGTAATGGTGTACAGTATACAGCCGAGTCTATTAACAATGCTTTGCCACATCCCAACACTCGCTATTACAATGCCAGAAAAACAAATCTTGAAAGCAGTAATATAACTACATTGCTTTTAGGCCCCTCTTATTAGTACTATACTACTATCCCCGCAGTGATTCCATCAGCATCATGGGCTCAAACTCACTGATCTGGTAGGCTTTCCGGTACTATCGCGAAAGGATCCCCGCTCGCCCTCAAAGTCCGGAGCGGGGCTTTCATCAATTGACCACTCACACGCAACACAATCCGAAAACGAGTCCCAAGGTCCGGTATTCAAGCAGAGCCAGCAAGAGCACCGCGTATTCTTTTCCCTCTTACTGTAACCTGCCAGTTCGCAAGGAAGCTTTTCCGGCAAATAAATTACCTTTGCCATTCTTCTTTTCCCTCTCTCTCCCTTCCCATCGACATCTGAGCAGTGGATGAAGGATCTGGAAAATGGTTCGTTCCGTCACTTCGATCATCGCGAGTTAGCGCCAACTTGGCAGGGCTTCTCAGGGGCAACCATGTCCTCCGCCGACCCAACTGGGAAAAGCGGAAGGTTTGATTCTGCCAGCGCTGCCAGGATCAAAAAGTTTTGGGGCGAGTGGCTTTTGAACGACGCGCTTTGCAGTGGTCTGAGCAGGCAATCTCGTTTGGTACACAGGAGTTCGACGTCGTCGTTCTCTGTCACCCAACCAACAACATCTCCAGGCCCATGGAGTTGCACGGCCTTTGTTATACGTTGGCCGAATACTGCCCCCCCACTGCGTATTGTCCCCCTGAGTTACCCAAGAGACATTCGCTCCAGGATGTAGTCTCGCCCGCCCTCGGGACTCTCAGCCGAGTCGACGACAACAACGCTCGCCCTCTCCCCTTCTCCTGGCCGGCACGGGTTCTCGATGAACCTCCGAAACAGAGCACGGGGGTCTTCACCTCCTTGAGCTTGAGAGATAGAAACATCCACCGGCGGCCGGGCGACGCCTGTCCGCTGGCTTCTCAGCGGGATCCTCTTGCGCAGCCTCTCATCTAGCAGGTCCATATCATCGACTCGACATTCGATGTACCAATACTCGAACCCGTAGAGCTCGGCCAGCTTGGATCCCTGAGCCAGTGTCTCATGGTAATTGCAAACACTGTCGACGATGACATTGAGTCCTTGCCTCATCATGGACCCAGCAAGCGCCCAGCCAAGGTTATACGCCAATCTCGCAGCCTGGTTGAACGAAACGTCGTCGGCAAGGAGCGTTGATTTGACGATGTCGTGATCGATTACCACCGCCCCAAGAGGTTGTCGCAGTAGGTTTGCCATGGTGCTCTTGCCAGAGCCTGGCGCGCCCGACATTTGGATGAAGAACTTCCTCTGGCCTTCAGGTGGAGTTGCTTGTAGATTTCCATGTTGGTTGTCCATTGTGAATCACATTTCAGAGTGGACTGTATGAATTCAAAGTTGATGCGAAAGCACAGGCTCAACCGGAACGGTGATCTCGACCCACCTGCGAACTGGAAGCTGGGGGATCCTGATGTGTGCGGAGACTAGGCGGAATAAGGACTAGCGCGCTTTCTCGAACAGTGGGGGCCAGTTGCCCATCCAGCATTCGTCTGATTGTCCGAAAAACCGAGGAAAAAGAGCAAGCAAGTGACAACAAATCAAGCGAATCACATCCAAACTCGGGAGCAACTCCAGTCGTTTCCCATGTTCCCCTGAGACAGAAGCGCCCGATTTGTTGAAATTCTCGTCCTGAAACCCGGGCCCAGGTCTGAGCCGAGTCCCATGGTTAAGACCGATGTCATGAGAACCGAGTGTGCCGTGTGTGCCATCAATGTGTGTGTGTGTGTGTGTGAAAGAGGGAGAGCGAGAGAGAGAGGCAGAGCCCCTTCTAGCCGTCTGAGTTTTCTTCCCCGCATCCCCCTCTTAAGAGTTTCCTTCGTCACGCACGTCACCCACCGAGCCAAATTAAAACCGTGAAATGCAGGCCACGAGCCGCTGCGTCAGCATCTCCGTCTCGGGTGGCTCAAACAGCCAATGGGACGCCGATATCACGGGAGCTTTCCTGGCGACGGTGACCACAAGGGACCGGTGACTCAGACGCACCGGCCACGCACTCAGGCATCAAGTCGACGCCGTCCGTTTTGGTAGAGCTCCGCGAAGAGTGCCCGTTTGAACAAATTCATCTCGCGATCCTGAAAAACCAGGATGGTCAGCAATGATGGCGTCGCTCCGATGACGAGTCACATCTCCAATGCAGCCCTCGAGTCACCGCCGGGTTCCCATACATTCGCCCTTCATTGAAGCCAAAACTGTCGGGGCAGAGCAGAGCAAGAACGTCTAAGAGGTGAGCCTACGAATCAGCATTTCGGCGTTGCAAGAAATCTGTGTTACTACAGAGCTTTGTGTGCCACTCGAGATCTGTAAGGTACTCAAGGGCATGTCCAAACGCAGCAGGTGCCCCGTCGCCGACACCCTGCCAAGTCCCGGTTCCCTTTCTCACACTTACACAGGATACGCGCGGCTCAATCGTCAAGGCGTATTGCCCAGGTGTGCAAAGGTCCAAACTAACCTAGGGTGGACCACTTGACGTAGGTTGTGTCATCTTCTGGCGTAAACGCTATTCTTCTGCTCGTCACCGTTACATGTTCTAGAATGGAGGTTCGAGGTTGCGCATGAAACCTCATGGGTTTCTCCTCAGTGGTCCGTGACTCACACGGCAATCCGAGTTTCCCCCCTTGGCGCGGACACGCACTCATACGCAGCCTCGCACGCCGAGGATGGCGCGTTGGTTGGCGTTGCACACCAATTCGAAAATGGACGATGAGCGTGGATGTCAAGGCTGGGGCTGTGAGACAGGAAGCCTCACCACAAATGAGACAAGCCATGTATATAAACCATGAGACGGTCTGCCTCAGGTCTCTCGTCCTCATCACGACGAGACAACCAGACAATCAAGGCACTCAAGACCAACTCACAATTAAAACGATTCACACCACCAATTGACCATTCACACAACAACTTTGCCTCAACCCAATTCCACCCCTGACAACAGCATCACCATAAACAACAACACCAACCCCTCAACCAAAATGTCATCCCACAGCAGTATGTCCACCCCCCTTCTCAACCCCAACTCCAACCACACACCACCACTAACCCCCACCCAAGCCTCCACCACCACCAACACCACCACCACCTCCCAACAGCACGACGCCTCCGACACCGCCTCGGTCGCAACAACCTCCTCCCTCTCCAGCCGCATCACCCTCCTCAAAGACAAGCTCCGCCCCACCACCACCACCACCACCACAGCCGACAAGGCGCGGCAGGAGCGCCAGGCCAAAGACGACCTGCTGAGGAACCAGATCCGCATGAACGTCTAAATATCTCCCGGATCTCTCCCCGAGAGAGAGAAAGGAGATGTAGGCACTGCCTAGCCTAGCGGGATAGCTATGGCGGGCTGCGGCTGACAGTGAGAAAAGGGGCTGCGCCGCGCTGCTGCTTGCTCTCTCTAGGGAGTAGGTAGCGCGCGAGGGCCGAGGGCTTTTTTCGACAGCATGGCCTTGCTATGGGGTGCCGGCCCCGCTGGGGGGAGGGCCGCGCCGGGAGGAAATAATGGGGGTTTGGCTGGGTGGGTGGCCAGACCCGGGCAGCCGGGAAAGGGGCAGTGTGATAGTTATAGCAGGTTGGCCTTTTGGGAAAGGGGCTAGGGGAGATGGGGAGAGGAATTTGAATGTAGCAGAGGGGTATCGTACTCTGAGAAAGGGTATTATTGTCTATTGGCAGTTATTCATAATTTAGATGACATCTTCTCGTGCTTTCCTTTGATTAGAAGGTATCGTCCAAGATATCCTGGTTCATCTTGACCACCGTCGGGCTGTACTCGGACGGGTCCTCAAGATCCTCGCCCGCCGTTAGCAGGATGTTGTCCACGATGCGCTTGCTCGCCTCGCGGGCTAGTTCAGGTCAGTACTCCTATGTTCACAACATCGTTAAGGTTGCAGATACATACCCGGTGTCTGCAATAACTTCGACGGTGGCATCGCAAACTGTATCGTCTTGGGCGGGCTCATCCCGCCAAACCCGTCGCTGTCGCTGTCCCACGTAATCTCGTCATCGTACTTTGACGAAGCAGCCCCCTGCTTCCCAGCAGTGGCAAACACATCCTTAGTCTTGCGCCCGGTAGCCGGCGTCTGAACGCTCACGCCGGGGGTCCTCGGCCCTGTGGCCGCTGGCGCTGCCGCCTTCCCCTTCCCCTTCGCCTTGTAGGCTGCGCGCGCTGGCGACATGAACGCCGCGCTGCGGAGCTGCGGCACCGCCATCTCTGGGCTCGACGTTGGTGAGTCCTCCCAGATAGGCCGCCCCTGCTGGTGTGCGTCTTTGCCCTTCCCGGCGGGTGTGGTCGCGAGTTTGTCTACTTTCCACTTGATCGGCGAGACGCCCGTGCCGCCACCGCCCTTGTGCGGTGTAGCCGCGATGCGGTAGTTTTTATCGAGCATGCGATGCAGCAATGGGTCTTTGCTACTATTGCTGTTGCCCCTGCCGCCGCGAATGTCAAAGTCGTCGTCCTCTTCGTCGTAGTGCGGGAGCGAGAACTTGGCGGGAAGCCGCGCGGTATGCTGCTGGAACAGCAGCTCCGTATCCTCTTCTTCCTCTCCCCCCGGAGGCGGTTCGGCCGGTGTTGTGCTACCGCCGCCACCCCGGCCCCCGCCACCCTGGTTGTCGTATTCGCGCTTGACGGTTTCGTAGGGGGAGAGGGCAAATTGCGGGCGGGCGGAGAGGGTCTTGGTTGCGGGCGGGCGTGGGGTACTACCCGTCAAGTCGTCGTCGTCGTCGCCACCGAGGGTTGACTCCTCCTGATGGGTGTCATCGCCGTGGTACATAGCGGACGACTGGTCCGTGGCGATAGAGACATCGTGATCACCGGCGCTGCGGCGGCTTGGTGTGTAGTCGGCGGTCTGATTGTGGATCGTACTTTCGTCGCCAGTTAATGCGCTATTCTCATCGGCCGCGGCCAGATCTTCGTATCCCGATAGCGAAACATTGGCGGAGGCTTCGAAGAATTGTTTCCAAAACTGCGACAGGTAAGAGTCAGCGACAGTTGCTTAGTTGCCAGGCCCACGTGTCTGTAAAGAAAGGAAACGGCACAACCAACCTTTGTAGCCTCCCATACTGAGCGCGAATGCTCGCCATACTGCTCGACGAGGGGCAGAATACTTGTCGTAACAATGCGGTGCGCCTTGCTGAAGTTGTGGTCAATCTCTGGGGGGCGTCAGTGGTTCGGCCCAGACAAGCAACTTGTGCTGTTCGAACCTTGTAAAGTAAGGGTAATGGACTGCTCGAGCTTTTCAAGCTCCTCGGTGAGTGTGAGATTCCTCGGCGCTGAGGGCCCAGGTCGAGACATGTTGGGCGGCCGTGGCGTTTACAATTTTACAGATTGTCAACAATGTAATGTGGTGCCAGGGGAAGATCCATCAGTTTAGGCGCGTGTGTCATGGGCGGCCAGCGCGATTGCGGGGTCGTTTTGGTGGGGTGCTGCGGGCAGCTCGAGGTAAGTTGTTTTCGAAACACCGCTCCAGACAGGTGCAACAAGGAATGAGCGGTACATGTAATCGAAAACATTACGCTTTTTTCTAACTGAGTATCCATAAACCAACCTCGGGGTCGCCTCTCCTGGTGGTGGCGTTCATCGTCCGCGCCGACCTCTACCACGACCCCTTCCTCTACCCGCACCACGTCCTCTTGCTCCTCCCCGTCCACCCTTCGTAGATACCGGTGTACCCGTCTCCTCCTCCTCTTCCTCTTCTTCTGATTCCTCCTCTTCAGCGCTCTCCGCCTCGGACGAAGACTCTTCCTTGACTTTACGCGCTCTGCTGGATGTCCGCTTCGCAGTCCTCCCTCCTCTCCCCGGCTTTCTCGTCGGGCTCGCCGCCGGTGTTTCGTTCTCAGTGTCCTCGACAGTACTACTACGGGCTCTCGAGCTCGATTCGGCGGCAGCGCCCCGTTTCCGCTTCTTGGGATCGCCGGCTGGCGCATCCGGGTCCCACTGCGCCGGGCTGGTTGGCGCTTCGCTCGGGTCCGCACGCACCCTCTCTAGTATCAATTCACCGTACTCATAAAATGGAAGGCTGAAGTCGTTGTACCGCCTCGGTTGGCCTTCCTCGTCCGGCGGATCCATGTTATTTTCCCGCTCGTCGATGGCCTCGAGGTTGTAGAACTCGCCCAGCTTAGCCCATATGCCGGGAACCCGTGTGTGTGGCCACGTGTCGGGGTCAAAGCCGTGGTTTCTCAGGTGCTCGCTGATAGCCAGTATTCGGAAGTGCTTGTGCATGCCTGAATAGAGAGGGATGGTTAGTGGGTGAAGGAGGAACAAGCGGCGGCGCTATCTACCCGCTGGTTTCCACCTGATGACGCCTTTGAATAGCGATGCAATCTGGTCGTCTGTCCATGGGTCGGTAACTGGTTTTGGAGGTTGGGGTGCCGCCGGGGCTGTTGGTGTCTGCGCCGGCGTGTCGACATCCATGGCATCATCGTCTCGCGCTGGCGTCGCGCCCTGGGTGCTCGCCCGCCCACCCTTCTTCTTGGGCGGCATGTTGACGCACAATTTGCAGGTTGAATTGACTCGACCTCTTGAATAATTACTGTGCAAAATGTTGGGGCGAAATAATGCAAGATTATGAAGCTATGTTGTTCAAGTTGAAGCTGAATGGCAACTTTCAATTGCTGCAGCGAAGCTTCAGGTAGCTGAGCGCCCCGAAATGCAAGCACCTTGGTGGTTTCTCGGCAGGCACCATGCACATGCATGCGCGACTTGCTCGGCCCGAGGGTTGGGGTTAACTATGGGAGGTATTGGCCCCCATTTACGCGGACACTGCGAATTGATGGGTCCCCACAACGCGTCGAGCTCCTGCCCATTCATTCATTCACCTGCAGCGGGAGTTACAACACACTCACTTAAACCAAACACCAATTCAAGGTTGTGGGTTCCGAATCCGGCAATACGAGATGTAAATAGAATCCTACCCGAAACACTCGAAACCCCAAAACATGGCAGATGAGGATGATCCGTCCAACCTCTTCTCTGTCCCCGATCTCTGGCGACCTTCGACCTGGCTTGACGATGCCCTCGCCAAAACCGCCAGTATCGACAACATCGACAAACACAACACTCTTTTCACTCTCAATGTGCTAAAAGAAGCCTTCCCAAGGTCATCCCCGAGCCTCACTGAAACTGGTGAAGTCCATGTTCTACACGGGAACCAGGATGACGACGACGTCTTCTTCAAGCTTCCCTCTCTTTTGAAGGAGTTAGCCGACGAAGAACCTAAGTCACAAACTAAGCCTAACCAGTTCAGTGTTGGGCATCCCGAGTTTGAGCCTGAGCCTCCAACCGCCTCTTCAGACGATGAGGATTTCTGGCTGTCTCACGACATCGACCCCGCCAAACCATCCCTGTTCAGGACCTGGGAGAGTTTCGACGATTTAGAGCAAGAGCAGGGCTTGCCATTATTTATCTCTGAAGCGGGGCCTGCTGCGTTCGATGCTTTATTGGCATCCAACGAAGAGGCCGGTGACATCCCCGATGTGTTGGATGCCGCAGTCTACTGCGCATGCTTGTTGAACCTCGCCCTGGGGAGGAGTTCGGTCTTGTTCTCATGGGAATCGGAGAGGAACTCGTTTATCAAAACTAGCCCTCGCCTCACCATCTCTGGGCTGTCGTTGGACACGGTCAAGGACGTTGACAAGCTCTGTATCGAGTGCGGAAACTCGGCCAGGCATCTCCAGGCCTTCGCTGAGGGGGCATATTTTGCCGCCTCCACTCCCACCAGGGTTGCTCTCGCCGGTGTCGCTGACCGGCTTGTGACGGCGGTCCGCTCCGAGCTCAAAAACAACAGCCACGGTGTGAGGTCAATCCTCCAGCTACAATCTGTCGTCCAGCCGGCTCGGTCGATCCTCGTCTACTTCAAGGGGCTCGTCAGAAAGCTGGCCCAACAAACGTCCGACGAAGGAATGCTGTCATGTCTCTTCCAGGAGGCGCAGGCTTCTGAGTACCGAGATAGCCTCGTAGAAGATGCTACGCGGGAAGTACTACGTGTCTTATCCAAGCCATGGATCGAGTTTGTTGAACAGTGGGTTGGTCTAAAGGCCGAAGAGGGGATTGCCATGGCCAAGACGGGGGCCGACAAGGGCTTTGTCAAAGTCGCAGACAAGATGTGGATCGATGATCAAGGCTTTGAACTAGAAGAAGCCGACTATTTCCTCGACGAGGATAGAGTGCCGACCTTTGTCCCGGCGGATATGGCCCAGTCGATTTTTGAAACTGGCAGGAACCTCCGGTTTCTACGCGACCATCACCCGGAGCATCCGCTCTCGAGACCGGACGTGGTTTCTCGAGCAATGCCGCCGAAGTTGAAATGGGAATTCAACTGGGACGCTGTATCGAAGCTGGAGGAGAGAGTCAACGAGTACCGAAACGCAGTAGCTCGAGCTATCAAGGGGACACCGTCGAGGGCGCCTCAAATCACATCCTCCGGCGTCAAGAAGCGGAAGTACGACGTTGCAGAGCTCGAGTATTTTGGAAAAGACGAAGTCCAGGTGCGAGAAAATATTCTTGCTTCGATACGCCAGCTTGATCAGTCCCTCGGAAATCCCGAGCCGCAGGATGAGCTTACTCGACTTATTCGCGATCGGCTGTATCGAACACCAGAGACATCACTCAACCACAGCAGCCTTTCCCCCCACTGGACACTGGTACCCCTTTTGTCCTTCGGTCCAATCATTGAGGCCCAGTCGGTTCTCATAAACCAGGAATGTATGAAGTTCCTCTTTAGCGCACACCACCTGCGCGTCCACATCGACCTCCTCAAACAATACTTCCTTCTCGGCAATGGTCTCCTTGTCAGCCGCCTCACCCATGCCCTCTTCGACCCTGACCTCTCCACCGCCGAACGCCGCACCGGCGTCGCCCTCGGCAGCAGCAGCACGATGGGTCTCCGTCTCGGAAGCCGTCAAACCTGGCCGCCAGCGAGCTCCGAACTCCGCCTCGCCCTCATGGGCGTTCTGTCCGACTGCTACCAATCCCCCACCTCTTCTCCTGGTGCCGATACCAACACCAACAACCCCAGTGCAACCCTCCCAGGCGACCTCAGCTTCTCCGTCCGCGACCTCTCCCCGCAAGAAATAGACCGTTGCATGGATCCGCACGGCCTCGAAGCCCTCGATTTCTTGAGGCTGTCCTACAAACCACCCACTGCCCTACGCCCCGTCATCTCCCCGGCCATCCTCCTAAAATACGACCGCATCTTCAAATTGCTACTCCGTGTGCTAAGGATGCTGTACGTCGCGAACCAACTCTCCTGCCGCCGCTACCGCAAGAGCAACAACGGCAACCGTGCAATCCCCGGGGAAGAAGAAAACCAACAAGCCGAAGAAAGCAACGCATCCCGCCGCTTCCGCATCGAAGCCACGCGCTTCGTCCACCACATCGCCGCCTACTTCTTCGACGTCGGCATCCTGGAGCCGTGGGCGCGTTTCGAGGCGTGGCTAGACGTAGTCCAAGCCGAAACCGAGGCCGAGGCCGAGTCATGCAGCCCCAGCTCCTACACAAGCACCAAACTAGCCCCGAACGAAGGCGGGAACTCTGGAGACAACGCGAACAAGGCAAACAAAAACGACAAGAAAAAGAAAGCGACCCCAGGCGGCGGCGGCGGCGGCGGCGGCACCGCCGCCGGCCCGGACGTGCTGCGCGCGCGGCAGGAGCGCGTGCTGGACGAGATGATGGGCGTGCTGTTCCTGCGCAAGCGGCAGGCGCCCGTCATGGGCCTGCTGGAGGAGACCTTTGGCGTCGTGTTGCGGTTTGCGCGGCTGAGCGCGGCCGGCGGTGGGGGCGAGGGGGGCGAGGGGGCGGAGGGGGCGGAGACGGCGCGGGAGCTGTATCGGTTGTTTAGGAAGAAGGTTGAGGTGTTTGTGACTGTTTGTAGGGGGCTCGGTGAGAAGATGGCTGTTTCTGGTCGTGCTGGTGCTGGTGCGGGCGCGGGGAGGGATGGGGGTTGTGTTGAGCAGTTGTTGTTGAGGTTGGATATGGCGGGGTTTTATGGGAGGGAGGTTGTTAGGTAGTTAGTTGATGATGGTGTCGTGGTGACGGTGACGGTGATGCTTCGTGGAAGGAGCTCGAGTCTAGATACCCGGTGAAAAAGATATTACTCAGACTACCTATCCGTCGTGTTATATATGCTTGAACACTGCACGAGTTAACACTTGGAGCTTCATGGAAGTAACACGCTACGTCGTGGTTTAGAGGACAGGCCTTGGTCTTATCCGCCGTATTATTGTCAGGGTAGTTAGTAAATCTAACTTAGTTATGGCAATGGGTGAGAGGTTTATTCTTTTTTCGGAATAAACTCGATGAGCTGATAAGACATATACTTGTGTATTTAGGGTTATGGGAGTGCTTAGTATGTATCAAATTATCTACATTTAAGCTGGGTAGCTGCAAGAGACCTGTGAATGTATGCGTACGTAATTCCGAGAGATTATATTTCGAGATACAATATCATACCCCCCTGTTTAACGCTCTGGACTATCACTACTCTGAGATTTATTATCCCTTGGAAGCTTCTCAGCAACTCAATGATCATGCAAATGGAACTTTGACGTGAATATCATCTACCACGAAAAGAATTGCCAAACACGAGAGTTTTGATACTTATAAGAATGTGAGGCACTGAATTTAATGCCAACAATAATACCGCATTTCTTCAGTCATCGGTTTGCACACACAGCACCTCATCGTGTTGATTCCGACACGGATTCTAACCCAACTCTCAGACAAGACTCGTGAACTCGCGCTCACCGACACAAGGTGTGGTGGTGTTCACGACTGGTACGGAAAGTAAACCATAACGCGTCACTGATAGGGAAACTTGCACGAATAAAGGCGGTATATCGTTCATCGTTTGTGCCTAGGGCGGATGGAACGTTTTACTTTCTCAGGCTTGCTCATGTCTTTGGTCGCGCCGTTTGTCCACCAGCGTGCTCCCCCGTCGCCGAGAGGGAGCTCCCCGATTCGAGGCATTGTTTGTTTCATTAAGATATGGTCAAGATAAAAAGCAGAGTCTACATCAAGGTCCTCGCGTTGTTGTCCGGCCGAAGAACTCGGTCTGCTCTGTTCATAACCAGCCCTTCTCGTTTTCCCAGCGCGTAAACGCGGCATTGCAAACCAACTTGATGTGATGTCTTCACGGACGCGGTTGACCACGCTACAGAAATACAAAGTCTCACTCGGAAATGGTGAAACCGAAGTTTCGCCTTTGCGCTCGAGGCAACCAAGCGCCAGGGAGGCGAGTTCTGGGCGCAAAAACCGGCCGACGCCGGTCGTTTAGCAAATCCCTACTCGCCGGGAAAAACGCGGTTGCCTCTTCCTCCTGCAATCTGACAGGCGAATGGTGCGAACCTCTCGTTGTTTTGTTGTCCGTGGTTGATTCTCCGAAAAAAGGCGGGCAGCGATGGACCCAGGGATCGTCCCTGAACCTTGGCTAGGGGAGACAGCAATTCCAGGTACCAGTCTTTCAAATGTATGACCAAGAAAACAGGGGATAACGTTGTCGACCGCAATCCCTGAATCGGGGACTCGGACATGTGTTTGGCAACTACCGGTGATCACGAGGTTCGAGTCGATAGCTTCTCGACCGACGGTGAGGCGGTGAGTGCTTTGGCTCGCTCGCCCGTCTCCGAAATGGGCTCCGGCTTTTCTCAGACCTTACTCGCGCGGGTGTCGGCTTCTCACATCATTTGTAAGTGGTTCGGTTTCGGACCTGGCATGGAGCTGCTCTCGCTCGCTCGGCACATTGGACCGTTAAGGAACAAAGATATACGGTGAAACGGCCCGATGGGTGTTACAACTCCGAGGACGCGTGTCGAGTTGAGGACGGAGGCTGCCGAACTTGCGCCATCCGCGCTTCGATTATTAACATTTTTTCCTTCTCTCTTTTCTTTCGGTTGTCGTTGGAAAATCGATTGTTTGCCGAGCACAACCGTTATTTCCACTGCCCGATACCCGGCATTAGAGCGGGTCGACGGTACATTTTCCTTGCTGCATCCGGGAACAAGAACGGGGTGCGTGGGATGGGTGGATGGCATCGGGTCTGGACACTGTGCGTCGACCACTGGTCCGGATCTCGCGTTACACAATCAATGATGAAAAAATGTCCCAAATAGGGAATGTCATTGGCTGGGGGTGGGGGTCACGGAAGATCCCTGGTAGCTTGCCTCCTTGCCACGTTACGGCAGACCGCCTTCAATCATTCTGATATGAGAAGGGGCGGGCCAAGAGCCCCTTCTCCTGAGGTGGTAATGGATAAGTCACGCGGTTGTCAGTCTTCTTTTTATTAGGTACACAGCAACTACCAAATGTGCGTGCATCTCCTAATGGAAATCAGCAGGGCTTGGTGTGAATCATGGAAGTTACCGGAGAATGCTCCGGGTTCAGGGTTTGGTCTGCCTCGATTGCGGATGTCGGGATGAACGAAAGGCAAAATTAGCCACACTAACTACTTCGTAACATCAAGTAATTCATCCAAGGTCGAAGCTCTTGAGGAACGAGGCGACGAGCAAAAAAGTCTTGCTTCTTGGTTGTCATTCTGACGCGATGAGGCAACCTCCTGCAGATCGAAGGAAAAGCAGACTGCATGTTCAACCAATGAATGAAGGCGCTGATCGGGCAACGGAGCAGACTTTTCTTTTATCAGCGCTGCAGGCAAGAAACCATACTCGCTGAGTGACGATGTTATTCAGTCGAGTCTCCGGACCGGCAACCCCCGCCAACACGTTGAGGTTGCGCTTTGTTTTCGGCGAAATTCTCGAATCTTTTGCTGTCCCTGGACCCATTCGCAGCGTGCGAGAGCAGGGATCGGTCCTCTTCCGTTAGGCTCCGCCAAGCCGAGGTTGGTGGTTCAAGGTGGGATTTGGCGTTTGCCTGAGCCGGTGCAGTGAGATCCCAGCGGCGATCGCGAGCCATGGCCAATATTTTGGTGCGGCTTGCCCTTATTGGAAGTGCCGCCGCTCTCTGACGTTGAGACTCGGTTTCCAATCGATCCTGAGCCGTGGTTAATTCGGTGGCCGGATGAAGGGAGGCAGGAAGGGAGATGGCTTGCGAGGGAAGCCCTAGGTTCCGTCTCTGTATCAAAATGGCCGTCGGAGACACGACTCAGATTTGATTGCCGGATCTCGGTCCACAATTGCCGTGAGGTCCTGCCGAGATCCTTGCCTTGCGTCGTGGACCCCCAACTTTCACGGGTGATGAGCAGGGCATCGTTTCAAAGACCCCGTGATAATGCCAAGGAATGGGGCAGCTCGCTTCCCAGGTGGTCTGGAGGATGGGTCCGCTCATCCGGAGATGGGCACTGACGTGATCTGGAATTGTTGTGCGGCATGTCACTGCCCGCACTGAAGAAGCGGGGTGCCCAAGAGAGCCCGATGCTGGCATTGAGGGCACCTTGGCAGTCGGGCGAAGTTCGGCCTGCAGGTGATGCAGCCATCGCGCCGCGTTGCCGTCCATCGAAGGCGATGCAGGCAGGACTTGGACCAGTCTGCACAGTTTGCGCAGATGTCCCAACTCGTCACCGACTCACACCTTGGAATCCTCTCTTGTCGCGGCAGTCGCGCTGATCTTCCATCCTTGACGCGGCACAGCCTAAGGCAGCTGGATAATGTGTACGGGGCAGCGACTTGTCTCAAGTCTGGGGTCACGTCTTTTTTTAAGCTCGAACCCCCGAGCCGGTTCTGCCGCTGGTTCGCGCAATCGCGAACGCCACATCTGGTTCGGTGGAGTAGGCGGGTTTTGCCCGGTTTTAGCTGACCCGGCCCAATCCTTCCACAGATTCAGCCAAAACTCCGGGTCACCAAAACACAACGAGACCGTTGGTGTTGGGGTTTTTTTTTTTTTTTTACCCCTCGACGCGATCCGATCCACCGAGGCCAAGCGGATGTTTGTTCTGCCAGCGAGCTTGGCGGGTGCGGGATGAGCCCTGCAGCACCAATCCGAAGGCTGGCTCGGTTGGGACGGACCAGGGCGAGGTGGAGGTACCTTGCCGCTCTTCCCCTTCCCCCCCTTCGCCCCTTCCCCTCCTCTCTGCCGACATCTCTCCGAGCAGTCCAACGAGAGGCAGCAGCTGATGGGTGCCGGTCGCCGCTTGTCGCACTTCGAAATGGCAGGTGCCCTGCATGCCGTAGTCCGGAAGTTCCTAGCAACGTGGCATGTCCATCGCTGTCGGCGCAATGTGCCCTTGTTTGAGGGGATGCGGCCGGGAAAGGCCCGATGTTCCTTGGCGGGCTCTCGAATTCTCGATGCTGAGTTTTGTGCCGGAAGCGTTGGGAAGGCTGGTTAGTGCCGTGGCCGACCCGGGCTGGGGGCAGACGACTTGATATTGACATTCTTCGTTTGGTGGAGCTCTTCGGCTTCCAGAAAACGCCCCTCATTATTTCAATATTTTAGACGTCGCACAGAACCCGCAGGAGTGGGTTCATGATACGGACCCTCCCAGAGCCTCAGTTCTTGGATCGCCCACCTCTCCACCAGACCCTTGAAAGGGGACCACTTTCATCCGACGCCATGCGACGCGGCTGCCGTTCCACGCCGCCATGCGCGCGCGCGGCTGACGCGCAGCAGGACGCTCTTGAGAGATCCAAGATGCAGCCCAGATGCCGCTGTGCCTGATTTTGTCATGTGGGTATTCAGACAAGGCAACCTTCGCCGAGGTCCTGGGAGGTGAATTTTTTTTCCCACCTTGCCTCCTCGCTCTCGTCGGAAGAATATCCGATATCGCCGCAGTGCGCCGAGGCCGCGGTAACCGGGCGAAATAGCCAAATCAGAATGCTACCCGTTTTCAGGACGTGGCATTGCCTCAGGAAAGCTCGCTTGTTCTCGAACAAAGCACCTTGCCCGCTTCCGCAGACCTGCCTGGAATCGCCGAGTTGTCGTCATATCCGCCGATGAGACGGACGGTACGAGTTTCCACAGTGCGAGCCCGTGGCCAACATAATTTTTCCTTCTTTTTTTTACCCTCGGCGTTGCTGTGTTGGCCCCTGCGCAGCATGCCGAGGCAAACAGGGAGCAGGGGAGTACACGAAGTTATTTCGCGTCTCGGCCAGTTTCGCTCAACAATCTTGACTCGTGGACGCTGCACATCATCGCCCCGAAACCGTCAGGATCCTGCGTTCGCTCGAGCGGAGGGATGTGGGCGGTGCGTTCCCGAAATCAACCCACAAGTGGCCCCGCCTTCCCGCCATCCTTGAGCCCTGGGATCGAGATGGATTACCAGGTAGGTCTGTGGGGACGGGCGGCACGGTGGAGTGGCTAATAGCAATCCACAAAGAGCTGCGTTGTCGCACGTGCGATGGTACAGACAGGATACAGACAGACAACTCGACGGGAATTGTCGCGAAATTGCTGAGAGAGCCGGTAAGCCGGTGCTGCGAGGCCAGATCCAGGAATGCAGGTCCAACATCCGACGGCTTTTTGAGATAGCCGAAGCGCCCGGCGGCAACCAGCAAAGCAGCCCTCACCGCAACTCAGGCGCCTTGGCAGCCATGCCATTTCACCCATGGATGGTCCGAAAGTGAGAGTGATAGCTCGGATTAAGAGAAGCATCATAGGTAATCAGAAGAAGCTAGCCACCCAACCACCCGACGCTTAGGGCTTTGACCAATGTTATGGTGTGGTGTTTGTCTGTGCGGTGCTAGCCGCTTTCCTGGCTTCTTTCGGCTTTCGCCGCGGTGTTGTTTGATATCAAGAAACCGCGCCACGGGGTACGAGTCATGACGAGATCGCTGAGTCTAGCTCACGGCACAGTCGTCGCCTATTTGCCGCGGCCTTCGCCGGTGAATACTTGACCGTGCCGGCTCAACTCAGCGAGTCTGCTGCTGAAAGAGAGTTATTCAGCCCCCGCCACGCTGAAGAAGTGTCGATCAGCGAGGGTACCGATGGGAAGTCACACACGCCTCTCATATATCATACTACACGAAGGGCGGGAAAGGGATGGTAGATAGTCTCATTTATTTTTCTTTCCATATTACAAACGGTGGCATTCTGCGCCGTCCCCTCAACTGACTGAGACTGAGATCTGACATCTTGTGGTGTGCTTTTATGGCGGGATGACGGCGAGTGGCAACTGCGGAATGCGTGGCGCGCGCCTTCTCAGCGCCCAGCAAGGTAGGTAGTCAGTCCCAGTAAGCGCACAGTGTGAGACTGCCCAGGCGCAACGTCACTCGGCGTTCGTTTGGGCTTAGGCCGGCCCTCTGTGCCACCCAGAGAAGTTAGCAAATTTCCCTGCATTTGAGAAAATCGGGCGACTGCGAGAACAGAGGTGGAAACCATCAAGATGGAGGAAACAACTACCCCTCCCAGGGATATTTAAGGTTACTGGATCAAAAAGAGCACCGCAGATCACGAACTTGGCTCGAGAAGGACACCCACCGACTCGCGGCGATGGAATGTGCCACATTTTAACCTGGCACAAATAATACCGTGTCTTCTGGTGTTGCTGCTCACTGCTGTGTGAACAGCGACTCCCCCGTCACATGTGTGCAGAATCCCGCCGAGACAGCTGGCCGGCATGTCCCTGTCGTTCCATCCTGTACAGTAAGAATACGAATGAGAACCCCTCTCTTGGAAGCTGGCATCGGGGACCCCCGAACCACACACCTCGCATGAAGTGTGCGGCAGAATCGATACTGTATCGTCGAGGTAGCTCCTTATCTCGCTGGCTTTGCGATCATCGCCCTTTACCGGCTCAAGCGCGTCACAGACGTCAGCAGCGCTTCATGTACATGTCGTCGTCGCAAATCATAATGCAGCAGAGATCTTGGGCGAGCGATACCGGATGATCGCGGGCCAGTCAAATGTTGCCATCCGGTGGCAGAGGGGATTGCTGCAAGCGCGCACTTTATATCCCACCTAGGTAGGTCAGTACACGCTTGCCAACATGTCCGTAAACAGCAAGGACTGGCCGTATTTTTTCTCTTTCAATAATTCCCGCTTTCCGCCTGTTCCCCTTTCGCCTGCGAGTGGTCCAAGCACCCTGCCCACCTGGCATTTTGGCACCCCCTCCCCTCCATTTTTCCCTCCCAACTCTGCCCTTGGTTCTTACCCACTTTCCCTTTTCCTCTTTCCACATCGCGCGTGCCCCATCTCTTTTCCACAACAACAAAACTGCTTCCCACGCGAAGCCACTGCGCGTCGAACGCTGCATTCGAGGTGCAAGTAGAAGAAGCCGGAAACTAAAAACTTTCCACGCATAACGCTTCATTATTCTCGGTGCCCAAAGGCCTGCATCGGGTCCATTTGCATCTTCCCGCAGGGGACCTCGAATTTTTCCCACGTCCCGGTCCAGGTTGTCTCCACCCAAAGGCACCTTCCTCACGGCTGTTCGCGCTGGGGACCGGATATCCCACACACACCTTGCTGCCCGCCACGCGCATCAGCCAAGTCCCCTGGCAGCTGCCGCCCCCCATCCCAAAACATTAAAGAAGGACGCGCAGCACCAAAAGAAAAGTGGTTGTCCCCACACCGACTTTCCACTCATACCTCCTCATTTCTCTCCACTTCTACCTCTTTTTGCCTTTGAGCCTCATCTTCCCGCTTCGGGTCTTTTCTCCACCTTTCAGCACGTCGCGCGTCTTGACAACTCCATTCTCGCGACTGCAGGTCCCACAACTTTTCAACGACGCATCGCATCCGCGTCCCTGCATCTGAACGGACGGCAACAGAGCAAAGAAGCCAATTCGAGGACCGGACAAAGTGCAACTCGCCGACGCATCATCGGCTCGAGTGCATCGTATCGTCTTTTGTGTGTAAAACGCCCAATTGAACCGAACTCGCCTCGTCGCGTCGTCCGAGGCCTCGACACCGCTTGGACTAAGTCGCCGTCGTCGGTCTTCGACAGCAGCACACAAAGCCTTTCGTGCTCCGGGCTCGGATGGTTTTTTTGTGCTCGCGACTGCACGGTTTTTGAGCGACGGATTATGGAAGGTCTGCCCAACGGATCGGCGAATGCTATAAACACGACGGTGGCTTCTTATCCCTCTTCGTCAGCAGCATCACCGCACCTACCCCCGCAGCAGCACCCGCACCACTCCCACCACGCCCACCACCACCAGGCTCAGACTTCGGCCCCTCCCCACACGCTGCCACCGCTTCAGCCAAGCAACCCTGTTATGCAACAGGGCCCTTACGGGAGCTATCCTCACACGCCCAGGACTCCAGCGACCCCCAACACCCCAAGCTCCACGGGCACGATGGCAAGCTACCCGCCCCCGCCTCCGCAGAATGCGGGCCGCGCCAACGCTTATCCCATCATGGGCAACAACACGTACCAGCAGCAGCCGTACCCCGGCGCTTCGTCGAGCGTGATGCCGCAGAGCACCACAGCGGCTTCGCATCCCCAGCCGATTGCCCCCGCTCCGGCCACGGCTGGTAACCGCGCCCCGCCCGTGCTCCGCCCGATGCCCGCTGGTGGCGTCATGTCCCAACCCGGAATGAACCCGCCATACAGCCAGAGCCCGCTGATGCCCCAGATGCCAGAGGGTGACACGCCGACGCATGTGGTCGGTTCGCAGGGTCGGAGAGGGATCTTGCCCAGCGCCCCGGGTAGGCCCGCTGCGCCGGCCGCCGGGTCCGCGCAGGCCAAGAACCAGATCCCCCAGAAGGACGCGGATGGAAAGTTCCCCTGCCCTCACTGCACCAAGACTTACCTCCATGCGAAGCACTTGAAGCGCCACCTTCTGAGACGTAAGTCTTGCGCGAATCTCCCCTTTGGCTCATGTGTGAGCTGGACCTTAACCGCCCGTGATAGATACCGGTGACCGCCCGTACATGTGTGTCCTGTGCCACGACACCTTCTCGCGCAGCGACATTCTCAAGCGCCACTTCATCAAGTGCTCCGTCCGCCGCGGCAACCCGACCGGTGCTAGCCATCTCTCACACCCCCAGGCGCACGTCAAGAAGAATGCCGCTGCCCAGCAAAAGGCCCTGGGCACCGAGGGCGATGTTAATCATATTAACGGTATGGGTAACATGTCTGCCGACGGGATGGTTCATCCGTTTGGCATCATTCCCACGTCTGATGGCATGAGCAACGTGGCCAACGACCAAAGCCAGCTCTCGAGATCTAGCAGCATCAACCGAATCGCCGACGACGCGAACCGCGATAGGAGAAGCATGACCGCGTCGGTTATGGGCGCGTCGACGCGTCCTGCCAGCTTTGAGCAGCCGTACAACGGCGGCGAGGTCGCGAACAACATGACGGCGAACATCAACCCGTCGCTGGCCAACTACAGCATGCCGCAGAACCAGAACGGGATGCCCATGTTTGGAGGGTCAAACTCGACCGATTGGTCTCAAATGTTCCAGGCTGGTGCGCACTCTACCTACGTCAATACGATCCCACCTAATACCGGACAGGGACAGATGCAGACCGTAACCAAACCCGAGCCTAGTCACGGCTCCGTACGAGCGGCTGGCATTCCTGGCGACCATTCCACCGACTCATCCCTCTTCCCCTCGTGGGGAGTACCGTCGTCGTATCCGAACACTTACCATCAGCTCTCCAGCAAGATCCTCAACTTTTTGCAGTCCTCACCCGCCGGTGCTAACACGGCCACCTCCAGCTTCCTCGACTTCTACTTCCATTCTGACAATGTCCGCAACTTCCTCGAGAACTACACCAACTTCCATGCCCACATCTCAATCCTGCACATCCCAACGTTCCGCGCCATGGAAACTCATGTCGGCCTTCTGGCGGCCATGTGCTGTGTCGGGGCTTGCTACTCAGACCGAATACCTGCTAACAACATTCGTGAGGTGATGGATCTCTTGAAGGCCGCACTCGAAGGCTCGTCTCGCATGTTCGCGTCCCTGCTGCAAGCTGGCCAGCCGGAGGCCGGGTATGAGTGGACGTCTTTTGGAAACAACAAGACAGATCTCGAGGAGCTGCAAGCGATCATGCTTACCCAAAATCTCTTCACCTGGCACGGGACACCGGTGCAACGCGACAAGGCACGGAGGACGTTTCCTCTTATTGCGTCGTCCGCTCGCAAGGCTGGTCTTCTTCGTCTCGCAACGGACGGCGCGATGTACAGCATGGTGCACCAAGCTGATTTTTCCCTCTCGAACTTTCCAGTCTCCCAGTTTAGCTGGCACGCTTGGGTGGAACAAGAGAAGCGCATCCGGACCATGTACATGATCTTTCTCTATGACGTGGCTCTTGGCTTGTACTTCAACACGGGGCCCGAGTTTGATCCCTTTGAGATCCGCCTTCCATTACCCGCCGACGACGCCGCCTGGGATGCCAACGACATCAATGAATGTGCCCAGGCGCTCGGGCTGCAAGGACCAGATGCCGCCAAGATGCGCAATCCTGACGGCGCGCGGAGAAGCAACCAGCCTGAAGCCCGCTTGGTGTTGAAGGCCCTTCTTGACACCAACTACCGCATCCAGCCAGAATCCACCAATCTGTTCGGAAAATTCATCCTAATCCATGCGCTTCTGGCCATCATGCGGCGAGCTCAACTGGAAGGCGGCTCGGCGATTTTGAATCGTTCGAGCACCCCTGTCCCTGCGCAGTCATGGTTTGTTGGTGCGCGAAGCAGCCCCGCGAGTAGCGGTAGGGCAACTCCAGTCGATCTTGGAGCCAACCTTCTGGATGCGCCCACCGTAAAGGTGCTCATGACGGCGCTGGACAAGTTCAAGAACAATTGGGACCACGACATGGCAGCCCAATTCCCACCTTCACCGGCCGTCAATCCCCGCAGATATGGCTTCACTCGGGATGGGATCCATTTCTATTGGTTGGCAACGTATCTTCTCAAGAGCACGCGGACAACGGACCTGCAGATGGCGCCGGACCAGCGGTTCGCCTATGTCATTCATCTCTTGAAGTCGGTGAAGCAATGGGTTTTGACAGATGGGGCTTCTCGAGGGGAAGAACTGGGATCTGTTGGAGATATTGATGCCTCGTACGGGGCCAAGGATGTGACGCTCGACATGACGCAACTCTTTCGACCACTTTCGACGGTGAGGAAGTCGCCAGGTTTTTCAACTGCTCCGGGAGGGGGCATGCAGAGCCAGCAATAATCATAGGGGTATGATGTGATCGGCACACATTCCCTCTGCATCAACGGCGTTTCAACGACTTGTGTTTTCTTTTCTTTTTCTTTTTCTTTTTCTGGGGGGGTCTTTACGTCATTTTATGTTGTCTTTCGTTCAAACAGCGGCGCCTTTTTTCGTCTTCAGAAAATTCGTGGCAATCCCCTTGTTGCATCAGATTGGCACGCGGCGGATTGTTTGCTTGCATCACGAGGATGGGTTGCGGTGATAGATTTCCTATCGGTTCTGCATTAGAGAGCTTCTCACATTCGACGACGACAAATAGAGCGAGAAGGCGGTTCATGGGTCTCTTCCTCGGTTCTTGTGGGAAGAGTGGCTGGGAAGCTATGGTGGGCCATCGCCGGCGATACTGAACGTTTTCGACTCTATTATCCTCCTACCCTGGTTGGCCTGTTCCTGGTTTCGCGAGGAACGGTCGGTGGCTGGTTGGCAAGACTCGGCGGACGTACTTCTCTTGGAGAAGTGATGGTGGAAGGGGGTGGTTTCGAAGGAAACAAGGAAAAAGCTTTACACGGGACTCTCACTATGAGGGCAGTGGGAAAAGGAGGAAGTACGCTTTGGGGCACGGGATGTACATCATTGTCAAACATTACATACGTTGCGTAGGAGCTTGGCCAGGAGTTGCCAATTAGAGGCGAAAATAGTGCAATCAAAAGTTGTTGGGGAGTCTCTTGATGTCAGCAGCCATTGCGGTTGGTATTGATATGCTCTACTGTCCTGACGACTCGTTCATCTCACTCACTTCGGGTATTATTTTTCTTCAGCGTCCTCCGTCCGTGAGCGACACATCATCGTCCTGTGAGTTTCCATATCCTAACCCGCGGAACCTCCCCTCCCCATATTTCAACTCCACCCCAGAGGTCGGAGGTGAGTAAATCAAACCGTGCGCCTTGCTCCCGCTGTCCCTCGCGGCCTGAGAGCCCTCTATCAACAATAGATAAAATAGTTTTACACCCTCCCCATAAGCGTCACGTCACCTCCCCACAAGCCTCAACCCCCCCTCCGTCATTCGTCACCGCACCGCATCGTACACTCGGCACCTCACCTGACCTCGGTACCCAACCGGTCGACTCGGACTCGGGCTCATCATGGCTTCACCCCCTCCCCCTCTCCACGACGTGGATCTTGGGCGTCATCTTCTCCAGCTCGGCCTTGTCGGCCTCGGTCGGCGTGTACCCCAGCTTCGACTCCACCTTGTCGCCGAACGTGAGGCCCAGCAGGCCCCAGGCGAGCAGGCCGGCGCCGAAGGCGAGTTTGGTTTTGGGGGTGAGGTTGGTGTATGTTCTGGGTTTGGGGGTTAGTGGTGGAGTTGGTTTGGTTTGGTTTGTTGGGTTGTGGTGATGGTAGCTGGGGAGTGGTGGGTGGTGGGTGGGATTGGGATTATGAGGTGAGGGAGTGGCTTACTTCCAGAGTGACATTGTGTTGTCGGTGAGAGAGAGTTTATTTTATTGTTACTTGGAGACTTTGGACCCAATTCATGGTGAGAGTCGTCGCTTGGTGTTGTGAACAAGCGCAAAGGCTTGGGTGCTGGCAGCTGTGTGCACCTGGCTCGCCGGACGCACACGACAACCCACCCTGCCGGCCAACGCTCGGACCACCTAAATTTTCAAGTTCGCGGGTCCATTGTTGCGAACCTCTTGCGCTGCTCATCCGATATCGAATATTGCCGGTCCAACTGCCTTATCTAGGGTACGGGTAGAGCTCAGTCACGGTCAATTAGGGAGTGACAACAACAACAACCGTACCGTGCCATCCTCTAACCCACTGCCGGTCCTCCCATCAACCCCCTCCTCTCTCCTCCCCACCATGGCCGCTGCGGCGATGCGGCCCTCGATGGGGGCACTCGGCAGGATATCGTCATCCACGCCCTCCCCCCTCCGTCCTCTAACCCAGACCGCCTCGATCTCCACTACCGCCGCCCTCCTCAAACGCCACAAATACCGCGAAGCCCGTGTCTACAGGGACAACAGCAAGCACCGCGGCGAGTCGGCCATCCACCGCAGCGGCACGCGCTGGCGGCTGTCCATGTCGGATGAACCCCTGCCGCGCCCCGTGCCACGCAGCAAGCTGCCGGCCATCGAGACGGACCCGGACCACGGCCTGTGGGACTTCTTCGCCAACCGCCAGATGATCTCGGACCCGCCCTCCGAGATCGCCAAGCACGGCCGCAGCTGGACCGCCGAGGAGCTGCGTCACAAATCGTGGGACGACCTGCACCGGCTGTGGTGGGTGTGCGCCAAGGAGCGCAACCGCATCGCCACGGCCAACTGGGAGCGCAACAAGGGCGAGATGGGATTTGGCGAGGCCGAGGCGCAGAAGCGGGACCACACGGTGAGTTTGTTTTGGCGTCTCTCGTGGTCTACGGGTTAGGAAGGGGAAGAATGCTGACAGTTGTGGGTTGGTTGGTGTGCTAGGTCCGGCAAACGATGCGCTCCATTAAGCATGTCCTGACGGAGCGGTTTTACACATGGGAGGATGCCGTCAAACTGGCGGAGAACGACCCCGAGGTTGACCTGACCGGCAATGGGCCGGCGTTTATCCCGAGCAACTACCTTGAGGAGGGCGATGTTGCGGCTACCGAAGGCGAGCAGCAGGCCGCTGAGACTACGGGGGAGACGGTAGAGAAGGCGGACCCTGTCACAACGGCCACCCCTGAGCCGGCAACGATACCCTCATCTCAGCAACCGACTGACGCCCCGAGGTGATGATGGACCAGGCTTGTACCGCACTCTTCTACACGGCTTTTCTCGGGCATAATTTGGCGAGAGACGGGGATGGGTGTCCGTGTCTCGGATCACTTGTACTGCATACAGATCTGTACATACATCCCCGCTGTTGCATGGTGCCGGGCAGTCGGTATATCCCCTGTACAGATAGTGTATTGGACATTTGTTTGGGCGTGCCCTGGACGGGAATAGTGTCTCAGCCAAGGTCCCATGTTTAATGTTAGCATGGTTAGATGTCAACCGAGATTCTAAACAAAAGGAGGAGCGTCACGGCCAATATCAAGCATTAATGAGCCGAGACGAGCCCCCCAGACCGCCTGTCTCAAGCATCGAATCACAGGTGGCCACTGGCGGATTAGCTCCAAAGAAGCCCCAGAGCGGGGCTCCTCCACCCCTCAGTGATCCCCCCCCACCACAGCAACCTCGTGCTTCCTGGGGATCCAGACTCCTATTTACTTGGGAACCCAATAACAAGCCCAACGCATCAAAAACGAAGCCAATCCGGACCTGGTGTTCATCGAGTCCCACATCCATCTTTCCACCGTTTTTTTGTCGTCGTCGCTTCTCTTCGACTTCTCTACGCAGGAGCTTCCCCGAATCCACCGCCGATCTTCGCTCCAAAGCTTAGCTCTCTTTCTTTCTCTAGCAACCGCTCGTTAGCAAACAAGACCTCACCATGGCCGACGAGATCTCCCCTGAGTACGATGTTATTGTGTTGGGCACGGGGTTGACCGAGTGCATCCTGTCGGGTGTGCTGAGTGTCAAGGGGAAGAAGGTCTTGCATATTGACCGCAACGACCACTACGGCGGGTGCGTGCATCTTTTATCCTGCCCGACCTTTCCTCGTCTTGACCCAGCCAAAGATCACTGAACTGACACCGCTTTCTTCGACAGTGAGGCAGCGTCGGTCAACCTCGAAGTGGTATGCCGCCGCCCCAGCCCCATCCCCAACCCCAACTCGTCTCCGGTATACATGCAGATGGCCTAACATATCCCCCTCCGCAACCAGCTCTTTAAGAAGTATGGCAACTTCGCCCAGGGCACCGAGCCCTGGAAGCAGTACGGCCGTCTGAACGACTGGAATATCGACCTGGTGCCCAAGTTCCTCATGACGTCGGGCGAGCTCACCAACATCCTCGTCTCGACCAACGTCACACGCTATCTCGAGTTCAAGCAGGTCGCCGGCAGCTACGTCCAGCAGGGCGCTGGGTCCAAGGCCACCGTCGCTAAGGTGCCCTCCGACGCCGCCGAGGCCCTCCGTTCGCCCCTGATGGGTATCTTTGAGAAGCGTCGCATGAAGAGCTTCATCGAGTGGGTCGGCCAGTTCGACGCCAAGGACTCGGCCACGCACAAGGGTATGTTCTCCTACGTCCGGCTTGCTCCTAGTATTATTGCATGAGCTGACAGAAGCTGTGTTTCACTTATCAGGCCTCGACATGAGCACTTGCACAATGAAGGAGGTTTATGACAAGTTCGGCCTCGAGGCCACCACCAAGGACTTCGCCGGCCACGCCATGGCCCTCTACCAGACCGACTCATACCTCGATGTTAAGGGTGCCGCCCCCGAGGCCATCGAGCGCCTGCGCCTGTACGGCAACAGCGTGGCCCGCTACGGCAAGTCGCCCTACATCTACCCGCTCTACGGCTTGGGCGAACTGCCCCAGGGCTTCGCCCGCCTCAGTGCCATCTACGGCGGCACCTACATGCTCAACACGAGCGTCGAGGAGTTGGTGTACGAGGGTGACAAGGCCGTCGGCATCAAGGCCACCATGCGTGGTGTCGACCCGGAGATGAAGTTCGAGACCAAGGCCAAGACCATTATCGGTGACCCGAGCTACTTCTCCGACAAGGTTCGCGTCGTCGGCCACGTTCTGCGCGCCATCTGCATCCTTAAGCACCCCCTCGCCAGCACCAACGACAGCGACTCGTGCCAGATTATCATCCCGCAGTCGCAGGTCGGCCGCAAGAACGGTATGCCCCCCTTCTCCCTCTCTGGCATCCCCTCTCCACCAGCAACGAGCCCCTCTAACCTCTCATAGACATCTACATCGCCTGCGTCTCATCCGCACACAACGTCTGCCCCAAGGGCTACTGGATCGCCATTGTCTCCACCATCGCCGAGACGACGGCCAACCACCACCTCGAGCTGGCGCCCGGCATCGAGCGCCTCGGCCGCATCGAGGAGCAGTTCATGGTAAGTCCTTCTCCAGAACACCAACTTCCCAAACAATGACTAACCATATCCACGCGTCCAGGGCCCGCCCATCCCGCTCTACGAGCCCCTCGGCGACGGCTCCAAGGACAACCTCTTCATCTCCAAGAGCTACGATGCCAGCAGCCACTTCGAGACCACCACCGATGATGTCCAGGACATCTACCGCCGCGTGGCCGGCGAGGAGCTCGTCGTGGAGGCGCTCCGGGAGGGGCTCCAGGTTGCTGCCGAGTAAGTGAGCGGAGCGCGAAAAAAAGGGGGAAGCCGGAGAAGGGGATATACTAGGCATAATAACAATGAACATAAGCGAGTGACCTCATTTGGCGATCCTTGTCTTATTTGTAACAAGCATGAGCGAAGTGACGCTGAGACGCGAGGCGAGGAACTGTTAACGTGAGTTGTGGTTTCGTGGAACGAAGTGTACGGGGACACAAGGCAAGGAGCAAGTAAACGGCCAAAAAGTGTCCATTCATTCCGGAGCGCCCGAGAAACATGACAAAGACATATCAACAGCAATGACCAACGGACAAGGGGTAATCTTTCCTTCCGCTTCCCCCGCCTTTTCCTCCTTCCCTTTTCCCGTTCCTACTTCGCGCTTCTTCTTCATCCTTTGCCCGCCCATGACACAAGGTAACCCGCTAACAGCCACCAGCGCCCTACATACACCCACCACATGGCGCTTATCTTCAAAGACTGGGTTGGCGTCTGCAAAAAGTCGACGGCATGCCCGCACCAAACCGGCCGAGTGCCAACACCTCTCGACAGCCGACTGCACATACAAGCCGATAGAGAAGGTTTAACGACGAGCAGTCTTGCCAATAGTGCGCTTGCCAGAGAACTGCGGGGGTGGAAAAGAAGCACGGGTTAGCCAGCATATTCTTAAAACCTGATAGACAGTGAGCAAGTAACATACCAAATGCTTCGGCATCGTTGCGCCGATATGCCTGTCGGCCTCGCCCTGCCGCGCCATGCGGTTCATCTTGCGCTGGCCGAGCTTGGCCACGCGCTCGGCCTTGGTGCGCGCCAACTCGTCCACCACACCATCGTCGCGGCGGTTGGTGGCCATGACGGAGCGGTCGCGGACGCGGCTCTTGGAGCGCAGGCGCTCCTTGGCCGACGGCCCGTTGTCCACGTCCATGGCGTCCGGGTCGACGGTGCCGGTGCGGCTGCGTGCGAGCGACCGCCCACGAGTCTCCTGCACTTCGGACCGCGCCCGCAGGCCGATCGATTCTGTGTCGACGCCGAGCTGGTCGAGGTGGTCCTCGAGCTGGGAGAAGGGCTTCTTCTGGGCCTTCCGCGGGATCAAGGCCCGGTTCTTGAGCGACTTGCGCATTTGTGCCTCGTTGCGGATGAGCTTGTGCTTCTCGCGGATGTACTCAGCCTTCTGCAGGACCTCCTCCTCGGACTCGTCCCCAAGATCCTCGTCGGATTCGTAGAAGCCTTCCTTCTCCAGTCTCTCCTCCTCCTCCTCAAGTGCCGCCAGTTTCGTCTCAATATCTGGGTCGACGTAATCGTAGACGTTCTTGCCGTCGTAAATCTCCGGGATCCTGTCGTACTTCCATGACGGGTCCGCCAGAAGATAGTCTTTCCGCAGGTCGACGTTAAAGACACCAGCGCCACCGTTCGCCTCTTCCTCATCCCTCGCCAGAAATCTCCTCTCCGGGTCGCTCTTGTCGTACTTCTTGAGACCCTTGACGGCCTCTGGGATGAACGTCTCTCTCGTGATGCCATCCATCGGCTGGGCAACGTGAATACGAGCCATTACCTCGGTGAGACGAGATCCGAGAGCACCGTTGCTTGAGGTACCGGCCTTGAGCTTCTGGGACACCCGCTCAGCGAGCAGTCGCTCGCAAACGAGGTTCTTGACGTCCTGCACGCCATCCTGCGTAGCGCACGAAGCGCGCAGCAGCTCTACGTCGCCCGACTTTGTCAGATCCTCCAGCTCGGTTTGCATTTCCGGCTCTAGATCCTCGAAGGTCTTGATGTCCATCTTGTTCAGAACGACGAACACCATCTTGTTGGCGAAAAGGGGCTTGATCGACTTGAAGAGGTTGCACTGGGCCTTGAGCGAGTAGCCGCATTGCTCGCTGCGGATGATTAGAATCGCACGGCGTTCCACTAGAGCCAGCAACATACCTGATATCGATGAAGAAGAGGACCGCAGCTCTGAGATGGGCAAGAGCTGTGACACTCTGCATTTCAATAGTGTTCATCTCCTCTAATGGGTGATCGAGACTGTTAGGGTTAGCTTTAATCCTGTTGAATCATTCGGCAGATGTCGAAGGTGCTCAAGTGACCATCTCGCGGTAAGGAATGGTGGTGACCTACATTCCGGGGGTGTCTATTACTTGGTACCGAAGATCTACAACCAAAGCGGTCAGCCATCAAATGAACATAAAGGGGGTCGTTTGCAGGACGTACATTTGAAGTCAAGATGTCCGACGAACTATTGTTCCCTGCTGTTAGCAAATCCCACCGCTGAGGCGATTCAAGGCCGGTACATACCAAACTCTTAGTCGTCTAGTTCACCGGTTAGCAACAGTTCAATATATATATGCTCAGGGCACAACTTACGAAAGCATAAGGCTCAACTGGGGTGTCAGCCCGAGTTACTGAGCGGACGAAAGAGCTCTTGCCGACGTTCGGGAAGCCGGCAACAAGGAGAGTGCGTGTGGTCGGGTTGATATCGGGCAACCTGGCCAAATGCTGGCGGACCTGGTCGAGGTATTGAAGAGGGTCTTTTAACCGCTTGATGAGAGTCGCCATACGACCGAGAGCGGCCCTCTTGAGTTGCTTGCACTGGAACAAACTTTGCGAGTACTATCCGGATGTTAGCCTAGCTTCTCGGGGCTATGAAGCTCTGGCGCATTGGTTACCTTCAGGAGGCGGACATAGTCCCGGGAAATCGTCTCAATCAGATGCTTCGCCGTTGAGACCTGGCCAAGGGCCACCTTGAAATGGTCGGCATCTGACATGACCGTCAGCATTTCCTCACCAGCTGCCGCAAAGGCTCTCCCAAGTGTTTCCCAGAACCCGGCGAGGCATACCATAAAGGATGTTCATCAAGTCGCGGTGGAAGGGGTGCTGGTCCGTGAGGATGGGAAAGCTGGCAACGATGGCGCCGAACTTTTCGCTGCATGTTTCCTGCGTGAATCTGGATGTCGCAAGTTAGCACCGGGGTTCGGGAGTGCTTCGTCGCTATCGTGGAGGGTACGGTGGGTTTGAAGAAGGCTGGATCGTCTGTCCGGGGATACTGACTTGACCTTGCGGGTGTAGAAGGCTCGGATTCTGCTAACTGTTTGATATTAGGCATTAGTATTCGTCCATAACTCCGAACAGCGCCTCGCACGAGGAACACATACTCTTGAATCCAGCACGGACTTAATTGGTGTTTAGTGTCAGCCAATATCCTCACACTCCGTCGTTCGGACCAACATACTCTGTGTTGGCAATCGCCGCTGTGTCCGCCTGAAATTTTGTCAGCCCCTGTTACCCTCCAAGCGCATATCAGCAAGTCAACTTACGAGAGAATGATGTCGATGAACTCCTGTGCCCTGCGAAAAACAAAATTAGTTTTGCCCAAACCATTACCCAATCCATACAGGCTGGTCCCTTACGTAGGCACAGGCGCGATGTCCTTCCAGGTCATGTTGGGCAACTCGCAGGGTGCTGTCCGGATCTGGCGAGGGTGGTGGCTGGAGGAGGTTGCAGATAGGGAGCACCTGGCGGGGCGGTGTCGATATGCCGTCCCCAAAAAGTCCCCCGAAATATTTTTTTGCAGAACCGCACGATTTCCACGATAAGATAAGTCGGGCGGTGTGCGTTCTCAAAATCTCCAAACCAGGCTAAAAGTGGGGGTAGACCCACTCGTTCTGCACCCCACTGTCAACCCCACCAAGAAATTACTTCGCGGTTGGAGGGGTTCGTGAGCTTTGCGGCTTCCGAAGCTCGGGGGAGGCATTAAAACAACACTATATAAGCTCACCTCCATCCGGTCCTTATCCACTCCATACCCACGCTCGGGACCCCCGCGGACAAAACAAACAACGAAAAAAGCCCGCCCCACAACCGACCAAAATGACCTCCCTCGCCCCCTACAAAGCCGACTTCCTCCGGGCAGCCCTCGAAGGCAACATCCTCAAGTTCGGCAGCTTCGAGCTCAAGTCGAAGCGGATCTCGCCGTACTTTTTCAACGCGGGCGACTTCTACCGGGCGGACCTGCTGGAGGCGATCGCGACGGCGTACGCGCGGGCGATCGCGGACGCGCACCGGGCGGGCGAGCTCCAGTTCGACGTCGTGTTCGGCCCCGCCTACAAGGGCATCCCGCTGGCGACGGCGGCGACGATCCGGCTCGGCCAGCTGGACCCGGACGCGTACGGCAAGAGCACGTGCTACTCGTTCGACCGCAAGGAGGCCAAGGACCACGGGGAGGGGGGCAACATCGTCGGCGCGCCGCTCAAGGGGAAGAGGGTGCTTATCGTCGACGATGTGATCACGGCCGGCACGGCGAAGCGGGAGGCGATCGCCAAGATTGAGAAGGAGGGCGGGATTGTGGCCGGCATCGTGGTTGCGCTGGACCGCATGGAGAAGCTGCCTTCACCGGACGGCGATGATAGCAAGCCGATGCCAAGCGCGATTGGGGAGCTGAGGAAGGAGTATGGCCTGCCCATCTTAGCCATTCTTACGCTGGATGATATCATTGAGGGCGTTAAGGGGCTCGCGTCGGAAGAGGATATTAGGCGGACGGAGGAGTACCGGACCAAGTACAAGGCGACTGATTAAATGGGAGGAAGATGCAAACTCAGAGTGAAAGCTGGCTGTTAATGTGAGACGCTCTAGGGCCATAACCCCACCCCGAACTCGGGGTCAAGCGCTGGGTAGTCCGGCACTACCTGCACCATCTATCTATTTGGCGAGGCCTAGACACCCCGTAACAAACGCATCGAGGTAAAAAGAAAAAAAAAAGAGGGTTGGAAGAGGGTAGGCCGCCGCCAGGCACCCTCTCTCAGGCATGACCGCATTGCCGAGCCCCAGGGCATCCGGTTGATGTATCCCCGCCTATGTATGCACAACCGGTCCAACGAGAGCGGGATTATTTCTCGATTCAGTCAACAAAAGTCCCAATCTTGATCCTCCTGTTCCCGTCTTGCCGCCCTCCGTCGTGCTACCGTTTCCTTCTATGACTTTGGCGTCTTGCTTTCACGCGGTAAATCGTGGACCTGAAGAAACGGTGAGTCCTGAACATCAACGCACACGACCACAGACCAGACTCAGGGGCAGGGAGAAAGAGTTTACCATGTCATGCCACCCGCCTCCCCCAAACTGCGCCTTGCTTTCCCCGAGATGTTTAAACCCGGATCGTTGATAGTATAACATGAGATGCTATCACGTCACTTGTCAGCCTCGCGTTCCCTCTCTTCTCAGACCCGTCACAGCCTCTAAACGCAAGGAAGGTACTCACATCTTGGCAAATCAACGCCACTCGATCTACCAGCCCGCATGACTTCATCTGGTCGAGATAAGCCTTCATGATCGTCTGCCCGATGCCGCAGCGCTGTAGCCGCGGTAGCACGGCGAGCGAGTGTAAGCCGACGGTCCGCCCGGCCTCCTGGTGCCCAACGTGCTGACCGGCTGCGCGCCCGGCCTGGCTTCGCCACTCTTCCGGGTACGCCATGTCGGCATCGGTGATGATATCCCCCCGGCATCGTGTCGAAATGACGTGGGCGAGTAGCACGCTCACGGCGCCATCGGCACGGCCCGTCTCGACTGGTTTGGCGAGTGGAAGTGTCTCGAGGCCCAGTTTTGCGGCCCGCTCCGGGATGATGGTGAGGAAGAGACCTAGGCTGAGTTCTGGGCAGACAGTGAGGCGGTAGGCGATCTGTGCTCCTCAAGGATAGATTGGGTTAGTGGATTGCGAACCAGGACGGGTGGTAGCGAAGGCTTGCCTTTTGGGGTGACGCCCGGTGTTCGGGGTTAGGGAACGCGGCATTCTCCAACGCAATACATGCTTCGAGGTCGTTGATGGTCAACGGCCGGATATTAGGCGCGAAGGCCCCTAGGAATGGGAGGGCCTTCTGGAGGCGGACCTCTGGGCTGTCTTTGGCCGCCCTCCTTTTTTGGCTCAGCATCTTTTGAAGTGAGGCAAAATCACCGTCAACGTCTGATGACTCGTCAACGGCCTGGTCTGTCTCCTGGATTGGGCAAGGACTCTCTTCGTCCGAGCGGGCTGTCTCGGCGCGTGCCATACCTACGCCGAGACTGATTCGAGTTGTGTTCCCTGAATACCTCGCGTCTCCACGAGTATATATCGGCCGACAAAAAAACTTTGGGGCGGATGCTGGTTAGGCGAGGAATGCCAGCCGTACAGCTTCCCGCTTCTCAGACAAGGTCAACCCTTCTACCGGAATTTAGAGAGCCTAGAGGATTTGGCCTGCTCTTGCCGTTGATAACGCGTAATCTCCTCACTTGTGCTTTGGACAGTTTGGGATTATATCCCCTGTTCGAATATTGACAAGTGTCCGAAGAACAGGTCGGGAATTTCTAAGCTGGATATCTGTATTGATCGTAGAATTTCTTAGCATTGCTATTTGTCGGAGCAGGTCCTCGTTCTGGGTCAGGATTCTGTGGATCTGGCGGCGAGATTGCTGCATGTTCCACAAGGCTCCCGTCCGTGATCGGCGTTGATGTTTTGCACAATGTCGAGGCTTGGAAGATTGGGCATCCAGGCTAGGCGGAAAGGAGATGTGGGTGCAGGAACAGGAGAAGCGCAAGTCGAAAGGGGGGATGCTTGGTGAATTGAAGCGAGTACAGATGCAGTTGATGTTACCGTAGTGCTGGGACGCTGGGATCGAATTAGTCGGGAGAAAATAGAGGGTGCAATTCCCCGCTGTGCTGTATGTCTCACCGGGATAGGAAATGCTAACAAGGCTGGCGGAAAGGATGTCGTGGGTGCCACCCTCTGGCCAAAAAAAGACGAACTGGAAAGGAAAGCAAGAGATCGGGCGGGGGAAACAAACCAAATAGAAAGAAATCGAGAAAAATAAATCAGATAAAGGAGAGGGGCAAAAGAAAAGTAGATGGAGTAAATACAGTTTCTTTGGGTTTCGGAGTAGCTTTTGTTTTGTGCCTACAGTCGAGGACTCCAAGTTTCCATTGTTGACATCTGCGCTTGGAGTTCGGCTTTTTTTGTCCAGGAGGTGGGTGCCCAACAATGGATGATCGGGGGACGGAGGATACAGTTATGGAAGAGCCAAGGTGCTTACCTAGGGACCTTCCTGTTCGCAATATTAATACTCGAGAATGAAATCTCTGGGTTTGGCGTGCTGGCTGCCTCCACAAAGGATAGGTGCTTGACTGAGTTGGTTGATGATGCCCTCGAGCAGGTGTTGCCCGAGATAAAATCAACCTGAAGAGACACAGTACAAGTGTAAGGTACTACCTACCTCACAGGACCCGTTAGGAGTGCTCTCATCTCGGGACTCGGCCAACAAACAATCGGACTCTGTGGGGCTCGTCGACCCATGGACCCGTTGTGTTGTCCAGCGAAGATCTTGCCGTGGGGCAGCTGTTGCCCCTCCTGACGGCTGTTGCCCCTCCTGACGTCACACAGCTAGCAGGCCCCGGGCCACATCATCTTTCGTTGAAAACACTACTGTGTAGAAGATGCCTTGAGCGCATGATAATTAAACTCTGAATAGATCATCGGACACCTTACCCAATATAGTGTTCAATGACCTTCCGAGCAGCCACATAAAGCTTTTCCTTGTTATGGATGAGCACGTGGTGAGTACAGCGCAAACTCAACAGTGTTTTGGAGCTCTTCGAAACGACCGGTGACGTTACACTTGTCGTGGGGCTCTGTCCATATGCAAAGTAGGCATGCCACCTGCGAATATTGAAGAAAGAGAGGATAGACCTCGAGTCGCTTGAAGAGATCTAAAACCCCGGTTTTCCGAACGAGCTCTATACATAAATATATGGTCTCGCAGCTTGAGTTAGCCAGGGGCATGGAACCTGAAGCACTCCCCCGCCGTCCACGATAAGCAACGCCAAGAGGCAACGGCACGATACCGACCTCGAACCCGTGTGCTCCTTCGTTTGATCTGCTTCCGCCCTATGCTAGTCGAGCTGAGCAGAGGGAGGGCGGGCACGTTTGCGTGGGACAATATGTAACGGCTGCAGCACGACTTCGACCGAGGTCAACTGATTACAGGGTGCATGAGGAGATTTCCCCACCACCTCACCGGTTAATAATACACTCTGACGCTTTTCTTTTGTCAAGCTGCAATGCAACGAACTGCACGTTCAAAGCTGCTGCTACTGTATGTACCAAGCTATTGTTGGCGAGGCAGCTGGCCGGGAAAAAATAAAAGTTGGCGGGTCTCGGGCCGCGATCAAGGCCGGGTGGGAAAGGGGTGTTGCGTTAAATATAACTGCGTCTCCCAAAGCGGATGGGTGCAGTGGTGGTGGTGAGAAGTCGAACGATCTGGACGTTGTTGCATCTGCGGGGCAGGGCTCGCGGCGGGTGAGACTTTCCGAAGTGGAGGGCTCACTCATTTTAAGTTCTCACAAAAAGATACCCTCAGGGACAACCTCGACCTGATCGCCGACAGTTGCCTGCCCGAATTGGTCGAACGTCGGCTGGTCCGTCGTTCGCTGCCTCATCCGAAATTGCCGCGTATCTGAATCCGGGCCGCACAAATGACCAGGCAAGGCACCGAGGTACCTTCCTTACTTGTAGTTGAAGTCGGCAACTATCCTGGTGAGCTAAAGCTGACACATTCCTCGGCGGCCTTCCAGAGTGTTCCATTTTGAGGTGATCGGAAAGATAAATTGCCATGCCCCGTCATGCAGCTGCACCTTTCAGACAGTGTTCATTAGCAGAAGCGAGGTATTGGAATTCCCAAGGCCTTCGACACCCCATACCTACCCCACGTCATCCCCTTGCGTTGAAGCTGCAGTGGAGGCGCGAGGCAACAGCCGACACCGTTTTCTTGCGCTGGCCTAGACCCAATCAGCACGATCTAGAAGGCAAACACCCCTGCGCGGCCTGTGAGTTAGCGGGCCACTTCGGTTTGCGCTGAGCCTACCACGGCGCCGAGAGCTCTTTCCACATCTCATCGGAACTTCCCCGGAACCCCTCGTCCCTCGGACCTCAACAACCTAGAGTGACGCCTTGACTGCTGCGAGCCCGGGCCTGCTGCAAATCCGTTGCAAAGGGCAAACAGGGCGCGGCCGAACGCCGTTTCCTTTGTTCTTCCTCGTCTTCCTTCCTTCCCCCATCACCCTCCGACACCCAAGACTCCGACTCGACCTCGTCCCTGTCCACATCTCCCAAAATGTAGGCTGAACATGGAGCTCCGATTCCCCGCTCACTGACCGCATACTTACTCACCGGCTCTAGGCGTATTACACTCTCCATTACCAATTCGGAGCCCCAGGGCGATGACCAGGAACTGCTCTCCCTCGAGGTCTACCCGGAGATGACGATCGAGACTCTACGCAGCTCCATCCAAGTTGAGACCACCCACCACCCCAGCGCCCAGCATCTCTACCACAACGGGAAGCTCGTCAACGACAATGCCAAGACACTGGGCGAGCTCGGCGTGACCGACGGCGACATGCTCGCTCTCCACATCCGCGACATGCGGGGCAGCACGACAGCCCCAGCAGCCTCCAGGCCAGCCCCGCAGAGTGCAGCTCGGCCTGCAGCGCGCCCGCCCCCGGCGCAGGACCCGGAGGTGATTCGGCTGCAGATTCTTGGAGACCCGAACCTGAGGGGTGAGCTGGGTAGATCGAGGCCCGACCTGGTGGCTGCGCTGGAGGATCCGCAGAGGTTCGCCCGCCTCTTCGCCGATAGTCTGGACAGGGAGCAAAGGGAACGCAACGAGCGCCAGCGTCAGATACAGCTACTCAATGCGGATCCATTCGATATCGATGCGCAGGCGAGAATTGAGGAGATTATCCGTCAGGAGCGCGTCATGGAAAACCTGCAGAATGCCATGGAGCACAACCCGGAAGGTAATACCATGTCCTGGTACAACCTCGTGGCTCATAATCAGTGCTAACCGCCACTTCTCAGTTTTCGGCACCGTACACATGCTCTACCTCGAAGTAGAAGTCAACGGGTACAAGGTCAAGGCTCTGGTCGACTCAGGTGCGCAGGCAACCATCATGAGCCCGCAATGCGCTGAGGCCTGTGGCATCATGCGTCTTGTCGACAAACGCTTTTCGGGCATCGCCCGCGGCGTGGGAACAGCAAATATCATTGGCCGTGTGCATTCAGCACAAATCAAGATCGGACCTCTCTTCCTACCTTGCAGCTTTACCGTCATGGAGGGCAAGCAAGTGGAGATGCTCCTGGGGCTCGATATGCTGAAGCGATACCAGGCGAGCCTCGATCTCGCAAAGGACAAGCTGATTATCCAGGGCGTCGAGGTACCGTTTCTGGGACCGGCCGATATTCCGGTTGAAACTGAGGAAGCGGTTGAACGGGAACCCACCGTCCCAGGCCCAGCGGGAACGACGATCGGCCAACGGTCTGGAGCGGTACATGCGCCCAGCGGGCCGGGCGGAGCCGCGCCGGCTCAGGGGTCACAAGCGCACACTGCTCCCGCTGCCCCCGCTGCTCCTCCTGTTGCCGCTGGCCCCGGCAGCCAACCGAGGGCACCGGCAGCACCTTCGTTCCCAAGGGAACACATCGACCAGCTCGTGGCTCTTGGGGCGTCCGAGCAGAGGGCGATCCAGGCGCTGGAGGCGACCGGCGGGAATGTCGAGTACGCAGCGAGCTTGATTTTCCAGGACTGATCATGAATGGCTGGTTTTGCCTTCCGGCTAGCTTTGCCATTGATTACGGCCTGAAACGACGTTAACGGGTTACGAACTTCCTCTTCCTCGGGTGGGGCTGGGATATACAGGGACGATTCTAGGCGCACATGTCAACATCTCCGCATGGTATCGGTAGGCCATGCGTCGAGTTTGCTTTGGACTACTTGCTGTGCTTGGGAGCTTATCTCTGGGGCGCAACAACTAGCGGACGGATATAAAAACCGGTATGGTGTGTGCAAAGGGCATTTTTGTCGTTCTAGAGGGCATCTAGCACTGGAGAGCGCATAACTTAGAATCGACCGGACATTCGGTTCGCATTGCTGTCGCTGATTTCGTCCCCGTTTTATACTCTTTTCCAGAATGCCGTTTTTGCTCCCCGCTTTCGCACACACACGTCGGAGACTACCGAATCTTATAAACACACGGCTTCAAAACCGCCGCCTCGTTCCCATCACCCTCCCGATCCCCATCCCTATCGTCATCAAGGAACTTCTTCTTCTGCACCGTCCGCCCCTTCCCGTCCGTCCACTTCCGCTCCCCCTGCGAGGCCGCCTTCTCCTCGGCCCCCGGCGCGGCGCACTTGCCGCGGATCGCGGGCGCCGCCTTGACAAAGTGCATGCGCACAAACATGCGGTTGCTCATGTCCACGGCCCCCTCGCCCAGGTCGCGGCTCAGCAGGAACCCGCGCTTCCGGAGCGCCTCCACAAACGCCCCAATGTCCGTTTCTTGTTGTTGCTGCTGCTGCTGCTGCTGTCTGCCGCCGCGGGCGTCGGCGCCGTCGACCTGCACGGCCAGCTCGGCGAGCTGCGCGGCCTCCTCCTCCTCCTCGGCGGCGGCGGCCTTGGCCTGCTTGGTCGCCGCGGCGGACGGCTTCTTGCGGTTGCCGACGCTGTGCGCGACGACCTTGGATCTGTGGGACGCCGCGGCGGCCGGGTTGGCGAAGCGGCTCTTGATCTCGGCCACCCACAGCTCGCCGCGCCAGCGTAGGACGCGGTAGGCCTCCTCGACGAAGGACAGCCAGTTGGTGCCCATCAGCGCGAGGCAGAAGATGGCCACGTCGACCGAGCCGTCCGCGAGCGGGAGGTTGGCGATGTCGGCGCGCGTCACGAGGGCCGAGCCGCCCGTCTGCAGGTCGAAGCTGCGGATGTCGAGGTGCAGTTTTCGCGCGACGGGCTGGAGAGCGGTGGCGAGCTTGGCGTCGCCGCAGCCGAGGTCGGCGACCGTGCAGGTTTTGGTGCTGTGCATCTTGGGGAGGGGGAGCTGGGCGGCGGTGACGGGGCCGTTGGGGTTGCGCGGCTGGAAGCGGACTTTGGCGCGTGATTTGAGGTCGGCGATGTATCCGTCGACGGGGTTCTCGGGCCACACGTCGACTTGCCGGCGGAAGCCCTCGTGGTACTCGGTAAACATCTCGGGGGAGTCCTGGAAGAGCTGGAAGGCTTCGGCGGAGGGGCGGGTGTAGAGGGTCTCGTTGAGGTGGCGGAAGCGAGCAGAGACGAGCTTCTCGCGCATAGAGGCTTGTAGAGGGGTGAGCTTCGGTGCGGTAGAAGTGGGAGGTGCTGATGGAGGGGCCGCAGCGTCGGATTTGGGTTTCTTGTCGATGGGTTTGGCATTATCCTTGCTATCGCCGCCTGCTTTTTGCTTCTTCGTCTTCCTGTCCGTCTTCTCCTTCACCTCCTGGACAGCGCCGGAAGGCCCCTCCTCATCGTCGATACCATTCCACTCGTCTTCGTCCTCTTCAGCAGGCTGAGTCGTTGCTGTAAGCGAGCCCCGTTTCTCCTTTTTGTCCTTCTTTTTCTGCTTCTTGCCGGGTTTGTCGCCTGATTCATTCTGCGGTTCTTTGCTTCCTATTTGAGCTGTGCCGTCCTCGTCCTCGGGATTGCTTGCAGCCGCAGTCTCATGCTCCTTCTTTTGGCGCTTATTGTCCTTCCTCGGCTGTGTCTTGTTTGCCCCCGAAACTGATGGCCCCTTGTGCTCAATGACCTTCTCCCACAGATCGGCCAAGTTTTCCGCCGTCACATTCCCCGTCTGTCCAGGTCTCTTGCGCTTCTTCGCGGGCTTCGGTTTCGGGGCAGAGGGTGCGGATGGGGCTGGAACTCCCGTTTCAGACTTGAGCTTCTCGGCCGAAATACTGAGGCCCTTTACTGGAAACATTGCGACCGATCATAGATTGTTTCTGCAGGAATTGGAGTTGTTGCACTGCTCAGCTAGTCCCAACGCGAGTTGTGGCTGCTGCGAGTTTGGCCTTGATCAGAAAAATTTAGTGGGGCGATGGACGGAGCTTGCGCCAAGGCGAGAGATAACGCGGATGGTGGTCTGATGCGATCCGTGCACCAGAAGTTTTGGTTATCTTCTGCCAGCACCGGGGGGTTTCACCAGCCTGGATATACTTGTAAAATCATATGAGCGGGCAGGGAGTCAACATTGATACGAAGGACCTAGATTCGCGATGGTTTGATGGTTTTCACAAGCCGATCCAGTCGTAAAAGCATTCCTCTTCGAGCCTGGCTAAATATGCTGGCGCAACTCAATTATTTCATCCTACTGGAGACTTAGAGCTCTTCCGATGCTGTGTATGATGTGACTTTACCTTCCCACGCCTCGTTTCTGCGCGTCGGAACGGGAAAGTAGATACCGGGCATTCCTCCGCCCAGCTCTCATCAGTAGTACGCCCAACACGCCCTCCCAACTATGGCTTCCATTGCGGCTGCCACTCGAGTCGGCGTTTACCGAGGTTCTTTAGCTGTGGGGATTCTTCTCCGACTCCTGTCCCTGTCTACCGGTCCGTCCCCGGCGTGACATCAAGTCTGCCACTCAGTCAAAAAAAAACAGTAACGAGATATTTCACCGAAACTTCAGATTTCCCGACGTTGCTGCCACGCCGTGGCGAGTGAAAAGCCCGGTACATGGATGCCAGCGTGAGTCCAGCTTGCAGTTTGTACCTCTCTGATGTCGGTCTTCCTCGGCTACTCTCGCGGAAGCATGGAAGGTGCGACCGGCCTTCCATGAGTGGGTGACCCAAACTGGGGAACCTGTGCAGGCTCGTGGCTCAGTCAAGGGACCCCGCCCTTTTCGGGTTCGAGTCGAGTTGCACAACTTCAGCTCAGTTCCTCGTCCCGCATCACGCCGCCAATGTGCAGACCATTAGACGCTCTCTGCCCGTTTTGCTCAGCCCTCTAGTCCGAAAGGCGTTCGCAGTTCCACGGGAGAGCGGCGTTCCGGCTGCGGTCTCACTGTCACTACCACCCACCAAAAAAGTGCCATTACCCACCGTCGTACACAGTAGTCACAGTACCTTGCCTCTTGCGCGGATATGTGCTCATGTGTGGTCCCACCCCGGTCCTCGGAATGCCCAAACTCTTCGTGCAGCCGGGAACCGATGGCATGCTGCGGATGCAGTCCGCCCTGCGCGCCGCTCAACGGCAGCTGCGGGAGACTCAACAACGCCTCCGGCCGTCACCTCACGGCACGCGAGAATGCCTCTTCCTTTTCAGTGACTTCCAGGTTACTTCCATGGCGTGGTGAGGCTTCAGCGGGGTTCAGCTCTCCCCTCACAGCACCCCCCTGTCGCACATCAACCACGCGAACAGGGCACATCGATCTTGTCGATCACTGGAGGTGTGGCAGTCCCGCACCGTTCTGGCCCTGAACTCATCCTGTCCGAGCGCGGCGCGATTCTCTTGACCCCCCTTGATTAAAACTCGCCGTTATGCACACCAAGCCATTGGGATCCACATGGCGATGCTGGGCTCTCCAAGTCGCCAGTCTCGCCCCATTCTCCATGTACCGCGATACAACCTCACCCTTGTAAAGCCCCCCCGAGGCTTCGGACTCTGTTTGCTGTTCCAGGATGCCGATCTGTCCTCAGAACGGCGCCTTCTTCTCACGACACGGCCGTGATGCTCTCATCCAAGGTCAGCACGGCTTAACAACCCCGCGGCAGTACATATGAGGCCGGATCGCTAAGTTCCCCTGACTGCGGCGCCGAGTGTTGAAATCACCCCCTAGCTGGGCGTGGAAGGAAACCTTCTTCAAGGCCCGTTCCGCGACAGCCCCTCGGGTCTTCCCGCCTTCGGGGCGACGACAAAGGCGAGCCGACCACAGGCTGCAGAATCTTCAGCGGTATATGCAGGTCTTCGGCCACTTTGGGATTGAGCGAGTTCAGCTGGCAATAGCACTCAATTGAGGTACCGCTATTGTTACGCTGTTGCGGTTACTGTTGCTGCTGCTGCTGTTGCACTTTGCACTGTACTTCGCAAAGCTGTCAGGCCAGGTTTGGACACGGGCATCGACGGGACCACAAGACGAAGCAGTCGGCAATTCAACCCCCGTTACACTAGGCGTGTCCCAGTACCCTCCAACGAGGTTGTCCATATACAGCACTTGCCCTTCGCCTATCTGAACGGCCCGGTCTGTGGCACACCCACGGCGTTTGACAACCCTTCTACCACACAGCGAGACGCAGCTGAACCGAACCCCTTCTCCACGACTATTTCCTAGTCAGGTTCTGGACTCGCCCTTCCTTTGGCGGATCACGCTCGCCAGCTCGCCAACTCGCTCGACGGCGGCGGAACCACCCCAGCATCGTATTACGTTCCAAAACATACGCCCACCACCATGGCGTCTGTCGAACCACCGCCGAATGCGGGCTCCCTTGAAGAGTCCAAACAAGATCCTTCCCCTACGTCTGGCGACAAAGGGGATCAACCATCACAGCCGCCAAAAAAAGCGACAGTCAGGAAGAGGACGAAAACCGGATGTCTGAGTGAGTCGGGCCGTGTTCTCTTGATGGTCGTCACTCACGGGGCCCGCTGTATTAACGACGTATTTCCTAGCGTGCCGGCGACGCCGCATTAAATGTGACGAAGGCAAGCCCACCTGCAACAACTGCGTCAAATCCAAACGAGATTGCGAGGGGTACAGTCAGAGACTCACCTTCAAGGAGCCTCTCGGTTCGTTTCCTGGTAGCCACCTCTATGGTCATCCCGTCTACCACCGGCAAGTTCAACAACAGCTGGTCAACGCACAAATCTCCGCGGCGCAAACCAAATCTGCATCGTCGCAAGGATCACTTGCCGTCATCGCTCCAAAACCACCACCGGTGGACTTTTCCACCCCCGCGCCTTTTCCCCTGGGGCAGGAATATGGAGGCCCGTCGAATGCTGGAGGTCCAAGTTTCGACCAAGCACAACGGTTACCGAGTCCCCCCTTTCTGGGCCCGGACTCCAATCTCTTCCCTGATCACCTTGCCCAGCCCACTCATGGAGATCTGGCTGCACATGGTCAATTCTTTGAATACACGCCGGCACCCGTACAAGGCTTTCAGCACCCCCCAGGCGAGGCAGATGTGGCACCCGCGTATACTGGGCACCACCCGCCCGTGTCTGGTCCCGAACAGTCCCTAGCTTCCCCAGAGAGCGGTGGCGAAAGGTTAAACCAACCCTTGTCCACCGAGGAGGAGTACTGGGACTCAGACGATGAAGCATCCATGCCTGAGTCGGATGACGAAGTCCCGCCAAACCCGCACCTCTTTCATCTCGAGTCGAATGACCTTGGTATCCAGGTGGCCAGACGGCTGGAGCCACAACAGGATTTGTACGGGGTGCGAGTTAGGTCGTTCGGCGGCTTGATTGACGAAAACATACTCGACACATACACGCCATCCTCGGCCAGCTCGCCCCTAAACGACAGTCAAACGGCAACGGTATTCTGGTACTTCGTCAATGTCACGGGCCAAGTCATGTCCCTATACGAGAGGCACCCGTTTGACCCTACCCCTATGTTCCGGGGCCATCCTGTTCCCAAACAGCGCCAGCAGATATGGACTTGTTCGTAGCGCCAGTGTCCTTCATGTCGCACGTTGCTAACGTTTATGTTAGATACCTTTCCCATCATGGCGTTCAACCATCCGGCACTGATGCAGGCTATGCTTGCGCTAGGTAGTCTACAAATCGCCAAGCTCCAGGGCACACCCCCTACTGCCGCCATGAAGCATTACCACCTCAGCCTGAGAAGAACGGCGAAGAACTACCAAAGTTTCCACCGACGCACCCAACCAGCGACACTAGCAGCCACACTTTTGCTCGGATTTTATGAAGTCTGGAATTCAGACCACGACAAATGGTGCAAGCACATGTGGGGAGCCCGTGCCATCATTAGGGATATCCCCCTCCGGCAGCTGACGCGGGAGGTGCTTGCCTATAAGCGGAGGCAGAAAGAAGAGATGCTGCGAAACCACCAGTGCAACGAAATATGTTTTGCTGCGCATGGGGATCTCAGCGTGGACTCTGGGGCAGTCGACACCGACCTGATCTCTCAGATAACCGGCCAGAAGGTCGACTACGACATCGCCGAGGGCCACGTTATAGGGGGCTCATCTCGGCCGTCACGCCTCACAGAACGTGACGTTGAGACGTATGAGCAGATCCGCGACCTCTATTGGTGGTATTGTAAGATGGATGTTTACCAGAGTTTCCTTGGCGGGACTCGGCCGTTGTGAGTAACTTAAACATTCTATCAGCATCGATTACAGTTATATTGACTATCACTAGGATGGAATACCACCAGTGGACGCAATGTGCGCCGCGCGGCCCATTTGGGAGGATAGACGCAATGTAAGCTGCCCCCTTTCTCTACTGCTGTTATTATTCAGTAGGCTGACAGGGTCCGTTTTTTTGAAGTTATGGTTCCTTTGACTTCTCGCTATTGTTACTCGGACGCGTAGCCGACTTTGCGTCTCGTGATCTTGCACGGAAGCGGAAGGCGAGAAAAGCACAGGGCCCGGGACCCGGTCAGGGTCCTCCGGGGATGGGCCCTCCCGGCGGCCCGCCTCCGGGGCAAGGCCCAGGAGTTGGTCGGGGTCAATCACCCCCTTCGTTCCCGGGCCTGATGCCAACCTCGGGCCGGGTCACGATACCCCGAGGGTTCACCCCGCCCCGCGAGTCATCCCCGCCGAGCGACTCGGCCGAAAACATAGACCTTGACGCCTCCACCGCTGATGCAATGCGGGAGTGGGGGGAGATCCGGCAAGCCTTCGACATCTTCCACGCGCGCTTCGGTCCGGATTTTGAGCCCCTAGGCCCTGACGTTGTGCCGCCCGAGATGACTCCGTTCGGCCCCGCCCTCACGTACCGGACGTACAGCATCGCGGGCATCTGGATGACCTACTACATGGGCTTGATCGTGCTGCACAGGGCCCACCCGTCCATGCCGCCTGTCGCCGTGATTGCCGCGGGGATGGCGGCACCGCAGACGGGCAAGTGGGCGAACGAGATCGCCCGCATCTGCGCGGGCTTGCAGGAGGATGCCACGCATGTGACGAGCGCCAGCACGCTGGTGGGTGCGGCATTCATCGAGAGCTGTTTCCCTCTCTTTGTAGCCGGTGTTCAGGTATGTCGCCGCTCCCTTGCCCCCTTTCCGCCCACTTTACATACCACCCCCCCTGCCCTTCCAAACCCGCCCCCCCCCCTCTTCTAACAACACAACACCCACTAACACCCCACCCCTCCTCCTAGTTCCGCGACCTCCACCAACGGCACTGGGCGATCCGGCGGCTGCGCGACGTGGCGCGGCTCACGGGGTGGCAGTCGGCGCGGCAGATCGCCGACGGGTGCGAGTCCGGGTGGCACAAGGCGGCCGAGATGGGGCGGGGACCCCCCTACCACAGCCCGCCCGAGCTGGGCCCGCTGTTCCCGGACTCGGTGTGGGACCGGCCGCGCCGCATCGACCGCCGCATCCAGGAGCTCGGCGAAGACGGCCGGCTGGTGCTGGCCAAGTCGGAGCAGACGCACTATGCGCTGGGGTTGTTGGGGGTGGAGCGGGATTTTGATACATTGGGGATTGATGATGAGGGGGCGGCGGGGGAGTTCAAGGGGGTTGGGAGTGAGGGTGAAGAGGGGTTGGGGGAGGAGGAGGGGGGGGATATGGGAGGGTGGTGAGGGCTAGGTTAATCTTTTGCGGTGGGGTGTTGGTTGGATGTTGAGTTAGTTGGATGATTCCCCAAGATATCCCGAAATTCCCATTCTCTGTTTTCTAGCAGCGCAAAGAAATAAGTTTGAGAAGACAAAATGTGTGGTGAGAAGTGGGACAGGGCGAGGCTAGGGGTTCATCGTTATTTATCACCATAGCGTCTTGCTTCAGTTGCCCAACATCGTCACGCTGTGATGTCAAGTCATGAAGCCGAAGCTCTTGTCATTTCCCGGCTTCCCTCCCTTTCTTCCCCGCTCTTCTTCGGCTAGTTTAGTTCGCCGGCAGCCGCTCCACGACAGCGGCCATCTCCTCGTCCGTGTATATTCTAAAGCCGCGTTCCTTAGTCACGCTCGCCAGTTGCACATTCTTGGAGTCCAGCTTCTCCTCCATGACCTGCTTTAGCGTCTTGAGCACAAGCGTCTCGGCGTCTGCGATGGTGAGGGACTAGATAGGAGGGGAAGGCAAACTGTTAACAACACAGGTTCCATTCATGTCCGGATGTTGAATCACCACGAGGCAAGATCAGAGAGGAGGGGAGTACACACCTTGTGATATTCATTCTGCAACTCCGCCTGCGCGCCCTCGCTCCCGCTCCCGATGGCCTTGGCGTCGTAGCGGTAGAAGGTGCCCGAGGGCTCGGCGTGGTAGAGCGACGGCCCGTCCTCGTCGTAGCCGGCGATCAGCAGGGCGACGCCGAAGGGCCGGCTCATGATGCTCTCCTCGCCGTCGGCCGACTCGCCGAAGCGCAGGGCCAAGTCGCAGATGGCCTGGGTGCACGACTCGACGCGGAGCTGCTCGTTGTAGTTGAAGGCGTGCGACTGGCACTCGACCCGCGCGTGCTCCACCATCGACCGCGCGTCCGCCTGCAGGCCCGACATGGCGCACCCGATGTGCCGGTCGATCTCGACAATCTTCTCGACCGACGACGTCTCCAGCAGCGTCGACGTCACGCGCTTCTCCACGCCCAGGATCACGCCTTCTGACGTCGCCACGCCGATGGCCGTGCTGCCGAGCTTGATAGCCTCGAGGGAGTATTCGACTTGGAAGAGACGGCCTTCGGGGGAGAAGGTGCTGCGGGGGTGGGAGGGGTTGTGTTAGTGTGACCGGGCCGCGGGATGGTTGCGTATTTCGTGGGTCGGGCGGGATAGGGAGCGCTCTATAAGGCAGTGGGAGATAGTAACCTACTTGATACCCCGGTCTAAGAGTAAGTGTTAGCTTGTTTGTGTGTATCCGTCTGCCCGTCTCTCTTGGGCATCGCAATGCGAGGGGCAGAGCTTCAGGGACGCTCACCATATTCCGATCTTGCCATAAACATCTTGCCGGTAGTGTGAGTGAATTCTGGGTTTCGGTATGTTCGAGGGGTGTTTTGAGCGGTTCGTCGCAAGAAAAGCGGCAGATCGTGATGTGTCGCGGGGCAGTTGCGGGTTGAGGGCAGTGGAGGTGAGGCGGGCTTGGATTGGCAGCTGAAGCTCCAGGCACGGAGGGCTACGAAGCTCCCCACTGTTTGCTGCCAGGCGGCCAACGGCTGACCTGTCGACCCTTGTCGGTACGTAAATACCAGTACCTGCCTGGGCAGCCCACACGCTCTCAACGCGCTAATCCCAGAAAGGCAAGGCGTCAACGATCGCGCTCTGCCGCAAGTCGCGCTTTTTGGGTCGGGGAGCTCCCGCAACTTGGCGCTCTCACTCGCTAGTTAACTTACAGACTGCACCAAACAGCCCACCAAGAAATCCGACCAGGAAGCAACCAGTCCCAGCAACGGCACCACGATACACTCCACCCTGGCAACCTGGGCTGCGCATCGCCAATGTAGTAGACTGACGCAACCATGTCAGGCTCCAGACCGTCCTCGTTCGCGGGAAAGAGAAGTAGTGGCGTAGCGGGATTGGGCGACCGGGGCTCGGGGGGTTCTGCGCCGTCACGACCGCGCATGTCGGAGAATACCAGTAGGGCGCCAGAACCGAAGATCAGCAGCCGCTATGCCGACACCACACATAAGCGGTCTACCTCAGGCCACCCGTCGGGCCATCCGAATCCCCGATCGACCACCAGCTCTTTCGAGGAGCGCCGCACCGAGAAGGTTCAGGTAACCACGCGAGAAACCATGATGTCCCGCACGAGGAGCCCCCAGCACCGCAGCACAACCAGTAGGACCACCGATGGGTCCAAACAACGAGCGCCCGAGCCGAGGAGGGAGGCTAGGCAAGAGACACCAGTGCCAGGTACACACACATATATCCTCCTGAGAGAGGAAGATTCCATACTAAAGCTGAACAACATAGATAAACTCCCCGTAATATCATGGGAACCGGAGGCGACACTCCTACCACACACGACAGCACCTTTGGCATGCCGCATCTCGATACCCCCGCTGGCCTCGGCCGCCCCCCAGACCTTACAACCGAAACCCCTGCAAGAGCTCTCTCTGGAGGCACAGGAGGCTGTGATTATCGAAGATCTACTGTTTGTATTTATGGGCTTTGAAGGGCAATACATTCGCTTCGGCAAAGGGTACAACCCCTTCGAGGAGCGCGATCGCTTGTCAGGCCCCCTATGGCGCATCCTCCCGGGACTGGACCCGAGTCTGCAGGACCTCACCCAGTCCATGCTCCGTATGGCCAGCCACTATACCGCCCTCGAAACTTTTGTCGATGTTCAGAGCCGAGAGGAGTTCGGCTCTGTCAACCACGCCTTGTGTGCCTCGATACGGAAGCTTCTACAGGAATACCTAGTCATGGTTGCCCAGCTCGAGACACAGTTCCTCAGCGACGACTCCTTTACGCTCCACGTACTCAACGTGCATGTATTACCCACCGTCCACATGATGGCTCAACTTTACGCCCTTGCACACGAATTCCTCAAACGGAACGCCCTGTTGGACGACGAGACGGACGAATCGAGCGACAGCGACGACGACTACGACCATATTCTAGAACAATTGAGGGACGGCGGCGAGTTGGTACCCGGGAACATGATGGGGAAGAAGATATGCAAGGGTGGCATGGTCCTCGGGCTGATCACCAAGAGGCTGGAGTCTATGTCGGGAGACCCTGCTGCCCGTGCCCTCCTAACATCCCTCTTACGAGACGCCAGCCGCCCGTACATGCAGATGCTAAACGAGTGGCTACACCATGGGGGCATCAACGACCCCCACTCCGAGTTTTTGATCAAAGAACAGCGAAGTATTCGTCGGGAGCGATTGGAACAGGACTACACCGACGAGTATTGGGAGCGGCGATATACCATCAGAGACCACGGCATCCCTCCCCAGCTTGAGGGTGTTAAGGACAAGGTCTTGCTTGCCGGCAAGTACCTGAACGTTGTCAGGGAGTGCGGTGGAGTCGACGTTAGTCTGCAAGTTAAGGACGTGCCAGTTTCGTTTGACGACAACCGCTTCCTCGACAATGTCAACAATGCCTACGCCCACGCTAACGAGTCTTTGATGCGGCTGCTCCTGACGGCCCACGGCCTCCCAGCGAGACTGCAATCGTTAAAGCACTACTTCTTCTTAGACCCCTCGGACTATTTCTCCTATTTCCTAGAATTAGGTGCTTCTGAGCTGCGGAAACCTGTCAAGGCGGTCAACACGAGCAAACTACAGTCACTCTTGGATCTGGTACTTCGTCAACCCGGCAGTGTGGTGTCCCTGGACCCGTTCAAGGAGGACGTCAAAGTCGAAATGAACGAGATCACCCTAACTAAGTCGCTCCAGCGCGTCGTCAACATTACAGGTATCGAACAAGGTGAAGCTCTTCAGCCCTTGTCCAGCAACCAACCCGTCGAGGGGGACAAAAATGCCAACGGCTTCACCTCTTTGCAGCTTGACTATGCCGTACCATTCCCTGTTTCACTCGTCATCAGCCGCAAGACGGTATGGCGGTACCAGGCGCTCTTCCGGTATTTGTTATCGCTCCGCTATCTCGAGTCACAACTATCGACAACCTGGCAGACACACACGAGCGGGTTTGTATGGTCACACAAGTCGTCGGTCCGCAACCTCGAGATCTGGAAGCGCCGGGTCTGGACGCTGCGCGCGCGCATGTTGGTCTTTGTCCAGCAGCTGCTCTACTTTTGCACTGCCGAAGTGATCGAGCCAAACTGGCAGAGCCTAATGGCGCGGCTGCGCCGACAAGACGGCGGTGACGGCCAGGACGCTACACCCAACGGTTCAACCACAGGTGTAGCCCGCACCGTCGACCAGCTGATGCAAGACCACGTGGATTTCCTCGACACTTGCCTCAAGGAGTGCATGCTCACCAATAGCAAACTGCTGAGGGTACGGCCCCCTTTCCCACTGCCCCCCCATTCCCGCCCACTCTAACAATGCCACAGATCCACTCCAAACTCATGCAAACCTGCACCGTCTTCGCAACCTACACCAACTGGCTCTCGCGCGAGCTCGAAAAGGCCGACCCCGACCTCTCCGGCACCACCAAGCCGCCCAACATGACCGAAGACCAATGGCGCCACTTCCAGTCCATCCGCACCCAAAAGACACAACAACAACAAACCCAAGCCTCGCAAGGCCAAAACCAAAACCAAGACCCCAACTCCTCCGTCCTCCAACCCGCCGACAGCAACAACAACAACACCAACAACAGCGGCCCCGGGGGCGAGGAGGCGCGCATCGCCGAGCTGTTCGACGTGATGCGCAAGTGGGAGACCAACTTCAGCCGCCACCTGCAGATCCTGCTCGACGCGCTCAACCACTACGCCGCCACCGAGACTGTTGTGTTGCTCAGCCTGTGCGCGCGCCTGAGCACGGCCAACCAGGGGACCGAGTACGCGGGCATGAGGGGCGAGGAGGACGGCGGTGTTTGATAGGTATGTTTGATACGCCTTCGTTCTGAGGGGTGGGGGGAGGTTTGGTTTGGTGGTTGGGGTGGTGGGGTGGGTTGCCGTTTGCGTGGGATGAGCGACTGTTTTGTCGGGGGGTGGGAGGGTCATGTCTTTTTGTTACAGAACCCTGGCATTGGGGTCTGGATGGGTTTGTTCTAGTGGATGGTGTTGGCTTTGGTGTATTCGAGTTGGCGTTGACATCTAGGGAGCATAGTTATGCGAAACGGTGTGTGGCACGAACGAATGTCATTGTTGTGAGGAAGACTTTCGTATACCCAGCAGTGAAATAAAAACCTCAGGGACATCGGCCCGCCACCAGACCATATCGCACCGCATCTCATGAAGGCGGTCTTGTACTTACTTTCTTCACCGCTTCCTCTCCCAGTAGGTAGAACCCCTATAGTCGCAGGTGGTAGGCAGTCACAGACACTGTCACAGCAATGGCAACTTGATTCTGAGCAACCCCTGGGTATCATTGACGTTACCGTACGGACCAGACCCTAAGATATATCTAGCCGATCCATCCATCCATCACACCAACTACAACCATCCCCCTTACGCCCCCTTCCCCGGTGCGCCGCCTTCTCACCTCCGAGTCAATCTAAGCGCGCGACCACCCGTCAACCAATCTTCTCTTCCGTTCATCACAGACAACAGTCAGATCGATTGACCAAACTGCAGGCGAATAAACAGCCCACGCCACACGACTCGCCCTCATACCTACCGCTTCGACGAGGCGACAGCAGCGGCAAACCCACTACCGGTCACCACCGACCCAGATACGGCCCCCCTCACATAACCCCTACCACATCACAACTTGTTCTCTCTCCCCGTTCACTTCCCGGCTTTCCCTCGCTAACAACAAACTTGAGAGGAGAGTAGGAAGTGGAAAGGAGAAGAAAGGAAAACGCAAAACGCAGCAAGAAAGCAAAAAAGGGAAAGTGAAGACGGACAGCGAAGAGAACAGGCTAGCTGGCCCTAAGCCATCCTCCTCCAGGTTAAATCAGATCACATGTCGCCCGTCCGTCCGCCCATCCACCGCCTGGGTTACCACGGCTTCGCCGGGATTTCAAACACATCACCCCTCATCAAAAAGCATCACAAACAACCACCTCTTCTACCGCGTCCTTCGGCTCACTTGGGGGGTATAGAACGCAAGCATAACGTCAACGTGAACTTTTCGTAGCAAAAGAAAGTGCCAGCAAACCATTAGACTGTGATCCGCAACTGTGGTCCGTGAGATAATTTTTGGTTGATTGAATATTGATTTCGATTTGATCCGATTCGATGCGGTTCGATTCGATTGATTGATTTGCCTGGGTTGGATTGGATTTGTCTGCCCCTGGGCATTCGGGTTGAGTCGTGAGGTCATGACTGCATCAAGAGCAAGCGTCATTCATCGGCCGTTGCACCGGACCCGCAAGCTCTCGTCAGAACGAACCATCCCATCCCATCTCCATCTTCATCTCCATAACCATGTGGACGGAGGTGGAAAAGAGAGGAAAGAAAAACGAGAACACAAAGACTGAGAGAGGGGAGACGAAAAACGAAAGAAAACGGAAACGAAAAGGAAAACAGAAAATCAACGGCAACCGACCAAATGCAGAGAGCAACTACCGGGGTATTTTGCGCCAGGGGTATATCCAGCCGTAGGGGTATTTCTCTTTTCCTCGCAACTCGACGTAAAAAACGATTCCGTGTCTAAAACCTTGCAAAGCCCGAACCATGGGAATCTAACGAAATGGCCCTGCGAGAGGGCCGGGGTATCCTGAATTGGTTGAATGAGACGTGGAGGGGCGTCCGCTGTCAGCAGACTGCCGGGGGTGATGGCGCGGGGTGGCGTCGCCGGGCTGTGGAACCGTGAGCTTGTCAACACCGTTGACGAAAGCTGTGCCTGGGCCCCAGATGTTGCCATCGTCGTCGGGCAAATTGACGCCGCTATCGTTCCAAGGGTTGCGGTCGGCGTTGAAACTGCGGGTCGACTCGATTGAAATGAGCGATGACTTGGACACGTTGCTGGAGCCCTTGAAAAAGTTGGCCGCCGACTGGGAGCTGTTCTTTCTGCGGTCCAGGAACGAGGAGATGGAGGACATGCTACCTGGCTTGCGGAGACAAGCGAGGATGCTTCGCTCGCGAGCAACCTCCTCGCCGAAAGTGGGCCTCGTCGGGGAGTCAGTGGCCACTGGAGCCGGTGCGTGCTGGAGTAGCTTGGAGTTGAAGAAGGGCAGCGACTCCTCAAAGGTGTCCGATTTGGGGCGCGGGATAGCACCCTTAATAATGACGGGTTCTACACCCGCTGTGGCAAACTGGGTCTGGAGAAATTCCATGGCATCGCGAAGACCACCGGCGTTGTTGCGCGTGAAGGTCCAGAGCAGAGTAACGGTGGGCGAACCATCCTCAGTAAGCTCCTCGGAGTTCTCGTGGACGGTAAGTTCAACTTCGTACTGGCTCTTGAGTTTCGGGGCAATGGTCTGAACGAATTCAGGCGATTCAAGGTACTTGATCAGCTCCGAAGCCCGCTCAAGAACCACCTCGTGCTTGTCGGGAACCATGCCCTGGAAATCAAAGGTCAGTTGGTGCAGGAAAAGGGTGGGGTACGGGGTCGTAAATACCAGGAACTCGTCAATGCACTTGGGCACAAGCCACTGAGGACCGGTAACAGTGACCTCGTCGCTCGCCTGTTCGGTGCTCGGGAAAACGATCTTGCAGTTCCAAGTCCTCTCCAGTTCCTCAACCTCGATCAGACGGGTGAGGAGCTGGCGGTGATAGAGACGGTCGACACTGACAACCTGTGAGGTAAACTCGGAGTCCTGCGGCAGCATGTCAGTGGTTGAAAACTTGTAATAGTCAAGGGCCAGGGGGCTTACCACGCGGTCCACCATTTCCAAAATCTCGCTCTTCACGAGCTCCAGATTCTGGGCGTTGCGAGCGGGGGTACGGCAAATGACGTTGTCAACCCGGCTGTCGTCGTCCTCGCGGCCCATGCCACCTTACAAAAGCGTTAGCAGTCATGTACATAGATGTACAATCAGCGTCTAACTTACCACGATCCATGGCATTGGAGAATTTGACAAAGACGGAGTGCTTCTTCATGATGCGCTGGATGTGCTGTCCGCCGATGCCAATGATGCGCTTGTGGTATTGATCAGGCACGTGAAACGAGATGGACGCCGGCATTTCCTGCTCTACCAGACCCAAGCCCTGCTTCAGAGAGTCATAGGCCTGGGCAATGACTTCGATGTTGAAGTTGTATTCGCCGAAGTTGTCAAACATGATCTGCACGTTGCTGTTCCCCATGATCTTGTTGATCTTGCCGTTCTTCTTGCCGCTTACAAACTCTTTGTGCTCGTTGGCGAGCTCAATGCGCACACGAATTTGGTACGGGGAGTGAACGGCGAACTTGATCTGCGAGATGACCATCAGGGCGGCCTTGATGGACTCGTCAGAGCCGGTGATAGTAAAAGACTGTCTGTCAAAGGAGACATCGGCGTCCGAGTTGGCGCAGATATCACCAAGCATTGCTTGAATATCCTGGTTGCCGGGCTGGCGAGGGTCCGGTTGCAGGAAGATCCACGACGCAGTGTAAAACTGTCCGACCTTGACTCGAAGTCAACACCTATCCTCATGCACACACAAAGAAGGAAGTCTTACCAAGGCCATGAGCTCGCGGAGAGAGCGCTCTATATGCAGGTTCTCGACCGCCTGCACGCGCACCATGCCCTTCCTGGACCCCAGTGAAGGAAACATGATGAAGGCACCGTTCGCTTCGGTGATCTTGCGCACTTTGTCCATGCGGCTAAGCAGGATGCTATCAATCTTGGCAGGCGGGATGGTCACATCTTTGACAAAGAGCCTGGTACGAGTAAGGAGTTCATGAATCCGGAACTTGGCCTGCTCGATGGCCTGGGGCGTCTCGCCCGTGATCAGAACCTTGGATGGATCTCTACGCTGCGCGTTGGGTGGGCAGTAGCGGTAACACCCGGAGAAGGGCGGGGGGAAGTAAATGGCTGTGTTCGTGACGGATTCGATGAGCTTGATATTCTTGCGGTTACGGCCGCAGAGGAGCTGGTGCATCGAAGGCTCGAAGATGGTGGCATCGACGATCCTCCCGAGCTATATCAGTCAATTAGCAAAAGGCCCTTTCCATTATTGCAGGAGCTAGGCTGGCATACGAGTTGGTCGATGTGGATGAGCACACGGGTCTTGGCATGCTCAGACGACAGATAGTCACCGTAGATGGCTACCCGCCAGCGCTGGTCCCTCAGCAGATCTACATCACCGTTTAGGCCACCGGTCAGGGGGGTGAGTTTGGGGCCGAGGAGAAAGATGTCGACCCCACAAAACGTCGACGTTTCGTCCAAAAAGTCTGTCACCGACTTCTTCAAAACACCCTCGGAGAGGTTGGCAACCAAATGCCCGTCCGCAACAACAGTCGTGCAGCGCTATTTTTTAAAAGGTCTCGTTTTAGCAACAGAGCAGAGCTACGGCGGCAACATATGGAGTAACCCACCAATGAGAGCGGCGTGTGGTTCAAAACGGTTTCCCTCGTCTGTTGGACTAGGTCGGGGGCGCCGGACAGACACACGGTAGTGACCTGGCCGTTGACATTCTTGGGGGTGGTGGAGAGGACGTGGGCTTCGATGGGCAATGTGTTCGACGTGATCTCCCTGCAGAGCTGGCGCAGCTGGCCCAGGTTCATGGCGTGGACGGGCAGCTCGTGGACGGGGACATCGTCGGGGGCTTCCTCGGGGTGCGTCCATCGGAGCACAGCGTCGGTAGTAGCGTGCAGGATGTCCTCGGTGTTGGGGCCGGCTAGGTCGGAGGCGAAGGGGACATTGAACGAGTAGTGGATGGGGCCGTCGGGAACGGGGGGAGCGGCTATCGGAGGCGGGCCTTGAGTCGCGATGTCTCGACGGGGATTGATGGCTGCTTGCATGCCAATATTCCTCGTCATGCTAAAGTTGGCCGGACTAATCCGCTCGGGCCAGTGACGCATGCTTGACAATTTGTTCATTTTTGGTATTTCGGAACCCTCGCTGCCCGTGTCGATGGTTGTTGGTGGGAGGGTGAATTGCTTGGTTGGCCGAGTCGAGGGGGAGCAGTGAGTTCGACTCGAGCGGCGGAGCAGGTTAGGGTGACGGGGGTTGTGGGGGTGGTGAGAAGGTGCAGGGACGGCAGCGGCGGAGGCGGCAGAGGAGGACGAGGCAATTGGGGCTAAATGAGGGACTGAAGGAGAGGGACCTCAGGCCGGGTCGAAAAACGGGGCATTCAGTAGAAACGACACGAGGAAAATGGGTATCTGGGTATCTTAGAGGGGGGGAAAGTGCCGGGTAGGGAAAGGAAAATAAAGACGACAAGAAGTTGTCGTGTGCTCTGGTCCTTCCTGCGATCTACAACAGGTTGGGGGAGGGGGAAAGAGGTGGAGGAGGAAAGATGGTGGACTTTGATGAGGGATTGGTGGATGGAAGCTGATGGACTGAGGCAGCGCAGTGAAGATCCACACCCGCTGGCACTGAGAGCCAGCCACGGGCGGTCGAATGTGGGAGAGCCCGCTGGTCCGTGCAACGGCCGGGGCCTGGGGATGCTTAGCGTTGCTTTGGCGAGGGGACCACCATCACCACTCACTGGACGACTCCACTGCACGCATTTCAACTTTCAAGATTTCGGATCAACCAGGAAACTTCGTCACTTGGGTCAGCTCGCAGGGCCGGACATACGCAACACACAATAGTACCAAGTGTAGTTGTTGAAGGAGAAGGCAGTCCCTTGACACTTTCCAACCAGAGTCATCGAGCCTTCACCAGTCTCACTGTCCAGGTATTGTACCTCCCGCCCGTGCATGTACATACACTAGCTACAAAGCTGCAGCGGACAAGGTGATTTTCGATCGAGGCTCAGGACCCGCGACTGGTCCAATCCTCGCCAACCCCCTTTCTCACAGGGAACGGGGTGCATCCACCAATGCAGGAATGCTCTTCCATTCTCTCTTGCTCTCTCGCCTCTGGGCACGCGTTGAGCAATGGAACCGCCGAACTAACTATTCCCTGCTCGTTACTCCATGTACACACGAAACATCAGAGCTCGGGCCTTTCCCGGGGGTGACTCGGATCGGAACGCCAACAGCGATCTCGAACTCACTCGTCGAGTCTTGATTCGGATTCGAGGCCTGCCCAGCTGTCTTCAGCCACGAAGAGACCAGCGCTCTCGAGAGCGATCCCGCTGCTACCGTACCCCCCGGTTCATTGAAGCTTGGACGCATCGCAGCAACCCGGGTCTGGACATCCATCGAGCTGGTGGTGGAGCCCACCCTTGCCCTGCTGTGACGTTGTGATCCCCCTGCTGCGGCACAGGTTCAAACGGTCTCTGTTCCCAGTCGTCCCCGCCAGTCGCGCCCTGTCTTGGACTCGGTCGACGAGTGAAATCCAAACTCATCACTTCCACATTCCCGTGCAGTATCCGACCTTGCCACGAAAAACAAATAAATGACTGGCTCGCTCACGACCTAGTGGTCAGTCGGTCACTACCTAGCAACCAACGCGCGAGCGGCCAGACCGCCGCCGTGGCCACGGCACCTTCCGGACCATCCCGCGGTCAACAAAGGTGGCCCTGGGTCCCGCAGCCCGCAGCCCACAGAATCGTCACTTTCCGACCGCTCAGAAGCGGTGGGGAGGTCCTTCCGGGTCCACTGGCGGCCGGACAGTGCGGTTGGGCTGGCTGGAGGTGCGTGCAGCGTGACCACTCAGCATTTGCTTGTTGCTGACGCGAGCACGCGGTCGAGCTCATCAGAGTGTCTTCACACCCATTCCAGGATCCCGTGTCACAGGAATGTCCTCCAGATGAACATATTTGTAGCACATATTGGATGTTCCGTACATAGATAAACCACTATGGTGATCTCGATCTACGTCTGCAGCAAAAAGATTGAAGATTACCGCCTGCATCCCCGGCGGGCATCACGGGCACACGGGCACTGTGCCGCTTATGTAAACGCTCCGGAAGTGGGCCAGAGGCCTCAAGCGGGCAGCAAAGCAGCAGGGTCTGGTCGAGCAGTTTTCGGCGAAACAAACCCGCCTTCACTCCCGAGCGTCTTGTCTCATTTACGGGTTGTGGCAGTGTCGAGGCCGGCTTCCTTGGCTGGCTTGCGCGGCTCCGGAGCAAGCCCCTTTTCCAAGATGAAAAACTGGGCTGAACCATTGGCAAGCTCGCAAGCTTGCTTATGCTTATTTTGAAGGAGGCACGCGGTGGAAAATGCCCGAGTGAAAACAAGAGGCGCGCTCCCATTCCCCGGATTCCCCGATCCCCAATGCCAGGGCACGGTCAAATAAAGCACCATACCGGACCGGCCGGACCCGATTCTACACAATCCAAGCATATGCCCCCTGCTCACCGGCCACTTTCAAAGAAGCAATTGACCGGTCGTGGAAGTTCGAGCGAACTTGTCCGTCCCCACGAACTTGCGGAGAGCTGAGACTTGACTGAGAGATTCTCGCCTTGTGGCGTCAAATCAGACCGGGACAAATAGGCTAGGCCGACATCGAGGTCATACAAGCTGTTCACTGACTCACGCGCACATCTTCAGAAGTCATTGATATGCTCCGTTGTTCGAATAACCATGCTAAACCATGAGGGCTACCAAAAAAACAAAACCGAGGTATAGGTGGCCGGGTCTCAATACCGTCCTTTGCCCACCAACCGTGAACCGCTAAATCAATGCAATCCCCAGACGCGAACCCATCCATCCGTCTCAACCCTCCATTCCCCATTTTACCGCACCGTGTAGACATAACCGTAACACCACACCATATGATGATTCATTGTCTGATCCATTGTCTCAACCCCTTCGCCCCCGCCAACCCCTCGTCTGGCTAACCCCTCGCCATCCCCGATCACCTCCAGACTAAACCCTCCCAGTCGCTAGCTTAGAAACTCAGCGATACCCCTCCCTGGCCCCGGGCTGTCCCCTCTCCAAAAACACCACCTCCTCATCCTCTCTCCCTTGTGGTGCCGGGCGGCCATAGTACCTCTCCACGGGCTGCTGCTGCTGCTGCGTCGCGGGAGGATACTCCATCCGCACCATCTCGCCCGGCGCGACGCTGTAGGCCCTAGCGGGCGGCGCCGGCGGGGGCATGATCTCGATCCTCCCATCCTGCGGGTGGTACTGATACCCCGCGGCCGCGCCGCCCGCGGGATCCATGGGGGAAGGGCCCGGGTGGGCATACTCCACCCGCCTGCCGCCGGCCGCCGCCGCCGGCGCATACTCCCGGGGCACTTCGTACCGAATGATCGAGTCCGCAGCGGGACGCACGCTGGCCGAGCGCGGCGGGACCGGCGGGTACTCGCGTGCCGGCAGCTCGTAACCGACGGGGATTTCGTAGCGCGGGGGGAGGGGGAGGCCCTCTCCCACCACCGGGCGGGCGCTAGCGGCGCGGTAGTACTCCCTTGGCGGGGCCGGCGGCCGATCATCGAGCGGTGCCGGGATCCGCTGCTCGTAGGTGTCATAACGGGCTGACTCCATGGGGGGCCGGACGCTGGCGGAGCGGGCGATGTACTCCACCGGAGGCTCTGGGCGGGACGGGAGGTACTCGGCTGGGGGAGGGGCCATGGCGCTGCTTAGCCCGGCGGGTTCCCGGTAGGAGTACTCCGGTTGGGTAAACACGCGTCTGGGGGCGGCATACGCCGGCGAAGTTGGGTGATAGAGCACCGCGTCATCATCGACCGGCTCTGGCCGGTGCGAGATGCCACGCGGTGTCACGATTCGCTCAAAAGGACCCCTGGGCTCCGCCACCACCTCTTCCCGGGCGACGGCGGCTGGGCGCACCGGCTCCAAGTACTCGCGGCCGAAGGCGTCGACGATTATGCGGCGCGCCGCTGTTCTGGGAGGAGGCATCGCCGCAGGCGGCCGCTCGTATCCGGACGGCGAATGCGAGCGCTCGGGGTATGCTGCGGGACGCACGCTCATCCTCGATGCGGCGCGAACGTCATGGTAAGTAGCACCGTCCTCGTAAGGACCCTCGACAAGGCGTGACGCAGGCCGCGCGGTACGTACTTCCCTAGAGACATACTGGACTGGCTCCGGTCCGGCTTGGTAACCGCTGGGAGGTGGCGCTCTGTAGTCATCGTAATACACCCTCTCATATCTTGGGGAGGTAACGAGAATAGGCTCTTCGCCGTGATGGGCGCGATACTCATCGGCTCTCTCGTAGCCCACAACCCGTTCCTGCCTGACAACCCTGGGCTGGTAGCGCCCTTGGTAGCCACTCTCGACTCGCACTGGCTGCTCATATCTAGGCTCATCATCGTGAATCTCTACCGGTTGCTGCTGCGAATACCTCTGGCGTTTATTGGGGCGGGACAACTGAGGGGTCAGCGGCGAAGGAGAACGCGGCTCTGGTTTGATGTACGGAGAGGCAGCCGCAGTGTCAGCAGCGAGCCGGTCAGCCTTTCTCTTCTTTTTCTTGTTGTTCTTCTTCTTCTCAGCGGCTTTGCTACTATGGGGCGAACTCTCTGGGCTCGAGCCATTGGAGGGTTGCTTTCTGAGCGCAGCAACCTGCGCAGGAGCAGCTTGGGGGGCGCTTCCAGACTCGGTGGGACCAAGTTCCGGCTCCCTCGCCATGGCTGACGGCAAAACATGGGTGGGCTGGGGCGCGAGAGGGGAGAGATCATGCCCACGAACAAGGGGAGGTTCGCGAACCAAAGCCTGGTTAAGCAATTGCTCGTTTACCCGCGCAAGATCATGTGAGCCGCTCAACTGCGCGCTCCCCGTCTGAGCCGATTCCCCCGAGCGCCCTCCTGAGCCGTGCTGCACCGCAGTAGCAGCCGCTGGTGCTTGGGGCACATATACCCTTGTAGAACTACTGGCGCCAATCGACAGGCCAGGTACCGTTACGCCGGATGCCGGGGCCGACTGGGCTGGCGCCGTCGTGTTCAGCTGTTGCTGGGGCTGGGAAGTGGCGGCGCTGGGTACGGCTAGCGGGGGCTGCGTAGCAGGCTGCGGCTGTAGGATGACTGGGCTGAAATCGAGTTCGGGCTCGTACGGTGATCCCTCTCGCATCTCTTCATCCTCGGACTCGTTGGGAAGTCGGGACACCATGTTCGATTCGGGAGTGTCGTGCCGGCTTGAATAGAAAGTGTCATCATCAGCCGAATCGTTCGACGCTGAGACATTAGCAGCTGTGTCGTCAGTAGGCTGGGCAAGAGGAGTCGCAAGGACCAGCGACATGGCCTTCGCCAGAATATCGGCGACGTCAAGTTCGGCTAGCTGTCTCGACGCCCGTTTAGGGCCACGATGCTGCTCAAGTTGCTCCTTGAGGCTGCGCTCCACCCGCTGCCGTTGTAGCTGAATCTCGGCCTTGACCAAGTCGTCAGACTTTTGCAAGAGCACAGGATGGATTTCGGTCGTTCCGGAGCCGGGAGCTTTCGCGCTGCCAGGCGTGCTTGACAGCGTCCCAAGGCCAGGAACGCCCGAAGCCATGTTTACCTGCGCCCGCTGCTTGTTCGCTTGCTGAGACTGCGACTTGTCAATTACTGCGCGACCTCCGATTACAGCGCTTTTCGCAGTGGCTGGCTTTGAAGGCGCCGGCACTGCTGAAGCGGATGCGGAATGTTGTTTTTGGGTTTGGGTTTGGGCGGTTTTCCCTGGGGGATGGGATGGTTTGATGCGAGGATGCAAGCCGCCAACAACCTCGTCGCGAAATCGCAGCAGTTTACCATACTCGCGAAATTCAGCGAGTTCATCCGGATTGAGCGACGCCATCAAGGAGGTATTTCCCGATGCGCCCAATCCCGGCCCTCCTCTTGCCGGCATCACTCCGATTAAAGATGTCCCGGCCATGACGGTGTGCTCTCCTAGCTCCTGGCGTGCAGCCAGAGCGCGTTTTGAATGCGAGACTCAGCGCGACAGCAACCCATCAAATACAGTGGCGGTCGATAATAGCAGCAGGCAAAGCAGCAGATACAGAAATCGAAGCTGGCGTGGTGAGGTTGATAACGGATGTTGCCTGCTTCTCGCAAAAGGCGACAGAGGAAGCTCGGAAGCTCTTTTCGCGGAAGTTGAAAAAGACAAGGTTCGGGCAGTGGAGGGCTCGACCACAAGATCGCGCCGACCTGCGCCAAGCTTCCTGTGGTGCACGAGCCAAGTCTGGCAAGGTCGGTCTTTTTGTCCCGTGCTGGTGGGTCCACTGGTCGGCCTGAGTCAACTCTCCTTCCTCCCTGCTGCGGAAGCGTTCCAAGGTTACCATGAATGTTCCAACGTGATGTGGAGAGTTCGCAGGAGTGGATGACTACTGGTTAGCTCGGTATATAACAGGCCAAATCCCGAACCAGAATTACGATGTTGTGCTGCCAACACCTTCTTGAGACACACTGTTCCAAAACAACGCACAACACCACCGGCCTTGACGTCCCCATTGTCTCATCTTGCTCCAATCAAGAGGATTGCCCCTAACGTAATTAAGCGGGGTCCCGTCTCTACTTCGTAAAGGACATCAAGGTATTCTTTATACATCACATATACCATCCGGTATAGCTCGGGACTATTCAGTAAAATGGAGTCTACTACCAACGGGGCTTTACCCAAACAAGTTTTCTTCTTGTGAGTGTGCCAAAGAATGTGAACTCTGAATTCGTAGTACCCATCTGACGTTATCTAGCGACATTGATAACTGTCTCTATCCAAAGAGTGAGTGAGGCGGCTTGGTTCAAAGCGTCCCAGTCCTCTTGGAGAACCAAAGACTGAAACAACCTAGGCGCCAAGGTCCACGACTTGATGGCCGATCTCATCGACAAATACTTTGTCACTCATCTCTCGCTGCCATGGGACGACGCAGTCCGGCTCCACCAGGAGTACTACCAGAACTACGGTCTGGCCATTGAGGGGCTGGTACGGCACCACCAAATCGACCCCCTCGAGTACAACGCCAAAGTCGACGACGCCCTCCCGCTCGACGATGTCATCAAGCCACGGCCGGAGCTCAAGAAGCTGTTGGCCGACATCGACCGGAGCAGGGTCAGGCTGTGGCTCTTCACGAACGCATACATCAACCATGCCAGGCGGGTAATTCGCCTGCTCGAGATCGAGGAATTCTTCGAAGGTATCACATACTGCGACTACAGCTCAGTACCATTCTCCTGCAAGCCGCAGCCCGAGATGTACCAGAAGGCGATGCGCGAGGCCGGAGTTGAGAAGCATGAAGATTGCTTCTTCGTTGGTGAGTTGTTGTTTCCCGGGCTCGGTAACTTTCTGGTCGAAAACAAAGTACTAACACCGAAACTAGACGACTCATACCAAAACTGCAAGAAAGCGCAGGAACTCGGGTGGACCGTAGCCCATCTTGTCGAGGAAGGTGTTAAACCGCCCAGGACACCGGCCTGTAAATTTCAGATTCGCCACTTAGAGGAGCTGCGGACAGCCTTCCCGCAATGCTTCAAGGGAAGCCCAGCGGGAGAAAGTTGAAGACCAAACCAGACAAAGAGGCTCAAGGCCCATAGACAGACCCAATTCTGGATAGAACAAGCGCCTTCAAAATGGCGCCCATGATGCATGATAAATAGAAGAACCAATTCCTTAAACCCATTCGATGTGTCCCAACCCGGATCACATTAACCAAGCCAACGCCGAACACCGTCCAACGCCGCCCTCCATGACTCCCTAGCTCCCTAAACATCCCCGAACCCATATTCGTGCCTAAGCCCATACCCAGCCCCCAAAATCAACAAACCAACCAACCCCCTCCCCGCAGCCTCACCTCACGGCCGCTGCAAGCTGCGCAGCAACGCATCCAGCTGCCCAAACACCTCGTCCCGCTCGCGGACGGCCTCCAGGCGCTGGGCCTCGAGGCCCGCGATCTCCTCCTCCAGGCCGCTGATGATGCGGAGCTGGTCGCGCTCGCTGTTCTGCAGGCCCGGCAGCTCCGACACCAGGTACTCGATGCGCTGCGCCTGCACGATCATGTCGCGGGCGATCTCGGCCTGGCCGTCTTTGAAGGCCTGCGGGTCGAGCGTGTCCACTGTGTTTCCGCGTGGTGGCGGGTGGTGGTTAGTGGTCTGTGTTTTATGCCTGTCTATCTGTTTGCGGGTTTGACCGGGGGGGTTATGGTGTTGCGGTGCTGGTGGGCAGCGGCGTACCTTCTTTGGGTTGGTCGGCTTTGAGGTCGGGGATCTTGTCGTTGGCGTTGAATTGTTCGAGGTCGTGGTGTCGCTCGACGTAGTAGAGGCCTGCGATGAACATAGTGCAGAGCTATCCGCGGTCGGTGGGGTTAGTGGGTTGGGAACTGGTTGCGCTGGTGAAGGGGCGCTCGGCGTACCAAGTCCATTGACTCCTGTAGCTGGGTGAGAATATCCGCCATAGTAGCGGTTGGGCGTGAATCAATTGGCGATAAGGTTGTCGGCACAAAGCGACAGGGAGTCGGTGCGAGATGCGAAAGTGTCGGCGTTGACAACCAAATGGATGGAACGGAGCTCCAATCGCTCGGCGGCCGGCAAACTATGGGGCTCGGGCTGGAGAAGCTTTGACCGACAAGGCGGAATGATCAACTGCCGATCCCGGCAGGCAATGCTTGAACTAATTTTCTTGCTTCACACGAAGACAACCACTGCGAATGCATCGTAAAAGCCAATCTCTCTCACAGAATGCGCCTCTCTCTCCTCGCTCGCCGACTTCCACCTCTCGGCCCGCCAATACCACCCGCACGCCACGTTTTCTCCTCAGCCGCCGCTGCCCGAGCGAATCCCGAATGTACCCCGGAATCACAACCACATCAACAATTATCACAAGAACACCCAACACCACCCAATAATGCCACCACCTCCCCCAACCCTCCCACCCCAACAACCACAACCACAACCACAACCGCAACCACACCCCAAACCACCACCACCAGCACACCACCCCTAATCTACCCCTCCGCCCCCTCCCCGCACCACCACAACCTCCCCACCTTCCTCACCTACGCGGCACGCACCAACCTAGACCCGCACTCGACCGTCTACGTCGGCACGCACTTCGAGTACACGGCCTCCGCCTCCCTATCCCGCTACGGGCTGGCCCTGCGGCGCGTCGGCGGCGCGTCGGACAACGGCATCGACCTGCTCGGCGTGTGGGCGCTGCCCGGCGCCGTCGCCGAGGTGCGCGTGCTCGCGCAGTGCAAGGCCGTGCAGCAGCCCGGGCCGCGCCTGATCCGCGAGCTGGAGGGCGCGTTCGTGGCCGCGCCGGCCGGGTGGCGCGGCCGTGGTGGCGTGGTCGGGTTGTTGGTGGCGGAGAAGCACGCGACCAGGGGGATCCGGGAGGCGCTGGCGCGGAGCAGGTGGCCGATGGGGTTTGTGGCGTGTTCGAGGGCGGGGGCGGTTGAGCAGTTTCTGTGGAATCGCAGGGCGGAGAAGGCAGGGCTGGAGGGGGTTGGTGTTGGGATGAGGTACGGTGGTGGTGGTGGTGGGGGGCAGGAGTTGGTCTTGACGTGGAAGGGGCGGAATTTGCCCTTTGTGAGGGCCGAGGAGGCATCTGCGTAAAGGGGTGTCTGGGTAAAATGACGGAGTGGGCGAGTGCCAATACGGTTCACCGATGAATTTCCGGCTCTTGAGGGAGTGGGTAAGTCAGAATGTTGAGAACCCGGGGTTAACAACTGACGTTGCCACCAGACCAGACAACGCTTGCGGTCCGCGATTCCACGAAAAATGCAATGGCACTTATCCATGAGCGGCAAGACCAGAGTGGGAATTTGCACTGGGGCAGCCAGTCGGCCGTTGGCATACAAGTTCTGTAGTGCTTCGTGTCACCGACCGCCCCCAAATGGCCGAGCGGTCAGAGCCGGTGGTCAAGTCCCCGGGGCGCAAAAAAACCTCCTGGTGTACCTATTTATTTCGAAAGGTCGCTGGTTCGGGTCGCCCCGGGGTAGGTCATAACAAGGAAGGGGGTTCGTCCCCTTCCCACTCCCGAAGTAAACCCCAACGGGTTTCGTAGCCGATTACCTTCCACTGATCGAGGGAGTTAGTCGGTAAGCTTTTGCCACTTATCCTGTGCGTCCTTGCGGTTTACCTGCTCGTTCTGTCGACTGTCTCTTCACTTGTGTTTTTTAAGACTTGAATCAAAATGGGTGATAAAAGAGAGTTCGTCTATCTACGATGGTCTAGCAGAGTCCTCTGGGCATTTCAGTAGTGCGAGCGCGACTAAAGCTGTTTATAACACCCACAACTGAAAGCAGATGAGAAGTTCAAGAAAAAGGCTGTGAAGCATGCTTCTTTCAATGAGAATTCCCGTTACCAAAAACGACAGGGCTCAACAGTTAATATGTAACCATAATAAACCAAAAACGGCCAATCCAAATCCAACCGTGTAGCCAACCTGCAAACGATGTCCAAAACTACCTAAACCAGATCGCCCACCCGTAGCCATGCAAGACACAATTAACCAGAAGTACCCAAAAGATCAGTCATCCCAAATCGCCTGCCTAGCCTTGGCAGCCGCCTCCTCCTTCAGCCTCTCCTGCTCCTTCTCCTCCTCCCTGCGCTTCTTCTCCTTCTCGCGAACCGCCCGGTCATATGCCCGCTGCTCCTCAGTCGGCCTGGGCGTCCTCATGCCCAGCGCGCTGGCAATCATGCGGCGGGCCACGGCGTCGGTCTTCTCGGGCCGTTTTGAGGGCCCGCCCGAGGCGGAGGAGGACGATGGCGACGAACCCGGGTAGTCGCCGCCCGCGCCCTCAAAGGGCGGGATGCTGAACCCGGGCCCCGGCAGGGTGGACGGCGAGAAGGCCCGCTTGTTGGCGCTGCCGAGGGGGGACATGGGTGTCGGCGGTGGCGCTGACGTGCCCGCGTGACTGAGGGCTGCCACAGGGGTAGGGGTGGCCTGCGCCGTGTCCGGGCCCGCCTCGTCGTCCTCGTCGGCTTCGTCTTCCCAGCTGTCGGCGACGGGGCTGCTTTTGCTGTGGGGCTTGGTCCGCGGTTTGGTGGCTGTTGTTTCGAGCTCAGTGGTCTTGAGAGACAGCTTGGCGAGGTTCGAGGTGACCTCGTCTTTGGAGTTGGCAGCCATGATGGGAAAGTATTGGGGGTTGGCCGGCAGAGGAGGATTGAGACCAGGTGAGAACCGCGTGGTGCGGAAGCGGAAAGTGAGAGGAGGAGAGGGTGAATTTCTAATGTCTTTTTATGGTTGGAACAAGGCTCGGTCCAACCTAACAGTGCCGCTGCCAAGCGTCAAGAGTGAGACGAATGCACCGAAGGAGGATCAACAATTGGTTAGAGTGCGGGAGGAGAGATAATTTTGGCAGTTAAGCAGCGGTAGAAGAGCACGTCTTCCATTAAAAGGAGTGAATTGGGTGGCGTAGGTAGGTAGCTTTTGTGGGTATGAGCAATGTGCCCAACGCAGAGACGCCGGATGCAGGTCGGGATATGCAACTTCAAGATGATGCAAGCACATGCGACTCCAAAGCCTCCATGGGTCTGGAACATCGTAAGCTGAGTGCGGGGGCGGGGCGCATTGTGGGGGAACCGTGCCTCTCAGCCTCGCTGTGGCTCAACTACCGAGTTACAGAGGGTCTCCTTGAATAAATTGCGGCTGGCTAACTGGATTCAGGCAGGCCCGGGCCCTGCCATGACGCGGGCCGGCGCCAAGTCTTGCCAGCAGCTTCCAAAAACCGTGTCTGCCCTTAACTCCATCGCATTATTAAGACATCATCGCCGAGATCCCGGCCTTCGCAGGCGTTTTCGGAGCTACCATTGAACCCCCCAACCACCACCTCCAGGGTTTTCCCGTACTGCGCGGGTTAATTTGTACATTATTTTCTCAGTTCTTCGAGTGTTTTGGCGACATTGATTGCGTTATAGACTCTGCTTTTCCCCGCTGCGTCCGGTCGTCCAAGCTCAAGATCGCTTGGACCAGAAACCCGCAAATCTTGACGTCAAATCGTCCTGAAGCTCTGCCCTTCGCCAATCCACAATGCTGCCCCGACAGCGCGTCCTTCGGCTATCCGCTCCGAAAACCCCCATATTCTCGGCATCGTCACGAAGCCTGAGCGTGTGCTCCGTCCCCGCATCAATACGACATCGACGACATGCTGCGCCCCGGCTACTGAGCTCCTCGAGGGGCCCTTGGCCCTCGTCTCTTTCGAACTTCTCGACGTATACTGCGCTAGGCAAGAAGAAGGATGGGTTCTTCGACGGCGCTACTGAGCCTCTTTCCGAGGAGGAAAAGAAGGCGAACCTCGAGAAAGCTGAAGCTGGGGAAAAGGAGGCTGCAAAGACCAAGTCGTCAACCTCCGATGCGCCATCCAACACAAGCGGCAAGGGCGCCCCAGAGTCCCCGGATGGCAAAGGTAGCGCTGCTGGTGGTGCCTCGTCTGGCTCGGGAGGAGATGACTCGGGGTCGACCGGCGGAAAGCGGGGGCGGAAGAGTGATAAGGCGCTCGCGAAGCCAGTCGTGCCCGAGATCTACCCACAGGTTCTCGCCATACCGATCGCAAAGAGGCCGCTATTCCCGGGGTTCTACAAAGCCATTACCATCAAAGACCCCAACGTCGCCGCTGCGATAACTGAGATGTTCAAGCGGGGGCAACCCTATGTCGGGGCTTTCCTGTTCAAAGATGAGAATGCCGATGACGACATCATCCGCAATGCGGACGATGTCCACGACGTCGGCGTTTTTGCTCAGGTCACCAGCGCATTTCCCATGAACTCGCAGAGCGGCGAGGGCGGAGGTCTGACGGCGATTCTGTACCCCCATCGCAGAATCCGACTGTCCTCGTTGATCCCGCCTGGAGCTGCGGATGCTTCGAAGGCCACCCCTGTCGCAGAGCCTATTCCCGAGCCTACTCCCAAGCCGGCAGAGGAGGCGGACCAGAAGGGAGACGTGGTGGCGAGCTTTGAGGAGAGTGCCGTCGAGCAGAAACCAGAGAAAGCCGAGACGCCCAAGAAGCTGCACGAGGTGACTTCCTTCCTGAAGAAGTACCCGGTTAGCATCGCCAACGTCGACAACCTCACCGAGGAACCCCACGATCCCAAGAGCCAAGTCGTCCGTGCCGTCACGAACGAGATCGTAAACGTTTTCAAGGAGGTCGCCAGCATGAACAGCTTGTTTAGGGATCAAATCTCCACATTTTCAATTAGCCAGTCTGCCGGCAACGTCATGTCAGAGCCCGCCAAGCTCGCCGATTTTGCCGCTGCCGTCTCTGCGGGAGAGCCTGCCGAGCTTCAAGAAGTCTTGGAGAGCTTGAACGTCGAGGACAGGATGCACAAGGCGCTCTTGGTGCTCAAGAAGGAGCTGGCTAACGCTCAGCTTCAGTCAAAAATTACCAAGGATGTGGAGAGTAAGATTACAAAACGCCAGCGTGAATACTGGTTGATGGAGCAGATGAAGGGCATCAGACGGGAGCTCGGTATCGAGTCGGATGGCAAGGACAAGCTGGTCGAAAAGTTCAAGGAAAAGGCGGACAAACTGGCGATGCCTGAAGCGGTGCGGAAGGTGTTTGACGAAGAACTTAACAAACTAGCACACCTGGAGCCGGCCGCTTCAGAGTTCAACGTGACCCGGAACTACCTCGACTGGCTCACGCAAATCCCCTGGGGGCTGAAGAGCGCCGAGAACTTTGACATCCGGAACGCCATGACCGTTTTGGACGAGGATCACTACGGCCTCAAGGATGTCAAGGACCGCATCCTAGAGTTCATCGCAGTCGGAAAGCTGCGCGGAACCGTCGAGGGCAAGATCCTCTGCTTCGTTGGCCCTCCTGGTGTGGGTAAGACGAGCATTGGAAAATCAATTGCCCGCGCGCTGAACCGCGAGTACTACCGGTTCAGCGTTGGTGGTCTCACCGACGTTGCGGAAATCAAGGGACATAGGAGGACATATGTCGGTGCCCTGCCTGGCCGTGTCATCCAGGCCCTGAAGAAGTGCAAGACCGAGAACCCCTTGATCCTGATCGACGAGATCGATAAGATCGGGCGCGGCTACCAAGGAGATCCTTCCTCGGCCCTGCTCGAGCTTCTTGACCCTGAGCAGAACAGCTCTTTCCTCGATCACTACATGGACGTCCCCGTCGATCTCTCCAAGGTTCTCTTCGTCTGCACTGCCAACATGACTGATACCATTCCGCGACCGCTCCTCGACCGTATGGAGGTCATCAGGCTGTCTGGATATGTCTCGGATGAGAAGATGGCCATCGCTGAGAGGTACCTCGCGCCGCAGGCGCAGGAGCTCGCTGGCCTCAAGAAAGTTGATGTGCAGCTGGCAAAGGCGGCAATCGAGGAGCTCATCAAGTCGTACTGCAGGGAAGCCGGTGTCCGAAACCTCAAGAAACAAATCGAGAAGGTCTACCGTAAATCGGCACTAAAGATTGTTCAAGACCTGGGTGAAGAAGCGCTACCCGAGGCGGAGGCTCTTACAGACGAGGGCAAGGCTGCCCGCGAGGCGTCGGAGAAGGAGGGCAAAGCTCAAGAGGCCGACAAGGAAGGAACCGAAAACAAAACCACCGAGAAGCCGAGGCTACCGCTAAAGGTCCCCGAGAGCGTGCACGTCACGATTGACAAGGAGAACCTCAAGGACTACGTAGGCCCCCCGGTCTTCACCTCGGACCGGCTCTACGATGTCACCCCGCCAGGCGTCACGATGGGCCTGGCCTGGACACAGCTCGGTGGCGCCGCGATGTACGTCGAGGCGATCCTCCAAGCGGCCCTCAAGCGGACCAGCCGGCCGTCGCTCGAGATCACGGGCAATCTCAAGACGGTCATGAAAGAATCCTCGACCATCGCCTACTCGTTCGCCAAGTCCTTCATGGCCAAGGAGTTCCCAGAGAACGACTACCTCGAGAAGGCCAAGATCCACGTGCACGTGCCCGAGGGCGCCGTGCAGAAGGACGGGCCGTCGGCGGGCGTCACCATGGCGACATCCCTCCTCTCCTTGTCCCTCGACCACCCCATCGACCCCGCCGTCGCCATGACGGGCGAGCTGACCCTGACGGGCAAGGTGCTCCGCATCGGCGGCCTGCGGGAGAAGACGGTGGCGGCGCGCCGCGCGGGCTGCAAGATGATCATCTTCCCGCAGGACAACATGTCTGACTGGCTGGAACTTCCTGAGGTATGCATCCCCCGTTTTTTTCTTTTTTGGTTTCGTGCCCTGGCTTTTTTTTTTTTTTTTTTCCTACCCCACACCTTCCTGCAATGTTGATCGGCAACGGCGCGTGCTAACGGCAATCTTCCCCTCTCTCCTGCAGAACATCAAGGAAGGCATTGAAGGCCGCCCGGCGAGCTGGTACTCGGAGGTGTTTGACCTGATCTTCCCCAACCTGGACCGGGAGCAGGCCAACAAGTCTAAGATTCGCGACGACAAGAAGGACGCCGACGAGAAGTCGGACGAGGATAAGAGCGACGACTAGAGGAGCATGGGAGAGAGCGGGGGCGGAGGGGGAGAGAGACAGAGAGGAGTCCAGCCAGCTATCATGGAGGTTGGCTTCATCCCTGCGCCAATAACAGCCGCTGTTGTTTATTAGGCAAGTGGCCTCGACTTTGTGCCAATGGATGAGGTGCGGAATTACCCACGCCCCACGGCGGCGCATGGGATTGTAGGATCGATCGGAGGGGGGGAGGCAAAAGGGCGAAGCGTGGAGTGAATGGACGGGGAGCTGAGGGGGAGATGGTGGGTGCATTTACCTGGCGTTGAGCGGCGGAGGGGGTTGTGGACACAAATGGATGGCAATGGCGATGACATCTTGGACTCAAATCATAGAACGGTGGCCGGCGCCGCCACGCACATACACATCCTCACTCTTTGTTAATGGAAGCTCCGTTGCATATTATACTAGCTTGCATGTCTCGAGACCGCGTTTAAAATCCCAAGTCCTACGCGTGCGGGCGTTGCGAGCTCGGCGGGTTGAGTCAGTCCCGTGGGTCGTCGTTGGCGGAGGGAAAACTGCCTCGTCATGCGAAACGACTGGGTGGGTAACGGTACCCGTGATGGCGACACTCTGCGGTGCGAGCCCCCGTGGTCTCGTCTTACACTCCTTGAAGCACGCTCACTCGGGGGGTTATCCTCGGGATAACGGGCTTGGGACATTCGTATGTATGTACATGGATGCACAAATTCCCGTGGGGTTTGGAGTGGCACTGCTGGCTTCTCCGGGCATGCACACCGAAACCGAAACCCAAGCGGCAGGAGTTGATGAAAAGGTTGGTGTGGTGGATTCCACAGATTCGTTGTCGTCAAGTCAGCCTGACATCCGGGTCCGGTTCCGAAGCGATCCTTGAGCACAGGAGAAAATGACATCGAAGACTTTGCGAGAGTCCAGTCCCCAATCTTGATCTGGCGTGCCTGCGCCCCATCTCGAAGATATGCACATACATACATACGCAGTAAGTCCGAGATGCATTGGACTCGGGCAGCTTGCTGCATGCAGCCTTGTTTCCTGACGTGCCGTGCGCAGTCCTGGTGTCGTCAGAAAACGGTATTGGTCATCGGTTGCTGTGGTTGTACTTGGGCAGCAATGCTGTGGCCACCCCCTGGCCTACCCAAGCGCGGGGCTGTATTTCAGGGAGGATTGGATGGTCCAGCCGCCACAAACAGGGCTCGACTCGACGAGTGGATAGCTGTTGCGGATGCGGACGTCTTGGTTTTGATGTGTGTGCCGTCCCGGAGCCATGGCAATGGGAGGGTGGGAGTTTGTTAGTTTCGTTGTCGAAGAAAGCCATTTCACGTTTTTTGAAGGTACACACACGATCGAAAATACATAATAAGCCTGAACGAGTATCCCGCAGTTCTGGTATCAGGTCGGGCGATGGTAGCCGTGTTCTTCAAGTCGGGCTACCCCGGGCCGTTGGGTGTTGGCTGGATTTGGTTGTTCATTGGCCCGAAGCCATGGTCAGGCAGGAACCAACAAGGAACCCATCGCTTCGGTTCCGGAGGGTGGTGCGGCTCAGCTTTGCTCAACCCAGATCTCCATCTGGCCAGGGCTGGGCTTTAGCGAGCAAGTACGGATATCCGTCTGTGTACGGAGTACTTCGTACATACCTATCTTGAAATATAATCCATTAACGAACTCTCGGGCAATAAATGCTACCTGTCTCTCTGGGGACGAGAAGGGACACGGGCTGAATGGAATTCTCCTCCGGTGGATCCTTGCCGTTAAACCTGGGCGACGCTTTTCTGATACGGGTTCCAGGACAGGATGAAATGACTATCGCGTGCGTTGTCGAGACTCTTCGATGCTGGGATGAAGGTTGGAAGGGCCGGATGAGGCCAGAGGCTGTGGAGGGGAAACAACATCGCGTCCAGAGGCAGCGGTGTGCGGGTCTATCTTGCCAAAAAGAGCACATGGCCCCACGTGCCCCCCAACAAGCCCTGTTGACCACCACCGTTTACGGCAAAGCTTGATCTTCTCAACCCCATCTTGCCATCTTGGTCTTTCCCCACAATCCTAAAAAGGAAGAGCACTCCGGGGATCTGGCAAGATAACCCAGCTGCGGGGTGGTCTGCCTCTTCCCTCAAGAGACCACACCCAAGCCACACCATGGAGTTTGAGGTTTTGTTGAGTTGAAAGACATGACATGACGCAAATCATCGTGCAGAGGACGCACCTCAGTCCAGGAGTTCACAAGCTATTTGGTTAGCAGATGGCCGGGCAAATTGATGCCCGTCACAGGGCTGGCGCGTGCATGGTAACGAAACCCCTCTTGCCCATCGACGCTGTTACACGTGTTACACCCCACAAGACCCCTGTTTTCGCACTGCCCCGCAGAGGTCACTCGCAGTCGTCCCATCTCCAAGCTCTTGCACCTCGCTGCCCTCGACAGGCATCCTTCCTGCCTTCTCCTGCTTCGTGCAGCATGCAGGAGAAGAACACAAACAGGAGAGGCTGCGGGGAGAACCAATCCTGGGTTACTGTAACAATAGTGCAGAGCCGAGCCAGCCAGAGCCAACCGCAACGGGAAACGGCGCTGTAGCACCCATTCTTTTCGTCTAATTTTTCTCGTGTGTGCGAGTGTGCGAGTGTGCGTGTGCGTGTGCATGTGTGTGTGTGTGTGTCTTTCCATATCCCGGTGGTCGCCGCTGCCATCTCGAATCCCACGTCGCTTCATCCCGCTCTCCCACTCGGGGGCTATCACGGTCACACCCTGACACCCTCCACTCCCTGCTCTCTGCAACGTCATCTTTCATCTTTTCATCTCACACACCACTATCCTACTTTTCCATCTAATGAAAATCCCCTCGCCTTACTAGCCGAGCGTCAGCAGCCTGCCGTCCTCCAATGCCTCACTGCGGCCCCGGGTTCCAAGGCTCTGAACCCATAGTTGTTGCTGCACTTTGATGGCATTCCAACGACACTAGTCCGCCGAATAAGCACATCCAAAAACGACCTTGTTCCGCCAGAAATCCTCGTCTCTCAACTCACTAGCCTGTGGTCAGCCTGCCGCGCCCGGTGAGGCTCACTCTGCATGCTCTGAGAAGGTTGACGAAAGCCCGTCTCTACCCCTGGCGCATACATAACAGGGTTGTGCACATGGCCGCCCCCGCTTGATGGATGCGCGCGATCACTTTGCCGTATGCTCTTTAGCCCTCTCATACTCTACCTCGCCACCCTCCGGTATCCATTCAGGTGAAGGGTGGGAAGGAGCCGGCCAAGTGAAAAAGGGAAAAGAGAACTGAGGACGCGGGGCAGACACCAGTGGCCGCCACGGACCCCCGCCGCTACCTCAACTTAACGTTATCTTCCGGTCCAACCCGTTTTCAACCCTTCCCAGTCCCGTCTTTGTACCATTCGGCCGCCGAGCCCGTCTCGAACCGGGCCCGACACCCAGTAGCACCGTACCCGGCCGCACCTCATGGCCCAACCTCATGCCGATCCCACAGCGGAGCCGGCGGTCCCTTTGGCAAACACCAATGGTCACAACCAGCAGAGCCGATGGCGCAGATTTTTTGGTCGGGACAAGGACAATGGGACCGAAAGCATACCGGAATCAACCTTGAGGGGCGAGGAGGGCCTTGAGCAGCCAGAGGACCCCAAAGCCGGCATCATTCAACGTGTCTCCCGGAAAGTTGTCCCTGGCCTGCCCCGAACTCAGACATTCAAAAGGCAGCGTTCCGAGGTGCGAAGCAGGTTAGAACCTGTCCACCCTACACCCGCTGAGCGAAGGACGGTTTCCATGGACAGGCGCGTGCGTGATTCCAACACGGCTTTCAACCACCCGGACCCACGAACCAGTGCCCCCGACTTTCTGCACCACTACCTGAGCAACCCGCCTTCTCCCTCGTTCCCCATGAGCCCACCGGAAGACTGGCCTGACCCACCAGAGGACCTCGAGACCATCGACGCTGATATGGATTCGGTCCACGATGACTTCCTTCACGACATCGACGCCCTCTCCAGGATAGACGTTCAATCCCTGACCACCTCGCAGTACGACGCCCTCATCGAGAGCGAGCTGGAGCGCAAATGGATCCTCAACCTGTCCATGTACTTCCGGGATAAGTCCAAGAGGGAAAAGTTCTTCGTCACCTTCCGTCAACATGAACACAACTGGCGACGCGTCACCGTCTCGCTTGACTACCGTAATGCTCCCGAGAGCTCCCTGGAGGCTGACCTCGCTGGCACTCAATACCAGCGGGACAAGAGCGCAAAGATCTACGAGGCTATCCGCGACAGCCTCGCCGAGATTGACTTCTACGGCACCGTCACCAACCTGAAACTGGAAACAAAAGAAGGGAGATTGCATGTTCATGTCGTCGAGGATGTCAATGTATGTTGCGCAAGTCCTCCGCCAGTCCCCCCTACTAACGCCCATCGAGGAAATCATCAGCTACCCCCCAGTCCGTATGATTGAACACATGAACTGCAAGAGGGTCAAGGAGCGCGAGATCCACTTTGACTCACACCTGTCGGGATTTGTTTACCGGGTCCAAGTTCATGGGAGGCTGCTGATCAAGAAGGAGATTCCGGGCCCGGACACCGTCGACGAGTTTCTCTACGAAATCAACGCGCTACACCAGCTGTGTCCCGCCAAGAATGTGATCGAGTTCTACGGAATTGTCGTTGACGATCGGGAAGAGCACGTCACAGGCCTCCTCATCAGCTATGCCTCTCGGGGTGCCCTGATCGATGTCATATTCGACAACGACCATTCTTTGCCCTGGCCCACACGAGAGAAATGGGCCCGCCAGATCGTCGGCGGCTTGTCCGAGATCCATGAAGCCGGTTTTGTCCAAGGCGATTTTACCCTATCCAACATTGTCATCGACGAGAAGTACGATGCAAAGATCATCGACATCAACCGACGGGGCTGCCCGATTGGATGGGAGCCGCCGGAAGCGACACCTTTGGTCGAGAGCAACCAGCGAATTTCCATGTACATCGGCGTGAAGTCCGATCTCTATCAACTCGGCATGGTCCTCTGGGCTTTGGGGACACAGGAAGATGATCCTGATGCATATGGTCGTCCTTTGAAGCTCGGCCCAGAGGTACAGGTGCCAGCGTGGTACAGACGTATCGTGGACGTTTGCCTAAGTACTGAGCCCAGGGACCGCGTCCAGGCCATCCAGCTTTTGTCGTGGTTCCCGGAGCCGGAAGAGGAAAGCCAGTATCGCGGGCTCAACGGGTCCGCCATGTCACTAAATGGCGACGGAAATTCCCGCCAGGACTACTTGTCGCCTTCTGGAATCCCTCGAATCAAGGCTGTTCACCCGCAGAACGATTGGGCCTTTGTGGGTTGGAGCAACCATAACCCGGCGGACGACCCGTTCTATTATCCGAGTAGGGGTAGATCTCCGCCATCGCCGATGCCGAGCAACCAAGGAGACTATGACCCTGCACGATTTGGACATCAGATATACACTTGGTCGGACGGTTACAACCGTGCGCCCACCGTGCCGTCTGTTAGCGACGTTCTCGCCAGGGAGTCACAGGGGAAATCGATGTCGGGGGTGCAGGGCAGCGAGGAGACGTTGGAAACATATGCGGATGGTCCTTACCGATTCCGGGGTGCTGTGACGGAAACAAGCAAGGATGACGAAGCCTTTGCGCAACGAGGACGCTCAACGCCGAGGAAACACCATGATGGGGAGGCGGAACTGGCGGCGTATGACGGTCGGGGTTCGACTTTGACGTCAACACAGAACCCATCGCCTCTACCCCGGAGTTTTGGAGAGGAAGGACATGCTGCGGGAGAAGCGGAAGGGAAACAGGCCCAGGTGCACACAAAACCCGGATCACAGGCCGATAGCGGAAAGGATCTCACAGAGCCGGCGAGCACCCCGCGGGAACATCGAGGATGTTTTACCGGTAATAGGCAACGGTCCGTTTCTCGCGGTAGGAGCGGTAAAACATCGACCGAGTCGGCATCACGACAGAACGCCCAGAAAGGAACAACCATCACGACAGCCACCGAGAAGTCAACACACGGCCTTCCTCTCGGTGCCAATAGTCGCAACTATGACAACGAGTCCCGAACTGACAAGGATGGACGTCCCCACGGCCACGAAAACGAACTCGGTGCAAAACCCCAGTCACCCGCGCCAGGCTTACCCCCGGTTTCGCAGACGAAATTTGAGCGGGCAAACGACGACCTGAAGGGTGTGGGCTCAGCTTTGGGCCCTATCAATATCGACGGTTGCGACAAGAATCGACAGCGTGAGCTTAACATTGACGAGGATCTAGGTTCCGAGCTTGATAAGGGCCTCGGGGAGATCCAAGCTACCAGTGACAGAAAATGATGATGATGAGTTTTGTTTGTTGTTGTATATACACGGTATTTCCCTTTTTAATCTCTGCTCTTCTACGCTTGGCTTATAATAGTATGCGATGCTTTTATTTTCTTCTTCATGCGGCGGTTTATAGCGGGGATGGGCGCAAGCGCAAGGGACAAGGTGACTTGGTTCGTTGGGTTTTGGGCGAGGGAGTAGGATGGTCAGGCATGGGCGGGGCGGTGGGAGGCACTCTGAATGATTTATGAATTTCGCGTTGCTATTTTGCCATTTATATCGCCTTCTAGCATTGCATTTGACGCTGGTTGGGCGGCTTTCGTTATTCTCGGTGTCATTCATCCTGTTTTCGCGTATATCATTCTAATGTGTTCTGCAAAGAACAAGTGTGTTATGACTTACAGCGAATCTGAAGTTTCATGGCGCGGAGGGCTACTCAATAAAACCATAGGCTTTTTGACTTATTTTGGCTCCGGTAGCCTGCGTACTTTTTTCCTAGTTACTTTTCGAGGCTCCGTGGCGGCCGCACCGTTCACCTTCCCGTGGAACATATCCGAGGAATATGGAGGAACGCTTTGGTTCATTTACGACTGAAACCTCACGTTCTTGACCAAGTGGGAACTGTGCGAAACCGGGGTGCACCTGTCCTCACCTCCCCGTTCTTCCTTAGCCTTGCGAGTGTTTCCGGGGCCCCTTGAATCACGCTGAGCTAGGTTGGCCTCAACAACACCCTCCGCACTGCACTCACTGCCATTAATGTCAATCCCTGGGCCTACGAAGCATCCATGACTGAGAGACGCCAATGTAATGCTACAGCTTTTACACAAGATAAACGCCCTCGGGCTGGTGTTAAAGTTTCTCGATCCTTGTAGGAAGGCCGTCCTAAGCATGTACCTAATTTGGCCACTAATGAAAAGTTAGCCACCCATGGGGAAGTTCGGGCGTGGAGAACGACAGTGGTGAGAGGTTCGAGAGAGGTTCGCGGATTATGTGGGTCTTGCCGGGCCCTTGCCGGGTCCGGTGTGGGGCCCCCGTTCCCGAACTCCGGGGGTGGAGACTCAGCAAGCGACCCGACAAAAGTTCAGCAGGGAAAGAAAGGAGAAAGATTCCGAGAGAGTGTTGCTTCATGTACAGAGGGTAGCACATAACCTTGTGGTATAACTGGGTTGACTGGCCGAGGCATTATTACTTGGAGAACTTCAGTCCATACTTCGGTCCATACTTCGTACTTTGTGCAACAATCATCATCGGTGGTGTTCGGCCCGGGTGGGACACAAAATCGTGGAGAGCCGGGTCCGGCCCCACCCTACAGGGCTGAGTGGGAAAGTTACATGCCGGAGGCCAGCTGAGGCCAACGCCCCATGGGCAAAAAAAGCCGGCATGCATGGAATTGTCGATGTCGACCAAACCTCGGCTGGAGGAACGAAACGGAGACCATCCGGAAGCTCAAAGGAACTGCAATTACTCGATTTACTTGGGGGTTTTTTTTAGCGTGATTTCTTTTATCCAACCTCTTTTGCTTGAATTTTTAATTCCCCTTCGGAGTCCGAGCTCGAACATTGGAACTGTGTCAGCCCCCGCGGCCGCAGATGGTCCTGCGGCTGTGAGTGTGGCGTCCACCCAACCTCGCGTGCCAAACGCAGGAACGAGAAGATCTTTGCGAGTGGGAAAGGGCGGGACGAGCATGTCACCACGCCACTTTTGCATTTCTCAGCTGCAAACAACTGAAAAATTGCATGTGATTCCCAAACTGTCTCGAATATGGAGAACACCTGCAGTCAACGACGACAACACCGTGAATTGCCACCCATTCCCAAGCCGGGATGGGGCGGAGGTGTGGATTTCTGGGTTTTACCAGAAGCTTGGGGATGCGGTCAAGTGGGGCCCGGTTCGACCGGTTCCCGCGTCCCCTGACGTAGATAGCCAATCAGCGGCCAGGGAGCTTCGCAAGGCATGCCGACAGGTCCAACGCCTCCCCAACATTTTCCTCAACAATTTCGGCCGGGACAACGGCTGCCATCCAGGCCTGGCTCTTTCGGGCAGGGAGAGGCGTTTCCAACGTGATGGCGTGTTGCACGGGCACAGGACAGGCTCCTCTCGGCCGAGGCCGAACAATTGCTCTGCCCATGAGCTGCGAAATCGTTCTGGAACCGCGATGCCGAGCCGATTCTCTATTGGCGACGTTTCTTCGGGATTCACCCCAACGGATGAAGTGGGTGAAGTGGCATGAGTGGCAAACCGCCTTCCCCAGCTCGAGGAAGTCGATGACCGAGCTTGGAGGGGTTTCATGTTCCCATCTTGATTTCCCTGCCCAATTGGAATGCACGCTTTGTTGTTGAATGCTGGGTTTCGCTTTCCCATGCTCGCCATGCAAGCACACAAGGGAAGCTGCACGCCTTGACACTTGGACCTTCCTCCTCAACCACCCACCGCTCCCTGCTTTAAACCCACCCTTGCTCTTTTGCATTCCGTATAACTGTATTACTTCCCGCCTTGTCACACCCTTCCCTTTCCACCTTGGCCGACCAAGAACCTCCCCTCCACCACTCTCCTCACACACAACCTGTTGATTGAGTGAGCATCCAGGGTCGACGTTGTTCCCACATCGACACCTCAACGACCACTCAACTCGGAGTTGATCGGCTTCGCCACAGTCGTTCGCGATGGCGTCGTCCACGTCCGAGGTGCCTGTGGCCCAAGCCGAAACCTTCCCGGACGGCACCACCGACCACGTTCCTCTGCGGAAGAAGACTTACGATCTCCGCAAGCCTCGTAGGTTTCAGGTTTATCGCAATGCTGGTTTCGACATGCTGACAATTGCCGATATAGACATCACAGAGCAGCCGATAACATGGGGCAATTGGTACCAACACGTCAACTGGCTCAACACCTACTTCATCATCGTTGTGCCTATGATTGGCCTGGTCTCTTCGTACTGGATCTCCCTGCACTACAAGACGGCCATCTTCGCTGTCGTCTATTACTACTTCGCCGGTCTCGGAATTAGTAAGTCAACCGACAGAGGACGATCATAGGGATAGCTTGGAATGACTGACACCCTTCCAGCTGCCGGCTACCACCGTCTGTGGGCTCACTCGAGCTACAAGGCGTCCCTTCCCCTCAAGATTTTCCTCGCCGCCGGTGGCGCTGCCGCCGTTGAGGGTAGCGCTCGCTGGTGGTCCAGCCTCCACCGCTCCCACCACCGCTACACCGACACCGAGAAGGACCCCTACTCCGTCCGCAAGGGTCTGCTCTACAGCCACATCGGGTGGATGGTCATGAAGCAGAACCCCCGCCGCATTGGCCGTACCGACATCACCGACCTGAACGACGATGCCGTTGTTGTTTGGCAGCACCGCAACTACCTCAAGTCGGTGCTGACCATGGCCCTGATTGTGCCCACTCTTGTCTGCGGTCTCGGCTGGGGCGACTTCTGGGGCGGCTTCGTCTACGGTGGTATCTTGAGAATGTGAGTTCTACAATCCCCTGGGAAATAAACCTTGGACCACCTATACTAACCCCACCCCAGCTTCTTCATCCAGCAGGCTACTTTCTGTGTCAACAGCTTGGCTCATTGGCTCGGCGACCAGCCCTTCGATGACCGCAACTCACCGAGGGACCACGTTATCACTGCTCTTGTCACCCTCGGCGAGGGCTACCACAAGTATGTGCATATCTCGGTCCATTCATCCCTTGAACACCGGTAACTAACTATAACACCTAGCTTCCACCACGAGTTCCCCAGCGACTTCCGTAACGCGATCGAGTGGTGGCAGTATGACCCTACCAAGTGGTTCATCTGGACCATGAAGCAGCTCGGCCTCGCCTACAACCTCAAGACCTTCCCCCAGAACGAGATCGAGAAGGGCCGTGTGCAGCAGCAGCAGAAGAAGCTCGACCAGAAGCGCTCCACTCTCGACTGGGGTATCCCTCTCGAGAGCCTCCCCGTTGTCAGCTGGGACGATTTCGTCGAGCAGTCTAAGAACGGCAAGGCCTGGATCGCCGTTGCTGGTGTCATCCACGACGTCGGCAAGTTCATTGCTGATCACCCTGGCGGCAAGGCGCTTATTTCGTCGGCCGTCGGCAAGGACGCCACCGCCGTTTTCAACGGTGGTGTCTACAGCCACTCGAACGCCGCCCACAACCTGCTCTCGACTATGAGAGTCGGTGTCCTCAGGGGTGGCTGCGAGGTGGAGATCTGGAAGCGCGCCCAATCCGAGAACAAGGATGTCAACGCAGTCACCGACTCATCGGGTCAGCGCATCGTTCGCGCCGGCGACCAAATCACCCGTATTGGCCGTCCCATTACCACTGCCGACACCGCATGAGCGAGGCAGTCGGCGCATTTGAAGGAGAAATATGTCACAGTTGGGCCCTTAATACCGGCCAGTCGGAAGAGTTGGCTGGCCCCGGGGTGCCTGTTTTTCCTCGACTTTAGACAGCTGTGGTGGCACGCGTCATTGTTAAAAAAAGTACTCATTTGCTTTGGGGTCCTTTTCGGCGTTATGAGACGATGGGTCATGGGCTTGGAGTTTTCCGTCAATCACGACGTGGTATGGGCATCGGCATGGTTTTATAGGCATTAACGAAACTTTGAATGTGAAAGATAAAAAATGACATCAACAACACTTACTCGCGTTTCCCGAAGAAGCTCCTAAAATGACTGATGTGTGGTTCCCATCTACAAAGTATTGTCAACTGGTTGTTGAGCCTCAATTCGACTGGACTCTCAGCTAGCCCGGCTGTGCCCACTGTCACTAGCCTAGCGAGTAGTTGTAGTCTCAGCTTAGGCCTTTCGGTCCATTTCAAGAAACGCACCTAACCTGGACTTGTTTGCTGTTCTTCACTGCTTTTCGATCTTGGATTTGTCCACGATCCTGCGGCTTGTGGATTTTGCCCCTTGGTATGTAAGCCATTTGCCGGCTCACCAAGGCAGAGTTGAGGCCGCGGCTCACCTCGTATGCATTTCTTGTTGGTCCCCACGTTGAACTTGAAGAAGATGGGTCTTCTTTCCCACCACTGCCTGTCCTTTGATAGCTGTGATGGGACTTAATCATTAGGTACCGCATTAGAGTAGCGGGTTTGTTTGTTTGAGAGAATGATAGAGATGTTTCTTGGTCTGTAATATTACCCCAACGCGACCATTACATCTACGGAACTCCGGACTATAAAAGAAGAAAAAAAGAAGAGGGAAAAGGAATATAAAAAGCTGGCGCAAAAGTCGCTGATGATGTCTAACCGATGCTGTCTGTCTGCCTGTAAAACTAAAACGCAGTGACGCCACCCAGTCCCGGGCCAACTACTCCCCCCGGCCAGCCAGACTCTATAGTGATCCCGAGAAGCAACGGAAAGAAAACGATATGTGCGCGCGTGTGAAGAGTGGAACCGATGAGATGGAACAGAGAACCTCGAAATCGCAAGAAACCACCTGCCTGATGCACATCCACCCAAAGTCAGCACGATGTAACCCGTTTGCCCCCTGCTTGATCCCTTCGCCATGCCATGTAGCCCCATGTGATGTATATTGGCTCCCGAGTCCCCGAAATGAACAAACGGCCTGAAAATGCGCGTGTAAACAACCGAAAATGGCGCCGGGTAGTGCGCCCAGAGAACTCCCTGTTCGACTGTCTGTTATGAAATGCGGAAAAGATAATGATGGTTGTTTTGGTGAAGGGGGCCGGTGATCGTAACGCCGTAGTCATTGCCGGGCACCTATGCTTGCGAAGCCCGAGATGCTGTGCGACCGGTATCCTTTCTCTGCGTTTTTAGTTGATTTGTTCGCGAACGAACTCCAAGAGGGCCAGTATGGGGACTTCGGAAGGAGTTATATATGTAGGCAATGCCGGAGCCAAGAGGACATATCGCTGCGTTTATTTGAAGAGGCTGCGTAGGTCCATCAGGCGCTGTCTGGCAGCCTCGGTGCGATCGGTAATACGGTCATTGGGATCACGATCCATGCTGAGGCTGGCCAGCTTCTTCTTCTTGTCCTGTAGCTGGAGCATTTTCTCCTCGAAGCTATCCTTCATGACGAAACGGACTGTGCGGACACAGCGGGTCTGGCCCAACCTGTGGACCCGATCCACAGCCTGTGCCTCGGCAGCCGGATTGAATTGCGGTTCCATGACGTAAACGCTGTTGCCGGCCGTCAAGTTGAGCCCCAAGCCGCCGGCCATGATGCTGACCAGTATGACTTGGACGGAGGGGTCGTCGCGGAATGCATCCATCGCAGCGTTTCGGGCTGGGCGCGACATTTTCCCGTCGAGCCGCGTGTAGGTGATGCCGGCATTATCTAGCGCAATCTGGATGAGGTCGAGGTGCGAAGTCCAGCCTGAGAAGACGACAGACTTGAATGGAGCCTCGTCCGGGCGCATGGCGCTCTGTTCTTTGTTGGCGAGCAGTTCCTCGACCAGAACACGAGTCTTGGTATGTGGCCCACTGTAGCGATCATCTGGAATGATCTTGCCCGTGCCGCCCTTGTTCTTGGCTACGCGGGATTCGTGCTCGATGTCAGCGCGCTTGCGCCTCAGCTCGACGCAGGACGACTTGGTGAGACGGGCGCATACGCCGCAGCCGATTTGCTCACTCCGGAGTAGGTTCACGCAGGGCGGACAGTACGTGTGGAAGCATCGTGCCATGTACCCAAGGATGTCGTCCTGGCGATCGGACTCGGGATCGTCCACCTCAATAGCTCCCAGCTTAGCGTTGCACCTGGAACAATTGTCGCTGTTGCCCTCCTGCATCAGATAGAGCATCTCGTATGCCTTCTTCTCCTGGAGCACGGGGCGCTGGTCTTCATCGCCATCGCTATCGAGGTCGATAGGTGTGTCAGCGGTCATGCCCTGAAGGTCAGCGAGGTCTTCGTCGTTGAGGAGTTCTTTGCCATGAGCACAAATCAAGCGGAGCTGTAGAATCGACCGCAGAATGTGTATCATGGTCTTCCCACCCACGATACGTTCTTGGCCTATTCCTTGACCGGTCAAGGCCCGGACACGGTCCTGGGCCGTCTTTGCGAACCAGTCGTAAACCTGCCGCTCCTCGGGGCTGAAGTCTAACCTCATGACCTCGTCCGTGCGATCAGGAAGGTGGATCTTGTCCTTGAGCCTCCGCAGCGTGATGGTATCGATGAGAACGCGGAGCTTGGGCACAATCTCCGGATCTGCGGCTTTGAAGGGCTGGATGATGAACTGTAGAAACTTGCTCTTCTCATCAAAGGGCTTTAGCCGCAAAAAGGCGAGAAGCGCAGCCAGGTCCTCCAACTTGTTCTGAACCGGGGTTCCCGTGACGGCCCACCGGCGGTTCGCCTGCAGGCGGCAAATGGACTTGAATGCCAAAGTGTTCTGTTCCCGGATCGTGTGGGCTTCGTCCAGAACGATGCGGAACCAACCGATCTCCTCGAGAGGATAGGCTCCCCGCTTCCGCTTGTTTCGCGAGTTGAGTTCGCTCACGACGGAGCCGTACGTGGTGATGACCAGGTCAAACTGTGCCAATTGCGCGACGTCCTTGACGCGGTTGGGCCCGTGGTATATGTGGTAAGAGATTGTACCCGGCTTGATGTGTTGCTTGATCTGCTCTTCCCAGTTGGTGACGGTGCTCAGAGGGCACACGAGCAAAGTTGCCTTGGCGTTTTGCCGCAGTGGCGTCAAGTCAAGAGACGCTGGTTTCGGCATCTCGAACTGATGTTGGAGAGGGTGTTGCGATCTCCGCTCGGGAGCTTTCGGCTGGACAGGAGCAAGCTGCGACCAACGGTCTGCGGCGTCGAGGGTTTTGGTAATGAGCGACAGCACGCTGAGAGTTTTACCCAGCCCCATCATATCGGCCAGGATACCACCCAAAGTCGACGGGGGCTGCTCTCGCTGGGTCTGATTGGTGACGACATTGTAATAGGCCACGGTGCCAAACCGGTCTTTCTTGCGCTGCCAGGTTGACGTGATTAGGGCCTTACCAGAGTCCGGTAGTTGCTCAGACTCCCGAGCCGCCATGAAGTAGAGGGCTTGCCGCTGATGCTTGAGTAGAGCTGTCAGGACCCGCGGATCGGGGTCCGCTTCAGGTAGCTCCTCCGATTTGGGGAGGGAATCAAAGACACCCAAGACCTCGGAACGAATCTCTTCGACCGTGCGCACTACGGGCGGAAGACGGTACTGTTGACTGCTGCTCCCGTTGTTTGGACGGGGAGCTGTAGGGTGCCTGTTTTCGGTTGCCATGGGATTGAAAACCCTGACCCCGCTCTCAACCCGCGAGGGGCTCACGAGGTTGAGCTTTCTGGAGGACATGTGGTTCCCGACCTGGTTGGCGAATTTTCTAGGTCCGTAAACCATGAGCTCAAACTTGCAACTAAATGAAGTCGGCGCGCCGATCTGCTCGCCGGGGAGCTTCCGCCTCGAGGGAATCCGGCAGTCTGTACGTATCCGCAGGGCCGAATCCAAGAGAGGGGCTAGACACTCTGCTGACTTGACATCGATGACCCCGAAGATGTGGCGTGTGTGATCGTAGACGGAGATGACACTCGTCTGGTCATCTGCCTTTCGCTTCAGCACAACCTTGACCTGCGGCCAATAGCCATCACCGTTAATGGAGACCATGCCCGGTTTCGGTGCTGGGACCCTGTGACAGTTAATCGAGGCGCCTTCCACCATGCCATAACAGACCTCCTCATCTTTAACCGCTTCTCTAGGTGTCTGAACTCGCGAGACCGGCTCCTCCGAGTCACCCTCGGTCAGATCAATTGTCTCGGATGGTTTCCGCGCTGGGTTGGTCTGGTTGGCGTCCCCAAACTGCTGCTGCTTGATGTGCTGGGTGAGAATGCTGGTGCCTGCCCCGGAGAAACCAGAAAAAGTAGCGTTCTGTGCCGGAAGCAGGGGTGTCGGGTCGTTCTCGTTGGTCGTCTTCCGACGTTTTGGCTGGGGAACAGCGGTGCGATCCTGCACATTATGCAAGCGCTCGATGCTGTGACTGAAGCCGTTCTGGTAGAATGGCAGGGTCGGAAGGTGGCGCTGCGAAACAGGCAGGCCCATGGGGGTTCCCGGCGCCGTGAGGGGCACGCCGGCGAAATCGACGGCCAGGTGTTCGCCGGGATTAGCGAACTGGAAAGACATCTCCGGCTGCGCAGACGGAGTTGAATGAGTCGAGGAAACCGGAACGGCACCGGCAGACTGCGGCCTGGCCGGCGGGGAGGTCCCAGCCTTGCCCGGGTTCAGCAACGCAGTGGGACTCCACATGATGCCCTCTACCCTCTTAAATGGGCTCGTCTTGAACGATCCTTGGTCTGTAGTTTGGATTAGTACAATGTCGGGCTTCTCTGCGTTATGTCCGGATGAGGTTCAATGATGGGGAAGTTGGGTGAAGGTGGGGGATTAAAATGAGGTCGCAGTTCGGGCGGTGAGAGGTGAAGTTAAGTACTGAAGCGACTCGGAGGACTCACCGAGGTGTGGCTACTGGCGAACGACTCACGCCTTTTCCACGGCGCGGCGCTTCTCCTCAGGCCAAGAATACCAGCAGTTGCAGGAAAATCCCCTGCAGAAGCATCACAAGGAGTAGAAGCTTCTGAGGATGGAAATGAAGTGTGGGATGTATTTTTCTCGTTGGCCGGCACGAGGTATCTCTTGCAGGTAATTGTCTCCCAATGGAGGGGCAGCGAAGGCGGGAGAGGCTGATGCCAGGAAAAAGAGTCGGCGTTGGCTTTTAGATTGGCGAGTTGGGCCGGAAAGCAAATAAAAATAAATTACATCTGGAAATTCCAGCAACGATAATACCGCCGGAAGGCACGTAAAGGAGCTTCAATACGCGCAAGGCATGGGAGGAAATAGGTAAGGTCGGCTTGATGCTGCTGCTGCCGCCGTCACTTTTTGGAGGCCAGAAGCTTTATCGCAATCGCCCGCTTGGCTACGATAGGCCCGCGTGACCCAGCACAGGCTGCAGTGGGAAAAGAGCACGTGCCACACTCGACACTGTACCTTGGCAGGGCAGTTGAGGACTCTTTTCACTTGGCGAGTTGCGGTTTTCAGAAACACCATGCTGTGTTCGAAGGCAACCCAACCTTTCGGTGTTGGTGTTGCGTAAATAATAGGTAGCACCAGTTCTCGATTTGAACCCTTAACAACCAACGCTCCAACGGGATGCAGACAATACCCTGTGTGTTTCAACGCAGGTGTGCGTCAGGGGCGGCAAATACCTGCAAGATGATGTTTCCTGACCCGCCTGGGCCGAGTCGCTGAGAGCTTAACCTTTCTCAGTGTTCCAACTACCAATCTGATGTGCAGCTCGTACGTAAGGCAGATACGTACATCTGGGTATTCTCCCGCCGCAGCCCCCATCCCCGCATCATTTACAAACACACAATAACATTGTAACACCGGAACTCCAAAGACCAAAAGTCTGGAGACGGATCATGGATCTGGCATGCTATCCTATCCCCGCTTCGATCATGTTAGCGCAGAAAAAAATGCCGTATTCCAAGCGGATGAAAGCAAAACAGCCTCGGTGATCAACCCGGCTTCTTCTTCCGCCGCCAAAAGACACCGGCTTCAAGGACGACCCTTTCCGAAGCCAAGGGAAAAACCGGAATCTTACCAGCCATCGTGCGAGACCATCAGCCTCATGACTACCCTGCTGACCTCCCCAACCCCACTCTCCTGCCTTTCGCCCCACCGCAACAGACCGTCCCCCCACCCCACCACCACCTCACCTCCATCCTCTGGTGCGCGTCCTCGCTCAACTGCCGACGGCACAAGCCCCGCCCCCACTCTCACCACCACCGCTCTCACCACCACTCTCACCGCCACCACCGCAACCGGCCCGAGGAACACCCACCACCAAACCCTCCACCCCGAACCCGACCCGGTGCTCCCGACCCCGACTCCTCGTCCTGCGCCTCCGCCTCCCACTCCCACTCCCACCACTACCCCTCCTCTCACCACCACCACCACCACCACCACTACCACCACTACCACCACTACCACCATCACCCCCCGCAAAAGAACAACAAGCCAGCCCAGCCGGCGATCTCGAGCGCGAGGGACTCAGACTGCGCCTGCGCCGGCGGCGCAGGGGCGCCCGCTCGCGCTCGATCTGCACGACGCGCAGGTAGCGCATCGTCCCGGCGGCGTTAGCGTTAGCGTTGGCGTTGGCGGCAGAGGTTGGGGTCCGGGTCGGAGTCCGGGTTGTCGGGGTCCCGATCGGGATCGGGGTCGGGGTTGAGCTGTCGGTGCGGAACAGCGGCGGGAGCGGGATGGAGGCGCTGGTGGAGCGGTGGCGGACGCGGCCGCGGAAGGTGGAGGAGTCGGTTGAGCTGGGGTGGCGGTAGGGGGTTCGCGGTGTTGTTGATGATGGCTGGTGTTTGGTGATGGTGAGTATGGGATCGTCGGGGAAACGGCGGCGTCGGCGGCCGCGTTGGACTTCGGGTTCTTGGGTTGTGTCTGGTAATGGGGATGGGGGCGGGTTGGTTGGGGTCGAGGTGGGAGGTGTTGCTTTGCTGGGCGGGTTTGGGATGGGAATGCCCTCCCTCGGGACGGGTGGATAGGTTGTTGGGTGAGCTGCCATGGGTGGTTGGATGGTGTGAGTATTGGCCACTGAGCCTGTGGTAAGGCTGACGCGTGTGCTATGAGCACGCCGTGAATCCTCTTAACCTTGGGAGATCGTATAAGAGATTGGAGTTAGGACCGGGAGTTGGGACTGGATTGATCGGTAAGTTCGTAATCCTGCGTGTTGTTCATTCAAGAACGGTTTATGATGGATCGTGAAATGGAAATATCCACTTGGGCGGCATCGTTCGCGTCATACGATACAGGGTTCTAAACGCCTTCCCCTACGTGTGAGATGTCATGACTCGGGGACGGAGGTCCCGCGGATACTGTAACGATACTACGACCGTGCAACCGGGAGCGGGATCTCGGTTGGGCCCTTGGCCGAGCGCCTCAATATCGTTTACACGGGCCCGGGGATCTTCGTCCGGCAACGCTGGTGTGATGGCACCACGGGCACACCGCATACCGTGTCACTGAACGCGGGACGTTTCTGATGATGACCCGGGTTCCTCCCAGAGATCCCGGGTGACAAGTGTAGGCGTCATGAAAACGCTCTGCCCCTGTCGATCCCTTCTCGCCCGTTTCTTTTCACCAGTCCCATGCACACAACCACCCATGAGATCGAGCCAATCGTATGAGGAGGGGAGAGACCAGATCGGTGGATATCTTGGTGTGGTCCGAGGACGCAGCGACCACCGGCCATGGTGCATGCATGTCGAAGCTGGTATCTTATGATACATATGGTACAGTGTTGATACAGCCAACCTCAAGTGAGACAACCGCGACCTACTTGGCTTCGCAAGCCTCCTTGACCATCGGGATCACGCCCTTTTTCTCAACCGAGGCCCCGTCCAGCAATCCGCCCGGCTTGAAAAGGGCTTTTATTAGCTCCCCCTGCAATGCCTTCTGCTGGACGTCGTCGGCAAGAAGAGCAGCCTTGGCGGTCTCGATGATTTGCCTAAGCTCGGCCTCTCCGATTTCTCTGACGCCGCTGCCCGCAGCATACTCCTCAAGGATCCGCTGTTGTGCCTCCTCTTTCTCGGCCAAATCCTCCCGGCCCGCCTGTCGTGCCTCGGCGGCGGCTTCTTGTGACTTGCGTGCCGACTTTTGGAGCAGGCCGACGAGCTGCACGTCTGTCTTGATGGGCTTGTCGGTTTTGCTAGCGTTGAGCGTCGCTGCGAGCACAGAGCGAAGGACAGCGAGGCGGTTCGCATCCTTGGCCCTCATGGCTGCCTTCAGGTCATCCTTGAGCTTGGCCAGAAGAGGCGGCGGCGGCGGTGGTGGGGCTTCAGTCGAGTACGTCGCGCGCGACACCCGCAGGGCTGCCGTCCGCGGCAAAGTCGGCCGGCTGAAGCTCCGGAGGAGGAAAGGGGAGAGCTTACTCGCCATTGGGCTCGGGGGTGGGGGGTTGGAACGAAGCAGACGGACGTCAGTGAGCTGGCTGTCGAGCAGATTTCGCAAGTGTTTTCGCAGTGTTCGGGCAGAATTTGAAACCGAGACTGCCCAGGCCGCACAGGCTCGCACCGGACCGGCACGGCAAGTAAGCCTATTGGCACGCGAAAATGCAGCGAGTCCATTGGTCGCGTTCATTGGTTCCATGATGGCCTGCCCCTGTTTTCTGTCGCCGACCGTGCGTGACAGCTCGACGTCACTGCACAATAAATATCCTTAATTTTCAGAACCAGGGCTGCTCTTTACTGTGTTGCAGCTGATTCTGTACCTTCCATGCAGTTTATATGCGTGTGAAGACGGGGGATATATCAAAAGCTGGAATTCTCACTTTTCTCATGGTGTTTCACCAGATTAGGGCGCCGAGGGCCAAAAATCACCTGATTTCCTGCCGCCAACTTCGGGTCCCACCATCCAGGGTCGGGGGAGTGCTGGCGCAGCCGCGGTGCTCGATCGTCAATCAGGAACGGGCAAAGCTTGGCCGTTTGTGCGGGGGGCAGCAGCAAAGACGACGGGGCGGTTCTCTTCAAGACATTGCGGTGGAGACTTGAGCCGGCGGTGGTGGCTGCGGGTGCCTGAGACGGCAGTGTGATAATTACCTCCCTCGGTACTTAGCTAGGCAGGTGTCCCATTGCTGGGTTGAATGGAATGTGATAAGGTACCTCGGTCGGCGGCTGGAGTTCAAGGTTGGTCCTTGGGTTGGGCGGGCTGGGCCCGGGGTGGATGTTGGGCACCCACCAGTCGCTACAGGCTGTTTCGGAGATGCTTCCGGCTGGGGGCACTGATGGCGTTTGGTGTTGGCCCCGTTCTCGGGCGCCTCCCAAATTAGTGGTGCAAATCTTAGCGGCCGGATCCAGAACCGAGATGGAAGAAGCCGCGAGTCGGAATTGGCAGTTGCACCGTCGTCTAAGGGAGAACATCTATTGGATCATTTTCTCCTCTCCTCAACTACCTCACCACTCGGTGCTTGAAGTTACCTGAAGTGAACGTTCTGTGTTGGAGCCCTCCGCCGAAGTCGATCTCCATTACCGGTGAAGTTGCCCGACTTGGGGTTTTGGAACTCCCGTCGCTGTTGCTCCTTCCTCGGTATTCCCTGGTACCTACCTAGGTAGCCTAGTACCTGCCACCCAGACAGCCACGTTCCAACAGGCCCAGGCCATCTGCAGGAAGGTGCCCCCCATCCTCAGCACCGCCAGTTCTTCCAATCCCCTAACGCCTTCGGCTAGAACTTACCACGAACGCATTGCAGCTTCCATCCCACACAGTCCTCCATCGAGACCACCCACAGATCATCTAACAATTTACCCTTCCGCCAGCATCGAAACAGCAACGTGGGCTGGTACTGAATGAAGATGGCAAACCCCAAAAGATCACGGACCGACGCGTTTGTTCGTTGCGAGCGTGGTGTAAACTCGAAAAGGCTCTGGCTGGATGTGGACCATCTTCAACTCTGATCAATTCTAGCCCAGCTCTCTAGCCCCCATATGCGCCTAGGACCGACTCCCACAAAGATCTCTACACGGTGAACCAAACGCCGTCCGAAACTCCCACCACTTATTAGTGTCGCGCCCGTTTCCTAGAGTCGCCGGGTCGATTGCTTTTGGGTTGGCTCCGGCCGTCGCTCTGTCGGGGATGCCGGCTACTGCCAGGCTTTCGCCCGATACAAACGTACCTGCGTTACATCGTCAGCTATGTCGTCACAAAGCATGTGTACCCATCAACACGAAAGTGGCCGGGTCTCTTACACTGGGAAATAGGCCTAAAGATGTTCCACAACGGATCAGCAACCCTCCAACACGGCGAGTTTGGGAGAGAGACGACGACACCGCGGAAGGGGAGGTAGCCAGACGAAAGCAAACACGGGATGCTACACAGCGCGCCATACCTTAAAGGCCGGATTGTCGGCTTCACTGCGCGCCTGCGCTATGAGGAGCTGGATGTCGGTGTTTGTCATACTAGGGGTTGATCATTCAACATCAGTCTCAAGTACGCCTAGGCTATGGCGCGGCCTTGCCACTCACTTCAGGGCTTGCGAAAAGGGGAATGCGGAAAGTGATGACATGAGTCGATGCACATTTGCTTGATTTGCGGTGCCGATGGCATTGTCTCGAGGATCTGGGGGGAGAGTTGTTAGACAAAGACACATGCATCAACCGCTCTGCGTTTGGACCCCGCACCTGTCGACCACCCGCTCAGGGGCAAAGTCAACAATCGCGACTCGACCTCGACAAACCCTGCCTGGGTCATCCAGTTCTGCAACCGCAGCGGCGCTCTGGGATCTTTTGCGGGTTGCATGCTTTGCATATAATTCTGCGACCACACTTGAAGAGCATGGTCTGGCCACCATGTTAGCGTCTCTCAGGGTAAAGCAGCACCGATGGCGACTCACTCGCGGTAAGCGTTCCATTGTCCGATTGCGCGTTGAAGTATATCTCCACCATCTGACACCACCCTCCTGGGCGAAGAACGCGCAGTATGTCGCTCAGATAATTCATCCATCTGTTCGCATGGATTCCGCCGGCCATCATCCGGCTGTGCACTAGGTCGAAATAGTTCGACGGAAAGGTAGACCTGGCGTTACGTCAACGATGTCGAGCCCATGGCCGATGACTTCAGACTTGCTTACGGGCTGTTGAGGTCGTCGACCTGGAAATCTAGGTTGGGCGGGATATCTTCTGGCGCGGGATAAGGGTACACGTCGATTCCGATGACCTAGTGCGCCCGAGAAATCAGCACAAACGACTCCGAGCCTTCACGGTATTCGGGATGGAGCCCAGCTTCCAATTGCTCGGTCATGGACAACCACATTCCTCCCCCGGATCGTTAGACTCCTGGAATTGGCATGCGTGCTGGCAGGGTGTTCGAATAGGGGCGGCTAATTCTCGATGTGTTCATATCCGTCGTCGCACCCCTTGCGCTAGGAGGACGAGGGAACTCCATCGGGGGTTATTTCACCCACCTCGCAGTTAGGATACTGTTCGGCAACCTCCATGGCCCACGCCCCAGATCCCGACCCACACTCCAAAATTCTCCTCGGCCGCGGGACTGGCGGGAATATGAGCCTGTTGTCAAACATCATGTTGAAGATCCCATGCATGTATTGGAGCCGCTCGATTTCGTCCTGCTCGGCCACGGAACAGTGAGCAGGCGAGGAACCAACGAATCACATAGGGTATGGCTCACATCGTCCACTGGAGCAAAGTATATCCCGTGTTCCAAGGCGTACCGCTGGAACTCCCTGTTGGCGTGCACAACAACCTCCCGATATGTGTTGTCGACAGGCACGGTCTGGGAATCACTATGTCCAGCTCAGTGGTGGGCTCTGCACGAACGTGGAGGCATGGTCAAGTCGTGGATTACACACCCTTCGTTCATGGTTGCAGCAACTTGGACCTGACGTTCCTATTCCGGCGACGCGGCAAATCTCGAAAAGAAAGACAGCAGGTGCAGAGGACGATGCGTGGAAAAATACGGTTCTCAGTGGCTCGAGTGGGGAGGGCCAAAAACCTGGGTCAGACATCATGAGGACTTACATGGCCTTATGCGGGTTCGGGAGGGTGAGCGGAGATACTTCAAGACCCCTTGCTCCTCGGGACAGGCTTCTCAGGGATGGCGTCGGACCAGGTGCTTCTCCCTATGCGCTGCGGCACTCCCACGTTTGAAATGAGCAACGCTCGCCTGGTGGGCCCGGTCCCGTGCCAGACCATTCAGATTGGCCCGACAGAGCGGTTTGCGCGCCACGATGATTTTGTCGATCAGAGGACATTGTTGGCGCATTGTTATTCAAGTATCTGGGAAAAGGGCCGTCCCGGGATCCCTGTCCTTGATTCGACTGTTCCAGAGAAGCGGGTGGAAACACCATGCTCGAACCAGTGGCGGCATCTCGGGGTTTGGGGAATACTACACCGCTTTTGGCCAGGACGACCAGCCGTTGACTACGTGGACGGGCGGCTCCCCCGGTGGCGCCTTTCGAACCATGTTTCTGCGTAGGCGTTTGACCTGCTGGGAGCCCGGAAGCCCCCCGCATGCACTGGGGTTCTCTGCTGATCGAGACAGACGAGCCCGTGACATTCTACTCTGCCGGTGGTCAAGCGGCCGCCTCTAGCTCCGGATGAAACCCGCAGATATTGTTCTGTGATTGGAGAGCCCTTGCGAGTATGTACTCGACTGGCAGTTCGACGTGTCCCATCGCCTAGGAGGGCCCGGGGACTAAGACACTCTGAGCCTGATGCAGCGCCCAGAACCGATGGCCGGGACGACAGGCCATCATGCCCCTTGGGGCTGTTCTGCGGGTCTGCTTTGTTTCCTCCAGCAGACACACCACGCCTATCAACCCACTCAACACGGGAGATGGCCCGGTAGGTGGCTGTGGTTGGGTTAATTACTCCGTTAGGCATATCATCTAACGTTGGATTCATTAAGGAAGCTCGCATATCGGCACGCCATTTAAGACTCGATCATCAAACGGACGGACAAACAAACCGGGTCGTCGGAGAGTGGGAATATTTCCGCCAGACTTGGCATGAGCGACCATTTGTGTCTCGGTGGTAACCTTTGGACACCATTCCCTATCCTACTGTACAACCAAAACCATTTGCGTCTCCCGGCTGTTGTACAGATCTGACGTCGAGGAGGGACAGCGCCATGTTGCGTCCAGGGGCTCTTGTACGCAAGACACCCCGTCAAACAAGCCTTTCAACGCGTGCCCGGAGAATCCGACGACACGGTCCTGGGATCGCACGGATGGTAAAGCCCGCCGCCGCCGCAGTGCCCGGTGGAACGGTGCTGCCAGGGGTCGTTTAGGCGGGACTCTGAAGGGCCATGGAAGGAATTTTTTTCAAAACCCCCGCCGCCTGCCCACCGCTCGCGGGCACTAACATCCCGCTGCTGCAGAACATCAACCATCTGCCGTACCCCGGTCGGGTGTCCCCTCGCCAACCCACTCCTCTTCTGATTCAGTCGTTTTGCAGACGAGATGAGCGAGCAAGGACACCAAGAGCGTGAGAAGACAGATACGCGTTTTCCTTCTCGGAACCTGGGAATTTGTCTGAGCGAAGGCACAAGACGGGCATTGTATCAGGAGTGAGAATCCCGGTGAAGAGGCGGCAGGCAAATCAACAGGTCTGGGGACCCTGGAGCGCATTGGCTGATGTCCGTCCCAGTGTTGCGAAGCGGGCCGAAAATGCAGGGGTTAGCGGTACGTACCCCTCCCAGCAGCTTGGGGACGACGCCTCATGTCTTGTCGGCTCCCGCCCGGTTGGTAAATTGCCCGCGTCCATCTGTGCGCAGACCACACCGACGGGTCGAGCGGTGTCCCAGACAAGGTATCGCCATGGGGGGTCCGACTTGCGAAATGAATCGGCCACACTGAAACGGTCTCCGGCTCTCCACGGCGGATCTGCGAGGTAATACCCGTGACCGAGTCGGGTGAGATGATGACCGGGCTTGACGAGATCCCGAGAACGACGCGTCGGTGTCCCTTTTTGCGGCTAAAATTTAGTCAGGCATGATCGCCAGATGAGAGGGTCTGTTGCAGAGGTAACGTCGTGTGCCCGTCACAAGAAACCGCCTGGAGCCCCTGCGTCGTGCAGCATCACGAAAGAGGGAAAGGCGGGCACGAATCCAGAGAGCTCGCGAGGCAACGATGGGATGCAACCGAGGCTCGAGTACAGGGCTGTCCCAAAAGTTGTGCACGCGAGGACATGTCAGCAACAAGGCTGCCATTACCCTCATCTTGGTGCCCATAATCCTTGTCGGCGCCACCTGGATTCCCGAGCACTGGGATCGAGTTTCAGGTGAATCATTCGCGGCTATCCCGGGAAAGACGTTCCAATCACTCCCAACCCGGGACGAGACGAGCAGCACTCAGACCAAAGGGACGTCACGAGTCTGCCCGTAATTCATGTTCGCAACTAAGCACGACCACCAACCAGGAAACCTGCTTAGCCAATTTCGTCTTACTGTCGCGAACGCTGCACGTCAGTCGCGGGCCCAAACAAGTTCCGCAGATTGCGAAGTCATGCCAAGGACACGGTTTCTGAGCGTGGTTGGCGGGTGGGCAGGGGAGTGAGCATGGGCAGGGGTCACTTCATCGCAACTGACCGGGGCCCTCCTAGCCGCAACCACCGCCTCGGGTCGGGTGGACGACTATCTTTTTTGCAGCCCGTCCCAACCTGCAAGCGGCCTTTTTTGGCCGTGGTGGCTTACCGGATGTTATGGAAAGCAATGTGAGGCCAGAAATGCCGGCCTTGAAGGACGGTTATGTTACCTCTCCGGGACGACGCCGTGTTCCCCGAGACGGCACTTGTCCCGCGGGTCTTGAGTTCGGGATGCTGGGAGCAGACATGTCGCTTGCGCAACACCGAGAAACACGGCCAAACAATGAGCTGTGTTACTCTCATTACTAATGATAGACTACTCCAGACCCCCACCAGCTGGCTGCAATCTCCTCGCAGCTTCGCTTTTTTGCCCTTTTCCTTTTCCACTCTCGAACCCCAGCCCCCAAGGCCGTCCCAGTCGGCCGGGTTCGTGGAACCTTGTCAGACCAACCCCTCCTTTTCGGCGACCTCTCCCGAACCCACCGATCTTGGCGTACCATTTCTCGGTCAGGATTCCGGCGAAACGGGTCTCTCGGGGTTGTGGATACGGTTAGTCTCGTGGTGAGAAAAAAAGCAGACTCGCGTCCTGCTCGAGGACTGGGCATCCGATCACGGCCGCCTTGTTTGGTCTACTCATCTCACTTCCCAACTCTTCGATAATACCCTTCCTCAGCGTTTCTCGGTCGCCCCGACCACTAACCCCGCGGGGTAAGGGACGGAATAGTTGCGCGAAGTGGGTATCGCGGAGGGTCGGTTCCTGCAAAGGATGCATATGCTGCTCTTGAACGCGGAGGGGGGGGTTCGCGCGGTGTGGCTTGCATACTCACAAGACTATCGCTTTTCGTTCGGGTCCACCTTGTGCCCACTGCCGTCAGGAAATCCGAGAGGCCGGGCAGCTGTCCACCAACGCCCCTTGTCTCCTGCAGGCACGAGGAAAGAGCAGGCGGAGGCATGGCAAGCGCGGTGCTAGAGTGTGGCCGAGAGAGGGTGATATTCGATTGTCGTGTCGATTCTCATGCCCGGGAACGCGAGAGCGAGGGTTCATTGGCTCCTGCGTGCTCGTCTCATCAATGGCCCCCTCTGCCGGCCCGTGGTGTCGGTAATAACACAGGGGTTACGCTCCGCGGCTGTCCCTCCTGCATACCTGCGGTATTTTACTTCGAGGCCGGTCTCTCTGCTTCTTTATGCCACGTAGGTACTTGGCAATGGAGACCTTTAATCAACATCAACATCAACCGCACCACCGAGTGTTGACGAAGAGTACTACGCTCAACCAACACCCGCCTGTGCCGTACCATCCGATGTACCATCGTTTCTACTTCGTCCTCTGCCTTTGGTCCGCTCCGGTGGCTTCATGCCACCTCACTGTGCAGACCTGGCGTCTCCCAACCGTGACACCTTCCGCCTCCGGCTGAGCCGCCTCACCTCATGCGCCAGTAGTAGAGGAAAAAGCAAAGTAGTTCTCCTCAACCCCGGGAGCAACGCCAAGTGCCTGGCCGCATAATCGTTGTCTCACTCATCTCGATATCTCTCTGTGCTAGGCGGGCATTGGACTTGGGGGAACCGTCCACTGCATATGTGTACCCGTAATGAAGCCTCTGGCCAATCTACTCCCTAGGGATATATTCCGTCTCCTCTCGAGCGCTCTCTTTGGCTGGGTTTACGGGGTGGAGTTGAGAGTACCCCGAAACATAACGGGCGTGTCAGCCAGTGAGAGAGTTGGTACATGTATGTATGTACATACAATGTAGGAGATAGATGGACCAGTTGCTCCGGACGAGGGTTGTTGGGTTGGAGATAGGAGCGTGAGTAAGAGCATTCTTGTTGTGTAGAGCTTCTGTTCTCGCCTTTCCCATTATTTGTGTGTCGGTATTTGCTTTTTGGTCTTAGTTCACGGACCGCCCTTGTACCGTGATCTGATCTCGGTGTTTTGGGTTGAGGTGGTTTCGGTTTGGCCTCCCCTCTCAAGAGTTTTAGCAGGCAGAAGGGGGTTGTGTTTCTCTCGCTGTCTATAGGGTGTTGCTAGTCCTTGTAGGGCAAGGATGCCCATTTACTCGGTGTCTCGGTTTCTTCATCAGGCATCCGTCATAGGTCCTGACGGGCTAGCCGGACCCCAGCATCCTTCCTCTTCTACTTCGATGGTGAAATATAGATGAGGTGGCAAGAATCATAGAGAGATGAGACAGAAAGCTGTAAAGAGATCGGTCGTTGGGCAAGGAATAGCTAGCCCCATAGCACAACTCGGCAGGGCACCAGTTAACCACGCAAACCAAGCAAGATAGTTAAACTACCACTCTAGATACCCAAACCGCTTTATTTCTATTCTTAATAGCCCCTTTCCCATCCACCCATATATGCCAGGCGCCGTTACACAATATACAAATACACACATACCACCCCCCGCCACCACACCACAGACAGACGACAAACCCATGGCTAACTTAACTTAACCCCCTCTCTATCAACTAAACTAAACCAACCCCAGCCCAACACGGGGCACAGATAGATAGAAAAGTCCAATCAACACCACGTAAACACGGGATTCCGCCCCTTGATCATCTCCAACCGCTCCACAATCACCTTCCTCTGATTCCCCTCCATCCCCGTGGCAGCCGCATACCCGAGGTCGCCGCCCTCCAGGTCCTCGTCCTCCTCCTCCCCATGCTCAGCATGATGCTGATGATGCTGATGATGATGGTGATGGGCATGATGATGATCGCCATCGTGCCCCGCGCCGATCGAACCGCCGTAGTCCAGGCTCGCCCGTCCGTTACCGCCGGCGCCGCCGTTGCTGTTGTAGAACTGTGAGGCGAGCGAGTTGCTCTCTCGCCGGGCGGCGGCGGTGGTGGTGAAGGAGAAGCGGGATTGGTGGTGCTCTGCACCGGCGCCGCGGTCGGGGGAGTAGACGTTCAGCGACTTGTGGCTGTTGGTGGCGCGCGGGAATTGTGGGCGGGTTGGCTTGCCGTTGCTGTTGTTTTGATCGCCTAGCGGGGCGCCGTTGCTCGACGCACCCGGGGACGGGAGGTCGTCTTGTAGCGCGAGTTCGAATCGGCCCGGGTGGGGGAGGTTGGCAGGCGGGCTGGTGACAGTCATGCTGAGGAGGTCGGCGACAGCGCCGGATGTGGTGGGGGCAGACGCCGCGTGGGCGCCGGAGGTGCCGGCAGCGCCGATGTCCATTTCCTCTTCGCCGATGATGTCGCTGCTGCCTTTGGAGTGGGCTGTAGCGGTCGCTGACACGGTGGCGGGGTCGGACTCGGCAGTGGCGCGGCGGCGCATTTCGGCGCTCGCGACGCGCATGGGCACGGCGACCGGAACGTCGACGAGGTCGTCCCAGACGCAGACCTTGGCGCGGCGGGTGAGCTCGAGTGGCCCATGGTCGGGGGTCTTGAGCGTTTCGACGACGTTCCAGGCCTGGCCTTTCATGACGGCTATTTGGCGGGCAAACATGCGCTCTTGGAAGTCGTTGTCCATCTGGAAGATGCGGCGCAGGGCGAGCTGAGTTTGGCTCCACCACTGCGTGGATGTGAGCAGCGGGAGGAAGTGGTCGCGGGTTTTCTGGGAGAAGGGCCGGCCGATGAGATCGACGGGGAGGAAGAGCCAGCCGAAGGGAAAGCTGGGGACTGTTAGCAGTTGTACTAGTTTTGGGATCTGGGGATGTTCTCACCTCCTCCAAGCATCCGGGTGCTTCCAAGGCCACGACAGGGAATTGTCAATAGCCCCCAACGAAATCTTGGGATCCGGCGTGGTCGACACGGGAGTCGAGGCATCCATAGGCCTCTCAACGCGGTACGGATACGACGCTCTTGTCCTCTGCTCTCTCTGCGATAGGTCGACTGGCCTCGGCCCGGGTTCCGGATCCGACGTATCCATGTTGAGGTGCACCGGCTCAGACGCCACCGAGACCTCTTCCGTCTCCCAGTCGATCTTGATCATCCAATTATCCAACCCCCTATCCGTGTTCCGCATGATGTAGTCCAAGATGACGAGCTTTTCGAGCTCCTCCCGGAAAGCCTGTTTCAAGGTCGGGGTCCAGACAAAATTGCCGGGGCCTGGCGTTTGCGACTGGGGCGTCTCGTTGCCATCATCGCTATCTCCATCGTCGGGCTGCGCGCTGCCCGGGCGGCAGTTGTCGGCCCATCGCCGCTTTCGTTTCCTATGGGGGTCTGTTGTTCGGAAACCCGAGAGGTACTGATCTGGCCATGGGTGTTCCCGCAAAAAGATGTTTGCATCCTTAAAGCCCTTGAGGAACACTTGGAAGCTGCCCGGCTTTGAGGGTAAAGGCTTCCTCTTCCTAGAGAAGGCGTATCGGTCCCAAAAGGGGTAGTGGAAGGACTTGGACGAGAGATAGACGACGTCTGTGTATGGGACGAGGTGTGTGCGTAGTTGCGCGTCGAGGACGTACGCGGCAGCCTCGCTAACGTAGGAAAGGTTGGGAATAAGACTGGGAGGGAAAAGGTTAGCGTTGCGACAGCTCGTTTGGAGGGTCTGGCAGAGTTGACAGACCAAGCTCTACCGAAGAAGCACGGGAATAGATTCCGATGGATCCACTTGTTCCATTTTGGGTTGCCAGCCGCGTAGGGCTCCTCGTCCTTGGGCTTGAAGACGCCCACCACCTTCCCGTCAGGATTTCTCGCGAAGTAGCTACCAGAGCTCCCCTGGGAGATCATGCGGGGGTGTACACCTTGCCGTATGGCGGACCTGACGCTGTCGACGATGACCTCGAATTCGGCCTTGGTCATGTAGCCGGGCTCCGGGACGGCCAGCATCTCGGCCGTCACAGGTCGGACGCCCTCCGGAGCCTGAAAGACGGAATGGTGTATTTCGAGACGCTCCTCCTCGCCCTTCTTCTTGTGTCGGCCGCGCTTGAACTTGGAGGCGATCTCGTCGGCCCAGCGCTCGAGGCGGGCGTTGATAGCCTTGAGGTCGACGCCCGAGTTCCTCCGACCGCGGCGACGGCGACGCCCCCCGGACCGAGACGAATCACGGAGACCGGCCGATCCCGAATATTTCGGCGTAGCCATGCCCGAGTGCGGGCGGGGCTGGCCGATAGGTGCATAACGCGGGGCGGTCGGTGGTTGCAACGATGCATAGCTGGCGGCGAGCGGGTCGTCGTCCGAGTCGTCGCTGATGTCGGCCTGCGCAAGGCGCTCGTACCCGGTCGTTGCCGGCCGTGGCATTTTGAATTTCCGACTTGGGGGTTTCGATTCGCGTGATGCTCGATGTCGAAGGTCTACTTCGTGAAGTCGAGATGGATGGATGGCTATGCCATGGATGGTTGATGGAAGCAATAGGGGTAGGGGCAGCTATTAACACAAGGGTAGAAGTAACAAAATATTATTAATACGGAAATAGGAATCAAAATAGTCGTTTGGGATATGGCGGTATAGAATTGGCATCGAAAGAAACACTGTAGATGCTCGGTCTGCAAGCACACAGTGGTTTGGCAAAAAGTTGTCAATGTCGAGATGCACCAGAACTGAGGTTGGTGCTAATTGCAACACGACACCACAGGTCGCCAATGACAATGACGGCAGAGTTGACGAGTCCAGGCGTGTGTGTGGGTGGGCTCGTGGGGTGCCACTAACATTCATTTTCGCTTTCCGGGCTCGAACCGGGGCTCGGCCATACCCGTCCGGGCAGCACACAGTAAGGACTGGCTTACCACACCGTGCCCATTGGCGAAGGAAGGAAGTCTGGGGTCCAACCACGAAACAAGGAAAACGGACTCCAGAACACTGCACATCAGACATCGTCAACAACATGGCGTGCTTCCGAAGATGCCGAATTTCGAACTTTCCCCATTGACTGAACACCCAATCTCTGCTGTGCCAGCAGATCCCATGTGCAATGGCCGGCATCGGGTGATAGATCCCTGTAGGATCCTCGAATTCGGAATTTGTCTCCCAATCGGATGCCTACAACAGTCAGCTAGCGAGTGCCTCGGGGTCCTGACAGGGACCGGTGCAGTCGGCCGCAGCCTCGTTTCTCGTCCCAATGGCACAGCCGGCACAGCCAGCCAGGTCGCCAACAGTCAGTCAGCAGGGACTAGTCGGAATTGACAAGAGCATGAGTTATGAATCCCCTGCCCGGACTGCTTTGAAACCGTGTTTGACAAGTTGTCACTTTCACCAACATCGCTCACCCCCACCACAGCGAGACTCTCTCCACAACAAAAAAAAGAAATAGAGAACATAGAGAGAGGTGGCACGAATCAAGCCTCCGTCCTGCTCTCAGCCTCACTTTTCTTTACTCGCCCTCACCGACTTTGTAATGGTGAAACACCATCCGGTCCCCCAACACCCTCATTCGCCCACCAACTGCCACCCCTGAAAGATATATCTCCGGCCACTTGTTCCTAATATTCACTTGCCTTTCTCCACGACCATTTTCACTCCCTACGGCCACCTTAGCCTCTCCCTCCAACAATTCCATACTCGCCCACACCGCTCTCCAGAGTACGGGTACCCTAACCACGAACCCTCCCCCTCCCCCCAGCAACAACCATCGGCCGGTACAGATCACATATTCACGACCCCCCAGCAACAAGACCAACAACCGCAAGAACCAACCAGCAACCCAACCACCGACCCAACCCAACCCACCCAAAAACAATAATAATAAAAAAATGACACGCCAATACTACTGCTGGAAAGTCAGCCTGACCTACCGGTGCGGCTGCACCCAGCTCGCGCCCATCGCCCACCAGTGCCCGCCCGACCGCGAAGGGTGCAACAGCTGGCTGACCCACAAGCGGACCGACAAGGAGTGCGAGGCGCACCGGCTCGGGTTCGGGCTCACTTCTTCTGCTGCTGCTTCTTCTTCTTCTTCTTCTTCTTCTGCATCTTCTGCTTCTTCCTCTCCCCGGCCATCACAGCAGCAGAGTAGCGAGGATGGTAGCGGGGGTGAGGGTGCGGGTGCGGGTGAGGGGGTTCCGGGGAGGCGCGGCAGCCCGGTTGGGGACGAGAGTGGTGGTGGTGAGGCGGGGGCGGCGGTGGCTGGGAGGAGGGTTGTTGGGTATTACTAGGGAGGGGTGCGGTATGGTATGGGGTTGGCGCGCTCTGAGAGAGGAGATGATGCGGCAGGCAGGGGAGACTACTACGCACGCCGGAGGGCTGTGGGGAGACTCGACTTTGGTGCCGCATACGGTGCGAAAGGCGAGCCGGGAGTATGGGGGTGACACGCCCGCGCAATGCATCCGGAGGGGGGTGGGATGTTGGGGGAATCCTGGGCTTACGGAAAGGAAAACCAAGCTACTCGAAGACGGGGATGCTGACCTTGAATGGACCCGACGTCGCGGAGAAGATAGGGCGGCTGGAGAAACTGGATCATGAGCAAGGCCGCATAGCAGCACAACATTACTAAAACCACACAACTCGGACTTAATACGGCATCTGTCTGGATATTACCTGGAGAGATGCCCGCACTCCTCTCAGAATCGTTTCTCTCAGACTGCAAGCTACAATACAACTCAATTCTTCTCCCAGATAGGTAATATCTGCTAAATTACTGCTTTCTTTTGGCGATAACTAGCGTCGTGCATGTCCATGTCAACGAGGATATTACCTGTGCCCATACCCGCTGAGTGATCGAAGAGCAACAGGTACTCTATGCTGGTGAGCCTCGGTGACTTGCAAGACAAGGACCACAGCGCCGACCCTCCTATATTGAGGGATGTGGCCGCAACCTCTTGCTCCCAAAACTGGTTCTCTAAAAAGACTCCGTCCATGCCCGTGGTTAAGATTAAGTAAGCTGCTTTAACCATCATGCCATGTGCCTTGATCGCCTGTGCCTTTTCCCAGCTCCCAAGAAAGGTCTCACGGGGTATCAAATACCGCAGCGCTAGTTTTCATAACCCATGTCCACCGTCCAACCGAACGCCAGAGGAAAGAGAAAAGGGACATCGGAAGGAGTATACAGGGAAGGTCGTGGAGATCGGACCTTCTTAGACAACTTAAACTATATATATATGTGGGCAACAAAAGGAGACAAACAGGGTTGATGTGACGCAGCACCGAGGATACCATCGCTGGGGCTGCCGTGGAGGGAAAAAGAAAGCAACTCAAATCTGCCAAGAGACCGTCTTCTGTTTGTTACATTGGCCCGGACGCGACATTGACGAGCGAAGTTGCGATGGGCCGTCCTGGGTGGGCGACGGAGGATCATTGTCACCGTGTCTGTCATGGAGAATGTCGTGTACTTGAGACGAGTTGTGGCGGTGCAGCCCTGGAGTCGGTGTTGTGCGAGTTTTGATGTCCTCCTTGATCTTCCTACCGGACAACAACTCGTGGAACATGGTCGAGCCATGCAGAGGTCGCGCTGGTTGGGATAGGTTGATGCCAGGTGAACCTAGGTCTCCGTTCAGTTGTCCACTAGGTGGCAGCTCATAAAAACGTGGCGAGCGGCCCAAGTGTCGCGGCGGCGTGGAGGGATCCCCGGCCGAGCGACTGCCGGGGCTGACCTTCTTGCCGGAACCACACAAGCGCTGCGGGATCGGCAAGGGTGTAGTCGGAGAGGCTAATGTTTCCTTGATGGCCTGTTCGCCATGGTGCTCGGGAGACCAGAACAACGGCGGCGGGTGTCGCCACGACTGCGGCTCAGTCGAGGACCGGTAGTTCAGATCGTTAACATCCCTGCCGTGCAGCACCTCACTGACATCGACGCCACCGCCCGAGCGGCGCCACTCGCGTTGCTGCCAGTACTGGTTGATATCTTCGCGCTCTTGCTGCAGCTGATGTTTGAGAGATAGGCGGTCCTTCTTGTTCGCCTCAGCTTGGGCCGCCTCGATGTTTTCAAGGAGGCGCTGATACCTCTGTTTCTCAGACGGGCCTTGATCTTCCACGCGCGGAACGGGAACCTCTCGGTGGCAAAGCTCGCAGTTGCGCTCGGGGGCGGATGCGTCGGGACCGTTACGGCAATGCCACCAACCTCCACGAATGCGTTGTATCGTATTAGGCCAGGCACCGTTGGGCTGGTGGTGTTGCTTGTTCCACGTGTGCTTGTTTGGTCGAAACCCCTCGCCCCATTGCTCCGCCCTCGCATTCTTAACTGAGGTTCCCATGAGCAGAAGCAGGTCCTTGAACTTGTCGAGCAGGGTGGCACCTCGTAGTGGGACTGCCTTTTTGGCTTCCATGATGGTGAACCACTCTGGCACTGAAGTAACAACGGCATCGACATTTGACGTGGGAGGGATGGGAGTTGGCTCTGCTGACTTGCGCCAATCGTCCTGCTGATCGAAAGCCTTTAGTTGCTGATCGACGACAAGCTGGGCGTTGTGCATGATGGCCTCCTGAGTCGACTGGTCTTGTTCTTTTAGAGTGCCTCGCAGTCCGGTCATTGCCACCGCGATGGCCAACTCTGTGCCTTGCTCTTCAACGGTCTTCCTTTCGTGCGTTCGGGATCGCTTTCGATCGATCACGGTGGGCGGTCTGAGGTCTTCATGGAGCACACTCGTGATCTCAGCACGGCATCGCATGATGACCTCATCTAGCTCTTGGTGCACCAGATCTTGTTCTTGTGTCAGGATCTCCTCCGCCTCCCCAATCCTGGCGAAAAGTTTTGTCTGTTCTTTTCGAGTCATTACCTTCCCACGGGAAAACTTGTTCGCAATCGCCCGCTGGCGTTCGTGGTTCAGGTGAGCGAGTTTCTCCTTGTTAAACAGCAAGGAATCGTTGGCACGGTCGAGGTCAGCGTGACGTTCCTCCATTGCCTTAGCAAATGCCTTAGTTCGGGCGGCATAGCTAGATAGTTGTTCATCGATAAAGTCCGAACCAAAGCCCTCATAGACCGGACGACTCTCTTCCAGCTGCCTCTCAAACTCGCGGTTGTGCTCCCCCATGTCGGGTGGTGGGAAATGAAAAAATTCATGACGGTCGACTTTGACGGAGTTGTAAGGGTCCAAGGGGTCTCCTTCAACTTGTCTTGCAAAAAGAGGACTGCCGATACCTAAAGAGCTCTCGACCAATCCGCCGACAACATGAGGTACTCCTTCCATATCAACCCGGGGGATTCTGGGCTGGCAGGCAGCTGAAGGTACTGCTACGTTGGTCTGTGGCTCTCGCGGCGCTCGAGATTGTTGCTGTAGCTGGTTGTTGGCCTGTGGCACTCGCCGGGCTCGAGATCTTTGCTGTGCCTGGTTACCGCCTTTGCTCTTCTTTTGAACCGTCCGATGACTGCTTTTCCTTCGCATTCGGGGGCAAAGGAGAGGTCGATGGCCGGTGGGGACGGTGGAGGATCCGGCAGCCCTTTGGCGCCGTGCTGGAGATGCTGCAACATGAGGGATATCGCGAGGTGACTCTGGAGAAACCACATCATCGTTGTCCTCACTATCGGATTCTGCAGCTTTGTCACCCTTGTCGGGCGTCTTGGCCTTGTTTTGCGCCGCTTGGATCGTCTCTAGTGAAGTGAAAGCCGACCGGGCGACAACTGTAGAATCGACTCCTGAACGCGGAGATAGGGTGATGGCTTGCAAGCATGGTTCCAGGAGATTGGCTTCCCTGTCAGTATTCGAAGTGGAATGCCTCTTATCGTTCCGCGCTGGATGACTCTCTGAAGACGTGAGTGACGCCAAAGTGACACTGCGTCGATTGGCGTCGGCCGAGAAAGCGGCAAGTGAGTAGGGAGTCGCCGTGGTGGCTGTTGCAGCCGACACTCCTTGAAAGCAGGGCTCGTGAGGGCTATTACCACGGTCGAACATCGCAGCTGAATCGGGTTCATCGAGTTTGTCAGGTTTGTCAGGTTTGCCGGCTTTCCCGTCACCCAGCTTCTTGTCATCTTGTGGGTGGCTCTTCTTTTGGGTCAGAATCATCCCTGGAAGGGTGACTAGGGTTGGACTGATGCTGATTTCGTGAACAATGGCTTGATGAGTGTTGGGAGCGGGGCGAGATGTCGAAGAGGTTATTGATGACCCCATTTGGCGCTCGATGTAAGCGGATTTCCGCGTTTCCGGTGTTTTGTGCGCATTCTGCACAATGTCCTTGGAACAAGCCGCAGGATCTGCCGGCGCAGCCCTGACTTCCAAGATTATTCTGGAGGCCATGGTTTGTAGCCGTGATATTGTAAAACGAGATTGAGAAAAGGGTGTGATCGGAGTGACGAGTGACTGATACTACAAAGTCGTTCGCAGGATGATTTTCCCTGCTTCGTGGAGTCTCGGCCGGACTCAGAGGGTGATAGCGAGCGACCGGTTCGATATCGTTGGGAAGTCGGTCGCGTACGCGAGACGAGTTCGTGTCTCGGGTCGCAAAGGATTCGCCCAGAAAGCGAGGATTTGGTGTACGCAGAAAAATAAGGATTAGAGGGAGGAGGATAAGTTGGATTATCTCGGAGGCAAAAAAGCCGAATCACCCAACCGGCTGCTCGCCGCTGGGGGCACTCAACTCCAGTCGGGCGTTGTATGAGCATCGGGCAGTGTAATCCAATGCGCTGGTTCCATCCATGGAATCCAAAGTTGCGGTGGGCGAAGAGAGCGGGGCTGTTAAAGGGAGTCCGGGAGGAAGGCACGATTTGTAAATTGGCGAAGGCGGGACCTTGAAGTTCGGAAGTAATAAGTGGGAAGGTGCGGTCGAGTGAAGTCGGAAACCCTTCAGGTCGATGGGCAAGGACCTTGGCCTCAACTGGAGGCAGGTGCGTAGAAGGTTCCATGTGGATAGATCGCCCAGAGAGGCACCTGCTGCCCGGGCTCCCGCTTAGGCATCTTGGTATCCATCCAATAGTGGCAATCGATACACTGGATGAAGAGGCGAATACAGTGGCCAAATGCACTTTGTTGTGCCTTTTTTCCGTGCACACACTGCCCAAGCTCAAGCAGATACTGGCCCAACCATAACACGCTCGTTGAGTTGCCTTGTACGGTATTGCTCGTCGGCCAGGGTAGATTTCTGCATTTTCTTCCTGAGGGCCTCGATGGTCGCAAATCGACCCCTGGCACCATGCTTGAGCTTCGTGATCATGTCCGCCGCCTTGCCCTTGGTCACGTCTTCTGGTCCCAGTTCATCCTTGGTACCCCTGAGCTTATTCAAAAGCTTGAGCTGTCCTGCAGTTGCCGGCGCCTTCCTCCACGGCAACGTTCCCGTGATGATGTAGAAGGGGTAGTTTTCGCGGGCGTATTCGTCGCAGCCGTGGACGGCAGAGTCAAAGGTCGCAGCGGTTAGAATCTCACGGGGAGCCGCATACGGGGATTTCGATACCCCTGCCGGCAGAGCCCTGACTTCGTATGCCCTGAATTTGGGGTGGTCGGGTCCTTTGTAGGGAGTCTCTTCTAGTTTTAGGTACGTTCCCTCGGGGCCGTTGAGGATGTATTTTTCCGGGGAAACCCGGACCCAAGAATGCCGGCTGATGTCGCGGATATGCTGCTCGCCGGACGTGTCGGCAATTAGGTCAAATACCGTGTCGTATTCGGTGAAGGTGACGTTGTAGGAGTGACCCGTCGACTCGGGCTCCGTGAACTGCTGCGTTGGCGGAAAATCCTTCAACTTCTCTGCCTCTTTACTGTCTGACAGCGCGAACATTTTGTCGGTCGAGGCCTCATTCACCAACTCGTTAGGGTCCAGCCCAAATAGGGTGGGGGTGGTGACGATGCCAGTCTCGAGGCTAGCTACCATGTCGATGATGTGGCAGTTCTGCTTGCCAGCGTGGAGTCTCATACCGCGGCCGATCATCTGAATCAAGAGATTCCGTGATCTGGTCGGCCTCGCCAAAACAATGCAGTCGATGTTGGGGATGTCCGTTCCCTCGGTAAAGACGCCGCAGTTGATGAGCACAGGGAACTCGCCCTTCTTGAAGGCGTCCAGGCGCTCGCCCCTGTCGCGCATCGGCGTGTCGCCTGTTACGAACCGAGCGTCGATGCCGTAATGACGAAACCTCTCGGTCAAGGCGGCGACATGGCTTAGGTCGACGCAGAACACCAACGTCGATTTTCTCCCGGTGGCCTTGGCAAACCAAGTGCGGATGACGACATCATTGAGCTCGACGGTGTTGACGGCTCGGGAGAGGGAATCGGTATCAAACTCGCCACTCCCGCCTCGGCCCTTTCGCTTGACCTGAGACAAGTCCACCTTGCTCTCGACAGTGGTGAAGAGGACATCGCTGAGCCACTTCTCGCTAATCATCTCCACATAGTCCTTGTGGTAGACTATCTCGTCAATGGCCGCGCCCAGCCGGAGCCCGTCAAAGCGAGAGAAGGTGGCCGACACGCCAACCAGATGTGGAGAATCGGGCTGCTTTTCCCTGAGACCGAAGTGTTCTAGCACCCTCAAGTACCCTGGAGCAACGATGTGATGGGCTTCATCGACAAGGACCAACTTGAATCGGCCGGGGTCAAACTTCAAGAGACGGTCTCTGGAGATGATGCTCTGCAAGCTGGCTACAGTGATGTCGGCGGTACCGGAAGCCGAGAGCTTACCGAGCTCGAGTTCGATGGTCTTGTCCGGGTACGTGTTGGAGCAATGCCGGGCGGCCTGCTCAACCAGTTCTCGCCGGTGGGCTAGGATAAGTGTTTGAGTTGCCGTCTCTGACCGGGGCTTGATTCGACCAATAAGTTGAGTGAAGATAACCTGACGCCGTCAGCAATGGACTTTTTTATCCCTTTCCCTTGGCCAAGGATGAAGGTCCTACGGTCTTGCCACTGCCAGTGGCCAAAGATACACCCAGCCGCTTATGACCATTCTCAAGGTATTGAAGAACGGTCTGGATGCATTCTTCTTGGTAGTTACGCAAGGTAAGGCCTTGAGGTTGAGAAATTTGGGGCGCCTCTGACAAGCCTGGCACAGTTTGATCAAGAAGTCGTCTGGAGCTGGATATTCCCCGGCGTGGGCATGGCTGAAATGACAGTCTCGTTACACTCCGCAGTACTCTAGCCCTGAGAGTTGCCGCAACTAACCGTTTCATTTTTGCGTCGAAATCATTGCTCGCGAGTGTTGTTGTGTTCACTTTTTTTGAAGTTTCTCACAAGGTTGACGTTGGTACCAGCAGTTGGCACCTGGCAGATAAATGCCTGCAGGGCCGGTCGGAAACATCATTGGTTGGCGTTTCCTTTTTGGAGATCGACGGGCACTGTGCGCTTACGGGTTCGGCCAGTGTTTTGACTCGGGATTTTCATCTTGAACTCATCCAACATTCAGCGATTGCAAACGACTCAAGTCATGCATCGACCGTATGAAGCACAGAGAAACCCGTCGTTTACGGGGAAACTCAAAAGTAGGCCTAGCCATCGCGAATCAAAGGGGTAGGCCTTTTTTCCCAATAATCCGGGGTTGCTATTTTTTCTTTTGCTCGACTTTGCACAGTTCAGTGCTTTTCTTGCATCATCAATCATCAAATATTCATCGAAGATGGACTCGGATCAATCAAGCGACTACGATGCTCAGGGAACCGGCCGCCTAAGGAAATCAGTGTCAATGGCTCTCAGGCAGTTGCAGCAGCCACAACGAGCAAGGGCGCGCTCGAATGAAATTCCAGAAAGTGATGAAGAGGAAGTCGAGGATCATGGGAATGACGACGACAACACCGACGATGACAATCAGAATATCATGGACGACCTCGACAACAACACAGAAAGTCAAAGAGAATACTCAGTTTCTTCAGTTGGCAGTCACTACAGTCCCGCGCCCACCGCTTCCGAAGCCGATTCCCCCCCCGCAACCCCCAACCACTATTCCCTACAAGTCCAAGCAGAGCACAGCAACCGCCGGCACATCTTATCACCACCAACCAAACGACCACCCACCTCATCCCCCTACAGCACCGTCCCACCCACCCCAACCCACACCTACCGCTCCTCCCCACGCAAGCGTTCCCTCTCCCCATCAACCCGCTACCCCTCCCACGCCACCAACACAGCAGCAGCAGCAACATCAGCAGCAGCACCACCACCCCCGGACTCCTCTCCACGCCCCTTCAAGCGCCTCCGCACCGCCACCTTCCACCACGCCTACCTCACCCTGCTCAACGACGACATCCGCGACGCCGCGCAGCAGTTCACCCCACTCCCCACCGATAACGCCGACGGCGGCAACAGCAGCAGCACCACGCTCGCGCCGTCCCAGCTCGGCCTGACGCACTGGAGCGGCGCGGAGAAGGCGCTCTTCTTCTCGGCGCTGGCGCGCGTGGGGCGCGACGACGCCGCGGGCATCGCGGCGCGCGTCCGGACGAAAGGGGTGTTGGAGGTCGCCGCGTACCTGGAGCTCCTGGCGCGGGAGCGGGAGCGGGAGCGGGCGGAGGGGGGGGCGGGGGGCAGGGTTGTGGCGCTGGCGCTGGCGGCGCCGGCGGAGGTGCCCGCCGCGGTGGAGCTTGGTCAGGAATGTTGTGCCGCGCTGGAGGAGGCGGCGGATGCGGTGTCGGTGAGGCAGGAGGGGCATGAGGTGGGCGTGGAGAAGGCGAGGTGGGGGGAGAGGGCGTGGTTGGTGGAGGGGGGGAATTGGAGGGCGCTTGAGGCGGCGCCGCCGGAGGGGTTGGAGGGGAGCTTGGGGCTGTTTCGCGTTGGGAATTGGTTGCGGTTGAGCGGGCGGGTGTTTATGAACTCGGCGGTGGAGGAGTATAATTGGGCGAGGGTGGAGGGGGAGGAGCCGGCGGTGAGGGCGACGGCGTTGGAGGACTTTTATACGCTTGCTGTGGAGGTCACTAGGCGGCTGGTTGCGGCGACTATTTTTGTTGGGGAGGGAAGGGTCAGGGCGAGGAGGGAGTTGTACCCGCATGCGAGGAGCAGGGTGTGGAAGCAGGACGTGGAAGCAGCGGCTTTGTCATTGGGGTTCCCGACCAACAGCCGCAAGTTCTGGGCACAGAGCGCTAGGCGGCTGAGGCTGGATGTGTATGACAGTGAGGATCCGCCCATGGTGGGCTGGGAGGGTGAGGGTGAGGACGAGCAGGACCCAATGTCGTATGATGAGGTGGAGCGGGCACTTGGCCTTGAATCAGAAGCCACCGGCACGAATACCGCCCCTGCCGAAGAGACCGAGTCGTCAGAAGAGGAACTTGACGAAGACATGGCCTCGGCCGCGGGATCCGATGACGGCTCAGTCGATCTCGGTGCAGGAACGCCGCGGGCTTCCGGGGACGAAGAGGTTCTCCCATACGAAGACGAAGCGGAAAAGGCGGCCATCACGCGCGAGGTGAACGAGATCTTTGTCCACTCGGCCCTCGAGTACCCCAAAACAGGGCCACAACGGAACAACCTGCGGAACCGAATCCGTGCCGAGAGGGCACAAGAGGCCTATGCGGACAAGATGGACGCCAGGGCATCGTACTACGAAGAGAAGAGAATGTGGGCCATGCTTGAGCGGCAGCCCCGGATGGAATTGGTGAAGCCAGACCCCCCGGAGGAGCCGCGGCAGTGGACCACAAAGACGGTCGATGACTTAGTGAAGAGTTATTCCAGAACGCCCGGCGACTGGAGGAGCAAGCTAGAGCTTGTGCCCAGCAGGTGGGAGATGGACTATGCGCTTGTGGAGGATAAGAAAAAAGCGGAAGCCATTTCCGTTGCAACAAGTGGCGACGAGATTTGATACCATATATATGTTCGGATCTGTCCAAGCTGGAATGGATTTATCTACCAAGCTGTGAAGCGTCTAAGCAACACCTAAGGCCCATTTCCAAAGAGCTCATCCCACCGCGTTCTCCGATCCCACACCACCTTGTCGTCACTCTTCCGCTTGAAGTACAGGATCCGGTGCTGCGGGATAAACTCCTCGTCCGTCTGCTCGCCCTTCCACGCGTCAAGCTCCTTCTCCTGTGCTCCCGTGAACCGGTCCTCATAGCCGACCACAAAGTCGCTGCTATCGAGCTGCGGGTCCCACCGGATGCGGTTGATGGCGTCGGCGGCAGTGCGGAACTTTTTCGTCTTGTCGGCGCGGAGGTCGACAGCAGCAATCTGCTTCCTGGCGGCTTGTCCCTTTTTCTTCTTCTCTTTCTTGGCAAATTCATCGTGCTCCGAGTCCTGACCCGACGTCGCCTCCAGCTCTTCTTCCTCCTCTTCCTCGTCCAGTTCCTCCTCCCCGGGGGTATACTCGCCCCACTCGCGACTGTCAAGCTCCAGCTTGCCCAACTCGCCTTTATTCACCACAGCCGCACTCAACCAGCAACTCTTCGCATCAAAGTACCTCTCATCCCCCCTCATCTGCGCCTCAAACCGGGCCAGCACAGTCTGCAGCGCCCCCAGCGCCACCTTCAGGTCCTCCTTAGCCATATCCGGGGAGCCCTTATCAAGGCCGATGAGGTAGCAACCCCTAAAGTCGCGGTCACCATCATCACCACCCCCATCCCTATCCCCTCCCCCCTCCTCCAGCTCATTCGCCTCCACAAACCGCGCCGGCCACATACGCACAAACAAGCCCGGCGCGCGGCGGTGCAGGTCCACCAGCAGCATAACGCACCGCGACTCGAGCCAGCCGAGGAACTGGGCGCCACGCGCCAGGGACAAGCCCCAGTACTGCACATCCAGCTTGACATACGACCGATGCGCGGCCAGGAAATCAGCCGTGGCGGCGGTCGACCCGGCCACGAAAGCCGACCACGAGGGCGCGTCCCGCAGCGCGGCGCCGGCGCGGCGGAACTCGGCGGCGAGGGTCTTGGCCGACGGCACCGAGGCCGTCAGGGCGGTGTTGCGCGCGGGCGGGAAGTAGCCCAGCACGGCGAGCGGCTCGCGCGCCGTGCGCGTGTAGGGGAGGGTGTGGCGGTGGAAGGTCGGGTCGAAGGCGATTTGGTTCGCCCAGTCGAAGGTGGCGTAGTGCGCGAAGAAGGTGGCGAGGAGGGTCTCGGCGGTCGAGGGGGCGCCCGTCTCCCGTGCGAGGAGCTTGTGCACGCGCGCGAGCAGGATGGAGATCTGGATGCCGCTGAGGAAGCCGAAGCGGGCGGCGTAGATGCCGCGCGACTTGGCCCAGGTCTTGATGAAGCGGTGCGCGAGGCGGAAGGTGGCGAGGTCGGGGAGCGAGCGCGCGAGGTAGTCGGTGTCGCGGATCGCTTTGAGCTTAGCGAGGGTTTGCACCGAGAGGGACCAGACCGGGTCGGTCGCCGGGGCGCGCAGCACGTCGGGCCAGCGCTCGGCGACCAGGGTGGCTGGGCAGTACTGCAGGTCGACCTTGATGCCGTCGACCTCGATCTCCAGCATGGTGCCGGTGTGGGCTAGGACCCGGCGGAGGATCCTGATGCCCTGAGCGGCGGCCTTGCGCAGGCGCTGGGTTGCCAGGGCGAAAAAGGTCTTGGTGCTGAAGGGGCCGATGCACAAAACGTCGATGTCTGAGGAGGCGGTCCAGACGTCGAGGGCATAGGAGCCAACGGGGACGATGACGACTGCCGGTTGTGAGCGTGATCCTGCTGCGTCCGTTGAAGGCGCGTCGAGGATCACACCCTTCAGGAGCTCCAATGCCTTCTTCCGCTTGATAACCTCGTCCCCCGTTGGAATTACCCCAAGCTCACGTAGAGATGCCTCCACGCCCCCTGCTTGATCCAACTGCTCTGGCGCCTTCTCCGGGTGGACAGGCACAATAAGGTCGGCAACCTTCTCAGACGGCTCGTCGGCCTTGTCACCGATGCCTCCCATGTCCAGGGTGCATCTGACACCCCAGTGGTCGCTAGCGAACATTTTTGAATCATCTCCCTGCTCCGTCAAGAAGCCAAACATGTTGAAATCGGTGATCTTCAGGAAGCCCTCGCCACGAACAAGGATTCGGTCATATCGTTGAGGCTGCGCGTTGGCGCCGCCGGTGGCCATGGCGGCAGCCATACCGTTAGTGCTCGGATCCCAGGTGGCGCCTTGCTCCCCTTCCACATCGTCGCCGTCAGAGTCGTCCTCGGTGGAGGTCTGCCAAGCATCAACCAGCTTCGCCTCGGAGAAAAGACCATCGAGGCTTGCCAGGTGGCTCGCGGACAAGTCCGATATGGCCTTGTTTTTAAGCGCAGTGTTAATCGAGACGGATGATGTCGTAACGTTGAAGTCGCCCGCAAGAATCCAGGGGTGTCTGGGGTAAGTTTCAGAGAGGTAGTTGATGACCCGTTTGATATCCGTCTTTTTGGCAGCGACCGCTCCATCGGTCAGGCCGTGGCTAAGGTGGACAGCCGCAATAACAACCGGGAGGAACCTGTCGCCATCAGACCGGCCGGCATGCTTGATCTTGGCGACCAGCGCGCCCTTGTGCTTCCGATGGAGGGAGACATACTCCCAGTCGAGGGGAGTCGCGCTCAACATGACGATGTTAAGGTAGTTTGGGAGCGGCTCGATGTCGTCTTCGTGGGGCGGGCCGTGGGTGCAGAACGGATACGCTTCGCGGATCTGCTTGTCGGAAAGGAGATAGGACAGGAAGCTGTCGGTGACCTCTTCCAGCACCAGCACATCCGCCTGGGCATTCTCAGCGAGAATGTTCTTCACCACCAGCGGATACCGGGCCTCGGACGGCGGCCACTCGAACTCGGCGAGGACATTATAGCTCGCCACGACGAGCTTCGAAGGCATGAACGGCGTCCACCGCTCCGACTCCTCCCCAGCGCAGTACAGCGACGCGGTCTGGAGCTGATCCTTCTCCGCCATCCCCTCCGCACCCTCCGCATCCTCATCCTCCACCTCCCTCAGCACACCCACACCCTTATAAAACGGCGCCACCTTCCCCAACCTCTCCACCGTCCCATCCCTCAGACTAATCCTCCCCCACAAGCGCATCACACTTCCACCACCCGCGTCCCGCTCCCTCACCAGCACAGCCAGCTCAGCAACCTGCCACTCCACCCGGGGCAGCAGGCCAACCTTTTCCACCAAAAACCGATGCGCATCACAATCCACATCCTCGCTCTGCGCGACCGTCATGTGCATGCGATACGGCCGCGACTCCGGCGCCCCCCCACCCCCCAGCGCAGCCAGCACGCTCTCCCTCAACGCCTTAACCCTCTCCGCCCTCGCCACATCCCCATCCTCCAAAAATATGGTACTGCTCACCCCCTTCCTCCGCTCAAACACACCCACCTGCCCGAGACACACCTCCACCCCGGTGTCTGGTAACGGAGCAGCAGCAGCAGCAGCAGGGGCGAACGCGGCACCAACACGGTCGGCGGCGTCGGCTAGGCGATCGGGCCGCACGAAGGGGTAGACCAGGTTGATGTGGGGCGGCCACTTGGGGTAGGCGGCGTCGTAGAGGGCTCGCAGGCGGTCGAGGCGGGGCCAGAGGGCGGGCGGGGGGAGGAGGGCGAGGGCGGTGTCGTGGGAGGTGAGGGTGAAGGAGGGGGGTTGGGGTTGGGGTTGGGGTTGTTGTGGTGATGTTGGGGTTGGTGATGGTTCCGCCATTGTTGGTATTGTGTGTGGTGTTCTTGTGTTATGTGTTGTTGTTGTTGTGGTGGTGTTGGTGGGTTGGGTTGGAAAGTTGAAGGGAGTGGTGAAAGTGAGTTGAGTTATGAACCCGATTATTTTGTGAGGATGGTAAAAGGGTAAATTGATGATGAATTGAATAAATAAACTCAGGATGAAGTCAGAAGTGATGTTGGTACGATGATATTTGAGTAAAATGCCCCTGTTCTTGCTGCTCATCCCCCCTGAGAGCTGCCCGTTTCTTCCCCGCAATGGCATGAGTGAGGCTGGGGCTGAGTTCGGCAGTGTGTCACAACCTGTGCAGGGCCCCCCATTAGGGCCTCTCTCCGAGTGACTCACCTCCGCCTTGGAGACTTATTCCACCTTGAATCCTTGACACATTACTCCATAGACATGTCTGAGTCGATTGATGCAATGCAGGGCACTGTTGGTGCCAACAGATTGAAATGCAAGTAAAGTAAACGAAGCAACGGCAGCTATGTACCCAAGTTGGAACTCAAAAAGAGAAAGCTTGACACAGTGTATATTCAATCCAAAATGCACAGTACACGTGCAGCCCCTATCCAAGCCAAACATAAACATGAATAGACATTACCGCAGGGATCCAATACCCGGGTCTCAACCACCAAACTCCGGCGCTATGAGCTTGCCTTGGAGAACAATCTTCAACAGGCGTAAAAGAACAGACCATAAAACCAACTAAAAACCGACTCTAGGAGTCAGGCCTAGTACTCCGGACCCCAGTCCACATCCTCCGGCGTAGCTGACGGCGTGCCCTCCATGAGCGCCTCGAGCTTGTCTTCGTTGGTGACCCAGCCATTTCGTTTCGTAGCAATTGCTATTCTCGGTCAGCTCTGTGGCCCACGGCATATCAACAAGCACTAAGAAAGGAGAAGGACAAGACATACCATAACGAATCGGCCCCCTCCACTCCCTCCACCAGACCTCCTCAGTCTGCACCGCACACCGCCTCCCGTCCGCATCACTCCCCTTAGGCATAGTCGCAAACGGCCAAACCGCCTTAACAACCTCATACTTCCTCTTCCCCGCAAAGAACCCCGTGACGCTCGTGATAAACTTGTTGACCCGGTCCGGATTCTGCACCACCACCCTGCTATGCGTGATAGGAAACGAGACGGCAACCGTGCCCGGGTAGCGCATAGCAGCAACCAACTTGCGGATCTGCCCCTCAAGCCATTCAACATCCAGATTAACAACAACCCTCTCGAGCGCAAAGGCCTTCACGCTCGCCGTGTCGGCCACGAAACGGGCCGCCCACGCGTCCAGCGAGCCGTCCCCCTCGACCTCTGGCTGCGCGGCGGGCTTGGTGCCGCCGCGGAAGGCCACCTCCCCCGCGCCCACGCAGCGCAGGTAGTCCATGCGCTGGCGCGGGTCCTCGGGCACGAGCAGCGAGAGCAGGTTCAGCTTGATGGAGAAGTCGGCGCGCCCGGTGCCGGGCGTGTTGCCGCGCCGCCCCACGATGTGGATCTGCGGCTTGGGCGGCACCGTCGCCTGCTGCCGGATCAGCGCGACCAGCGCGTCGGCCGAGCTGGAGAGGTGCGCGGTGGTGGACTTGATGGTGGTCTTGTCGGTCGAGAGCTCGAAGAGGGGCGGGTTGTAGAGGCGGTAGTCGAGGGCGGGTAGGCCCGGGTACCGAGGGGGTGGCTTGGGCCCGCCGGTTTGGGATTCCGGGGGCGGGGCTGGCTCCTGGGCCGGGGTGGAGGGGCCGGAGTAGGGGGGCGGGGTGGGCGAGCGGGGGGTGGTGTAGACGGGGACCGGGGCGGGGGGCGGGACGGGAACCCGGGGTATCTGCATGTGGGTGGGAGCGTACGCCGGCGACTCCTGGCTGGGGTCGGGGGAGTACGCCGGGGATTGCTGGTTGTGTACCGGTGATCCCTCGAGCTCTTCCTCCGTCATGGGCACCGTGTTGCTTCCCGAAGTAGGATTGCGGCTCTGTGATGACTGTGATGACGGCTGCTGTTGCCCTTGCTGTTGCTGGCGCTGGAGGTGTTCCTGAAGACGCATCTTCTCCTCCACGACGGACGGTTGAGGCGGCTCCATGGCGGCTGCTGCTTGTTTTGGCGGAACACGAGTACGCGCTGTGCCGGCTTGGCTACTCAAGTACCTTAATGACGTGAACTGCGGTCCGGGCCCGAATTCGGGGGGAGCCGGGGGCCGAATGAAGAGTCGGGAGCTCCGGAAACCCCGACGTCAATTCAATTGGGAGATCTAGTCAGCCACGGTGGGCAATTGGCGTCCGACTTGGGAAACAGAAACCGGCCACGATGAGATGGTTAGTTTGCAGTTCACTCGTGGAGCAAAGCTGTCACACAAGGAGAATTGAACTGTCGGTCGGTTGCTGGGCGCTCTGCGCTTCCTCGTGGCGCAGCAAAGCCCACTATGTATGTATGAAGACCGTCACGTTGAAAAGGCAGCCGGCAAAGGCCATGCCGAGAAAGGGCGCCAGGACCACGACTTGGCCAGGATTCCACATGCATGTCAGCAGAATGAGCCAATCGGATTGGGTGTTGAACGCGATGCGGTCGCAATTGGGTTGTCGCGCTCAGCCTCACTTTCATCTCCCATCGTCATCAGCTCTAGAGGCCGCCGGTGCTGGAGGTTGTTTCAGGTTGATATAGTTATGTGGTTTGCTCATTTTAAGAGTTGTACCCAGGTACGAAGTATTCGTAACGGTCGGTCGGTTGTTTGTGGCTGGAGATGGAAGCCGCGTCGAATTACGAATCAGATGGTGGGCCTAACTGACGGGCTCAGAAGACGCCAATTCTCGCGTGAACACTTCCTGTTTTGGCCGTTGCGCAGGAGGCAGTTAGCGTCTGACTTTGGGCGAGAGATGTCCCGAGAAGCATTATCATTGGAAGGAAAGATAGAAGGGAGAGGGAGGGGGATGCTCACGAAATATCCATATCTTTTTGCCGTCTTACGTTTCTTGTTTCTTTCGTTTCTTCTCTCCTTCCTTCTCTCCTTCCTTTTCTTATTTTCCTTCCTCTGCTCTCCTGTGCCCCACTCTGGTCGAGGCCAACCTGGAGCCCCACGCAAACAAAATCGAAGCGTTTGAAACTGACGGCGAGTCTAACCGGCGCTAGCTCCGTTGAGAAATCCCCACATTCGGAGGTATCGAAGGAATTGCCGAACCCTGAACAACCGAACGCCGGGTTTCAATCCATCATCCGAACCTCAAAGTTGCCAGGCATCCGCGCCAAAGGTCTATCTTGGACGATAAAATTCGGAATTGTTCTTGTCGATATCTATCAATTTATTTGCGAATACAACAAACCTTGGCTTCCTTCAAGTCTCCTCAAAAGGTCCCTCCCCTCCCGCCGCTAACCCTCCACTTCTCCAAATGTCTCACTCCTGCGTCTCGCATCTGGCCCCGATGCCCTATCAAAACAAGCATGCCCCTGGTGGCTGCAGCCATCCCACCACAACGCTTTGTTTCGTCTTCAGCCTTTCTCCGCCAGATGCTTCGAGTCTTGGCTCCTCGCTGTCGATGACTTAGTTGAAAAGAGTCTAGACTGATCCCAAAGCGCCAACGTCTCTATTGTCTGTGCCATGGCTGTCTTTCCTCGGCTTGTCCGTTCTGCGGTGAACATTTTGATCTCGTGGCGAAACAATAACTGTCATCACTTTTTAACCACTGATGCGTATGCTGTTGTCATGAGGTGACAATGTCCGTAAAACGGGTGATAGTCCCTTACTTCTTTGGCTGGTTGCTTCTCATCCAAGCCCCTATCGCGGCCGTTGCGATTTATGCCTCAGTCTTTATATTTGGCGGTAAAACAGTTCCATTTGTTCTAGCCGTGGTTGCCGTGAGTTTCAGTAGCCCGATATCGAGGAGACCGACGACTAATAACTGGATAGACTATTTTGCACCTATTACTGGGCATATACTGCTACGTAACTCGGTCGAAACCTGGGTCCTACCACGTTTTCGTGATCCTGGCATGGTTAGCCGCCTGCATTGGTCTCTGGTGCGGCCCGTTGTCGTACTTTGCGAGGCTCATTGCCAACTATCGGGAGAGTGAGTGGTTGGCGGAGGGGACAAGCCAGCACCAGGCTTCGACTTGGACTAAAGCCGGATGCGCCGTGTCCGCTTTGAGCATGTATGTGTTCTGTATCGCTCAGGGTAACGGTTGGCACTAACATGTGCAACTAGTTTCATTGATATTATGCTGGCGGCGTTCTTCCTCCTCGCCGTAAGACGGCAGCAGACTCAAGAACCCGAGGAAGAATATTTTACATCTCGCTCCCTCGAAGCTCCTCCACAAGTACGCATCCAAGACACTTTCCAAGCACGATTCCTATTAACGCCTTCCTAGCTCCCACCCTTCACCCCCATCCATCATCACCGCATTTCCTTGCCCTACCCACCTCCCACAGCTACACCACCGAATCGAAACCCGCACCTCTCTCCAACCATCATCCCCGTGGCTCCCGAACGCCAGCCGCAACGACCACAACGACAACAGCCGCCCTCGCCACGGGAAACACACCAAAACCAACGACAACAACCACACCAACCACACCGCCACCACCACCACCACCACCACCAACCTTCCCTCTCCTCCAAACCCCTCCCCGCCCTCCCCCCCTTACCACTCCCCCCCCTCACCCTCTCCCCCACAACCCCCCCAAACCGCATCGCCCTAATCCTCCACCTCACCCACCTCCAAAACCCGCGCACCGGCCACTGGCCACCCTCCCCGGAACTCACCACCCTCCTGCACGCGTGGACAGGCGGGCGCGGGGCCGTGGCGCCCGGGGGACGCGGGGCGACGGCGCTGGCGCACGCCTGCCTGACCGAGCTGTGCGGGCGCGTGTGGGCGGCGCAGCGGGAGGGCCGCGAAGGGGAGGTGTTGAGTGCGGAGGAGTTGCGGGTGCTGGAGGGGGTGGGGTGGGATTTGAGGTGGGTTGAGGGGAGGATTGGGAGGGCGGGGGGGTGGTTGGAGAGGGGGGGTGATGTGTAAGAAAGGGGGAAGGGGGGTTCTGTGCGAAGGGGGGGGGGGATGATTGAAGAAACCGGGAAGGGGGGGTTGTTTTTGGGAGGCAGGAAGGGGAGTGACGGGATGGCGTTTGGGTTCGGGACCGGGTTATAGGATAGTATTGGGAGGTGGATGGCGTTATTGGGGATATTGTTTGTACAGTAAAGGTTTTCCGTCAGCGATGGCAGCGATGTGGCATGTTTGATGATATATGTATATTATGTAACCGACTTTAAGTCGTATCAAATCCGGAAGAGACGGCCATCGAGGCGCCGTTCACGCTGTCACTTTTATTTTAACACTTCGACGGACTGCAAACTATGAGTTCAACATCATTCATTCATTCCAACATAACTCACATCACACCAAACACACACAACAACAAATCCTTCGGGTATCCCAAGCCCACCAAGCCGTCTCTCTACTCCTACGCAACCCCCTACCCATCAAGAGCCCTGCGCTGCTGCTGCCCCTCCCACGTCTTCCGACACACCTCCTTCATAAGCCGCTTCGGCGCCATCCGCCCCGTCATCAACTCAAACGCCTCAATCGCCATCTCCGCCACCACCTCCAGCCCATCCACCACCACCCACGGCGGCGACATGCTGTCCCGCAGCGCACGCATCTGCGCGACCAGGGGCGTTACCGGGGGCTCATACGCCAGCTACAACACACACACACATAGACATGTCAGCAAAGTGCACCACCCCAAAACGAAACAAAACAAACCCAGAACAAGAGAGGAACAGCTTACCTCAACCACCACACCGCCGGTCGGACTCCTGAGCCAGTTGAGCGGCATGACGAAATCCGCCGGCGGGCTGCCGTCCGCGCTCGTCGCCGGCACGCACGAGACGACAATGGTCGGCAGCTGGAAGCCGGCGGGCCAGGGGACGTCCAGCGAGGTCAGCACGCGGCACACCTCGACGGCGCCGGCGTCGTTCACGCCGCCCGGGGGGGGCCACCGGTTCCCATTCACCGGCTGCTGCTGTTGCTGTTGCTGCTGGGCAGCGGACGCGAGGGCGGCCTGGCTGGCGGCCCAGGCGTTGAAGTGGGCGGCGACGTCGCGGGCGCGGTCGGCGGAGCGGTTGTAGACGAAGACGTGGCGGCAGCCGAGCTGGTAGAGGGCGTAGATGGCGGCGCGGGCCATGCCGCCGGCGCCGACGACGAGGGCGGCGGTGCGGGAGGGCTGCACGTGGTTGCGCGGGCTGATGGCGCGGCGCAGGCACGTCAGGATGGAGCTCCAGTCGGTGTTGTCGCCAAAGAACTCGCGCGCCGGGCCGGCCTTGTTGCGCGAGTTGGCGTGGTCGAGGATCGCGCTCGTGCGCCCGCGGAGAGGGAGGAGGACGTTGACCGCGCCGATGGCCGTCGCGTGGTGGGACTTGACCTTGAGGTGGGGCATGATGGCGACTTTGAAGGGTGCCGTCAGGCAGGCGCCGCCGAAGGCGTCGGCGGAGCAGATCTCGTTGAGCGAGTCGAGCGTCGAGCAGGGTACCGCCTGGAAGGAGTGCGGCATGTAGGCGAAGTCGTAGGCGGCCGCGTGCATGGCTGGTGATAGGGAGTAGGAGACGTGCGAGCCGAGGACGTAGTATTGTAGGGGGTCTAGCAGGAACTGGCGGAAGAGGAGCTCGAAGGAGTGGGATGAGTTGGAAACGGTTGCGAGGTGGTCACGCTCGTTTTCCATGTCTGGGTGCTTTACGGGGCCAAGGATACGGGTTTGCAGCGGGGTGCGCACGCCCAGTACGGAGAAGTCGTAGGCGACGAGAGGGGGCTTGGGGTCGGGTATGGCGTCGCGGAGGCGCTTCCTGAAGTCGTCGAGATACTCGACCGGGCTGTCGTTGGAGCAAAAGCGCACCATCCGGACAACGTCGCATCCGAGGGCTTGGGCGCGCCGGTAGTTGTCCAGCTGCTGCTCGTCCTGCCAGGGAAGGGCCCCGAACCCCATGTACCAGTAGTTGCCGATGATCTTGGATCTGCCCCGGCGCCGCATGACGCCGTTCACCAAGGCCTCGTCGCGTTGTAGGTCAACGCTGACGTAGTCGACACCGAGGCGGACACCTAGCTCTAATAGCTCAGCATCCATCGTGTTTTTCTCGTCTGGCGGCCTTCGGCGCTCTCCGCGGGGGTTTTCCTCGACGTGGTAGATAATCGGGACGCCCAATTTCCTCCTTATCAAAGCGACTTGCCGTGCGATGATATTCAGGAGGTCGTCAGGCCAGTGGTCAATGATAAGCTCGACGCAGTCGCCCCTTGCCTCGAAATCTTCCCATTCTAAGTCCATGTCCATGAGATAGGATAATCGGAGCCGCAGAGAATATGAGTAGGAGCGAAACTCTGGTGGAACAGCGGCGACGGAGAAGGGGCTTTCCAGCCATGCTTTGGCGGCACCGCGGCCTGTGATAATGTCGAGGAATCTTGCAAAGCTTTCTTGGACGGATAGGAGTTTTGAGGGTCCAGGGTGGCGGCCGCTCATAGGTGTACTCGCCCCGGAAGTAGCCCCTGAGGAGGAAGGGGGGGTGGAAGGGTCGTAGAGGTTGTAGTATTCGAAATTGGAGCAGTTCCTATGCTTCCCGTCGGCTTCTAGCAGCTGCTGAGCGTCCCCCGCATCCATCAGACGGGCGATCTGTTCCTTCTCGCGGTGTACGTACACCACGGGGTTTGTCCTCGAGTACAGCCGCAAGGCATCCTGGGCCTCTTCACTAAAACTGCTCATGCCGCACTCGATGATGCACCCGGACCGGTTCGTGTCCAGCATGCGCTTGAACACCTCGATGTTCTGGCGGGCGAAGTGGTCTCTTCCGTGCTTAGCCAGATACTGTCCCCGGGATAGCCCTGTAACCTTTTCGAAATAGTGGTCCTCAGTCACCAAGCGCCGCCGGAGATGGAGGGCGCCCATGAAGCCCAAGGTGCGCTTGCCGGCCCCCCGGCAGCCGACGAGCACGATGGAAGCATTGGGTTCGAAGACGCGTTCATTCCTAGGCGGTGCCATCTTCGGGTACCCTAACCGTGATGAATGCGCGTTACGGTCGAGAATGTTTTGCCTTCAGTCGACGCTGGGCGTGTATTGATGGTTGCCAGGTTGGTGCTTGGTCAGGTGGTCCCGGGGGGGTGATTCAGTCACCTGAAGTTGCGTCGAGGGAGAGGAGGGACATTGCTTCGTTGATTCAGGTGAGACGGGGAAGAACATGGGAGAAGCTACCTATGTTTGAGATCAATTATTTGATTCCCGCCTCCCATGCCGTCAAAATGAAGGCCGAACCGGTAGTCCCCCGTCCTGACGTTGAATTTGTCGGCAGATTAGTCGGGATTGTCTAACGGGGAAAAATGTAGACCCTGCTGTCGATCCCCGCTGCCGTTCCATGCCCCACTGCCTCAACTCGATTCCCGGCTTTCGGGGGAGTGGGTCCCCCCGCTTCGGCGCCCTGTAGCTGCCCCAGGTTGAGTCTGGAACATCTGCTGTGTCGCTCTTTCCAGTGAGGATGCACCAATGACTTGCCACTGTCGACAGATTCCCCTTTCTCGCTAAACTTGAAGTTGAGATGTCGTGTTGCATTCGGCCGTTAGGTAACCCCCGGAGCCAGAGCTGAAGTCTTCCGTAGCACCGGTCCCACTTTTAAGCCGGCGCCCATAATTTTGCTGAGTGAGTGGCTGCCCGTTTGACGAACCCCACGTCTGGTTCGGCTCAGCCAGAGGTTTCTCCAACCAAACCGGCGAGAGAGCGTGAGAGAGGCTTGAACTTCGGCTCAGGTCCACGTTGCATCGTCCGATTGCCCCTCAGCCTCATTTATTTTCTTCACCTCAAAGATTGCCCTCGGCCGTATGGACTTAGTTTACCGTGGCCTAAGATGGAGCTAGCCTCAGAAGAGCCAGCAATTGGCGGTCAATCGACGCAACGGCACAACTCACAACAAGTCAAACAACAACAACCTACAGCTACACCACCCTCCAATGCGGCTCCGGCTAGCGATGCCGGGGCCGACGCCGGGAGTGAGGCGCCCATAAACCCACGCAAGAGGAAGAAGGCATCCCGGGCGTAAGCTACTTCTCGGATTAATCACCCCCCCTTCCATCTTGTTTACTTACTCACCCCCAACTGAACTAACCCCCCACACCCAGCTGCGACTTCTGCCACGTCAACCACCAGCCGTGCGACAACGGCAAGCCCAAGTGCGGCGTGTGCACCAAGCACAACAAGCCGTGCCTGTACCTGCGGCCGACCAAGCGGCGCGGCCCGCAGAAGGGCTACCGCACGGCGCTCAACACCTACAAGGAGAGCGCCGCCGCCTGGGGCGCCGTGCTGGGCGCCATCCCGGGCCTGGACGCCCTCGTCGAGGGCCACCTGCGCGGCGCCGCCGGCAACGCCGTCGTCGCCTCCATCAAGGACTCCAACCAGCAGGACGCCCTGATCGCCAAGTGGCAGCAGAGCTCCGTCTTCAAGGCCTTCTTCGGCCACAACGGCCCGCCGCCGGCGCTGGCGCAGTCGGCGGCGGAGGAAAGGGGCGGCGCAGGGTTACGGGGGAGTCCTGCTGTTGTTCCGCTGTCGGAGGAGGCCGAGGAGGACGAAGAGCCCGGGTACGAGACGCCGTCGGTGCCGGTGCCGGTGCGCTTGCCGCCGGTGAGCAGGGTGTCGCAGCCATCGACGAGTCGGCGGAGCCAGTCGGTGTCGAGCTTCCCGCCCGCGCCAGAGCTGAAGGCGCTACCCGCCGCGATGGGCCCGCCGTCGCCGTTCCAGCCGAAGGACTCGCTGTCGGATCTCGTGGCCAAGGACGCCGCACAATCGTATGGACCTCTCCATCTTTCATTACCTAGCTTCGATCTAACCGGGTGTTTTGTTTAGGTCAACGCGAGCCGCGCAAACGCTGGCTTCACTTGGGTTCGCGCCGGACGAGACCATCGCCGATTTCTACACCATGGGCTCCAACCCGGAGCCGATCCCGGAGCCCAACGATGCCGACTTTGACCCTTCCCTGGGCAGCGAAGCGGAGCAGAGGGCGTATTACGAGCTGCTCATGGGGCGGGCGTTTCCAGGCTGAACTGTGTACCGCCATTGCACCGATGTACAGTCGATTAATCAACCTGGCCACGGCTTCGTTGAGATGTGGCCTCATCCGGTCCCCGAGAGGTTCCCCGAGAGGTTCCCTGTAGGATCTGGAGCTTCCCCGTCGTTGGATGTGTAAGACGGTGGATGGTTGGGTATGATCCTCCACTCAATTGTTCAATCTCGAGGCTAACCAGTGGCAGGATAGATAATGATGTGCGAATTGATACCCGCCGGTATGGCAACTCTGGAATAGACCAAAGGACAGCAATGTTTCCGAACCAGGTCCTCCTCAGTGAATGTGTGGTGAAACCGCGGGCCACTTAAGTTTCACAATTCGCACGATTCAACGTCAAACGCCTCGAGTCCATGTTGGCTTCAAAGTGATAAATTACTCGAAGCCTATCTCTCGTGGGTATATTCTGCGCCACTTCTCCTCGGGGAGAATGCGCCAGGTACCCCCACAGAGACAAATGCCCGCCTTGCCTGATACCGCAGGAATGCAAATAAAGATAACAAGTTGAGGTACTGTGTGTCCCCTCAGTGCCGTGAGGCAGTCCAGTTCCCATCCCAAAGCCCGTCCATCCGAAAAGCCATAGTATGCATACAACACCCGCTAACATGCTTCAAAGAGAACACTCGGAAAGAGAAAATAAGGAGAAATGAGACAAGTCCACCGAGTACGGAATGAACGTCCTTCTAAGAATGAATGCCGGCCAGGAAAAAAACAGGCAGCTCAGCCAGAAAACGAAGCGAACGAAGCAAAGGGATCAAACCAGCTCAAACCAGCTCAAACCCACCCTCCACCTCCCTCATCTCCTCAACCCCATCCCCATCAGCCGCAGCCGCCGCCGCCGCAGCCGCATCCCTCTCCTTGGACGCGCCCCTCCGCAACACAGCCCTCGCCCGTCGACCACTTACAGCGTCCCCATTCCCATCCAGCACCTCGTACTCGCGCTCGACGAGGCGCTCGGTATCGCGCCCGGCCGTGTTCTTGACAAACACCTCGAGCGTGAGGGGGCGGCCGGGCGTGTCGGCCCGGTCGAAGCTGTACAGCACCTCGGCGTCGGCGGACGGCGCCGTGGCGGGGGCCGGGAACAGGCCCCGCGGCAGGTCTACCGGTAGGGAGGCGGCTTCGATCTCCGTCTGGCAGTGCATCTTGCTGCGTCGGCGGGCTGGGGGCATTTCTGAGGCGGAGCGGGTCTTGACGATGTTTTGGGACATTTTGGCGCGGTGGTACCTGTTTTTTGGGGAGGTGGGTGTTAGTGATGGGGGAGGAGGTGGTGGTTGTGGTGGAGATGGGGGGGAGGGCATGTGCTTACGCCTCGCTGGGCCGCTTGTTTGGCCTGCACTTGGCGAACATGTGGTCGGGCGCCGTGGCGCCGGTGCGGAAGGTGTCGTCGCAGCTGTTGCGGTCGATGCCGGCGAGGTATCGGCTGCCGTGGGCCCACTTGACGTTGGAGTCCTTGCCGCGGCGCCACTCCTTGTTGGCGGACCGGAGGTCGCGCTCGTACTGGGTGGAATCGGCGGCCATGGTGATGGATCGAGCGGGTGAAATGTTGGGGTTATTGGGTTTCTCTGGGAGTGTCTCGGATGCTGCGGGCATACGAGAGTGGGAGGCTTGGTAGCTAGGTGATGATGCTACCGGATGGATGAAGGCCGAGCAGCTGGAAGTTGGTTGTGGAAGAGGTGTCCGGTTTGCACAAAATGTTTGGGGGATAGTTATGCCCCAGGCCTTTGAGAGGATGGTAGGAAGCCGGAAGAGGGCTGGGTCCTTCTTCTTCCTTCGGTGGCTGTCAAATGTGACAGCGGGGTTGCCGACGGTTTCTTCTTTGTGTGACGAAGAGACAATACCGAGCTTCCTTTGTTACCGCAGGCTTGAGCTCGTTTTAAAACGAATGGTTGGCCTCTTTCGGTCGCCGGCCGGGTGACTCAGAAAGGTGTGGTTCCAGGGGTGAATGACACGAGCGTCCGAATTGATAGCGATAAGCGATGCCGATATGACAGAAGAGCAGCGGCTGCAGGGGTTGCTTGCGGTGAGGATAAACCGATAAAGAAAAACAATAGTGTGTGGATAATGAGCAGTTTAAGATATTTGGATGAGTGATTTGTCTTATTTGAAGTTGCAAAGGAAGAGATTTGAGACAAGACGAGAACGGCGCAGAGAGGTTATAACAGCTTCACGGGACTTATCGGACTGGCTTTGGGATGCCGGAGTGGCAGCTGATAGCAGCAAGGCTCAGCAGGGGTGGCGTATCTCCAACTGTGGGGCGGCCGGCAAAGTGACAAGTGACGCCAGCCCGGCGTATGACCAACACCGCGACGGGTACGAGGAGAGGCAGCTGGCAGCATCTCAGCCAGGGGTGTGGAGCTGATGAGGAAGGGGCGGGTGACCAGGCCGGTTCTTGGCTTCCGACCAGGCGTTGGTCCTGGCTGGCCCTGGCTGACTCCGTGCCTTTGTTCCCACGGTTCCGTTCGCCGATGACGAGATGGGCCAGGAAGGTTCTCGCAGCAGGGCAGCCGGCTCGATTACGCAACTTGTTTTGCCCGCTCTGAAACAAACGGACCCCGATACCTCTCCGCATTCATCGCCAGGCCAACTCACACAAACGGAGCTCAGGGCGGCCATCGTCATCCCAAGTTCGTTAGCATCCCCCTGCCTTGGAACTGGGCCGAGGCGATATCCATGATAGCGCAGTTGCAAGCACATATGATAGAGAACAGTTCCCAGCGCGAGCTCGCTCAGGGCATCGGATGTGGGCCACCCTGATTCATGCGTCGCGCCGTGGATGCAAACGGGAGAGATGGGATGCCTGACGCACCTCCCATTAGTCGCGCTTCATCTTTGCTACTTGCCGGTCACACCGGACCAAGGCGGCAGTGCGAGTCGCGTAGCAAGTCGACCACTCCATGGCTGCCTCCTTTGCCCGTGTGTTGGTTTCGATTATCAATGGCCGTGGCCTTGGGGCGAGGCACCCGAAGAGGCGCCCGGAGACGGCCGCAATTGCTCAACGCGGTGCCGCTCGATGGGCAACATGTCCCAGCCCCGAGCTGCGATTGGTGAGCCCTGGTGTTGTGGTGGGCAGGTTGACGAGTTGGAGACGGGACTCCCCAGACGAGGCTCTAAATTGCATGCAGCGGGTGGTGGAGACCTGCAGGAACCCCCCCACCGTCCCCAGAGATACCCGCCGCGTCACGTCACTGCCATCGCCGCTATCTGCCTCCTGTTGGTCTGCGGTTGGATCATTGGCAAAATCCTCGGCTTGCACCATCTCCTCGCATGGTTCTCTAGGTAGGATCCTATCATCGTTCCCCGGGATTTACAACGGTGGGGAAGGGGGGATGTTCAGACGCTGTTTCCGGTCCCTGAACTTCCGGCAGGCACTTCCTTGCCTGTTATTGCGGGGTTGCATGGCGGCCGTGATAAGCTGATATGCTTGGATGGAAGCACGAATTCCGGCGCCCAACCCCAACCCTCGCCCTCCCAATGCAATGAACGATCGAAACACTTCAACACCAGCATTTCCGGGATCCTCAGGTTATGTATGTACCTGTGTAGATACGTTCAATGATACATCTATCTATATGGGTATTGGTGAGGCTTCAGGGGTGTACTCTGGAATTGCCTGGTGGGTTGACCGCCAACCCTGAGGCGACCAGTCTTCCCCGCTCTCCATAAACTCTCTTGGAGGAGGGGTTATAGAATATCTGACCAGCACGTAGTGGCCGAGGGAGACCACAGGACCTGCTTGCCGGCGAACCATGGTGACGCATAGACGCCATGGGATACTAACCACGACGTGGAAAAACAGCTCGGTATCTCCATCCAACAATATATCATTGACCCTTTTCGCCTCGCCATACTTCTTTGCCACCATCATGAGGACGTCAGCTGGTTCAAAGCGCCTTTCGTTCAGGTGTCGCGCAAGAAGTGTAGCCGTTTCTCTTCCGGAAGCCCACCGAGGTTCCGACGCTTCAAGTTGTTCAAGGGTCCAGATAAGTACGTTTCCAGCCAGCTGAGTGATTGGCAGACACAGGTCGGATAACCGTAAGTGTGGCATTGGATCGTATTTGCCAAGAGATCCTCTAAACAGCAGAAACGATGCAGTATCTCGAATGACCTCTTCTTCGGATTTCTGGTAGCATGGGTAGAATGTCTCCGGGTTGCATGCATCCTCTGACATGCCGAGCAAGGCGTAGATTCTGTCCCGGACTAGAAAAGACTGGCTGTCTGCGAATTTGGCGAGAAGGACGTGTAAATGGCGATTTGATGACCACCAGGTATTTTGTCGAATTCGCGGCATGATGTCAAGGACCGCTTGAGTGTGCTCATTGACGGCGAGTTTCATCAGAGAGGGCATCAAGGCGAAAGTTCGTGCCGGACAGGAACCCCGCCCACACAGAACCCTAGCCGTCCTCGCGTTGGCAACTTCCTGGAGAATCCTGTCCAATAATATCAGCTCTTACACTTTCTGAGAGTAAAGAAAATAAGTCGAGGTCGGCATACCACACCCTCTTGAACCAGGGTCTTGTTAGGAGCTCTGTGAGAACTTGTTTCGGCCACGATAAGTCTGGCCACCGCTGGCTTATGGACTGATGGCAGAGGCTCATCCAGTCCTCCTTGTTTCCCGATGCCAGGGATTCGGTGGCTTTGTTGTCTATCCAACTAAAGGATTGCAGAAGGGTATCGGTGCCCTCGTGACCGGGGCCAAGCCAGATGAGCACTTCCTCTGCGCCTTTGTATATGTATCCCATCTGCTTAACCTGATGGCCCTTCTCTCGCGGGTCTTTCTGGTTAATGCAGATGGCGTCCACCCAGAGGAAAATATTTTGATCTGGACGCCGAATGTGCCGTAGAGCCGAGTACAGATTCTCTGTCAAGCTGATCTGATGCCCGTCCACGAGGACAAGGGGAAGACCGGGCTGTGGTTCATGCTGAAGGCCTCCCCAGTTGTACGACAGAGCTTTGTACGGAATGCCCTTTTCGGTTTGGAGGTACGATTCACACAGCTCGCAGATGATGTCCTCTCCCGGCCACCCTTTGCGGATGTACAAGAGTCGAATAGACGACTCACTGAGGTCGAGCGGCGTGTATGGGAAAGTGGCCATTGGCTTGCGTGGAGCCCCAGGATAGGTAGGTGAAGAAGCAAATGTATCACCAGAGTTGGTCGGAGAACTTTGGATTTGACTTGGGAACGTTGACTACCTATTGGGCTCGTTCCCCTCTTATTTTCTCCCACTATGCCACCACAGTTGGGGCCGCCGATGCGTGCTTCTGCACTGCCCCCTGTTGTCATTGGCCAGTGCAACCATGCTCATGAACATTTTGAGCAACGTGAAGCGGCCGCTCACGAAAGCTTTCCAGGTTACGGTAACTCGAGTTTGACCAGCATACTTATGTGCTGCGGGGTTAGAGATGGAATAATACAATTGAGCCACCCATGGTTTCCTCACCTCTTGATATGCCTCTTGTCTTGTCCTCGAACAAATACATGAGATGGACGAAAGGCCTGGACTGCTAGTGGGGATGTTCTCGGTACACGGGCACTCGGGCAGCAAATTATTATCCTGAAACCCATTTTTGGGTTGGCTCAGGCTGGCTTCAAGAGTTCAATTGTCATGGAAGCTGAGAGGGTCAGAGGTGCGCTGTGGAGCCTTTTGCAGTGGCTTTCGAACTGCTGCTGATCAGGCAGTGATGTCATTCGTTCAAGGCGCGCTGGAGCATCGCTGGGTGGGCCCCGAAATTTGAAGCCAAGACTTCCCGGCCACAGGAAGGCGACACCTTGATGGCAACGCGACCGAAACATCGCCATTCGAGTCCCTCAAACTAAACCAACAAGTCGCCCACCATGCCCTCCGACAAAGCAGCCTACCTAGCAGCACACTACCTCACATCCAGCAGCAAACCCTCATCATCCTCCACCAAAAAGCGCAAGCGCAAGCAACCCACCTCCTCCTCCGGCCTCCTCATAACCGACGACGATGAAACCGGCTGGGGGGGCAGCGCGGCCCAAAACGACGCCGAAGACGATGACGCCCCGCTCACCGTAGCCGGCGCGACGACCGACTTCCGCCGCACCAAGAAATCCGGCTGGAAATCCCTCGGGGGCGGTGGCAGCAGCGCCCGCCCCAAAGACACGACCCCCACAGCCGGGGACGCCGACGCAGACGCCATCATCGCCTCCGCAGCCGCCGAGTCCGCCGCCGCCGCCGCCGCCGAAGCCGCCGAAGACCTCGACCCTTCCGCAGACGCGTCCACTCCACAGATGATGTCCAACGGCGCGCTCGCCGGCCTGCAATCCGCCTCGGCACTCACAGCCCAACTCCGCAAGCGCCAACAACTCGAAGCAGCCGAGCTGGCAGAGCTCAAGGCCGCCGCGGCTGCCGCTGCTGCCGCCAACAACACCAACACCACCGCCGACAGCAACAACGAAACGGAGGTGATCATGCGCGACGCGACCGGCCGGCGCGTGGACGCGTCGCTGCGGCGCGCCGAAGCGCGGCGGCAGGTCGCCGAGGCGGAGCGGGCGGAGCGGGCGCGGCGGGACCTGCTGACGGGGGAGGTGCAGGCGGCGGCGGTGCGGGCGCGGCGCGAGCGGCTGGAGGAGGTCGCGCTGCAGCCCGTGGCGCGCGGTAAAGATGATACGGAGTTGAATGACGCGCTGAAGAGGGAGGAGCGGTGGAATGATCCGATGGCGGAGTTTGTGGCTGCTGATGACGGTGGTGGTGTGGGACAGCAGTCGTCTGGGGGGAAGAAGAAGGCGGCGGGGAGGAGGCCGGTGTATAAGGGGGGTGCGGCGCCGAATCGGTATGGGATACGGCCTGGGTATCGGTGGGATGGGGTTGATCGGGGGAATGGGTTCGAGGCGGAGCGGTTCAAGGCGCTGAATCGGCGGGAGAGGGATAAGGGGTTGGAGTATGCTTGGCAGATGGATGTGTAGCGAGGGTGTCACGACAGGTAGCCTTGGGCTGGCAAAGGGTTGGGTGATGTGGTTGTGATTACACGTTGCAAAGGTCAGTGGCTAACAGGAATGAATGTGGTCATGATATGATGCGAGGTGATATCTCATTCTGAAGTGCCATAGACGACCCTCCCTCAGGATTACTAAAACGACGTTTCGGGCCGTGTCGCTCATGACCCTAATTTCAAAACTCGGATTGCTTCCCCGTAACCGAACACCAATGCCATTCTAGAAACCACCTGGCAATCAACGGAAACCATTTCATCCTTCAACCTCTGTGCATGGGCCGCCGCTCAGCCGAATCGGGCCAAGTATACCTGCCTCTGAAACCAAATCTCTGGGCCATGGCATATTCGACGGCGCGATAGCGTTCCAGTAACGCTACCTAACCGGACTTGGGCCGTAGAAGCTTGTCCGCCCCGTAGACGCCGTGGGCCTTGACCATCTGTACCCACTGCGTGGTGTTGATGTTGCCAGGCTTGTTCACGCGTCCCTGGAACTTCTTCATGAGATTGGACAGACTGATGCCCTCCTTGGCATACGGAGCCAGGGCCTCGGCAATTTCCCTGGGCTGGATGATATCGGGAGCCTGGCCTGGGGGTGGTGACCCGCTGGGAGTCGCAGCACCGGGCTTGGGTGCTCGGTTTGCTAGGGTGACGGGGTCAGCACGTTCCGAAGCTATGGTGAATGAACCCATTGACTCACCTCCTGGGGCGGGGCTGCCAGCCCTTGAACCTGAAGGCGTCGCGCCCGGCCGCATTCCCGCCTTCACCTTGAGCTTCTTCTTGAGCTTGGCGCCTGCATCCGATCCCTCGCCCGCCGTAGCCTCGCCATCGCTCATGGCAGCGCTCACCGGCTTTGGCCGCCCGGGGATCGGAGTCCCCCCACGGCTAGGGGCAACGGATGCTTTTCCGGTTTTGAGCTTCTTACGAATGGCTTCGTTGTCGCTCGACTCGGACATGTTGGGCGAACCGGCCCGCTTTAGCTTGCCCTTTTTGAGTGCATCGACCGTTCTCTGTTTCCCAGAGGGTGTCGTATTGCCCTTCGTGTTCGACCCAGAGGCACCTTGGTCTTTCTGGCTGGCCTTTTTGCCCTCTTCATCCTCCTTGTCTGACTCCTTTTCCGATTCCTCGTCTTCGGAAGCCTAGTACGTGTTAACAGCGAACGGAAATACCTGTATATCACAACTGTACTTACCGATTCGTCAGTGAAGGGGTTGTTCTGGTCGGAACCAGACTCCAGATCATCATAATCCTGCCCATGTTCAAGCTTCTTGAGGGTCTTGACGGTCTGTTTGCCCATCATTTTGCTTCGGATCTTCTCCAGCTGCTCCTCCCGCTCCTGTTTCTCGACCTTTTCCTCCTCACCGGCGCCAAAAGTGTTGGCTCCTACCTGCTCGCGGCGGATGCGGTCCTTGGCGTCCTTTGCATCTTCATCGTCATCCGCCTCAAAGTTGGGCGCCTCGTCATCGTCCTGAAATTCATCACCTGACATGTCAAGCTCAAAGTCATCCTGTCTCTCGGTCCTGCGCGCCATGCGCGAAGTGGCGCTCTCCGTCTTGACACGCGTGGGCCCGCCCAAGAACCGGCGCGTCTCGCTCTTCTCTCTCTCCATGAGCTCCTGGTCTTTCTGCTTCATTACCCAGCGCTTGATCTCCTTGACCTCGTACATCATCTTCTCGGCATCGTCGAGAGAGAGCGTATCAAACTTCGGCTTTTCGTCGAACTTGTAGTACCGCTCGAGCGGAATCATGCGGAAGCGCGCGCCATCGATAACTAGCGCAACGTTCAGGTCCGACAGGCTGGCGATATACGAACCGACCCACACGCCCGCCTTGCCCTCGGCGTCCTCTAGGTGCCACGGCCAAGTTTCCTCATAATGAATCTTGGATTCCTTCTTCTGCGCATCCGAGTTCCTCCCGTAGAAGGCGGTTGGCTTCTCCTTCTTGTTGTTTGGCTTGGGTTTCGGTTCGTTGGCTCTCGCAACAGGAGCTATCTGTGCTTGATCTAAGGCCCGTTGCGCCTCCTTGTCGGCCTTGAGCTGGCGGGCACGCTCAAACTCGGCGGCCTCGGCGGGATCTACGGGTGTCGACTCCTCCTTCATAACCATACGGTGGGCAGGCGGAAGTCTCGGGTCGCGGCGCAGCAGGGTGACTGGGCGCGGGAACTGGTCCTGGTTTGTGATGTCCACTACAGCATCCGCCTTCCCCTTGCTCGCTTCTCCTTTCGCGTTGCTTAGGCGCATTATATGGTGACGCAGACCCTCCAGGAGTGACCGCTTGGTCATTACCAAGGGAAAGTCTTTGTAAGTAGCTGGCGTTTTCTCCGTCCAGCCCCCGTTCTGTTCCCGGATTTGCGCCAGCTTGCGCATTCCGGGATCGCTCAGGTCATTGAGCACAGGCAATTCTTCCTCGTCTAGATCGCCTTTTCCTAGGCCTTGTCTTTTATTTGGTGGTTTCGAAAATACGGGCTGCGGCCTCTTTTTCTTTCTTGCCACGAGGGGATTGGCAGAAGCTGGTTTCCGAGGAGCGAACTGGGGACGACCAGGTGGGCGCGGGGGGCCATTGCCCGCTGGAGGAGGAGCGCTCATGACGGGTAGCGATTCAATCGAGTCTGCTCGATACAGCCTGGGGTGGATGGGGACAGTAAGTATTTTCCAACCTGAAGTGGTTGGCGGAGAAGGTCGTCCCTCAGGCAAGGCGCGTCGGCATAAGTCGCGTGGTGAAGAGAAGTACGTTTGTTACCCAAGAGAAATAAATGGTAGGGACTCGATTGGAATGTACCGCCGAATAAATACTGATCGAGAGTGAGAGTGTGGTCGTTGGGGGAGAATTGGTATGACGGATGGGGCAGGCAACGAACGGGCGATCGCAGTGAACATTGCAGGTAAGAAAGGAAAGCTGGGGTTGTTTGCGGCAATGACCGAGCGAACAAACCGGCCGAGAACAAAGGGCCCACTGAAAAGCAGCCGCACAGCATGCATGTGCACAGACCAATCTTGAGCCCGGCGGATAACCAGACTATGCCCACCTCAAGAGGGAGGAAGGTACAGCTCCATTACCATTCACAATACTGGCCCATTGTGTACCTTCCCCTTCCTGCAGTGCCTGCCGTAATATCGCTCGGGGCCCTACCCCAGATTGTTCCGGCCTAGAACAGGCCAGTGCCACGTTCGCTCGCCGGGCCTCGACTCCAATCCCGAATCACCGACCCACATCCACCCCGAACAGCGTCCATGAAAGTCAGTTCCAGCTGCACCGCCAGGTTGTTTTACAATTTCGAGGCTTTCGCCCATGGGAATGGGATTGGGGTTGAACTCAAATGCGCAATGTAGGCGGCTATAATTTTTTTTCTGAGCAATCGTCCCGCATCGCTCGGTCCTCAGTTGTTTATGGTGGGGTCACGATTTCACCCAAACTCCACCAGAACAGAGCAATCCATCCCGTCGCCGTTTGCTGGCAAACAAATTACCAGTGGTGTCCTTCGATTGAGAATATAGTTGCTGCAACTACCCGGTGCTCAACTCTGCCATTCTAAAATCCTACAGGTCTCCGCAGGTGGATGTCCCCGAGCATTTTTCTCCGCGCCCGCTTCAATTATTCTTCGCCTTGGGTTCCAGTTTCCATTCCTGGTTTCATTCCCTCAGACAGAGTTCCGCAGCACATTGGTATCTACCTCCTCAAATTGTTCTGTAACTGACGGAAGAACGACCGAAAAAGCAATCTTGAGCAGTAGTGCTGGTTATTGTTTCAGATAGTGCTGCCGGCGCTAAGTTGCGCCGCCTGTTGGCATCTCAGCTGGTTGCAAACAAGGCTGGGGCCGTCTTGCTTGGCTGTATAGAGTTCGGCAACGCTCCTTTTATCTTCGACACGTCAAGAAAGCAGAATTGACGAAAGCAACAACAAAACGTGGTTCTGTTTCTTATACAGAAAAGCCAGCACCACCATGGCAGCTCATGGCCAGCCCGGTGCAGGTCCCCTCGAGGACCGACTGCGCAACTTAATCCTCAATCACTCCGAGCAACCTTTGGAGAAATCGACACAACAGGCAGGCCATCAGTCGCCGCACCAGCAGCCTGTCACGAAAGATGGTTCACAGCCGGGACAGGATTCCCCGTCAGGATCGCCCTCACTGGGCAGCGCAGGCGCGCCGGCCTCATCAAAACCTTCTCGGAAGCGGCCGAACCAAGCGCAGCGTCGCCAGATGTCGGCCCAGCTCTCTATTCCGGTAGACACACGGCCTCAGTTCTCGCACTCAGATGGCCACCAGAATCAGCATCGTGGCAGGGGCGGCTACCGCGGGACCCGGCAACCGCACTCCGCCACTTTCCACCCACAAAGCCGGGAGAACGCCATATCGAGCGCTCCGGCGACCGGTGTGCCGTTGCAATTCCGGTCCCGTCACCAGTCTTCTCTCTCCTACCAGGGCCCTATGTCGACACCTAACCAGTTTGGTTGGCCACAATCTCCTATGCATCACACTGACCCGAGGGTGTCGTACTCGATGCCAGGCATGCAGCCCATGCCACCTATGACCCCCTTTGATGCTTCAGCGTCGATGCATCGGGCACAGCACAGCTCCGACTTTAACACCCATGGGAGACACTCTTATCCTAGGCAGGACGATCTAACAGCACAGTCAGAGCTGCTCGAGGGCCTCTGCAACACCATTGTTGCCGATGCTGAGATCGAGCCCGCTGAGATCGGGGAGAAGGAAACATTTCGCCAGATGATTGAACAAGTTGCCCGGTCCACCATCGCCGAGCACGAGAGGAACCGCAACGGTTTCAGCGACTTCCCCCCCGAGAGCGTACAGCTCAAATGCTTCGGTAGCCTTGCGTCTGGCTTCGCTACCAAGGCCTCCGACATGGACCTTGGCATCCTGTCACCGTTGTCACGCCTCCAGCCCGACGCCCCGGGCTCCATGATACCTAGGCTCATTGAAAAGGCCTTTCTTGATATTGGACTTGGCGCCAGACTGCTCACCCAGACTCGCGTCCCGATCATCAAGGTTTGCGAAAAGCCCCCCGAGGAGCTTCGCGTCGCGCTTGTGGCGGAGCGGACAAAGTGGGAAACAGGCGTGACTGATGACGGCGACGAACCCGAGGCGCACGACAGCCCCGACCTACAGAAAGCCGAGGTCGTCCCCGTCGCCCCGGAGGCTCAACACCAGGAAGAGACAATTGCCCCCGAGAAGAGGCTGCAGGGGCTAAAACAGGGCGAGGCAACCAGCTTGTCGAACTATTATATTGCTGCCAAACGCCTGCTGCGGAAGCTCGGCGGGCACGACATGACCCATTCGAACGCCTCGGAGTTTGAGATGGATCGCGTCAAACTGCTGAACCAAGTTTGTTTGGCATTTGTTGACGGGCTGGCTGACAAAGCGCTGCGCAACCGGCTGCTAAGTTACCACTCCCTCAACCGGTACGACCTCATTTCCCATGGCAACAATCCACGTACACTACTAGGGGTGTTTACCCAGATCGAGGGAGAGCATATGGCCTTGCTTTGGGACTCACGGCCCTTTCAGGAAAAAGACAACTCCCGCGAGGCTGGTGCGGAAAGCGTTGTGAGGACCTGGAGAGCGATTGCAGAGAAACCTGATTTTGGCCGGGATCCGCTCGGCTATCAAAAGGAGTTGCACTTCGCCGCGGAACAGCTGAAGAAGATAGCCTCCGTCCAGGTCTTGCTTCTTTCTCAGGCTCACAACGAGTCGGCAGCGAATTACTGCGCCAGGGCTTTGCGGCTGTTCCATGATCTGGGCGGGCATGACTCGCGCCAGAGGGCCGATACAGTCCTGCCAACCCTCGTCCAACATTATATCGGCGGTATTCTGAACCAAGAAACTCGGGAGCAAGTTCAGGACTTCCAACGAGTCCACCGAGTCAACCATTTGCGGGCCATTGGGCGCAGACACAAGTGTCTACAACTTGCCCACGAGTACGAAGTGTGCCTGGCAAAGGGTTTGTACCCAGAGGAAGCTGTGGCCAAGGTTCAACGCTATATTGAATTGTTGCGGGCCCCGATCACGGAATCAACGGCCGGCTACTCCCATGGCATGATACCCCTTACCCCGGAGTCCGCGCCGCTTCTCTCTGAGATCCGCCTACTTGGCGACCCATCACGCGCAGTCCCAAACCAGCCGCGAGACCGGTACAACAGCGCCCTCGAGTTTCCCAAATCCGGCGTCGGCGTGCAGTGCGACATCAACTTCTCCGCGCACCTCGGGGTGCAAAACACCCTTCTTCTGCGCTGCTATTCCCACTGCGACCCCCGCGTGCGGCCGCTCATCCTCTTCGTCAAGCACTGGGCCAAGATTCGCCGCATCAACTCGGCCTACCGAGGCACCCTCGGCAGCTACGGCTACGTCCTTATGATGCTGCACTATCTCGTCAACGTGGCTCAGCCGTTCGTTTGCCCAAACCTGCAACAACTCGCCAGGCCTGCCGACCCAAACCTCACCCCGCAGCAAATCGAGGAGACGGTGAGCTGCAAGGGCCGGAACGTCCAGTTCTGGCGCGACGAGGCCGAGATCATGCGTCTCGCGCGCGACAACGTCCTCACACAGAACCGCGAGTCCGTCGGCGAGCTCCTGCGCGGCTTCTTCGAGTACTACGCGAGAGGCGGCTCGCCCATGGCCTCCCCGCCCTGCCGCAGCTTTGACTGGGGCCGCCAGGTGATCAGCCTGCGGACGCACGGCGGGCTGCTGCGGAAGGAAGACAAGGGCTGGACGGGGGCAAAGACGGTCCTCGAGGTCCAGCACGCCCCCGCTGCTGCTGCTGCTGCTGCTGCGCCGGGCCCCGACAACACGGCTCCCAACAACAACAACCTCACCCCACCCCCTCCGGCGGGCCAACCTGTCCCAGCCACAGCCCCGCAAACCCAGACCTCGCCTACCCAGATCCAGAACCCTCCCAGCACGCCTGCTGCCCAGGTCAAAGAGATCCGCAACCGCTACCTCTTCGCCATCGAGGACCCCTTCGAACTGGACCACAACGTCGCGCGGACGGTTACCCACGTCGGCATCGTCAACATCCGGGATGAGTTCCGGCGCGCGTGGCGCATCATTAAGAATGCTGGGCGTGGTGGGCAGGGTCAGGGGCAAGGAGGGAATCCTGGTAGCGGTGGTGGTGGTGGTGGTGGTGGGCAGGGTGGTGGGCAGGGTGGGAACCAGGGTGGTTGGAGACAGGAGGAGCTGCTGGAGGATTTGGGGCGGGCGGAGGAGATGAGGGAGACGGAGGCGTTTGCGAAGTTGTTGGAGGAGATTCATGGGGTTGGGGTTCAGGAGGGTGGTGGTGGTGGTGGTGAGGAATGAACGGATGGGGGGTGGGTGCATAGTGTACGATTTATGTGTGGGTTTCGAAAAGTCTGGCTGGTGAGGATGGGTATCATGTGTTCCGGTTACTTGTTGGAGGGAGTGGCATATGGAAGTTGGGGGCCATAGGCGTGTGTGTTTAGCGTTATTGGACGCGGTGTTGTCATATGTTTGCAAATGGAAGTCAGCGATGAACTCTTTTGTTTATGTCCGGGTTGTGACGTACAAGCTAACATGAAGACTGCAAAGCATATGCCCTGGGTGTGGAAGGGCTGTTTACCGGTGATGTTGCGGTGCGTGTGAGCCATCTCCGCAACTAATTCATGTTGCACTGTAAAGCCTTTTTTGGCCCCCTTTCCTCGCCTTGTTTACTTTCTTGACTTATTTTTGGCTGGCTGCTTGTCAACGGCCATCAAGACGAGGAACAATACTAAGAAGAAATTGATGATTCAACCGCTATGATGTAACTCCATACCAATACGCTGTATACTGAGGACACTTCCACCGCACCGTTCCCACGAACCCCATCCCCCGCCAGCGGAGGCAAACACCCCCTCCCACCACCACCGCTTCTACCATCCCCTTTCTACCACCCCCCCGACGCAAACAAACCCTCTCCACCCCCCACCCCCACCATTCCACACCACCTCACACCACCTAACACCCACCTCCAACCCCCTCCCATCCCAGCGAAGGAGAAGGCGAAGGCGACCGCGACCTTGACCTTGACCTTGACCTTGACCCTGACCCTCTGGCATGCACCAGCCCCCTCCCCACCCCCCTGACCAACCGTCTCACCCGCCTCACCCGCCTCACCCCCCTCCCCCTCCCCTCCCTCACCAAAGGAGGCGAACGCGAACGCGAAAGCACCCTGCGCCTCTCCATCTCCATCTCCATCCCAGCGCACAGCAGCTCCCGGATGCGCTCGTCACGCACGCGCACCTCCCGCAGCAGCCGCTTGTTGGCCTCGGCCAGGTCGCTGACGACGCCCGTCAGGCGGTCGACGCTGCGGGCTAGGGTCTCGGTCTCGGCTGTGGTCGTTGGGGGGACGGGGGGAACGGCGTGGATGGCGTGGTCTCCTACTAGGGGCCAGGGGGGGATGGCGCGCTCCGCTGGTGGGGGCGGCGGCGGGGTTGGTTCGGGTGTTGACACTGGTGTTGGTGGTGGTGCTACTGCTCCTCCTCCTCCTGCTGCTGCTCCTGCCCCTGCTGTTGGGGGGCTGGATGAGAGGGCGATGACGAGCGGTGGGGGGGTTGGTGGTGGTGTTGTGTGTTGGGGGAAGCACGGTTGGGGTGGGAGGTGAGGTGTTGCTTTCGGGTAAGAGGGGGGGAAGGCTTGTGGTATTTGTGGTGGTTGTGGCTCCGGTTCTAGTGGCGGGAGTTCCCGCAGCTCGTTCTGCGCTTGGTCGTGCGACTCCTGCTTCCCCCGGCGGGCGACGGACGCGGCCTCGGCGCGCACCTTGCGCTCTTTTGCGGTGGAGTGGGAGATCTCGTCGGCGCCCGGGATGCGGAGCGCGTCGGCGTACATGCGCCAGATGAGGGCGAGCCTCGGCCGAAACACGACATTTCTCCTGCAGATTTCCTGGGTGGCGTGCCTGATTAGGTCGCGGCGGGTCGGGAGGTAGGCCCAGCAGATGGAGCAGATGGAGGGGCTCTCGTGCCTGGGCTGGCCGAGGACGGCGGTCAAGCCGGTGATAGTTTTGCAGGATCCGCACGAGGAACTCGAGTTATGGTTGAAGGGCCAGTCGGTCGGACAGACGGTGAAGTACTTGGGCGATTTCGGGATACTAGCCACGGGCTCCCGTTCGCCTCGGATGAAACAGTGCTTGTTACTAAAGTGTTTTCTAGTAGGTTCATTAGTGCATACCTCACCACGCCGGCAAGGAGGGACTCACATGAAAAAGTAATACCGGCCACTCGTTGCACGGCACAAGTGAAATAAGCAGTCTTTTTGGGCCCTCTCATCCGGGTTTTCTGGGGGGTGCTTGAGGAATGGCACATTATCACCACCCTTCCGTACTGGCGCCTTCTGATCCGGATGCCTTTGCCCATTCGCGTTCCCGTTCGCGCTAGGTGTCCCGTTTTGTTCTTGAATATTCTCCACGTACGGCTCACCACCGATCGTGCCGCCGAGTGTTCCAGAATTGCCATTTCCCCGGGTTTCCTCACCCAAGGGAGGCAGGGAGCGAGGTTGACTCTCCATAATGGATTTGTTAGCATGTTCTTTAGGTGGCTGCATTGCGTATGTCTGTGTGCAAGTCGAGGCGCTAATGGCGAGTGTAAGAAAAGGCGTAGCAAACAAGGGAGGAAGAGAGGAAAGAGGGTCGCAGGTTAGGTAGATCCGAAGTCGAGTCGGATGCGCCTGCGAGGTAACGACGTCGTGCCAAGATGCAGAGGAGAGTTTCACCAGGACGAGGGCAGGTGCAGAGTGTGTAAAACTACAGCGTTTATTTCAGCTGTCTTTTTCCCCCTTCTCGAAGGTAGGGTTTTCTAATATGGAAGCCCCCGACTGTTACTAGCTCACAGGGTACAAGTTTAGCATGTCACGATACAGAGACATGTACCGAGGAGTTCTCTTGCCCCTTGCCCACCAACCTTGCGGAAGCAACTCTAAACAGAGTCGGGCAAAGGGCCTTCTGTCTCGGACAGTCCCGAAGGACAAATGATCTACCAACGTTCCGTTAAGAGACACGCCCTGGGTTGGACAATTGCTCCTGCTGTCGTAAGTGACAGCATCGTTGGGGGTGATGAGGTTTGCAAGGGCAGAGCCCGTTGCAGATATTTGGAAGGGGGATTCACTGGCGAGTGGGCCACCCGTCCTGACTGAAATGGTCAATTCGGTCTATCCATGCTTCCCCGTGCAATGTCAAAAGAGGAGCGCCGCCAAACCGATACCGTCCAACGCCAACGCTTGTAGCCGGACGCCGCCGAGCTCACCGAGGAACAGAAAATGCCTCCGTCTGGCAACCAAGAGCCAGACAAAACAGTGAGAGAAGAATGAGAAAGAACCTGCCGAGATGATGATTTAATCCATGAGGTGTTGGAACAGTGGCGACATTGACTCGCCGTAATGGTTCCGCCGAATCGCCTCGGCCAAGAGGAACGACAGGTCGAGAACCACGAGCTTGCTCGCATTGCGCGCCTTGTGCTCCGGAATAGGGTAGCTGTTGGTCACGACAATTGTGTCGATACAGTCGCAAGCCTGCATCTGCTCCAAACAGTCTCCTCCAAAGACGCCGTGGGTGGCGATGCAGTAGACCTTGCTGGCACGGCCGCGCTTAACCACCGTTTCTGCAGCTGCGATCCACGATCCTGGCTTGTCGATCATGTCATCGACGATGAAGACTGACCGGCCCTTGACATCGCCCACTAGCGTTATCGTGCGCTCGACCTTGGGGTCCTTCAGGATGTCGTCCTCTTCATCCGAGCTCGCTCCCACATCCCCGGAGCCGCCGAGGGCGTGCGGCTGGGGCGCGAAGAACGAGGACGCATGCGACAAGGTCATCGGGTCATCGTCTGGCACATTCGTATCGGCCACCGACGTCGCCGGGGAAGGAAAATCGTCCGGGACGATATGGCCTTGCACCAGCCGGCCATGCGTCACCTCGTGGGCTCGCTGATCGTTATACTCCAGTCCGTCCGCCTCTCCGTCTGCCTCCTCGTCCAGCTCATCAATGACCGACGATTGCGATAGCGTAGTCTGTGAGCGTCTCGGGGGAGACTTGCGGTGGGCCGAATTCCGCGAATGCGTGCCATTAGCACGCATTCGCGGTGATCCTTGAGCATCCGCGGTGGTGCGGGAATCTTGCGATCGCCCGCCGTCTGTAGCGGAGGTCCCGTTCTCAGGCTCTGACGAGTAGTTGGTACGCACCTGATTGCTGATGGGGTCGAGCACCGGCTCCCGCTCGATCCCGTCGAGCGGGTACGAGATCATGCTGGCTGCCATGCTCGGGCCCGGGCCCCTCTTCTTGTCCGTCGTCACCATGCCGAAGTTGAGCTTGAGGGCGTCGGCCAACGAGGTGACCCGCTTGGTGCCACCTGCATTTTTTGACACCACCACCGCCTCTTGCCACCTCGGCACGTTGCGACGAATCCAGCGGGCGATTAGAGGCTCCGCGTGCAGATTGTCTACCGGGCACTTGAAGAAACCTTGCATCTGCGACGCGTGGAGATCGACCGTGACGACGTGCTTGACGCCGGCAACTCCAAGGAGATTGGCTAGCATCCTCGCGGTTATGGCTCCTCTATGCGACTTTTTCTTGGATTGGCGGCTGTACGGGAAGTACGGCAGCACAGCTGAAGGAAATCCCGGTCAACCGCTGAACCCATCGTCGAAAAGTGCCTGCGAATTGGGGCATTGAACGTGACGTACCGGTGATCTTGTTTGCAGAGCCGCCCTTGCAGGCAGAGATCATGATGAGCAACTCCATGATGGTGTCGTTGATCTTAGGGCTGCCCGACTGGACGACGAAGACGTCCTTCTCCCGAACACTAGTGAGGATGCGGACGCTCGTTTCGCCATTGGAGAATTGGGTGAGCTCGGCGTCAGCCCGCGCCATGCCTAGGTTATGGCATATCTTGTCTGTGATGTCGGGGCACGAGCTGCCCGCGAAAATCAAGGTGCCGCGCATATCGGATGGTGCTCGGGTGAGGTTGCAGAAATAAAAGTGTGAATTTTCGGTTTGCCCCGAGAGAAAAAACGGTTAACCACTCAGCAAGTGGGCCAGTCAGAATTTCAATTCAGGAAGAGACCCGCAGCTGGTGGGGAGTGCTGCCGGAGTGTTGCCGGAACCGGAGCCGAGGGGAGGGGAAGGGAAAAGCGAGACAAAATTGAAGGGTTCCTCTTGAGTATAAACGGGGAACGCGAGTTTGAGGGAAAGGAATTGGGTGTTTGTAGTGGGAAGTTCTGAAAGAGCGGTAAATAAAAGAGACCCGGGAGTGATACGGAGAGAAGAACCTTATTATGTCAGGAGCTGCAAGTTTGAGTCGAGGCTGCGGGGCCCCACTTTCCTTGTGGTCCCCGAAACTGAAGGTCTTGGCGGCCGTCAGGCGGCCAACGGTGACGAAGATGGCGTGGAAGCCGCAAGAATCTGGAACCCAGCGCTCGGGCCCGCTGACTGATCGGAGCATACTTTAGAGAACCGCTTCCATCGTGCTTCTGTTGCTGGACTCGCATTCGAACAACGACACCCGAAAACAGTTTATCCATCTTCCAGAGCGATTCAGACGCACTCTTAGCAACCAACTCGCTTCAACCTCGATATTTCCACTCTCTTCTTCCTCCGTGCACCCTTTCTCAAGCGGAACGGAACGTCCAGAATCCCCACTATCGATATCGCCCCCCAACCGGCGCCCGATTTCAGATCGAGAACCTCCATACCTACCCAGATATCGACCTCTCTAAACATGAGCGATCAGCCGGCCCAACTCAGATGGTCGGCTCAACTCCGCGTTGCACACCCGTCGCGCGTAGCAGCGAAGAACTTGCGGGGAGACAAAATCCTCCTGCCGCAGTCCGCCCTCGAGCAGCTACTTGCTGCCTCCACAACAACCGGCCCTTCGACGTCACATAACTTCACCGCATCGGATCCGTCTAACCCCTACTCTGTGGCCAATGCACGACAAGAGCTCTCCCAGTATCGTGAGAACTACCAACAACTACCTAACCCGTTAATGTTCCAGCTGGTCAACCCAACAACCGGGAACACTGTCCATGCTGGGATTCGCGAGTTTTCGGCTGACGAAGGTGAGGTGGCTTTGAGTCCCCATATCCTCGAAGCCCTCGGGATACAAGAGTGGGATGTGCAGAACAGCAAGGCCCCGCCAGTCGAGGACGGTGTGCTGGACTATATATCCGAGGTCGACTTTGGGTCCGACGATGGTGATGGAAATGGGAATGGGGCCCCTCAAATTACCATCAAGGCGAAACACCTTCCAAAGGGTACCTCTGTGCGACTTCGACCCCTCGAGGCTGGCTACGACCCCGACGATTGGAAGCCTCTGCTGGAGAGACAGCTCCGCGCAGATTTTACCACACTCACAAAGGACTCGATGCTATCGATTCAGGGTGCGAAGGGGGAGGAGTTCCGTTTCTTGACGGACAGGTTCCAGCCTGAAGGAGACGGTATCTGTGTAGTTGATACGGACCTCGAGGTGGACATCGAGCCGCTCAATGAGGATCAGGCGAGGGAAACGCTGCGCCAGATCGCTGCGAACGCCCAACGCGCACCGGGAACCGCGTCGGGAAGCTCGGCTGGAAGTACGATAGATATCTGGAAGGACGTTGAGGGCCAGGTTCGTGAGGGAGACTATGTCGACTATGACTTGCCCTCATGGGACAAGAGACGCGCCATTGCCATCGATTTGACAATACACGATGACTGTGAGGTAGACATCTTCGTGAGCCCCAAAACCAACAGGCAACGGGCAGTTCCACGAGATACCGAACACACTTTCGGCGATTTTTCTTCGCCGAAGGATGGGGTAAAGCACATCATCATCCAGCCGACGAACGTGGAGCTCGAAGGCGCCGAAAGCTTGATGATATCCATTCACGGCTTCTCTGATCCAAAGGTTGGCTCGGCACGAACAAAGCCATGTCGTTACACACTCCGCGCAAGAGCTACCGATATCCAAGGCTCTCCCGCCACCGCTGCCGAAACTGGCAGCCCGCAACTGTCTGCAGACGAAGAACAATGCGCAAACTGCCTGCAGGTAATACCGAAACGGACAATGATGCTCCACGAGAACTTTTGCCTCAGGAACAACATCGTCTGCCCACAATGCAAGGGTGTCTTCCAGAAACAATCTGAGGAATGGAAGAACCACTGGCACTGTCCCACCCACCCGGATGCTTACGGCCACGACGCTCAAACCAAGAGCAAACACGACCATGTCCAACACACGCAACACACCTGCGCGTCTTGCGGGCCATCCTCGACATTTACGTTCCCCTCACTCCCCGAGCTCGCCCGCCACCGCACGACGATCTGCCCGGGCAAGCTGATCCTCTGCCAGTTCTGCCACCTGGAGGTGCCGCAGGAAGGGGACCCGCTGGACCCGTCCTCGGAGGCGGAGACGGTGATCTCGGGGCTGACGGCGCACGAGCGGGCCGACGGCGCCCGCACGACCGACTGCCACCTCTGCGGCGCCATCATCCGGCTGCGCGACATGGCGGCACACACAACAAACCACGAGCTCGACAAGGCGGCGCGCGCGCCGCCCATCCTCTGCCGCGACGCCCTCTGCGGCCGCACCCTGCACGGCATCGGCCCGCGCGGCCAGGTCAACGGCGGCACCCGCATGGGCCAGGGCCCCGGCAACGACCTCGGCCTGTGCAGCCTGTGCTTCTCGCCCCTGTACGTCAACATGCACGACCCCGAGGGCAGGGCCCTGCGCCGCCGCATCGAGCGCCGCTACCTCTCGCAGCTGATGGCCGGCTGCGGCAGGAAGTGGTGCGCCAACGAGTGGTGCAAGACCGGGCGCGCCAACGAAGGGCTGGAGAAATGGGGCAGCACCGCCGCCGCCGCCCTGCCGCTGGTCAAGCCGCTGCTGGAGCAGCTCGCGGACCATGGGGCGCCGATGCGCTTCTGTGTGGACGAGGCGTCGCAGCGGCGGAAGAAGACGGCCGAGATGATGGCGGCGGAGGGGGTGTGGGAGCTGGAGTGGTGCGTTGCGGCGCTGGAGGCCGAGGGCGGGAATCTGGCGAGGGCGAGGGGCTGGCTTGGGGATTGGGCGCCGACCAAGGTTGCTCGGGGATGATCTATTTTTTTTGTCTTTTTCTTTTTCTTTTCCTTTTTTTTCCTTCCTCTTTTCTCTCTCTTTCTTTTCGGGATATACTGAGGGCGTTTGGGGGGCATATATCTTGGGTACAATGCATTCGGGGGAAGGACGGCGGCGCATGGGCGATACCCAGCATGATAGGTTATGGGGTGCATCATGAGCGATAAATCTCTGTCCAACTCGGTTTATTTCTAGCATGTTAGGTCAACCAATGTATTACTGCCTTGTTTCCTAACTATCTACTTGTATATTGTATCGTGGCAAATTCTCCGAAACCTGAACCTGAGAGATGGTCATGGTCTAGTGCTTCTGCGTTGAATTAGTACGAAAGATGACCCTACTTTTTCCGCGGGGGCTCACGCAGCAGGAGCAGCCATCACAGTTGTTGCAAGAGCAGCTGGTGCAACCGCAGGGGCTCATGTTGACGGTTCTGGCTTGGTTTGTTGGATATGGCTTGATGATGTGTTGGTGCAAACTCTGCTTTGCAAGAGGAATCTAGAGAAGCGATGGCAAGTTAATAGGCTTTCCAAAACGAGGACAGGCTCTCTCTTTATAGGCCTTCCGTGCTCTAATAGATGTCATTGATCAGCATCACTTCCAAGGCTTCGGGTCCTGGGACCGAAGCTGTGTTTGGTTCCACCGTATGAAGACTGTCTTGCGCCAATGATACACTTCCACTTATCTTGGAGGACTGTGGGGATGATGAGGTCGACGGTTGGCTTACACCGGTTCTCACCTCCCCGCAAACGTCACCGCGGCACGGAAACAAGCTCTCGGCCGTCACAGATCAAGTCTTCTGCGTGCAACATGACACATTGTAAAACCGTGAATCATTTCCTCAAGACTAATACTGTGTTTGAGAGGGATTCTAGGGTGTGGGTTACTCGGTGTATTACGCATTGTTGACCCGTCAAGATCCAAATTAGCCGCCGATTTGAGCGACGGCTAACAAATGGGAAACAGAGCGAGGCGAACCAAGTTACCTTGACAACAAACGATAGGGGGCTCGTCAATGCCACTTACGTCAGACGGGCGTCAAGGGGTAATGGGCCTGTTAAACTTGCCTCCTAGGACTACATGTTGGTAAAGGTTGCTTTGTATGGAACCCCTCGGTTTTGTCTTATCCATGGCAGGGCAGTCCGGGACTAAGCTTTGCGGGAGCTCCTTCATGCGAAGCATAAAGTATAGCGTCATGAAACTAGCGGATGCTTGCACCCAACACCATGTGGGCGGAAACAAAACATCACCGGTTCCAACCTTCCATTCCGTGGTCCCTGGTCTCAGAGGAGGGCAGGCGATAGGACCAAAACAAGTTCCCAACTCCTTGGGCGACACTGCTCTTCACACAACGCACAAAAACGGGTACAGCGACTTTCACACAGCACCCCGACAGCCTGCCATCCCAACAACACATACTCTCCCTCCTCATCCTCATCCTCATCCTCCCCGTCCCCCACCCGCCAAAACCTCGCCCTCAAAAACCTCCCCGCAGTTGTTACAGGGCTGTGAAACACGACATGAACTAGATCATACTAGTTTGCGCATTCGTGGCGCACGGCGTCCCCCCCCTTCCCCCCCGCCCTGGTAGAATCCTGGACGGCGACGGCCGGTAAGCCGAGAGTCTAACAACTTTCGAGGAGCGTAGGGGTAGAGGAAGGGGACTCGAAAAAGAAATACAAAAAGATGCGAATGCAGTAATAGTCTGATAGAAGGAAAGGGCAGAGTTCAGTGTGGGCTCTGATCGACTACATGTATATGCTCACAGGCTACTTCCACTCCGCTTCCTCCTCACTCTGAAAGTTGAATTATCTCCCACTATGGCCTATTAGGCCCGTAATATATGGTTTCCCCTAAGTATTTTTCCACTCGTTTCCCTCATTTTTGTGTGTGCACTTCATCTAGTTTCGGGTCGCAGCGTGCTGAAGCATGCAGACTGAGAAACACAGCCTCGCAGGAGGCCGCTCTGCCGTCTCCGATGTGAGCGGCTTTCTCAGCTGCTCGTGATTCGCGACGCAGGCCGTGGCCCCCAATCAAGGCCCCAGTGACGTGGCGGCCGCACCACCGCCCGAAAAGCCGTATAGGTATTCTCCCCCAGGCATTACATTTCCCCGTCCCACCATTTTCTCAGCTCGTGGCCTCATCCAACAGTCCCCATGACCCCATCTCGTCAAACATGGACCCCGCAAGCATCATTGGCGTGGCAAGCGCGGCGATAACGTTCGTGGAGTGTGGATACAAATTCCTTTCCACCCTCTACACCCTCTACCAAGATAGAGATGCCATCGCCGGCTATGAAGAGCTCATGGCTGTGAACGGAGAGATGGGACGGCTGTCTCTCCACATTCTGAACACGCCGTCCCTGTCCGACAGCCGTGGTAGTGGGATTGCGGAAGTGTCAGATCTTGCCCAACTCTGTTGCACTCTTTCATCCAATCTCTCCAAGAAGATCACCAAATCAAAGCCACAAGGCCCAGGCGCTATGCAGATGCTCAGGGCGACGGTACGAGCAATTTCATCCAAGGAGGAGATCGACCGACTTCAGAGAGCCCTTGACAACTGCCGCGCACAACTGCATTTTCATCATGCCATCTCTCACAGGTAAAATAACGAGCCAGGCATTTTGCCGTTCTAATTAGTCCATGTGGTGTACATGCCTGTGCTTACAGTTGTCCGGTTGCAGTGTCGAGACGAAGCAGTCTCTTGAGAGAGTGGAACTTGCCTCAACATTCTTTATCAACTCGGTCGAGAAATCCAGGGAGAATGCCAACCGAGCAAATATCTTGTCCTCGCTGGCGTTTGATGTAATGAATGCGAGGTACAATAGTATCTCTGCTGCGGAGACATCTACTTACGAGTGGATATTTGACGACAAGTATACGGGAGCCATCAGTTCTACCGTAGATTACGACGAGGACGACGAGGACGACTACGACCACGACCACGACCACGACTATGCCGAAGATTCTAGTTCCAGCGTGGCCCCCGCACTACCATTCAAAGACTGGCTCGTATCTGGAAACGGGATTTTTCACCTCTCGGGCAAGCTCGGCGCGGGCAAGTCGACACTCATGAAGTTACTCTCCTACAGTAGCAAAACCAAGTCCGAGTTGAGAAAGTGGGCAGGACACGACAAACTCCTTCTGGGGAAGTTTTTCTTCTGGAAGCCTGGGAGCGCGCTGCAAAATTCGTTGTTGGGAATGGTCCGTTCCATATTGCATCAGACGCTTTGCAATTGTCCAGATCTTGTCCCGGTGGCATTCCCTCAGCTTTGGAACCCTGCGCAGTACGACTTTTTGGGCAATCCTCTCCCGTTGCAGATGGACCACGAGGCAATATTTGATGCCTTTGATGCCCTGTTTCAAGACTCGGCCTTGTATCGAACCCACAAGGCCTGTTTCTTCATCGACGGCTTGGACGAGTTCGTCGAAGAGCGGCGGTCTTATTCCGACCTAGTCGACTGGCTCCAGAGTTGGGTTAACCGTTCCGGAGGATCTCTGAAACTCTGTGTGTCGAGCAGGGAGTTGCCCCCCTTTCTGGATTACCTCGACGCCAAACAGAGGATCCGACTGCAAGATCTGTCGGGAAACGATATCACAACCGCGATTAGGCAGACTCTTGGGAGGAATCGTCGCTTTTTACTTTTTCAACAAGCTAACAAGCAAGAATGCTCCCAGTTTATGCGCCAGATTGCTCAGAAATCCGACGGAGTCTTCCTTTGGGTCACTCTGACGCTGAAAATGATCATCGACTCCTTGGACGGTAGAGAACCGCTCAAGTCTATCATGGCCCAGGTCGATTCATTGCCTGAAGAATTGGAAACTTTGTTCGGCCGTGTTCTTGAATCCATACCCAAGGTGCAGCGAACAAGCGCGTATTCTTATTTTGCGTACGCGCTCGGGTTGGCTACGATTCAAGCCGAAAATTGGTTGGAGTTTTGGCCATTTCTTGACGATTACATCGAGTCGCCGAACTTCGCCAAGGGCCTTCCCCTTGAATGGATCAAGCCAGAAAAGAGACCTAGGCGTATCGGCATCGCTGCTGATCGGATCCAAAGCCGCACTCGGGGCTTGCTGGAGATTGCCCCGGGTGACATGGATGATCGTATTGGAAGCCTTGTTGTTTTTGCCCATCGGTCAATACCTGAATTTCTCCAGGACGCCCTGGAAACGGAGAAGATTCGGAGACAGATCCGAGATTTCGACTTTATCCGCGCTCATATCAATGTCTTACTCGCCTATGCAAAATCGACCCAGCTCAGCGACATTGACTTTCGTCACAGTCTCATCCTGCGCGAGTACCAGATAGTACCACTGATCAGCTTCATACGCGGAATGAAGGAGACAACGGCTTCCAAATACTTTTACGAACTCAATCTTCTAGACGAGGCAACCACACGGCAGCACAGCAGCAGGCGCTCCGTGTCGCGCTCCTTGGTATCTTCCCCAACTCCTGATTCGCCGTGGGTGAGTTTCCCAAGTTGGAGGTCGCCCACCCCGGCCTGCGTGGCCTGCTCTATGGGGTTCAATGATTATGTTGTCTGGAAGGCGGCAACATATCCCAAAACTCTGCAAACCTCAGTAGGCATCGGCTTATTTGAGGCGATCCTGGATACCGTACGCCTGCACCGCGCCAATGCCTCGCGACGAGAAAGCGTCCGTGGCTTAAAGAGTTTGCTGAGGGAGATGATGAAACTTGACATCGACCTGAGCCAGTTGCCTAACCGCGGAGGGGCTGTTACGGACAGGCTGAGCTATTGGGCCTTTATCCTGCAACTCATGTGTCTAGACCGGGAATCAGGCCGGCATTGGACACACCTAGAGACAATGCTGGAAAATGGTGCCCCGAATCCCTCATGGAGGCGCTCTGGCGAGATGGTGAATCTTCACCTCGGGGACGAGGTTTACTCGTATCATTGGGACGTGGTAGAGCGCGACTGGGATCCAAAACTCCTGCCGGCATCGAAACTTGACCGGGGCGACACAATCACGCTGAAAGACTGGGTGGACGAGTACGAGCCGGAAAACGGGGGAAAGATACTGATGCTTCTCGGCGGCACGACGACAGACGATGAGACGACAACCGCCAAAGCGGAAGATGAGAAAACAGGTTATCTCGATCGAAGGCTTCAAACTTTCTTCGCGGCGGCATGGAACCGACTCTCACAGCTCCTTGGCAGTCGAGCCTTGCCCTGGATTCTTGTTGGTATGCTGCGGGACCACTTGCACCATTCTTTAGTTTTTGACGCTGACAATATGAATGGCAGGCCTTTTTTCAGCTTTGTTGTTGCGCGAGGGTGTTGGTAGTTGGGCTAGGTAGCAGCGGGTCGGCTTGGGCAAATTGCTGGGGCTAGGGTGAGAGGCGATAAGAGGATTAAAATATGTGCACTCTTACCCTACTAAATGTACATACCAAGTAGTTGTACCGGAGCCCGAGCAGCGAGGGTGTTGGCGAGGCTCCTGGCACTGATCCCATTTGGTCGATGGTGGCTTCATCGGCAACAGATAACCTCCGATGCGGCGGCGCAGTCCTGAGTGGTGGTTTGTCGACGGGACCGAGCATAATCGGGCAAAGGTTTCCGGTGCAAGTTGCTAAAAGCGAGAGCGAGCATTCTGCATTCTGTGACAGGATGTTGCTCTCATTGGCTGACATCCCCTGCTCCTTCCAGAACCAGCTCCGGCAGACGAAATTGGGGACCGCCTGCGGCAGTGTGGGGGCGAGCGGTCTGCGCTGATTGGACTTGAGGAATGGGTTGGGTGAAAATTCCATGGCGAAAGGGGTGAGCCCCCGCCTTAAATCCGGGCCTCATTCAGCGGAAGCTCATGGGGCCGGAGCGAGTTATGCACAACTTGTGCAGATTGTGCGTTTTTGCAACCAACGCTAAATTTCAATGCCGATGGCCGAGGTGCCGACTTTCAAGGACAGAACTGGATGATGCCCAGGTCTCGCCAGCATTTTTGCGATAATTATCACAGCACCAAGCACCTAATTTGACATCTTGAACCGAAAGCGAATGTGGTCCCGGGTCCTTGCACCCGGACTTGGCTCCGGGTGACGCCGTTGAGAGGTGAGCCACTCGTTTTGCTCAAGCTTTGCTTGTCCAGGGGGGGTGCCGATCTGGAAAATGGAAGGTTCCTCGGTTTCGCTAATCGCCAAGTCCGAGGATTGGACCCCGGAAAGTCGGGCTGCTGGCTGTCCCGTTGACGGATGCGCTCCATCTGGGGGCCATGTTTGGAATACAAATAGAAAGACCAGTGCATGCCCGGTCCGAGATGGATCTGGTCTTTAGCAGCCAAGAACCGTTCCCAGATCCCCGGTGACCGTCCGACGACACAGGTCCACCATGGCCGATCCCTCACTATCACAGACGGCCTTCACCGACAGGACAAAGCGCTCCGACGTCGACCTCGAGAAGGGCGTCTACGAAGTAAACTCGGATCTTGAAGCCGCCACCATCGTGCTCGACGCCGAGTCGGAGCCCGCCGGCCGGGATGGCGCTGTTGGCGACAAGGGGGATGCCGAGAGCAACGACCCCAACGTTGTTAGCTGGGACGGCCCTGATGACCCCACAAACCCCATGAACTGGACCATGCGCAAGAAATGGAGCAACGTCGCTGTGCTTTCCGTCTTGACTATCATTACGTGAGTTTCGAGCGCCAGTTACACGCTCCGCTGTGTGTAAGACTAACGACGCCCTCAAGACCCCTCGGCTCGTCCATGTTCGCCCCTGGAATCCCCCGCATCTTGGAGGAGTTCCACGAAACGTCGTCCGTCACCGCCACCTTCCTCTTGTCCATCTACATCCTCGGTTTCGCCTTTGGGCCCCTCATCGTCGCCCCGATGAGTGAAATCCACGGCCGCTCCCTGCTCTACAACATCGGCAATGTCTTCTTCACCATCTTCACCATCTGCACGGCCCTCAGCAACAGCATCGGCATGCTGATGGCTTTCCGCTTCCTCATGGGCGTCGCCGGTTCCGTGCCCATCACCATCGGTAGCGGCAGCATCGCCGACATGATGCCCGTCGAGATGCGCGGGAGGGCTATGGCCGCCTGGGCTCTTGGCCCCCTGCTTGGCCCCTGCATCGGCCCCGTCGCCGGCGGCTACCTGATCCGCGCTGCCGGGTGGCGATGGGTGTACTGGCTCATCGCCATCATAGCAGGCATCATCACCGTCTTCACCTACTTCACCCTGAAGGAGTCCTACGCACCCGTCATCCTGGAGAAGAAGGCGAGGCGCTTGAGAAAGGAGACGGGCAATGAGAAGCTACGGAGCGCCCTCGCCGGCAATGCTACGACCCCGGCCGAGAAGCTCAAGGCGGCCATCGTCCGGCCCTTGAAGCTGCTATTTCGCGCCCCGATTGTCACCGCCATGTCTCTCTATGTTGCCATCACCTGTGAGTTACCCGCGACCCGCTGCCCTTGGCCGCCCGGTATCAGAACTAACAAGTCCGCAGACGGCATCTTGTACCTCCTCTTCTCGACCTTCAGCATCGTGTTCCCTCGCTACTATGGGTTCGGCGAGGGTGAGAGCGGCCTCGTCTTTATCCCCTCCGCGATCGGCATGGCCCTAGGCATTGGTATCTTCGGCGCCCTCTCGGACAGGCTGGTCAAGAGCAAGCTCGACAAAGGCGAGCGCCATCGCCCCGAAGTCAGACTTACGCCGTGGTTCACCATCCCAGCCGGCCTTGCTATTCCCATCGGCCTGTTTATCTACGGCTGGACGATCCAGTACCACGTGCACTGGATTGTGCCCATGGTTGGTGTTGTCATCTTTGCCTTTGGCCTCATGGGTGTCATGGTATGTTGTTGTTCACGACCCCCAAACCAGACTCAAACCGCTGACGTCCGTACCAGATGTGCGTCCAGAATTATTTGTTGGATGTTTACCCCCGCGCGGCTGCCTCCGTCACCGCCGCGCTAGCTGTCCTTCGGTCATTGGCGGGCGCCCTCCTCCCTCTCTGCGCCATCGACATGTATAATACCCTTGACATGGGCTGGGGCAACTCTCTGTTGGGGTTCCTTTCGCTTGCCCTCGTGCCCATCCCGCTGCTGTTCTACGTCTTTGGGGCGCGCCTTGTCAAGAGGTTCGAGCTAAAGCTGTAATATCGTTTGTTTTTTGGGTTGGCATAAACTTTGCATCTTAGCGCATTAGCCACGGAGTTGGTGGTTTGGGAAAAACGAGTCTTTTTTTGGCATAGAGATACCAGTATATATATAGATGGAGCGGTAATGACAGTTTTAGCAATCTCCTGGGCCAGTACCCCCCTTTGCACAACCCCCTCACACTCTATGTAAATACTCCTCCTCCACCCGCAACCCCACCGAACAACCCCCCTCCCAAGTCATCACCCCCCCACACCCCCCTTCAACCCCCAACCCCCAACCCAACCCTCGTTTAGTGACACTGCCCATTAAACTTATCCACATCCCCCCAGCACCCCTTGTGGCAGAACACCCCCGTCGTCTTCAGCTCCGCCCACTCGGCCGGGCCCGACGACATGCGCACCACCTCGAACAGCGTGTTCCACTCTTTGCCGTCGCACGTGTCTTCCCTGCCGCACGCCGCCCGCGCGAGGTCCGTTTGCGACCAGTGTTGGTCTGTTTGTTTGTGGAAAGGAGTGTTAGTTACCTGGTAGTTACTGGTGTTTGGGTAGGGTGGGTATCGTTGATTTGTTGGTGGAGAGGGAAAAGGGGGTTCGGGAGGGGGTGAGGGGGGTTGGTTGGGGGGGGGGGGGGGCTTACGCTCGCTGTTGACGAGTTGGTGCCCGCAGGCGAGAAGGCGCTGGGCGGTGGCGCCCGTGGCGGCGATGAGGAGGGCGAGGGCGGAGGTCTTCATTGTGGTGGGTGGGTGTTTGTGGTGTTTGGTTTGGTGGAGTGAATATGGTTGTTGTTGGCCTGATGAGTCTGTTGATTGCTATGAAGGTGGTGAATATGGGATGAAGATGGGGATGGAGGAGAGTTGGCGTCGTCGTCTTTATACTATTATTTTGGCGCTGCGAGTCAAACGGGGCGAAGGTAAACATCACCACTTCTCCTGTTTAGGTAGGTAGTAAAGCCGGGGCGCGGTTCTGCAGTCATCCCCAAGCGATGCACTCGGCTCTTCGCTCAGCGCCGTGGTAGGTCGGCGGTGTGACGGTTCCTCCACAGGTCGTACGGTTTGGGATATGAGTACCAAAATATTGTCTGGTGATTCGTCCGGTTCGGGTGGGGAGGAATTGCTGCAGAGCTTACTGGGAGTTGTTGGAGAACGGACTCCGAGTAAACTCAGCCAAGTAAATGCGGTCCCTGGGGTCTGAGTATTTGTCTACCACTGGATTTGAGATTCTGGGTGAATACAATCTCAGACCTTCTCATAACTCAAATGATTCCAATTGCCAGGGCTCTCACTTGAGCGCAATCACCCACGGTCCGAGTCGTGATGAAACAGATGAAGGAGGTCTATCCAGGAAAACAAGTCGACGTTACGGTGTACATACATCCCCGGCAGCAATTTCTAGCCTAGCCTTCGACAGCGTTTCATCGGTGTAAGGGTCGCTTTTTCCCTGGCTGATATCACAAACTCGACTTGGCTAACGACTGCTCGGATGGCATTGGGCAGACGCCACCCAAGGACGTAGTAACCTTGGGCAACTTAGATAGCTCCCCCTCTCACCGCTTGCCTAATGGCGCTAAATCTTTCTCGCCAAATCTTGGGCGAATCCGCACATGGTCAACGTGGGGTTCCAGCTCCCCGCCGATGGGAAGAGAGCACCTCCCGTCACAAACTAACGAGAAGGGGTCAGCCGAGAATACAAATGGAGGCAAAGGATACGGCGGGGGCGGGATGGATCAGCTCTGGGAGGGCACATACGACGTTCTCAATTCCATGGGGCCTGTAGCTGTCGTCCAACGAACCGCCCTTGTCCTTGGGCCCAACAAAAGCAGTGCTTGCCTCATGGACGATTCCGGGAATGCGGATGGTCTCCTTGGGTTGCTTCGCCTTCGCCCACCCGCCCTGGTGTGGGTCCCAGTATTGGATGCTGTCTGTGTCGCCTCCAGACATGACGTTGATGGTCTGGTAGGTCGCCTCGTCCATGACGTCCCAGAGCTTACTGTCATTCTGATGCAGCGTGAACTGGAGCTTGACGTTCGTGGACGGATCCTTGCCGTGGTTGAGCTGCAGGAAGTTGTCCTTGTTGAACTCGTAAAACTCGCCCAACAATGCGCAGACTCCACCCCCCCCCCCCCATGAATTAGTTTTTGATACGAAACCCGGATGGTGGCCAGCCCTCTCTTCGCCCCCGGATGTGGAGTCTGTGAGGCGCGCATGACCGGCGGAGGGACTTACCGAATACAACATGCTTCTCGGAGCCCTTGAGCTGTTCGTAAGTAGCCGCGGCGGCGTAGTCAGGGCACTCTCGCGCGGCGTCGTCGGCATCATTCTCTGGATCGGGACTGTGGATGGCAGTGATTTGGACGTGGTATTGCTGCTTTGTTTCCCGGTCCCTTCCGGCGAGATAGGTCGCCGCGATCTGCAGCTTGTTCGACTTGCCCCAATCCCAATCAGGAAGACTATCAACAGGGCATCTCGCGGCGATGTGAGTGAGAAAGTGGCCGGTTATCCGTTTTCCAACTGTGTCTCTGCAACTGGGGAAGGAATTGAGGAGCAATGTAGCGTTAGGGATGGCCTGTACAGGCCCATAGTGGGCGTGACGGTCAGCGATATGGTGCTCTGGCAATATGGAGCGGCGGCAGTTGAATGGGGAGGGAAAGGTACGTACGCCAGCGCAGAGCACAATCTTGGTATCGTTTTCGGGCCATGAGATGGTTCCCCGGTTAGTCTCGATCGCTCGAACCACACCGTCGTCGCCTTCCGCCAGTCCAGTAACGGTACAATTCAACGCGAGTTGCAGAGGCTGCCCCTGACCTCCCTCAGTGAGCTTGCGTTGCTCCTCGTACAGAGCCAGGAGCGGACCCGGAACCGAGAATTTGTTAAAACGCATCCGGGAAGTCGGGCTTCCAGCTCCGACAGCCAAGGGCGCAGATTCAACAGTGTCAGCCGTGGGAATATGTTTCAGCTTGTGGCGCAGCACTTTGTCGACTGCCTTCTGGAGCGGTCCGAAGACGTCGTCGCCAATATGCCCCGCCAACTTGACGTGAAGCAGCTTCTTTGCGCTCTTCCAAAACTCCCCGGTCTCTGCCGTCTTTTTCATGGAGTCTGGGAAGCCTCTCATGAGCTCCGGGCTAGGCTGGGGGCTCCAAGCGGACCAGAACGTGCTCCTGCCACCGAAAAACGGACAAGAGCCGTGACAGAAACGGAGTTCCTTGTTCTCGTACGTCTTACGGGAGAGCGTCCAAGGGAAGGTTTCTGAAGGACCCCCGAGCACCATCTTGAACGGCAGAGGAAGATTCTGGAAATGCGAGGGGAGCCAGAAGTCTGCATGGTTGGATGGCGTGATGAGAGGGACGATCGTCAGCCTCATTGGCTAGTTACTAGGAGGCTGATGACAGGTACATACCACCTCGTTCCAGGCACAGAATTCTCTTGTTCTTGTCTTGTCTTAGAACCTCGTCGATGAAGGCCAGGGCAGTGCAGCCAGATCCAATCACGATGTAATCGAACTTGCCGCCGGCGAGGATGTTGGACCAAGTGGCATCACTATTCGGTAAGGAATGTTGGTTATTCTTTATTCAGTGGAGAAAGGCCACTGGGACTTTGTACGTTACAAAGTAGTCCTTGGCCATGACAGAGGTCGCCGACGGATTCTGTTTCCAAACCGCTCTAGTCGAAGAGGATCACACAATGCTAGTATGGTAACTTGGAACCTTTGCAGACCCTTGAAATCCCGTCGGCATTTGTGCACTTACACGGGAGCATCCGTTCGCTGTTGACCAACTGCGAGGCCGGATACTGTACACTTGCCTAGATATTCTGGACTATCACCTCCGTTCCAACTGGTCGGTCAACGACATCGGTCGCGAACAGGGCCGTGTGGACGAATAGGGGGTCGTGTATCAGGAAGTTGAGGGGGGTAGCGCCAGGAGAGTCGTCCCACGCGCACACCTCGGGGGCGTAGAGATTCGTTCTAACCGATGCCAAAACTGAAGATGAGCCGTCGGTCAGCTAAAAGCTTAACAGGATGTGACTGGGAGCAGGGAGGACAACAAACGGTTGGCCGCGTCCCCTACCATGAATCGTTGCGGGCCAGTGACGCCCTTAACTTGAACCCACACAACTTCAGAGCTGATGAGAACTGGAGCCGGAACTATGTATTGGGGCATGGTTCGGTCCTGGCGGCTCCTTTGAACGGTGGACAAGTCTTCCTGTATTAAAGGTACCATGCTCGTAGCACCTGACGGCAGTGACTGTGAGTATGTATAACTGCCGGGTCTCCTGCGCCGAGAAGAGGATCCACGTGTTGCTGCATGGCTCTTGACGATTTGCCGGTCACGTTTGCTTGTTTTAGGTGTTGATGTGGTGACAATGAATCGGAAACCTAGATTGCCTGGGTGATGTACGAGGCATACGCCGCTGCGATACAGAAATATATGTTCGTCTCACTGCAGTTATAACTTCCAAGTTCCAGTCCAGGACGTCGCCGCGTCGTCATGGCTAAGACTCAAGCATGGAGGGTACAGGTTCAGCCGTGAGTATGCGCTTTGTTTTTTGGTTCGAGTTCGAGTTTGGGTTTGAGAGGGAGGGGGAACGGAGTTGTGGGATGGCTTGATTGTCACACTGAGTGGTTGAATGGTAATGCCTTGCTGTTACTCTTCGGATGGGGAGGTACCTACCTAGGTAGGTACTGTGTAACCCAAATCATGGATGCGGCCTGGTGAGTCATTCGCCCTGGTCGGTTTGATGATTATCTTGATTTGCTGTCGATGATAGGGGCAGCTAGCCTTATCGGAAGTACGTGGAAGAAAGTCAGGCAGTCAACATGGAAGCAAGTACCTATCCGATTCACAGCTGGAACTTCCATTATCCGGTAACTTTATTCACAAGCTCTGTGTGGTCGGGCGTTGTCAAGTTTCCCACCCCCGCCACCGTTGAACACAGCAACAACAACCACAACAACTTGACCACAACAACTAGGTTTGACCCACCCAGCACACTTGTTCTAAGCACCAAAACTTGGCCCTTCTCCCGGACAAGACAAAGAACGGTTTTGGATGCCTGCCAAATTATCGCCCATAAATTGCCGTCATCTTCCCACAACAAACTAACAGAAAGCTCGGCAACCAAACCACCGCAACCAGACCACCCTTCATCAAAGTCCCATCTTTCCTCCTTCTCCCGTCATCTTACTGATCCATCTCCATTCCCAACCAGTCATTAACCAACCTCAGAATGGCTTATACAACAAGGTTTACGACCATAGCGGGTATGCCGTCCGTGATCTTCACGTCCGCCAATGCCACGGCCGAAGACTTGGAGGACATGGACTTCGAGGTCATCCAGATCGACATTCCTGCTCCCACAACCGGCGATGCCGCTTCCACGACCAACGATGCCGTTCCCACGACGGGCAATGCCGCTCGCATAAACATGCAGGACATCTTCACGGCCCTCCGGATCGACGACGCTGCTCCCACAACCGGCGATGCCGCTTCCACGACGGGCGATGCCGCTCCCACAACCGACGATGCCGCTTGGATAACCGACGATGATGCGTCTTCCACGACCGACGATTCGTCTTCCACGACCGACGATTCGTCTTCCACGACCGACGAAGAGATATTCATCGCCAAGGATCTCGTCTTCGACGAAAAGGGCCGACTCGTGATTGACGCCCTCTGCGTCGCCGACAAGGATGCACCACACCACAGATGGATGTACCGTCACAGGGTCTCTCTCGACGCCATGGAGCGGGCGTCACCGGTCTGGAAGGAAAAGATATTCGGGCCCGAGGGCGAGGAGCGGCCGAAGCCCACCGACGACGAGGAGGACTGGACCCTCGTGCTGGACGACGACGACCAACCGCCGGCCATTGCCATGCAGCTCGCCCTCATCAACGGGAAGCCGGAGGTGGTGCCGCTGTGGCACAACAATCCAGATACCATGCGCGTCTGCACCAACATCTTCGAGTTCATCGGCACCGCCGACAAGTACGGCGTTCTGCCCCTGTTCCGGCCCTTCGTCTCCCACTGGTTGCCGCACGCCCGCCCGAGCTCCGGGAACGCGGACGTCAATTACGTGCACCGGATGGAAGCGGCGTGGCAGCTGGGCGCCCTGGGTCTGGTGCAGGATCATGTCCGGAAGCTCGTCTACGATTGGGTCTTCACGCCGGCCATTCTGGACGCGTCGCTCGCCAGACTGAGCTTGGCCAACGATGACGGGCTCTTGACGTCAGTTCCGCAACTGCTCGACGTGGTTGGCAAGCGCCAGCTGGAGCTGATCCAGTCCGTCCTAGACTTTTTCCATCACTTCTTGGCGGACCTCCGCGGCGAGAAGGGGATCTGCCAGCACTCTCTGCCTGGCACGCCGGACTACGATCTCTGCAACGCTGGGGTCGACGAGTTTGTCTCGAAGCGTATGGAGGAGCCAGCCATCGGGAAGATCCCGGTGGAGGCAAAGGATTACCCTCTGACCATCTACCACTTGCTACACACCGTGACCCATGTCTTGGGCGTCTCTTGCACCCCGGGACCGAAGCAACTCGAGGGGCACGCGTGCGTCCCGGCCCTCCACAAGAAATGCGTGGACCTTGCGACAGAGTTGCTTGGCCGCTGGAAGGGAGCGGAATCCATCTTGGAGCCGGAACAGGTCGAGTGGCTCAAGGAGCGTGGTGAGATCCTAGGGACCGAGAGTTCCTCTGCTTGTGAGACTGTGTGATGGTCGCAGGCAAACTGTGGGCGAAAGCGTGGCACCCGGGGGATGAACAAACAATGTTCCCAGTTAACCGGAACCAAGTGGCGACCTACATGTATTTTTAATTCCATGGTTGTACCATGACCAACAATTGAGCATTAGGCTTATCCAAGAAGTAGCTTCCTGTGTTTTGTGACCTCGCGTGATACTACCTAATGGACGGGACACGTGGTCGCTGCCCTCAACGGCACCGGAGAGAGAAAGTATATATATATATCTTGCTCCAGGACCTTCCGGAGTCTCTCAACTTAAACCTCAGAAACCCTCATTCACCTCACCATAGGTATCAACCCTTCCCTGTGCCTCTCTACCCAGCGGCTAGTCAACACCATGCGTCTCCTCTTCTTCCTCGCCCTTCTCTCACACAGCTAAGGTACACATTACATATCCGTCGCCCCCCAACATCAGTCAGGGCTGTTGTGATGCATGTGTATCGGCATCGGCTGTTCTACGCGCCGGGGGATCCGGAGAATGCCGAGGCCGAGCCTGAGAGGGAGCTGACGAAGCTTGCTCCTATGGTGGAATGGCGCGGGCCACAACTTGCCGCAGGATAGGCCGCAGGCGTTTGTAGACGCTGTTTTCCAAGTTGGGAAGCTGTCAAGAGAGATTCTTCGTCCTTAGGCATTCAGGTACCTTGGGTTGCTTACGCTCTAGATACTCAGTCACAAAGGGTTGGAAACATTGGGTAGAAGAAAAAGTAAAGTATTTTCGTAAGGCGATGCCTGCGGAATGCAGTACTAGTATGTGTTGGTTAGGCAGTCCCATCATTCAGTCATCTAAATCATTTCACAAATCGTTATCGTAGCGAGCCCCCATCGAACGGGTCATCATACCGGCCCGAGCACTGGGCCCGCTGTTACCGGCATGAACGGACTCGAAGTATGAGGCTCAAGTACCTGATCTTGGAATGGAAGAGGCGGAGAAAATAATGGGTAGTAAGCGTGGTGTTTAGGTAACGTTGCCGAGGTTTTACTGGCCTCGTCGTGCTGTCGTTGGAGGATTTTCTCCCTATTCTCAGTCAGTAGTTCCTCGTATTACCCGACGTGAACGTTTTAAAATCTTGTTTTCTCGCCTTGGGGAAGTATGAAGATGGGCAAGTACCGCCTACCTGGAACTCCTGGACCACTGGTCCTGCGAAAGCCTTGGCCGCAACAACCCTTCCCAAACCATCGCTCGGGTTTATCGGCACCGTCCTTGGAGAAACTAGCTCACCCTCGGAATTTGGATAACGCGGCGGATCGGTCCAGATGTTTCCGGGTCGGAGGTTCTTCTGCCAAAACTCAGGGTCGTAATCATCATCAAGCCAAAAGTCAGCCGAGCTAGCCCGCGCTGTCCTGGTGTAGGATAGTTGCAAATTCCGACCAGGCAGGAAGTATTGGCGATCCTGGGCTTCTCTTACATCCTGAACGAAGGACCGTCTCGGTACCGCTGAAGCCGGAGGCCCATATGATACGGGTACAGGCCGTGGGGGCGCATACGTTCGGCTAAACTGAACGGCATTTGCAGACCTCTCGAGCTGAGCTTGTTCGGAAGGCTTGCACAGGCCGTAGTGGTTCCTGTCGTGCATCCACCATGGCAATCCCCGAGAAAGATCGACCGTTATCAGGCCGGGTATCGTCCGTGCCTCGGTCCAGGCTCTCCACTGCTGCTTATACCGTATCTGTAGACCTACAGCAGGGTCTCCCATGCTGACCTTTCGTTGCGGGCGACGGGCGCGCTTGAATTCTTTGACAACTGGTCTCGGTGGTTCCGGGTTTGGATTCGGTTCCGGGAATCGAGGCCAAGGTAATTCCTCCTGCTCCACCTCATTGATGGTCAGCTGGCTCCAGAGAGCAATAGCCTGGCCCAGGCGATCATCCAAATCATCTAGGACCTCACAAGCGGTCCCCAACTGCTCAACCTCCTCCTCCACGGTGACACCCGTGACCTGGTGGACGTCTATAAAGTCATCAGCTTCTTTCAGGAACTTCACGCTGTCTTCCTGGTTGTCTACTACCTTGCTTTGCTGTGCTACTGAGTGATACAGGCCTTTTATCCGGCCCAGTAACGCCGTCGCCATCCTGAAGACCTGCCTTGCCCACCCGTTCTGAAGACTGGCTTCACGTGCCGCTCCCGAATAGCAATTACTACCTGGATAACCGGAGCTTCTAGCAGTACTGCGTTAACTAGCCCGAAACAAAATGTTGCAAAGCACACCTGGCAACCTTACCCTTTGAACTCCTGAACTCCCTGTTCACCCACAGACCCAGTGAGAGAACCAAGCAGAAGGATGCCCGTGTGTCAGCCCATTCGGCATGGCAATGTGCACATGTGCCTGGTGAACCACCCCGCTAGGAAAGTCGTCGGTTTTATATGTTCGAACAACTTGCCCATTGCTTTCAAAGTTTGTTTCGTGAACAAAGGGTCAGGCGTTGGAACGTGCTGGGCCCAATGAATCGGGTTTGAACAATCCCTTTGTCCCTCCAAATTATGTTACATCCAAAGTTCTTTACGACTCTTAGTAGTGAATTCAAGACGTCCTTCATGATAACACTGGCCCGTAGGAGGTTCCATCCCGAGGTGGGTTACCGCGGGCGAAAAGCCACCAGTAAAGTACAACAACGACCGGCTCCCTTCACAGCCTTTCCCCTCGTTTAGTTTTCGAATGACTGGATTTTACAAACATTCCTCGGTGTCGTTAAACGGCGCAGAACAATTTGGGATCGAGTGGGAAACCGCAGGATCGGACTATCGGACCATGGAGCTTGGTTGTGGACTTGATTCTTGTGGTTGTGCAGTGGTTTGGCCAAGAGGGGCATTCTTGACCGATTTGGGTTGTCTGTCAAAAGATCGGCCCGGCAGCTGATCGGCGATCATTTCTAGCTTCGTGCAGCGGTTTCAGGGTTGCCTGGAGCCGTTGAGCTCTCTGGCGCAAAAACGTCAAGAACGAGTCGCAACTCGCAAGTCGCGACCGAAGGCGTGGCGCTGTCAGCTGCCGGCCTCTGATTCGCTCCTCGATTCCAAATTTGGAAGGAAGCAAGGGCGCGGGTTCTTGTCTCAGCACTCCTCCAAGAATGCCTGGTGGTGATTGGACAGCGGCTTGCCCTGACAGTGCTGAGCCGAGCCAAGTCTTCACCCCACGGGCTGAGATGCACTGTGTGCCTGGCATGTGAAGAAACTCGCCGCACCGCAGACCCTCTCCAACAGCAACCTCGGAGCCTTCCCCGCGGCACAGCTTAAACTCATGCGCTGGGCTCGATCGAAATAGAATGGATGCCGAGCGTGGTCGGCCGAACCTCGAGCGAGGTTTGGAATGCTGGGGAGGGCCTGGCGAGGGGCACTGCCCCCTGCCCAAACCGCAAAGGTCACCTCAAATATCGACGAGACGCCCCCTCTCGCGTCCTCGCCCACCGCTCTTCATTTCGACTGGCATCGCGGTTACTCAATTCGAATTTCGGTGTGCAAAACTTCGTCCAAACGCCTCCGCCGTCGCCCCGGAACCCTTTCCAGGTTCTCGGCCCGTCTTGCCCGTCTCGGCGGATTCCACATTTGACAGCGGCTTGTCCCGCCTTTCACCAAACCAGCGACATCGGGCTGGCCGCTTTTTGAAGAACCCCCCACCGGGCACTTTACACGAAATTCGAAAACTCAAGGGTTCGCCGGTCAAGGCTGGCTCATCAAACTCATTCGTCAACTCAATCATCTCTGGACTCATTTCATCGATTTATTTTTGAGCTCTTATTTTTTCCCCTTCACCGTTCGCCTGGACCTTTTCTCTTCTTGTCGGCCTTTCGTCTCCTAACCCCTCATTGTGACTGACTTGTAAAAGAGTCGATCTCGAACATCCCAACGCCCCACGTGGGGTTGAAGGTGGGGTAAGTCTGGAAACCGTCTCAACTCACCGCTTGGCCACCTCCACCATCCCCTGTCTGAACTGTGAACTGACCGCCTGTTCAGCTCAACAAGTCTGGTCAAATCCGGAGGTGGCAGCGATCGCGTGGAGAAATTCCCGCCGCAAATTCCTGAAATTTTACTCCCTCGGTAGCCAAAGAGGCCTCCTTTTCGCCCGACCAGGTTTCGAGAGACGATCGAGAATTTCGGCCAGCGTCCGGGTTCCTGGTCGTCAACGAGCTTATTTCGCGGCTCTGTGCGCGGCTTCTTATTTCCCGCAGTTTCATCTGGAACCGAGCTTCGATTTCATGCCTGATGAAGAGCCTGCAGCAACCCAAGGTCACCTGCATAATTTGAAAAAAACGGACCTGCAGGTGCAGCATGGTGAGCCCATTAGGGTTGCCCCCCGCCTGTGATACGTGCGAATAGCAGACTGGCTCGTGGTCGCTCAACCCAATTAGCGCATGCTATTTGCTGGGCTGCAGCACAACCGGTTGCAAGCGTCTTGGAGATCACAAAACCCCTCCGGGGATACCCACCCGGTTGTTTACTTCCGATCGAGCGGTTAGCTGACCGCAACTTTTGAGGTCGGCTCTGGTCCGGGAGGACCCTCGTTTCAGTAACCATCGGCCTGGGTGCTTGCATCGGCCTCCCCGCCCGCCGAAATATTAAGAATCTCGCTTCCTCCCACCCTTCTGGACTGTTCCTTTCTTTTCTTGGTTGGCGTTTCGAGACTCTCCGCCGAGTTGTGCCGGCTGTGATGCTTCTAGTTTTGGGCCCCGGAGCAAAACCATGGCTGTCACATCCCACTTGAGTCACCTCGCAGTCATCGACCGCCCAGACTCACGGGTGAGCCTGGCTCGGTCTGATACGACGTACCATAGCTTCCAAGACATCGATTTGCCCGAGCCCGAGGTCCCATCCCGCCCCGTTGAGAAGCCTATTGTCTGTCCACCGCCAGTGTCGTCACAGCCAAAGGAGGAGCCGAGGCCAATGGCTGGAGAAATGCGCCGGCAGGACTCAGGCTACGAGTCGATAGCCCCTCGAGAATCTCTGTCGTGCCAGCAAAGGACCTCTTCCTCGAACTCACTGTCCTCCTCCGCACGCCAGCGACGCACAAGGCCGCCCAACCAACGGTCCCCGAAGTCCGGCCCGGTGTCACACCGGCCAAGAAATGGCCGCCACTCCCCGTCTCCTCCCGGCAGCTCCCGCTCCCTCGCATCACAGCCGCAACAACCAGTCACCTACTTTCACTTCCCCAACTTCACCTCATCCGACCCCACCCTAGTCGAATCCGACGCCGCCATCGCCAGGCAGAACGCGAAGGACTTTTCCTCCACGCCCAGCTTCGCCCTGCAGTGCGAGGCCCCGGCGTACCCGCTGCCGCCGCAGACGACACACTACTGGACCAGCGACCGGACGCGGCGGCTGGAGTACGCGGCCATCGACGCGGCCAGCAACGGCGTCCGCGGCTGGGTGATGCGCCATGTGGTGCCGGACTGTTTCGTGCCGCAGAGCAAGCGGCGGGTCGGGTTCGAGGACGACCGGGGCAGCGTGGTCCGGTACCGGCTGGAGCTCGACACGGAGGAGGCCGTGGAGAAGCCCGACTCGGTGAGGATCAGGGGCTGGAAGGGGTGGTTCTTCAGCATGCGCCGTCGTTGAGCTTGGGGAGGGAGAGGGGAGGGGATGACTTTGGTGGCGGCTGGTCGGTCAGCCACTTTTGTCAGGGACGAAAGAGCAGCGCTCTGGGCGGGTTCTTTGGGGTTGGGATTTCTTCGCATCTTGCACGGGCGGCGCAAATCATTTTTTTTTTCGGCAGCATTGGCGGCATCACGGCAGCATCTCGAACACACATCGGCATCATACCCACATGGGACGGGCGTTCTATACCCCTGTATTGCGGCTTTTTGTCTCTCGCCCACAGAACAGACTGGAATCTGGTGGAGGGACACTTGCATTTTCGGTGTTTACATCATTTTAATCGGGTGATTGCATTGATCTTGAAGCGGTGGATTTATTTTGGTGGTTTATGGTGGAGACCAGAGACGGATTATTAAAGAAAGAGACGCCTGATGAAGACTTGGCGCATGAGAATGGCCAGCACGGATATGAGGATGAGAGACAGCCTCAAAATTTGGTACATAAAGTAATTCTACGAATATATTCCCTTTGTCGTTGAAAATTTGGCATTCGGTTTTGTGATTTCCATCCACGTGTGGTAGCAACGCGTCGGACGAAGTACCACAAGAAACACCACCACCCCACACAGCCGTCCCTCGGCCCGTCTGACATGCATGACGCCAGTCCGCGGTTCCGTCATTCTTTTCGAGTCCATGTGATCCGTGTGTAAGCACTCTATCGGCATTCCCTTCGCCGCCGCTGTCGGGCCTTGGGGAACTCGGTGCACACAGCCTCAGAGGAGGAACAAGGCAGGGGCTTGTGCATTATCTTCCCCCTCCTGTAGTGCCTAGTAACTGCAAGTTGTGTCAGGTCACCAATGCCCAACCAGATGTCACTCGGGCTTGACGGAATTTTATAGAATCATTGATAAATACCATAGGGCGCCACCGGTCTCTGTGAAAATGATCCAGGCATACATTTTCCTCGATGAAAATGAACCTGAAAACTGAAAATAGAATTCGATTCAAAATAAACACACGTTCAATTTCAGTTAAAATAACTTTATAAATAAGATAATATTTTATAAGAGAGATAATCTCTTATATATAAAAGAATATTAAAGATTATTTTAAATATAAAATAGTTTGTCACGACCACTGAGCTGGAAGCACAGGAGTGGGGCGCGGGGCGCCCCGGACCAATCATTAACATAACCAATGAGCAGTGTGCTCAGTGCGCTCAGCGACTGAGCAGGGTGAGCAGTGTGCTCAGTGTGCTCAGCAACTGAGCAGGGTGAGCAGTGTGCTCAGTGTGCTCAGCAACTGAGCAGACTAAGCACCCAGAAATTAGACAGTATATAGTCACTCGTTCTGGAGAGCTCTGGGAGTTCTCCAGTTAGCAATCACAACTACAGTTCGCTACAAGATCGAGAGCCTACTGTTGAGACAAGTCTTTGTTGTGCACCTTTTGGCTGCACCGAACCTAAGCACCCTTGAGAGAATACCTTCGACCGATACTGAACCCTAACAGGACGGGTCCAGAGACAGGTTCGTCACACGTTGCTAACTCCCTTTGATCTGTTACAGTTCAGGCTCGAAGGTAAAACGATATGGCGACTCAACCGACGCCGGGCCAGATCACGGCCGCGCTTCAGAGAGTCACCGAACGACTCGATGAAACTGAAGAAGAGCTTGCGAAGACCAAGGCCAGCAACGCGGCATTGGCAGCCCGACTTGCGGCGACCGAGGTCCACACCAAGGACCCGGCCAAGACGAAGGTCAAATTGGAGCAACCCGAGAAGTACGGGGGCGACCAGGAAGCCTTGCCAGGTTGGATCACGGCGATGCGGAACTACCTCGACCACAACTCGCACCAATTCGCCACCGAGGAGTCCAAGACCAGATACGCCGCCACCCGACTCAAGGACAAGGCCCTCAAGTGGTTCACGGGAACACTGAGTGATTTCCTCGGCGGAGCAATCCACAAACCCTTCACCAAAAAAGTCTTCGAGAACTACTCCGAGTTCGAGAGTGAGATTCAGAAGGTGTTCGGTGACAAGGACGAGAAGCTGCACGCCCAGGAACGGCTAGGACGGCTGAAGCAGACTAGGTCAGCCACCGCCTACGCCACGATTTTCCGACAAGACTCCATGAAGGCAGAGATAGACGACGAGGGGCTGATGCACCTGTTCTACGGAGGGCTGAAGGAGGAGGTCAAGGACGAGCTCTACAAGGAGAGCCGACCCGACACACTCGACGAGTACATCGCCATGGCTGTCAAGATTGACGACCGACAGTTCGCCCGCAAACAACAGAAGAAGGGCAGCGAGGTTCAGCGATCCGCAGGCTACCACAAGCCCAACGACAAAAAGAAACGCCAGCACCAGAGCACGTCATACGGCACGCACTCGGGACCCATGGACGTCAGCGCTGCCCAGGCACAGTGGGCAGGAAAGAGAGATGGTGCCAAGGACAAATCAGGCATCACCTGTTACAACTGCGGGAGGAAGGGTCACTTCAAACGTGACTGCCGCAGCAAGAAAGAGTGGAGACCGGTTCCAGGGAAGGAAGCTGCCACCATCGACCAAGACACGGTCGGAAGAAGAACCCGGTTTCTGGAGGTCGCAGCCGCCAGCTACACGCAGGACGACCTCGAAATCGACATTGACCGAGTCATCGAGCAGGACGATGAACTCACCGACTCGGATCAAGAAGACTTGAGGAGCAGCAACCACCAGGAGGGAAATGACACCGCCCATCACGCTTTCATCGAAACGGATGACGAGGGAGAACTGGCTCCCCCGCGGTACATCCGACAAGTCGCTGAGGACTGGGGCATCACCCTGGTTCAGCAAGAGGACGGGCAATGGCGAACCCACGAGGGTGAAGGAGGAGTCAGCCCGAACCTCACCTTCCTACAGCAGAGGGTCCTAAGCCAACGGCAAAGGATCGAGGAGTTGTCGAGAGAGAAAGAAGAACTCGAGCAGCTTCTCCAAGCAAGGAACGACCAGTATGGACAACTTTGCGCGGAACTCGATTTCGCCAGAGAACGAGTCCAAGAGATCACCGAGGCCAACAACAGGGCCGGGGATCACGTCGAAAAGACATTAAGAGAGGCACAGGCCTTGCAGGACGACATCCGCCAGGCACTTCCGCATCACACACCGTGGGATGGACCCACCGAAGAGGCGGAGGAATACGAAAACGGAGTGCGATATCCCGAGCAACTTTTCGACTACGCACAGGAGCAGAATGCGGCGAAAGGAAGGAAACAACAGAACTGGGAAGAATACTGGACTCGACATCAGCACATCGTGCGCACCGGGCGACAAACCTCCGACCTTGAATGGTGGGGTTTCCGGGGCGAGAGCAACACGGAGGGATTCCAGTTGTTGCCAGAAGACCACGAGCGGGTGAACCCACGAAAAGAAAGTCACATCTACCTGCCCTGGTTCCAGTGCATCGCGCACGAATGTCGGTACCACTTCCAGGACAAATTTCGCAACAGTTTCTGGCCCACGAGGGAAGAAAAAGGAATGCAACCCCTACCCATCAGATGGGTATACGACAGCGGCGACGCCCCCGCAGGCATGTTGTGGGACACCCAACGCACTCACGAGGGCAGGCTGAGGGTTAGACCCAAGGCAGCCTGGCCCCGACGCTGTATGGCGGGCGTAGGAGTCAACGAATGCCGAAGCGCAGACTGCCTACCACACGCCGACGAGAAAATCTGGGGATACATGGAACAGCAATCCCAGAGGAAGCCACACCAGAGGACGAGAACGTCCCGAAGGAACGAGAGGCGCCCAGTTGAGGCATGGGCGGCCCAATGGCTCCAAGAACACCAGACGATTGACGCCGCAAGCCAAGGTGCGGACAGGGACGCCTTGAAACACCACGAGAGCTTGGGAAACGGCTCAGGGCCCTCCGAGGGGCCCGGAAATCTTTAACTCCACAACAACGAAGACAGGCTGCGCAGTACAGGAAGAACTGGCGCAAGCAGAAGCCTTACAACGACCTCCCAGCAGACGAACACGAAGTAGCTGCTGTACGAAGCACCAAGCCAGACAACAGGCTCTGGATCACAGCGCGATGGGGGAAGATCGAAGCCCTCGCGTTAGTGGATGGAGGAGCGCAGATGGATCTCATCTCGCCCGCATTTGTGAATCAACTCAGAATCCCATGGAGGATCAAGAAGCAACCACACGTCGTCAAAGGACCATTCGACACGCAATGGGTACGACGAGAAACAGAACCACTCGACATCGAGGTGGAGGGAAAAACCACCCAAGTGGTATTTGACATCGTGAACATGGGACCAGAGAAAGACATGATTCTCGGACGCCCATGGCATGAGGATTACGACCCAGACATCAGTTGGAAGGGAGATGGCCATCTGCGACCGCGGGAACAGCGGGAGCATCCGACCAACTCGATGGGAGAACGCGCAGAACAGGAGCCACGGGAGAGCAGCGGGTCAGAACGAACCCCCTCTACGGGCCCACCGCAGGAAGCAGCCAGTGCAGAACCACGCACTCTGGAGTCCGGAAGAAGCGGCACACGACGAAAGAAGCAGACACGGGAGGAACGAACCATCGCCGTCGTCTCAGTCGACGAGCACGGAATGCTCAAACACGAACAATGGGTCAATCAGCTCGAAGCGGCAAGCATCGAGCTGGCAGCAGAGGAAGTCAGGGAACTCGAAGCAGCAAGCATCGAGCCTGGGAACAACAAGTTCGCGTACTACGAAGGTACGGCGAAGAGCGCAAAGACGGGGCAGATCCCAGACGACTACAAGGGGCACCCGGCGTTCACGGCAAAACATCTTGCAGGGCTACCAGACCACGGACCTTGGGATCACGAGATCAAACTCAAGGAAGGAGCCCAGTTGAAGTTTTTCAAGGTGTACCACACCAACGAGAAGCAAGATGCAGAGTTGAGGAGCTATCTCGAAAAGAACCTCGAGATAGGACACATCAGACCATCGACATCTCCAGCGGGCTACCCAGTCCTCTTCGTTCCAAAGAAGGATGGGAAACTCAGGATGTGTGTGGACTACCGACAGTTGAACGGCGAAACGGTGAAGAACCGCTACCCACTGCCACTGATCTCAAGGCTTCGAGACCAGCTGTCAGGGGCACAATACTTCACGCGTCTCGACCTTCCGACAGCGTACGCCCACATCCGCATCAAGGAAGGAGACGAATGGAAGACGGCTTTTCGGACACCCTACGGGCACTACGAGTACCGCGTCATGCCGTTCGGGTTGACCAACGCACCAGCGACATTTCAAGCCGCTATCGACCACGCAATTCGACATTGCCTCGATAAATTTGCAGTCTGCTATTTGGATGACATTCTCATCTACTCCAAGACACTCGAAGAACACAAGAAGCATGTGCAGCAGGTGCTGGATGCACTGCATGAGCACAAGTTGTCAGTCAACAAGGACAAAAGCGAGTTTCATGTCAAGAAGACAGTATTCCTGGGTTACGAGATCTCCCCAGGATGGGTCAAGATCGAACCCGAGAAACTGGAAGCTGTCAGGACGTGGCCGACACCAACGAACGCCACAGAGGTCAGAGGATTCATCGGATTCGCCAACTTTGTCAGGATGTTCATCAAGAACTTCGGCGACATCGCGAGACCCCTACACGAACTTACCAAGAAGGATGCCACATTCCAGTGGAAGCAGGAGCACGAGCAAGCTTTCCAACGGATCCGCAACGCGATTATCGCCGATCCAGTGCTCATGCTGCCTGACCCAAACACACCTTTCGAAGTCGAAGCTGACGCATCGGACTTCGCGATCGGAGGACAACTTGGTCAGAGGGACAAGGACGGCAAGCTTCACCCAGTTGCGTTCTTCTCCAAGAAACTCGAGGGACCAAGGCTCAACTACCCGATCCACGACAAGGAGCTTCTCGCAATCATCGAAGCCTTCCAGGAATGGAGACCATACCTCAGCGGCACGACACACGAAGTTCAGGTGTACACGGACCACAAGAACTTACGCTACTTCACCACCACGAAGGTGCTGAACGGACGACAAACTCGATGGGCAGAGTTCCTGTCCGAATTCAACTTCACGATCCACTACAAGAAAGGGTCAGAGAACGCACGAGCGGACGCCTTGAGTAGGAGAGCGGATCATCATGACAACACATCTGAAGCCTCACCACCATTGCTACATCAACAGACAGACGGATCGCTACGGCACGCTTCCCAACCGACTGAAGACTACGAGATCGCAGCACTTCAGCGACAGCAGGAAGATCCCAATGCCAGGCCTCTGCAACAGTTTGTAGAATGTTGTGCAGCCTTCAGGGAACAACGATTGGAACGAGACTTCCAAGGAATCATCGCGGACGACGCACGCGATGCATGGCAAGAAGAGCCGGAATCCAAGATCGCGGGATTGCGACTTGAAGGAACGAGACTCTGGTACCACGACAAGGCCTACGTCAGGCCCGGCGACCAAAAGGAGCTCATTCGGAAAATTCACGAGTCGAAACTCGGAGGACACATGGGAATCAGCAAGACAATTGCAAAAGTCAAGCAGAACTACGACTTCCCAGGAATCAAGCAAGCGACGGAAGAAGTCCTGGCAGAGTGCGACCTCTGCGGACGAAGCAAACCGCCACGACACAAGCCATACGGGCTGTTGCAACCATTGCCAGTCGCGGAACGACCATGGAGTTCGGTGACGATGGACTTCATCACCAAACTGCCACTATCCAAGGACTCAGTAACGGGAGTGGAATACGACAGCATCCTCACGATGGTGGACAGACTCACCAAGTGGAGCTACTTCCTCCCTTACAAGGAAACATGGTCAGCAGAACAACTTGCAGACGTGATCTATCGCAGCGTCACCTCGGTCCACGGATGGCCGGAGGAATGGATTACGGACAGAGATACAAAGTTCGCATCAAAGTTTTGGCAAGCTCTGATGACGAAGCTGGGTACGAAGAGTAAGCTCTCGACTGCTTACCACCCACAGACGGACGGACAGACGGAACGACTCAACCAGGTCGTCGAGCAATATCTACGGTTGTACGTCAACTTCCAGCAGGACGATTGGGTCGAGCTGTTGCCAGCAGCACAACTCGCCTACAACACCACCGTCACGGAGACCACGAAGGTCACGCCATTCTTCGCGAATTACGGCTACGAAGCAGATTTGCGACAGGGGCCCGATGTCTCGGTGCCCCGAGCGGCAGTCAAAGCCGACAAAATGAGCTCGCTGCATGCGATGCTCAAGGAAGAACTCGAGTTCGTACGAACCAGGATGAAGAGGTTCTACGACAGAAACAGGCTCGAGGGACCTCGCCTAGAAGAGGGGGGCAAAGTTTACCTCGTTTCTCGAAATCTTCGCACGAAGCGACCAAGCAGGAAACTCGATTTTCGCAAAATCGGACCGTTCAAAATCGACAAAAGGATTTCGGAGAACAATTACGCACTCGCGTTACCCTCAACAATGCGACTACGGACCAACGTTTTCCACATTTCGCTTCTGGAACCAGCACCCAAGGACGCGCGACTCGACAAGGACGCCGAGGCAGAAGACGAAGAGGAGGAATGGGACGTTGAGGAAGTCCTAGATTCACGCATCATGAAAGGACAGTTGGAGTATTTGGTCAAGTGGCTGGACTTCGGCCCAGAAGACAATTCATGGCAACCAGCTACAAATCTCAACTGCCCCGAGAAACTTCAGGAGTTCCACCAGAGGAACCCTGACCGGCCACAGGAAACACCAAAGAAGGATCGACCCCGGCGAGCCAATCGTCGAAGGAAGGCCTAGAGGACAATCAGTCGGGGAACGATATCAAGGAAAGGACGACAGACTCTTGGGCCCCAGACGGATCGGCAGACTGCGGGGCAAGAGTGGCCAATGCCTCTTCCCGCTCCTGGTCCTCGATGATGCGCTCCTCGCGGACGGCCGCCTTGTGGAAGCGCTCCGACAGAGCAAGACGCTGAGTCCGAAGGCGCGCTAACTTAGAAGCGGCCTGGAGAATCACGGCGTTCGCCTCTTCTTCCTCCTTGTCCAGTTTCTCTTTCTGGCGGCGAAAGGAGGCGGATAAGGTGCGCGTGAGACCATGGACGTCGCAATCGGGACGACCAAGCTCAAGGCAATTGTTGCACTTGACGGAACGATCCAGGGCTCGGCAGTCTTTAAGATCGTTGGCCTCACAATAAGAACAAGGAAGCATGTCGATGCCAAAGAACGAGATGTCGCGAGCAAGGTCCTTGCGGCGTTGGGTACTGGAGGAATCACGTTTCGAACTCTTAACCACTCGGTTAGACATGGTGGGCGACGAGGGACGAGGAGAATACTCACTAAGGGAAGAATGGACCAGCGTTGCCGAAAAAAAAAGAAAAGTAGCAGGTTAGGCCGCCGAGACGTCAGCCACGGAGAGGGGGCATCGTGTCACGACCACTGAGCTGGAAGCACAGGAGTGGGGCGCGGGGCGCCCCGGACCAATCATTAACATAACCAATGAGCAGTGTGCTCAGTGCGCTCAGCGACTGAGCAGGGTGAGCAGTGTGCTCAGTGTGCTCAGCAACTGAGCAGGGTGAGCAGTGTGCTCAGTGTGCTCAGCAACTGAGCAGACTAAGCACCCAGAAATTAGACAGTATATAGTCACTCGTTCTGGAGAGCTCTGGGAGTTCTCCAGTTAGCAATCACAACTACAGTTCGCTACAAGATCGAGAGCCTACTGTTGAGACAAGTCTTTGTTGTGCACCTTTTGGCTGCACCGAACCTAAGCACCCTTGAGAGAATACCTTCGACCGATACTGAACCCTAACAGGACGGGTCCAGAGACAGGTTCGTCACATAGTTTTATATAAAATTAATTTTTAAAATACTATAATTTTTATATTTATTTATAAAATCTTATATTAATTAAGAAGACTAATTACTTAATAATACTATACTATCTAGACTTTAAAGAAATAACTCTAAAATCATCTTTAGGCTTGAAAATAATCTTCTATATAAATCTCTACAGAATATCATTTTAGGTTTCTGAAATGAACACGCGTTCATTTCGAATCTGAGAGTGGATTTTGCTTAACAAAACAATTGCCAGGAGCATTTTCAGACACCGGTGGCGCCCTATGGTAAGTAATAACGGAAAGTGGGTGAGGGCGAGAGACGGCTACCTTTGAGATTCCTCATGACTCAAACCGTAAACCCACGACCAAAGAAAGAAAAGGAAAGAAAAAGGCGAAGTTGCCGTTGAACATCCGGGTTTCTGCGGGGAGGCGGAGCAATGAATTCTATCCGGGACCGCACTATTAGACCATTGTCAACGACCTCTGTACTTGAACCAACTGGTAAATAGGTAGAAAGGCTACTCGTCGTCCCCAAATTTGCAAGCTGGAAACATGTTTATGTGGCTCGTTTTACCACAGTCAACCAAATTAAAGATTTCTAGACCGCCGTGTGTTAATCCGCAGGAGACTCGGAACTCAGCGATTGCAGGTTTTGACGGTGCGGCTGTCGCGATTATTTGGGTGGGTTGCTCCTTCCTTTCCTGCGCAAAGCGCGTGTAGCAAACGGTCGGGCAGGCTGTTACCTTCCTGTGCCCTCTTTCCCTCGTTCATTTCCCCCAAGTTCGCCCCCTCAAACTCCAATTCATCTCTCCCGACCGATTGGACTTTACAAGTCGAGTTCTTCCTCTCCTTCCAACTTTCTTACATCCCCCGGAACCGCATCGTTCAAGTTACGTTCACTCTTCGCCATCCGACTTTTTGACAAATCCAGAAAATCCAATGGAAACGGCGATCATGTCGCGGGCTGAGGTGGAAACGCCTGTTGCGCCTCTTCTGTCAACGACGCTCGCTGAGCAGGTGGCTGCTGTGGCCTCCACAACCACTCCCACTTCCGTCGCCGAACCGGCCGAGGATACGACGGGCGTCTCCGGTCATGTGGAAGCTACATCCTCTGAGGAGTTGGTCACCAATGACGACGGTAAAAACTGTGACGCGGCCAAGTCTCCTGTTGAGACGAAGGAGCTGCCCTCAGTCGTGTCGTATCACCAAAATGCGGAGCTGTACCTCCAGGTCCGCGACTCGGCGGACACTTTTATTCAATGCAAGGTCGTATCTGCCCTCATCGTCGCGGCATCTCCGAAATTGAGCGATCTTCTTGACAACTTCAAGCCCATCAAAGGTGCCGACGGTAAGTTGATTGTTCAACTCGCCGATGGAGCCGACAGCTACTACGGCATCAACGTTGTGCTTTCGATCATTCATTACAAGTTTCATGAGATTCCGGACCGCCCCGACATCGATCAGCTCTACTCCATCGCCCAAGTCGTGGAAAAGTATGACTGCGCTCATCTTCTCCTCCCTTACATGGGGAAATGGTGCGTTTCCAGGAACCGACCCCACCCCCCAATCTGTAACAAACTGACGCATTCTAGGGTGGCTGGCCTCGACTGGCACCTCGTCATGAAGGGTGATGACAACGACGATGACAAAACGCTGTTTCTCACCTGGGCGTTTGGCGAAGGCCGCTGGTTTACCCGCATGCTCTCCAAGGCGGCACACAAGGCCACTCTCGCCGACGATGGAACTCTGCTTGATGCTTGCGGTCAACCTTGGGAAGATCAGGGTCTTCCCCCGAACATTCTTGGTAAGAGCCCGAATCCTCTGTGGAAGATAAACTTCTCTAACCCGCTTAATCTCTTTAGAGTTGATCAAGCAGACCCGGTATGAATGCCTGAAAAAGATTGTGCGCGCTATCGGCGAGCCTCTCCAGGGACTCATGAGCGGCGACAACGAGACCTTGGATTATTGCCGTTCCAAAGACGGGGATATGGGACTGAAGCAGGCGTGCCAGCACTTGCAGCTAGGCTCACTGATGACCAGCCTCGCGACCGCTCGTCTCCTACCGTTCCCGGCAGCCAAAGAGTACAAAGGCAGTGTTGCAGACTTAGCAAAGATGGTGCGGGCCATCAAGGTGTCTCGATTCAAGCTTCCGGGAATCCCTCCTCATCTTGACAGCCATACCAGCTGCGGCATTGATTACGAGGAGGTGGTTGACGGCGTCATGCGCGAGAAGGTTCGGCTTACCGTTGACATCGTCAATCAGCTCAAGCTCCATGCCCAGAAATGTGGCGCTGTCGGTCCTGAAACTTTCCAGGATCTCGAGCATCTGGATGGCGAGGTCGCCAGCTCAGAGTCAATTCTCAAAAGCCTGCGCCTGAACCCTGTCCATTTTACACAGGTCTTGGACACCGAGTCTCATTTGGAGTCATTCAAAGAGGGCGACGATGCGGATATCACGACGGAGCGTTCAGAGGAGTAAGCGACTGTGGGATCCATGAGAAAGGGTGGCTTTCTTGTTTGATGTGTGGGTGAGCGCTTGTGGGCATCAGTCTCGGGACGGATTTGATGGACATCTGGCAGTTGAGTGGATGCTTCTACCATGCTGTGCAACTTTCACGGAGCGGTTGTCGGGTGGTTATAAGGGCGGCGTATAGCAGTGATCGCCTATGTTGTGTGTATTTACTGGGAATAGCCCGTCATCGGCGGAACCTAACGTCCACTCATCGGCGTATCCAGAGGCCTTGCGCACCCCTTTATTCGAGGCCGCTCTGTGGTGATACGCTGGAAGCCCCTCCATTCCTCGGTGCCGTTGGACAAGGGCCATCGAATGAAGATTCTGAGAGGTTCGAGACTGCAGCCTGCAGTGTGCGACGAGCCAAGCCGTTCCAGGCATGCCGCCAACCGGAGCAGGTCGTTGATTCACCCGAGGTCGAGAAAAGCGGTAGGGCAGTGGCCAGCGGTGAACAGTGGGTTTCTCATGTCGGTATACATATCCCACCCACGCCCACGTCCTCCATCGAAAGGGCCCGGCAATTGTATTGCTACTATTGCCCGTTTCCGTCCGTTCTCCGCTTTATAAACTTCTCTTCCCAGATCTGCAATATTGACGGCCGAGTTGGGCCCGCAGTTTGCTTTTACCCATCGAATCCAACGAGCAAGTCTCGATATTCTCCGAGCAGCAACTACACAATGACATACCGACCGCACATCCCCGTCCTCCCCATCCCCGCCCCCTTCTCACCCGCCACACCACCACCACCACCACCACCACCACCACCACAATCATTATCGTCATCACCAACATCAACATCAACCCCACCAACAACATCACCAGCAACCCTAACAACCCTCCCCCGTTCCCCAACCACCCCCACCACTCCCATCACCGCTACCCCAGTCACCTCACCAACTGCCAGAGAGGGGCCAGAGCGCACGGAGACGCGCACCCTCCTCACCTTCCCCACGCACGCCCTGCCCTCCCCGCGCGTCGTGCCCCAGCATGTCCTGCGCGCGTTTGCCGTTCGCTACCCTTCTAACAACGGCGGCGGTGGTGGTGGTGGTGCCCCGCCGGTTCAATCTCAGATTAATCGCTGGCTGTGCTGTCGGTGTGCGGGGGAGGGGTATTGGGATCCCGTGGGGATGGTGCATTGCTCGGGGTCGGGGTCTGGGTCTGCGGTGGGGGTTGGGACCTTGGAGCGGGGGGAGATGGGGATGGGGGTGGAGGGGGCTTTTGGGGAAGGGGAGGGTGGTGGTGGCGGGATGTATGGTTTGGGGAGGGTAGGTGAGAGGGGGATAGGGACAAGCCCGGGTATGGCTCGCAGTCATGGGGGAGGTTTGGGGGGTGGGGACGCGGATGATGGGGCCGAGGACTATGACGCCTGCTGGCGGGAGAGCTGTCGGCATTGCAAGTGCGTGAATTGCGCGCTGTATGCGGGGCCCCTCGGCCGTGATCCCAGGGCTAAGCTGCTCATCAGGACAGTCGGGGGGTTGTATGCGTCGCCGCGGTTCGTGGACCCGGTGTACTGGGAGTGTGCTGGATGTGGGGAGTGGATGCGCAACCGGTTCGACTCGCGCTGCGTGCTTGGTTTGACGGGGTGTCGGAATGAGGGGTGCGTGTTCACGCGGTGGGCGGGAAGGACACAACTTGGGCTTGGGGCAGGTGAGGGGGGAGGGGGGGATAGTGCGCCCGGCGCTGGTTTGCTGATGGCCGCGAGCGTGGTGATGAATCGGTATGGACAGAGACTGGGCACGGCGGATCAGAGGGTGGCTGTGGCGGACGGGCCGTGGGACTGGCAGCGGAGAGCGTTGGGGGATGCGCGCTGTGCGATTGTTTCCGGGTTGAGAGCGGCGATGAAGAGAACGGGGGAAGAGATGCAGTTAAACAGTGATGTTGATGGTAGTCGTATCGGAAGACTGTGGATCGACGGAGAACCGGTACCGCACTATCCGTACCGGAGGCCGCCGCCGCTGGACGAGAACGATGTGAGGGAGAACAACGAGTACGAGGGCTTATATCTGGCCGGGATGCCGGGGGAGCCTTCGGGTAAAGGGAGGGATACTGAGCGCCAAACCACTGCTTCCCGTGGTCCACGATTCTGTTCAGCCCCGACCAGTCCGGGTGTTGTAAGGTCGGTTGCAGCAAACTCGTCGTCTGCGGCCTTTTTCCCGGGATGAAACCACTTATAATAGCAATCAACATTCAAGTTTAGCATTGCACTGGTCCTTCGAGTTGATGGTGCTTGGACGAATGATGAATGGGTTCAACACTTGACAAAAGTTTATTCCGCGCCGTCCTCCTGTATAAGTCACCTTCCCACCATATGGCCTCTTCCCAATTTAGCAATCCTTCCCTCAAAAATACCCGGGGCCCAAGTGTCCGACCCTTTCCATTGCCACCCTACCATATGCACATGATCCGTTCTGCATACCACCCACCATACCACCTACCATACCTCGCTACCTAATCAAGCTTTACATAATCTCGTTCCAGCAGTGGCCCTTGCCCAACGACACATCACAATCGCTGTCGACAAAGTTCCTGTACTTCTTCCAGCCGGAAGAGTAGTTCTTGCAGTCGGTGACGAGGCCGTTGTAGTCCATGCAGGCCTTGGAGTTCATCTTGCAGCGGCCCTTGTTGATGCCGTAGGCCTTGGAGCAGTTCTTGCCGTTGTGGTTCTGCAGGCAGCTCTTCTTGGCGCGCTTCTCGACGTGCGGGTGGCCGTGCTCGCCGTGGGAGTGCAGCTCCTTGCCGCCAAAGTCGTAGACGATGGCCCGGCCAACGTGGCGAACGGGCTTGGCCGGCTCTGACAGGTAGATGACGCCGTCCCGGACAATGTTGCCCTCGACGCCCGTCACCTGTTCGGTCTTCCTGCGTCCGAGGACGTGCAGTCCTCGCCCGACGTGAGGGAGGCTCTCGTCGGACTGGTCCGAGGGGATCCGGCCAAGGAGGTCGGCCTCGACATGCTCGCCGCGGGAGCCAAGTCCGACCAGAGCACCGGCAACGGGGAAGTAGACCCTCACGGCGCGGGCCTGGCGGTCATAGACGCGGTTGTTGCCCCACAGCGAGGTGTTGGCGTAGTAGTCCTTTTCGAAGTCGGCGACATGCTCGGCCTCGATGGGGATGGACTTGTAACCGACGAGGGTGACGGAAGAGGTGTTGGAGGAGTCCGAAACGGAACGGGCGGGGATGGTGTTGATAAATTGTTCCTCAAAGCTGGCGATGTTGATTGCCCGCGGAGAGTTGGCCGAGGCCAGGGAGATGAGGAGGGCGAGGGGGGCCAAGAGCTTCATGGTGGGTATCAATTGGAAGGCAACTTAATGGAATGATGAGTGTGGCTTGAATAACTTGCTCAAAAGAACTTGCTCAAACTGCCTCAGACCGAGCCGTTTTATACTTCGAGTTCTGCTCGCGATTCTGGTTTCCACTTACCTCGGTCATTCTCCTTTCATTCTCTGGCTCCCTCCCTACCGACTCACCGAGCGACAGCTATCATCGCCTGAATCTACAAATAGCAACATGTCGTTCGCCCTCTTACACGTTACATGCGACGAATCACATGGCGACAAACCGAAAATAAGAAGAAAACTGTTTGTTACCGACCAATAGCGCGGGGGGAAAGGCCTGGGGCTGAAAAGCGACCCCGCCAACACTGCCTCTGAGTGGCCTTGGGCCCAGCTTGAGCCCAGGAATAGCAAGACCCTGTCTCCGCAGATTCGGAAGTGGTATTCAGCAGTCTCTCCGGGGCTGACAGGCTGACCGCCCCGCACGTGGCGGGGTCCCCACAAACCCTGGGCCGATCTCCATCAGGCCCGGCCGCCTCTGGCTGGTGGGGATTCGCTTATTTCTACCGCCCCTCACGAATTACGCCGCTGATGAGGTACAGATTACACTCGGCTATACTAGCCCGTGGCTGCTGCGCCCTCTCGCGCCCTCTCGCGCATAATGCCAATGCGCTAAGAACCAAGGGCCCTTTAATTTCTGAAGGACAATGACGGGCACCGCATTCTATTCAACACACGCTCGCGCGCGCATCCGCAACCGATGGGCTTGGCGGCATCAACGCAGCCGAGGTCGTCGTGTGCATACAGCTCGCCTCCGTCCGCCGGCCCAACGAGCTGCCGCGCTAGCAGCAAAGAGGATATGCTAGCCGGGGACGAAGCGGCTGGTTAGGTACCTAAGGAGGGGCGGACGGGCCGCGACTACGCGAGAAGGTCGAGCCCAGCATCCAGAATTTGTGGTAGCGCTCCGTCCCATCGCTGCCGCCGCCGTCGAGCCTGTGCCGGCTAAGTTCCGAGTGAGGGCGAATGCTGGGGTTGTTGGTTCTGCCGGTGGTGGAGCCCGGTGTGCCGTGTGAGCCATGATTCTTGGTGCGGAGGCCGGGGATGAGTTTGGCGACGAAAAGCCGCAGCGTAGGTGGGGACAAGCAGACGACGGCCGCGTTAGGCTCTGTGTGACTTTGGAGATGCTGTACGTATTATCCGAGCTTGTAGCGAAGAAATCGACCGCCATGAGACATACCTACTAGGTAGGGCCGAGGTGGTACGGCGAAGATGCTTATTTTGATGAGTCCCTCCGACCCGACTTTGAAGTGGTTCACTGAAGGTATCAATAAAGGGTTGTTAGATTCGGTGCAGCGAAAGGGGGCACAACAAATGCAATAATAAAAAGCTTTAGTCTCAATGGTTATCAAGTTCGTAGACAACAATCGAACAGGCTGCATTGCTTACTACCTCAAGAACTTGCCATTGTCAGAATTCATCGGGCTGGGGGAGGAGCTAATACCTAGGAGGCCTTCCATTAGCACCGAACACGCACAGCGCTTATATAGAAACGGAGAGAGCGGCTGAGAATGCATAGCAACATGGCTATTCGACAGTGTTGCGAGAGAGAGTGAGATTTGTTGTTGTTGTTTACGTTTAGCATTCGGGGACATACCCGCGTTGCGGACGTACTAAATGCCTTGGGCATGTAGGGACGTGCTGAGCTAGGTCTAATATACGAATGAATACCGCACATACGGCAACTAGCGCCATGCTTCTTTCGACAGCGTTGTGCTGCCTGCTTTGCTGCCGCCTCCACCTCCCTTCGCGGGAGTGTTTGGGATCACTAGCCGTTCATCGTCGTCGCCGGGGGCGTTACGCCAGTCCGTCGGTCTGAGGTGTCTTCAGGATGTGTGACCGTGGCGAGTAAAGTTGAAGGAAAGATAGGTAGGAAAGGAAAGACAGGTACGTACTAATAAAAGAAAACAATTGAAACGATTGGCCTCTGTACTCCTCCGGAGGTACCTGACCTTAAATAATTTCCAAATACATCTAGGGATCTATCTTTTTCAATCTACGTCTCAGCTCGCCTCTCTTCTCTTCACCTCCGCCGCTATCATGTCGTATATTTTTGCTCCAAAATACCATGACGTTGATGAAACAGGTGCGCCGTCTCGGCCGGGCGTCCGAGTGGCAGGTATGCCGGGAATAACACCCTCGGAGCCAGGTCGCTGTCGATGTTGATGTTGGTGTTGATGTGTTGATTCTTGTCCTTCCGTCGGAGACTTGAAGAGCCCCGTTGCCCGAAGAGTGAGATATGGCCAACCTATAGATAGCTCGGTTTTCCTTGGACCAGCATTGGCTTGTGATACGCCAGCATCGGACAAGCAGCCCAGCATCGGATCGGCCCGGATCGGCTGTTAGCGTGAACTGCCCCTCCCCCGCAGAAGCTGAATGCCGAGAGAACCCGCCAGGGGTGGGTTGTTTGACCGATGGCGGCACCCTCCGGCCAAAAATGTCAAAGGAATTGATTGGAAAGGGAAGAACTCAAGCAAAGAATAAAGTAGAGGCGGCATAAATTGAAATAAAAGAAACCAAATGAGGGAAACCGAGTAAAAGGAAACTAGGTTGAGTAAATACACGCCTCTTTAGGCTCCTAGATAACTTTTATTGAGTTCCTACGGTCATGGTTTGGTCAACATCTACACTTGGAGTCCGACCTTGTTCTGTCCACTGGGTGGGCGTTCGCGTGCGTCGGATTCCGTCAGAAAGGCAAAACAAAGAATAGGCAAGGTGGTTGTATGCTTTTGCAAGCCTACCAGGACACTCGGGTTAATGCCGTGGTCCAAAAAGATAGCAAAAACATAGGTGGTTATCCGGCCAGTTTACATTGCCAAATTGCATTGCAAAATGAAAGGCCTTAGAGCTTCAAACGTCCGGAGAGGCCGGACAGCAAACCCCGGGATACAAAGTAGGGGCGATGGGTGGTCGAGACTGTTCGGCCAGCGAAGGTTGGTATGCAAGTCGTGCATCGGACGAACCATGCAAGGTCTCGGAGGAGCGGTTGGAGGAGCGGTTGGAGTACGCACTGAGACAAACTGCTCGGGAACTACCATAAAGTTCAATGTCCCTTTGTAATTGTAAAGGAAACTCGAAGTAACACCTGTGGGTGTGAGTGTTAGTCTGTAATTGTCAAATCGCGGAGGTTGTTGATCAGCGTCATTCCGTTTGCTCGAGTCCGCAACGTCACGCGCTGCAGTTCGATGTTGTGGCCAGGCAGCTCGGCGCACAGACCAGACTTCCAACCCCACAAGAGGTCCTGCCCAATCATAAGCTGGCACTATTTTTTTTCGGCGGGGAAAGTCAAAATTTTGGCATCATCGCTGGGTCCAATTCGGGCCAGAGCCAAAGTGTCTCGCACTGATTGCGCTCAACGACATCGTCGCTCGTTTTGCTTTGCTCACTGATCAAACGCAACTTGGACCTGAGTGGAACTGCCGTGCACAGTACTTGCGGACCTTTTCGCTCGCCGCCGTCAATCCGCAGCAACCAAACGTACTGCTTCCACCGTGCAGCTGCCAATTGCCACTTTTCGCTAACCTTTGTCGCAAACAGAGGCCCAGGCTGCGCGTCGCACAAGTCAAAGTTCTGCGAACGCCGCCAAGTGTTCGGGCTTTTTGATTCCACCTCACGACCTCTTTTCTCCCCTCGGTGACTTCCTCCCGATTCTTGCTCTCGCCGCCTCCGGCCTTATCCATCTCGATCACGCTCTGATCATCCTTCTCGATTACCACAATTACCTTTGCCATCTCTCACTGCAAATATGGCGCCTGTCAATGGAACCACTGGGAAGCCCGCCAAGCCCGCTGCTCGGCTCCCCCACCGACCCGTCGTGCCCGTTCTGCCCCTCAATTATCCTCAACGGCCAGCGAGCAAGCAACCTGCCCTTCCGACCGCTTCATCGTCGTCTCCGAACACGGGTTCACAGGTGCCGAAACAGGGCAAAGCCCAGGTGAACGGGAACTCAGCTAGGCATGGCCCAAGCTCCACAACCGATCTCGATTCCGCAACTCCCTCTGTTGCTCCCGTCCAAGCTGCCACTACAACGGCGCCAGCCGGGCCTGTGACAGCGGCGGAAGAAGACGATAAAGGTATGTCGAATTTGCCTTCTCCTTCACCATTTGGTTTGCCCTGGATCCCCCGCGGGCCATTTCTCTGGCCTCGCCCTCAACCCCCGCCGGCCTTCCTGTCGCTTGCCCCCGAGCACAGCTTCCACACCCTTGCAGGCGGGAATGCTGGCTGACAAACCAAACGCGATGGCAGATACCCCGACAATTTCATCTACTGTCCCTGCCCAGCGTGCGCACTCACCTACCCGTCATCGACCTCCGGGACTTCCCAACCCCGCACCCGAGCCCATGGGCACATCCGGTCCGGTCCCCGAAGGCCCCATCATGGCTCCACACCCTGCCCTGATGAACCGACCAGGTTTCCACCAACACCATATTAGCACCGGGAGCTTGGTTTTCAACGGTCTCCACGATTCCAATGCATCCTCGCCTGCTCCTCGCTCGGGCGGCGGTTTCGCCCCTCCGCCGGGCCTCCTCCCTTATCCGCCGCCTGTGGATGGATATGGTCGGCCGCTCGTCGTCTCGGCAGCCGTTGATGGTTTCCCCCCGACCCCTCTAAACCACCACGGGCCGCCGACGCCTCATAGCTTTCACGGATCGCAGTCATCTCTGCAGGCCGAGGAACATGTTTTCAACCACTACCCCGCTGGTAACGGCACCGGCACCCACGCCCCGGTATCCGCGGGACAAGGCACGATGCCTCCCCCGGGGATGAATGGCACCGGACATCCTACCCCCGGCTCGGTGTCTGCCTACCAGGCCCTACGTGACCAGGACGAGGCCCTGTCTTTCCTCAGGCATGGAATCTCGGATAACACCTTCAATGATTGCGTGCTTGAGGTCCGCTTCCCGGATAGCCCGGAATTCCAGGACCACCCCGGCTACCGACAGTTGCACCGCGTTCTCAGGACTCAGGGTCACCGCTTCATCTTCTCTCGCAGCCCCATGCTTGCCGGGGTCATGAAGTCCCAAGGAACCGCGCCGGGCGGCGTCATCTTACTTGAAGTCAGCGATGAGTATATGCGGTCGGATATCTTCTGGTACTCCCTCCGCTCCCTGTACGGCTGGAGCCTCGCCGATGGCCATCTTCCTACCGAACTTCGCCTTCGGGACATTGGAGACGATCTCAAGACCGCGCTCGGTTACATTGCCACTGCACGGTATCTGCAGCTACCCTGGGTGCACTCTGTCGCCGTCCATCGCGCCAGCAGCCTTCTTCACTGGAACACGATCGAGTTGGCGGTCAAGTTCGTTTCACAGATCACGGCCGTATCCCCGCGGAACGATGGCTTCAACATCTCGGTGCTCTTGGAGCAGGTCCTTTCGTTCATTGTTCACAACTTCCCAGCCAGTTTTGTCCTTGACGCCAACGCAGGCGATTACGGTTTCCCTCGTTTCCCGCCTTCGAACGCTCCGACACGTAGCTCCAATGGACCCACGATTGCCAATGGTACGTCTGGTGGGCACCATAGCCGCCAGTCCTCCATGACTCAGGCCCAGATGCCCCGGAACCCGCGCGTATCTTCCAACCTTCGCTTGTCCCAGATCAAGTTTGGAGACATCTCACCATCCAAGAACGGATACGCGCGTGCCCCGACCCCTAACGAAACCCTCCTCTCTCGCATCCTGCTCAACTTGCCGTTTGAGCCTCTGAAGCAGATATTGGAGCACCCCCATCTAGCGAAGCTCTCCGGGGAGCTCACACCCGCATCTCGGCAGTCCATGATCACCGACGTTATTGTCGAGCGTGAGCTGAGGCGCCAGCGAGCCCTGGAGAAGGTTGACCCACAGCTCCGCGCCTACCAAGAGCGAGTCGAGAACGCGACAGGTCCCCTGGTCGTGGGGCACATGGATGACTTCTGGGTCAACAACATGGGGTTCAAGGAAGAGGTATTCCCTGGCGACCTCCCCTACCTTGTCCACACGTGGTCGCAGCCGACTTCGTCCAACGTTAGCACCTGAGCCTTGCAGTTACAACCTTGGGCCGGTTAGTTCTCACGACTTTATGAGTTTGGGGAGTTGGGTTGGGGGATATATGGGGGTTTCCGCTCGCATCTGCATTTACTGGCTCATATGGTTTCCTTTTCCTCCTGCTTTGTCGGTCGATACACCTTTTCTTACATGCTGCTTGGCATTCTTTGCATTGCGCCTGGAGTCACATGGTTACACAAAATTGCTTGCCCTCGTTTGTTGGGCAGGCTAGAGGGAACGGGGGCATGCTATGAGCGGTTTCCTTTTTTCTACTTTTGGGGGTTTCCTTCTCGACGCGGGACGACCAGCTCCCGCTTTTTTTCTCGGTGGCTGATGCGAGGCCACATTGACCTGGCGTACCGGCAGAGCTTCATGCGTCTACTACCAAAACTCAGTTCCCCTTCCGAGGGGCGACCGAGTCCATCAGACTCCCAAGACCGGTTGGCGCCTGCTTTGGGGCTGACCTTCGTGGGGAGGAGATGGGATGAAGCAACGTTTGCGTCTTTCGGGCGGTTTGCTCGCGGGTGCTTGGGATTGGGTTAGGAAAATAGGAGTTGGCTTGTTAATGATAGATTCTTGCCAAGGGGAAACCGGATGGGTGTGAAAAAAAGAGGGGACGATGGTAATACCAGAAGGGGAAAAGCAAGCATACCTTTGGTGAATTGCTTGGCGTGAGGTGTAAATGTAAAGGGAACTACGAAGGTAATATGGGAGGTATTTTCAGGCGTTGGGGGTCGTCCATGTTGGCTTACTACCTATGTACTGTATTGCTTCATGAAACATGTTTTGGTGTGCTCAACCCGACTTGGGATCCCTGGTGTGTACTTGCACGTGAAGCTGCCGGGAAGCGGAATGACGAAGGGAGTGTGGGGTGTGGGGAAGCCCCATTCAATGTCTTGGCTCACCCCAGAACCGAGGCTTCCTGCGCTGCACATGGATGGAGGTAATTCCACGGCAATAATCCCGTCAATGCACGACATCCTCCTGGACCCGCGTCCTGGGAAGCTGACCTTCCACTCGTCATCTCTGGAATTGCTCGACGGCAAAGCATCGAAGGCAGCCACAACAGCAACCCGTGTTTCCGTCGTTTATAGCTGCCACGGATTGGGAATACGCGACAGGACGCGCATCCGATTATCGACGACCTTGGACCTTTTAGGAGCTTATTGGGCCAAGCTCGCATCCCTTCCGCGCCGTTAATAAAGGGGTCCGATAGCCGACCCGAATCGACCGACAGTCGCGACTTCACCAATTGCCGCAACAACATCCGTACGCAAACACAACACAGCCCAAAATGGCTTCGAGGGCGGGGGCGCCTGGATCAAGCGCTTCTTCGTCCGTGACAGCGCGATCCACGACGGACCCCATCCTTCGCAACGCGCTCCGCTACACCATCTCGGCGCGCGAATATGCGACCCTCCACAAATACGTCATCTCGCGATCACGAGCCCTGAAAAAGCACGCGCCGACAGTGGGCACGGTGCAGAGGATTATCGGGAGTAGTCGCGGGCCCACCCAGCCGGCGGGCAAGGGAGGCAATGGGAAAGGGAAAGGGACAGAGAGGGATGGGGAGGACGACAGGACACGCGGTGGCGACGAGTACAATGCGCGCGCGGTCCGACACTCGATTCGCGTGTTTGTCGCGACAGGCGCGCTGATGAAACTCTGGGAGGTGGTGTCGGCGAGGGTGTTGGGGAAGAAAGAGTATGTCGAGTTCACTCCCTCTGGTCTTCACGCTCCGCAGTTGAGAATACAAGCTGACACTGTTATTCCAGCACCGCATCTGCAACTACCAAGAAGCAGCCGCTGCACAAGTCACCAACCCTCCGCCTCTCCCTCTCTCTCAGCACCATCCTGCTGATGTACCGCATCCTCTTCCGCTTCTTCAGTCGCATGCGCGCCCATATCCTCGACCCCTCGGCCGCCCCCTTCCGGCTGCGCAATCCCAAAACGGCCAGCACGTTAGCCTCTCCCTACGCTCCCGCCGTGGGTGCCTCGCTCGCCGGTTTGGCGTTGGGTGTGTACCCTAACCGGCAACTTCGCATGACCGTTGCCCTGTACACCATCTTCCGGGCTCTCGAGTTTGGGTGGAATTGCGCCGAGGACAACGGCATGTTGTGGGGATGGGAGAAGGGGGTGAACGGCAAGCCGGATAAGCTAAGGCCACGGCCGTGGTGGTGGGGCAGCTGGATGCTGCAGCCATTTGCGTTTGGCCAGCTCCTGCATGCGCTGGTGTTCGACAGGGACTGCTTCCCATCGGTGAGTTGGTGCGATCGCGAGCAGGGAAACACCAGTTACTGACTTGACGTTTGTTTAGTTCTGGGGCAACTTCATCTTCAAGAACTCGACTGCCTACCTCCGCCCCAAGCCGGAGGACTACCCCGTCGGTCTGAAGTGGCCTCAAGCCGGCGAAATTGCCGATAGTCTCGCCCAAATGGCTCGGCTGAACTGGCCGTGAGTCCTCCACCTTACCCCCCTCCTCTCTCAGACTCAACACTAACACCTACCCCCCCAAACCCAGCGCCTTCGTCTCCCCCACCCTCTTCCCCGTCAAAGAGGACGTGCTCCCTCCCTCGCTCGCCGCCATCGCGCCCATCACGTCAGGCGCCCACCCGCTGATCACCTCGCTCTCCTGCGCCACCCTGCACCCGTCCGACCCGTCCTGCACGCGCACCTACCTCCACTTCTGGCTGCGCTCCTTCCCGCCCCTCACCCGCCTCCTCGTGCTCGTCTACTCGGCCCTGCTCCTCCCGCGCGCCTCCCAGCTCTACCACTTCCCCTTGTCCACCCTGCGCCGCCTCCTCTCCAGCGCCCTGCGCACCGCGGGGTTTTTGACGGGCTCCCTCGCCACCGCCTGGTCCTCGGTCTGCTTCTTCCAGGCCTGGCTGCCGCGCGCCCTGCTGCCGACGCAGCGGTTCTTCCTCGGCGGGTTTGTCGCGGGGTTCTGGGCGCTGCTGCACCAGGGGGGTCCTGGGGGCGCCGGGCCGGCCGGGCGCCGGTCGGTGTTCCTGGGGAGTGCGAAGGCGAGCGTCGAGAGTCTGTGGAAGGTGGGCGTGAAGCGGCGCTGGTGGCGCGCCATGCGCGGTGGGGATGTGTGGGTGTTTGTGGCGGCGCTGATGTTGACTGGGGTGGTGTATGAGCGGGATGCGAAGGCGGTTAGGGAGGGCGCGTGGCGGAAGGGGATTAGCTGGGTCAGGGGGGAGGGGTGGAAGGATTGGGGGGTGGAGGAGGAGGATGAGGAGGGGGAGGGGGTTGATGCGGATGGGGAGGGGGTTGGTGGGGGGGTGAAAGAAGAGTAAGGGGGTGGTGTAAGTGGGATGTGCTATTATTGTATGGGTAAGCTAGTCGGCCGTCGAGTAGGGGCGTTGGATGATACGACGATACATGAATAATCGGTAATTTGTGCCTACGCACTTGTATGGATGCAGTGAGTCTGTCGAACCATGGTCATGATCCAGAAGCTATGATCTATCGACGGGAGTATGAGATTCTCGAGAGGGCTTGGCCATGAGCCATAATCGAAGGAGCACCTCGATCACTTCAAGTTGGTTTACGGGACAAGGCAGAGATACCCGCATCACAATTACACCCTTGCGTACGCTACTAAAGTGGCCATGTTGTGATGATATCTAGGGAAGCAGGTCTCGATTTGTCAAGCAGATTGACGCATATTGACATTCCATCTGTCGTCTCAAGCGCAGGGTCATGGAAGCGAAGATGCGGGTAGGTGAAGAAGCAGATTGCATTACCTGTGTCCGAAGAAGAGTTGAACCAAACAAAGGAAATGGAGCACACCATCCATAATCCGAGTTCCAGATGTCAGAACCACATGCCCTGTCCCGTATCCTCAAAAAGCCAACCTACTCCAACAACTGATCCCTAGGTCCTCGACGACCACCCTTCCCGCGTGTAGATGATCAACCCGACGGGCACAATGTAATCATTGCGATAAACGACCGTCTCAGGGTAGTTGACGGAACCGCCCTGCGGCTTGAGCACTGCCTCAACCTTTGATTGGACACTGACCGTCAGCAAATGCTCCCTCCTCGCCGTGGTGACGACTGAACTTGGGTGACGTACACAGTTGAATCCGTGATCGGGGCCGGTCCGGGTCGTGTCTGGATAGGCCAACATCTGAGGCCGGTTGGTGATGACGCGGCATATGAGAACAACGTGTTTCTTGGAGTGAATTTTGTGGTTGCGGGCGTAGCAGTCGGCTTCTAGAATAACATATTAGATTCCCGGATCTCTCTGAGATGAAATGATGAAATAGAAACAAAGCATAAAAGGAGAAAGAAACAAAAATGGTAGGAAGGAGAGCAGTGGGGAACGAGTTCAAGGGATCTATCTTACTTGAGGACGCCACGGAGCTGTAGATACCGGGCCCGAAGAGTGGTCCGATGGGAGAATTCGGCGAGCCTGCAGTTTCACACAGTCAATCATTATCATTACATGTGCAAAACGCCATCGCAAGGCTTACGGGCATATTCAGTCCTGAAGGACTCTCCGAGGACTCTGCAAAGATAACACTCAGGTTTGTCACAGGTAAATAACCTGCCGCCATTCTCGCCGATGTAGCATGCGCGCTGCGTCCCGTGGAAGCGCGTCCCAAAGCCCCCACCGCCTTCTTGTCTCCTTTAGGGAGGGGGACAACCAATTTAGCACCATAAAAGGCATCAAGTAAGGCATGGGCATCAGAACTTCCACTTACATAGCTCTACCGAACTGCTGCCCCCGGGCCGAGTTGAGCAAGTCATCCTTGCCTGTGATATAAATCTGCGTCACACTGGCACTCTTATCCCCATCGATCCATCCGTCATTGAACCTCTTCTCGTCTACATGGTCAAGTGTCAGCAAGGGTAGACGTAGACGCTTGTCAACTGCTCGGGCAGTATTTCTTCCAAGGACTCACAGAGTCGGTACTCGCTGCTCCCAGGTGCCAACTGCTTCATAGGCTAACATCCATGTTGTCAGCGGAATGAAACTGAGCCGTGACAAGCAAGGGGCAGGGCCATACCGGATCCATTTCGTAGTGGGTTTCAGTCGCTTCCTCAGCCAAGTCGATAGATGTTGCCAACGACTCAAGAACCTCTTCGACGAGAACAACTCCGAGTCCTAGAAGAGTCCTGAAGACCATAGGCAGGTGTTGGAGCTGTGGAAAGGTGTGCTTAGCAGTGAGTGCTCAGCATGGATGGGTACCAAGGTAGTCAACCCAGTCTATAAAAGGAAGGTTGAGTGAGTAGGTAAGTGCTCATGAAAATGGATGAGTTGAGCCCAGTATCGGAGCCTCTTCTTATTTCACCCGGGAGGGAATGCGAGAGCCTCAGGACAACCTGATCCCTCCCCAGCCGCGGAAGTCTCTGAAAGCGGCAGCAGAGCCTCAATCCCAAATGTCAGTTGCTTTTTCAAACGGACCTACCTACCTCGGACAAGTCAGTAAACCCCACGTTTTCCGGCCTCCATCATCGCGAAGCCACGTTGGGGTTTACTGTCAGCTTCCTCTGTTGTGTGACTTTGGGCGTGAAGCCACAGTGACGCCCATTTTTGCCATACAACTGCAGGTTGGATACCAACTTAGGTGGCTGATCTATTCTTGAGACCATGGAAGAGAGAGATTGGTGCAGCCTCGCTGAGGAACATTGCACCGGCCCCGTCCTCTACCGCCGAAGGCGCCGACTACTACTGTCGTCCCCCCTTCCGAGCAAATTTCCATGTTGTTTCGACCGCAGGTGCATAAAGGGTCGTCAGCCTGAGATACCTGCATCGGTTACACTGCAGGGGCCTTGGGCCTTGTGGAAATTGGCAGCCCGAGAAGGAAGCCTAAAAAGTCGAAACAAGATGATTGAGCGGTCCTTCCCATCTGGCTGCGAAGAATAGGCAGCTACCCCGCTTTCAACTCCGAATCTCTTAGCTGTGTCGAGGAACACAAACTCGGCCCAACTTGAGCCCGAAACAGACAGCCAGTCGTGCCAGACCGCGTTGCTCGCCATGAACAATTTCATGGCCACTTTTTCACATTCGAGTCGAACAACAGGCTGCGCCTAAGCCAGCCACAACCAAACAGGTCTTTTAGACACTTGGAGTTAGGCCAGTGGGTGCATGCATCAGGCAGGAAGCGTGTCAGCAATTTCCGCAGGACATTGAGCACACTTGCGGCTCGGCTTTTTGCTTTTGCTTTGCTAGCCTTATCTACCTGCCCTAACTTTGGTATGTTGTTTAGTCGCGAGAATCGACTGACACTTCCATATTTCATGCTTCCTCCGTACCTTCCTACCCCATTTTGGTATCACAAAAAATGAACTATATTCTGAGCTTCGTCGGCAGTGGCCCGGACGAGAAGCCTTCACCGAAGAGGTCATCGCGGCCTCGTACACCTCCACGAAGGTCGCCATCCCGCAGGATATCACCCTATACCACCAGGAGAGCCATGGCCGAACCAGGCTCTGGGTCAGGATTGGGAAGTGGACGGGGACAGGCGCCAGCCCCTCCTGGTTTCAACTCGCAACAGTCCCCGACCGGGTCTTCCAGCCCGCCACCACCAAACTCACGCGAGGCACTCAGGGAGGTAGCCCGGGAGACCCAAGACGTGGTCAGAAGCGTCCTAAACCAGCTCGGCACGACCGACAAGGCGCAATTCTCGACCCAGCACAACCTCGACACCCTCGGCCGCCTCAACCCCTTCTTCTGCCCGGCCTTCACCACCCCCACCAAAATCCAAGTCCTCAACGAAGACACCCTCAACGCCGGCCTGGCCCTCCTCCCGGACAGCAGCAACCAAGACCCGCGCCACGACAACCCGCACCCCTTAGTCGTCAACTTTGCGCGCCACGACAAGCCCGGCGGCGGGTGGCTCAACGGCGCGCTGGCACAAGAAGAAACCCTCTGCTACCGCTCCTCGCTCTGGAAGGCCCTGCCCTACACGGCGCAGCACCCCCTCCCGCGCGGCGCCGCCGTCTACAGCCCCTACGTCATCGTCGTGCGCGACGACCTCGCCCGCGGCGGCCACCGCCTCCTGCCGGGTATCAAACCCTTGACCGCGCCGCCGCCGCTGCTGAGCGTGGTTAGCATTGCCGCGCTGCGCAACCCGCGCACGCAGACTTTCCGTCTGGCTGATGGTGTTACGCGCAAGACGGTGTTTCGGTCGGATGATGACCGGGATATGACGAAGAGGAATATGCGCCTTGTGCTGCGCATTGCCGCGCATAATAGGCACAGGCATCTGGTGCTGGGCGCGCTGGGGTGTGGGGTGTATGCGAACCCGCCTGAGGATGTGGCGCACTGTTGGTTGGAGGTGTTGCGGGAGGATGAGTTTTCGGGTGGGTGGTGGCGACAGATTTGCTTTGCGGTGTTTGATCCGAGGGGGGATGGGAATTATGAGGTGTTTAGGAGGGTTTTGCAGGATCAGAAAGTGTGAGTGTGTCTATGTCTTGTGGCTCTTGTTGAGGGGATGTGGGATGGTGATGACAGGGCGGAGGGGGGATGTGGCGGAGGGTTTGGGAGGGAATATGCGCCGGTTCCTGTATAATACAATTTGGGAATATGAGGTCGTTGCAATTTGGTGCTAATTACTACTTCTGCCAGGGGTGGTTTTGTTGGGGCGGGATCGAGGTATTTCGCCAATGTCCACCTGTGACGCAACTGGTGGTGCCACTCGACAGCCTCGTTCAGGTTCAAGCAGTGCTGCACCCAAGGAGCTCCATTTGCCCATTCTTAGATTCTCTTCTTATGAACTCAAATGTGGCAATTACCTTGATTTTAGCACACTACCAGTTCATCATACACCTATCGTCTATTCCAGCTTCTTGATCCAAGAATATCCCATCTCCGACACTCCTCTCCCACCACCAACTACACAATCCGCTCCAGAGGAAAGTCCTTCGGCCCAACATAAGCCTGGTAGCCGCCCGTCGGCGTAACGCCCTCGATCATCTTGATCTGGTCGTTGGGGATGAAGTGCGACCCCCGGGTGTAGCTCAGGCGCGAGACCTGCACGCTGACGATGACGGTCAGGCCCTCCTCGCTGCGGACGACGTCGAAGGTGCGCGACGAGGGCGGGCAGGTGCCGCCCTGGATCTCGGGCAGGATGGCCACGCCCGCGCCGGGGGCCGACGCGCTGCAGTCGTAGCCCTGCGTGTCCATGGTGCCGGGCATGAATGCGTTGAGGGAGTAGCTGAGGGCGGGATGTTAGCTGAATGCGTTGGTTTATTACGGCTTGTGTGAAAAGGGGGACGTACTGGCACATGGCGCTGTGGGGGACGCAGCTGGCGGTGAAGTTGCGGGCTTCGAAGACGACGTCGCGCTTGGTAACTGCGGCGGCGGAGGCGGCGGTGGCCATGGCGAGGAGTGACAGCTTCATTTTGGCGGTTTTGTGAATTGGTTACGCACCTAGGGAGGTAGATGAGTGTGATGTTGATGTCCTGGTTTTTGAATTGATACAAAGAAAGAGAACTTGAGTGGGAGTTGTCGAGAAGCTTAATAGTTACTTTATTCCTTGTCAACATGCCGCCGAGTCACCGGCTGGCGTTCCATTGAGCCGCGGCATTCAACAATTCTGGTGGGACGACTGCATGGGCAAGAAGCTGGTAATTGGCGGAACGCGATGCGTGTGTCCACCTCGTGTTGTTGTGGATACGCGCGCTTGTTAGCGAGGCCTCGTGTCGCTGGCCAAGATCGGGCTCAGCGACGATCTCGGGGTATTCGTACCGTTGCAATATGTCGTATTATCAGCCGCAAGGTCAAGCGCCGATCTTCAAGTACGTCATACGACTCGCTTGCCGCCAGTCCCCGTTGATACTTGAGCATCTGCCAGAAGGGGTGATTAATGCAAACAAAATGTCCAACATGGAACCACAGGGCAGCTATCGTGTTGGCAGACAATTGTTCGGGATTGGGGGATTCTACACGAAAATTGGAAGCGTCGGTTGGTCGGGTGTGCTATGATTGCCTCCTTTTCAAGTTCAAGTTCAACGTACGCAACATTTTTACTGTTGTGAAACAGTCTCGCATTTGAATCCATATGAGATCTGCCTGTCGACCGTCTACTACTAACCTATGATGGATGTAGAACGACTATCGAGCGTGAAGCGCACGTTAAAAGGAGTCCGAGGAGTCCGAGGCGTCCAAGGGGAGGCGATACCATCGCTGCTTTTCCCTCTCACTACGTGCTAGCGAGAGCGCCGCCATGGTATCCACATCGTCCACGTCTATGATGTCCGCGCCATGCTTGACCAACAGGTTGGCAATACCGGTGCCGACCGGGTTGGCGTTGGCCCAAACAAAGGGCGTCCTTCCCTGGTCGTCTTTTGAATGTATATCGGCTCCCTTTTCGAGTAGCATGGCAACGATTGTCTCTGCCGAAAGCCCCTCGCGGCCGGCGGCGTGAGAAAGAGCCGTCCTCCCCTCTTTATCTCTGTACTCGATATCCACGCCACGATCGAGCAGTTGCTTAACGAGGCTGGCCTCTTGATTGTAAGCAATGACGAGATGCAGAGCCGACTTCCCATCTTGTGCGGTAACGTTGACATTAGCGCCAGCCTGGAGCAGTGCCGAAACCGATCGGTCACTGCCCGCGATTGCAGCCTGCACCAAGGGTGTCTCCCCATATTCGTTTTGCGACTCGGGGTCGGCGCCGTTTTCGAGCAGCCACCTGACAGCATGATAGTTGCCACGCCTAGCAACGGCCGCGAGGGTCGATGTGCCGTGCGAGTCTCTTGCCTCGATATCTGCACCATTATCGAGCAAGAACTTGCCAATGGAAATAAACTTTGAAGCTTTGTTGCACCTCTCCATACGATAGCGCAATGGCGTCCACCCTTCGTCACATCTTGACCCAATGTCTGCACCTTTTTCGACCAAAAATCTCACTATGGCCTCACGCCCACGTTGACAAGCATGGCTAAGAGCGGAGATCCCCGCCGCACTCTTGTCGTTGATATCGACGCCCCTTTTCAGCAACAGCTTGACGATATCCAACATGCCCTCTCTGCAGGCCAATGCCAAAGCTGTGTCGCCATGCATACTTTTCAGTCCAATATCCGCCTTGTTTTCCAGCAAGAGCTTGGCATTCTCCTCACGTCCGCGTGCCAAGGCAAACAACAGCGGCGTCATGCCATCCGGTTCCCGCGCATTAACGTTCGCGCCGAATTGAATCAAAAGCCGCACGGCGTCCGCGGGTTTGAATTGGCTAGCCGCTGTCAGCGGCGTTGCTCCGCGGCCATATCGATCTTTACTCCTCGCTTCTACCTGAGCACCCCTCTCAAGCAACAGTCGGAGAACGTCTAGGCTTTCCCAGCTGCACCCCCGGATCAATCGGCAAACGTCTGAATTTTCCCACGTGCATGCCCGGATCAATGGGGTTTCACCGTTTCCGTTCCGCGCCTCTATGTTGGCGCCGTGGTCAAGAAGAAGCCTGACGACGCTCACCGACCCGACTTCGACGGCCCACATCAGAGGCGTCTTCTGCTCGTGATCCGCCTCTTCGATAATGCGCTTCCGGGTGCGTAACCACTCAAGACCCCACAACGTTCTTGCTTCCCCGTCGACCAGAACTTTGGCTACGTCGGCGTGGCAGTATGCTGCCGCCCAGACCAAGGCTGTCTTATCCCGAGTGTCCTTGGCGTGCAATTGACCACGCTTGGTTTTGAGAAAGGCCTGGACGGCTGGAACGAGCCCGAAATACGAAGCAATCATCAGGGGAGTGGTGGCAGGGTCATCGGCGATACATAGAGGTAGGTAGAGTGGGAATTCTCTGTTTCGAACTTCATGTTCCCTCGCTTGGCATCTGAACCACCACGGGCGATGTTGGTGGCAGGCATCGCAGATCTCGACCATTGCTTGTGTCAGTTCTTTGTCGACTCCCACATGCAACGCTCTCAGATGGGTAGCCCAAAAATAAGCCGAGTATTCGAGAAGACCATAGCCCCGCATGAAAGACCGTAGTTGGGCAAGTAACTCCTGGCCGTACCTGGCATATATCCGATGGACATCGAACTCTAGTTCGGGGTGGTCCTGGAACGGTTCAACTTTGGCCATGATTTCGGGGGTGCCTTCGAGTATTTCCGGCAGCCGCAAATTCCAGAGGCAGATCTCCGCAAGGACCCGATGTGATTCGGCGGGGTCTAAGGAGTACTTCCACCTGAATTGTGGTTTGCGCTTCTTAGAGTCCGGTGAAAACCGGCGCCTGGGGTCCGCCTTCACGAGGAACTCTCTAGCGGTCTGATGAAGCAAATATATCCTCGAGTCAATGACAGTCACAAAGAGGCCACAGATATTTCTCAGCCGCTCTCGGAACCGCTCATCGGAATCCAACTCAACGTCTTGGTATGACTGGTGCGAGGGGCGTATCGTCAACGCAAAGTTCATTTCACGGACTGTTAATGGCCTCTCCACCCCCACGATGATATGCAGAATTTTCCGAGCCTCCCCCGGGGCGCAGCTCGTGGAAAGAATCTTTTCATATGCTTCGTCGACTGACTTCGGGAGCTGCGAAGGTGCCTCTCTGATCTTGCGTTTACTGATGTTCTCGCTCCTCTCAACGTGGTCGAGGGTGAGATACACCCATAAATAGGTGCGGTTTGGCACATTCAGCAAACCACGGAGTAGCATGTCTTGTTCGTCCTTGTCGAGATTTAACTTTGCCGCTACGCCCTGGACTCTAGCTTCAATGAAGATGTCGATCTCTTTGGATATTTGCTTCATCTCTTCCTCGCTTTCCCCGCTCAGATGGACAACCGCGAGCTCTGCCATGTCGGGCGGCTGAAAGCCGCGCCTAATAGACCCAAATGGCCGGCTCGTGAGAAGGAACTTCAGATTTGTTGCCTTCTTTGTGCGATGTTGGTCAAGCAGCGCCTCAGAGAGTATCTGGCGGTCGTCTGCCGCGCATTCATCGAGAGCGTCAAGGACGCAAATGATCTCTCCAGCGTCCTCTTCTCGTGCTACGCCGAGCAGAAGCTCCCAAAGGGCTCGGAATGAACGGATAAGCTTGTCGCCCTCCGCCTTAAGTCGGGTGCGGACGGCGTCGGAGAAAAGAACGGGCTTCTGGGTGAAGAGCTGGTGGAGGATGCAACAAATAGCATTAACTGTAGTCTTTTGGTCCTCGAAGTCGTCCTTGAAGAAGAAATAGCACGTTGTCCTGTATTGAGTACTCGGAAGAACTTGGTCAACGAGATGTTTGACCAGCACCGACTTACCGCACCCGGGGTCCGCGGATACCCAGAGCGTCTGGTAGCAGTCTTTCTGTTGGGAGCCCCTTAACCAGTTTCGGAAAAGTTCGTGGCCCACGAACCACTCGCAAGTGCCCGGAACTCGACGCGGGTTTCGATCTTTCCGATCCATATACGGCACGGTCTCGAGCCTTCCCAGCAACTGGATTGCTTCAACACTCAAAGTTGGTTGCTTAGTCCTCGAGAACGTTCCATTGGGAAGCAGAGACTGCAGAGAGCCGGGTACGTCTTTCCCCACCAAGCGTTAGCATTGTTGTGTCAACCGACCAGAAGCACGATTTACTCACGGGTGTCCCAGCTCTCGAGCAGAGCTTTGGCTGTGGCTGCTGCTACCACAGCGGCATAGCCCTGAAACATCTTGTTTTTGTGGCTATCAGCGTAGTCACAGACGCTCTTGATAATCAAACAAGAACATTCACGCAGTATTTCCCAACACCCGGCCCCTTCCATTTCAAAGGCAATGACGCCATCCCGGCGAGCAATCTCGTCCCGGTCTCTCCCGGAGCGCATGACGGTGTCCCCAGAGGCGACGAGGCCGAAATGCACTGTTGGTTGCGATCTGTGTCCCGGCGGCGAGCGGGCTACCAGGTTGGACACCTGCTGGCTGCACCCGAGCGTTTCGCAGCTCTTCTCAGTTACATCGTCGCAGACGGCACCCGCATTCCCAGTACATACTAAACATGCTGAGAGCTCGTGGTGTTTGTGAAGGTAGTCCGGTTGGAACAGCCGGTCTCCTTCCCGACCAGGATAGGCTGCGTCGGGGCCTAGCTGCTGCTGAAGGGCGTCGAGGTGGCGAGACACGCTACGGGAGAACTCTCTGCCGCGTCCGGCCTCGGCGGCCTTTAGTTTGGCCAGCACACCATCGGCTACAACGGACAGTCTGGACAGGTTGTGGCGGGGAGTGTCTTTGCGGACGAAACCGCCCGGGAACCGCCTCCCAAAGTCGTACTGGATGACGCCGGTGCTCACGACCACATCACCGAGAAAGACATCATCGCACGGCTTGTTGGGGGCGTTGGGAGCACCGCCGCAGATGCCGACGACGAGGACGAGCTTGAGATGGCGGAAGCTGGCGCGGAGATTCCCTGCAACGGTCGCGGCGGCCACCTTGCCCATGCTGTGCATATGCGCGAGAACGACGGTATGGGAACCGATGGAACCGAACGAGTACGAGTTTGTATCGGCAGGTGCCCTGTCCAACCCCGCGTTATCCCATCGTTCCTCGAACAGCTCGAGCACAGCAGCGGCCTCGATAGCAAGAGCGCAAACGATAGCGACGCCGAAGTTGTCGCACGGCGGTGCCGGCCGAAAGCTGTCCTCTCGCTTTCCCTTGTTCTGTCGGTGTGTCGAGAGATCGACATAGGAACCGAAGGAGGGGTTCGCTAGGATGGGCGACCCGCCAGGTGTCGGGCTCGGGGGCTGGCTTTCGTCGCTCATTGGAACGGTATTTGGATTTAGATGGACTTATTGAAGCGGAGTGGCCAGGGTCCGTAGGTAGTTACCTTAAAAACTTCAAGCGTGTAAAAGGCTGATCAAGCAATGAGGGTGTGTGTGTTTTGATCAGGTTGCGACGTCTTCGCGGGTGTCTCCTAGCAGAAACCGCGGAGAGCCTCGCCTTGACTGGGCGCGCCGGGCCGAGTGTCGGGCTGAGTCGACAATGCTAGCCACGTCTGGCGGGCTGCAGAAAGGGGCACACCAAACGCACTTAACTAACCTGCTTGATGTCGCAAGGCTTTTAAAGTAACTGGGGCACAAATTACACATTCGAAAGTTGAGCGTCTTGGGTTGTCGTTCAATTCCTTCGCCTCTCGGCTCTTGCCCTTCTGCTACTCTGATTATTTTCTGGACCCAATTCCTGACGCTTGCTCGCTCGGGAAGCTTCCGCCACTTCTAATGCTTCTTCCTTGCTGCGCCATCTTACGCCCAGGCCGCTTCTGCGGCCGTCCGCACCTCCTCCACCAATCAATCCATCCTCTGTTCCGGCTGTCTATGAGCAGCCCACCCCCCCCCCCCCGCCGGAACATCTGCAATATTTAACTCCAAACCACTCACGTCCCTAACAACCCTCAAGGTCCATCTCATACAGGCTCCGACCACCAAGACGAGCCACGAATATATTGGGTTGGCCTATGGCCCTGTCCTGTTTCTCATCTGTCGGAGGACTCCATATAAGGATGACAACCTCGCCCTCCTCCCGAGCAATCGTTTCATCTTCCACGATCACAAGCCGGACAAACCGTAGACGTTGCCATCCCCTAACCATATCCAGTACATACCATCTAACACTCCGAGCCACACCACCTCAACCATACTCCCTACGTACCTAACACCACCCAATGCCACCCCCAACCCACCCCAGTAACCGCCCCAACACCCCCCACTCACTCACCCAACCACCAACTCCCCCCCGACCCTCAAATCCCGACTACTCCCCCCCACCCACACCCTATACCTCCCCCTCCTCAACCGCCACGCCTGCGCCTCCACATCCCAGACACTCAAATCCCGCCTTGTCAACTCAAACACCGCCTCGCGCGCCTGGCCCGGTACCAGCGGGCCCACCCGCACAAACCCGCGAAGCTGCCTTACCGGCGCCTGCACATCCCCCCCCTGAGACTCTGGCACCCCGGCCCCCGGCACGCCGATATACAGCTGCGCGACCTCGGCGCCATCGACATCCCCCGCGTTGGTGACGGCGCAGCGCGCGACGGCGAGCACGTCCCACAGGGCTGGGTGGCCGCCCTGGCGGATGGGCGTGTGTGGGTCGGGGAACTCGGTCCATGCGGAGGAGGTGGTGGTGGGGGTGGTGGTGGTGGTGAGGGTGAGGTTGGTGTAGGTGAAGGTGGTGTAGGAGAGGCCGAAGCCGAAGGGGAATTCGGGGTCTTTGCGGTGGGCGTCGAAGTGGCGGTAGTCGAGGTGGAGGCCTTCGGTGAAGTTGGTTTCGGGGAAGGGGGCGGTGGAGAGGGAGGGGTCGAGGAGGTCGGGGGGGAGGTCGTGCTCGGAGCGCGGGATGGTGTACGGGAGTCGGCCGGTTGGGTTGGTGGCGCCGTAGAGGATCGAGGTGAGGGCGTGCCCGGATTCTTGGCCTGGGAGGCCCGCGAAGAGCGTTGCTGTTACGTTGGGGTGCGAGATCCATGCCGAGACGGTGCGTATTCCTGTTTTGGGGGGAGGGAAGGGTTAAAAAAATGGTGGAGAGGGGTTGGAAAAAGGAGGGAAGGTTGGCTTACCGGCAGAGTGGATGATGACGATGGTGTTGGGGCACCACGAAGCGACGTTCAGCACCAGCCTGTCGCTGAACTCGTCCGTCAAGTTGGTACGGTCGAAGCTCTCCGAGGCGTAGGCATTGATGAACACGAGACACGCCTCGGTGTTGACGTAAGGGGTAGGGTTGTCCGAGTAAAAGTCCCAGCGCAAGATACCCCCGTCCTTGGTGATGCGATCCTGCAGGGCCTGGAAGGGGGAGATGACGTACGGCGGCGTGTTTCCCCCGGAGCCGCCCGCGGTGACGAGCGTGCCGTTGAAGGTGTTCCAGCCAAAGTTCTCGTCGTAACCGCCGCTGTAGCGGTCGCGGTTCTGCCAAGGACCCGCCTTGACGGTGGCGTCGTAGCCGTAGATGCAGAGGAACTTAGGCTTCTTGAGCGGCAGGGTGTTGTTAACGTTTTTCACGAGGACTGTGCCAGCTGCACCGATCTCTTCAATCAGGTTGGCGTGGTCTCCACGGACATCGACGGGAAAGTGCTTTTGGAGGTTGTCAAAAATGGCCGGCGGTGGGTAGGTGTTCTGTTGGCCGAGATTGTACCACGGCGCCAGGATGCGAGTGGCCATGTCGCTGATGCGCTCTTCGCTCACAGACCCATTGTGCACGGCTTGCGCCAGACTATCGCCCCAGAAACCGGCACCAGGCATGACGAGGTCCAGGCCTGCCTTGGCCGAGGCTACCCCGGACATCTGGCCATCCCAGTCACTGACGACGAACCCCTCAAAGCCGAGCTCCGTCTTGAGGATCCCGTTCAACAGTTTCGAGTTTTGACAGGCGTACGAGTGGTTGGCCCGCTGGTAGCTGCACATGACAGCGCCAGCTCCCTCACGCAACGCATCCATGAAGGGGAAGACGTACAGCTCGTGCAGAGTGCGGTCGTCGACGTTGGCGCTGATGGCATCGCCCATGGGAGTCCACCTGCGGCGGAACTCTTGCTCATTCAGCAACCAGTGCTTGGGCGTGGCGATTACGCCAGCGTCCTGGATGCCGCGGGTGATGGCGCCCATGCCGGCACCGGCCAAATAGGGGTCGTTGCTGAGCCCCTCCCAGTTCCGACCGCCCTTGGCGACGCGGCCAAGGGGACCGGCGACTGGGCCTAGGGCGACATTGATGCCCTTTCCGTAGTATTCGCTGCCGAGTGCCTGGCCGTAGCGGTACATGAGATCCTTGTCGAAGGTGGCCGCCAGATGAATGCCGGCGGGGAAGGCCGACACGAACTCTTGTCCGCGGATGCCCGAGGGCCCATCAGCGAAGCAGAGAGCGGGGATTCCCAGCCGGGGCACCTCGCCCGTATTGCCTACGCAGGGGCCGGGCCAGCCCCGGGTGATGTTTACTTTCTCCTCGACCGTCATGCGCGAGACCAGATCCTGTGCGTGGCCGTAAGCGAGAGACCACCGGGCATTTGTGGAGCCATTGCCGGATGCTTCGGAGTCCGGAGCCGTGTTAGCGTGCCGGAACATGTACAGAACACTGATGTTTGAGATAAACCTTACGGGACGGATAAACCGGCGGACTCCGGCCGTAATACGGAAGCTCCGATACTCCAGAGCCTGTTTGCAGCGAGCAGGCGGCGCAAAGAAGTGTCGCGGCCGTGGCCTTTTTGTTGCTGAGAATTGCTTGCTCTGAACCCGAACCTGAGGAACGCCGAAGCCTCCGAGGCAGCATGTCAAAGGCGATTTTGAGCAGTTCCATGGTGGCTCGGATTGGTGTTACATGTATGTGTACGTACTGGGTCGGCAGAGCAGTGGCGATTTCCCGGTCAAGGCAAAATAATAATAGTAAATAATATTCCCACTCGTTATTATACAGGACCTTGTTGGTTCCCGGGTTGCGGGAACCCGACAGTTTGGATGCGTCGTGGGTTGATTACCGCCTATTTGGTTCTTTCCCGGTCGCCGGGTGCCTAACGGAATTGTTGGGGGCGCTTTGGTGGCACAGCGGGGGGTTGATGTGGTGCGGTTGGGACTAACGTTTTGCCCCCGCCATTCTGAGACGAGGCAACAAGATGCATCATCGCTGTTCGCCTGACTCCAGATGTTCGTCCGGAACTGACTCTCTCGAGGCATACTCGGGACGAACTTGTGGATGCTTCGTTTATGCGAACCATATTTTTGAGCCACAGCGGTTGCTCCCGCCCAAGCCCCGTCTGCCTGACTCGCCCGGGCTTGATTCGACCAAACACCAAAATCTCGCCGACAAATCCGTGTCACCACTGTTGGATCGCCAATGAGGAGCCGAAAAGCGTTGAAACGATCGGAGAATATTGTGCGGGACGACGAGCGTGCCGTGCGCCTCACCCAGGAGAGGGAGGAGAATGCCGGGCTTGGGTGGGCTTGCTTTTCTGTGTCTCACCTGCCAGCCGTGCTGCCAAATCCGGGTTGCGCCGCAGCCAAAAGTGCCCTTTTCACTCGAGACTCGGTGAGACAAACGGCGTCAAATCGCGCGTTGTGTTATGGGAGAGGGCAAAAGGAGACGCCAGTTGTGTTGATCTGCATCTGCAAGTTCGAGGTCGAACGCGATGTGTTTGGCTCAACACAAATCGACTGCCTCCCTTGCGTTCTCACCGATGTATGTACATCTTTCGCTTCCGTTCGGTTATCACGGCCAGCGCCGTTAGCGCAACGGAGTGTGAGTCGCAGCAAACGGTGGGATAAGGTTGCACCGGATGAACTTCTCGAACAACGGCCCGGCGCCCTTGTCTCCGTGATCAGCGATTCGGCCGTCCAACTTCAACAAATTTTCGCCGGGAGGCAGGCCATCAACATCCAGACCGCGAAGATGCGATGATCCATCCCTTGTTCGTGCCCTCCGTTGTCATCTGCCCCGCCAGCCATCCCGCGAATTACCAAAGAGACGGAAATTGCCCAGGATATTGCCACGAGGCGAGGATCCATCGCCGGCTTTTCAGCCCTGGAGGAAAGGCCAAATTCACCTCTCCGATTGCGCATGCCCGGAATGCCTGCTGCTTTTCTTGGCCCTGCGGTGCTTGAGTACCTGCAGTGCAGAGCTTCCTTGTTCAGCTGAGCGAGCCATGGAATCGCTGAGATGTGGAAACAGACCCAAAACAGAGCCGAGCCATTAAAAACTGAGTGCAACCAATGTCATCTCTAGGCGACCGCGGCGCCGAAGAGAATAACGAAAGTGCCTCGGGAGCAATCTGGACTCACCCAATCTCTAACTATTGCTTTTCTTGCAATCCCCCAACCTGGATTTGTGCTTTGCTGCGTGGGGAGGGGGGCATGCGATGCGCAGTGGACTCGTTCAGATCGCTCATCTCGGGTGCTAGTCCACAAGCGGTCAAGCGTCAGGAACAGCTGCCTGATTGGTTCGCGGAACCCGTTCTCGACCCGTGTGGGTGGGAAGGAGCCCGGGACATGGGTGCATGGAGGGGAATGAGGGGTGTGACTAATGCCAGGGGCAGCGGATATCAACCGGGATAGCGGTCCGTTCCCACGAGCGAGGGTTCCGAGAGGGAATTTGGCCGGTGGACTGCACTGAGTATTCGTAATCAGCTTAGTAGTTAACAATGGTGCTTTTTGATTACAGCATGTGGACGATTCAAGCTGTGAGGGAGGAGATACAGATTACTCTTCCTTTTGGGCCTGTCAGGGGCTCCATTGACTTTTGGAGCCCAAAGCTCAAACACTGCGTTCTTCTCAGGGGATCCAATCGGATGTGCAGCTCAACCCGAAAATAAGAGCACAATTGGTTGAGGGCTTCTCGCGCCATGGCCACCGGATGCAACCGCCCACCGCGCTCGCCTGTGTTCGTCCATACATACATGCACTTGGTCGGTTTGCAAAAACTACAGTTTGGATGTGAGATAGGGGCAAACGCGCAAAGCGCTGGTCCGATGTCGACTTCCCCGCCACATCCAGGAGAACCCCGCGGCTGGCGGGGAAAAGAAGCATCCATGCAGGCGGCGCAGCGAAAGGGGATGCGTCAAGGCCGAATCCTCCAGCCTGTGACATTTGGACACATCATACCACAGCAAAGGCGCGATTGCAGATGACAAAACCATCCATTCACCTAATCTTGTGGGGAACGGGCCCCTCGGCCCCCTCCGACCCGACTCCGAGGCCCGTCAAAACTCGGCCGATTGAGCAAACGCCAACCGGAGGGGGGGGAACGAAAGGGGAAGCGGGCAATGCAGGTACCAGATGGTGCAGCATGTCAGGACGGGAAACTCTGGTGCCGTCAGACCTGCATCTGCACGTCTGATCTGACAGTGGCACTTTCACGACTGCCGACCGCAGCAAAAACCCGGCAATCCCCACAAACAAACGAGAAAGCTTGAGAGGGAATTTGATGTGCTGCTTTGGACAAACCCTGAGCACATCTCCAAGTTGCAGGGCTTGTTTTGTGTGCAGTTGCGTCCCGGGTGCTGGCCAGTCGGTTCCATCCTTCTCCGTTTTGAACTTTTCTTCTTTCCTCCTTCCGCTTTCCCCTGTCCAGTTGCCGCGTTTTGCTCTCCATTCCAAACACCACCCCACTGCCGTTATTGGACAAGCATTAGCCAATCCGGGGGCCCATGACCAGGAATTCGCTGCAACCCCTTTGATCCTAGTTCGGCCTCCACTCTTTTGCGGGCGTGCGCGCCTGGCCCAAGAAAGAGTCGCTCGCTCTCCATTTCCTTCCCCAGCACGCCCAAAATCTCATGCCATTCGCATCCCAAGGCCATCTTCTCGATTTTACACTCCGCCCTCGAACAGGCCTTGTCGTTCGTTCCTTTGGTAATTCTCCATATCGTTTCACTTCGTACACTCGTTCTCCATTTTCGGATTTACCCATTGCGACCACAACTTCCGAATCGAATCGAATTCGACAACTCGAGGAACGAAATTGGCTGACGTCCGCACGACACTCCCTGAATTCGCAAAAATAAAAACCGCGCCGATACTCTCCCCCGAAACCCTCGATCCCACAGTCACCCAACTCGTGGGACAACATATCCAAATAGCCCGGTGTTGCCACCAGCTTCCGAGTTGCTTCATAGGGAACCATTTGCGGGAGCGTGCAGCTTCACAGTGTGGTAGTTGGCGGGGGCCGTATCGGACTCAGACCACCATCCGAATCCGCCACGATCAGATGCACCGAGCGTCTCTGGGGAATATTTGAGACGAACCCTTGGCCTTTGCTTCACGGAATAGTGGTGGATCCCGGTCCCTCGCAGGGCCTCGAAATTCTAAATTTTCGCCTTCGGTACGTCGTCCCTGACTCAACTGCCCCTTTCTCGCGAGAAGCCCAAACCCCGTGTCTGATCCCGCGGGCGTCCCCTTCATGTGATATCACAAGTCATGCTGTGGGCATGCTGCGCACATGCAAGAGCTCGGCCTGCGTCACGCCAGCACGGCCGAGAGCTCGTGTTGCAGCCTTGAGCCTCCCTGTCCAGTTACACAACTTCAATGTCATCCCGATTTCCATCCGAAAGGTGCTAACTGCCGTTATAGACCAACTCGTTGGAACACTCTTTTCTTCCCCGGCGCAGATGTCGAGGTGAATCTTGTACAGTATCCCGTTCGGAACTCCACCTATGACATCGCCGCGAGCTTGATCTCGATACGACGACTTGCCGAACATCCCGTTTCGGTAGCTGCGCTCAATCTGAGCTTAGTTGATGCCGTCACAGCTTGACAAAACCCAACCGCCAAGATGAACCGGTTCAGGACGAAGAAGCGGGCAAAGGACGACCTTGCCGCCGGCCGGTCTAGCGAAGATTCGGAGCAATCTTCGCTCTCCTTTTTTCGCAAGGGAAAGAAGGCGCAACAGGAAGAAGTGAAGCAGGAAATTGACCTGTCCAAGGCTCTACCTACCAATGACGACTTCCGCACGAGCTTGTTGATGAACAACTTGTCTGCACGGTTCTCCATGTTGAGGGAGCAGGATGACCCCAGTACCAAAATCGGCAAGGCTAGCGACGACAGTGTTCTTTACACCAAACGCCAGTCAAGATTGGCCGACTTCGGATTTGGCGCTGGTGGATTATCCGACATTGCTGAGGTCGAGTCCGTCAGGGGCCCCAATCTCCTTCGCACAACTTCCGTGGCCTCCGACGATCCGGACTCGGCGAATGGCGGGAGCGTTCTAGCTCGTTCCCGGCCCACAGAGGGCAACGTGCTCTTTGGTGGGAGGCAGAAGATTTACAAGATTCCAGCGGCCTCTGGAGGCGGAATGAGCGGTCGAGCAGTCTACGAGGAGGATGTCGCCATGTCGGCGTTCCAGAAATGGCGGCAGACAGAAAGGGACCGGACACTGGATGGCCTGAATGGTACCCGATCAGATGAGGCGGAGGAAGAGCCGCACACTCGGTCCGAGTCCCCGCCCCTGATGAGTTACCGCCGCAAGCGTGAGACGGCATCGACCACATCCTCCAATTCCATCATGGCTCGGAACTCCACGGCAGCCACATCCGTCACTTCGCAAGCGGCCGGTGCTATTAAGGACTGGCAGCCCGCGCCGAGCGTGTCGTCATCAGCCGTTGCATCACCCATTCCCGAGCGCAACGTTACTCGAACTCGGAGACTCTACGAACAGGGCTTTAATCAGGAGTCCAACGAGCATCAGGGCTCAGTATTATCACGGATCGAGGCTCTGACACGCCCGCGCCCATTTGGCACGAAGGCGACAGACACTCCACCTCAAACCGACGGTACTCGGACCATTCTGACAAAGACGAGTGCGCCGAGTTTGAGGTCCTTGAGCCCGGCATCCACCTCCCGACCGATTGGCGCGTTGGATCTCGGTAACAGGGTGAAAGCCGACTCCAAACCGAGCAATCTCGGCGGCTTACCGCCTCTGAGCCCACCCGTCAGCGAGACGGGTGAGCAGCCCATCCTTTCGAAAGATGTGGGAAACGCGACGGCGACGGGCATATTTCAGAAATCGTCGCAACCGTATGATGAGTCCCAGTACGTCCAGCGACAGCTCCAGCTTCAGCAGGGCCGAGAAACGCCTACCCAGCGGCATAGAGCGGAGTCGAACGGCAGGAACACTCCCGTTTCCGGAGACCACGAAACGAAACCCGCGGCTATCGGGGCTCGACCGCCCCCGCCGAATGCAGCTCTCCCTCCAACTCCTATTGCCGAGGCCGAGCCTTCGCAGGCAACTGCAGTCAACCCAGCAGGGCTCACCGTACCAGGGGAGTCTCACATCGAGCGTCCTTCTGATGAAGACCACCCAGCATTTAGGCAATCTGCGTTGCCTACCCCTCTCGCTGTTGGTGCCAAACCTAGCAGAGAACCCTCGCCCATTTTGAAGAAGGCCGTCCCGGTCACAAACTCCCAGAAGCCATCCCCAACAGACTCTCCAACGTTAGGCCCGGCGTCGGGTCTTAGTGGCCTGGTTCGTCAGCATCTTCGCACAGAAAGCGTGGAATCGACGCTGGGCGATACTGGATTCGATGCCTCCGCCGCCGGATCCCGTTATAATCTCGATGCGAAGTCCCCTTCACTCCTGAGCGAACCCGGCCCTGCATTGAGCCCGTGGCCTTCTTCAGATCAGGATTGGCTTGGCTCGCACTCTGGAAACGGCGCGGAAACGACCCCGGGAGGGTCAGAGGGCGAGAGTCAGTCTAACCGTGAGAACTCAGACTCAAGGACGGTCGACCGAGCCAGCACAGCCACAGAGGATGAGACAGACGGCTTTGCTAACCAACTGGCCAACGCTCGTCGCCGTGTCCGAGAGAAGCTGACGTCGTATGTCGAGTCGGATAGCAGCAGGGCTACGTCTCCCCTGCTGCTCCCAACCGACCCGCCAAGCTTGTCCACCCAGACTCCGAATCCCCTCGGCATCGTCAAGCCGAAGTCAAGTCGTGGCTCACTCATGGACCGCTCACGCAACACGGTAACAGGACAATCCAAGGGCCTCAAAATACTGGGGCTCGGATCCGCGACCATGAGCACTTCACCGCAGCCCAGTAAACAATCCTTTGAGGAGAAGGAGTTCCCCTTCCCCTCCTTGGAAACGATGAAAGAAGAGGCCCCGAGGGACAACGTGCCACAACGGGGTCACAAGATTTCGGATGCCGAGTCCTACACTGAATCGGACCCAGCAAAGGATAATGACGAGGATGGCAACACGCACCCGGGGCTGCGAGCTTTCAGACAAGCCCGGCGAGATCTGCAGAAGCGGAAGGAGCTGGAAACGCTCGCCCGGCACCAAGCTTCGCAAACGTCGCAGTCCCCGGATGAGGCACCGGAGCAGCGGAATGGTATGCACTCAGCAGCAGCCAGGGTTCCGCGACAGCGAACGCCAAGCAGGGAGAGAAGGCCGCCTCCTGTTACCTACAAACAACGTGCCCCCAGCGACGATCAAAGCTACAGCTCACCAGGAGCAATGAGACCGTCGGGCGAGCGCTCGAGGAGTGGTTCAGAAACCAGCGGCGGTCGTTCCAACAGCCGGCCTCCTCGCTTGAGGACCAATACCAACAATGGGCCGCATGACCAGCTTGGAGCTCCCAATCCCGGGCGACCGATGATGCGCTCTCCCGGCTTACCCGGGACGGACATCAAGAATTCCCCCGTAATGCCACCGTATCCGTATCCCAGCCGCGGCGCGCCTTCGCCTTCACAGTCACCGCATCCCGACCGGTCAAGGTCGGCCGCCAACCTCGCTTTGCACACCGGGCGGCCAGGTTTAGATCCCCATTCGGGTCAGCCCTCCCCTATCTCACCCATGGGCCTGCCCTCGCCATCCCCGTACACGATGGGGCTCCCCGCGTCTCCCATCGGTACTCCCACTTCGTTTGGACCACGCCCACGGCTCCCGTCGGCTTCGCAATCACCGGCCTTGGGTCCTGTGAACGGCGCCATGCCCCACCAAATGAGGCGACCCGTCGACAAACGGGAGATCTCGGAGCCGACGTTCGTCATGTCAACAAGCCGGGTTCCCACAACGACTCTGCCACATCATCCTCCGCAACACCCAGCGCACTCGCAATACCCGCCACCCCCGAGCCAACCTCCTCCCATGGTCCCGGGTAGAGGTCCAAGGTCTCGGTCGAACAGTCGTGCAGCCGGCCCTGCGCCACCACTGCCGCCCATCAACCCTCGTCGCAGACGTGAAGATTCTCGTCCACGAGCCCCTCACGAAGACAACGAGACCGCCGCGCCTCGCCTACCGCATGCAGATAACGGCACATCATGGATCGACATCGGAGCAGGCAGCGAGGATGAAGGTGGTGATAAGTCAGACCAACGGCGGCGACTACGGAAACCGCACCCGGATATGCAGGCGGCCCCTAGCTCCAGGCCTTTCCCGGGCCGATCGAGAGAAAGCAGCCCGCCGCTGATGGCCAATGGGCCTGCGGCGAGCCGATCCGCGGCGAACCACGGCAATGGCAATGGGATGGGCGTCCCCGGCGGGATGATCTAAAGGCGTCCAGACAATCTTATCATCGCCGAATGTTTCCTTGGTATACTTCTTGGCCATTTCCATTTTTCCTCACTTTCCTTTTGTTTCTTCCTCGGGTTTCACTTGGTCGGGCTGAAAGGATGGCCGGCGCAGCGCGGAGGACAGGCGCGGTTCATCGATACCATATGAGGCTTATGAAATTGAGATACCTCTTTGCAAACTAGACTCCTCGGCGCGGATTGGGAGTTTTCTGCTGTCCTTCCTTATTTCTTCGTTTCTATCTGTACCACTTCTTTCTTTTAATGAGATTTTAGGCTATTTCACGCTTGGCTTTGTTCTGGCATATCTTCCAAAAGCGGGGGGATACTATTGTGCCAGTTTCGATTCTTGGGGTACGCACAGAGGCGGGTTTGCAAGAGAACTTGGTGAGCTGGCTTGGTAGCTGGGCTGCTGCGGGCATCGCTGTTTTGGATCTGAGGGCGGGATATATCACTCGGCGCATAATCTGAAACATTAACTTTATAGACTGGGCGAGCGTCCCCACTGTGCCTCGGAGTTACCAGTCTTCTTCCTCGATCAGGGGGGTTCGGTCGAACTTGGATGGGCTGACTTCATCCCTGGACTTATGTATATTGCTTGCGGTTTCGAAACGGGTTCCCAACCCGAAGGTCGGGACAGACGGCCCGAGTGACCGAGGCGAGCCGAAGTTCTGCCAAACCAAGATGGCAGAGGTGAGGGGGCGCTGCTCCGCTTTCGTTCAAGACGTACATGTGTTACCTTCCCCTTCTGGTAGACCGGTAGACGTGTAAGTGCGAGTGAGCACGCCCGAACGAGTCCCTGGGTATTTATATCTAATGTTGTTTGCCTGTATTGTGGCGAGTGATCAGAAGATTTCCAGTCCTTCAGCTCACTCTTCGCTGCTTTCCGGCGGGCATCCACAGTAACTCGAGTCAGGACACAGCACCTCGACATCCAACTGTCAACATGGCCTTCATCCGCCCGTTCAGGCCCGAGGACACCGAGGCCGCAAAGCACATTGTAAGTGGAACTAGGTCCTTGCCACTACCTCCCCCCCTCCATTCCGCCCTCCCTTCAGCCCTCTCAGAGTCCATCTCCCACCCCAAACACCCCGTCACCACCCCTTCTCCATCCCTTCAACCTCTCCCCTCCCCCCCAACCTCCCCCCATCTTACACTACCATCCCCCTTCCACACCCCAAACCAACCCCCAAACCAACCCCCCTCCTAACCCCGAAATACAGTGCCGCGCAACCCTCCCCCCCTCCCTCGCCCCGCTCCCCGCCGCCGTCCGCATGGCCCCCTACCTCTGGACCCTGCCCTTCACCCACCTCTTCCCGCAGCACTGCCTCGTGCTCGACGCCGGCGACGGCACCCCCGTCGGCTACGTCCTCGGCTGCCCCGACGTGTTCGCCCTCGCGGCGGAGTACCCGCGGTATATCGCGGAGGTGTTGGGTAGTGAGGGGGGCAGGAGGGATGTGCCGGTGCCGAGGCAGTTGGGGGTTAGGGAGCAGTGGTTGGTTGGTGATGATGATGGGGTGGGGGGGCAGGTGGTGAATGAGGGGTGTTTGGCGCAGTTGGCGTATCGGGTCGAGTGGCTTGTGCTGGAGGGGGTGGAGGGCAAGAGGGGGCTGGTGGAGGGGTGGCGGGCGATGTTGCATATTGATTTGTTGGAGGGGTGGCAGGGGAAGGGGTGGGGGAGGAAGATGATTGAGAGGTTTGTGGAGGGGGTTAGGGAGAGGGGGGAGGGGGTGTATGGGAAGGGGGTGCATTTGGGGGTCGCGGGGGATAATAGGATGGTGGTGGCGTTTTATGAGAGGGTTGGGTTTAGGGTGTATCCGGGCGGGGAGAAGGAGGGGGGGAATGTGTGGATGGTGAGGGATTTGTAGGTGGGTTGGGATGGGAGAGACGGTTGGAGATGGGTGGGAGTGTTGCTTGGTGTTTGTGGTTTGCGGGTGGTGAAGGTGGATGTTCATGAAACTGGTCATGTAGGAAACAAGAGGCTATTGCTGCCAATACTTCTGCCAGCCATGCCTTGCTTCTTATTGAATACTTTGGTGGCTTGAGAGTCATGAAAGACAAAGTGGAAGACAAGGTCACTGCACTTTCTAGCGTCAAATGCTTTTCTCTACATACTGTCAAAACTGAACAATCACTACTAAAACTAAGCGGCCAGTTCATTAAATGATCATCAACGGCAGGACATTACAACCTTCGTTCGGGACGCACAGCCCTCTAACTCTCGATCGGGTATCTCAACATGCCGTTCCAAATTGACTCAATCCCCATCTCGTTTCATAAACTGCGGCGATGACCCCAACGATGCCGCAGCAGCCAGGTCCCGCTCAGGCGACATCTGCGGCAGGTAGGACTTGAGGAAGCAATTCGCGTTGTGCATGGGGAGGCTAGTCGTCAGGTTCGCATTGAAAAACACGCCGAGGCAGGTGTTGTTGCGTGCAAACTTGTTGAACATGGCGCAGGCCTTGATGCAGTCGCCGAACGCGTAGGCCGTCATACCAGCAAGGTCGACGCCGGGGCCGATGTAGTCCATCATGCAGTTCACGTCGAAGCCCCAGGAAGAGGTACCCAGAGTCACAACCTGGCGGTTCATGGATATCCTCCCGCAGTCGAAGTCGATGATCCCTCGCGTGGGCACTCTGATGTTGGTGTCGGATGCTATCTCGCGGTCATCGGCTGTTGGGGTGGAACTTGGCACTGCACCCGTGGCTGTTGGCATCATCGTTACGGTTGTTGGCATCATGAGGATCATCGGGTTGGAGTTGGAGGCTCTGTCGATGAGGTGTCAGTTAGCCTGCCTGAGTATGCACCTTGAGGGTATTGCTGGCGGCATCATTACCTTCGCGCATTCGCCGCGGCTAGCCCTCCCCCTACGCCTCCGCCGATGGTTGCGAGTAGAATAACGATAACCAAGGACAGACACAGTATGACCCTCTTGCGGCGGTACCCCCATATTGTCGTTGACTTCGGCCGAACGGAAGCCGTTTCCTTTTCATCTTCGGTTTTCGATATGTAGAATTCATACATGCTCCCACCCGCAGTCCCGGACGAGCCAGTCCTCTCGACTGGCGAGTGGACTGGAGGTGGTATCTGTAGTTTAGGTTGGCGGCGGAGCATGTGCGACAACGACCGTTCCGGCCCTGACACGACCTCTGGGGCGTCCATTGCGTGGGACGATGGAACGGGTGGCAGGAGGCGACGGTGTCCGTCAACCTCCCGCGTCTGGACTGTTCAGCAGCAGTCGGTATCGTGCCGGCCAGGGCTACGGTTGTACGATCAAGTCATAAACTCGTATGACGGTCATGGTGGTATGGTGGGATGGTTGTCTGTGGGAAGGAAACAGGAAAAGGAAAGATTTCCGACCATGGGGTGCAAACCGTGGACAACCGACAGGGTGGGGGATGTGAGACTGCGAGCCCAATTGTCCGAAGGCCGGGAACACGGCAAAGCCATGCCGTCCATTCGACACCAGGAGCTTGGGGGTTGATGCATTCGATGGGGCAATGAATCCTCCCAGAGCCAGGAAGAGCTGCGATAGGCTGGGCTGTGGGCATTCCGTGGGAAAGATGCCGCTGGGGTGCAGCATGAGAGTCGCAGATCTGTCTCGTTTGATCGAAGTCGACCCGAGGACGTGGTTGGACTCGGCTATCGTGTGCATGGTAACCCTGGAACACCCCTACCCATGCAGCCATGGTTGCTCAATCAGGGGTTCTTGTTACCCCTGTCTGCCTCACATCGCAACAGCGCGGACAGGATTGGACGCATTTTCCGCTATTAAAGTCAACGAACGGGGCTCCAGATGAAGAGCTCCAACAACGAAGTTTAAACCCTTCGGTTTCTGGCGCCACATATATTGTCGACTATTATCACCCGATCAAATCATCATGGGCGTTTCAGTGCGTGGTTTGGAGATGGGCATACATTCATCCTACGTGTCTCTAATATTGCTCCTACATACTCTGTTTAGTCTACCAAAGGTTCCAGAGGTTTATTGGCACTGCATGCACTGCCAGAATTTCCCAGGCCACCGGGTGCAAAACCTGGGGTACCACCGAGGGAGCCGAAAATGTCGCCGATGTAGTTGTCTGGTTCGATGCCCTCCTCGAACCTCTTAGACCAGCCAGCCAAGATGCCGTTAATGATCTTGACACCAGTGTTGTACAAGTTCCGCACCGCTGGCACCAAACCCCCGCTATCCATGACCCAGGGTAGCTGGGGAGGCACGTCCATAGTGGGCTCACGGTCAAAGTTGGCCGCAGCTCGCATGAGTAGGATGCGCGAGAAGTCCGCTTTCCCCAGGAGGGCCGCTCTCAGCAGTGCAGTGAGGATTGCCGTGTCTTCCTGGGCCGTCATGGCGTACCTGCCCTTGCCCGCTGTGTAGACTTTGGTGACATTGTCCATGGCTTCGGAGAGGTAGAAGCCGTGCCAGAAGGTGTTGGATGAGAGCACATCCCCCTCCAGAATGGCTGGAGTAAGAGTAGCAGCCTCGTACATATTACCGGGGGAGCCGGCATACTCAGCCCGGGTGGCGGCCGCCCTCTTCGAGTCTTCGAGGGTCGCCTGCCGGGCAAACTCGATGGATATCTGTCGAAGGTTGTCATTGAGCTCGTAGACCTCAGAGCCGTGAACGCCGAGCGGGAACGAGTCGGGCGTGTGGGCACCCATGGGGACGTATCCCGCCTTCCACGACGATGGCATCTCTCTCGAGTCCCATTCCATCTGCGTATCGACCTGAACAGCAAACCGAGCAAAGGCGACTCCTCCAAGTGTGGTCAGTCTGGGGTTCCCCCCTGCGATTCCGCTGAGAATGAAGTAGGTCTTGGTCAAGTCAAATGACGCCGACGAAACGAGAGTATTGACCGACAGGGCGGCGTTGATCACTGCGGCGCAACTTTTCTCGTTAGTGAAGGTACCAAATCTCCAGTCAATAAACAGGTAGCAATGCGGAATGGGGAGGCCACATACAAGCAGTTCCCACGACAAGTAGGCAAACCGAACCGTCGGCTGTGGAATGCACATGATCGAACCCCCGAGAAAGGCCTGGCAAGAGTATCTTGCGGGTGAATTTGATTGCGCTCTCGTCAGCGAGCCAATTGTCGGCCTCTTCCTGGCACTAATTGCAATTTACACGATGGTAAGCAACCAAGCAGTCATGCGGGAAAGACGGATTAAAGCGTGCCATGACAAGAATAAAAACCTTGGGAGTCTCTCTCGAGGTTGGCAAGCCGGTCGCTTCTAGCTGACCGAGCGGAGGGCGAAGAACCATTGCTAAAGAGGACGGATAATAAAGCGACCGATTATTACCTAGGTAGTGATGGTGTGGTGACGCTGACATCAGGGTCGCAGAGCAATGGAAGGCACTGTGATCAAGACAGCCAATTGAGAATGAAGGGTAGTAAGTTGAGGACGTGTAAGCGAAAGCAAAGTCTTACCCGCCAGCTCCCCGAAGCGAGGTAGGTACCTAACCAGCTACAAAACCCCACCGGGCTTTGCCGTTTACTCCGGAGAGAAGGGGGAAAAAGCCCTTCAATTGTCTCAAGGCTCTGGTAAGTAACGTACTAATACGGGATACAGGTACTTCACCGCACTACAGGATTACCACCAGCGAGTGAATGAAGCTTAGGTACCTAGCCCACCACGGCCGAGTTGTCTGAATACCACAAAAGTCCTACAACACCCCGATTGTTTTTCTCACCGGCCCCCATCCGCCCCCTGCTTCCCCTCCATGGCAACATATCTCGCCAACCAACTGATCTCGCGCCCCTTGTGGCCGTCACAGTTCTTGCATCCCTTGCGCGCCATCTCGAGCGCCACCATGCCAGCATTCATGCCATTTCGCTGCCCGGCCATGGTTGCGAGGCCGGTCCAGCTCAGCCGCTTCCCGCCCTTCTTGGTCTGGGACGCCGCGTGGTAGTTGCTCATGGCTGCGATCTCGCGCTTCTCGGCGCAGTCTTTGTCGATGGTCATGACACTGTCGAGGACGCTGTGCATCGTGGCGGGGCTATCAGGGGTCATTTGCGCCGGGAACAGGGCCATGAGGTACTCCTCCATTGTCAAGCCGGAGCAAGTTGACATGCCTTTGCGGTCGGTCGTTTGGTTGGTGGAGGTCGTGTTGTTCATGATGAAGACGCTGCCACAGAACCGGCTCTCCATGTTTTGCTTGACGCTTTGCAACACACCCATCTGGGCGAACGGATCGTTTGCCATGGCGAAGTGTTCAAGGTGAATGCCATGGCTCTCGTTCGTGTGGTCTCCGTTTTGGTGCGCTGACTCCGACTCCATGTCTCCAAGCGGCATCACGAACTCGCTAGCGGCAGCACCGAAAGTGTAGATTTCCAACTTGCGCAGCTTCTCCGAAGGCAAGTCGGCGCACAGCTGTGCCACGGCCTGGGACACAATGCCACTGCTGTCGTTGTGGCAGAGAACGACGCAGCGGTTCATCGAGTCGTCGAGCAAGGCGCTCCGCATCTGAGAGTACAGGTTCCTCCGGACCTGGCTAGGCATCGAGAAACACCGCTGGAGCATCATGGCCAGCACGTCGAAGGGCATACCATAGGTAGGCATGCAGATACACACCACCGGCCTGTTGAAGAGCCGCGACAGCGCCGGCAGCGTCTGCTCATGACAGCGACGAGAACTAAACAAAACCACCACTCCGTTAGCCGCCACCCACAACAACAACAAACACCCCCACCACAGGCCCAAACAAAAACAGAACATACCTCATCCCCATCCCCCCCAAAAACAACCACCTTTCATCCTCCGCCTCCTGCCCCATCATCCACCCATCCGCCCCCGCATCCGCCGTCGCATTACACCGAACCACCCGCTCCCCCCTCCCATACCCATAGTTCACCACCCACCCCACCCCCACCACCACACCCACACAACCCCCCACCCACGCCGCGAACACCACCCCGGGAAGCACGCACCACAGCGGCGCCGCCGCCAACAGCACGCCCACTTCGAAACAGGCCAGCAGCACGCGGAGGGCTGTCTCGGCCGTCTCCGCCCACGACGCGGACCGACGTTGGGTGGTGAGCATGGCCCAGCAGAGGGTGGGGAAGGTGGTGAGGAGCTGGGAGAGCTCGTGGCGGAGGGTGGGCCAGAGGGGCTGTTGCGAGCGCGGGGTGGTGCCGCAGGCGCCGTCGCGGAGGGGGGGGATGTAGGTTAGTGGGTTGGGGGGTGGGGAGGGTGGCATGGTGGGGGGTTTGGTGGTGGTGTTGGTGTGGTTGGTGGTGTTGGTGGTGGTGTTGGTGGTGGCGGTTGGGGTCATGGTTGCGGAGGGGGTTCGGGGGGGGCGAGGCATAACTGATTAGGTTGGTTAGGTTGTGTGGACGTGGGTACTTTGTCGAGGGTTGACAATGGGTGCTGGTGATGGGAGTTGGACGCAGCGAGCAGTTTGGGAGGTATGTTCAACCTCATTATATCGTCGACTGAACGCGTCGTGGTGATTCGGATCTCTGCCGGATGCCTCATTCCAATGACTTGGGTCGTGTTCTGGGCATTCTTCGAGTGAGGTACCACCTCCCTAGCTTCCCCTGGCGATCAATGGCGACTTATTCCACTTAGCAGATCAGCATATCGAAGCCACGGGTAGACGACCCGGAAGGAAGACGCCACAGCTCGCAAAATCATCCGCAGACGCAAGGGAGACCGCTGCTGGTTTCTCTCTGGCGTATGACCCAAGAGGCAGAGCGGATTTCGGAGAATTCCAGTCGAGCATAACAGCATTGAACTCTTAAACAAGCATTCCTAAAATGTTCAGAGTAATCGGTCCATTAACGTAGACCGGCTTCCTTTCTTTTTGTGCTGCATTCCACTAGATATCAGTCCTAGCCCGTCTACACACTTCTACCCCTTGTGGTAACTCACGTTTTGCTCCAGGGGTACTTATTCTGAAAAGCATCTCAGAATGTAATGACGCTACTATCAGCCCATTGTTAATAGACATTGATTCCGTGTCGGATTTCCTTAGGAGAGACGGTTGAAAGCTTCCAGAGACAACGTGACATCGGAAGCAATGCCTTGCAAGCGAGGTCTCAGGAAACCAGGGAACCAGGAACGAACAAGGAAGAGAAGGTTGCATCGCCCGTACCACGACGCCTACGCCGGAGGTTTTCCTCCTTCATCGCGGTGTAACAACCGGCAGGCAAGGCTCCAACCAACAGTATGGCCATGGCACCACGATGTTGCCAGCCACAGGCTGTTCCTTGATTATGCCTCCAGCTGAGAAAGCTCCATCCACTGCTGCCAGCCACTCTAGACACCAAGATAAAAGTTGATTTGAAGGAATAGTTCATACCCAGTTGATGCATCCTCCCCGCATCTTCAATCTGCGAACCGCCTCTGGATATATCCGGTCCAACCAATGCGCCCGAGGCCAGGACAGGGGGTATATCAAACGGTTTATTAACTCACTGTTGGGGTACTTCGAGCCGGGAAAGACTTCAGCCTCCTCCCGCTATGATCGACGACACTAGTTTCTGGCTTTTACGACGATCTAGACTCAAAGTGATGGCATTTTCACATTGTGCCTGCCGTTCGCGGCCCAGACCCAGGATTTGCTCTGCTCCAGGCCGTATCGATGATTTGCAGCTATTGACCGTCCAGGGGCTGAGTCGACACTCGCCAGCGATGATGTCCCAAAGGCCGCCGGTATTCCACTTGTTAGGTTGCAACCGATTTGCGGCCCTTTAGGATAGGGCTATGCTACGTAAAGTGCTCAAGCAGAGAGGGACGCAGAGGAATCGTGTCTTTATGTCTTGACATCATCACGTTGCATCCCACGATATTGCTATATTCCGCGTTACTGTAGGTGGGAGTTATATTTTACCGCCATTCACCGACCTCGGCCCTCCATCATGCTAGAGACAAGGAAGGGGCAGCCAATGGGGTGATACCCTTCCCCTTTTCACTGTGTCCTCGGTTCTGTTCCCAGCCGTTGACTCCTGCAATGGAACAGCAGACTGATTTTCCGCTCGTCAAGCAGAGCTGAAAGCCGGCAGTCTGCTGCAATGAAACCCGACTGCAGGGCGGCTGTCTATCTGAGAGCCGCAAAACCTGTTTGCCATGGCTTCACTCGGGGTCAGTGATCAAAGGACCGCAGCCGACAAAACAATCACTATCTCATCAGAGGGCTTGCGGATCTCTCCGCTTCTTGCCAAGCATCACGGCCTCATCTGTGACCGGTTCAAGATCGACGCTGACTTTATCCATCCCCACTCGGCGTGCTATTCCAGGATTTCCATTGGGATTAGTCCTCGGTATGTGGGATGGGGATGGCTTCGACGCAGCTCAGTCGAGGCTTGCACACCTGTTAATATCACAGCTGAACTAGGGGTGGCGTTGAGGATGTAGTAGAGAGTCAAGGGCCTTGCTGCCGGCAAATACCCGTTGGGTCCTTGGGAAAAACAGGATTTTATCGCACAGATCCACGACCAATAAGCCAGCCGTGTCGAGTGACCGAAGACTAAGACTCAACCGAGGAAGCGGGGACAGAAACGGCTCAAGCTCATCTTTCCAAAAGCATAAATAGAAGGCTTGCCTCTCCTATTGTGTCTCTTGTCTTAGCAGCTACCTAATCCAGAGTCTAGCACAGCAGCCTCCTCATCTCTCACCAGCCCCAAGCACCTAAGCTCTAACCCCTATCTTCACCCAACACCCACCCAAACCGCCCAGCCAAAATGAAAGCCTCCTTCTTCACCCTCCTCACCATCGCCGCCTCGGCCCTCGCCACCCCCCTCCTCGCCCCCCGCCAACTCGAATCCCAAGCCGCCCAGCTCGACCAGCTAACCGAGCTCGTCAGAGCGCACACCGCCAACATCAGTCAGCTCTCCCCTCTCCCTCCCAACCCCCTTTCCAACCCCCTTTTCCAACCCCCCTTTTCAACCCCCTTCTCCCACCCACCCTCTAACCACCCCCTTCCCTTCCCACCCACAGACGCAACAACCACCGCCGTCCAGGACAACCCCACCATCGACCAACAAAACGAAGCGGCAGCCGCCCTGGCGCCCGACTTCGACGCCATCACCGCGGCGCTGACGTCTGCCACCACGACGCTTGCCAAGCGCGCGTGGGCGGCCACTCGCGGCGACGATGATGATGATGGTCACGACGGCGGCGACGGCTGCCCGGAGGACTGCCTGCTGGTCAAGATCCAGGTGCTGGTGTGGGAGGTGGGGTGCACGCTGAGGTTTGTGATTGTTAAGCTGGGGCTTGGTGAGTGATCTTGCCCTTTTCTTTGCTTTGTGGTTTGGTTGTAGGGTGTTGGTGTTACGGTGTTACCTGAGAGAGAGGCTGATGATGGGGGTTAGCTTGTGTGCTGGGTTATTTGAAGCCGTTGTTGCTTGCGCTGGTCGGGCTCGTCAAGGCGTTAGATAAGGTCGTGCTGGGGGCTTTGGTGCTCGTTAAGTCGCTATTGCATACTGTGTTGGGTGCGGTGGCGGCGGCGCTGCTGGAGCTTGTCTTTGTTTGAGGGGTGTGATTCTTTGGAGGTGATGCCCTTGCTGTAACTATTCGGGGCAGCTTCTTTCATGTTGTGTTAGGGGGGGTTTGAGGAGTTGTTGCTCGAGTGGATGTGGACTCATGGGCGCGTGGTTACTTACCTACCTACCTATCCTTCAGTCGTTACTATACTATCTACATTCGTGTCTAGCTTCTGAGTGACAATCAACAGCTGTGAATTTCTAAATGCAAGTTTGCGACAACCATACTTCCTCCCTAGCTTGAATACTACACGTTCCTTTCTCAGAGCTTTGCAAGCACTACAAATAGAAGAGTTGAGACGTAGTTTACGACGATACTCTGGTTTAGCTACCCCAATTAATGTGCTAGACTAGCTACCAGTCCCATTTGCGCGGATTACATGTGGTTTTGCCCCTGAATAGTGTCAACAATGCGTTTCTGGGTGACCTCAACACCATGACGTGGATGATGTTTCGTACTATGGCCACCTCGATAACTCTTTGACTAGGTAGGTAACCGAGGCGACACAGAAAGATACGTGGCTTACAGTCTGAACTCTCGATGTTATCATGGTTGAGCTCCAGTGCACCGAGCGGATTACCATATAAAGTTGCTTAACCCGGTAGAGCTCTCATATTCTCATTCCCACTTCCAACCGTTAACCAACCCCCATTGAAATACAGCACCAACCACAATCTCCCACAAAACACGGCAACCCTTCCCACGGCTTACACCGCCGGATCCCCATCACACCCACATTCACAACTAAGCAACAAAATGTCCATCATCGTATCCTACCCCGAGCTGGAGGAGCGAATGAACCTGCAGGCCGGGTTCCAGGAGATCGTGCGAGACACCATGCGGCTGCTCCGGACGCCCGAACTCCACCGAGACCGCACACTCGGCGAAGACACCGTCCTGCTGTTGGCAAGGGCTATCAGATGGGTCATCCAGCTGGAAGACGCCAATGTCGCTCCTAGGATGCTGGATAGTGCCAACTGTGCCTTGTACGATCAGCAAAACATATCGGACAGTATCAAGGACCGGCTGGAGGCGAATAACAACGGCGGGGGGGAGGTGTGCTGACTGTGGTGGCTGCACGGGTTGTTAGTGTGGGGAACGGGTAAAGATCACTGGCTAGGGGTACTGAGTTATAACTATTGGCTTGAGGTGGGCAGCGTTGTTTTCAATACGTAGAGTCGGCTTCGATGGATGGAGGTCACATTCGGATACCATGAGATGAGATCCGGCTTGCTTGACTGGTGTCCTTGTATATGCTTTTTGATTTCCTACAACAAACACCGCCTTTACTTTTCGCGTCTAATGTTATGAATGGATAATATACAGCCCCAAGGAAAGCTTGTCTGTATGGTGCCATTGTGGTCCTGTCGGTACAGGACTACCTTATATCACATTGATTATGAGATCTCTTGATTATACCGCGAGATCCCACAATACCAGGGGTGACGACACAAGGCGACCTAGGTTTGCACAACCATCCAGCCCTACCATCTCCTCTCCAGTGTTTTCGTGCCACAAACGTCGAAGCCGTACTCTACAAGAGCACCCTATAAACATAGCAAATGAAGTTGCAATACCAGACTACCGTAGAACCACAAAGTATCCCGCCCTTGACCTAGCGCCTGACCTAGCCCATTCCAATCGATATGATATACACGACTGCCCAGGTAAAAAGCCCATGCAATAAGCCACCCCCTCCACCCATAAAAAGCATCTAAACCAAAATACCACCTGTATCCACCCACCCACCGATAACACCGCTATTCCTACATTACACGCCCCTCAACCATGGCAGCAACAGTGCATGCCTATAACACCCCCCCAACCACCATGGCAACCATGTATCGCCATTCTTTCTACCCTGGGGTGGCGGGGATGGGCGCAGGGGCATTACGTCTGTCCGTCGGGCGCTGCGCTTGGTGTCTTTTGCCGGGGTGAATGTAGCACTGCTGGTGTTGACGCCGTATGCTGGGGCTGGGGAGGAGGGTCAGGAGTTGAGGAAGGTGACGTTTGCGCTGTATGAGACGGCGGTACGGGGGAGTTTCCGTGGTATCTCGTCGAGTCGCCGTTGGCGACTATACAGATGGCCCCCAACGGGAAGAAGGTGGTCATTGGAATTTATGATGATCAAGGTCGAGACGGGGAAGCAGGCCTCATTGCCTCGGGGCTTGCGCTGGGGACTCGCATACTTATCATCATAAATACTTAGCAAACCCATCCGATTAGGTCGTTATCCCAACGGCCAGCTTGTTACCTGTGTAGGTAGGTAGCAAGGGATCGATCTTGGTGTCATTTCCAGACTGTTCCACCACAGAAGGGAGCATGTAACACATAAGATCCAATCATGGGTATTGAAATCATGGGAAACCTTTTCGGGTAAATGAGCCAATGAGATGACATGGAACACGCGTGTTTCGTCCCCACCGATTCCTCGAGGCCCCGGCCACCCCGGCACTGCCCGGTCCCGGGCCGCTTCCGTGCGCAGCGGCCCCGGGGGCCCCACAAACCACCGAAGAGCCTCTCACACTGCGTCAAACGCGCGTGTCTGCACGATTGGGTGGGTCGTGGACCAATCGCGTAAGGGAAGACGCGATTGGTTGATCGGAAAGTTCATGCTGACATGTTGTTGTAGAGTTTTGTCTCTTTTGTGCTGGGATCATCATATCAAGTGGAAATCACCGTGTTGTAAGGATGGATGCACAGAGATCAGCAGTTAGGCTGCGAGATGCACGAGGCGGTGTTGAACTATTTCGAGATTGTAATGACCTGAGCTTGGAAAATGAGAATATATATATTTCCCTCCGGCATCGACCCTTCTCGTCTGATCTTGTAGTTCATCAAAACGGGTACAACCACCGTAAAACCACCATCGCTTAAACCCACCAACCACCATGACCTTCCGCACCCTCTCCCTCTCTATAACATGCCTCGCCTGGACAGGCCTCGCGGCCTGCACAAGACCCAAGATCGACTGGGTTCCATGCCCCGCCGACGAGTTCGACACGAAGCTTGAAGTGCACTGCGGAAACTTGACGGTCCCGCTGGACTACACCGGCACCGCCGAGTCCGCCAAGGGCAGCACAATCGACCTGCAGCTCGTCAAGGTTTTGGCCCCTACCCAGCCGTCGCGCGGCAGCATCCAGATGAACTTTGGAGGGCCGGGCTCGCCGGCGCGGCGGGGGACCGTTTAGTACGGGCCGCTTTTACAGGCGTACGTTTCCCCCCTTCTTTTCCCTTTTTTTTTCTTTTTCGTGTTATTCTTGTATCGATGAAAAAGTTATAAAAGCGCCTCTATATGACCAAAACGCCTGCACAGAGCCACACACGCCGTAAAAACGTAAACCGACGATAGAATCGTTTTCGCAAGGGCCAATTGCCCCTAGGAACGATGCTGCATGATGGCGTGCGTAGCGGCGCCGCGGCGGAACCGATGGTGGTTGACGGAGGTATAGGTAGGCTTGTATCGAGCTGCTACTACGCCCTCGCTAACCTTAGCGATAAGCCGCCGACCGCGCTGCGCGATAACGATGATACCGCTATAACTTAGATACGGGCGGGAGAAGATATCTATAAAGAGAAGGTTAGATAATTTATAGTTAAAGTAATAAAAATAAATAACTTTATAAAGGTTATTAAGGACTAAAATAAGTAGGTTTATAAGATTTTTGTAATAGCGGTTGCTATTAGACTGCTGAGGGCCCTTAGTACCGAACTAATATATATAATAAAGAACGACTTTGAAGAGGTTAAGTAGATGCTTTAGGAGATCTTTAGGAAAGGGGGAGTTAGTATAGGGCTCTAGCTTTAACGGTTCTATATAGATATTATAAGCGGTTATAGTACCGGTAATATAGGTTATAGCGGCTAGCTGGCTATAGGACTACCGATAACCTAGAAGTATATACTAGTAAGATTTATAAGATAGATTATAGTCTATACTTAGAATATCTCTACTAACTTTAATAAATAAATAGCTAAAGAAATAGTCTAAGCGATTAATATAGCTGTAGCTAGAAGTAGTATAAGAGTAGTATAGAGGCTCCTTAGTAGTAATGTTATAGTTATATTTAAGGAAAAAGAGAGGGATTAATATATAGAAAACTAAAGATAGGTTATAAAGGTATTTGGGCTAGAAGTAATAATTACCTTTAATATAATCCTAATTATTATATAAAGGATCCTATAGGTAAGTATTAACGGGATTAATATAGAGATACTAGGGAAGTAGCTGTCCGTTGTGAATATAGGTATAAAGATTATATAGGCTAGACCCTATAGGAGGAGATGTCACGGATATGGTCGCATGCAGACGGCCCGGCGGGGCACGCTGGCAGTGCCCCGAGCCAATCAGCAAGGAATGGCCTTCTCCAATGAGAGCTGGATCGTGAGCTCTGGCCGCGATCCAGGAGTGACCAATCAGGAGTGGATCATTGGATCGAGAAGCGATCTAATGATCCAGGACGGATCGCAGGATCATGAGAATATTCTTCGATCCAGGTACAGAGGTACCTGAGGATGTAGATAGTATATAGTCACTCGTTCTGGAGAGCTCTGGGAGTTCTCCAGTTAGCAATCACAACTACAGTTCGCTACAAGCTCGAGAGCCTATTGTTGAGACAAGTCTTTGTTGTGCACCCTTTGGCTGCACCGAACCTAAGCACCCTTGAGAGAATACCTTCGACCGATACTGAACCCTAACAGGACGGGTCCAGAGACAGGTTCGTCACACGTTGCTAACTCCCTTTGATCTGTTACAGTTCAGGCTCGAAGGTAAAACGACATGGCAACTCAACCGACGCCGGGCCAGATCACGGCCGCACTTCAGAGAGTCACCGAACGACTCGATGAAACTGAAGAAGAGCTTGCGAAGACCAAGGCCAGCAACGCGGCATTGGCAGCCCGACTTGCGGCGACCGAGGTCCACACCAAGGACCCGGCCAAGACAAAGGTCAAATTGGAGCAACCCGAGAAGTACGGGGGCGACCAGGAAGCCTTGCCAGGTTGGATCACGGAGATGCGGAACTATCTCGACCACAACTCGCACCAGTTCGCCACTGAGGAATCCAAGACCAGATACGCCGCCACCCGACTCAAGGACAAGGCCCTCAAGTGGTTCACGGGAACACTGAGTGATTTCCTCGGCGGAGCAATCCACAAACCCTTCACCAAAAAGGTCTTCGAGAACTACTCCGAGTTCGAGAGTGAGATTCAGAAGGTGTTCGGTGACAAGGACGAGAAGTTACACGCCCAGGAACGGCTAGGACGGCTGAAGCAGACTAGGTCAGCCACCGCCTACGCCACGATTTTCCGACAAGACTCCATGAAGGCAGAGATAGACGACGAGGGGCTGATGCACCTGTTCTACGGAGGGCTGAAGGAGGAGGTCAAGGACGAGCTCTACAAGGAGAGCCGACCCGACACACTCGACGAGTACATCGCCATGGCTGTCAAGATTGACGACCGACAGTTCGCCCGCAAACAACAGAAGAAGGGCAGCGAGATTCAGCGATCCCCAGGCTACCACAAGCCCAACGACAAAAAGAAACGCCAGCACCAGAGCACGTCATACGGCACGCACTCGGGACCCATGGACGTCAGCGCTGCCCAGGCACAGTGGGCAGGAAAGAGAGATGGTGCCAAGGACAAATCAGGCATCACCTGTTACAACTGCGGGAGGAAGGGTCACTTCAAACGTGACTGCCGCAGCAAGAAAGAGTGGAGACCGGTTCCAGGGAAGGAAGCTGCCACCATCGACCAAGACACGGTCGGAAGAAGAACCCGGTTTCTGGAGGTCGCAGCCGCCAGCTACACGCAGGACGACCTCGAAATCGACATTGACCGAGTCATCGAGCAGGACGATGAACTCACCGACTCGGATCAAGAAGACTTGAGGAGCAGCAACCACCAGGAGGGGAATGACACCGCCCATCACGCTTTCATCGAAACGGATGACGAGGGAGAACTGGCTCCCCCGCGGTACATCCGACAAGTCGCTGAGGACTGGGGCATCACCCTGGTTCAGCAAGAGGACGGGCAATGGCGAACCCACGAGGGTGAAGGAGGAGTCAGCCCGAACCTCACCTTCCTACAGCAGAGGGTCCTAAGCCAACGGCAAAGGATCGAGGAGTTGTCGAGAGAGAAAGAAGAACTCGAGCAGCTTCTCCAAGCAAGGAACGACCAGTATGGACAACTTTGCGCGGAACTCGATTTCGCCAGAGAACGAGTCCAAGAGATCACCGAGGCCAACAACAGGGCCGGGGATCACGTCGAAAAGACATTAAGAGAGGCACAGGCCTTGCAGGACGACATCCGCCAGGTACTTCCGCATCACACACCGTGGGATGGACCCACCGAAGAGGCGGAGGAATACGAAAACGGAGTGCGATATCCCGAGCAACTTTTCGACTACGCACAGGAGCAGAATACGGCGAAAGGAAGGAAACAACAGAACTGGGAAGAATACTGGACTCGACATCAGCACATCGTGCGCACCGGGCGACAAACCTCCGACCTTGAATGGTGGGGTTTCCGGGGCGAGAACAACACGGAGGGATTCCAGTTGTTGCCAGAAGACCACGAGCGGGTGAACCCACGAAAAGAAAGTCACATCTACCTGCCCTGGTTCCAGTGCATCGCGCACGAATGTCGGTACCACTTCCAGGACAAATTTCGCAACAGTTTCTGGCCCACGAGGGAAGAAAAAGGAATGCAACCCCTACCCATCAGATGGGTATACGACAGCGGCGACGCTCCCGCAGGCATGTTGTGGGACACCCAACGCACTCACGAGGGCAGGCTGAGGGTTAGACCCAAGGCAGCCTGGCCCCGACGCTGTATGGCGGGCGTAGGAGTCAACGAATGCCGAAGCGCAGACTGCCTACCACACGCCGACGAGAAAATCTGGGGATACATGGAACAGCAATCCCAGAGGAAGCCACACCAGAGGACGAGAGCGTCCCGAAGGAACGAGAGGCGCCCAGTTGAGGCATGGGCGGCCCAATGGCTCCAAGAACACCAGACGATTGACGCCGCAAGCCAAGGTGCGGACAGGGACGCCTTGAAACACCACGAGAGCTTGGGAAACGGCTCAGGGCCCTCCGAGGGGCCCGGAAATCTTTAACTCCACAACAACGAAGACAGGCTGCGCAGTACAGGAAGAACTGGCGCAAGCAGAAGCCTTACAACGACCTCCCAGCAGACGAACACGAAGTAGCTGCTGTACGAAGCACCAAGCCAGACAACAGGCTCTGGATCACAGCGCGATGGGGGAAGATCGAAGCCCTCGCGTTAGTGGATGGAGGAGCGCAGATGGATCTCATCTCGCCCGCATTTGTGAATCAACTCAGAATCCCATGGAGGATCAAGAAGCAACCACACGTCGTCAAAGGACCATTCGACACGCAATGGGTACGACGAGAAACAGAACCACTCGACATCGAGGTGGAGGGAAAAACCACCCAAGTGGTATTTGACATCGTGAACATGGGACCAGAGAAAGACATGATTCTCGGACGCCCATGGCATGAGGATTACGACCCAGACATCAGTTGGAAGGGAGATGGCCATCTGCGACCGCGGGAACAGCGGGAGCATCCGACCAACTCGATGGGAGAACGCGCAGAACAGGAGCCACGAGAGAGCAGCGGGTCAGAACGAACCCCCTCTACGGGCCCACCGCAGGAAGCAGCCAGTGCAGAACCACGCACTCTGGAGTCCGGAAGAAGCGGCACACGACGAAAGAAGCAGACACGGGAGGAACGAACCATCGCCGTCGTCTCAGTCGACGAGCACGGAATGCTCAAACACGAACAATGGGTCAATCAGCTCGAAGCGGCAAGCATCGAGCTGGCAGCAGAAGAAGTCAGGGAACTCGAAGCAGCAAGCATCGAGCCTGGGAACAACAAGTTCGCGTACTACGAGGGTACAGCGAAGAACGCAAAGACGGGGCAGATCCCAGACGACTACAAGGGGCACCCGGCGTTCACGGCAAAACATCTTGCAGGGCTACCAGACCACGGACCTTGGGATCACGAGATCAAACTCAAGGAAGGAGCCCAGTTGAAGCTTTTCAAGGTGTACCACACCAACGAGAAGCAAGATGCAGAGTTGAGGAGCTATCTCGAAAAGAACCTCGAGATAGGACACATCAGACCATCGACATCTCCAGCGGGCTACCCAGTCCTCTTCGTTC